ATTTCTGATTTCTCGTCACGTGACTTTCGCCAGCTGACCATTCAAGATCCCAAACCCCAAGCCCCGTCTAATGTCCTAAGCCTCGGTCCAACATCCAAGCCCCGTCCAATGTCCAAGCGCCGCCTTGGTTCCTTCTGTTCATTCGGCCCTTAGCATAAATAAACCCCTTGTTCCCCTGTCTTGTTCCCCAGTCTGCAATAACTCACTTACATCTGTCCCCTGCCTTACTTCTGCACACTCTTCTTATTCCTTCCTTTTCCTTCATAATAAAATATAACAAAAGCAATACACATTCTTCCAAGTCCTGTCTGACCATTGCACCAAGATCACGTCTGTCGTAGTCCAGAAGCGCCATCACAATCTCTTCTTTCTAATGCAGAAGGGCCAGGCCGATCGATCGGGAAACTGTCCACCCGGAACTGTGGTCTACACTGGCATTGTTCATCCATTCCAATTTGATTTTACTTCCAGTAGCAAGCGGGTCTGACTGGAACTTCGAGACCTGCCCTCCACAACGTTCTCTGCGATGGGAGCTGATTTACATCGGACGGTCTCCAGACTCTAACCTACAGACTATGCTACCTGTATGCTCGATGCACTCGATCCGTCTCTATGGTTTCTGCGGAGTACTATGCCCACCTGGTCGCGCAGCGAGCACGTTTCCACCAAGGGCGTGAATTGGAGCAAGGCCACGCCTTCGGAAGGATTGGGTGAGTCGATTACCTACGCGCCCGTAAAGCAGCAGCTTCAGAAGGGTATGTTATATACGAACCGTGCTAAGACGTTGAAGAGATATCTACATGGCAGAAAGCTGACCCTTTCGTCTTGCTTTGCTTTTTCTGGTGATGTGGTTTATGTGAGCCCGGCCCTTCAGCCATTCGCTACCCTTGCTTGTCTGCAACCGCACTCGTGCGACCTCCCTTCCCCATCGCCCACAATACCGATTGGCTTGTTTTGAACTACATTTCGATAAAAAATAATGCAAGTTAACGATGGGTGTCCGTGAACGTTGGCTGGTTGTGACCACCGCGTCCGTGTATTGATTTTTATTTTTTTGCTTTATGAGGAAGTGAAAGAATTATAAGATGCTTGTGGAGACAAAGAGCTTTTCAAAAGGCTAAAACCAAAAAAAAGAATGACTGTCCACAGTGTTTTAAGCGTTGGCGAGTTCAAGAAAAAAAGAAAAAAAAAAAGACGCTCTCTATTCCTCAAGGGGTTGTTGAGATCAATCAGTCCTTATCATAAGCGAGGCCTGGTTCCATTGTTTAGTGCGATGGTCCCTCGTGATTGTTCGACTCTATTAGCCGTTGGCTCGTCGACAGCCCTTATTAGCCCTCTGCTTGGCCTCCCGGATCTGTCGCTTAGCCTTGCGCAAGTCACCATGTCCCCAGATCATACTTAGGACTGCACAGGAAAGGAGGTACCCGACATAGGCGACCATGCTGACCAACCCGACGCCGCAGGCAACCAGCAGCGAGACTCCCAAAGCTGGGAGCAGGAAAACCAAGCTGAAAATTGCGAATCCTACCTAAACAGAGATAAGGTGATGATTGGCACATGTAGATGATAATGGGTTAGGGTAGGGAGTTTCGGATCAGTTTCGTCTATCAGGCTTTGGTATTCGAGTGCGTATTATCATTGTCATTGTGCCAAAGAAACATATCTCACTTCAACAATGGTAAATCCAATCCCTCCAACGACCAAGGACCCAAGGGTGACAAACCCCATGAAGCCCATGAAGCAGCCCAAAGGAAAAGCCGACATGGCTCCAAACCCAACGACCCCAATCTTGACACTGGTGGGAGCTTGGACATATAGATTCTTGAGGTATCCCGCGGGAGGGAAAACATAGTGCTGGACTATACCCATCTGGTTGACAGACTCCAGTGCCGATTGAGCTTTGCTGGCGACGATCTGGGGGGTTTCATGGGTGGCGTCTCGGGCTTGGTCGACTTGTCGCTCGATGTTCGTTGTGGCCATGGTGGGTGTTGGTGGTAACTTGCGATGGTTTTGCTGGGGTGGCAGTGACTGGAGGAGAAGGATGTGTGGGGTGAGGCTAAAGCAGCGGGATTGCGTTGAAGAGACAGACTCGGGTGGTGATACTGGTGCGTGAAGGGATGTGGATAGAAATAGTCAAAATGGAGGCGATCGTTGACCGTGTTGCAGTTGAAGGGGTGGAAAGAGCAGAAAGTGGGAAGAGGAAGTGAACATGAGAGCTGAGAAAATTATGGTTACCTACGATATCCAAGTATTACTTGCATTGAGGGAAAGTGATGAGAGATCGGAGCATTTCTAAAAATCAAGTGCGATAGAGGCAATAGATGCGTCGTGTTGAGACATTACGCGTTGATTTGTTATCTTTAGAGCACGATAAAGAGAAAGGCAAGATAGAATCTTGAGGGCGGAGAGGCAATAAGGAGATCACGAGGACTCTCGTCGAACCTAATCTGGGATGGCTGTGTCGCCAGCAATCGCTGTATGTCTTCAACGAGAGTCGACGAGCCGGAGCTGGAGGGGTCGGAGGCGTTTGTTAGAGGAAGCAGTGTCGGCGATGTCCTCATCCTCGACGTCAACTGCTCGTTTTGGACTGCATGAAGCCTGCTGTGTAGATGTTGTTGTGTGAGTAGACATGCCCGCGTCATCGTCGTCGGTTGCTCGCTCTGGGCCGGATGAAGTCTGCTGTGTCGGTGTTGTTGCGTGGTTAGACATATGACGTCAGGCCGACTTTGCAACGAACTGCGCCGTTTCATGGAAACTCAGCGCGTTCACCAACGCAAAAAACATCGATGATAAGTTGACTTCGCATCTCTTGGTCTGATCTTTCTTCACTCCGTCTGTCGCCTTGATCCAGCGCTCTTCTTTTTTTCCTTTCTGTCTTGGAGTCAATTTCATTTATGGAGGTTGATTCAAACTCTTATTTTGAGTGAGAGGCGTCTGAATTGTCCAAGGGTTTTGACAACATTATCTTTTATGAAGGCTCGGCTCTGAGACTATTTTATCCACACTTATTGTTCTGCCTGTCCATCTCGCTGACGTTTAAAAGTGAAGGAAAAGTGATAGGAAGATAAGTTGATATGGAAGTTCCTCTCGTGGTGGTTCCTCTTTTTTTATGTGACGGAGTGGGTGCTCTCTGTGTTTTTTTTGTAAATATGGAGAGGACCCTGCTCGCAGAATCAATCGAAGGGATAAATTTCGACCACAAAAGCGGTCGAAAACAGACGAAGGGATAATATATGTGGCGACGAAGGAGATGAGCAGAGAAATGAAAACCAAGAGGAAAAAATATCCAATACCGAGAGAGGAGTCTGAGAGACAAAAGGCACCAGCACCGACAAGTAAAATGGTAAGGACGCCCATGACAATGTCGCCTTCCCTCCTGAAGTATGACCGGGGACCACTGCCGTACTTTTCCAGGAACCTTCTGCGGCTGTGGATTGTCTTTTGGTTCGCCATTTTGATTGTAGTTCTGCCTGATGTGCTGGCGTTATGTCGGTCGATATGGGGGTGGGGATGAAGGTGAAGGGTGTAGTGTTGTGTGCTGAGCAGTATGGGTAGAAAGAGTGGAAAAAGGAAGGGGGAGTGAAGCAGTAGTGAAAGCAAGGGATGCCACACTATCTAAAAGTATGAGCCCACGAGAACCCTGGTGGCTGCTGATGGCGGTGAGTGCTAAAACTGCTTAAAGTCCGAGGACGGAGACAGGGGCCAGCTGGGGCCAAGAAACGCCATTGGTGTTGACACTTTCACTGCCAATCAATCTTGGTACTGTAGGAACAAAGCCACACAACGTGCACCAGGCCAAAAGATCGCCCGATGCGCCGAGTGAATAATGTCTACTTCTAATTGAATGTGGTGGTACCTCTCTGAATGGCCGTTGTGGATATCACGCGGGGGGAGCTTAGGTCCTAAACGGGTCAAAAAGTGATCCAGCTGACATGGCTCGCTTCTGTCCTTGAATTGGACATTACGTTGCGGACTTTGTTCCCCCTGTGGGTGCAATACGGATCAACGTTGATGCCCATGCAGCTCAAGGATAATTCAACAAGGAAAAAACTTGGCGTGCGCTCAACTTTTGCCATATTTAGGCAGGAACATTGTAAAATAACAGGATGCACTGCATAAGAACTTTTATTAGACTCCTCCCTTCACTCTTTCTAACCCGACGTTCACCAGGAACATCTTTCTTTTTTGCTCTTGATCCGTTTACCCAGTTCATCTAAACGCCATGTTTCAGTACCACCCCATTCGTGACATGAACAGTGACCTAGTATGCGTGTAAAAGTTTTAGGAACGAACAATCGGCAAGCGTGAAGAGAAGTGAGATGGCAGCAGCGTTGATGACCGGGATGAGCAACCAGCTCTGTTGCGAAAAAGACACCCAAAATGACATCAACCCAAAGACAATTAAGACAATTGGTGGACTCACACCTTGGTGCATCAACTTTGTTCCTGTCTCTCTCTGCAGCCCTATAATGAGAGGGACAGGGCTCACAGAGGACTGCAGCCACCAGCCCCGCCATTAACCCCCAGAAGAGCCGAGCAGAGACTAAAACCACTCGCACCGCCCTCAAACACATAAAACCACTCTTTCTACCAGCCGATTTCTTCTTTCTTTCTTGTTTGTTTTTTTCTGGACCCTCCCTTCTTTTCATCCCCCCTTTCCATCACACCCTTCTAGATACCCCGGGGCTCCTTCATTCCTCTCCTTATTCCTTTGCGGTTCCTCCTTATACCCTTCCGATCGCATTCCATTAATCTCTCATACTCGACCTCTAATGACTTCAATCGGTGCAAAGCGCTTTTACGCGCTCATGGCGATCTTCTCGTTCACACAAGTGATTGTACAATTGTGGCCCAAGTATCATATTCGATCGTCCTTAATACCCCATGGCTCTCATCTGTTTAAGCGAGATGATCCGGATGACGACATGGTACATACCTCACAACCGTCTCTCATCAGCATAGCTCTGTCCTGCCCATGTCTCTCCTCTAATTACCTCAAAATGGTGGCCGTAGCGAATGCAACCCTAACCATTTATCTCCTATTTTCTCAAATGTAACAGTGTGGAGATGTGTGGGATAACACTGACAGGTGCGCATACGTCGACGAGTTCTGTGGTGACCATCAAGCTGGCTTGATCAACTACTTGCATCTTTATTTCTGCAACCTGGACCATATGCACGCAGTCGCCTTGGTCATCATGGTGAGAATAATATTGTATAACTTTCAAGTGGTGACCGCTCTCCTTCTTATCGCTCTGTCTACAATATCTCACACTTTTCGTTTTATAACATAGGGCGCGTGGATGATTTTCCTTTTTGCGTTGATCGGAGTGGCCGCCTCTGATTTCTTCTGTAAGGTCACATGGACATCCACGACTCAGCTCGCGACCTATGCTCTTATCACGTTTTCATCTAACCCCTTCAACCCTTGCTTGTTCATCAGGCCCTAATCTCAACACAATATCCAAGAAGTTGCATTTGTCAGAGAGCATGGTAAATCGGCGTGCTAACAATGATCGTAAGGACAAACGCGTTTGAGCTCCCTTATTTACACATTGACTGACCACTTCTCTCTTACTTTCACTTTCTTCGCTCCAGGCCGGAGTTACTTTCCTCGCCTTCGGCAACGCGTCTCCAGACATCTTTAGCACATTCTCCGCCGTTGGTGCTGGAAGCGGAACCTTGGCAGTCGGCGAAATAGTTGGTAGGTTGCTCATCCCCTTTATTGTCACTTGGCTATATATCTTTCAAGAGGGGTTACGCCTAACCTACGATCGATTTACTCCCACCTTAGGCGCCTCGTCCTTCATCACGTCAATCGTGATTGGCTCAATGGCGATCGTCAAGCCATTCAAAGTGAGCAAGGGCCCATTCTTACGCGACATGACCTTCTTCACTGGCTGCATCTTGTTCATTCTTTACATGGTTCTCGACCGTAAGATCACATTCGTCCAGAGCATCATCCTCATAGCTGCCTATGTCGTTTATGTTGCCCTTGTCGTGTTTGGCAACTGGAAGAAACAACGACAGGAATCTCGGCTACACACTGACAGCGAGACGGGGTCAGAGCACAGCGAGGACGGTGCTCATATCGACACACTTCGTCACCAACCAGACACAACGAGTACCGAACACACCCAGCACGTCAACATCGTTCTGAGCCTTATTGACCAATCTCCCGCCGTGGCCCCTTTGAGCACATGCACCAAGCCCTCTTCAAGCTTCAAGTCTAAATCAAAGTGTCCTGCGATCGTGGTCGATCCTGGTTACTTGGCCGCAAGTCTTCATCCTTCGTCCGCTGGACCACTTTCGTCCGCTGGACCGCCTTCTTCCAAAGGAAGTCGGAGGAGCAGTGCCAAGAGCCCCATGCCATCGCCATTATACGATGGCCCGAGCCAGGACCCAAGCTATGCTCAACTCCGACAAGTCATGCTCCACCATTCCCTAATTCTTCCTGACATGGGTGACCCTATCAACCGTCCACGGAGTCCTGTCTTCCAGAGTGCCCCTGACGCCAACACGTTGGGTGGTGTGAGGAAGCGGCATTGGGCTGCACTCTTCTTGAACGACTGGATCAAGCCAGTTTATTTTCCTACGTTGATGGGATGGAAGGACAAGTCGGTTTTCATGAAGATCCTTGCTGTTGCGTCGATCCCTATTGTCTTCTTGTTGACATTGACCCTCCCTGTGGTTGATCTCAAGGAGGACAATGATACCCTCATCGGCTCGCAGTCAGATGGCACGCCGGTCGAAGTCAACGCAACCAGCCCAGGCGATGGAAGCAACCTGTACAATGGTTGGTGTCAAGGCGCCACAATGGTCCAGATGGTCGTTGCTCCAGTCTTCATCGCACTTGTTGTCACCAGTAAGTACACTCAAATTCATTTCTTAAAGCAAGCTGTTTGTATATTCCTAACACTCGATATGCATTCTAACGTTAAACTCCCGGATATCTTCATAGGCGCTGCGGGTAAGAGCAACCTGGTACCGGTTCTTGCTGCCTTAGGAATGGGGATTCTGATGTCTGTGGCCATTTTCTTCCTCAGCACAGAGACCAAACCCCCAAAGTTCTACGAGGCATTTGCGTTTGTTGGATTTTTGGTGGCGATGACCTGGATCTTTGTGGTCGCCAACGAGGTTGTGGGGATCCTGCAGGCTGTTGGCTTGATACTGGGAGTTAGCGATGCGATTCTGGGACTGACGGTGTTTGCTATGGGCAATAGTCTTGGCGATCTGGTGTCGAATATCACGATTGCGAAGATGGGCTTTCCTCAGATGGGCTTCTCAGCCTGCTTCGGAGGGCCACTGCTGAGTAAGTTGTCGTTTTTTCCTTTTTTTTGCCCGAATGGTGGCATGACTTCTTCGTACTAACCAGCTTGATTCCTTCTCATTCTCATTGGTAGATATGCTGCTGGGACTCGGTATTAGTGGCACGTATGTGACCCTCTCGACGGATGCACACGTCCCGCTGGAGTTGTCGCCGACGCTGTTGGTTTCTCTAGGAACGATTCTGCTGACGGTGGTTGGAGCGATGGTTGTGGTGCCGAGGAGCGGGTACATGCTGAATCGGTGGTGGGGTATCTTCCTCGTGGTTGTGTACCTCGTTTCGATGGTTGTCAACGTTCTGCTGGAAATCAAACTTGGCCCAAAATAAAAAACTGAGTCGGTCTCGACACGTTGACGAAAAAAAACCTCTATTCCCCCAACGACTCTTTTTTTCCCTTTTCTTCCTCTTTCTCTTTCTTATTCTTTTTTTTCTTTCTACTTCTTCACTGCTCCCTCTTTCTCACCCAGGAGAATCCCATCAGTCAGTCATCTGTCATTCGTCAACGGCGACATTGCTTATCCGCCTTTTCCCATTTTTCAGGACAACAGCCCAAGTAACACAGGCAGGACATGGCTGATCAGCACGCCGCAGAGGTTGCCCAGCCTCATCTCAAGTCCAGGCAGGCATCCAGCGCATCCTCCATCTCGTTCGCATCCGAATCTTCCCTCGGCGACAAGCCAGAATGGTTCACCAAGGACACTTCAGTTCAATACCAAAAGACTTTAGCCGAGGTAGACCCTGCCGTCGGTTTCTTTTGTAAGGCCAAAACCAAGCTTTCGTTTTTTACGCTGTTTGTTGTCGTTTAGGACCATCGACTTTTACCATCATCTAAAATGGACGCAACGGGATATACCTCAGGAATGTAGTTGAAGACAGCAGCGGCAGCAACAGCAACAGCAAACACTGACATCGATATTTCAATCGTTCTGGATCTTTTTCGTCTTCGGCGATAGACACGCCCAGAACTCTGACGATTCTCGGGGCAATGCTCTTGAGTCTTGTCTATGTGGCCATGACTCCCGAGCTCGACGACACCATGACCAACGTCAAGATGTAAGTTTGCTTAGAGAACATCTTTTTTGTTTGGTGGGGAGAGTGTTCGAAAAACTTGTCAGCAAGAATTGTAATTGTACGTCCTAATAATATTCTCCTCTCCTTTTTCAATGTCCACAACAGCGGAGTGGTGGCTTCCATTGGTGTCTTCTGCGTTTTCGGGATGCTCCAGTTCCGCGACAGTCTGTTGTTGAGACCCCACCCTGCACTCTGGAGAGTTGTTTTGTCCTTGGGAGTCGTCTACCAGCTCTTCCTCGTCTTTTTGTTGTTCCAGGTAACCGACAAGAGCTCATTACGCAGGAGCAGCGGCCCTTCATCTTTTGTCAGCGCACAAACCCGAAGCTAACATCTTTACTTTCACCTCTCGCCCACTAGAACAAGCACGATGCTAGACGTTTCTTCACATATCTCGACCCTTCTCTCGGTGTCCCTTTGCCTGAAAAGTCTTACGGTGATTCCTGTGAGCTCACTTACGATAATGTCGTGGTAAGGACTGGCACATTCTATTGGCTTGATCTGGTCATATGTCCACTCCTCCCAAAATCAAACAAACAAACGAGCTGGTCTAACAGTGATTGTACTCTTCCCTGTATAGAGCCAAGTCTTTGACGAGTTCGTGTTGGCTCATGCCCTTGGCTGGTTTTGCAAGGCTCTGATCTTGCGCGACTACACCTTCTGCTGGATCCTGTCGGTGATGTTTGAGGTCATGGAGTACTCGCTCTCTCACCAATTGAACAACTTTGACGAGTGCTGGTGGGATCACGTAAGTACTATGTGTCGCATATTTGTGCTCTTCGGTTGATCTCGAAATGGGGTCCACCAAGAGCGGAAATTCTCACAAAAAAAGAAAGAAGAGAAAAAAGCTGTGTAACCAAACCTTACTTGACTTGACCCTGACTGACCCTGACCTTTTCTTTTTTCACCGTAACTGTGCTTTTTTTTTGCTGGGTCTGGACCTTTTAGTGGATCTTGGATGTTCTCATCTGCAACTGGCTGGGTATGTACCTTGGTGTCAAGACCTGCGAGTACTTTGAGATGAAGCAGTACTCATGGCAGGGACTGGCCGAGATCCCTACTCTCCGTGGAAAGATGAAGAGATCCATCGCCCAGTTCACCCCCAAGTCATGGACCAAGTTTGAGTGGGACATGACCAAGAGCTTCAAGAGCTACTGCACCGTTCTCTTTATCCTCGCCATGGTGAGTGAATTCATCTTGTTTAAATGAAAGCGGTCACTGTCATCGTTTTTATCAGGCACGGACTAATGTACATTCTCGCGCTCATTCCATCTAGTTTTTGATTTGCGAGTTGGACGCGTTCTACCTCAAGACTCTTCTTTGGATCCCCCCAGCACACTCTATCAATGTGATCCGCATCTTGTTATACTTTATGTTTGGTATCCCTGGTGTGCGCGAGGCATACCAGTATTTCCATGATGTGTAAGTTCAACAGTCATTGCCAGATCGTATCTCTATCGATGACCCATGTTTGAAACCGAGTACTAACAACTTTATGGCTTCGTTCGCCTGTCTACAAATATATAGCAACTGCAAGCGCATTGGACCTCAGGCGTGGTTGTTGATTGGCAGCATTGCTACCGAGGTACTGATTGTGTGCAAGTTTGGTCAGGACGAGTTCCCCAACCCTGCGCCCAAGGAGGTCGTTTACTTTTGGGCTGCCTTCTTGTCACTCTTGACTGCATTCCCCATTTACCAGTTCTTCCTCCTGCCCAAGCTCCAAGGCAATAGCAAAGGCAAGCTTAAAGCTCAATAGATATATTTCTCTGTAGAAAAAAAGAACGTTATTTCAATAATCAACCATGTGCGACCAGTGCACAGACGAAGCAGTCACACTGTTTACGATCATTAGATGTGAAGCCACAAAAAAAAAAAAAAAGAAAAGAGTGCCTTGGAGGATATGATTGTATTCTTTTTTGTCGCCTTGGTTCTTCTTTTGCAGTCTCTCCCCTCCTTCCCCCCAATCCTCTTTTTTGCCCCCTTGGTCATCATCCCTGCCACCATTTTTGACTGTTCACAAAAGTGTTGTGCACCCGACCATAGCATAGAAAAAAAAGAGACCCAGAACAACTATCAATTCCACTTTCATTCACACTTGCATTTTTCCTTTTCTTTCATTTTTTTGTATTATCTTCCACACCTTTGCATTGTACCATTTACTATCATCTCCCCTCACTCCCTCACCCACCTCACCATTCCACTCACCTCACACCAACAAAAAACACACCATGGCTTCCTCTACTATTCACGACCCACTCAGCATGGACCTGTCTGCGGCAACAACAGACCTGCTCGAGTTTCTTGATACCCAGACTTATATCAAACTCACCGACAAGATACTGTCGCCCCTCCAGCGCCACGCACTCACCGTCTTTGCCGACGGGACCAAGGTCCTGACCCGCCAGGAGACCGGTCAGGTCCTCAACATTCTGTCGAACTTGCTTAAGAACGAACACCTTGCCTGCAAGGTTGTTCAGCTCTTCCGGCCAATTCTCCTCGATTTGGTTGCTCGTTGGCTTGTCTCCGACCCAGCGTCGTCACCCCTTTTAGATCAGACTCAGCAGATGTCCGACAACAACAGCCTTGCCGATCATAACAGGAATTCGCAGCAGGATCTCGAGAGCATGGCTAGAGCATTCGCGCTCATCCTCCCTATTGTCCCACAAGTGAAAAGGTACACACGTTGACCGAGGCTACATTGTTCCCTGTGGCATTGATGTTGCTGTTAAGTGGTGTAATTTATGCATGTCGCTAATATCCGCCTCATTTTCATTTTTACCTACTAGCTTCGCTGTGAGACTCTTCTCTCAATATCCCTCACCATTGGAATGGCTCAACACACTCACAGAAAGCGATCTTAACGCACCCTCAGAGGTAACGAAGACCTTCAGGATAGTCTGCAGACTTACGCGCCACCTCATGCTGCAATGTATCTAACATTGATGGACATCTTATCACTGTCAATTTTCATAGGCCGTAACGAAACGAGCCCAGGACACTTTGATGACTTGCTTCCGCCTTTTGAACTTTTCACAACCGACCTTCGGATCACTTTGGGACTGGACACCACTCTATAACTTGCTCTCATTCAACGACGAGGCACTGAAGTACCTTGCTATCCGCTGCCTCGCCATTGTTCTCGACATCAGGGATGACCAGATTGGATCCGCCTTGAAGGTTCACCTTGCAGAGGGAACCGACATTAGCTGGATCGTTGGTTCTCAAAAATACAAAGCAGACTTGCTCACGTAAGTTCTTGTAGAGTGTTTTATTTGCACATATCTCAGGATGTTGTTGTTTCCCCTATAATAGATATTAACTCCATTTTATCTCAATTCAACTACGATTAGCTTGATGGAGCAGGACCGCATCTCGACCGAACAGCTCGCACTCTTTGGAAACACAGCAGTCGTGGAATCAAAGGATCCATACAGGAGACTTACAGCTGAGGATCTCTCACCACTCACCGTCAATCTCTGTGGAGTCCTCCTCCCCAGATCCACCAGCCCACAGCACGAGCAGTCAACTTTGCCAGAACACAAGCTTGTTTTGACAGAAACAACAAAGCATAACCTCCATTCCATCGGCCTTGCTCTCTCCATCGGTGCCCCAGTCTTGCTCGAGGGTGTCACCGGCGCAGGAAAGACGGCCCTTGTCGAGGAGGTTGCCCGAGTCACCGGTCGCGATGGTAAGCAGTCAACCGTCTTTCTGCGGTTAGGGCGATGTACATTGTTTCAGTAACATGTCGACAGGTATTAATCAGACCATTCTCACGGTGCATTGTTATAGACTTGGTCAAGATTCATTTGGGAGACCAGACGGATTCAAAAGTGCTTTTGGGAACATATGTGTCGACCTCCAAGCCAGGATCTTTCAAGTGGCAGGCTGGAGTTCTCACAACTGCCGTCAGGGATGGAAAGTGGCTGTTGATCGAGGATATCGACCTTGCTCCTATGGAGGTTCTCTCGGTCCTCCTGCCTTTGCTCGAATCCAGGACCCTCTTTATCCCCAGCCGAGGCGAGAAGATCCCCGCCAGCGAGGATTTCCAACTCTTTGCCACCAAATCGATGATCCCTACCCGTTCGGGACGTATGATGGCGCGTAATGTGAGCGGGACAGACGGAAGCATCGGAGCCAACCTCTGGACCCGAGTTCAGGTCAACTCCCTCTCTCACGAGGAGTTGTCGCAGATCATCCACGAGCGCTTCCAAGACCTTGGCGACCAAGTGTTGCCCAATCTGATTATGACAGTCTTCCAGAGCATCGCCATCACCTTTGCATCATCCGAGTTCTCTACATCACAGTCCATGGTCTCACGCACAATCTCACCCCGTGATCTCATGAAGTGGTGCACTCGTATCGACACTCTCATCAAGGCCAAGGGCGGGTACATGGCACTCGGCAACCTGATCAGTTCAAAGCGAGGAGTCGACCCCGCCATCTTGCAGGATCTCTTCTCGGAGGCCGTCGATTGCTTCTGTTCCATGATTGCCGAGTATGACGTCTGGGAAAAGGTGCTTATCCGCCTTGGAGCTGCTCTCACGATACCGGAGCAAATGGTTCGCCATTACATCAACACCTATACGCCCGAGTTGGATGACCGGAATCCCGACAGGATCACCATCGGTCGTGTGACCCTTCCTATCCTCACCGTAGAGCAGGGAGGATCCCGGAAAAAGAACAAGCGTTCGGATTTCGCCAAGACCGCCCATGCTGCCAAGTTGATGGAACGGATCGCCGTTTCGGTTCACTTGAACGAGCCTGTCTTGCTTGTCGGAGAGACCGGAACAGGAAAGACGACGGTGGTTCAACACCTCGCCAGTCTTTTGAACCACAACTTGACCGTCATCAACCTTTCTCAACAGTCGGATTCTTCAGATTTGCTCGGAGGATTCAAGCCAGTGGATGTCAAGGTGTTGGCTGTGCCGCTCAAAAACACGTTCGACGACCTCTTTTGCAGGACATTCTCCAGGAAAAAGAACCAGCAGTTCATCAACCTTGTCGATAAGTACTACCTTCACAGCAAGTGGGATGCGCTCATCAAGACCTGGTCCAAGTCGATCGAAATGGCCGAGGCCAAGTTCGACACCTCCAAGCAGACTGCCGACGGCGAATCTGTTACTTCCAAGAAGTTCTCCCCTACGCTGAAGAAAGACTGGCAGACGTTCGCCGACCAACTCTCGACCCTCAAGGAGACCTACTCTGCCTCATCCGCGAAGTTCGTGTTCTCGTTCCTGGAGGGAGCCCTCGTCAAGGCCGTCCGCCGCGGAGACTGGATTCTTTTGGACGAAATCAACTTGGCTTCAACGGAGACTCTGGAATCACTCAGTGGATTGTTGCAGGACGAAAATGGCAGTATTCTGTTGGCTGAGCGTGGTGATTCGGAACCTGTCGTACGCCACAAGAACTTCAGGGTGTTTGCCTGTATGAACCCCGCTACCGATGTCGGCAAGAAGGACCTTCCCCCCGGCCTCCGAAACCGATTCACAGAGTTCTATGTCCACCCACCAGATGCCAGACGAGAGGATTTGCTGGAGATCATCAAAAAGTACCTGGAGGGTGCCGCCATTGGAGACCAGCGTGCCATGATCGACATTGCCGACTTTTACATGGCTGTCAAGGCTCTGAGCAACGCCCACAAGTTGGCTGACGGTGCTGGTCAAAGACCTCACTTCTCTATGAGAACTTTGACTCGCGCACTGCAGTTCGTCCGCGAGATTGTCACCACCTACGGATTGCGACGATCGATGTACGAGGCCTTCAGCATGACGTTCCTGACTCAGCTGAGCAAGGAGAGTGAGCGCGTTGTCCAGGCTCTGGTCGAGAAACATTTACTCAATGGCGTCAGGAACCCCCGTTCGGTCATCTCTCAGATTCCCCGCCGGCCCGAGTCCAGCGAAGGCAAGGAGATGATCCAGTTTGGCCACTTCTGGCTTCAATGCGGTTCCCACCCTGTTCGCGATGATGGTCAGTACATCTTGACCTCCTCCGTCGAACACAACCTCAACAACCTTTCGCGTGTTGTCATGACAAGACGCTTCCCCATCCTGATCCAAGGTCCCACCTCTGCCGGAAAGACCTCGATGATCGAGTACCTCGCCCACCGATTGGGCCACAAGTTTGTCCGTATCAACAACCACGAACACACCGATTTGCAGGAATACATCGGAACCTACATTTCCAACACGGAGGGCCAGCTGGTCTTCCAGGAGGGTGTTTTGGTAGAGGCTCTCAAGAATGGATACTGGATCGTACTGGATGAGTTGAACTTGGCCCCTAGTGATGTTCTTGAGGCGCTCAACCGTCTTTTGGACGATAACCGAGAGCTGGTCATCCCCGAGACTGGCGAGATTGTCAAGCCCCACCCTGACTTTATGCTCTTCGCCACCCAGAACCCCGCCGGAATGTACGGAGGACGTAAGCAGCTCTCGCGCGCGTTCCGAAACCGTTTCTTGGAGCTGTTCTTTGACGAGATCCCCGAGAACGAGCTCGAGACCATTCTCTCCCAGCGCTGCACTATGGCGCCCAGCTACTGCAAGCGCTTGGTCGAGGTCTACAAGAAGCTGATGGCACGTCGCCAGACCACCCGTCTGTTCGAGCAAGGACATGGATTCATTACTCTTCGTGATCTTTTCCGTTGGGCAGGCCGTGGCGCTAACAGCTACGAGGAGTTGGCCATGGACGGCTACATGATCTTGGCTGAGAGGTGCCGTAAGGACGAGGAGCGCGTTGTCGTCAAGGAGGTCCTGGAGGAGGTCATGAGGAGCACGATTGATCAGGACAAGATGTACAACTGCCCTGAGGTCCACGAATACATTGAGCGTTTCCATGGCGGTCGAGAGAACGTTGTCTGGACCAAGGCTATGAAGCGTCTCTTCACTCTTGTGAGTCGCTGTCTTAAGAACAACGAGCCTGTCCTGCTCGTCGGAGAGACTGGATGCGGAAAGACAACGGTCTGTCAAATGTTGTCCGAGTACCTCGGCCTCGAGTTGGTCATTGTCAACTGTCACCAAAATACCGAGACGGCCGATCTTCTTGGAGGACAGAGACCCGTTCGTAACAACCAGAGTTTGGTCGCAGCCACCAAGATCGAGATTGCCAAGTTCCTTGCCGATGCTGGCGCCGAGTTCACCTTTGTCCCCGAGGAAGCCGACTTGGATGTCTTTGTCTCTGCTTTCGAGAACTGCGTCAAGACCAACCAGATGGAGTCTAAGACGCTGGAGGATGGCACCGAGCTTATCACCGTCATCACCGAGCTTCGCAGAACGTACCGTCAAGCTACCACCCTTTTCGAGTGGCACGACGGTCCCTTGGTGCAGTCGATGAAGGAGGGTCATCTGTTCCTGTTAGATGAGATCTCCTTGGCTGACGATTCGGTCCTGGAGCGTCTCAACAGTGTCCTTGAGCCCCAGCGTCTTTTGGTTCTGGCCGAGAAGGGAGGCAAGACGGTCGAGGTCATGAACGGTGCCCCCAACTTCCAGTTCTTGGCCACCATGAACCCTGGAGGCGACTATGGTAAAAAGGAGCTGTCGCCCGCTCTTCGCAACCGTTTCACCGAAATCTGGGTCCCTGCCGTTACCGATCGCGAGGATCTGGTCAAAATTATCGAGGAGCAGATCACGTACAAGAACGAGATGACCGGATTCGCGGACCGAATTCTCGACTTTGTTGCCTGGTTCACCCATGAGCTTGGCAAGAGCCGCGTCGTTGTCAGTCTGAGAGATATTCTGGCCTGGGTCCGGTTCATGAACGAGCTGATGGCCAAGGGTCTGCTGAGTCCCGAGGAGGCCTTTGTCCACGGAGGAAGTCTGGTGTTGCTCGATGGTCTTGGATCCAACGCTTCTGCAGGAGGTGCTTCTCTCACTGGCGATCTCCTGAAGGAGTTCCGTCTTCGTTCTCTGGCTGCCCTGAGCAAGAACGACGATGTTATCCACCTTGGCGAGGCTGCCGTTTTCGCCGAGGGCACCGGTACTGTCAAGAACGACAGCCAGGAATTCGGTATCACTCCCTTTTTCATCAAGAAGGGAGAGCTCGAGAACCAAAAGATCAAGTTCACTCTCCTAGCGCCGACCACCACCGACAACGCCATGCGCGTCCTTCGTGCCTTGCAGCTCCGAAAGCCTATTCTTCTGGAAGGTTCCCCCGGTGTGGGCAAGACGTCCCTTGTCGCTGCCCTCGCTACCGCTTCCGCCCACAACCTTGTCAGGATCAACTTGTCCGAGCAGACGGATTTGATGGATCTGTTTGGTTCGGATCTTCCCGTCGAGGGAGGAAACAGCGGAGAGTTTGCCTGGAGAGACGCCCCTTTCCTTCAGGCCATGAAGAACGGCGACTGGGTCTTGTTGGATGAGATCAACTTGGCCAGCCAGAGTGTTCTCGAGGGTCTCAACTCTTGTCTCGACCACCGTGGTTCCGTTTACATCCCCGAACTGGACAGGACCTTTGCCTGCGACATGAACTTCCGCGTCTTTGCTGCTCAGAACCCCTTGCAGCAGGGAGGTGGACGTAAGGGTCTCCCCAAGTCCTTTGTCAACCGTTTCACCCAGGTCTTTGTGGAGCAGCTGACGGACGGCGATATCCTTTTCATCTGCAAGCACCTCTTCCCTCAAGTTGAAGATTCGATGCTCCAAAAGATGATCGACTTCAACTACCAAATGTTCGAGGAGACCATGGTCAAGCTCAGCTTCGGTCGCAAGGGAAGCCCCTGGGAGTTCAACTTGCGCGATGTCTTCCGCTGGATGGAGTTGATGACCTTGCCTGATCATGGACTCGGATACAACCACGACCCATCTGAGCATTTTGATCTTATCTACCTGCAGCGCATGAGAACCGAGGAGGATCGCGTCGCTACCACCGCGTTGTTCGAGAAGATTTTCGGCCAGCCCTACACTCGCAGCAAGTCGCCCTACTACCACATGGATGACAAGCACATGCAGGTCGGACACTCGCTCTTGCCACGTCGGCACGGTGACACCACCAACGTCCTCGGCAAGGACCTCCATCTTTTGCAGTCATTGTTGGCGCCCCTTGAGGGTCTGATGAAATGCGTGGAGGTCAACTGGATGGCCATCTTGACCGGACCTGCCTCCAGCGGCAAGACCTCGATCGTCCGTCTATTGGCCAACTTGACCGGCAACAAGCTGGAAGAGTTCTCCATGAACTCTGGTGTCGATACAATGGAGTTGTTGGGAGGATTCGAGCAGGTCGATATTGCTCGTCACCAGGAGCACATCATGTTGGGCCTTTCTCGCCTTGCCAGCCGCGTCTCTCGCGAGATGATCCTGATTAAGAGCCCCAGCCAAGCTAACCCTGTCGCCTACGCCCGCGAGATCAGCCAGAGTCTCTACCTTTTGCACTCGCAAGACAGGTTCGCTAAACGCAACACCTTCGAGCGTCACCAAGCTGACGACCGCGTCATGCGCAACAACGCCATCGAGTCACTCTTGAATCAGCTCCGTTACTTGGTTCAGGAGTTCAAGCTGGACCTTGACAAAGAGATCGAGGAGCTCGACGAAAAGTTCAAGGTTCTGCGCGGTCTCGAGGTCACCTCGGTCAGTGGTCGGTTCGAGTGGATTGATGGATCTCTCATCAACGCTCTGGAGCACGGTCATTGGCTTTTGATTGACAATGCCAACTTAAGCAACCCCTCAGTCTTGGATCGTCTCAACTCGTTGATGGAGCCCAACGGTACGTTGATGGTTAACGAGCGCGGTTTGGTTGACGGCGAGGTCAAGATTATCCGCCCTCACCCCAACTTCAGGATCTTCATGACTGTCGATCCCCGTTACGGAGAGTTGTCCCGCGCCATGAGAAACCGTGGTGTCGAGATCACGCTGGTTGATGCCGAATGGATCAACAACAGCCAGGACTCGCTCAAGATAGCCAACACCCTGGGCGTTCGTGGAAAAGGCGTGCCAACGATGATCAGCCAGATCCACCACTACATCAGGAACTACTACAAGTTGACGATGCCCTGGAAGACCGTCCACGCCAAGGATATGTTGCTCTACACCCGCTTCATTGTCGAGCGTCTTCAGAGAGGCGAGCCCCTTGAGATGGCCCTCCGTCATGGTGTCCAGCAGGTTTATACCCTCGAGGGGGAGAACCAGCTCGAGCTGCCCACAACCGAGACTTTGGAAGCACCTTCGTTTGTCCTGGAGCCTAGTGCCGGGAATTCGTTGTCCGTGACCAATTGCCCTCATCTTCTCGAGGGACGCATGTTTGCTCAGGAATCCAAGTTGGCAACCGTCTCGCTGCATGGATCGTACCTGATGTACCTCCTTCTTTTGGACACACCGGCTGCTCTGACCTGGACTGCCGCACACTATTTCTTGGAGACGACCTCTATCCATGACGCGGACCTTCGCAAGACCTGGATCCAGAGCTTGTTGGAGACCCGTGACTTGGAGGATGACAGCAGAGCCCAAGCCCTGATGGCTGATCATATCTTGACGCAGCTGTCTCAGAGTGCTCTGCTTGCCCGCCTTGCTGACCTCAAGGCATCCTTGGCTTCAAGACTCGACTTGAACACTCACCTTATGGCTACTCAGGTAAATCAATCCTCGTCTGTAAATAATTTTGACATGCGCCTAGGTAACACAGGGGAACATTGCTAACTTTTTATTTACATTTATCACTTTTTCGATAGCCTGCGGATATGAGATTGAACCCCGACTTGTTCTGGGCAATTGACAGACTCTGCCAATCCGACGAGTTGGCCCAGGAGGAATGGCTGGAGTACCAGGCGATCGCTCGTCTGGTCACTCTTTTCATCCGCGTCAAGAAGCTCGACTACCTTGAGGAGAAGGTCTATGCTCAGGCACGCGGAAAGAAGCCCAGCACGGTCCAGATCTCGTATCTCTACCAGCGCAAACTCTGGGACAAGCCTCTGCAGCACCAAGTCGTTGCCGAGATCAGCCCCTGTCTGAATGCCATCAAGACCATTGTCACCCAATGGATCTCAGACCTGAATGGACTGAGTGACGAGAATGTAAGTGTCAACAGAATGTATGGTTTTGATTATTTGTCATTCTTGCGGAATAAGCATGATGTTAACACATATCCATGGTATCTGTTCTTAGGCCGCCAAACTTCACTTGTTCCTTGACAAGCGTGACATGGTCTGGGAAGTTGTTCAGGAGCCCACGGTCAATGTCGGCGAGCTCATGATTTTGGTCAAGATGATGACCGAGTCGGGTGAGTTCTTGCTCTCTATGGCGCCCGAGTTCTTTGGTCCCTTGTTCAGGAGCTTGGACATCATGACTGAGGCCATGGTCCTCACCACCGGAACACTGATGAAGAGTCTTTGGAGACGTCTTCATCCTTCCGTCCTGGCCTCTCAAGAGCTTGTCCAAGTCGAGGAAGAGTTGTTGGCCATCGCTTCAAGCATCGATGTTTGGTCTGATGAGGCTCTTTTGGACAAGGATGTCTTGGCAAAGGCTAGAGCCATTGGCAGCATGCCCGAGTTCAAGGACACCCTTGTTGATGCCATTGCCACCTTGTACTTTGTCGACCAAAGCCCTGAGAACGGAGCCGTCTTGCTGAAGACTATCAAGCATGTCCCTGCCGTAAGTATCTCATTACTTGTTGATTCGCCAATGTAATGTGCAATACGACCAATTACTGATTATAACCGTCGCTCATTATACAATATAGCATTTGCAAAAGCAAATTGAGGGTGTGCGGAAGCAGCAGGAGGGATTCCCCAAGGTCAAGTCTGCTACCAACCAACAGGCCGCGGATTTCATGTACCCTATCATGGACTTCTCGAGCTCTGTGACAGAGATGGCTTTGTTGGCCAAGCTCCAGCAGGCTTTGCCCAAGGGCGTCCAGCTCTCTAGCGCTGTTCTTGATGAGATCCGTTCCCTGCACGAATTCTCACTCAAGAGCACCACACGCTCAGCGACCGACTTTGTTCCCCACAAGCGATTGATCTGGGTCTTTGATTCAGATACCAAGGGTAAATGGAAGGTCTTGTTTTGATTAACTACGCTCATACTGGATCCAAGACTTGAAGCTGATCTTATTTTTTTTTTCTTCGATGAAAACAATTAGGTGTGAATGAAAACACCCAGGCTGTCTATAATCGTTTGGTTCAGGATGTCTTGCACAACTGGCACGGACGCCTCTGGCACAATGCCTACAAGGATGCCAAGTTTGATTCCTATGGAGGCAAGGTGTTCAAGGAGGATGTCCGCGAGTACCCAGCTATCCAAGGACCTGCCAAGTTGTTCCAGAGCGTGGACACGATCGCCTATTTCAACTACTTGTAAGTCCCTCATCCACTGTAGTCCCCTTGATTAAGAATGTTGTACGGTTGAGTTTTTTTTCCTTTGTTGAATAATCACTAACCAAGGAACATAATCTAATAGGACCACACTCCCCAAAGCGGCTATCAGCTCTATGGATGCTCAGCTGGAGCAGACTCGCTCGCTTGTTGCCCATCAGGCCCGTAGCTCGAAGCGCACCAACCGCGTTGCCGCGTCCTTGATCAACTTGATCGCCTCCATCTGCTTGGTAAGTGCCCCGATTGGGTAGAGAACATCACAAGAAGAAAAAGATGTTCGTGCGCTGACCTGTTTAATTGTTAATTTATTTCATTTTTCACCAATAGGTTTTGGATGTGATTGTTCAGGTTCACTCAGAGATTGACTTCTCTGCGCAACGCCAGGCTCTGGATTCGTTGGTTGCTACTCTCAGCACTACCACTCGCCAGGGCCATGCCTTTGAGGCCGATCTGTCGACCCTGTTGCAGTTCAACCAGAGCACTGTCTCGCTCAAGCCCTCCTCCGTCGGTCGCCATCTCGCCCTCTCGATCTCCCACCTGGTTCATTCTATTCAGTTCTACCAGATCATCGGTGACAACGAGATTCAGCTCCAGAGCCACCACGGCAAGGCCTGGGTTCACATCGGACTGACCTTCATGGCCCTCTATGTCCCCGACTACTCCTTGGATCCCACAGCCAAGCCCCGCCTCATGCTCCATGCCCTTCGTATGAAGCAAGAGGAACTCCAGTCTGAGATTAAGGTCCGTCAGGATATCGAGGCTTCCTTCACCGGATCGCAGGAGAACGTTGTTATTCTGGAGAAGATCAAGGAGTTAGCTCGCGTCGAGTACGAGATTGAGCACTTTGCGTTGGATGTTGCCCTTCGTCCCGCAAAGTCTCAGCTCGAGGAGTTGTTCAAGCAAGTTTGGCAAATTCAGAAGGCTGCCGTCAACGTTGATTCGATCTCTACTCTTCTGGAGAAGGTCGAGACCATCAAGGACGGCTCCCAGTTTGACCAAGAGAAGCTGTTCCAGGACATCACCCACGAGTTCATTCGTCGCAACGGCCAAAAGTTCCGTGCCTACCGCGATATTCTGCAGCCCTTGGTTGTCGCTGTCTACCAGGTCAAGTTTGGAGTCCGTCTCATTGCCTCCGCCAACGCCTTGGCCGATCATCAGGACCGCGATGCCTTGGAGTCCATTGTCACGTGCTTGGTTCGCGTCCCTGACTACCACGTCGAGAACTCGGACAAGATGGACTCGCTTCATGTCGTGACCCAGCCTGCAACCCTTGCGGTTGTCAAGCGCACCGTCTTCGACAAGGATGTCGTGTCGAAGCCCTGGTCGTTCTACCTCAAGTACCTCATCACTGCTCTTCAACATCAGCGTCGTGAAGTTGCTGCCACTGGTATCCTCAACAAGGCCTCCATCGATACCCTCGACAACCTCTTTGCCGAGGTCACTAATATTTGGACCAAGGGAGAGGAACATGCTGCAAAGATGGCGATTGAGCAAGAGTCGCTCTACAAGCAGCGTGTCAACAAGTACGAGGGAATGGATGATGATGCTATCGATGAGGCCACCTTCAAGGAGATGTTCCCCGATTTCGCCGACGACTTCAAGGCGCCGGACGAGAGCATGACCATTCCTGACGATGAGGCCAAGGAAGCTGCCGCCCCGGCGGTCGAAGAGAAGACTTTTGACGAGAAGGATGTCACCCTGATCGGAAAGCTTCACAAGACCGTCTTCAGCGGCGCCGAGCTCGACAGGTGCTCGGGCCAAGTCATGAACGCACAGGAGCGTCGCTCTCTCATCTGGGCCTGGTACAACCGTGCCTCCGAGTTGGCTGATGTCAGCGAGTGCGCCTTTGGACATCAACTGGATGCTGCCTCCCAGGGTGCTCACCTTCTCTCGAGTGCTTTGATGGAGGACTGGCTGACCGGCAAGGACAACAACTACTGGTCTTCGGAGCCCACCTACGATTTCTACAAGGATCAGCGTGTTGCCGAGGTCGTCAGAATCGTCCCTATTCTGCAGAAGCTCCGTAACCGCCTCGAGGGCATTCTCTCCGTTTGGTCTGAGCACGCCATCCTCGAGTCCCTGATCGAGTTCTGCGACAAGCTCCTCGTCTTCCCCATGGACTCGCCCGTGGCCAAGATTCTTGCTGGAATTGAGGTCCTTTTGCTCAAGACGGAAGACTGGCAGATCAACGCCAGTCGCGAATACTCTGTCCTGGAGAACCAAGACGAGCTCAAGGTCTTGATTATCTCCTGGAGACAACTGGAGCTGACATGTTGGCCCAAGCTGTTGGAGATCCAAGACAAGAACCAAGCAGAGAGCGTCTTCTCCTGGTGGTTCCACTTCTACGGTTCTATCGTCAAGCCTACCCGCGATATGGACCTTGCACTGGACGACGGCCACGAGGTCGATGTCTCTGCTCATGTCAAGGCTTTGTTGGGGGTCCTGGACCAGTTCCTTCAGGCATCCACAGTCGGAGACTTTTTGCCTCGCATGGATCTTTTGACGTCTTTCCATCGTCATCTCCAGATCCGTGGCGACCTCACTCTCGCCGAGCGTCGTCAGCGCCACAAGCAAGGTACTCTGGAGGTTGTTCACGATGCTGTCGCCTCCAAGGTTGCGGATGCCATCTGGAACGTTCACCAGTACTACATGCAGTTTACTGAGAATGTCGAGACCTATGTCGCGACTTTGAAGAAGCCCATCGAGAAGGAGATGAAGGAGCACGTCAAGATTGCCAGCTGGAAGGACACCAACATCCACGCTCTCAAGGCCAGTGCTCTCAAGACCCATCGCCGTCTCAACAAGTTGTTGCGAAAGTATAGAGACATCCTCAGGAAGCCCTTGACCGACATCATCAACGCCTACAAGTCGGAGACGCCTGTCGTTCACGCCAACAAGAAGGGACAGGTGTTCGAGATCATTCAGCCCAACACTGACATTTGGATCACCAAGACCAACATGTTGACCGATGTCCCCGAATCGGCCCGCAAGGTTTTGGAGAACTCTATTTCTCCCAGCACAAGCGAGACGCTCCTCAACTTGGCCACCACTTTTGGTCGTCTTAAGAAGATTGCCTCCAAGAGCATTGTTCTCCCCAGCTCCGACAGCGAACCCTTGGAAGAGCTTTGTGGCGACATTATCCAGCAGATTGAGGACTTCCAGAAGGACACCCCCTCCAAGATGACCGAGGAGAACAAGAGCCAGCTCAAGAACTTGAAGTCCATCCGCAAGCGTGCTTTGGTCGACTTGTTGAAGCTCTTGCAGAGACTCGGTCTGAACCGCCATCGCATGGTTCGCCTCGAGGAGGACCTTTTGGGATATGTCTTCCACCTGCCACCTACCGAGATCCAGGACATCGAGGCCCAGGCCAAATTGGACGACAACGTCATCCCTGCCAGCTCCCAAGTGGCCCAGCTCTGGAAGAAGTCTGACGATTACTTCTACAGGATCGTCGCCCGTATGATGCAGCTCCGTGCCCTCTCCCAGCAGCCTCCCAAGGATATCACTGTGGTTGAGGCCGAGAAGGGTCGCGGTTACACTGAGCATCTCGTCAACCTCGTTATTGAGCAACGCCAGGAGCTCCAGTCGATGAAGACCGCTATGGACACTATCCGTGGAGTCGCTGCCCAGTTTGAGGCCATCTTTGGCCTGCCCAAGGACAAGTCCGTCTCCCTCAATGGAAGCGGTGTACAGGGACTAATTCAGCACAAGGCCGCCTTGGATAAGCTCCTCGATGTCTTTGGCGACTCTTTGCTCGTCTTTGAGGCCGTTGTCCGCCACTCGACCTCGACGGTCCGTGGTCAGATGTTGACCCTGATGCAGTCTTCCTTTGCCAAGGCCAAGGCTCTCAAGCTCGCTTCCGATAAGATCATCGGTCAGTGGTTCCTTAACCCCCAGGTCGCTGGAGGTGTTTCCCCTATCCTCGCCAGCTCGACCCTCGAAGCCCTGTCCCAGAGCCTGGATGCTGTTCATGATATTGAGCAGACCTTGACGACCGTTTTGGAACAGATGCCCGAAACCCACTGCATCATTGCTCCTCTTCTCTGCCAGATTTCCGAGTCCTTCCCAAGCCAATGGTTGTTTGACCAGCCTGTTGAAGCCGAACTGACCTTGGAAGGCAACGAGCCTGTCCGCCAGCTCGTCCAGGAGATTAACGACGAAATTGATGGATGCCTGACCTTTGTTCTTTTGAGGGTTCAGGATCTGAGCAAGAAGGCCAAGGCCGCCGCCGCCGCCGCTGCTGCTGCCACTACTGCCGCCCCAGGTGCAGAGGATGCTACCGCCGAGAAGACTGAGGATGAGGACGACGAGAAGGACGAGTACGGCATGCCCGAAAAGTTCATCACGACCGAGAACAAGAAGTTCGTCGCCATGCACCGTGCCCTGAACATGGAGTCGATCATCCGCCGTACCCAGTCGATCAACCAAAAGATCCAGCAGTTGGTCCAGCACCATGCTCAGCACTCGGGCGCCCTTCGTCCCGAACACCGTGCCGCTGCCGAAGCCATGGTCACGTTGCGACTCCAAGAGCTCTACCCATTCATCCAGCAGTATCTGTTCCTGGCCCAACACCACCTCTTCCACTTTGTCCAGTACCACAAGACTATCAACAAGCTGACCTATGTCCTCTGCAACACCTTCTCGATCCTCTTCAGCAAGGGCTTCTGCATTCCAGAGATGGAGCAGGAGATGAAGGAGGGCGAGGAGGAGAGCAATGTTGCAGGCACTGGTATCGGCGATGGTGAGGGTGGAAAGGATGTCAGTGACGAGATTGAGGATGAAGAACAGGTCCTTGGTACTCAGAACGACAAGAAGCAGGACGAGGATGATAAGAAGGAGACCGAGGAAGAAGACAAGGGTATCGAGATGGAGAACGACTTTGAAGGCAACATGGAGGATGTCGAGCCCAGTTCTGATCAGGATGACGATGATGAGGACGAGGATGAAGAAGACAAGGAGGATCCTGATGAGGCCATTGGCGATGTCGACGACGATAACCCCGAGGCCATCGATGAAAAGATGTGGGGAGACGATGAGGCCGAGGACGCGCGCGATAACGACAAGATGATTGACGAGGACAAGTCTACGGAGAACAACGAACAAGAGTCGGATATGGTTGCCAAGGACGAGGAAGACTCGGGCAAGAAAGACGACAAGAAGAAAAACAAGAAGGAGGAGAAGAAGGAGCAAGGCAAGGATGACGAGCAGGCTGAGGCTCAGGAGGGTGGCGACGAAGAAAATAACGACGAGGCACCCCAGGAGGACGACGATGCTGAGGAAGAGGAGTTCGAGGATCACAACGATGAGGAATCCGCCGAGCACAAACCCGACGACCAACAGCAAGTCGAGATTCCCGAGGCCGAGACTCTGGAATTACCTGACGACCTGAACCTTGACGGAGACGAAAAGGAGGGTGACGATGGCGATGATGAGGGTCCAGATGATGAGCCCTTCCAGGACCAGATGGACGTTGAAGAACAGTCGTCGAAGGACAAGAAGGAGGATGGAGGTGACGATGAAGAGGATGATGAGGAAGCCGAGAAGGAGGGTCAAGAGACCGCTTCTGGCGAGAAGCCTGAGGATGAGGAGATGGAGGGTCCAGAAGATGAGGACTCTGAGATGGCCGAGCCACCAGTTACTGGCGACGAGGAGAAGGAAGGCGAGGAGAAGGAGGAGGAAGAGGATGATGAGGAATCTCGCGACGACTCTCGCCAGCGCCCCAACGAGGAGGCTCGATCGAAGATGGAGGAGAACAAGCAGGAAGAGGACGAGGACGAGGAGGAGGAGGACGACGTCAAGGCTTCTGAGCAGGAAGAACAGCCTGATCAGGATGCTGAGGCGAAGCAGGAGTTTGGTGTCGAAGGCGAGCAGGGCAAGGCGAACTCGAGCGAAAACCCCAAGGCTGAGGACGAAAGCCAGCGTTCCATGGAGAGTGCCCCAACTTCGTCCAAGTCAGACCCCAACATGGACGATCAGCAGGATCAGCAGAACAAGCCCCAGGAACGTGGCGACGATTCGCAGAAGGAGAGCCGGCCCTCGAATGAAGACAACAACGAGAAGCCCAAGAAGCGGGAGACCAACCCTCATCGATCCTTGGCCGAGGCTCTCAAGAACTGGAAGCAGAAGTTGCAGGATCTGACTGACCCCGATGAGGAGGAAGAGGCGGATGAGGAGAAGCCCGCAGAAGAAAAGTCGAACGATGAGGAGCAGAAGGAAGGAGAGGAGATGGAGGTCGATGAGGACCAAGCATTCGAATACCTCCAGAACGACGACGAGGCTCACGATATGGAGACCATGGGCAACGCCAACGAGCAGCAGATGCAAGATCGCAACAAGGATCTGGCTGCCATTGACGAGGAGCAGACGAAGGAGGACGAGAAGGACGACAAAGTTGCAGACATGGATGTCGATCCTCAGGAGGAAGACGTCAACATGGATGAGGGTCCCGAAGACCAGAAGCCTAAGGTCGATGAGGAGGCGATGGAGGAGGCCAAGCCCGAGAACTCAGCCGGCGCATTCTTCTCTCAACGCATGGACAAGCGCAAGGAGAACAAGGACGATGCAGAGGATGAGAACGACGAGATGAAGCGTGATAAGGACCGTATGTCTGACGCCCACGAGCCGCTCAAGCCCGAGGAAATCGAGCAGTTGCGCCAACAATTGGAGGTGTCGCTCGGCGACTGGCGTTCGACCGGCAGGGATCCCAAGGACGCACAGGCTCTCTGGCAAAAGTACGACAACCTCACTCAGGACCTCGCCCTCGGTCTTTGCGAGCAGCTGCGTTTGATTCTGGAGCCCACTCAGGCAACCAAGCTGAAGGGAGACTACCGTACCGGAAAGCGCCTGAACATGAAGAAGATCATTCCCTACATTGCGTCTCAGTTCAAGAAGGACAAGATCTGGCTCCGCCGCACCAAGCCCTCCAAGCGCCAGTACCAGGTCATGATCGCCATCGATGACTCGACGTCCATGTCGGAGTCTCACTCTGTCCAGCTTGCCTATGAGGCCCTTGCTTTGATCTCAAAGGCGCTCTCCCAGCTTGAGGTCGGTGAGATCGGTATCATGTCCTTTGGAGAGCGTGTTGACCTTCTTCACCCGTTCGACCAACCCTTCACCGGTGAGGCAGGAGCCAAGGTCCTGCAGCGGTTCGGATTCGACCAGTCCAAGACCAAAGTCAAGGATATGATGGAGTCGTCTATTGCGCTTTTGCAGCATGCCAAGATGAACCAGTCTGGAGCATCTCGGTCGCAGGAGTTGTGGCAGCTGCAGATCATTATCTCGGACGGTATCTGCGAGAGCCACGAGACATTGAAGGCATTGGTCCGCCAGGCTGCAGAGCAGCAGATCATGCTGATCTTTATCATCCTCGACAACAAGCCCGAGAAGGAGTCGATCATGAAGATGACGACTGCCAGCTTCACGTCGGTGAATGGCATGCCCAAGTTGTCGCTGAACCCTTACCTCGAGACGTTCCCCTTCGACTACTACGTCGTCCTGCAGAACATCAACAGTCTGCCCGAGACCCTTGCTGATGCCCTTCGTCAGTACTTTAGCTTCATCTCGTCTTAAGTCTTTTAATCACACAACAACACACACCTTTAATACTTTTGTGCCTGAATCGCAATAATACATCAATAATTCAATAATTAATCCACCATGTCTTTGTTCATTTGTGCACGGACGGGATAGAAGGAAGGAAGGAGTGAACAAAAAAAAAGCCACCCAGCGAACACCGCCTTTTACTTCCATTGTTGCAGCCGAACAGCCCTTCCTCATCTCCACCTACTTTTTCTACAGGAATCACATTCACCCTCAGGCATCTCTCTTTCTGACGACACACAGGATACCTTCCATCTGGACTCGTTATTATATTCCTGCGCGTGCAACCCAACATGCTGCCATGGCGTCCACTTGGGATGCTGATTTTCGGTCTAACCATCATATTCCTTTTTGTGCGACTCCACGGTGACGGATATGATTTCCCCGTCCAGGTCGCCCAATGCGACAGGAAACTCGAGCAACAACCCAAACCAAGTCGTACATTCTTGGAGATTTCGGGGGTTTATCATGACCAGTTCTGGGATTGGCCCAAGGAACAGGACCAGGATGGGTCGATCCCTATTCACCTCCCTCCTTCGTCTGTCTCTGTTGCGGCGGCATCTTCGCACGCGTCGTCGGCGGAGAATGGAAATAATCATTCGCAACAACAGGGACAGCAAGGACAGGAGGAGCAGAGGGGACAGCAAGGGCAAGGAATCAAGTTTGGAGCTGGTTGGAACTCTCAATGGCATCTTGGAAAAAAGAAGTTGCCCGCAGATCGACAGGCTGAGGAGGCCCAGGAGGTGGAAGTTGACCAACTATATCAAAATGAGCAAGGAGCTGGGCAGGATGCCTATGTGGACTCTGAGCAGTGGATTTGGATGACCAATGTTTGGCTGGAGGACAGTGACTCTGGATCAGGTGAGGACATGCACAATGCTTAAAAGGGCGCAGCTGCTGGACATTTTTCTTTGGAAGAAGTGCTCATTCAAGTCGACAAACCATGCGATATATTTCTAGGCTACCTTCGGCAGTATCGACGTCGGTTGGATCACGTCATGGAAAGCGATGATACTAAGTGTAAGTTTCCCTGCCCACTTTGTTGTTACGCAATGGAATGGAGGAGAGCCGTATATATTAACGCCATTCGCGTGATACTACTTGTTGCGTGTCTCATCACTTAGCATGGGAGTTGATGTACACACACCGGTTCCCAGGAGTTATCACGCACACATCACTATCAAAGCGCGTCTTTCCAGAGACGGCAACAGGATCTAACGAGAAATCTCAGGATGACCAGCAACAGCACCCAACGGATGACTCACCACCACCGTCAGTGCCGCGTGGTCGTGAAGTGACCCGGTTGGCGATTGTGTACAGAGTTGTGCAGGAGGAGCATGTCTCCTATCACACGCGTGTATATCATTTCGGAGTCTTTCAGCACCAAGCTGAGCTCGGAGGTAACTCTTGATACAATTCCCGGATGAAGGGACTCATTAGAGCAAGGAGTCATGCTATTCAAAAGCACGCTTGTTAACGTGCACTTTTGGTGTGGTTTTATTTTCCCATGATAGTTTGCGAACCGCTCACAACGGCAACTTGTCACACACACGCGCCGTTCCTGAACTTTGACTATGTCCTCCCAGGTTCCGCGCCGATCAAAGACTTTAGTCTTGAGCATGATATGATTTACTACTCGAGGTAAAGTATTTGTTCATTTACTCGGCCAAAAGGTTTTCAGTAGAGGTATGTTGCGGACATAACGAGATATGCATACTAACGCGTCTTTCGTCATGTTGTAACCTTGAAAAATATGAACAGGTTGTTCGACACGAACGAATTTCGGAGATTGAAACTCCCACGACTTCAGGAAGGCGCAACAACACCCGAGCGTCCATTTACCCTGACTGCTGGCACTCCAGGACCAGTCATGGGTACATGTTGCTCCTGGGCGGGGGAAAGAATGACGGTATTGTCAGGAGACAAGCGAGTTTACTAATGGCAATGTTGTACTCCTTGTATTACATGTGTTTTCTAGCCAACAAGGAAAAGAAGACTGTGCAATACCGACAGAGTTTCTTGGCCAAGGTACCCTCCGTTACTGGAAGGTATGTTTCAAAGTTGTTACCTGTTGTTGCTCATGCATAGTCAGAAATAATGAGGGGTTGGTTTAGTTGCATGTTATGGTACAATCTCAAGGAGGTCTGCTGGATATAGCTATGAAGACGCGAACATCAAGGTATAATAAAGAGCTAATTAATTGACCGACTCTCTCCTTCTTCTCATATGTGAATCTCCGTTGGGCATGATTTGTTTTTATTACGTTCGTTATTATCCTGTGCAGGGATCCACAAGTCCTGGTTGGTCAAGTGAACGTGTACCAACTCCAATGGAAGTACCAGACGTCGATCGCAACTGAAACCACAGAGGCCATGACTGGACACAAGAGATGGCACTCTGATACCGAACGGGTAAATGCAATGAAAAATATGCGCCTGGGAGGGGAGGTTTTTTTTGGCGCATGTGTGCGTTGTATGCCTCCGTATCATTAGAAAGAAAAGCGCAATGACATTCACACGCTCGATCTCTCGTCATACACTTATCAGATATACCCATTCAGGCTCCCATATCAAGAGAACGACTTCAACGACGAGACAACCAACTATGGAACACCCGTCCAGAAACTGTACCTCAGTAAGTCTACGTGCCAGCCCCCCCGGCATTTGTTTTCGATGGGGCTGTGTGTTGTTGTGATTTAGCTCGCAACTGCACAAAGTACCATAGGTATTGACACTCACTAAACGCTTGTTTCTGATACTCTCGTGTTTTTCTTTCAGTTAGATCGCCTGACGGATCATCTATTCACATCCCGATCGCAAATTCGGTGGCGAGTTTCGAAATAGATCGACCTGCACAAGCGCCTTCTCAGCACCAACGAGAACGCAGCGACCCCAGGAAAGGAAACCAGTTTGGTGGATCTCAGGACACGGACAGGTCTTCGTCTTCGTCATCATCGCCACCACCACCGCCGCCCGATGCCCAACCTCAGCGATTGGCTCCTGGAGGAGCAAGCTACTTTAACCCCCAGCATCAGCAACAGCACGAATCCACTTATTCACAGCATATTTCAACAGGAGAACGTTTCCGCTCAAAAGGCGCGCCAAAATCGAGGCACTGGATTATTAGCAAAATTGATGTTGGAGCTTTGGATACGATCAATACCGAGTTGGGCACTGTGAGTGATACCAACGACATCTTGGCTCTCAAGACTACTGTAAGTCCTCTCTTCTGCTTGTTTTTCCTCTGTTGTGTTCAAACTATGGTTTTGTGTGTTTTCTCGCGTGTTGTGTGGGGAATTCCTATTCACAGTTTGCCTTATACTCTCTTTTTGAAACTAGTTGAACGGGATTGTTGTTTTGCGACGTGGACTGGTTATCTTTCCATGGGGTTACGAGTACTCATCGTGGCGCCTATCGATGATCATGAGCGGCTACAATCCAGATGACGGCGATACCAAAGCGTGGGTAAGGACTCTCATTCATGAATGGCTCCCATGGGCGAAGCATAGGTTACCTCATATTAAATGGACAACGACTTTTCATGTTTTGTTTGTAGGAGGTACTTGCTATGAAGATCGTCACCATGCCTGCGCTACCCCCAGCACCGGCGAAAGGGTCCAGGTCAGATGCACAGTCAGGACAACAAGAGACTGTGAACGCCGAGAGTGACAAGGAGAAGGGCGATCTTGACGCGACGGCGACAAATGCCGAACCTGACCACAATGTGGCCTCTCCAGGCTTCCGCAACATCCTCCGTAAGTTGTCCTCACTCTCTGTCCTGATCTCAAAGTATACCTTTATAGCGCTATGAGATACAACAAACTAACACTCTCTTTTTTCACCTTTCGATTCTAGTAATGGTATTTGGAGATGGCAGGGTCGCGGGATATGACTTGGACCAGGCCACAGAGTTGTCGTCTGCTGTAGAATTCCTCCGGGAAAAGTACCCTGCAGTCATTGGTACGTGCCGTCTTTTTTTTTTGTCTTCCACGTCTTCTTTTTCTCAGGGAGCTAGCCAAAAAAAAAAAAAAAAAAAAAACTTCCACGATCAGCTGTTGTGTGTGCATGTGGAAATGAGTGCGAATCCACAACCCATTTGGATTGACCTTGTTTTCTCACGCCGACATTTTTCTAACCTTTTCTATGTTTTCTCTTCTTTGAACGATGTGTAGGGATGCTGGTGGTGGTCGCTACTTTTGTGATCAACGAGGCGCGGTACGCTATCGCACGTCCTTTGTAAGAAGGGGGTCTATCATCAAATGAAAATATAACGTCCTTGGTCTTTCTTGTTTCTTTTTTGCGACCAGGTATTAAAAACAATCGTAAACGGATGGAAATGTCGCTGTTACCCCCCTGTCCTATTTTCATTTTAGTCTTCTGCCTTGGCACAAACCGAAGAGAGGTAGTTGGGAGGGGTTGTGCGCTTCTGGTACGTGCGGATGGATGTCTTTTGGTGAATTGGGAGAGGGGAGGGGTGGGGGGAGGAAAGAGTAGCAAAGGGAGGCGGGATATGGTCGCACAGCCTCCTGAATTCCCCAGTCATCTTTCGGTTGGTCGGTCCGTCGTCTGTCTCGACGAGAGATAAACAAAAAAAAAAATGCATGAACTTCCGACACATGATCAAACAACAAAAAATAACAAAACAACAACAATGCCCTTCGAAGGAAAGGAAAAGTGAGGGAAGAAGGAGGGGCATGTTTCTTATCCACTGCTAACAGACCGAACCAGCCAGGGCTATCTTTGAAGATATGAACATGAGTATGGGGGGAAAAAAATGTACTTTTGGTCGTTGTTTTGCTCTCTTGGATCGATGGAGACAATTAGTCATGGTCCAAATCCAAACAACGGACAGATAGACAGAACGAGTAGGGAGTGAGAACTTTTCTTTCTTGTATCGTTTTCTTTTCGCTCTTCGGACTACTCGCGTTGTATTCCTTGTTTGTATCGTTGGAGAAAGAGAAAAAAAGCTAAGGCCTTAATGCTCTTTGTCTCTATTCTGCAGCAACCCACAAACGGTGGATAGAGGAGTGGAGGAAAAGGAAGGACAGAAAGAAAGGAGGAGAGGCTCGAATGTGAACGATTAATCTGACCATGTTAAATCAACCGCTTTCGGATATGAAATTGTTGGCTCCGCGTCTTTGCTCTTCTCTTTGGGGCTTACTGCCTTTTCTTTCCTCGTCCTTTTGAGAGTCTACATGACCCGACCGGCCTTTTTTTCTTGACTCCTTTCCTTGTCGTATAATATTTTGCTTGCGCGCCTTACCCTGGCCCCGTAGTATCTTCTATCCCTTCGACAAATGATCTCGTAACTGCCCCGAGCTAAAAAAAAAAAAAAAAAAAAAAAGCTAAGGCTCGTGGAAATGAAAGATGAGTTCTAGGCTTCTCATTCACTTGACCACTGTTGTTGATTGTAGAAGATAACATGCTGTTACCATTTAGCTTCGCCCTAATTGGGTGTAAAACAAAAGACCCGCCATATGTCGTCCCTCTGTCTCTGCCATAACCCTTTAGGGAAACCAACAATAAACGAAAGGAGGATAGATAATTCACCTTGTTGACATTGGACTTGCTGCAACTTTGTACAACCCGCCTGATCAAAAAAAACACACACGTACCACTCATTGTATGTACTGTACCTTTCCCTTTCCTTCCCATCCCTGTGTCCCTGGCATTGTTGCTAGTCGCTTAAAACCATGTTCATTCGTCTTCATATCACCATATTTTCTCTCGTGTGCGAACCGAGGCGAGAAAAAGTCCAGACCAACTAGTCGATAGACTCCACACTTGTGAAGGTTGAACACAAGAAGACGACCACATTAATGGATTCTATTCATGCACTAGAGGAAAAGGCTCAAGACGAAAAAAAAAAAGATGTGACGCGATAGTAAAACCATCAGAGAGTCGGGCGCGTAGGTCAGCAGCGACACAAAGAGAAAAAGAAAAACAGAAAAAATACCTGAATTGACTGACACAAGAGTAAACGACTTGTTGCTGTTGTTTTTAGCTTCGGTGGAGGTTTATCCCCACTGTGGGCGAAAAGGAGGGAGGATTTCCCCTCTCTGACCAATGGTCGTCAGTTACACGAGCTTGACCAAAAAGCAAAAAAAAGTCAGTGCTTGCTTGAGGTTCGCTCCTCCCCACCCCTAGCCAATGTCTGTGTCCCATTCATTTTGAGCGCTTTTGCATGTTTATTCATAGGGGCAAAAGGACAGGGACAGGGGCCAACTTGAAAGTCAATTGCATGTCCTTTTTTGTGGATATATGAACTGCGGGAGAGTCTGAGCAAAGCAGCGGCAGAAAATAAAAAAGAACACGAGCAAAAAGGTCTGGGCGCTTGTGAAAGTCCGCCAGCATACAAGGAGATAAAGAAGAAAGAATAGAATACACAATTGGATAGAACCAGAACAACACGACAAAGACGAAAATGGCTACGCTTCCATTTTCGGTGAGCACTTTGCGAAAGCTTTTTGTTTTGGTTATGAGTGAGGTCGGGGAGATTATTCCTTCTATCTGAGCAAAAGCAGCATCTATTGCCTTGAATGCAGCGAGCGACAAACTAACCAACCAACCGACGGTGGATGAAAGGAAGAGGGAAGGTGGTATGGCCTTCATTCAAGCAAAAGAAGGCAGAGGAAAAAAAGACATATGTCTGATCTCAAACCCTGTACGAGAGCCCGCATCATGTGTCCAAGGCGCTTTTGAAAAACACGACATCAACAAACAGGAGAGAGGCAAACAACGCCCGCTTGTCCATTGATGTGAGGGGGGTCATGAAAAAGGTTGCTCGAGTAAAAGGTGAGAGCACTGATGCATGGGGTAAGGTGGAAGGCGGGCTTTGGCTTACACTCTCAGGGGACCATTCTGGGCCAAGGGCATCCCCCCACTATTGTGTGATGCACAGCAGCCAAACTGGGATTTTCCGACAAGCGGCGGTCAGGGCAGATTAAAGAACTTCACGTCGTAAAGCGGTCAAGGCGCTTCGTGCGTGTGTGTGTGCGCAAGTGCTTGTTTGTATGTAGTATGCCTCCAGGAAAGTCGTTTCAAAAGGTAGGTTAGAAATGAAAAGGAGAGGGGCATCTACATGGGTGGATAATGAACTCATCCCCAACAGCATGTCCATCTTCCATTCATCTTCAAACACGATGCGCATAAAACAAGAAACAACAACGATGAACCGTTGAAGTACTCTGACCATGGTCTGGGGGAAGCCAGGGGTAGAGACAAGGGCAGAAGGAAACACACACGTGCACACAGAAAAGGAAGAAGTTATTGCAGGAACAAAAACCACCTCGGGTTGGGCAAGACAGGGCAAGACAGGGTACAGCACAAGGTAAGGATGTCGACGTGGCAGTTCCCATGAAAAAAATATTTCATTTCTGCATCCATCTCTCTCTTCTCTTCTCGTCTCTGTCTGCATCTCGAAAAAAAATAGGGGGTGAAAGCAGAAGAGAGTAGTTTTGTCTTGGCTGTTGGACGTCCGCTCGAGCCAGCTCCAGCCCTGCCCTCCATCCTGCGAACCTCACTTTCTCGATTCATTTGTTCTGTTTTTATTTTCATGGCGCAATTTGCGGTGAAGAGAGAGGAAAATGAAGGCGAGGAAATAGAATCCAAGAGACGTCCTAGACCCATCTCGGTCGCTTCTATCCACGAGTTTATTGTTTCATGAAACCAACCGTTTGATAGAAGTATCATTACCTCCCCTTCATCCCAAATCCTTGGCTGGCTTGTCATTCGTGCCTCCTCTCCCCTTGTCCGTGTAATTCATCCCCTGGACCACTCATCTCTCTGTTGACTTGTCTATCCTCTTTCGCCATGGCCCACGCGCAATGAACGCATAGAAGAATTTCATCACGAAAGTGAGAGAATCGTTGCGAGAAAAAAGACAGTAAAAAGGTCGGAGTTGAAGAGTTTCGAACGTTGGCGTTGTTGTTTTTTGAGATGAAAGGGGAGGGCATTCTAGGATTTTGGGCGGATGATCGGTACCACACAGACATGCATACAAAGCACTCGTTGTTAGAGTGCGGGTGTTTGATGAAAGGAAGGGCTATTCAACATATATATTCACATAGAACGATGAGTTGCGTGTATGTGTCTGTGTGTGTGTGTGTGAAGGGAAGACAAAGAGATTGAGAGAGGCGAAGTGAGAGAGGGCGTCAGCTGAACGGTGCTTGTTGACTCGGTAGATGCGCCAAAAGGGTAATAATTGATTGTGCCAACAACAACGGCATGAACCATGAAGGCGAGGTGAATTTCAATATCACCAAAAAGGGAAAGATGCACTTAAGTGGTTATTTGCAACAACGTCTGGATGTGGACAGAAAAAGCACCAGCAACAGCAACAGCAACAATCAAACAACAAAAGAGCCGCAGGAACAAGCCGCACCCTGAGTGGCAGCATGAAGGACATAGGAGAGACAAGTGGCCTCAAAACTAGAAGGTCAAGTTGGTGCAACCGTCAAAGGAAAAAATATAACAAAAGTGAGGGAGGGAAGGATGGAGGTGTCGGGTAGAGTTCAACGCATGAGCAAACGGGCATTAGATTACACTAGCGCTTTCATTTTTTTTTTCTTTTCATACTTTCTTTATTCTGTCCACACTTGTAATGCATGAAAAAGCATTAAGAACAGATAGAGTGAGCACGATGCAAGCAAGAGTGCTAAAAGGAAAGACCTAGACGGTTGACGGTAGTGGTGAATGGATGATGATGATGACTATGACAACGATGATGAAGAGTAGCTGCTTGTCTGTCGGGTATGATAACGGTCTCGTTCGTTTGTCTGTTTGTCCAGTGTGCAATTAAAAAAAAAATTCACAATGGATAAGGAATAGTAGCTTATCAAGCACTGGCTTCAAGGACGTGGAGGAAGGAGTGGTGAAGGAAGTATAGTATCACTGTTCGTTTTTTATAGGCATATGCCTCCGTGATTATTATTTTCCTTTATGCTTCTTCGTTCTTGACCCACAGACACCTAAAGGACAAAGCATCGCCAAGGGAAGAAAAATGACCGTTACCCGTCGTTCGTTTGTTTTATTATTTCCCACTCCGCAATGAACAATTGCTTTGGCTTTTGTTCTCTTCGATAATTCTATACATCCCAGAAGAAACGCGCGGCATTGGGTGCTATTCTTGAACCCTCATCCGCTTGTAAGTAAAGGAAGGAATGAATGATAAAAGAACAAGGATGAACAGAAGTGGACAGCGCGAGACAGAGCCACTTGTTCATTGGACGTGGCAAATTAGACAGACAAAGTGTGCTCATCTCTAAACCTCTATGAGTCCCCACCTCCCCCTTCTTTCTTTTCATGACCCATCGTTACGTCTGCTTCATGGTGTCTGCTTTCTGCTTCCCCCTAATCTCGTTTTAGACAATTTACTCTTGCAACTCTTTACTCGCTCTAGCTCGTATCTCATTTCGCGCTCCTTTCTCGCGCGCGAATTGTTGAACGTTTCCTATCTACCCAAGAGTCGGTCGAATAAGGAGGCCAGCCTTTGCTGCTTTTTGTTGCTTGAGCGAATGTGGATGGTTTGGAAAAAAAACGTATTCTTTTGGCTTGTGGGCGGTGTGTTCAGTCTAGTTCAGTCCAATCCAGCCCCAGTAGTCGTGTTGTGATGAAGGCACAAAACGAATGAACAAACGAGCAACAAAACTGTTTCGATTTTCAACCCCTTTGTTTGTAGTCTCCCGAGGTTGTTGTTTTTCATACAACCTGTTGGCTTTCTTTTGGCTTTTGCATTTCGTTGGTTCTTCTTTGATCACATTTCGAACGTAGTTTCTGTATATACCTTTTGACGATAATGAAGCAATTAAGAGAGTAGGCCAAGTGAGCAGGTAGATAGAAAAGGTGGAAAAAAAAGATAGATGGATAGGCAGGGGATGTCGCTTTCTATCTTGGTTTTTTTGTTCTCCTCTGCTCAATTGTCATGGTTGAAGCGCCGCGTAGTTTGCAGCCTTTACCACACAACAATAGCGACACCCCTGCTGATGCCATCTTTTTTTCTTGTGTTCTTGGTTGAGTTGACAAGGCAGGGTATGATGAGAGAGCAAGAGGGGACATGAGTTGGGCAAGAGCCAAGTAACTGAATCTTTCGAATCGATTCATTCGAATGTAGAAAATAGATAACATTACAGAGAGGCGAGAGAGGGATTAGAAAGGGGATGGCATTCACGAATACCAACAAGACAGACAACAAGGACGATAGCAACCAAGTTAGTTGGTCGCAATAACAACAGAGAGGGATGTCGACTCATCTTTTGTTGTTGATGTGTATTTGCTTGCTCTTTTCATCATACTCTCCCATATTCCTCACCATAACACACCCCCTGTTCTTCTCTCTCACTCGTTAACTCATCCGCTTGTCCACTCCTCTCCCAATCCATCCTTACTTTTTTTCCCCCCCTGGACTTTTCTTTGTTGATTTTTTTGCTCTTGTTTTTCCTTGAATTATGAACGATGAAGGCAATTGAATAGCACAAAGTACTCTATAGTTTTTGTCTTTTCTCCCTTTGTCCTCCCCCTTTGACCACTCTCCATCCTTCCCGTTCCATACAAACAAACAACAAAAAATAACGCCCACACATTGGAGAGACAGAGAGAAAGAACAGGCCCAAAAAGGGATCAAGGCATCGATTACACACATACACACACACTGGCGCATTAACTCACTCGGTTACTCGTTGCCTCGTCCCCCGTCCGTCGTGTTCCTTCGGACTATTTTTTGCCTTTCAGTCGTCCACTTCATTCGTTCATTCATTCGTTCATTCAGTCGCTCACGGCGCTCACTTTCTCGTTTTCCTTTAAATGCAGGCCCTATCCACTTTCTTTTTCTTCCTCTATTCCACCTCAACCGCTATTTTCTTCACTTCTCTGTTCTCCAAACCCAGCTCACTTGTTCACTCTCACACTTGTTCACTTTCTTCATCCTCAATTACACCTTTTTTTTCAACCGTCTCTTCGCCTTCCTTACTCTTCTCAACGAAGAGCATCTATCTTTTGACAACCTTTCCTTGAAGACAGGTAACAAAACATTATCTGTGCATCTCCTTCACTCCCTTGCCTTCCTTCCTTCCCTCAAGTCCACTGGACGCACGACCCTTTTCATTTATTACACATTGTCTTCGGTCCGTGCTGGTGACCCCAAGCGGAGCTTTATTCTCCTCCACTTCACACGGTGGACGCCAGTTCCTTCTCTTCCTCCCACGGCACCCCTGCATTTTTGTCTCCTTGGGCTTGGCTTGAGCTGAATTTCAACAGCTCAGCTGGCTTTGCGTAGACCCTTTATTCTGTGCACGTCGAGATGAACTAGGGTCATGGCACAATTCTCTTCCTCCAGCTGCGTCTGTGGGCAATTGAACTCCTACGATGAGAGCTGAGGCCTTCCAAAAACAACCCCCGAGCATGAACAAACCGTTGTGCATGACAACAGTTCCTCCCACCGCAGCGCCTCCTTCGTGTCGTGCGAATAGTAGAATAGCATCCCCCTTCCTTTCCCATCTTCCCTCTTTGCCCTCCCTTTTCCCTTCACTCCTCAAACAAATATCAATGGGCTGAACTATCTCGTCCCATCCGACCCTATTCTGCCAAGCGTCCCGAACAACCCTATCTCATTCTAGACCCTCCCTCCGCGCAACTCACCCTTCCTTGTCCCCAACTTCTTATTAACCTTTTTTTTACTCCTTGTTTGTCCTCTCTTACATTTTCTTCGCTCGTAGCTACACAGCGCTTCAACCAACACCCAGTTCGCTCAATTTCCCGTGTGCCAGATAGGCTTTCAACCATTACTTCCACCCTGGAGTACACGCCCAAGATGGACATTCTCGAATTAATCCATAGCGAGGGCCACCAACATGATTCGAGACCGTTCCGCTGCGCTTGGGACAACTGTGGCAAGGCTTTCTCGCGCCGCTCCGACCTTGCTCGCCATGGTCGCATCCACACCAACGAGAGGTAACAAAAAAACAAATGAGCTACCTGTGACCTGTAAACGTGTGCGTGTGAGAGTGCTGCGGATGAAGAGTGAACATGTGTTCTGACGCCTTTCGTCCAACATCTCTATTCAATAGACCATTTATCTGCCAAGAGCCTGGTTGCACAAAGTCCTTCATCCAGCGTTCAGCTCTGACTGTCCACCAGCGCACCCATTCTGGCGAGCGTCCCCATATGTGCGAGCAGCCCGACTGCCAGAAACGATTCAGTGACAGCAGCTCCCTGGCCCGCCATCGCCGCATCCATACCGGCAAGCGCCCTTACAAGTGCAGCATTGACGGCTGCGGTAAAAGGTAATGATTATGCCGTTCAATATATTTTTTCCCACCATATGACTTCATTCTCTCGTCTGTGTCTCCAATTTGCTTGATTTCTTTTCTGACGCCTCATTCACCCTGCCCCACTTTTAGTTTCTGCCGCAAGACTACCCTGACCAAGCACCACCGAAAAGAGCATGCCGTGATCCGGCGCCCTGCTCTCTGGCGCGGTGAAATGGGCGATGCACCACTCATGGATGGAAACATGGGTCACCCCCTCCACGTCCAGATCCCTCACTATCAAAACATGTCGCCTGTTCACACGCCACCCCATGAGGGCTCTCCCATGTCGCCTCTGTCGCCCTTGACTCCCATCACCCCAATGGCCCAAATGCACCTTTCGATGGACCCCCTCGCACACTTTCACCCTGTGCTTCAAATCGATCAGGCCCCCATGAAGGAGCACCCAGCTCACATGCACCACCAGCAGCAGCACCATCACCACAACCAGCACCCACATCACCAGCAACATCATCAGCACTCACACACTCAGTACATCAAACAAGAAGAGTTTGAGCAGTACCCCGGCCAGCTCCATGCGCGCCCGCACCTTCAGACGCAGCCCCTCGGCCCCAGCTATCAAAACTTTCTGAGCCATCTTGGCCCCAACTCCGAGCTGAACGCACCCGTCGAGCAATTCTACCCATCGTACTACTAAGTCTTGTCTATGGTTTCAAGTCCTTGTCCAGTTTATACCCCACCAGTGATGCCTTCTGTCTTGAATACTGGTCCACGCGGTTTCCTTGTTTCCTTTTTTTCTTGTTTACCTTTTCATCCTTCTCTCATCCACTCCTGGTCCAACTTGTATGTAATAACCCCGAAAACCCCCTGGACGTCCCAAGGAAGCGGATGACGAGAAGAGTCCTCTTGACAAGTTGCGACGCCTTGTACCTTTTCTGAGGGTCGGATTGTCTTGCTTCGAAAAATCTTAGTGTATATTTCTTTACTTTTCAGTGTATTTTTTTTTCTCCTTGACGGCAACGTATCTCTCGCAGCCAGCTAGCTTTTTTACTGTAATATCGCGGACCAATTCTTTGTACTCTATTCTACTTGCCCCCAAAAACATCCAAAAAAAAATAACAATCATTTCTCAATATGCATTTGTCCGCGGTTGTTTGGCTTCTTCATGTCTGTCTCTTGTACGGATTGATTAACGTGTTAACAGTCCTCCCCCTTGTAATTGACAAAAAGTTTGTCAATTAGATATCGAGATCTCGATGTGTGAATTTTGTGGTGGTTGACTCCTCGCTCTGATCCCTTTCTTCTCTTTCCTTCCCATCCAAACGGCCCACCTCCCACAACCCCCGCACACGAGCAAGAGAAGCACGGCAGGAACACCGACCACAGAAAGCAAACCTACCTTCCAGGCATCAAACGAATCAGCACAAACTGTACACAGCAACAAGTATGGATCAACCTAGCCTAGACGTTCATCATCAACAGAACAACCATCGATCTACAACCGACATCACCATGACTGAACGCGCCCACGAGCAGTTTGCCGACGCCACCACCACAGTAGCAGGAGCCACTACCGAATCGACTGACTCAGCACTTTTCAAAGATCCAGAGTCTAAAAAACTGCCAGGGTCCGGCCCGGTTTCCATCACCATGGATGTATATCATCAATTGCAACAAAAGCGCCTCCTCGAACGTCAACAACAGGAAAGTCTCAAGCAGCAGCAGCAACAACAACAGCCACAGTCACAGCAATCACAGGCACAGGATACGGCAAACTACTTTTCCCAAGACGGTCAGTCAGCGAATCCTTATGAGCAGCAACAAGGAAAGCAACCGTCGTTGGAGACTTTGGAACAAATCGTCAGCATTGTTCAGGCAACGACTCCAGCTTTGCCGATTGTTTCCACACAAACACACCTACTCCCGATGCCAGGGCCTGATTTAGCCAACATCATCTTTGGAACCACACCGGCGGCAGCAACAGCGTCAGTAGGAACCAACGCTGAATCAGATAATTTAGTCGGCTCTGCAAAAGCGGCGACAACTGCGACATCGAACGGACACTCTGGCACTGGAAGCAACAGCCACCAGCATAGGAAAGGAGCCGGAGGGGCCTCTGGATCTCAAACACAGTCTCAGTCGCAACAACCAAGGACGTCTTCACCACCCACTCCCGCCTCTGGATCATCTTCGGGAGCACAAAAGACTCCCGCTACCAAGGGACCCAAGGCGATCCATGCTATCGAGCTGATTCGCATCGCTGGCGAGATTTTGCAATTGTATGTCATATTTTTATTTTAATCGGCAAGCATGCACATGGATCAAATGCGAATGAAACAACCAAGTTGTCGAGGTGGCCTTTTATGCAACTTGAAACTGACAGGTTTCTCCCACCATCTCCTGCTTTTATTCTTCTGTGTAGCCCTCCTGCGACCATTGGAACTTCGCTAGTGTATTACCACAAATATCGCGCCTATTTACACCAGGCGTACAAACGAGGAGAGCGTGACAATGAGGCGTTCAGGGCGGACGAATATGTAAGGCGGCGCTACATTGTGGTTATTGCTGGACACTGACGGCGTGTACCATCCTTTGCTTCCGAGAATACTGCTGACATGGTTGTGCACTGTTTATTCTGGCGTGACATAGTTATTTGCGACGGCATGTTTGCACTTGGCTTGCAAATGCACAGAAGTGAGCAGGAAGGTCCGTGATCTTGTCAACGTCACCTACAGAGTCATGAACCCAGGACAGCCAGCGCTTTCACTCTCGACCAAAGTCAACGACAACAGTGGCTCATCATCGTCATCGCAACAACCACAACAACAGAACACCCACAGCATTGCACCGCCACCAACAGCGGCAACATATTGGCACATCCGCGATTCGCTATTGACGACAGAGTTGATGCTGCTCCGTATCCTTCAGTTCGATCTGGATGTTTCGCTTCCTTTCAGTGATGTCCTCCGGATATACAAAGGAATGGGAATGGTTTTCAGTCCGACAGATGAGGAGGCAGCCAACCTCTACCCTCACGCGTCCAACTTTGATGTCTTTTTGCCAGCAGCACAAAACCAACAACAACAGCCTTCTCATCCGTCGTCAATGTCGCCCAGCAAGCATGGAGCACCAGCACTGCCATCGTCTTCGTCAATAGCCTCAGCTATGTCAAACCCAACACCTCACACTGGAATTCACCCCACCCTCTCTGCATTGGTTCAAATTTCGACCACCTTTTGTATCGACGCCCTCTGCAATTCCAACATTGCGCTCCACTCTTCCAGCCGGGCATTGGCCATGGGATCGATTTATCTGGCTATTCGCTCAGCAGGACTGGATTTGCCACTCCCCTTTGAGGAGTGGTGCTACGCATGGGGCAGGCCCATGATTGCTACAGGATTCGGGATCCAAGTAGCGGGTACCTCTGGACCCGGGGGTGTCGGCATGGGCAACTCTGGTGTCGGAACCGGTGTGTCTGGTGTGAATGGGATCATGGGACTGACAAGTGGGACCAACAACCTGTTTGTGTCGAGTCCACGCCCGACGAGTGATTCGGCCTCGTATATGGAAGGATTGGAGCTTTCCAGCAGTCAGTCAGGTTCGGGCAACAGTAATGGCAACGGAGGAGGAGCAGGAGGAGCAACTGTCGGTGCAGGCGGTGCCAGTGGATCTAATGGCAATATTGGCCAAGATCCTGTGTATTCGCAAACACATTCGCCTCTCTTGAACAGCAACAACAACAACAACAACAATGCACAGTCTACATCATCTCCCTCAGTTCGCGCCTCGGTCGACAATCTACATGGGTCCCAGGATTCGGCTATCCCTCAGCAACCCATGACAATTGTTGACGAGGTTAGAAAGGTCGTGCATGAGCTTGGTAACTTCTACACGCACTAAAAAGGCAATCGCAAAAAAACAACAACATACCACCAACACCTAATAAACATCATTCGTCGCAAGACTTTAACAACCCCGGCATTCGCTCGGCCTTCGATACATTGCGTTATATATGCGAGCATGGTGCTGCAACAACAGCAGGTGTTGATTTTACGCTTCATTTTTATTTTTTTCATTGGTACGGAACGAGAGAGAAAACAACTTGGTTGACTACTTTTCCATAGAGATCCATTGTCCAAGACGATATGTACATCGGGGGTGTAGGAATTGCTGCAGTCCTTATTTACAAGGCAGCGAGGACGGCATCAGCGCCAGAGACAGAGACGCCAGGGCTAATTGAACGAATAGTAGAGAAAGAAATAGAGAGTCAGTCGCATGATCAACGAACAGAACGCATGTCAAAACACGGCCAACTGTAGGCGCGGTGGTGTTATTTTTTGGAAGGGGGTTTCCCTTGATACTTACCCAGTCTCGACACCGACGTAGGTGACCTTCAAGTCATCGGCAATGAGGGCGAAACGCAGGGAGCGAATGGTACCGAATCCGATCTTGGAGAGGTCTATTTGGTTATTTGTTGTTGTTTTTTTGCGTTATCGCGAAAGGCGAGAGCACAAGGGAAAAAATGTGTGAGTGTGTTTGTTTGTTTTCGCAAGTCAATTGGGGCTCACTTCGCGTTCTGGGTTGGAGAGCAGATCGAGTTGAGGAAGTAAAAAACAGTAAAAAAGAACGCAGTGGTGACACGTACCCTGGACGAGACCAGTGGCGTTGACGAACTCGCCGTTGCCGTCGGCAGCCAAGATGATCTTGTCGTTGGTCTTGGTCCACTTGCCCCAGGCATCCATGACGCTATTGCAATGAGTTCGCGAAGGGGAAGAAGGGAACAAGTTTGTTAGAGAGTGGAGACATCAATGACCTGGATTTATTCGTGGCTCTTAGCCCGCGTCTCCCTGTCTTATTTCCCCGTCCTCTCGCTTTTCTGTTCGGGGTATCAAGAGAGGAGAAAAGTGCGAAATGATCGCCGACTTTCGCAATAACAAAATCGCGAAAGTATCCGTTATGTATCGGATGGATCGCGCTGCGCAGGGATTGTAGCACAGGTGAGGCTGAGGGTGAGGCTGGGGTAGGCATATGCAGATCCAACAAGGTGACTTACAAGGCATCGGTGGTAGAGAGGCAAATAATCTGGTCAACACCCTTCTTGACGAACTCGTCGTACTTCTGATGGAATCTATTTGTTCAAATGGGGGACGTATGGCGCATTATCAATATCAGAGCGCTCTACGCATATTGCGAAAATTTTCCCATGGGCCATTTCTTCACTCATAAGGAAAACTAAAAGGGCCTTGCTCGTCGTCCAGGGAAACTTACTCGGGCAAGTGCTGGTTGTTGCAAGTGGGGGTGAAGGCTCCGGGGACACCGAAGATGACGACCTTCTTGCCCTTCAGGGAGCTGATGTCCAAGTTCTGGGGGATTCCGCAGGCGTGCTCCAACGAGGGGTCGTAGGGGCTATTTTGGGGAGTGATTGATCAATACGCGCGTCGTTGTGTCTGAATGTTAGTGTCAAGGGTATTTGTTTCGAGGATGTGCAGGAGGGCATTGGAGCGTTCTGGGTATAAGAGATGCGAAGTTGTTGTTTTTGGCGGGCACTTACCAGTACTTGAGGGTGACGGAGGGGAGGGTATCGCCGACTTTGATCTAGAGAGGATGGGTGCGAGTGGGTGAGTTAATAAGGAAGAAGATGTCTCCTGCAGGAGGTGGTAAAAGGACCCATGCATTGATTCGACTGCGTAGCATACCTGGGTCATTTTGTGGGTGTGGGGTTGTTGATTGATGGGATGTGGGTGTGGAGAGTTGAAGAAGAAAAAGAAGAGAGAAGGGGACAAGACAAGCAATTATTGTCTTCAGCCTGGCCAGGACCCTCTTCGACCATGAATGTGGTAACAGTCACATCTGTAAAACTTGCGACAGGGGAAGGCAAGAGCAGAGGGCCAGAACGCAAGAAAGCGGAGTATGAGAGCCGCTGTCAGCTTGCCTGTCTGGACTGACTGGGCAGGAAAGCCGCTTGTCCATCCTATGTCGATGACGGCACGCTTGAATTTGCTCCTTTTTATTACTTGCTTCTTCGACTCTCCCTCCACTCTTCTCTTCTTCCTCACACCTTATCGCCGCCACCACTGCCGCCACTCTTACACCCTTAAACCCTTTCACTCTCACACACGCTCCTTTTCCTACTTTCAACAACCCAGCACACCATCCACCTTACTTTAATCCTTCTCGCGCCTCAACAACAACCTCAACAACAGCAATCATTCACCCATGAGTTGGTAAGGGCTGTCAATACAATTCACTCTTCAACATACATCACAGACACGCCACGATGTAGAAGCGTCTACCAAGGAATAAAAACACTCCCATCCAACGGTTGGCAATGCCAACAGCAATGCACTCCATCTCGATATTTTCTCTCAACAGTAAAGAAACTCACTCTTCAACCGCTCTTCTTTCTTGTACCTTTGTTCATCAGGAAGGGACTTACCAAGGCGGTCTCTCGTCTGCCCCACACCTTGGGCACAAAAACCGGAATTCGCGATGGTATGCTGCCCTCCCACCTAGTTTGTTTTCGCTCTTTCGTTTTTCCACCTTTCCCTATGAACCCTTCTTACCCACCAGAATAACAACCAATTGTCCTCCCTCACCTCATACACAACCCCTCCACAACCACACCGCTTTTCTCTCTTTGCCACTCCTTACCTCCACTTGACCAGAAACGCTCAGCCCTTACATTTTCCTGCCACGCTTGGTCTTTTCTTATTGGCCCTGAATAGCTACAACCGATCATGAGTTCAAGGAGATGAATAACAGCTTCACTGCCTCCGAAAAGTCGACAGCCGTTCTGATCGCCGAGGTCTGCAAATACCGCGATAGTGTCACTGGTAAGAGAGTCTGCAAGAGACTGCAACGGCTTCATGTTGGCATGCCGAGACCTCCTCAATTATTTCTGGAGAGGCTGACGATTTGGCATGGCATGGCTGACCAAACCTTTTTTTTCATTTTTGTCCACTCTCACAGCCCTCCTGAACCATCAAGCCGAGTTTGGTATCATCCTTGAAGAGATCTACGACCCCTCCCTTGGCGTTCCCAGCGGCGAAGTGACCCCTCGTCGTGTCCAGACTGCCCCCGAATCTGTCCAGGCTGTCGATGACTTCCAGGCTGTTATGAGAGAAATTCGTGATCTTCTCCTTCCTGAAGTGGTACGGAGTTCTTTCTTTCTTTCTAGTTCTGCCTTGTCCCCGCCACGGCGCCATTTTGTTTTCATTGTTGTTCTCTGCGCAAAACGAAAGAAAATAGTGGAACATCGATTGAATTGATGTCACCGTTCCTGGAACTCAAAAGTGAGTCGGCCTATCTAATTCTCCGCCCGGTCGGCTGTTGTTTTATTTCATTTACCACTCTTTCAAACTTTAGGACAAGCTCGAGGTGACAGTCGTTAGACCCTTGACGGAAATGCAAACACTCATGAAGATGATCCGCAAGACCATGATCAAACGCGATCATAAGCTGGTTGATTATGACCGTTACAGGATCTCTTTGAAGAAGCTGCAGGATAAGAAGGACAGAAAGCTCAGCGACGAGAAGGAGATTTTCAAGGTACGAGTCTGGCGCAGCTTCAGGAAAGACAAGGGCTGTCCTCCTGTACTTGTGTCATTTGGGCGTTGTCTTCATCTTTCTAACTTTACGTTGATTTTTTTTCTACATCTAGTTGGAGTCTCAGCTGGAAGTGGCGACCGCTGATTACGAGGGCTTGAACAACTTGCTGAAGGAGGAGTTACCAGGATACTTCTGGCTGAGGACTCAATTGATGCAGCCTATTTTCCACTCCTTCTTCTACCTGCAGCTTCGCATCTACAACATTCTTCTGGATCGCATCGACCCCTTGTCCAAGAGCGGCTACTATGACTTATCGATGGATGTTCTCCAGGGATACCAAGCACGCAAAGACGACATCACCCCTACTCTCGAGTCTGTCGAAATCATCACCAAGCGTGCCGTCGCAACTCGTAAGGAGACTCATCTCAATCAATTGCTCTAAAACTTGAATGACAGCCTGCATGAAACTCCGATCCTAACCATTGACGCCTGCTTTTCTTGTGATATCAGCCTACCAAAGTAAGTATGGACGCCCTGGTCACGACACCAACCCTAATGAAAGTGCTCAAGGGACACCCAGACAATATGGACCACCGGCGGTTGGAGGAACAGGAAATTACTCACCTCCAGCGCCACCTGCCGCCAAGCCTTGGCAGAGCGCCACTGCGTCCAAGCCATGGCAGCAGCAGGCTGGCGGTTTGGCGGCCGCATCAGCCTCGCCTCCAGTTGCACCTAAAACATGGCAGTCAGCTGGAACTGGAAACGGAGCATCGCCCCCTCCTATCGCTGCAGCCAAGCCTTGGCAGACTGCCACCGCCCCAAAGCCATGGCAAGCAGCACGGGCGAACCAGGAGGCATCACCACCACCACCAGCCTACTCGTCACCCCAAGCGATTCCCGCAGCTGCCACGGCTCCAGCAGCAGCTCCAGCAGCTCGCGGCGGACCCAATGTTCATGTCCACCTCAGCCCATTCAGCACAGGCATCGCCGGAGCCGTGGCTGCAACAGCGGCGTCCGCAGCTTACCAACATGGAATGACGAATCTTGCTAACAAGAAGCCTCCACCACCGCCAGTTCCCAAGCGTTTGGGTGGTGTCAAGATGGTGGTTGCATTGTACGACTATGACGCTCAGCAGGATGGCGACTTGAGCTTTAGAAAGGACGACCGGATTGAGATTGTAGAGAAGACTGCAAGTGCTGAAGACTGGTGGACCGGAAAGTTGAATGGCAGGCAAGGAGTCTTCCCAGGTAAGCTTAGCGCTTGTGTTTATACAATGTGTTCTTATCTCGGCCATGGGCCCATCTTTATAGGATTTGTTTCTCACAAGCGACATTTCTTCTTCTTTGTAGGAAACTACGTCCAGGATATTTAGAGTGACCAAGTACGAGGGGAGGCGAGTCCTCGGATAACAAGTCTAGTTCAGAGACCATCGCTAATATGAATAATACCTTCTCAATGTTACGGGCTGGTTCCATACAAGAACTGTTAATGCTAGAAAATGTGAATCGGTCAATTGGTGGCAACTACGGTAGCTAAAAAGCCCGTCACCGTAAATACAGCTAAGCCACCTTTTTTTTTTTTTTTCTTGGAGCCTCGACCTTGAACGCCCAAGAGACAGTTACTTTTCCATTCGACCTAAAGCTCTCCTCTCATCCCCTTCATCACACAACAGAGTACAATGTAAAGACACACGCGACCTGCCAGGCATAAACGAATATACCTGTTAACATCCACTGCACTCTCCATTTGCGATACGATACTCAATTGGAACACCCCGACTTACTTTGCTCAACGCCATTCTTATTCTACTTTCCAAACCCCCTCAGGTCGAGGTTAATTATCAAGAACCTTCCCAAGCATCTCACGGACGAGCGGTTCCGTGAGCACTTTAGCTCTGTTGGAGAGGTCACCGATGCCAAGCTCATGAAAAGCTCGTACGTTGACAATCTTGCACGAACCGAATTGTGCCTGTGTCAGTGCCTTGTCTCGGTCAAAAGAATATATTTCTGACATGAATGTTTTCATTCTGTTTTGCTATGTCATACACAGGTTCGGAAACTCTAGACGTTTCGGATTCATCGGATACAAGACTGACAAGGATGCCAAGGCTGCGCTGGCGCATTTCAACAACACCTTCATTGATACGTCCAAGATCATTGTCGAGAAGGCCAAGGAGGTATATAACAGGATATTACAGCCAGTACCCGTGTTGCGAGGAAGCTTTTTGATGTGCCCCACATTACTGCCTTAGGTACTAATAACATGTGGTGAATCGATACACGTAATAGATTGGTGATGATTCGTTGCCAAGAGCCTGGAGTCAACACACTATCGGTACATCGGCACATGCACGGAAATTGGGCATTGAGCGTCAGAATCGGGAGGTTGCCGAGACAGCGATGAAGACAAGACGTGAGAACGAGGCTGACGCAGAGATGAGGAGGAAGAAGGAGCATCTTGCCAAGCTGTACCAGGCTGAGAATGACCCCAAGCTGAGAGAGTATCTGGAGGTGATGAAGCCTAGAGTCACTACCAAAACCTGGGCGAACGACGATGCTGTGGAGTTGAACACCGAAAAGGTTGGACATGGACGGGAGAACAACAGGACAAAGGCCAGAGCTCAGGTCGTGGCGCTGAAGAACAGGAAGCCTGGTGGAGAGGGAATGATGGTGACGCAGACAAAGATTACATTCGAGGACTCGGATGACGAACTCTACGACAACTTGCCAGTCGTGAAAGCTGACGCAAAGGAGGAGGATGAGAACGCTGATATTGAGATGTCCGAGGCTCCTAAGGAGGACAACCTTGTCAACGATTCTGGAATCTCGGATTTGGACTGGCTCAAGTCTCGCATGGCCAAGCCCGCTGATGCCGCACCTGCCGCGGGTGAGGAGGTATTACTTAATACTTATCAGTTTTTTGGACGACATTGCAACTCGCGGAAAACCCCCAGTTTCTAATTGTGTTGTCATTTTTCATCTACTCGCACATAGGCCAAGTCTGGAGACGAGAAGGAGGGCGAAAAGTCTGATACAGAGGTGACACCTGCACCAGCTCCCAAGATTGCACAGGAGCCACCAAACAGACCCGTCATTATCTCAGCTGAGGAGGAAGAGGAGACTACCAAGAACTTGATTGCCGATACTGGACGCCTTTTTGTCCGAAACTTGCCATATACCTGCACAGAGGACGATCTTCGGAAACTGTTCGAGAAGTTCGGCCCCTTGTCCGAAGTCCACATGCCCATTTCCAAGGATACCAAGAAGCCCAAGGGTTATGCCTACGTTCTCTACCTCTTGCCAGAACATGCCATCAAGGCCTTTTCAACACTGGACAAGAAGTTCTTTATGGGTCGTCTGCTTCATATTCTCGCCTCTAAGGAGAAGCCACAGCCAAAGGAGGATGAGGACAACCCTCTCGGACCCGGCGGTCGCCCCCTGTCGATCAAGAAGCAGCGCGAGATGAAGAAGAAAGGTCAGAGTGGAATGGACTTTAACTGGAACAGTCTTTACATGAACGTAAGTCTCATCACCATTATTGCCTGTGAATTCTCTTTTGAATTTGATTGTTCGACGATATTGATGTCTACTCTTCCTTACATGTCCAACATAGTCGGATGCCATTGCAGCATCTATCGCAGACCGCCTCAACGTCTCCAAGGCCGATATTTTGAACCCTGATGCCGATAACATGGGAGTGCGACTTGCCGTGGCAGAGACCCAGATTATCATGGAGACGAAGAAGTTCCTGGAGGAGGAGGGCATCAATGTCGACTCCTTTGGCAAGAAGGAACGCAGCGACACGGTCATCTTGGTCAAGAACATTCCCTTCAGTACCACCGAGCAAGAACTTCAGGATGTATTTGGCTCTCATGGAGACCTCGGACGTGTCTTGATGCCCCCAGCCAAGACCATCGCCATTGTCGAGTTTTTGCAGCCCAGTGAAGCCAGATCAGCGTTCTCTCACTTGGCCTACCGTCGTTTCAAGGATACCATCTTGTACTTGGAGAAGGCGCCCGTTGGAGTGTTCTCGACCAAGTACGATCCCGAGATGAAGAACAAGAAGGCTGAGAAGAAGGCATCAGATGAGGTTGAGGAGGCTCTTTCCAAGAAGATCACATCGACCCAGCTTATGGACGCCACCACCACAGCAGAGGGTTCTCAGGATGCCGACAACCTTGAGGGCGCGACCTTGTTCATCAAGAACATCAACTTCAAGACAACAGATGAGGGTCTTAAAAAGGCGTTCGCCAGTGTCGATGGTATCAAGTCGACTTTAATTCGCTACAAGCCCGACCCCAAGAACTCCGGCAAGACGTTGAGCATGGGTTTTGGTTTCGCCGAGTTTGTATCAAAGGACAAGGCCTTGACGGCCATGAAGGCTATGAACGGATTCATTCTGGACGGAAGCAAACTCGAGATCAAGTTCTCGGATCGCTCGACTTCCAAGGGCGACAGCAAGAAGAGCCGCGTTGCACCCAAGGACCATGGCACCAAGCTCCTCATCCGCAACATTCCCTTCGAGGCCACCAAAAAAGATATCCAGGGCTTGTTCAGGTACGGATTGTTGTTTACAGTGAGAAATTATGGTGGGATAAATAGGCAATTTTTTTTTTGGCCATGTACTAACCTTTGCTCATGCTTTATTCCAAAAAAAACTCTAGTTCTTTTGGTCAGCTCAAGTCTGTTCGTATTCCCAAGAAGATGTCGGGAGGCCACCGCGGTTTTGCCTTCTTGGACTTTATGACCAAGCAAGAGGCCAAGAACGTGTACGAGAACGTTGCAAGCACACATTTGCTGGGTCGTCACTTGGTTGTCGAGTGGGCCGAGGAGGACTCGAACTTGGATGTCTTGCGTGAGAAGACTGGTCGTCAGTTCCGGAAGGACGATGGTCATGGTAGCGGCAAGCGCAGAAAGGTTGACCTCGACGGTGACGACGACGATATGATGATGGAGGAGGACTAAACGACTTTACTGACCGAAACCATCAGTACCAAAAACAACCAGTACCGAAACAACCAGTACCGAAACAACCAGTACCGAAACAACCAGTATTATCCCCCTTTCCTCCACCCACTTAGAAAAAAAATCGCACATGTATTATTATTTTAGCATTCCACTACACCCTTTTCTCACTCGCATAAAAAACACGCATATACACATCCATACCCTTTGAGAGAGGTACATAGCGCCCCCCCTCCTTTCCTAGTTTTTCTAACCTATTGAAAGATCAAGAAACGCGGTCCAAGCTCCTGTTTACATTTCAAAAGTGTTTATCCTCATACCCTTTCACAGAAAACCAAACAGAACAAAAAAAAAAAAAAAAGATAAAGGTTATATTTACTAATTAAGGAGCTATTAATCTAGAGCTTGAGAAGAGAACCCTCCTCCCACATACCAGGGTCAGCAGCACCGCAGCGGTTGACATCAATGTAAGGGTAGTTGGAACCAAATTCGTCGGCCAAGGTCTCGTTGCTGGTTCTGTAGTTGCCCCACCAGCTAGGAACGTTGACTGCGATCTTGGGGTCGAGACCGCCTCCCAAGAAGAGGAAGATTAGGAGGCCCGTAAAGGCTGCGCCGGTGTCGAGGGCAGCGGAGAGGATGAAGACGTACTTTGACCACCAGTTCTTGTGGCAGCGGCGGAGGTAGCCCTGGAAGACGAGGGCGCAGACCAAGGAAGAGACGACACCGACGGCGTAACCGTTGGGGAAGGCGCCCATGCCTCCGGCGATAATGGCAACGTTGATCTTGGACCAGCCAAACTGGGGGAACTTCTTGGAGAGGACCCACTGGATGGCGGGGGCGATGAAGCCGATCAAGAAACCGATGTAGACGAACCAGTACTTGCCATCGAGAGCGAACATCTTGGCGGGGCCGAGAGCACCGTAGATCAAACCGGAGCCCCAGAAGATCTGGACACGGTTACCGGTCCAGAGACCGTTGGGATCGGCAGTCTTGGGGTCACCCTTGAGGTACTCACGGTGGGAGTTGATGATGAGGATCATGGTGAGGTAGTTGAAGATGGAGCCGATGAGAGTTCCCCAGAGCTGACCGACAAACATGGCGCGCGGGGGGATCTTCATGTAGTGACCGAGCTTGAGATCCGAAAGGAGGAAGTTGCACTGGTACATGGCCATGTAACCGTAACACTTGAAGGTCATGTTGGCGATGGGCTTGCCAGGGAGGATGTAACCGCAGATCAACTCTGTGATGACGTTAAGACCGGGACCGTAACCAGTAACGGCGTTCATCACACCGATGGGGAGAGTCAAGACCCAACCGACAAACAGCGCGAGGATAAGAGCCCACCAAGGAAGCTGGGTGTTGTAGAGCTCGCAGACAGCGCAGGCAAGACCGGCCATGACGATGTAGAAGATAGCGTACCAGTACTGGGGAACTTCGGGGTAGACCTTCATCATCTTGGTGTGGATATCCTCATCTTCGGCACCGACAACGCGCTTCCAGCTGGCCCAGAGTTCAGCACCGTGGAAGAAGGCGACATGGGAGCAGCATGCGGCCAAAGCAATGAAGGAAGTCATGAATCCAAGAGCGTACAAAGGCGCCATGTTGGCCTCCTGGCCAGCGTGGTACTTGTCCCAGTCGACCGAGTAGTCGTCCTTCAAGACACCGTTGATCTTGAAGACCCTTCCGTCCTCGTAGAACAGCTTGGACGACAGAGGGCGGCCCATGGTCTTGGTGCCCAAGATGTTGTTCATCCACATGATGGGAACAATGATCCAGTAGTTGAGGATAATGCCACCGAGCGAGGAGAGCTGGGCAGCGAGAGGCAAGTACATGGTAGAACCACCAATGGAAGACCAATCGAAGGAAAGGGACAAAATACCAGCGGAACCGGAGGTGGAGCCGAACAGAGCCCAGAAGTTCATGTCAAAGGGACGAATCCAGCACACCCAATCGAAATAAACCAGGATGGGGGCAACCCACTGGGGCAAGAGCTGGTAGAGGAAGCAGCAACCGGCGACGATCCAGAAGAACTTCATGCGGGTCCAGCCGCGGACGAGGCGGATACGCTTGAAGTCATCAGTATTGTGCATGGTGTTGTAGAAGACGACTTGGACCAAGTTGGACCACCAGACCATCTCAGCGGGGTAGACGAGGTACTTGCGGAGCATACCGGCCATACCGTAACCAACGCACTGGGTGGTGATGATCATGACCAACGAACCAAAGGCGTTGATGCGGTAGTCGAGGAAGATGTCAGTCGCGGACAAGATATCGATGGCGTAGGCGGCACCGGCACCGGACGAGACAGCAATACCGATCATGGCATGCTCCTTGATGTTGAAAGGACCAGGGTTGAGGGACATAGAGTAGCTGCCGATGGTGAGCTTGTTGCTTGGGAGAATACGGGCCATGCCCTTTCCGAGAGAGAAGGTGACCAAGTTGACGAAGAAGATGGAGTAGTTTCCAGAGACGGTACGGAAGAAATAGTACTGCTGGATAACAGCACCCAAGGCAGTGAAGATGAAGGAAAGGATCCAGAAGCGGAAGGTGATGACGGGGAGAGTGGGATCATCGGTGATTGGGACGGCTATGAAGGAGAATGAGGGAGAAAGACGAGAGGGAAGAAGAAGAGAGAAGTTGAGTTAGCATTTGTAATTATGAAGCTGTTGAGGACAGATGCTACTGTGATAGTATATTAAAAGAAAACTACAAAAATACTTACAAGCAGCAACGGCCTCGATGGGCGAGTTCTCCTGCTCCTCCTTGAGGTCGACGTCGCCGTCGGCCTGAATGCCCTTCTCGTTGAGGTCAAAGTCGTTTTTTTCCGAAGGAAAGTGAGTATCCTTCTCGGTCTGGGTAGCCATGGTAGCGAATGTGGTCAGGGGGGTGAAAGCCGGGGAGGAGGGCGAAGGGTGGGGGAGGGTATGGGTATAGTTGGCGAATGCTCTGTGGAGGATTGACAAAGAATCCGAAATGTCCAGGGGGGGTAGGGTATTTATGTAAAAAGAAAAACTAGGGCGGTGGCGGATTGTTTGTTGTTGTTGAGTCTTGTTTTACACAATGAGCTGAGTGGATTGAAAGATAGATGAATGAACGACGATGGACAATAGACCCGAAGGCATTCGATTGGCCATGGGTAAGGGACAAGGGGACAAGGAGATAAGCGAGGGACGAGGAACAAACACAAGGGCAAGGAATAAGAACAAGGGTCAGTCTAGTAGATGTTATTGAATTAATCAACTTCTTTGGTTCTTGTGGACACGAGCATGGCTATTAGTGTTCTGTCCAGTCGCTCTCTTCTGCCACCTCTCGACTTTTACTTATGTTTTTTCTCTATCTGAAATTAGAGGAGGAGAGAGGGAAAGGCTCATTTTAAGCCATACGCACCATCCGCACTGAACCATTTTGCACCATACAATTTATTTCGATTGCCTAGTTAAGCTCATTCATTGTGCCATGGCCATCTATTTTACTTATTTCGCGACAAAGCAATTGAACCATCCAATTTGTATCTCCCTCACTCTCTCTCTCTCTCTCGTTCATTTTCTCGCTCATTGTCGTTGGTTCTTTTAAATGCCCCCAGCCCCTTTCTTTGTAACTCTGTCCATAGATCTCGTCGTTTCTTTCTTCCTCCTCTCCTTCCATCTTCAAGTCAAAGAAAGAAAGAGAGTAGGAAAGGAAAGGGAGAGCCGATACATACGAAATGAACACAAGAATGGCGAGAGGGAAGAGGAAACGAAAAAGGTCCGGCCCCTCCGTTCGCCCTCGTCCATCCGTTTAGGTTTTGCGTGATCTGTCGCCGTGAACAAATGACATGGATTCTGATTGGCTCTCTCCTACTTTTTTCAGTTGTCAACAACCTAACTTTGTCCTCACTCTACTTTACCGAGGGTCATGCCTATCACACCATTGGGGTCTCAATATGGGTCATTGGTGAGAGCAAAATATCATTCAAAATGGGTCACGCTGTCCCCTTTTCCCATTTCTATCCACTGATTTCATCCTGCTTGCTTGTTGCTGCCCTTTGTGTACACAAAAAGTATCCCTCGGTGTCCAATTCCAAAAAGGTACAAACAAACAACTCACCTACATGCCGCATATGTTGTTGGACTTTTGCGTTGTTTGTTGTTTTGATTTGTGTGTCTACTTTCGGCGGAAGACCTTTCCTTCCATCCTCAAGGATGAACAACAAGAGGTCGCCAGATGAGAAAAGCTCTCGTTTCAATTTCCTTTATTCGTTCTTGTTTTCATCACTCTGCCTCGTCTACTCTGCCCTGTTCAGGGTTGTTGTTGTTAACATCGCCCTCCTCGACCTTTGCGCTTTTTCCCAAAGTAGAGATCGAAGGGTAGAGCATCGCCTTTTTTATTGGCTTTGCTTTCTGTGGGAAAAAAAGAAACTCAAGCACGACATCTTTTTTTGTGAGAAAAAAGGCGAGCGATGATAGGGTACAAGAATGCGTACGAAGTGTTCACGCGGGATAAACCTTTTTTCTTGTGTGTGATGTGTGTGAGAAAAGATTCTGAGGGGGAAAAGCAGAGGATGGGCAAAAGGGCGACTCTAGTAACGAATGGTCTTTTGAGAAAAAGGATGCACACACGCATGAAGATGGATGGCAACTATTTTTCAATGTGCTTGTTTATCGATCGTGCATCACATCTCTGGCAGAGTGAAAGAAACTCTACTTTTTTTTTTTTTTTGCTTTGCTCTCCCCCTCGTTTTTTTTTCTTCCTCTTTTCTCTTTCCCCGAGGGCAATTGGCCTACGCAAGAAAACTAAGGGTAGAGAGGACAGACGATTAGGCTTTTTTTTCTTTGCCTCGGTAACAAGCACTACGAATGTACCTCACGGCAAGTATTGTTCAGAGTGCGTGTGAGGGGGTGATTCTCCCCCCGCCGAGACCCCTTTTTCCTCAAGTCCATGTCGGAAATATCGGAAACCGGGTCCGAAGCAAAAGTGCAAAGAGAAATAAATTTAACAAACACCGAGCGAATAACATTCATGTACCTTTCCCTTGCCCATTACCCATTGCCTAGCCCTGTCTCGGCGTCCTTCCCTTCTCCTGACTTTTCCTTTGCCCCTCTCATCCGCACGGAGTCGTGGACGGTTCTCGGGTCTCAATTCCCTTTTGTAAACAAACAAAGAAGCAGAGCAGCACACACAAAAAAAACCATAGATTTCGGCGGTGGACTTTGCTGGACCAATGATCTTCGACCCATTTTCCCACCCCTTCTCTACGGTTACAAACACCAACAAAATGGCGACAACCACAACAACAACAACAAAAAAAACGACACAAGCACAACAACAATAAAGGAAACTCTATTCGACTGGTGCAAAGACTCGGAAGGTTGAGACCGAGTAAAGGGAAATGGTGTCACGGCGCGGTTGTTATTTCTTTTCTTTTCGCTCAACAACAGAGACAGCCTTCTTTTCGATGTTCTTTCCCTGTCAACCATTGTTTTTTTTCAGTGAGCTTAACTATGAAGAACATTGCCCAGTCTTGGCGCCGAGTATAAAAGACAAAAAAAAAAGTGGGGGGGGGGGAGGGCAGGACGGTTACCCGGAAGAAAGAACCGAAGAAAAAAAACAAATGAAAAAAAGAAGTGATAGAGGGTGGGCAAAGTGGTCTATGGCGCCATCAAGTATTCCTTTTCTTCCATCCTTCCCCCCCTCCTCCCCTTCTTTCTTTCTCTCTTTCAGCTGAACGCCCAATGTTTCGTGGCAATGAAAGAAAACAAATTTGTATCCTGAGCGATCATGCAAAACAAACAAGCAGCAACCTCAACATCAAAATAATAAACACAAACATATGATCAAAACGTGTATAGGTAACGGGATTCATTGTTGAAGAGAGGATCAAAAGGCCAACAAGAAGATCTTAAGTTAAAATTTTCAATTGGTGCATTGAAGAGGACGCGTTTATGAACTCGTTTGAGGCATTAGAGGCTGTGTGTGGGTGGAAGGGGGAACTCCGGCTACAGGCTCGACGAGGGGTCTAGCCCACGAAAGGAAAGAAACCTGTTGCGACCTCGCCTCAGACGATACTTTAGTTCATATTCCCAAAGTAACGGCGACAACGAGAGAGGAGAGGGAGGGGGGAGCGAAAAGGCGTTCCTGAAGGAGGAGGAGGAGTTCATGCGTGCACTGCATGTGTGTCCCAAAGAGGAAGAATAGGAAAACCACCTGGACACGACAAAATTACCCAAACTCAGATAAGGTACCAGCTGGACTCGTGTCCAAATGTACTCTAATTCCTTTATCGTAGTATGGTGGAAATAGGTAGAATACTATACAAAAAATGCTAAGAGATAATGACAAAGGGCGCATACACGGAGCGACCAGAATCACAATCCACTGCCACCGGTCCACTGTCCATTGAATGCCCCGCATCGATCTGGGCTGAGGTAGGGCGCATTGTCGCCCTCTGGCGTGTAATGATTGAACCACCAACTCGGTACATCCACTTGCATCTATGGAACAAAAAAAAGCAACGCCAAGTAGACGACGTTAGTTTTGCACTCCCTTTACAAACAAAACACCAACAATACATGAAGTTCAATCCCTCACCTTGGCTGAGATGCCTCCGCCGAGAAACAAGAAGATGGCGAGCCCTGTAAACGCTGCACCAGTGTCAAAACTAGACGCAAGGATCAGGGCATACTTCTGCCACCACCCCTTATGGTACCGGAAGATGTAGAACCGGAATACAAGGCAGCAGATCAGACCCGAGAGGATGCTCATCGTGTAGCCATTAGGGAACGCAGACATACCGCCAGCAATGATGGATACGTTCACATTCGACCACGAGACTCGTGGGAACGCCTTGGACAGGACCCACAGGATGACAGGAATGACAGCGCCAACAAGGAAGCCATAGTACACGAACCCGTACCTGCCATTGGGCGCAAACATCCTTGCGGGTCCCAGGGCGCCATAAATCAGACCTGAGCCCCAGAATGTTTCGACGCGTTGACCCGTCCAGAGTCCATTGGGGTCTGTCTCATTACCGTTGAGGACCTCGCGTTGAGAGTTAATGATGACGATCATGGTCAGGTAGTTGAAGCAGCTGCCGACCAATGTCCCCCAGAACTGACCAATAAACATGGAGCGGGGAGGAATCTTCATGTAGTGTCCGAGCTTGAGGTCGCAGAGCAGGTTCATGCACTGGTACATGGACATGTACCCGTAGCACTTGAATGTCATGTTGGCGATGGGTTTTCCAGGGAGGATATAGCCACAGACCAGCTCCGTGATAACATTGAGACCCGGTCCGAATCCAGTGATAGCAGTCATGGCGCAGATCGGGAGTGTGAGGACCCATCCGATAGCAAGAGCAACGAGGAGGCCCCACCAAGGCAGCTGCTTGATATACGTCTCGCAGACAAACATGGCCAATCCTGCCATGATGAGGTAGAAGGCTGCATACCACAGTTGAGGGACCTCGGGGTAGACTCTCATCATCCTGGTGTGAATGTCGTCGTCTTCGCCACCGACTGCGCGTTTCCAGTTGCTCATAATCGAGGCACCGTGAAAGCAGACAATGTGGGATACACAACCTGAGAGAGATACGAAGCTGTTACATAGGGAGCATAATAAGAAAGAAGGGGTATTGAGGTACCAGGCTAAAATTAGCGACCTAGGTAAACAATACACATAACAACCACATGAACCTCTTTCCATGAAATATATCCCGGAACTAACCTGACAAAAAAGACAATAGCATAAAGGGGAGTCATCACTGCTGGGGTTCCAGCATCGTACTTGACCACATTCAACGAGTAGTCGGGGTTCAGAACAGTATTGATGTCGAACTTGGTGCCGTTCTCATGAAAGAGCCGTGAGGTCAGCGGTCTACCATACGTCCGTGTCCCGAGTGCGTTGGTGAGCCACATGATGGGCAGGATAATCCAGTAGTTGAAGATCATGCCTCCATAGTTGGCCAGCTGTGCCGCCAGGGGGTAGTACATGGTTGACCCATTAATCGAGTTCCAATCGAACGACAGCGCAAGGACCCCTCCTCCAGAGATGGACGAGAAGATCGCCCAGACGTCTCTGTTGAACGGAGATATCCAGCAGGCCCAATCGAAGAATACCAGCAGTGGAGCAAGGTACTGGGGGATGAACTCGTACAGGAACATGCCGATGCAAAAGATCCAGAAGAATTTCATGTAGGACCATCCGCGGATCATTTTCCGAACCTTGAATTCGTCTGTGTTGTGGATGGCGTTGTAGAAGACGATCTGGACCAAGTTGGACCACCAGACCATCTCTGCAGGGTAGACGAGGTACTTGCGCAGGACGCCTGCCATGCCATATCCAATACACTGGGTCGACAGTATGAGAAGCAAAGATCCCAGAGCATTGATCCTGTAGTTGAGGTAGAGGTCCGTAGCCGAAAGGATATCAATCGCGTAGGCAGCACTGGCAGCCGTCGACACCGTGATTCCAATCAAAGTGTGCTCCTTTATATTAAAAGGTCCAGGGTTGAAGGAGAAGGCGACCTTTCTGATAGTGAAAGATCCTACAGGGAGGACTCGTGCCATACCCTTGCCCATAGCATACGACGCCAGGTTGACAAAGAAGATCGAGAACGTTCCTGAGGTGGTCCGATAAAAGTAGTATTGTTGGACGACGGCGCCAATGATGCTGAAGAAGGTCGATAGGACCCAGTAGCGAAATGTGAGTGCCACGAGACTGGTGTCGTCGGTGACCGGTACGACTAACAACAAAAATTAGGAATGGTATGTGTCAGTGCGTTTTTGACAACACACCGTTGCGGACTTTTTCTTTTTCTGCACGTTAAATTTTCGTGTGACACGCACACAACATACCAAGTCGAACGGCCTCAACGGACGAGTTCTGTCCCTCATACTCTTCACTCATATCGACACTGCTCTTGGGGTCATTGTTGCTCTCCTTCTCATCGAAGTATTCGGCCTTGGAGAATGTCGTTTCAGTAGGACTTGATATCTCGTTCATATGCGTGTGTGTGATCCGCAACTGGGTGAAGACGTATCGTCGGGTGTGGAGGTGAAGAGAAGAGAAGTGATGTTGAGGGTAAAGGTGTGTGAGGGCACAAGAAACAGAGGCCAGGAAAAAACAAATGGGAGGCGGAATAGCAGTTGCAGAAATTTAAAAGGGGAGATGAGAGGAGATGAAGGATGGAGTTCAGACCTAGTACCAGTTCAAAAAAGAGATTGGGCTGAGGGCGGCAAGGATGGATAAAAGGAAAAGGCAAAGGGGGTCAAGGGGGGTATGTAGGAGAGGGGTAAAAAGAACAGAGAGCTCGGCTGCAACTGTTGGATGGGTAAAGGGACAGCCAAAGGGGGAGGTGGAGAGAGAAAGGGGTCCAAGTTGGCCATAAAAAAGGACGTGAGGGTGAATTAAAGTGAGGAGGGAAAGATTGGTAGAGAATGAGGGAGAGCAAGATGGACATGCATCATCTGTTACTTCTCTCAATGTGTAACCAATGCGATTTGTCATGAGCAAAAGAACATACCAAGGCATGAAAAAATGATTGTCCGTAGTCATCACAAAGAAAAAAAACAGGGAAAACAAACAAGAAAGGGCTGTCGCATGGCTATGTCGACTCCCTTGCCAAGCATCATGGTACTCCTAACAACCGACTGCGCTTGAGGGCTTGCTACGCGTCCCAAATGATATGCCTCCAAAGAATAAACTTATTTTGTTGTCGCGAAAACAAGATAACGGGTATATTTTGTAGAATATGAAAAAAGTGACAGATGCTTGCTAGGTATTGAAAGGACTACACGCCACTGGTCCAGTTCTTGCTATTGTAAGAACCGCACCGGTCGACGGCCATGAACGGAATAGGGGTTCCATGCTCATTGTTGCCCCACCAGTGCGGGGCCTCAAAGTGTAGCTTGGGGGAGACACCACCGGAAATGAACAAGAACAGGACGACACTTGTAAACGCAGTACCGGTGTCCAAGGCTGATGCAAGGATCAGAGCATACTTCTGCCACCAGCCCTGGTGGTAGCGGAACATGTAAAACCTAAACACAAGACAGGCGATCAGGCTAGGGAGGATGCTGAACGTGTAGCCATTGGGGTATGCGGTCATGCCCTGGGTGATGATGCAGATATTCACGTTCGACCATGAGACTCGTGGGTACACCTTGGAGAGGGCCCAGAGGATGACAGGGAGTGATGCACCGACTAGGAAGCCATAGTACACGAATCCGTAATTGCCACCGGACGCAAACATCCGCGGGGGTCCAAGGGCACCAAAGATTAAACCGGAGCCCCAAAAGGTATTAACACGCTGGCCAGTCCAAAGACCGGTAGGATTGTCCTTTGTTCCATTGAGGATTCCGCGCTGAGAGTCGATGATCAGAATCATTGTCAGGTAGTTGAAGAGGCCCCCGATGAGAGTACCATAGATCTGACCGATAAACAAGGAGCGAGGAGGGATCTTCATATAGTGGCCGAGCTTGAGATCCGAGAGCAGAATCTGGCACTGGTACATGGTCATGTAGCCATAGACCTTGAAGGCCATATTGGCGATAGGCTTGCCGGGGAGAATATAGCCGCAGACCAGCTCCGTGATGATGTTGAGTGCAGGACCTGAGCCAGTGATGGCTTGCATGGCGCAGATCGGGAGTGTTAGGACCCATCCCATGGCGAGAGCAAAGAGGAGGCCCCACCAAGGCAGCTGCTTGATATACGTCTCTCAGACAAAGATAGCCAGTCCTGCCATGGCGATGTAAAAGACGGCGTACCACAGCTGAGGGACCTCGGGGTAGACTCTCATCATCCTGGTGTGGATATCATCGCCCTCGCCACCGACTGCGCGTTTCCAGTGGCTCAAAATCAAGGTGCCATGAAAGAAAATGACATGGGAGATGCAGGCAGCAAAAGAAGAGAGGCTGTTGTAAATGTATTAATAATCAAAAGGAGCCACAGCGTGATAATAAGTAAAGTGGTAAACAACAAGCAACAATATGCATCCACACCACACTCATACCCACAAACTAACCTGAAAAAAAAATAGGAGTGCGTAGAGGGGTGTCATCACCGCTGGCTCCCCGGCGATGTATTTGTTGACGTCCAGAGAATGGTCGGGCTTCAACACAGTTTTGATGTCGAACTTCGTACCATTCTGAAAGAAGAGTTCAGGGGTGAGGGGTTTGCCGAATGTCCGTGTCCCGAGGGCGTTGGTAAGCCACATGATGGGCAAGATAATCCAATAGCTGAGGACATTGCCCACGAAGTTGCAGAGCTGCGCCGACAGTGGGTAGTACAGAGTGGTACCACCGATCGAGTTCCAGTCAAACGAGAGTGAAAGGACACCACCTCCAGAGATGGATGAGAAGATCGCCCAGACGTTCTTGTTGAATGGAGCTATCCAACAAGCCCAATCGAAGAATACCAATAGTGGGGCAAAGTACTGTGGAAGAAACTAATGTGAGCAAAGGAAGATGAACACAGAAATAAACGATGTGAGTACAGGGCAGTGAATTTAAGCTGGAGCACAATGCGATCCATATCGGGGTTGTATAATACTGCATATGCGCTACACACCTCGTACAAGAACATGCCGATACAGAAAACCCAAAAGAACTTCATGTAGGACCAGCCTCGAATCATCTTGCGCGCCCTGAACTCGTCCGTGTTGTGGATAGCATTGTAGAAGACAACCTGAACCAGATTGCTCCACCAGACCATCTCTGCTGGATAGACAAGGTACTTGCGGAGCATACCAGCCATCCCATATCCAATGCACTGGGTCGTCAGAATAAGCAACAAAGAGCCTAGAGTATTGATCCTGTCGTTGAGGTAAAGATCCATTGCCGAAAGAATGACGATCGCGTAAGCAGCAGTTGCAGCAGTCGACACCGTAATGCCGATCAAAGTATGTTCCTTGATGTTGAAGGGTCCTGGGTTGAGAGACAAAGAGAACTTTCCAATCCTGATAGCTGTTGTTGGAAGGATCCGCGCCATGACCCTGCCTAGCGCATACGATGCGAGGTTGACAAAGAAGATCGAGAACACGCCGTTGGTGGTGCGAAAGTAGTAGTATTCCTGGATCACGGCGCCGATGATGCCAAAGAAGGTCGATATCACCCAGAATCGAAATGTGATTGCCACCAGTGTTGTGTCGTCAGAAATCGGTACCACTACATGGTTGAACAGAACAATAGACAAGCAATGTTCCCATGGGTGTCAGTGCTTTGACCACATCAGCGACATGACATTTCGCATCAAAAAAAGTCTAATTTGGTGAGTGCATGTGTGTCACTCTGCTTACCAAGTCGAACGGCCTCAACGAGTGGCCCCTCTGCTTCGTACTCCTCGCCCATTTCGACACTATTCTCGATGTCATCGTCCTTCTCGTCGTATTCTTCCTTCTCACCGTACTCTGTTTTGGATGGTATCATCTCATGGCGGCTTGATGTTTGGTTCATGTTGTGTATGTGTGTCCGCACAACGAAAAAGCGATGAGGATTCCCGTTGGAGGTAAGGAGAAAAAAAAGGATGAGTTTAGATGAAGAGCGAAAAAAAAAACGATTGAACAAACGTAAAACCATAAAAAAGCGGAGGAAATGGATAAGCAGTTTACACCTATCGTAGCATGCTCAAGGGAGCGGGCTGAAGACAAAGGCAAAGGCAAGGGCAAGGGGTCAAAAAGGAAGCACAGGAGGCGGCGGAGTGAAAGGATGGAGTGTGCCTCGGTTGCAGTACTTGGGTGGGTAACAGTCTCGCCGCTCTAGGACGAGAGAGTAACATATAGAGGGGGAGAGGAAGGGGCTATGTTGACTTTTGAAGGGGTGGACGGTGTAGGAACCAAGCCAAAAAAGGATGAGCGAGAGGCATGAAAATGATGTGAAGGACTTATCTCCCCTCTCTCTCCCTTGCAAAAAGAAAGTATCATCCACTACTTCTCCCAATGTATGGCCTTTACGTCTTGGCATGCACCTGAAGAGGACATCATAGTGAACAAAAACACTTGTGTGTCTTAAAAAAAACCCCACCCGAACATGCTTATTTATTTTTCGGGTATATGTACATGAAAGGGAGGTGTGAGAGATACAAAACAAAGAAAGCTTGATGTGGCTACACTCCACTGGTCCAGTTCTGGCCCTTGTAAGAGCCACACCGGTCGCTGGACATGTATGGGGCCGTCGTCCCATTCTCGTCCGCATAGTTGCCCCACCAGTGAGGGAAGGTGATAGACAACTTGGGAGAGATGCCGCCAGAGAAGAACAAGAACATAATGAGCCCCGTAAATGCTGCGCCGGTGTCAAGGGCAGCAGACAAGACAAAGACGTACTTCTTCCACCAGCCCTTGTGGTAACGGAAGATGTAGCCTTGGAAGATCAGACAGACGACGATACTGGGGAAAATACCGATAGCATAGCCATTGGGGTATGCACCCATGCCTCCAGCAATTATGGCGACGTTGAACTTTGACCATTTATACTGGGGAAACACCTTGGAGAGAGCCCACAGGATGACGGGAGCAATGAATCCGATCAGGAAGCCGATGTAGACGAACCAGTACTTGCCGTCAAACGCAAACATCTTGGCAGGACCGAGGGCACCATAGATCAGACCGGAGCCCCAGAAGGTATCGACACGCTGGCCAGTCCAAAGGCCGGAGGGGTCATCCTTGGTTCCGTTGAGGATTCCGCGCTGTGAGTTGATGATTAGAACCATAGTAAGGTAATTGAAGACTGCACCAATGAGGGTGCCCCAGAACTGGCCGATGAACATGGAGCGGGGTGGGATTTTCATGTAGTGTCCAAGTTTGAGGTCCGAGAGTAGGCTCTGGCACTGATACATGGCCATGTATCCGTAGCACTTGAAGGTCATGTTGGCGATAGGCTTGCCGGGGAGCATGTATCCACAGACCAGCTCCGTAATGACGTTGAGCCCAGGACCAAAACCGGTGATGGCGACCATGGCGCAGATGGGGAGGGTCAACAAAAATCCGAGAATGAGAGAGATGATAAGACCCCACCACGGGAGCTGGAGTTCGTAGACCTCACAGGCGACAATAGCCAATCCTGCCATGATCACGTAGAAGGCAGCGTACCATAGCTGGGGTACCTCGGGGTAGACCTTCATCATCTTTGTATGGATGTCCTCACGATCGGAACCAACGGCTGCCTTCCAGTTCTTCACAATGTCGGATCCATGGAAACAGATGATATGAGAGACACATCCAGCCAGGGCGATGAAGGAGGTCATGAAGCCTAGAGCGTACATGGGCGCCATGTTGGCTGGCTTTCCTGCGTTGTAGAGGTCCCAGTTGACGGTGTAGTCGGGGTTCAAGACTTCCTTGATATTGAAGGGAGTGCCATCGTTGTAGAAGAGGTGCGATGTCAAGGGCCTCCCGATAGACTTGGTTCCCAAGACGTTGTTCAGCCAGAAAATGGGAAGGATGATCCAATAGTTCAAGACCATGCCGCCGTAAGTGCAGAGTTGAGCAGATAGAGGTAACCACATGGTGCCACCACCGATCGAAGTCCAGTCAAAGGAGAGCGAGAAGATTCCACCGCCAGATATCGATGAGAACAGTGCCCAAACATTCTTGTTGAAGGGGTTCAGCCAGCAGATCCAGTCAAATGTAACCAGAAGGGGGGCGACAAGTTGAGGGATGAACTAGACAAGATGCCGAGGAATGTTTAGTGTGAGCGCGAGTGTAGAAGGACAATGCGGATATATAAAAAAGATCAAGATTGCATGAATTGCAATTGTGTGTACCTCATAGACGAACATGCCTGTACAGAAGACCCAAAAGTACTTCATGTAAGACCACCCCCGGATCATCTTCATGGTCTTGAACTCCCCAGTGCTGTGCATGCCATTGTAAAAGACGACTTGGACCAAGTTAGACCACCACACCATCTCAGCGGGATACACCAGATACCTGCGGAGCAAACCAGCCATACCATAGCCAACGCACTGGGTAGTGATGATGAGAATAAGAGATCCGATAGCGCTGATGCGGTAGTTGAGGAAAAGATCGGTGGCGGACAAGATGTCGATGGCGTATGCGGATCCAGCAGCAGTCGAGACCGTGATTCCGATTAGAGCGTGCTCCTTGATGTTGAAAGGGCCGGGGTTGAGGGACATGGAGTAGCGACCAAGACAGACGGATCGGGCTGGGAGGTACTTTTCCATAAATTTTCCGATGGAGTATGACGCCAGGTTGACAAAGAAGATTGAGAAGGATCCAGAGGTGGTGCGGTAGAAGTAGTATTGCTGGATAATAGCGCCAATGATAGAGAAGAAAGAGGCAATGATCCAGTAACGGAAAGTGATGGCATTCAATGAAGGGTCGTCAGTGACAGGAACAACTGTGGGTGTTGAAGCGAGAGATAACAAGAGGTTGTTAGTAGGCGACAGGGGTGAAAGATGAATAGAGCAAACAGATGTCAAGGACATACCCAGAGCAACAGCCTCGATGCGCGAGTTCTCGACCTCCTCACTCATGACGAGGGTATTCTCATTGGTGTCCTTGTCGCTTGGTGTCCTTTCGACGTCGTATTCGTATTTATTTGCCATGGCGGTGTGGATAGCGAAAAGAAAAGAAGACGAAGGGGAAAAGAAAGAATGGCCGGCCCTTTTTGTATGTGTGTGATGTGGCCGTTGAACTGGGCAAAGGAAGAAAGGACTAAGGGCAATCGAGCACAGGCAGGGGTGTCTTCTTTTTATGCAGCCATCCCCCTCGCAGAGGAAGACACGAAGAAGAGAAAAAGAAGGAGGTAGCCAGATGACACTAGGGCTCAAGGGATCGGATTGGATGATGATGCCAGGTAACGGGTTCTTGTCCTATCCAGCGAGGGGGCGACAAGGGGCTACAAGGATGAGCAAGGGATGAGGGTAAAAAAAGATCAAGGATGAAAGTGGACGTTTGATCCCGTCACCTATTGGCTCCTAGTTTCTTTTTGCCGCGGGGTTAATAGTGAAGGGTGAAGTTCCTAATAGCGGCAGCCCACTGGATGCATTGGATAGCATGGAAATGACCACCAAAGGTCCAGACAATCACCGCGCCCACCCTCATTTAGGGACAAATGGGCTGCACACGCACCCTGCTCTCTTTCGTATTGCTGCTGATGCGTACTCTTGGTCATCCTTTTATTTCTTCTGGTACTGCAACTACTGCTCTTCTACCATCTGTGCTTACAATTCACCCCCCTAGATTTCGAAAATGCCACCTGTCCTTTTGTCCTCGGACCTTGGAACTCGTGCGATTCGACTGACTGCATCCTCGATCTTGGGCTTCTGTAAATATTCAGCGACAGACGAGTCCGGTGTGCAACTGATTCTCGCCATCGAGCTGTCATTATCTATACTCAGCCTAGCTGTCACGGTTGCTCCACTTCTCGTTCTCTTTCGACTTTCTAGGGAGAAATACGGTTAGTCGACCTCTACCTAACACGGAAACCTGATCCGTCTTGTTGTTGTGATTCTTTCGACTTCGGCATTTCCCCCCACTCTTCTGTGAGAGTTGCAGGTGCACTTTCAAAGCCTACAGTCAAGTTAAGTTAAGTTAACTATGTAGTACATCAAAGTGCAAAGGCTATCGATCTGCGACAAAAAAAAAAAAGTGAGCATGTCCGTTCATTTCAAGTTCAATTGAAAGGGTAGACAAACAAGGGACGAGAGGAAAAGAAACACAAGGGTACAAAGACTAAAGATACCCGAAAGACACCTTCATGCATCCACCCAATGAAATAAAGGCGAGCTAACGATGGGCAATCACACGCCATTCTCCCAATCTAAAGCACAAGTGAGAAACCTTTTGGTCAGCTGGGACATAAGGAAAGAGGTTTAGAAACGAAATAAAGAGCTGGTTGCATTTTTCACTCCCTGATCCTAAAACATAACGACAACTTACCTCTTTCCTGCTAATGTTTGTTCTTCTTTTGTAAAGACGATAACTTCATTTTGTTTCTTGAATGGACAATTGCACCACATAGACCTTTTTCCTTTGTGGCCGTGGTTGATGCAGGACCCTCTCGGAAAGAAAAAAAATAGTGAAGAAGGTGTTGGGAGGACTAGCTTGCTCTGATTGGCTCATGGGCACGACAAAGGTCTCTGACCCAAATAGAGTTGATTCACTGCGAAGGAGTCATGAGGCCAATCCTTGGTAAAGAAACAGCCCTTTCTTTTAATTTTTTTTCTCACTGTTCGATCTTTATCGCCGCGCCCTTCTCTTACCGAAGAAGACAAAAAAGACTTTCAGTTCGAAACCATTTGGACACAAACGAAGTGAGCAGGAAGGTGTGGTGCCATTTTAAATACATATGACTAGAGAGACCCCGGAAACCAAAAAGAGGACAATGCCCTTGTTTGCTTGCCTTCTTTCGGATGCGCTTCCGAGGACCAATGGTCGTCGACTGTTTCTCCCTGGAATCATGCATGCGTTTTGTCTATCTCTTTTCCTCTTATACCTCTCCTTTCCAATGCCATACTGGGTATGTTAGCGCAATAGTTTACTTTTTCGGGATCTTCTTGCTCTGTTCTCTGTCTGAGCATTGCGCTAGAACAGGCAGGCATGGCATATTCAATTACTTTAGTGTGTAAAGAACAGCGCTATTCTTATTTTACCAGGTAGAAGACACCAGCTCGGGCTTTGATGATGGCGTGAGTGATCGGGAAAAGAACAGGGAGAGAATGAAGAACGGTGTAAAGGAATAAGTGTCTCCCCCATTTTTTTTCAACTAGCGCCAACCGTACATGACCCAACGTATCTACTATCCTACGACTCGCATTTTTTTCTCCCCCTCGTTTGTTCGCTTGTCCTGGTATTTTTCTCGGCCCATGCCTTCGTTGAGATGTTGGCCAACAGCGCTTGTGAGTTGGGTGGCGAGTTTAGGAGAGGTAGCAGTGCACACGAAATCGACGAAATCCTTATCAACTACCATCTTTCACAAAGGATGACTGAGAGTCCCAGCCCATAAAACTTTTTTTGATTCCCGCCATCAGTAATTGTTGCCACCAATCCTTCTTGGTCTCGCTTTTTGCTGACGTTGTGATATGCCCCATGAGTCCTCTGCTCGCACTCCTCTTGCTGCCTTCATTTCCTCCTTCTCACTCCCTCTCCCTCACCCCTCCTTCCTACCTTAACCAAAAAACACACTCCATTTCACATTGCACAAACGATCGCTTTGTTTACCTCTCTGGTGACTACCCGGTAAGCGTTTGTTGGCAAGTTTACTTTTGGTTTTGTTGTGGCCAGTCTTGTTAGAAAGAGGGTCCAGTGGGCAAGGTTTTGTTTATTTTAGCAGTTTCTTAACTACGATTTCTTCCTTAGTCTTAACAGCGATATAATCAGACAAACAAATGACAACAAATTATACTGTTCCTCATTGTCATGGCTGCGATTGTTTCTCTATCACAAAAACTCGTAGATACAACTGGGTTACAGCATCATAAACCAGCCTTGGTCATTCTACTTTTACACTACAAACACCCACTACCGTAGGACTGGGTTCTGCTAATATGGACCTGTGAGCTATCGCGTGTATCCGTCAATCGCTCTATTTCTGCGGCCTTAGACACTTACTCTTTCTGCATCTCCACTTATCCATTCTCCGTCCAATCCGACTACATCCTCTGTCGCACTGGATCTGCGCACCCCTCCAGGACTGGCAGAGGTTGCCCGGCGTTGCACGGCTTTGATACCCATGTCTCGCGTATGAGCGGGGTATTCCTCATTCCGACAACCTTCTCCCTTCATACATTTGCTCTGTGGGTTTCAGTTGAACATCGCAGCCGTAACTTTGAATGCGTGGGAACCCAAGCACAACCAAATGAGATTTGGGTCCAGGTGCCCAGATTTTCCTTTTCTGGTGCGCGCAATCAGCACAAAGTAATCTGATCTCCAATCGAGCTTTCTCTGGATGTTTTGCTTTTCACAAAAATGCATTTGCTTGTTTAATTTTGATGAAGGGGGGATAGAAATGCAGAGAAGGGAGGGGTAATGTTGTGTATTTACTTGCGGATGGTGTCAACGTTCTCCTTGAACCACTCGACGGTCTCGTTAAGGGCGACATCGAAGGGGGTGAACTGGAAGTCAGGGTTGAGGCTCATCAACTTCTTGTTGGAGGCAGTCTTCTTGTACTGGCCATCGGCCTTAGAGGTATCGAAGCGGTAGTCGCCACTGTAGCCCATAGCCTTGACAATCGAGTCTCCGACCTGCTTGATGGAGACCTCCTCCTCCTCGGGGACTGTTTTTTCGTAAAATGGAGATAGAAAGTGTAAAGTTAGTTGGAGACGTTCCTTAGGCTAATCAAGTCGCATTCTTTATCTTCTCTCTGAGAGCACCCAAAAAAAGATTAATTAATAATGAGAGAAGATACTCACCAGACAAGATAAGAGGGGTGATCTCCTGGTACTCGCGAAGGGTCCAGATGAAGAGCTTGGCGAGATCGCGGGAGTAGATGAACTGACGGAGAGGGCGACCAGTTCCGGCCATGATGAAAGGGGTGCCGTTCTCCTGGGCCAAGTAGCACTTGTGGATCAAACCGGGGATGACGTGCGAGTTGACCAAGTGGAAGTTATCGTGGGGTCCAAAGACGTTGGTGGGGATGACCGAGGTGAAGTTGCATCCGTACTGCTGGTTGTAGGCGCTGTGAACAAAGACAAGGGAGAAGAGACGATGGTGGGAAGGAGGTCAGTCTCAATGACTCCTGCGGAATCATGTGTATAGTGATATCGTTGAATATGCAAAATCAATCCTGCGCATTGAAGATAAATCGTGTCGTCGAAATGTCTTTGTATCCTTACCGGTTCATGACATCGACCATGCGCTTGGAGTGAGAGTAACCGTAGTTAGAGTCGTGGGGAGGACCCTGGTGAACCATGGTCTCGTCAATGGGGTAGGAAGTCTTGTCGGGGAAAATGCAGGTCGACAGGCACGAAACGACCTTCTTGACCTATAGGATTCAAATATTACCAATGGGAATGAAGTACGGAATGGCGTGAGAAGACAAATCATTATTAAGTAAAAACACGAAAAAGGGGGATAGCAAATTCCCTGTTTTGCGCTGTCAATGGTTCTCTGAAGACTTACACCAAACTCCTTAGCATTGTGCAAGACATTGTCGTTGATGAGCAAGTTGTCGCGGAAGTAATCGAGGTTAGCAGCCATGTTGCCGAAAAGACCGCCGACCTTGGCAGCCAAGTGGATGACATGGGTGGGGCGGTACTTCTCGAAGATGGCCTTGGTCGCAGCAGGGTCACTAAGGTAAAAAGAACCACGTTTAGATGATTTGCAAGTAAGAATATCCATGCCTCTTCCAGATGCTTCAGTGCGGTCATAGATTTTCTTGTCAACAAGAGCTGTTTAAGCCATAGACGAGCTTACTTACATCAAGTTGCCGTCCTTGGAGGTGAGGTAAACCCACTCCTCGCCCTCACGGCCGCCGTACTTGGAGTCGTTCTCGACGACCCACTGGATGGCCTTGCCGACGAGACCGGAGCCGCCGGTGACGAGGATAACAGACTTGGCAGGAGACATGTTGTGATGTGTGATGTGTGAAGAGAAGGGAGGTGGGATGATGAATGAAAACAAGATGATGGAGTCTTAAAACAGCTTTAAATAGTTCATAGAGAGCATTTTGCCTTGACTGTCCAACCGCAGGGCAGCGGACAAATCAAACACCACGATTGACCTGCCTGACAAAGAAGAGTGTGACGTCGATTTTGACGGGTTTGTTGTTGATCGGGTGCCAGATGTCCTCGCCTTTTTCACGTTTGTCACCACCACCACCTCCACACCTCATTACTCATCCGCCATGACTCGATCCGCCTGGAAAGGTCCATTCTTCGTCGCCCTCCCCGGTCTCAGACAGGCCCTGACCCAGAACATCCCTGTCCGCACCAACGCCCGCGCCTGCACCATCATCCCCTCCTTCGTTGGCCTCAAGTTCCAAATTCACAATGGCAAGGACTACACCCCTCTGACCGTCACCGACGAGATGGTCGGCCACAAGCTCGGAGAGTTCGCCCCCACCAGGAAACGCTTCTCCTACCGTCAGACCAAGAACCGTTAAGAGAATCCTTCTTTGTCTTCGGAGTTATCGGGAAATACTTGGTCTATTCGGAGCATTGGCAGTGGGGCGGATCAGAGGAAGTATATCAGGAGGCAGGACACAAGGGACAGGAACGAGTTTCGGTCCGATCAGGAGCCGTACTGTCCTCCTTCCCACTGTCCTCGTATCTGCGCTCGCAGCATTTTCCATGTACACGTCCTAGGCGACATCTTCCTTCTCAACCTCAATACCACTCTCCTTTGCACTTTTTGTTACATTTTTCTCATTATTTTTTGCTACACTACATTAAAAACCATATCTGCACACCACCACATTCTCTGAGACCTTGCCAAGTGCTGTTCTGCAACCTATCATGGCTGCAAGAGCTGAGAGGACATGGACGAGACGTACTCGTGCAATGAGCGTAAAGACGGCATCAGGTTTACAAGGAGTTAAAAATGAATGAGTGACTTTTCCATTTTGAAGCCCCGCGACAAGCTCATTTATACGGCCTCCACCAGTCCACCATCTGGTCTCAACGTATACCTTCGCCGCCCATGAATTCAAATATGAAGCAAGACTCAGCACAAAGACATCATTGTAAGCACAACAAACAAGGAGAAGGGAATTGAATGTTGTTGTTGTCTTTGAGCAAATTTTATTTTCTTGGGTGGAAAAAAGTTGAAATTTACTTCTTGGACTTCTTGGGCTCCTCGGCAGCGGCCTCAACACCGGTGAAGGCAGCGCGCTTCTCGGCGACACGCTCGTTGCGACGGGTACGGGCAGCCTTGGTCTTGTTGCGGTGAGCCTCGGCCTGGTCAGCGATCAACTTGGCGCGGAGCTTCTCGGCCTTGACCTTGTGGATGTACTCCATAAGGACACGCTTGTTCTTGAAGACGTTACCCTTGGCCTTCATGTACAAGACGTGGTACAAGTGACGGTCGATCTTGCCGGTCTCGCGGTACTTGCGGAGAAGGCGACGGAGGACACGCTGGCGGCGCATCCAGATGACGGTGGTGGGCATACGGGCCTCAGCGGTACCCTGACGCTTACCGGTGCCAGAGTGACGACCAGCACGCTTGGCAGCGAGCTTCTCGCGGTGGCGGAAAAGCGAGTGCATGGTCTGGGGCTTCTTGATGATGAGACCATCCTTGACGAGCTTGCGGATGTTCTGGCCTATAATTCGATATCAATGGAGCAATTGAAGGTAGGTTAGTGGCAATGTCTTTTTTTCCAGAGCTTGGTGATATAGCACTGAAAATAGTTGTGCACAGCTGCTGTGAGTCCTCGACAGCAATTAGTTTGCTGGTGGAAAAGGCATATAACCAACACGGTAGCTGCCAGAAGACTTGTCGAAAGTTCTGACAGTATCGAAGTGTATATTGTAGCCGGTTGATGTTCGAAAAAGGTTCGTTCACAGTCGAGCCGAAAATAGGGAAGGGGTTCCCAGTGTGAAAAGAGTCAACGGTGGGTGGGATGAGCGAAATGGCAGAGATTCCGAAATCACTTTGAGGTCCAGTTTGAGGTCGCACTCCTGAAGGTGGTTCTTCCTGATTGTTGTCCAGTATGCTCGGCCAAGAAAAAAGACTTGTCGGTGGGACGAGACTTACGAGAGTTGGCGTTGGCAATCTCGGTGACCTCGTTAGGGTCAAGCCAAATCTTGCGCTGTCCGCACTTCAAGACGGCGGCGGCCAAACGTTTCTGACTGCTCAAAGAAACCCTGTTTGATGAAATGCAGCACAAAGAGGAAAAATATAGTCAGGAATGGTTGACAGTGTTGAGAGGGTAAGGATTCCGGTATGGTGACGGGATGATCGATGGTGGTCGGCGACGGTAGAGACTGACTAGGTTGAGAATCCTGAATGTCAAATGTCGAATCTGAGAATCAGGCATGAATTCCCGCCTGTAGTCGATCGAGGGTTATGGATTGATGAATGATCCTTCCTGAGGGTGCGATCTCATGGGTGAGTGTTGGTGATCCAGCCGGGTCCAGATGGTAATGGTATGAGTGATGTCTGAGTAGTGTTGGCCTCCTTGGTTGTTCGATCAAACTACGCACATGTTTAAAACGACTAGAAGCAAAGGAGGAAAAAAGGACTTCTCGCTCGCTGTGGCATAATAATACCGCTCGAAAATTTTTGTCGTGGCTTTCGTCTGCATCCATTAAGTTTGTTAAGGGCCATTCGCATCCAACTCTCCTCTTGGAACTTCCATCAAATTAATGCGCCTTGAAGCACTTCGCTTGTTGAGAGGGATAAGAGACGTGTTCATGGGCACACAAGAGCAACGAAGCGAAGGACATGAAATATCAGTCATATCCGACCCTAAACCTGTTCGCGTTTTCGTAGCCTCTGTTACAATGTACCATAGTTACCACTGACTGATTATCCTCCCTCTCATTTCTTGGCACTAATGGTCAAGTCGCGTTAGTCGTAGGACTGGAGGGCAAGAGGTGATTTGCATCGATAGCCTGTTTTATTGTTTGATCTGACTACAACTACAAATAATGCGTAAGGTGAGAAGGAGTGTGTGAAGGGTAAGGAAGAAAAGTGCGACCCGACTGCCTGACTGCGGCGATGTCGGGTTGCATATGATATAGTTACACACTTAAACTAGAAAAAAGGGGACGCAGTGAATCAAGGGCGACAAGCCACAGGCAGCCTAAAGGCAAGTGCTACCGGCCAATTTTGATAATCCTTTTTCCCGCAATACTCAAACCAAGATGGAAAGTGGAAAATAATATATGAAGGACAGAAGGGGAACCATCCATCGGGACATCGATCGATACTCACACCCATCAGTTGCCAGCCTGGACACCTCTCATTCATCGACAACCCACTTCAATGCCCTTCATCGTCGCCAATTTATCCATCGGGAGAAACTATGCCCAAAAATCACTCCCCACCCACCCCCGACTCATCATCTACAGGACAACATAGAGATCTAGATCAGCTCGTTTAACACTGGACCTCCATCTCTTTTTATCTTCTTTTACGACAACAGTCTCTCCTTGTCCCTGAGAAAGGCCAATTCCAGCACATTCTTCGTGTCCTTAACACGAACGTGGAGGGCAAGACCAAGATCATGTTCGCCATGGTAAGTCAAACTTAACATCTGGCGCAGTCGAATAAGTCGTTTCTTCAGGAAGTGATCAAGTCTAGTAGCCAGACCGCTAATATCAACTGCCCGTCTTGTTTTGAATTCTCTAGACCAACATCAAAGGTGTCGGTCGTCGTTATGCCAACTTGGTCTGCAAGAAGGCTGATATCGACTTGAAGAAGAGGTGCGTTCAAGGAACACAGAACGCAAAAAGACAGAGGAACAGGAGGAGCAACTTTGGTAGTTACCAGCAACCAACAGGATCTCTTCTGGACTGCAGCCAAGCGCTGATGTCGCAAGAGTATTTTATTCTTCAGTTGGGACAACTCATTAGCGCTTGAAGGGGCGAAATCAACATCACTTCGAGTCCACAGGAGGAATGGAGGAGACGCGCATACCAGTACGGGAGTGTGAGAGTGGAGAAAGACTCTAGATAGTCTGTGGCAGGAACCTTCTACGCCACCGATAGACTTTTGACTCTGGACTCTGGACCTGGACTCGACTCCACAGATGCTATCACCACAGAGCATGTGTCTTCCGCCTACAGACTATATCAACACAATCGATACACACACAAAACATGGCAACAGATGGCTGACCCTATCGTCTTCCTACTGCGTCCCGTTCACTTTATTAGAGCTGGTGAGCTTACCAACGAAGAGCTCGAGCGTCTCGTTACCATCATGCAGAACCCTACCCAGTACAAGGTTCCCCAGTGGTTCCTCAACAGACAGAAGAACTTCACTGATGGAAAGTACACCCAGCTTTTGGCCAACGGTCTCGACAACCAGATGCGTGAGGATTTGGAGCGTCTCAAGAAGATCCGCGCCCATCGTGGTCTCCGTCACTACTGGGGCGTCCGTGTCCGTGGTCAGCACACCAAGACCACTGGTCGTCGCGGTCGCGTCGTCGGTGTCTCCAAGAAGAAGTAAACTGTAAGTTTCTGCTACCCTGTGGATTTTTTTCATTTTCTTGCTATCCGTTGAAAAGAGTGCGAGTCAGATCGGCACCCCTTTTTTGTTACAAATGATGCTTAAAAACTTATCTACATTGTCCGAAACTATATGTGGACAAACCTTTGTTTTCCTGATACCTTACAACAAAACACTCCAATGGGCGACCGATGACTCGGACTCGAACAGTCAGACAGACATCAACCAGTGGGACATCAAATGGCTCCATAGATTGTCATTTCATGTATCTAACCTTTGCCTCGACTTTTTTCTGTCTGTTCTGACGTTAGATCTCTCTCGATATCACAGTCATTCTTGGCCTTTAGTTGTAATTTTCGAGGAAATAAACAACTTATCATTACAGACAAAAATATCATGAATGGAGTTGGTCAATGATTGTGAGTGCTCAGTGGTGCCGTTTTTCCTACTACTTCGCCCATTGTGGGACCTGTGGTGTGAACAGATGGGGCTGACCTGGAGCTTGAACAAGCACGAAAAAGAAAAGAGGAGGGACTTGTCTGGCTATACAAGATTCTCGTTCATTTCCCTCCGTACGCTTGAACACGGTTGCTAGCACTCCAACCACCCAGCAGGCAAGCAAGGTGTCCCTACATGGACCTGAGCACCAGAGTCTTGATCGGAGAATAAGGCGAGGTTCAAATTTCCTGCGGATTTTTTTTTTGTACGGTTGGCTTGGAGTCCATTGGAGAAGCTTGTACCTCAAAACAGTAACCCTGGTTAGATTGTCGAAACAGTGGACAAGGTATTCCTGGTTGAATAAAGCAACTCGGCCGACAATTGGCTGCTCATACCTCCTTCAAAGAGAAACGAAAAGTAATTGCTGTTTTGTTTTCAGTTCCGCACGGTCCACATTCCATCGATTTGTTTATCACAGGGGAACCAGACGGGAGACCAGAGGACATGGGTGTGTACGTGTTTTTTCCTGCGGATTTTTAGACTTAAGCTTTTTGAGCGTTACCATTCTTTTGGATGCTAAAATACCAACTCGCCCCACATAATAAAAGGACGCGAACAGAGGATTGTTTTTTTTTTTGTTCTCTCATCTCATTAACGTTTTAGCTTTTTGTCTTTATTCATCTCTGCTTGCGTTCCCATTAAGACTCATCACTACCATCTCACCCATGGGCATCACCTCCTTTTGTAACGACCAAGAGGGATGGGTAAGAAACAACCCTGCCCTACTTCACCATACCTTTACGCGTCATTCTATATTCACTGTTGTTCTCTCAATGCCTGACTATAGTTTCCTCTACTCTCGTATGCAAAACATCCATCTAGGGCCCTACTAGCGGCATCCGTCCCGACTTAACACCCTGTATGGAGAACACCATCCTTCTCGCCCTGCCCTCGCTCGTTGGCATCGTTGCTCTTTCCGCACGCATATTTTCCATGTGGCACAATGGAGCACCCCACAACCTGGGTCGCACCAATGCCATCTATTGGCCATCCCAGTTCCTCATTCTCGCAAGCATCATCGCCCTGATTGCAAGAGCTGCCGTCCTCAATAATGATATCTATACCCCTGCTACTATGCTTAGCACTGTTTGCTTGATCGTTGTCTGGGCAAGTAATCGTACACTACGACATAACATCAGGGCATGCAATGCATCCACCAACCGTAGCCCACTGAGCTGACCATCATCGTCGTTGTTCTTGTTCCTTTTCACCCCATTGGTAAACTCATCACAGGCACTTGCACTTGTGCAGAATCACTTCCAGCACCAGCAAGAGTTCCGCTCGTCTGACTACATCTTCACACTCTACATTTTCTCCCTTGTTGGCGCCGCCATCAACATCCGCACCATGTCGCTCCTGAACCAGACCGCTCAAGACCAGTTCAAGACCTTCATCTCGTTTTTTGCCTTTCTCGCTGCCGGTTTCACCGTCGAGGCTTGGCCACGCGGCAGGACCCAGGTCCAGAGACAGAGCCAAGGAGGACGCTACGAAAAGGCCAACCTCTTTTCGCGCATCTCTTTCCATTCCCTCCAGCCAATCCTCCGCGAAGGTTACAAGGGTCCATTGGAAGCCAAGGATATCGAGGGAATGATGCCTCATCGTATCAAAACCGAATACAGCCATGCACTGCTGAATGACCGGTGGCAGCGCGCGGTCACCAAAGCACAGTCTCGCGACAAGAAGCCCAGCTTGTTCATCACCATCATGAAGACCTACAGCTGGGGCTGGATTCCAATCATGATCTTCCGTCTGGCGGCGTCTACTTTTACCTACATCTTGCCGGTGCTCCTGAACCAGATCTTGAACTTCATCGAGTCCTATTCCAGTGGTGAGCCCCAGCCGGTGTCTCTAGGAATCATCTTGGCCTTTGGGATGTTCTTTGCTTCGGTCATGAGCGCCTTCTGCGTTGGACAGTTCTACCAGACGGCGATCAATATTGGCGTGGAGATCAGAACCGCGCTCATTGCCATGGTTTACCGCAAGTCTCTCCGGCTCTCAAACGCTGCCAAGCAAAGCAACACTGCGGGTGAAATCAGCAACCACATGTCTGTTGACGCCGAGCGGTGGTTACATGCCGTGACTTCCTTGCCCATACTCGTCTCCATTCCGTAAGAGGTTTTTATTTCTGGCGGGAAGTATGCATTGATGTTTTGGACGCAACACTTTGCCCCAGACACTAACATTTCCTTATTTATTTTTCATTTTTTGGTGCTTCAGATACGAGATTGCCCTTGCTCTCTGGCTTTGTAAGCCCCATGTCTATTTACACGCTCATTCACAGCTGGCAAAAACTAACAAAGATTTCTAACTATCCCTCTCTCTTTTATTATCCTCGTCTAGTATACAACCAAATTGGATGGTCCATTTTCATTGGATTGGTCCTAATCGTCGCCCTGATGTCGACCCAAGGTTTCATCGTCAAGGCCTACATGCAAGCGAAGATAAAGAAGATGGAGGCCGCCGATAACCGTATGCGCCTCATGAACGAGATCCTCGCGGGTATCAAGATCGTCAAGCTGTACGGCTGGGAGGACTCGTTCAAGCAGCGAGTGACCGCCTACAGAGACCAGGAGCTCGTCAACCTCAAGTTCTTTGGCAAGCTTCAAGTCTTCATGTCGACCATGTTCCAGTCTCTGCCTATGGTCGCCGGTCTGATATCGTTTTCAGTCTATGCTACAGTCGGAGGTCCCAATTTCACCCCCGGAGAGATAACGCCCCAAAGGATTTTTGTTGCCATCTCGCTGTTTGGTCTCCTGGCGAAACCTATTGGACTCACCGCGGGGATGATGAACGAGTCGGCCAGTGCGTTGGTTTCTACGAGGAGAATTGAAAAGTTCTTGCTCGCTGAGGAGATTGCAGGATCCAACACTGAGGCGATTAAGCAGATGCCAGATGACCCTAACGCCCCAGTGGTCGAGATCAAAGACGGTGTGTTTGCATGGGACCCCGAAGGTTACGAGGGTGAATCGGAAGCTGAGGCCAAGAAGAACTTGACGCCAGAGGACAAGGAGACATCGCCCGAGGATGAAGCATTTGCCAAGAAAGAGAAAGGGCCCACATTGACCAACATCAACCTGGAGTTCAAACAAGGAAATCTGGCAACCATCGTTGGTCGCGTCGGTCAAGGAAAGTCGTCGTTGCTGAACGCCATTATTGGAGACATGTACAAGCACAAAGGATCAGTCCGCATCCATGGAAGAATGGCATATGTCCCCCAGCAAGCATGGATCCTCAACGCCACGGTTCGCGACAACATCCTCTTCGGCAACGTCTTTAACCAAACCCGATATGACCTTGTCCTGATGGTCTGTGGACTCTTACCTGACATCGAGATCCTTCCAGCAGGCGACCAGACGGAAATCGGTGAGCGTGGCATCAACCTCTCTGGTGGCCAAAAGCAGCGTGTCTCTCTGGCCCGTGCCGCTTACGATGATGCCGACCTTTACCTTCTGGACGACCCCTTGAGTGCCGTCGATGCTCATGTCGCCCAGCACCTCTGGAAGAACCTCCTTGGCCCGAGAGGACTTCTCAAGAACAAGACTCGCATTCTCGTTACTCATGCAGTTCAGTTCCTCGGAGACGCCGACCGCATTGTTGTCCTCAAGAATGGTCAAGTTAGCGAGACTGGTCAATACCAGGAGCTTATGGATGCCGGCCAGTCGTTTTACCAGCTTATCAAGGAACACTCTGTCAGACACCATCAGCACCACAAGAAGCACGAAGAGATTGAAGGCACTGTCGAGGAGAGTTCTGAGCTAGAGTCCGACGTTTCGACTGAGGACGGTGAACCTGATGCTATTGCTGTCAAAGATGACAAGGGCGAGTTGGTCACGGAGGAGAAGATGGTCGAGGGAAGCGTCTCGTGGAGTGTTTATATCAAGTACATTAAGTCTACCTCCTACAAGTATGCCCTGACGGTAGTCAGTCTCTACGCACTCGTCCAGAGTGTCCAGATCGGATCCAACATCTGGCTCAAGTACTGGGTCACCAACTCTGCCTCGGGAAAGCTCACTCTGTCTGGATATCTCGGAATCTACGCCGCCTTTATTGTCGTCTTTCTCCTATTGAGTGCTTTGGTGACCTACTTTGCCATGGTCCTGGCCATTGTCCGTGCGGCAAGACGTCTTCACGAGCGATTGCTGGACAAGGTTCTTCGTTTGCCAATGTCGTTCTTTGACACTACCCCTCTTGGCCGTAATGTCAACCGGTTCTCCAGTGACATTCTGAGCGTCGATGAAATGATCCCCTGGAACATCTTCCACACCGTCATCTGCACCTTTTCTGTTCTTGCGACTATGATCGTCATCGCCTTGAACACACCCATCTTCTTGGCCGTCGTCCCCTTCCTGGTGATCATCTATGGTTTCGTTCAAGCATACTACGTCTGTTCGTCGCGTGCCTTGAAGCGAATCGACTCTGTCACCAAGTCGCCAATCTACCAGCACTTCAGCGAGACCTTGACTGGAGTCACCACCATCCGCGCCCTGGACGCCGGCAAGCAATTCATTGCCGAGAATGCTGCCAGGGCCGATGTGTCTGCTAACGCCTACTTTGCATGGATCGTAACCAACCGCTGGCTGCAGATCCGTTTGGAGTGTCTGGGATCAGTGATCATCCTTGCGGCTGCTCTGTTTGCTGTCTTGGGTCGCGACACTCTGAACCCGGCAAGCGCTGGCCTTGCTCTGTCCTATGCCATGGGTGTCACTCAGGATATTGTCTGGCTTGTGAGCGCCCTCTGTGATCTCCAAAAGTAAGTTTTGCATTTGCTAAATAACTTGTTTGTAGTATGTCGTCGTTTCCTTAATTTTTGCATGTTCTAACTGATCCTCTTTTTTTGATTCCACCGTTTTCCTCCAATAGTCAATTGGTATGCGTGGAGCGTATTGAGGAGTATGCCAACAAGAGCTCAGAGGCTCCTGCTCAGACAGATGTCGTCTTGCCCAAGAACTGGCCCCAGGCTGGTCAGATCGAGTTCCGCAACTACTCGACGCGTTACCGCGAGGGACTCGATCTGGTCATCAAGGACATTGGTTTCACTGTCCAGCCTACAGAGAAGGTCGGCATTGTTGGTCGCACGGGTGCAGGAAAGTCGTCTCTGACACTCGCATTGTTCAGGATTATCGAAGCAGCCAACAGTCACTGGGCCAAAGCTAGTCATAACAGTGCCGACATGGATGTTGATCTAGATGACGAGAAGGACGCCGATGCTGTCCTGGAAAAGGTGCAAGTGGAGGAGGATGGTGGTTCGATCTGGATTGATGGTGTGGACATTTCGAACGTTGGATTGAAGGACCTTCGTCAACACCTCGCCATTATCCCTCAGGAGCCCATTTTGTTCGTTGGAACTGTTCGCGACAACCTCGACCCCTTCGAGGAGATGCAGGACGCAGATCTGTGGGAGGCCCTGGAGCGTGCTCATTTGAAGGACCACATTGGTTCCCTCGAAGGAGGACTCTCCTTCAAGGTGTCACAGAACGGCGACAACTTTTCTGTGGGTCAGCGGTCGTTGATCTGTTTGGCGCGTGCGCTTCTCCGCAAGACCAGGATCCTTGTACTGGACGAGGCGACGGCTGCGGTGGATGTGGAGACGGACGAGCTTATCCAGAAGACGATCAGGAGCGAGTTCAAGGACAGGACGATTCTCACGATTGCGCATCGTATAAAGACGGTCATGGATTCGGACAAGATCCTGGTGCTCGAGAAGGGACGTGTCGAGGAGTTCGAGGCCCCGGCTGTGCTATTGCAACGATCTGATTCGCTCTTCTACAATCTTGCCCTCCAGGCTGGCGAGATCAAGCTCTGATATCCTTTTCGTCACCTTGCTACTTATTCTATGCCCCTAATAAACAATTTTCCTCTGTTGGCTACCACTTTTCCACTTCTTTTCTCTCTTACTTGTCCATCGCTGCAACACACATTCACAAACTAAGCACATTCATCCCCAACAGCTCACACATTCAACTCTCAACATCCATCACACAATACCCTTCTCTCTTTTCTAATGACATCAAAGTACGCGCTCAAAGTCGGATTGCGATCCATCCCTCTCGTCGCAGCCCATGACAAGATCAATCTCAAACAGGTCTCAGAGTTCAAGCCCTTGCTGGCTTGGGCCAAGAACCTTGCCAAGGAGGAGGAACAAGTCGCCAAAGACAATGCTACGGAGAAGCCTCCTGTCAGGGTCGAGAAGGTCGAGGTCAAGAGCGTTGATTACTTTGGACCCCGGATTGGGTTTGTTCACCTGGCTGTTGATGCTGAATTGGCAGAGTCTGGACAGAAGCCTCCTGGACTCGTCTTTATGGTAATTTGGGGGAGGTAGTGTAGATTATTCATGAAAGTAGAACACTATGGACGTGGTCATGTCAAGTTCTCACTGACACTGCTTGGTCCTCTACTTCCAATTTTGTATTTCTAGCGTGGCGGAGCGGTCGCGGTGCTGCTGATTATCAAGACGACAAATCCTTCAGGCGAGACCTTGGAGCATGTTGTCCTGACGAAACAACCGCGTCTCTCGATTCCTTCGTTCAATTTCCCAGAGATTCCTGCAGGGATGCTTGACGGCAGTGGCGACTTTGTGGTAACCTTACTTTCTGCACTTTGTGTATGTATTTTGTGGACATGCATTTCTTCGTCACCCAATTCTTAATTTCACCCCCTTTTTTTTTGGGTTTCTTCACAGGGCAAGTGTGCGGACGAGCTGCAGGAAGAGTGCGGGATCACTTTAGACCACAACAAGTTGATTGACATGACCGAGTTGGCCTATGGCGACCAGTGGGACGGAGTCTACCCCTCTGCCGGAGGATGCGACGAGTTCCTGCGTCTCTTTGTCTGCTTTATTGGTATACCCTTCTTCTTCTGTATCGTTTACTGTCCGCTTTACCTCTTTCTCTTCGATGCATGAGCACAAAACTAACATTTTTCTTGCGTTCTGGTTTTTTTTTGTGGAATGATATAGACAAGGAGTGGCACGAGCTGCAGGAGTTGGAGGGTCGATTGGGAGGATTGAGGGACCATGGCGAGAGCATTTCGTTGACTTTGGTAGCGCTGAAGGATGCCTACAAGGCTGCACCCGATGCAAAGCTCCTCAGTTCGCTGGCCCTCCTCAACGCCCTCAAGGCAGATGGTAAGCTTTAGCTCCCTCTTGACTTTTCGTCACATCTGTTAATACAAAATAAAAAATAAAAGACTGCATGAAAAAAAGAACTGCATGCGTTTATTACTGTTCTTTTGGGGTGTAGATGCGGATGTTCAAATAAACGACTCAAAAGAAGACACGAAAGAAGTTATCTACGCAGTGGGCCTGCCACTGGCAGCGAAGGGGTTAACGAAGAAGGCCATGGTGGAGGTAGCGAGCTTCTTGGCCTCATCGCTGTTCTTCCACTGGTGCATCTTGGGGTCATTCTCAACCGTGTCTCTCAGCTTGAGCAGTGCAGGGGCTTGGCTGATGATATCCATCAGTTCAGTGGCCCAGGGTTGAAAGGAGAAGTGCCTGATCAGATTCGCAGTGCGGATATCAGCCAGCGACATCTATTCCACATATGTAGTTCAAGAAAAAACCAAGGTCAAAGACTGAGTAGCAAAAAATAATCAAAAAGATACAAAGAGTGGGAAAAGGTACCTTGTTGCCAATGTAGTGGCCGTTGTTGCCGTTGTCCATGAGGTGGCGTTCGTGAGTCTTGACCCAATGGGCCAATTTGTTGGCCTTGAAGCCCTCCAAAGCCTTCTCGCGGACCTCGGGCATGTTCCAGACGACAGCGGACTGAAAGTTGGTAAAGAGTGTGGCGGATGAGCAGTGGAAGGCTCGGATCAGGGTCTCTTCATACTCGTTGTCGCCCATCAGGCCAAAGTGCTTGGCCAAGTAGTTCTCGACTGCGTGTGTTTCTGAGATCACTACTTGCTGTATATAGGAGGGGAAAATAATGACGTTAGGAAATGTGTGAGAAGAAGTAGGTGCAGTTGTGGCAGATATTGTGGCAGATATTGTGGGAATTTCATCGATGCAGGAATGTAATGTCGAGTATATGCAGCGTTACCTTATCACCCTTGTTGATGTACAAGACAGGGACGCATCCAAAGGGCGTCTTGTCCTTCTCCTCCAACCAGTTCTATCATCATCAAAAAGAAGACAGCAAAACGACCTGTTAATCTTCAACAATCTTCACATACGCACAGCCAAAAATATGGTAAAGAGATCAACAACAAAAGTCAGAATTGAGCACCTGAGGAGAGACTCCCTCCCAGTTGGCACCTCCATAGGCGAGCAAATCGCGACTGGTCTGGCCCTGGGCCTCAAGAGGGAAGTAGAGGAGGCGGAAGGACTCTGGGTGAGCCATCACCTGGGAGAGTTCGGAGGAAGGGGTCGTTCTGTTGATCTGGGCTGCGTTGGGTGTTGAGTGAGCCATGATGAAGGTGGAGAAATAGGAGGAGGAAAAAAGTGTGTAAGGAATTGAGTTGTGGTGATAGGGTTAATGGAGGGTTGAAGAGAAGAGGAAAAGTAAAGTACGGCGCCTCGTCTTTTTGTAGAGTTGGGGGACGTGAGGATATTAGACGGTCAGTGCCACCAATGCGAGCGGTGTCTCGAGGTCGCTTTTGGTTCAGATGGAAAAAGAGGAAAGGGCATAGTATACAAAATGGCGACGAATGACGACAAACAAAGTGAGCAGCGCAGTCAACGGATTTTCCCCATGCCATAAAAACAATGAAAGCAACAATGATTGTCCAAGGGGTTTATTTTTCAAGTCTGAAGCATGTCTTCCAACAATCGAAGGACTCTAATCTGTGTCGCAATCTTGCCCGGGTCCTGTGTGGAGGACATTAGAGGCACACCAGCCAGTTCCAATGATTCTTGGACTAGTGTGATCTCTTTATCCATCGCCCGAACGACCCTTTGATCAAACCTCTTGAGTTCTTCGTGGTGCGCAGACTTTTTTCGCTGCATCTCGCTATCCACATTCACGCCCATGATCTCGCTTTTGTTGAAGGGTTGGAAGGTAATGAATCAAAAAAGACAAAGTAAAACAGCGAGATGGAGCATGAGAAGAGTACATATTAAAGGGTATATTCCTTGAGGATAAAGCGCCATTGTCAATTGATCAGACAAAACGAAATCGAAGACTAGATTGGTTCGACAACACGGAGACATACCTTGCTTGGAGTTTGACAAGGTCACGTTTGTGCTTGTTCAAGAGCTCCTCACGGTCTTCGTGAAGCGCCCGTTCAGTCTTTGTCTATTGTTGCAAGTCAAATGCACATCCACATGTAAGTCCTGGGCATCAAAGCGGTAGTCGATCCGTTCACATGTCATCAAACGTTAACGAACACTCTTACCTGTCTGGTGCGCAATCGTTTGATCTCATTCAGAAGAGAAAACCCGTTATGGCCATCCAACTCAGCCAAACCGGCGAGCTTCTTGAGCAATTGCGGCGTGATTTTCCCACTGCTGAAGTCGTCGGCCTTCTCCTCCTGAGGGGGTTGTTGGACAGAGGAAGAAGCAGAGGGGGGTTGGTATCCAAATCCTGCTTGTGATGTTTGTGATTGTGGTTGGACATCATGTTGTGGCACAGGCTGTTGTGGTATTGGTGGAGGTATTGAGGAGTAAGAAGGATACGTTGAGGATGTTGACGCAGAAGAAGAGGGGGCTCCTCCTGTATGTTGCAATTCCTTCAAGAGTGCACCAATGGCTGCATTAGGATCGCTTGAAATCCTGTAGTCGTGAGGTTGCTGGATGCCTGGCTGTGCATGTGAAAAGTCTTGAGGATACCCTTGTGACTGAGACTGTTCGTACTGGGTTGGTGCAAAGTAAGTTTGGGGTTGCGCCTGGTTTGATGGTGGTCCTGGCTGAGAAAACGGTTGCTGCCATTGGCTTGTATGTTGTTGTTGCCACTGCTGATGATACGGTTGCTGGTGATGTTGCTGGTGATGTTGCTGTTGCTGATGTTGCTGTTGCAGCTTTTGCTGTTGCTGTTGCCGTGAATACTCCAGAATGGCCTCATCAGATATGTATCCTGGCGTTGTGGCCAAGTTGGCTAGCAGTTGTGCAGCACTGGCACCAATTCCTTGTGATTGAGTTGGCACGAACCCATGGCTGCCTAATGGAGTCACCGTTGGCATTGGTGTCAGCTGGTGTTGCGGCGGCGGTGGAGGGGTAGGAGGGGTAGAAATCGCTGGGACAAAGGGCGCGTTCATGGGTTGGTAGAACTTTGCCATGAGGGAGGATGAGGAGGTGGAGGCTGGGTCCGAGGACCCTGGTTGCTGACCACTTCCCAATGTGTTTCTCCCGCTCATGTTTTACCGCTTCTGTGAGTGACGGTGGTGGCGGTGGTGGTGGTGATGCAGTTTCTGTCCTGGTTCCTGTTGAGTTCCATGGTTGCCCATTGATCGTTTCCTCCTGTCTCTAACTAACGCCACTAAAATGAGCGACTTAATGACGCAAAAGAATCAAGAAGGATCGCATTCACAAAAATTTACCAAGAAGTGACTGCGACACCCCATCCCTCTCCTCCAGCAACGCGCGTCCACTTTTTCGTACGTCTTTTGTGCAGTCGTCGTCGCTCCTCCTGTCCTGGTTCGAAGTTGAAAGGAAAAAGAAGCGTGGACCTGGGTTACGTTCGCATCTGTTCTTCACACACCTTTCTTTCCTTCTTCTTTTACTTCTTTCTCGCTGCTTTAAACCAACTCGACAAAACAACTCAGCACAAGCTAGCAAGCCAACCAACCCGACACTCATAACACCGACACCACTACCACCATGGTATGTCAACGACACCACTGCTCCATGGAGAACCCCTGATTACATTCCCGTCTCATTGCATCCAGCTGTCAAAAACGACGCGCTTCTCTGGAAAAGAAAGAAAGTCTGAGGCTACATCTTTTGCAACAAGTTACTGACGGTATATCTTCGTTAAATAACAACAAATAGTTCCGCAACCAATACGACAACGATATCTCGACCTGGTCGCCACAGGGTCGTCTCCACCAGATTGAATACGCCCTCGAGGCCGTCAAGCAGGGTTCTGCCTCGGTCGGCCTCCGGTCCAACACCCACGTCGTCCTCTTGGCCCTGAAGGTTCGTTTTATCAATACTATCTTTTTAACAATCGAGTCGTAGCAAATACGGAACGTTGCGTCACTGGCTGATATGGGCGACTTGATGAAGAAACGCGAACCAGAAGTGTAAGTTAACCGTGTCGCGTACCATCGCAATCTATATCGACAATAGCGTTCCTCGGGAGAATTGGCTTCGCATCAGCAAAAGTTGTTCAGGATCGACAACCATATGGGTATTGCTATTGCCGGTCTTGTCTCAGACGCGCGTGTTCTGAGGTACGCATTGAGAGAGCGCGCATGTTTTACAGGATTGGATTGACTGTACCACAGGATGATCTGTATTACCCCCGTCACTGACATATCACGTTTGCGTGTGTTGTTAACCATAGCAATTTCATGAGAACCGAGTGCATGAAGTCCAAGATGATGTACGACCGCCCCATGCCCGGAAGCAGACTTGTCTCTTTGATTGGCGACAGTAAGTATCGCAAGAACATTGGATCTTTTAGCCTTCCTATGTTTCCTGCTGTTTATCGCTTGGATCGGAACAGATTATTAACTCCTTCATCGCAATATCTTCATTGTTTGATAGAGGCACAGATTAACACTCAAAACTATGGACGTCGCCCTTACGGTGTCGGATTGTTGGTCGGAAACTACGATGAGGACACTGGACCCCACCTGTACGAGTGCTTGCCCAACGCCAACTGTCTGGAATACTTTGCCGTCAGCATTGGCGCCAAGAGCCAGAGTGCAAAGACATACCTCGAGAAGTTTGCAAAGGACTTTGGCGAGAGTAAGTGTTTCACGAATTACTTTGTACTTTGAGAGGATCTTTTTGAATATGCCAGCTGCCCTTCCTTAATCTAACTCCTTGTCGTTGTTAATTTTTTTTTTGGAAAAATGTTTAGTTGATGTCGATGCTTTGATTATGCACGGTCTTCATGCCTTGCGCGAGACTCTTCAGCAGGACAAGGAGCTCAACATCAACAACTGCTCGATCGGTGTTGTTGGAAAGGGACAGGACTGGCACGTGGTTGAGGGCGACCGCTTGAAGGCCTACTTGGATCAATTAGAGTCTGGCGTTGCCCCTGCTGCAAGCGCAGAGGACTTGCCCCAGGGAGAGGCCATGGACACCGAGTAAAAAAAAGACGACAACATCATCATCATCTTCTCGACAGGACAAGGACAAGAAGGGAAGACTCAGTTTGTGAACATTTGGATTAAAAAATAAAGCCGTTGTTTATGCAAGGGTAGAAATACAAATCAAAACAAAGAAAGAAAGCGTGTATATATAATTAGTCGCTGGAGTCGGTCGTTGGTACAAGAACGTTCTCTGTCGAATGTGTGCTCGGTGCTGTAGAGGATTCTGGACGGGATTTAGAGGGTGCAGACGAGGCGGGTAAATTGCTGCGGCTGGATTCCTGACTGGCACCTCTCGTGTTGACTTGGCTATCGGACGGATCGATCAGTCCCTTCCTTGATATAGCTGCTATAGTAGGAGCCCTAGCTGCTTCTAGTCGCGCTTCGCGAAGGAGGGCTCGCTGAGCACTCGCGCTACCAATGGCTGGATCAACCGACATGCCTCGTTGGATTGCAGCGTTGTTCGGTCCCTTGGTTGCCGAGGAGGGACCTGGTGTACCCATGCGAGGTTTCGTGACCGCTCCTCCTGACCGTGGACCCCGCAGGCGATCATCATGCCCAACAGCTCTCGAGGAAGATGGCGGTGCGGATGGAGCGCGTTGGCTTGGTGTCCTGGATACCCTGCTAATAGGGTGCGAAGGGTTACTGGTTGGGCGAGAGGCGGGTTTGGCCGACTGTGCTCGGGTAAACTTAGAAGCGGCTAATGCAGCGTCGGCAGCGGCTTTTGCTCGTGCGCGTGGGCCCAAAGGTACCTCGGCAGCTGTATCTCCAGAAGCTGCACTGGATACGGATGTTGCAGCGACGGTCGAGAAAGGTCCAGTTTTCGAGCGAGTCTCAGAGGAAGACACCGACTGAGGTGGCACCGATCCAGCCTGTCGTTTCCGGCTAAATGGCTGAGACACAACGGATGGAGGGTCGTTGGGGGCTGCCTTCCTCTTTTGGCTCACCGCTGCAGCTGGGGCATGGCTTTTGCGTGCCGCCACTGGATGTGAAGATACTTCCTCAGCAACCTTCCTGGGCGCTGAGGGTCCAGAAATTGACGACGCGGATGTCTCGGAGGAAGGCGTTGGCGATCCAGAGTTTGAGCGGACGATAGGCATCTCTTCGGTCAGGCCCTTCACCATCTCCATTCTGGTGCTGGTCGTCTCGGCGTTGCTGTCTAGTCCCAGGTCAATCGAGCTCTGGTAAGGGCTCTCGCCGTGCATCTCCCAGACTTGTTTTCGAAGGGACTCGACATTCTCCTTGTTGCCCAGCTTCTCCTCCAACTCGATCGCCCTGAACATCAGCCGCTGGTTCTCGATCCGGAGTTCGTTGTTCTCCTGCTTGATCTTGACGTGATACTGGAGCTTCTGCTTGGGGTTCTGGTGCTTCATGATGTTCTCATTAACTAAGCCCAAATCTCGGACCTGCTCCATCAGCTTGCCATTTTCTGTTGCCAGGCCCTCAAACAGAGCTCGTGTCTTGTCGCGTCTCTCAACCTGCTGCTGAACCAGAGTCTGTTGTTCCTCCTTCATCTTCATCAACAACTGTCGTTGGGCCAACAACTGCTCCTCCTTCAGCTTGCGCTTGGTCTCCTGGATGAGCAACTCCTTCTCGGTAGCCTCCTGCTCCTCCAGTATTGCTTTACCTTCCAGCAAGGTCGCCTCCATACGCTCAACCTTGACACGCTCCTCGTTCAACTCCTCCTCCAAAGCACCCATCCGTTCCTTGTTGTGAATTGCCTGCTCCTCCAGTTGCTGCAGTTGTGCCGTCTTTTGTTGGACCGTTTCGAGCGCCTGTTCGACTTCCCGCTCGGCAGTTTGTCGCTGAACTTCGACATCCTGCAGCCGCTTCTCCATCTCCTCGGCAATCTTCAAGGTACTCGCTTTGGAGTCATTCAACAGCTGCTCGTTCATCTCCTGTGCCAAGGCCACGTTCGCCTCCAGCTGCACAGTACGCGTCTGAGACCGGACAAGTTCCTCACGGGCCTTTTCCAGCTCCATAGTACGCTTCAGTTCTCGCTCGTGGAAGCCCTGCTGCTGGCGCTCCGTAATGGCTGGTCCCAAGTCTGCAAACTGAGCTCGCAGCTCCCGGAACTTGCGCTTGTACTCCTCGTTCAGCATGTTCTCGTTGGTCTTGACAGCAAGATCGTTCCTAGCCTTGCTTAGTTGATATTCGAGCTCGTCCTGAACAGTCCTATACTCCATCTCCGAAGTTCTGTTGCTGTCCCGCGCCTGGTCGAGCTTCTGTTCTGCCTCTCCGACCTTGCGGGCCATCTCCGAAACCTTCTCCCGAAGCTCGTTCCGTGTGGTCTTCAGACGCTCCTTTTCCCACAACTCCTGCTTCAACTCCAGGGATACCTTGCTCAGTTCCTGCTTCTGCTCCTCAAGAGTGGTTTCCAGTGCGAGGTTCTTCGACGAGATTGTCTCGATCTGGAACGCAAGGCGACTCTTCTCCTGTTGGAGCTCCACCGAGACCTTATTCAGCGCCTGCTTCTGCTCCTCCAAAGCGGCCTCCAAAGCAAGGTTCTCGGCGGACATCAACTCGCCTTCGGAGGACAATGATTCGACTTGAGACGTAAGGCGGCTCTTCTCCTGCTCGAGTTCCTGGGACATCTTGCTCAGTGCTTGCTTCTGCTCCTCCAGAGTGGCTTCCATCTCCAGACACTTGGACGACATTGACTCGACCTCAGCTGCGAGGCGATCCTTCTCCTGCTTCAGCTTCTCCGATTCCTGGCACAGAGTGGCGGAGAGTTCCTTAGTGCTCTTCATCTCCTCAATGACAGTCTGCTTGGCCTCCAACGCCTCCTCGCCTGCCTTGATAGCCTCGGCAAGTGAATCTTGGAGTTCGCGCAGCTGTTGATCTTGCTTCCGGGCATCGGCCGTGAGCTCCTCCAATTTCTTCTGGTGTGCCTCGATGAGGAATTGATTCTCCGTTTGCACCTGCGCACGGTGCTCCTCAAGGTCTTGAGTGTGCATCAGCTTCAATGCCTTGATCTGATCCTCGAATTGCTGCTCGCGCTCCTGCAGGATCTTGTTCGCCTCCTGCATCGAAGAATCCATCGCCTCCTTGACAGCTTGGAACTCTGCCTCGAGGCTCATGAACTTGTCTTGTGCGGATTTGAGTTCAGCTTCTAGAGCAGCCTTCAACTCCTGTTCAGCCTATAAGCAAATGAAGAAATATCGTTAGGCACCACAGAAAGTCTCAAATTTAAGTAAGACCAACAAACACTAGCGGATTATCGCATACCTTCAGGGCGGTCTCATGCTGCTGCAGCTGTTGTTGCTCCTTCTTTTCGTGTTCTTTGGAAGCATCAGAGCTGGCGGCACGAAGGGTCGAGAGTTCTTGCTCCAAGGCGGTCAGCATGTCCTCCAGCTTCGACTTGCCGGCACCCAGTGCCTCATGGTTCTCCAGCAGGATTTGATGCTCCTTCTCCAGCTGTGACCTGGTGCTATAGGCCTCAACCTTCTGTTGTTCGAGCAGCTTTTCGATATCATCCTTGGCCTTTGACAGTTCGGCCTTGGTCTCGTCCCACTTTGACTCCTTCTCCTGGAACTCGTTGATCCGCTTCATATTGTATTCGACTTGATGATCGTACTCCTTTTGGTTCTCCAGTAGACGCTGTCGAGTGTCGTCCAGCTCCCTGTTGACTGCCTTGTACTGCTGTTCGACATCGCGAAGGGTCTCCTGGAGTCGATCACGCTCCTCCTCCACTAGGATCGAGGCAACTCGCATCTTCTCCATCAGTTCGACCTGCTCCTGCATCTCCTTGTTGAGGTCGGACACCTTGGCGGTTGCCTCCTGCTCCATTGACGCCAAGGCATGTCGGCTGCTCTGTAGATTACGACCCAGTTGCTCCGCTTGGTTTGTGGCCTGCTCCAGACACTTCTCCATAGTGATCAGTTGGAACTGTGCGTCAGAGTAATCCTTCTCAAGAACTCCCTTTTCATCGACCAGTACAGAGTTCTCGTCCTTGAGGCGGTCAACATCCCGTTTCAACAGTGTCATCTCCACAGAATCGTCGCTGTGCATAGCTGAATGGGCCGAGAGACTGTCCGAAAGATTCACACCCAAAGCCGAAGCGCCGGAGGGCTTGCTCATAGGGGTGCTGTTTCCAGATAAAGGCGAGCCGACGACGCTGCGATCGTCGCCATCCAACAACATGGGATCTGGCTTGCCAAAGTTGCCAGAGAGTCGACGGTACTCAGCCTTTCTATTCTTGTTTACCCTCTGGAGCAAGGATTTCATATCGCTGGAGAATCGTCTATCAGCGTCACGGATCTTGGGCGGCGATTCCTGCATAAGATCGTCGATGCCTTCGATCCTGACAAAGTCAACATCCTCGTTCTCCTTAGGTGTGGCGCTTCCAAGCTTGGTCCGAAGGGTTTCGTTCTCGTGCTCGAGCTCCAGGATTTTGCCGGACAGGTTGTAGAGGTACTCCTTGTCCTTCTTCTGCTTCTCCTCGAAATCTTCCAGACCAGACTGATATCTCTCGAGCTTGGCCAGCATCTCTGTAGAAGGTACAATGAGGTTAGCCTATCTGTCAATAAAGGTCGCGCTGGCAGACACAGTGCCGTGTGATATGAACATGAATATTTACCTCGAAGACTCAGGTTTTCAGCCTTGACCTTCAGTACCTCTACAAAAATAAGAGTAAAAAACGTGTTAGATAATTCACATTTCAAACAGCAGCTAATTGATACAGAATAGTACATAATCCATCCGAGGTAATTCAAAAGCATACCCGGGTGAAAGTCCAATTGTTTTCGCAGTTGTGCCACTTCTTCCTGGAGCGCACCCTTCTCCGCTTCCATGGCTGCACTTGTCACGCCCTTGCGGTACGAGACCAATGCACTCTCCTTGAACTTGATGATCAATTGAGCGGATTGAATCTGCTTTTCTCTAGCCTTACAGGCATCGTCTAGCATGAAGCCCTTCTGCGCCATCGCCATATGCTCCTCCTGCTCAGCTCGAAGTTTTGCTAGCGTCTCCACAAGGAGCATATTGGCCATACTAGTATCTAAATCTAGAGAATTAGACCATGATGCTGTCAGTATAGGAGGCATCTTTTTCAACTGGCCACAGGGTCTTCTACGATAAACAGTACTAGAGCATCACTTACTGTTGCCGCCCGCGGCTTGTTTCAATCCCAGCTCAGCCTTCAGTCTTTGAATCTCTGCTCTCAGTTCATTCACGTTCCCCTGGATATCCTCGTTCACAACGGCCTAGTAGATTCCATTAGGAAGAGGTGAGGTAATTAGCATAGCGAAATGCTTTGTTTCAACATCATTGTACACCGACGTTGTGGCGTATTCATACCTTGTTCTTGATCATCTTTGCACGCTGGGCAAAACGCAGTGTGCTCAAACTCTCCTGGTAGCAAAGTGCTGAAGGCGAGACGTTGGCGACGATGAAGGTATTCGAGTTTCCTCCAAGCGAATCCTTCAGCAAAAACGTCAATCGGCTATCACGGTAATGCTGAGTAACAATGGAGCGGAGTCAGTCTTTGACCATATTCCTAGTCCGAATTTGATATATAACAACATATCCTATCTCTGTCGACGTAACATACCACATGGCGGGAGTGACCTCCAGCAATTTCGCCGAGCGCATTGATGACCGAGCCGAGGCAGAGCAGACTCTTATTGATGTTTCCAGCCTCCTTCAGTCGAAGGCCCTCAGTGTTGGCCAGTTTCTGTCTCTCTGATCCTGCTAAGTCCACGAGGTTGAATCGCGATTCTCGAATGTGGTTGATTCCATCGACGAGTGCCATGGATTGAATAGTGAGTGTCAGGACTGTATGCGAGCGACTGGATTCGCGGTTCATAGCGGTAGCACTGACATGTCGGTTAGCGGCGCCTTGTTCAAACAACTATAGGGAAATCGATATATGAATTCACGTTAATTCCTGAACTAGATGCCTCCTTTTGCCTGCCAGCGAAAGCGCGACTCCAATTCCAGTATTTACTTTGTATGCGTCTTCCGGGTTGTGAATGGACTCTTCAGTTACTCCATCGACATATACGCCACGCTTGATATCCTCTCGTGTTGCCCGGGCAGTTGTCGAGTTGTCGAGCAGGTCGTAGATCATCTCGTTGTAGCTAATGTAGACCAATATGGCAATAGGTCAGCTTGTGCCACTGTTCTAATGATGGACCACCATGTCATGAGTGATCCTGCGATCCTGCACTTACATTTCGATGTAGGAGGCCTTGCATAGATACTTGACCGAGCTGACCATTTGTTCCTCTTTGGCGATCAAATCAAAGACTATTATAATCAGCGACAAAACGACGTGATAAGTAATCATGATCGCTCGCTCTGCACATTGCCCAAGTAAGCAACGAAAATCGTCGCTCATTGAACAGGGATACATACGATATTCCAAGCACCGGGGGATAATGCCTCGGTGCTCATGCTTGCCGAGACTCGTCATGTTGGATGGTCCTTGCATGGTGTATGTTTTGCCGCTTCCAGTCTGCCCATATGCGAAAATGGTCTAATATTGAATTGGGATACACGTTGCATTGTTAGAAACATCGTTCCTGATTCCTAGAGTTAACGCTGAACTATTACCTCCACGAACGAGATATCATGTGTCCTTACTCCGTTGTAGCCCTTGACGCATTGCTCCACGATTGTCTTTCCTACGTCGCTGTACAATGCGACAAGCAGTAAGCACGTTTGCACATTAGTACCTCCAAGCTAGTTCTCAAACTGCTCCGCAACAATCTAGAACATTAGAAAATCCACTTTTCACACTGCGGACAAAATTAATGGTTCGTACCGGAAGACCTGCTCCTGAGAAGTAGATTCGCCTCCTACACAATCATATGTGAAAGTGTCGCTCTTCGTCCCTGCGCCAATGGCAACATGACTATTTGTTCACAATAACAAAAGTTGTTAACCGGTTAAAAAGAGTAGTTTGCACTGCACACGAACAGCTACTGCGATGAAAAACGAACGAGTGGATCGAACAGACTTCTTACTTGGGCTGGAGCACTGAAACGGTGGTATTTCCATGGGCGCCTTGGCTACTGCTAGAATAGGAGTCTGAGGCCAGCTCTCGTTCGTTTGGTGGTCGCACCCTGACATATACTTTGACGTGTTCCGAGGCGCCTGTCCACAGCCTTTGTGAGTTGATAGCCATGAAAAAAAAGAGGATAGCTTAGTTAATGATCTCCAAGGACTGCTAGCTCCTGATGTTTCCAGGGGAGGAATGTACCACTACGTTGGCATATGAAAAACATCGGCATGAAGTCTTACCCTGTATTAACAATAGCGAAAGCAAGAGGACAGCAATGAACAGTAAAGAGAGGAAAAGTGAGGGGTTAGGTTGGTGGTGGCGTTTCTCCAATGCTGGTGCTGGTGGTACTGAAGTTGTTGTGATGAGACTCATTCGACCAGGCAGTGTGAAGGTGTGTTGTGTACCTGGTGCTGGTATTGACAGCATCACGCAATGGTCTGAAAGTTGAGTTAGAGGGCGTTGATGGAAGGTAACTGTACAGAAAGCGGGTGTGTCTAAGAAAGGGAGAGTGTGTGTGCGTGTGCGTCGTGAAGGTGTTGTTGGTTGTGTGGGTCGAAGGTGTCTGAGAGGAAAGTGTGCAGTGCGAGAGAGCAAGAAGAAGGAAGGAATCAACGCAAAGTACTCAGCAGAGGTCGGGGAGAAAAACAAACAAGTGTCGCGATTTTTTTGGAGGAAGTGGCTTTGGTGGCAAAATATAATAAAAAAAGTCGCGTCGCAATGAAAAAATGGTTTATTGGATCTAACTGAAGATGTGTGGGAAGGAGGAAGGGGCGTTGCGGTTGTTATGGAAGTGGTTGTGATGGTTGTGATTATGGTTATGATTATGCTGCTGTGGGTGTGGATGCTGGTGTGGGTGTTGAGTCATACTGGGGCCGGATTGGGGAATATTTGGATGGTTGGGTTGGGTATCGCCCGCGAGCGTTTGTTCCAACAGCGCCTGAATGTGGTCAGTGCTCAAGTTGTCATCTGCCTCTCCTATCGACTTTTCGCGCGAGTCCGGCTTCATCTGTGCTGAAATGCCTCCCAGTGATATTGGCCGATGTTGCTGCTCTGCCGAATGCTGTAGATGCTGGGCGCTGAGAGTCCCGTACAAGTCATCGGGGTTTGCGGTGGGTGCGCTCATCACATCAAATAATCCAGACGGTATCGTTGGGCCTCCCAAAAGCACACTCTGCTCCAAAGCGCGAGGGACTGTATTCGTCATCCCATCAACTCCCATAAAGTCGCTCCAGAAGGACGGAGTGAGCACATCAAACGTCGGTGCAGGTTGGTTCGCTGAACCGTCAAAAAGTCCCTGGGACCGATCCATCTGGCCTTGCTGTTCTAGCGCAACCTGCTGCCGTTGTTGATGCTGCAGGAATAATTGTTGCTGCAGTTGTTGCTGAGTCAGCTGATGTTTGTGTTGCTGCAGCTGCAGTTGGTACTCTTCATGCTGTTGACGATGTTGCTGGTTGTGCTGATCCTGCTCTTGCTGTTGTTGTTGTTGCTGTTGTGGATGATAGACCTGGAAGACGTCATCTGCTGGATCCGAAAGATGGGCGGTCTGGGGGATCGCGCTGCTGTTGGGAGGTTGGCTGAGAATGGCGGATGATGTTTGGTACTGACTGAGACTTTCCATCACCGCAGGTCCTCCGAAGGGGCTCACATGCTGGCAGACCTTTTGGACCTTGCCCCAATTCTGGTACATCTCTGAACTCTCCTGCGGGTCAGCGTTCATTGGATCCGAGGTTGACATGAACCCATCGTGGTTCTCCTGAGTGAGCGGCGTGAAGAGGCTTGTGCCGGAACGATGGGGTTCCTCGTGCGGCATGTGGCTGTGCCGTTTCCTGTGTCCGCCAGATCCAGTCTTTGATCCCTTAGATGATTGCGATGAGGGTGAATAGGCCCTGGTTCTTGCGCGCTCCTCTCGGCCAATCTTAACCAAGCGACTCAAATTCCTGGCGTCGCTGCCAGCTGTTAAAGGCCGTTGAGGCTCCTGGCCATCAGTTGATGTCCGTCGCAGGGCAATCTTGTTCCTTTTGGCGATCGCCATGCTCTTGATGGCAGAAGCACAGATGTGCACGGTCGACTCGCTCACTCCACTGACGCTGTGCATGAACTCGTCAAAGAACGTCATGATGCAGTTGAACAAGTCCTTGTCGATAATCACTTGTGGGGACGCGTAGAACTCCCGGAAGAACCGAATCAAAAAGTCAAAGTCATCCTTTGCGCCTAGGCGGATGTTGGGCTCGGGCGACTTGATACACATCGCCAGGATCCTCATCGCGTTCACAATTGCACACTCTCCGATTCCTGTGATCTGATACGTCTTGGTGAATGTATTGACGAGGGTCTTTACAATCGAAGTGATCTTTGAAGCCGCCTTCATACAAATATCCAGTGACCGAGAGGCTACGCGTGTGGATGAATCCGATGATGACGACATGAATGGCTTGTGAAGCAAGATAAGTGTGGACTCGTACAACATCTGAGCGATACCTGTTAAGAGCATGCAACACATGTACGATATTAATAACAGTGTCCCGATCTTGTCGTCGTCCTCGACCCATTAACATCGAAATAGACTCCAATGAAACTTACCAGCGCGGGCATTGTACTTCGCCAAGGGATCACCTGGGTCCAACTCGAAGCTGAATCGCAGTGCTGCTGGTAACTGAAGCTGCCACTGAATCAATTGCTGCTCGTAGTTCTTGGGTAGACTCCCTGGTCCTGATGCCATCCCCTGAATGTCCTCTGCGTTAAAGACAAACTGCTTGACGTTCCTGTATATCCGCCAGAGCTTGCAGAGATGAAGCAGGAAGAGAGTGTTGGAGTACTCAAGCTCGCCCTCGGTTGCATTTGGATCCACTAAGGGCACGTCAATTTCGCTGTTGTCGATCAAAGGTCGCCGCCCTGTCACACTTGCGGTAGAGCTGTCCTGTGCATAGACACACCAGAAGACCCTCTTCCTCGTTTCTTGAACTTGTTTGTCGGGAATCCAGCGATCGCATTTCCTGTGTAACCCCAGTTCCATGGCCATCAGAATAGCCTGCTGGATAAAGTGGTGTCCTATTCCGACAATCTTGGGGTACTGCGAAAGCATCATGAGTCCCTGAACTGTCGACACTCTAGGGACTCCGAGACAATAGTCCAGTACCAATCTTGCCCTCTCGAAAAATGGTGTCCCCATTGACAGAATGTCTCCGACTATGGAATAGCATGATGGATGGGTGCATTCTCCGGTAACAGCCGCCGCCATGAAGACACTGTTCAAAAGGAAGATACTCTGGGGCTCATGACGGTCCTCGAGAGCTTGCAGGAGGGCAGCCTTTTGGATCATCGGCATAAAGACATAGTAATGCTACAAATGACACAAAGTAGATCCCATTGTGTTGTTAGTATAAAAGCCTGGTACGTAAATAGGCTTTCATAGAAACCAGAGAGTTCCTCACCGAGTAGTAAATGTCGAAGAGAGCGTCGATCACATCCACTGGTGGCATGACTAGCGCCTCTGGTGGAATATCGATGTCGGGAGCCTCGTGGACGTCAAAGGAGATCTCCTCGTCCCAAAACTTCTCCGTGTCCGTGTGTGAGAACATCATGGTGCCTTTCCCGAAATAGAACGAGGCGTCGAAAAGTCGCAGTTTGTCCATGGTTGCTGCTAGTTCGTCGAAGTCGCTGCTATCATCACTTCCGCTTTCGTCCAGAGGAAAACTATCGGGTGACGTGAAGGCGGGTGCATTTGGTGAGGCCGATGATTGAGAAGGTGCCACATGCTATATGAAATATGAGAAAAAACAGTGTTAATAATACACGAGTAATGCAAGAAGGAGAAGTCCTTGGTTGTTAAACAAAGAATGTACCTGCGATAGCTTGCTGCTGCCGACAGGTTCCTGTCGTGGCGACTGCTTAGGTTCCAGAATGTTGAGGTTGTCCCTTAATGCTCGAGAGTAAGATGGTATGACTGGTGGGTCAGGCGTCTATTGGAGAAAAATTGTCCAGAACGAAGACCTCAACGTCAGACAAATGGATCCATGTTGACAGCAGTGTCCATAACTTCGTTGTTCCTGTCCACTCACCCTTGACATAGAGTCTTGGTCTGAATAGGGTACGAACGAGAGCAGACTCTCCCTTGGAGAATTAACATTCGCAAAGTCGCTGTCAGTTGATACGACTCCTGCTGGTCCCTGTCGCTGGTAGTGGGTCGACGTCGTTTCCTTAGACTTTGTTGTTGTTGTTGTGGTTGTTGCCTGAACTGAAGATGAGCCTGAGCCGAGATTTCCATGGATCAATTCCTGCACCTGCGATGCAGGCAAAACCTTGTTCAGCAACGATTCCATATGACGGAGACGTTCCGAATATGCCGACTCGATGCTCTCCAAACGTGCCTCCAGGATCCCGACTTCGGTTTGTGCCTTCTTTCGCTTAGGTGGTGGGGGTTTGCCGAGTAGAGATGTACACTCCATGAGTCCTGCATGAATACATGGTCCACACGTCGGTTTCGCCTGGTCACACTTTGTCTATATCGACAGAAAAAGCGGCACCAAAGAGTCCCCAATGAGGAGGAAAAAACATGTCAGTTTTTTTTTTGTTGTTCTTGCTAAAAGGCGTCTTTAGTGGGCTGTCGTAGTCGTCGGTAATGGAAATAATATTATGTGGGATGTTGTGAGTCGTAAAAACGTCAGTCAAGCCCAGGGGGCTAGATCCAAGAAGAATGCAAATACCTTTCTCCTTCGACACTGATCGCATCCAAGGATGCCCGACGACTTTTTCTTTTTGGGTTTCTGTGGGACCGATGAGACGTCGATTGTTGGGTTGTCCACTACCGAGTTGTCTGCTGTGGGGGTATCCATGATCCTCAGTTATGTCCTCCAGGACAAATTCTATTGATATCCTACTGCGAAAACAGTCGAGAAGAGTGAGTTTTCAGGAATTAAGTAGCAACTAAAGCGCCCAGAACTTCCTTGAATGAGAAGAGAGGTTGTAGGTGTTTTACGTCCTCATCGCCTGCCTGTGGTTCAGCAGTTACTTTTCACTCTTGCTCTACATTTTAAGTCGCCCGTTGCTTAGCATGTCAGGGTGTCGGCCATCCGGAGAAGAATGCCTACCTGGGGTACGTAGGCTGGCAATGTGAGAGTAAGGTTCCTACAGGTAACCGTTCAAGAGTGGTTGTTGATTCTAATGCAAAAGGGTGTTGACCAAAGCGTGCTGCAATGCTGGTTTATGTAGGATGAAGATGGACCCTTTTCGAATCATTTTCCTTTTTCGACAGAACAGCCAATTTTTTTTAAGTGGCTGCTGCGCTTTACATATACTGTGCTAAACGCTAAGGACTTCTGCATGCTTTTGCTCCAATCCATCTATCAACTGCCTTATTCTCTTTCTACCCCTTGATACCATCTCAAAGGGACCGCTTCGCAGATTGTTCGTCCCTCCCTGTTATTTTCGCAATTGTTTTCACCAGAGGCATTCATTCGACCTGGAAGAGGAGTGAAAAAGAGTGGCTGTGGGGTTTTTTCTCACTTGCACGACGACCGTTTTTTATCAAAGATTATCTCTGCTCTATCAGCGAGATAGACAAGGTGATCAGTGATGGTGCCTGGGATCATATCAAGACGAGTCAAGGCAGAGTGTGATGGCGATGGTGCCTGGATAGGATCGACCTTCTGTTGATTGTCAATGCTCTTAGGGTGAAAGATTGGGGCGCCATTATCCGCAAAGTGTCACGAGTACCATGGCCCGCTTTCGTGTTTACAATAGGGCTGTTTCCTTGCAAAGGTCCCTACCATCAGAGCTCTTCAGTTTTTGTCACTGACTCGTGGCGGAAGAGATGAGAGAGAGAGAGAGAGAGAGAGAGTCCATGGTATTTTGCTTTATAAATGATATAATATTGAATGGCAAGAAACCCCATTACACACCTGGCAAAGATAGGTGAGCGATCCAAGAAGCCCGCGAGGCGACTTGTCAAGCAAAATGATGAAAAAAACACTCAATCGCTTACTTTAGAAACGAGGCGTCCCAAGGGTCAATTGATTTTTCGAGCGTCAGTCTGGATGGAGCCTATATTCGCCACAGGACGAGCGTCTTATCTTGAGTGGCCGCGGCGTTTTTAGTGGGCAGTCGGTAGGGTTGGCACATACAGTCTATCCTACACCTATTTTTGGCCTGTTCGCCGTTTTTTCACCCGCGCATTCCATGCATTACTATAATTCTCAATTGGTGCGACCAACTCGCTCTTGCCCTTCCTGGGACATTTTCGCTCTTACCCTTTCCAGGGACATTTTTTTGAACCTAGGTAATGTTGTGGGCATTTGTGTGAAATGTTCTCAGGTTTCCTGTGTTTCTTGAACGAACCGGAGAAAGAAAAGATTCATTACAGGGACTCAGCAAAGGAGCGGCATATTGTTGATTTTTTTATAGTCTTGGGGAGAGAAATTGACGGTTGAGGCGCGATTGGTGTCCTCGTAGAAAAGCCCTTTCTCCCTATTCATTCCTTCTAGGTTGTCTGTGCTAGCTTTGTTTTGCTTACTTGGCTAATCCGTCAAATGTTCTTTGATTTGTTGTCGAATGGGTGAACCAATGAGGATCTGGTGTTCAGCCCTTCACTCCACTTCATCTCCGGGGTAGGCTGGTTTGTGCGCTTTTGGAAAAAAGAACAGACTCTCCAACTCATTCGCTTCTTTACCAATGCTAGTTGCAGATTCTACTGCTATGCGATACCATTTTGTGTTTCATTTCGTAAGAGAATGCTGATTTATGCGAGACTTTGCAATGCGGAAATCGTAGACATTGTGTGAGGCGAGTTCGTATTGTCTCAATGCAATAGAGATCGGGCGATCGAGCGTGTAGGAGAGATTGGATATACAGGATGATGAGGCAGACAAAAACAATCAAAACTGGAAACATGAAGGGAGACAGGCGAAGTAGTTAGTGTAGGCAGGAGGGATATATCTTGAACACGACATGGACCCACTACCTCGAATTTGACACCTCGAGACGAGAGATAACGGAAACGCGCAATTTTTATGCTCTCATGGATATTAGAAAAAACGCTCGTGCAAATAGTTTTCTTGAGACGTTACGTATCGTTCGAAAATACTTTGGAAAACTATCGCACATGCACGTTCATTCACCCTTACTCTCCCCCCCTCCTCTCTCTCTCTCCCTCTCTCTCTCTCTCTTTATCGCTTTATCGCGTTCCCCTTTCCCCGCCACTCGTCCGCGCTGAGTGTGATGTCACGAAAGTCATTATGTGGTCTTTTTAGGCAATGCAACTTTTTCCCTTGCGATCCCTAATCAAGTCAATTCGATCGACTCCCATGCTCTAGCCAAAGTCAATTGCATTCGCGATCTCTCCTACCCTCCTCTTCTTCTCCTTCCTCTCCCTCTCCTTATCAAAGGAAATCTATATGTTGCATGAATCAAGAAGGGGATGGTAATGCATCTGTTTGGATGGAGACGAAACCAAGTAAGGTTCGATCTTTCACTCACTATTCTCAACCATATCTCTTACAAAGAATAGAAATTGGACGGCGATTATTTTCTTTGCTCTCCTCTCTTTATTACCCCGTTCTTATCCTTGCTTTCTTCCTCACTTTGCCCTGTCTATGAACCGTAATTTCCACGTTTAGTTTTTGTTGGTTCCTTCATGATGGGCGACATTCACAGCACAAACTTTCTTTAGCGGAGGCGGTGGTTTTTTTTCCATAGAATCTTAGTTCCCTTTTCTGTTTGCGTATGTCATGATGATGTCTCCGTCCTTGAACAATGGACTGAACTGAAAGAATGAAAGTGGATCAGAGAGCGAAAAGGCTACGCGAGTGCAAAAAAAAAAAAGGAACAAGTCGATAGTGAAAACAATTAGAGTCAAATCCTCGACGCGTCGAAAAAATATCCAGCTAGAAGAATTATCTGCGGAGAGTACAAACACTTTCATATCCATCAACACAAACAAACAAGAAAAAAGTTTGCGACCTAACCAGGAAGAGGGTGGGAGAAGCGGTTTTGTCCAAGTGAGCAAACCCAGTTGTAAGGAAGGGAGAGGGAAAATAAGGTGGCACACACTCAATAGCGCATTTCGCGTATTTTTGGACTGTAAAAAATCCACACTTTCATTGCCGAGGCTGAGCGCGCGCGTCCTGATTCGAAGGTGGATGTGGCCCTGACCTAGCTGGCTAGCACGGAATTTCATTCATGGGTTGCTAATGAGGTGTTTTAAGAAGCGAGTTGAGTTTCATTGATGCACAACTCCCGCGTTCCTTTTCCCCTTGGCCTTTGTGTCCTGTGTCTCTTGGTGTGACCCTCTTAAATCAAATGTCCCCCTCTCTTTCTCATTGACTGACTCCTGCTGTTACACAGGATGGGATGAATGGTTCATTTAGTTTTCCGGCGGAAAGTACATGTGGGAGGAGAGAGAAGAGAAAATGCGAAAGAAACATGAGGAACAGAGAGTCGTTGATCCGCAATGGAGGAGGCGTTCAGTCTCCTCAAGGACAAGCACACCGTCCGTCGAATGATCCTCTTCTCCATCCTTTCTTCTTCCTTTAAAGAACAGGTCCTCCTCGTTGCTTCTTTCTTCTTTCCTTATTCGATCATTCAAAGGATCGTACTGTAGGTGAAAGGCAATTTACCATGTCCACAAATGACCGCACACGCGGTTGGTAATTAGACACAAGATGTGCGTAAACACAACAGCATGGGTCATTAGATAGAACACCATAAAGAAATCCTTGTCCTGGATGAAGTGGGTGCGGTGGGTCTCTCCCTTTCAATTTAACCTTCTGTTTCTGTATCATAGTATCATAAGAAACTTTGTACCTGATGTGATGATGATAATGATGTGCTCAATGCCCTTCCTCTTCAAACTGACCCGGGATACAGAGGATTAAAGAAAAGAGTCGTCTGTATCGAATCTGAGAAGACACACCACTCACATCGGTCAACGATTAGGATTTCCTATCCATGCCTCTCTTGTCCCTTGTCGTAGTCACTCCCTTTGTTGCGCTTTTGCGCGATCCCGCAATTTTGGGTTATATCTTGCATGACAAGTTACTCTTTTAGTTTATTTTTTCTCAGAATGACAACAGATCGTCTACACAAATACACGCGCCTTTTTTTTGTTAGTCTCCAAAACAATACCCCTCAACCTGCTCCTCTCTCTCACTCCTTTGGCAATTGTTCTCGGGAATCAGCAGTTCATGCCGTCCCTTACATCCATCTCCCCCTGTCATATTTCAAACTCATAATGAAGAGCGGGTATATTACGTTTTTTATATTACAAGATCCTAGTTTACAATGAATAATATGATACTATATACAAGTTGGGTTGGGTTGGTACAAGGACAAGGGTTTGTTGTTGGAGGAAGGAAAAAAGACAGTGTAACATGGTCGTTCCTGGCCAGGATGTTTTTTTCTCTAGTCCTTTTTCTTGTCTTCCTGCAAAGTGAACTTGGCAGGATCGGAAAAGGGAGGGACAAATATCACTCGAGTCGAGATGGGTGGTGATTTATCCACTCGCCTTCATTGCGCCTTCGATAGCTGAGCGCAGCTTGGAGGGATCAATAGGCTTGCTGACACAGTCGGACATCCCGACCTGTCGATAGAGCTCCCGCTGCTCTGCGCCATCGCTGGTCGTGACAGCAATGATGGCCACGTTCTGGTTGTGCTCGAGAATAGGGGACTCAGAAGTGTTCTGGCGAATGGCAATAGTGGTCTGGACGCCGGTGAGGACAGGCATGTCAATGTCCATGAGGATGAGGTCGAACTCTTCTGAGGCGAGCCTCTGGAGGGCCTCGACACCAGAGGTCGTGATGACCGTCAACTGGACAATGTCGGTAAAGTGCTTTTCGAGCATGCGCGAGAGGATGGAGAGGTTGATCGAGTTGTCGTCGACAATCATAACCTTGATCCTGCGCAGCTGATCCAGTTGCAGGGGAGAGTTGAGACGAAGGGTGTTGTGGCCGTGGATGCTGTCGACACTCATGGTGGGCGAGGGCGGAGAGCCCGGGGGTGAGATAGAGGCAGGCATTGGCATGGAAAAAGTCGAAGGGCAGGAAGAAGAGATCTTGGGCGAAGAACGCGAAGAGGGCGAAGAGGACAGAGTCGACGACATGGTGGGCGATGGAGGAGGAGAAAGTACTTGGATAGTGTCTTTGAGGGAAGAGGAATAAGAGAATCTGCTTGGCGGAGATGGTTGAAGAGGCGAAGTTGTTGTATTTGTAATTGGACACATTGATCGTAGTACTGAACAAAGCATGGTTGACTGGGTCGGATGAGAATCGGGGGTGAGAGTCGAGTCGAAAATGGTGAACGGTCCTTTTTTATAGTTGTCGAATTCCTGGACGGGTAAGCACCAGGAACGCGACGGCTTGTTTTTGGTAGGGGTGGGTGGGGTTGAAAGAGAGAGGGAGTGACGAGATGATGACCGCAGTAGCTAGGAAGTAATTGTCTGTGGTTGGTTGGACGAAGAAGGGGAGCGAGTAAGCGCGAGGAGGCGAAGGGCGAGAGGGTGGGCCGTTAGGTTGCGTTAGGACAAAGGGAGGGGATAGGGAAACTATCGCAAGTAACGAACGGGTAAGGCGAAGAGGGAGGGAGAGTTGGATGTGGTTGAGGCAATGGTATCGCAATGGACGTAGTAGGTATGAGTAACTGAGGTTGAGAGTTGGTTGAGTAGAGGCGAGAGAGAAAGAAAGAGTGAAAGAGAGAAAGAGTGAGAGAGAGAAAGAGTGAGAGAGTGAAGGAGTGAAACAAAAAAAGAGAAGAAGAAAGAAGGGAAAAAAAGGAGGGAGAGGAAAAAGAGAAAGGACGGGCCCTTTTAAAGGACTTGGTCGATGCACCACTCACCCAAAGGGTCCCTTGTGCCGCCCCTCTTTTTTCTTTTTTTTTTTCAATTGAATACACCCACCCCATTGACTCCGCGGATGTTGTTGCATTGGACAAACAATGAGCACGATTGAATTGAATCCTTATTGTTTTTGTCATTCAATTGTTTTCTCTTCTTTTTATTCATTATTTTGCTCACTCTATGTCCATCTTAAAAATTAAACATGGCCATGGTGTACTGGTACATTCATTTTCTCCTTTCTCATCCCCTCTCTTCTCCTGTCCTGCCTTCGCGCCCTTTCATGCCTTTCTTTTCTTCTCTTCTCTTCTCTTCTCTTCTTCTCTTCCCTTCCTTTGTACTTGCCTTCTTCCCTTGCTGCTCTGATCAACATAACTAACTCCTTGTGTTCTATTTCAACCTACCGCTGACGGTCCATCAAGACAGGGTCGCACAGACGATTGAACCTGATGGTCAACCCCCTGGTTTGGTTTGATCTTCTCTTTTTCTTCTTCTCTCCTTGGCACTCACCAGACTCATTGTTCCATCCTACTGGCTTAGCCTCAACTCGACTCGACTTGACTCGAAACGTAGTCGGTGTGTAGTACTGTACGTCTATCGCAGGAAACATACCAAAGGAATAAAACCTGCTGAGTAGTTGTCTAGGATGGGCCTATTCCTTCTATTACTATCTATCCACAATCAACAACGATGCCTGCAATGGATCAATTGATTGCCAAGAAGCCTATCAGTGCCTGGGTCGTAGGGTGGCATAGACGTACTATTTTCCTTTCTCATCGACACGGATATTATATATATCTCGTTTTTATCTCTGATACATGCTAACATAAACAAACAAAAAAGCCCTGGACTACATTATAATTTTGCGGATGGACCCTTCTCCCTTCAGCCTCTTTTTCGTCTGCCACTCTTTTCCTCCGCCCCTCTCGTTGGTTCCCAGAAAGATTTAGAGTTGAGCCATTCGAAACCGAACCTCTCACGAGCCCCAATGGGGACGAGTGCTCCCTTTCTCTTCCCTCCTCTTTTCGTCACTCCCTCTCACTCCTCGCTCCTTTGAACAAGAGACACCCGACAAAGGTCTGTCCTATCTCCTTCCTTCTCCTTCGGCGAAAATAAAATAAACAAACAGTTAGGCCGAAAACATAAACCCACAGTTCCAAAAAATATGCAAACGCAATTCTCTTTTGCTTAAATAAACAACTACGACTCTCTCATCCACACACCCAGACACACAGGACAATCGGGGCATTCATGACTCTTTTTCGTCGCCTTCTTCTTTTTCATTTCTCACCGTTTTTTACCACCTGATGTTTTCGGGGCGCTTGACTGGTGGCTGGAGTGCACAGGGTGCCGTGGCGGATAAAAAATAGCCTTGGCACTCATTCACTTGCTCTTGGTGGTGCTCACTTGTGGCCTTCTGTTTGGCGTAATGGCTTTTTGGAACCGACAAAAGGGCCATATTGAGATCCGGAACTTTCATTCTGCCACTTCCTACTCCTCCCCTTCAGGCACCAAACCAGAACCTGACTTTGGAGTTTTGTTTTCTTGTTCTCCCTTATCGTCGTGTAAAAAAAATAGTCAACAAAATGCATTGTAGGTCTCGTATCAAACGCCGGAAGGTCGGCAAATTTTACGTTCCTGGTTGGTGTTGCAGCTTGAAAAGTAGGTCGATTACCCTTGTGAGAGTAAGACCTGTTCACCTGTGCATTAAGACATAGTCAAAGATTTTAAGCGCTCTCTTTCTTGACGGTTTGTTTCTATCGTTTTGAAATCGTTCCCAGGGCAGCATGAATGCGAAGTAACAAACATAATCGGCATCGGGAACGGAAAAAAAAGAAATTAACAACGAGTCCGCTTCGGCGGCCGCAAAGCAACACACATGAACACGATGAAGGGGAAGTCTCAGACTGTGAGCATTACACATGATCAGGGGTACCGAAGGCAGTGGTGATCCCTTTTATGTGTGTGGGGACCCTCATCATCCCTATTATCTGATATCTTCGATTGCCAAACCACCAGAGACATATGCCAGATAACAAGGATTGGAGTGGAGTGGAGTAGAGTGTAATGACCTGTGCTTAGCTCCATCTTGGCTATCTATCTTGACTACTATCTCCCTCCCATCTGCAGTAGGATACGCCCTTGTTGTGTCACAAACAGCTGTGTTGATGTGGACGATCAGACATTAGGACGGGAAGCTGGCCCTCGGACACATCATGTCTCTCCTTCTCACTTCCATCTCCTCTCTTTCCTCTTTCCTCCAACTTTGATCCCTTCTACCCATCCATCTACCCATTCATAGTCCACTGCCCACTCTCTCTCCTCTTCGCGGTCCCTTCATCCCTCCTCTCTTCGTACTCTTCTTCACTTGTTCCTCTCACGCACCCCCTCGTTTATCTTCTACTCTCTCCCTTCCTTGTGCACCTCAACAAACAAAAAAATAAGCTCAAGAGTACATTATATTCATCACATTATCATCTGTGATGGCCCATGCGAAAAAGCTATTATTATTTCTCCCAATTGCTCCAGATCGCATGCACGGCTCTTGTACCACCCTGGCTTTAGGCAGAAAAAAAAGGAGGAGAGGGGAGACAGCCAGAGAAGGAGATTGATAGACAGAGAGAGGAGGAGGGCACGACAAAGGAGGAGAGGGATATGAAAAAAGTGACATTTTAATCCAACAACAAAACTGCAAGGATATCCATGTAGGTTCACTCCCTAGGACAGACTCTTTTTTTTTTGTTAGTTGTTTGGTACCTCTTGACCCTTAAACAGAAAGTAATGCTTGGTCTTTAGCTTTTTTGATTCGCGATGAGAAAGATGTATTGTCACCCTACTCCCTTTCATTTTTTAAGAACCCTTGCGGGATACACAGAGGGCCAAAGAGCTATACACATAGAAAGAAGAGAGAAATAAGGAGACAGAGAAGTTGACTAGGACTTCGAGTATGAATAAAATAGAAATCGTAAACAGCTACCCCAGCCTGCAAAACATAGCCCATATCCATTTCTCCTTTCATTCCAGAGTACAGGTTCACATCTCTTTTTTTTTTTGTTTCCCTCTCTTTTTTTTTTTGTCCTATGTGCTTCTTTTAGCTCATTATTCTTTTGCAGGCAGGCAGAGTGTCCTCTTTTTCTTGTATTGCCATTAGCCTGCAATGCACCCTCGCTGAATTTTTTTCCTGCTCTCTCTCTCTTTCTCTCTCTCTTCATTGAATGGCACGTTGGCTCATTCTCCGCTTTGATGGCCAATGGCAAATTCATGTTGTACTCCGATATTTTTGTTCTTGGCTAAGCAACAACAGGAAAAAAAATGGCCCACGCGGGATTTTTCTTTTTTTTTCTTTTCATTGAAGACGAAAAAGAAAAAGAAAGGGGGTGGGAGCACAAAGGAAGGAGCAGAAGGAGGAAGAAGAAGGGAGGAATAGAGGAAGGAGGAGGATTTGCAGCAGGGCCGATGGAAAAAGGGCAGAGTGAGCACAATTTATTTGGTTGCTGCCGCTGCTTTGTTTGTTGTTTGTTTGCTGGTGCTTAGGTACTCTTCCTGCGTGTTTATTTGTCTTTTTTCTTCAATGGGAGGTCCTGACTGCACTGTCAGTGTAACCAGAGAGAGGAAGAAGGAAAGGAAAGGATGGAAGGAAGGAAGGAAAGAAGGATGGAAAATGCCTAATTGGCGTGTAACAATAACAATCGCCGTCTAAACGCCAGAGCTGCGGAAGCATATGGGGAAGGTGAGAGTCAGCCAAAGGGCAAATGTCGGACATGATGGCCTTATGCCAGTGATCGACCAACCTCTTTCTCTTTCTTTTACCGTCGCCTCTGTCGTCTTTTCTCCTTCTGATCTCCACCCCTTCCACCCCCTGCAATCGGCATAGGTGAGCAAAAAACACAAGTTGCTCAACTCCTCCTCCTCTTCCTCCTCCTCCTCCTCGGGAAGAAGGATAATCATGAGTTAATATGTATGTCCTCTTGAAGGTGTAGAAAGCTGGATGAAGGATTGGTAATGGCAGCTAGCTTGCAGAAAAGTTCGCTTAGCTACACTACCTGCCTTGCATGGCAGTTCGAGAATGGGGTCAGCAACAAACATGAACCATGGCATTGCATGGGTAGGGTGCATGGTATTTCATTTTTTTCATATCTCGCTTTCTCTCCCTCCTCTCTTCTTCTCCTGTTGCAAAATAGGATCAAAAACAAAAAAAGCAATGGGAGGATGGATGGTCCACTTTCATCTTACCTGAGGGATCAAGCGATCGACTGACCCCCTACAGAAAAATTGGGCCATGGTCTGTCTGTTATTACTTTATTTTCTTCTCTCGATCCCATGATGTGCCCCTTCCTTCCCAATGTATTACAGGTAGATTAAACCTGATTTTTTTATCCACCTTTTCATACCATGTGCGTATGTGTGTATATGTCTATGCTGCGTGCTTGCATAAATATCTAGAAAGTCGAAAGGGAAAGAGGAGGCGCGCGCCTAGGTTGAGAGGCAGCTCTCTTCATTTTGTCTTTTGAACATCGAACCCATCATGTTCCATCCCGCATCCCGCATCCCGCAGAATAGAGTATGGTGCAATATCGAAAGTCAATAAAATCGAGAGCTTGCTCCGCGCATGCAGATGCAGACTGGTGGCAGAAAAGGAGCTGCCTTCTTCTTCCTTCTCTTTCCCCTTCGAGACCCACTTGTCTCATTTTCATTCATCTCTCCCTCTCTTTCATCTCTCTCCTCCTTTTGCTCGTTTTTTTTTTGCATGGATTGAGTAGAGCGGGATGCAGAGCACTCTGGACGATGGATGGATGCACGCACCATTTTCATTGGGCTCAGATATGAAAATCCTGGAGGATAGTAAAGCACCAGTGAACATATAAGAAATCGCCGAGCTGACGGTGCTTTCCTCGCCCGTGCAAAAGGTAAATTTCTATTGTCGTGAACAAGGAGATGAAGGAGATGACGCGACTCCGACATTTTGGAGGCAAACGACACGACAGATGTGACAATGGACATAACCTTGATGGTTTCAAGTAGTGACCAAAGTGACAGGGTGCGAATGAATGTGGATGAACAAGGTGGTATCGATGAGTTCTTATCGAAACTCTCTATCCTTGCCTCTATTTCTTTATTACCAACACAAACGTTGGGGGAATCGAATGAACAAGAGGGTGGTACGGTAAACCATTTGAAAGAGCCAAAATCAGATCTACCAACGAGGACTGACATTATCGCGGAAGTACGCGTTGTCCCAGGAGACAATGTTGCCTGGAGGGTCGTAGTTGCAGATGTAGATTGTCCATCGGGGACAGGCCCTCTTGGCGCATCCGACCGACCTTGTGCCCTTCCAAACAACATGGGTGAAATGACCTGTGTGTTTGTTTTTGATTTCAATGAAAAAATGGTGGTTGGTCATGAACACGTAATCGATACAGTTGGAAACGTGTTTTGTTTTGATATCTACCCATACGCCGTATTACTTACCGGTGCCAGAGGCGAAACCGGGAGAGTTAAAGTTGTACTTGCTGACCTCATCATACCAACCTGTGATAGCAGCAGGGAAATCACTGTAACCCGCCGCAAGGTTCTCTCCAAACTTGCCACGACTATGCTGGAACGCGCAGTACTGAAGCCAGTTCTCACCAAAATTGGCAGCTTCCCAGTTCCAAGACAGTGCGGGGGCACCATGGAGGGAACGGTAGTAGTTGTGGTGGTCCAAGATACCCTGGATTTCCTCGCCTGAGAGACCACTCGCCTTGAACTTTTCGTCGGTCGTTTCGGGCATCTCGGATGCTGGGAGGGATTGGGGCCACTCGCCGCGCTCGATGGCTTCAAATTCGGAGCTGGTGAAGGGGAGGAGGCGGCCCTTGCCGGTGTTGATGAATCCGATTGGTTCGGCCATTGTGGGCTCGACTGAACCTTGTTCGCTTACAGTGGTGGCGTCGACGGGCTGAGTGGTGACGTCGAGAGATTCTTGTTGGGCAGAGACGGAGGCGACCAAGAGGGCGACGGTAGCAAGGATTGCGCTCGGGATTTTCATGGTTGTTTGTTTATTTTGTTTTGTTTGGTTGCTGTGTTTGTTGGTTTGTCGTTGTCGTTGTCGTTGTCGTTGTTTTGAGTATGATTTTTCGAACATGGGCTATTTATCTGTTTCCGAAAATCTGGATTTTTAATTTCGCGTAGGGTTTGGAATACTGTGGTTTGAGTGCAAATGTCCTGTACATGTTTTCATGAATGAGTTTCTGGAGAGTGAAGGCGTGAGGAACTGAGTGAGAAAAAGGGTTCAAGATTCTGATGCCGCCTATGCATGCAAAATAGGTAGACAAGAACACCCTCCTTCTCTCCCTTCCACTTCTCTGCACAATTAAACAGAGGACCCACTTTCTCTCTTTTCTTCAAGGATGACAGTGTTTCTACATTCCTCTTTCCCGTCGTCTTGGAACTACGAATTGCTACTTGGCGACAGTGAAGACACCTCTTTTGGACAAAGCCTCATCCAATGTCGAAACAACAAAAGGTGGAATCGCAATTTTCTCTTCCCTCTCTCGGTGGTGTCAACCCCTTGGATGTTTGATTCGACTTTTTTAGGTTAATCTGCACGGAGCAGCAAACAATCCTCCTTTTCTTCCTCACACAAAGCCCCCTCTCTCCCTCGGAAATCGGCCATCAAGAGGAAAAAACCAAATGGAATTGGAAAAGAAAAAACAAGGGATGGTAACGCGTGGCCTCAATGTTCTTTTCTTGTTTGGACAATCTTTGCATGTCCGAGTAGCATCTAATCTGCATGGATAAGCCTCGTCTCTCTCTTGGCTCTATATTAAAATCAATTGCAATGTCACATCAATGGTCGGACGTGGAATAGTATTGCTAGTCCAGGATTCTATGCTCGTTGACTACGTGAATTAAACGCTTTTCTTTACTAAACGCGTTTCGTCTCAAGTGAGAAAGACAAAGTGCCAAGGCAACCATCTAGGGATATCGATACGATTAGTTTTTTTGTTTCTTACCAATGCAAATAGGAATGAACGGAAAATGATCAGAGACTAACATACCTCTAGCATACGACTCGTTTCATGCAGAAGTACGTAACATCTCTAAGAAATCAACAGGCAGGTATATTGTCCATGTCACGCATTCAACCTCACTTGGTTTTTTTTTTGCAGTAAAGAATTTTTGTTTTATTATTCAATTGTTTTTGGGGCAAGGGTATGCTTGTTTTTGTTTTTGCTTCGGTATGCTCGCTTGTTCATTAATGATTCAGGGGTATCGAGCATATCCTTATTTTTAAAGCTTGGTGCCAAGGGGAAGAACATTGTTCTTGAAGTACGAGTTGTCCTTGGTGACAATGTTGCCTGGGGGATCGTACTCGCAGATGTACACATTCCACGCGGGGCAGATTCTCTTGGCACATCCCAACGTCTTCGAGCTCTTCCACACGACCTGCGTAAAGTGACCTACAATTGAAGAGGGATGAAGAGGAAGGAGCGTGATGAGTGTGTGAACAAAAAAACTTGCATTTCTTTGAGCGTGTTGTTTTGAGGGTGCTGGCTTAGATGACCGTTTTTTTTATCTATGAGTGATGGATGACTTACCGGTGGCTCCGGTGAATCCGGGATTGGAGAAGTCGTAAGACTTGATCTCATCGTACCAGGCCTGGACGGCAGTTGGGAAGTCCTTGTATCCAGCGGCAAGGTTCTCTCCGTACTATGTTATCCATAGAACAGAAGTACAAATGGGTTAACAAAAAGGCAAAAAGATTTGTCGATGCAACACAAAAATCGTGGAAAGAACTTTACCTTGCCGCCGCTGTGCTTAAACTCACAAGACTTGAGCCAATCATCTCCAAACTTGGCAGACTCCGCGTTCCAAGTCAGAGCAGGGGCACCATGGAGTGCACGGAGCTTGTTATGAGCCTCCAAGACGCTCTTGATCTCGTCCTGCGAGAGCACGACCGCAGTGCCGACGGCAGTAGCAGCAGCGTCAGGGTTGATCTCCTCGCCAGGCTTGGAAGAGGTATCGGGCCACTCGCCGCGCTCGATGGATTCGTATTCGGAACTGGTGACGGAAACGAGACGACCGCGACCTACGTTGAGGAATCCGACGGGATCTGCCGAGGTGGGTTCGACAGCGGCGTTCATGTCGGTGTCCATGTCAAGGGCATCCTGTTGGGCGGAGGAGGCCGAGGCGACCAGGAGGGCGGCGACGGCTGCGAGGACTGAGCGTGGGATCTTCATGACTGCCTGTGTTATTGTTTGTTGTTTTTGTTTTGTGTGTGTGGAGGAGAAGGAAGAGGAGTTTTGTTGGAGATAAAAAGTTTCTTTTGCAGGGGAAGAGTATCGGACTTTATAGGCGACGCAGAGATTGGGAGGAAGGACCGTATTGACCGGTGTAGGAAAGTGTGTGTGAAAATGCAAAAGTGTTAATGCTGGTGTTGATGAATGGGTGCATATGGTGCGCGTAGAGATATTCGATATCTTGACATTTTGGTTGTCGCATTGGGAATCATTGGGATCGGTAGGCGGTTGTAGGATCGTAGGATCGTAGGGCGTCCTTAGTAGCTCCTGTCAATCTCAGCCGAAAATCAATAGTTGCATTCCCCACAGTTTCTGGCCAATCTTGGGCTTTCTTGTTTGTCCGTGCAGCCGGTAGATAGTCATTGATATGACTGCTTTCTACTGGCGCTGTGGAGAGAAAGCTCCGTAGCCTTGGCTGCACCTTTTTTTGCTTTTTTTGATTCAAACACACAAACACAGGATTCAAGCACGCAATCACAGGGCAGATGCATTCGGCAGCAGCAAGGGTCAACATGGTCATGGTCCAGTCGGCAACACAACAGACCTTGAAACGATCCGCCCGATCGGCATGGACTCATCTTTGCACCACCGCCAGCCCTCGAGCCACATCACAATGCCATCACACCGGCCATCTGCTCCATCGTCATGCGACAGGAAGACTTGCTGTTGAGCGTTTAGGAGGTGCGAGAGAGTTCTCGTCAAGCGCTACCGCTGCTACTGCCCGCGCAAACACAGAGACGACCACAACAGAAGTTAAGACATCGACTGAGTCGGCGGGACCAACAGGTACAAATGGAGCTTGGTCAGCCAAAGATCCCATCCAATTGGACGCACCCTTCCTCGACATGGTCAGGCAGCGTCTGGTGGAAAGGGATGATACTAGTGCCTATTTCATGCATTGCAAGGAGGATCCTGTTCGTCAGGCGGGCGTTTTCATGGTAAGGACAGAAAGAAACGGAGGAAATAGAGGTAGGTTGATCTTTTTACGGAAGAAGAACCCCCTTTAGTTTCGTTCCCTCTTTGAATGCTCCTCGCACTCGTTCTCTTTCACGCTCGCTAACATCATTTTCCTTCCTTCTTGCCTTCTTTCCTCCTTTCTTTCTCACTGGTCTGTCGTGGTCTCTCTCACTCTCGCTCCTGACCATGCAAATAGCCGCTCTGCATGTACAAGGGAGTGCCAAGCGTTCTATTCACCGTCCGAGCACCACACATGAGGAACCATCGAGGGGAAGTGAGGTAATACGACCTTCACAATAGGATTGATATAGCTCTTACGGATGTGTCATCAGCGGACCAACGGGCAACTTCTTGACGTTCAAGGAAAAAATAACAGGAAAAACAGGAGGAGGAAAAGTGCTGTCGCTTTGGTGTCATGCGCGCATGCAGCTCATCATGTTTACTTTAAGATCGTCTTCTCCCATCGCGCATTTTCATATATTCTACTGGCGTCGTTGTGGATGGTTACTCTGTTCCCATTCTTATTTTTTTCCGCGTCTTTGTTCTATTCCTCCTATAGCTTCCCAGGGGGCAAACGTGACCCGACCGACACTTCAGTACTTGACACCGCTCTCCGGGAAATGGAAGAAGAAATCTTTATCTCTCGGGACAAAGTTGAGGTCCTGGGTGAATGTGCGCCCTTACCCAACAAGGGCTGCACGTTGAAGGTTCACCCCTTTGTCGGATACATCAAGGAACCCATCGAGGATTTGGACTCGATCAAGTTTAACAAGGACGAGGTCCAGAGGGTTTTCACAGTACCCTTGCAGGATCTGATGAACCCTGAGAAACGATCGATGGTTCAGTTCAGGAGTTCCAAGTTCTTGTACCCGGTCTGGAAGGTGGATGGGGAGGGTATTACTATCTGGGGGCTTACTGCCTTCATCATGGATGGTACGTATTCCACGACGAAGAAGTTACCTTCTACTGAGGGTTTTTTTGTTTTTGTCCACCTGTACTCTCTTCATGTTCGCTGGCGCCTGACATTATGTCTCTTTGCATTTCGATATAGGCGTGCTTCGAAGGATTGGAGATGAAGGACCTACACAGGCGATCGAAATACCAAAAGGAACTCCAGCAGGAAAATATCGTCCACTCATGCCGTCTGCGTAAGTTATCCTTCCTTCACGATGATCAACCGGGACTACATCCACCTCCTCTCATTTCCCACTTCATGCCGCATGGGATAGACACTTACTTTCGTATTATTTCCCGTCATAGCTTTGTTTAGTCATAGAAGAGAATATTAGAGACATACCCCTCAGTTGGCAGTTAATACAACATAGATGCCATCTGCTAATTTGTACTGTTGAATTGTTACTGCAGATGTGATGTTACAAGAGTGATGGTGCTGTATGTGTTGAATTGCTATTGCGTGTTGTCGTATGTGTGTCCATATGTATGCGTAGGCGTAATGGCCTCTTTTCGTTTTCCATTTGCTGTATGTATGTCTGTGTATGCGAATGTGAATGTGAGAACTGGGTGCCGATCATCCCAGATCTGAGTTCAACTCCTTGTCACGCCAAAATTATCTAGCCGAACTTTCCTCGCGTGACAGCCCAGAGCTTCTCCAACGCGGTATCGTTCAAAACGTTAAGAGTCTAGCAGGGAGTAGAAATATATTCGAAGCGTAAAAACTCTAATAATTAGAGCGCGTCTTAGTCGAGTAATCGTCAATACTCATTACCCATCTGGACAATAGGGAACAAGAGGCTCACCTTACGACGAGGACTGATGGCGGCGGCGGCGACGGCGGCAGCAGAGGCGTCAGAGCTCTGACCCCCACTGATGTTCATGTCCGTAATGTCACCTGTTTTGTTCTCCGAGTCGCCTTCATGGCTGTCATACCAAATGTAAATAAAAGGGAGCTCTTTTAGATATCGTTCTTGCCTACATTCCAAGTTCTACAATCACTCAACAAAGAACGAGCTGTTTGACTTACATTGACAACTGATCCACAGCATCTCGGGCCTCGTCAACAACACGAGAGTCGACGCCACTGACAGCAGCAGCAAGAGCAACCTCCATGGCCAAGGTGGTGACGGTGTCGATGATGGCGACTTTGATTATACTCTCGCCCATTGTTTCGACCTCATTCTTGGTTGTGGTCGTTGTGGTTTTAATTGACAAGTCCGAGGGCGTCACGGGGCCACTGGTGATCAACCTCCAGATGGCGTCGTTACGGGCCGCCTTTTTACGCTTGAGGATGGATCGAGCGTCGTCGGTCTCTTCTGCTTTGTCTTTCCGGATGCGGCGACTAGGCACACAAATGATGAAGAAAGGGCGAATGATTAGCAGGTGATCTAATCAGCTTCGCCGATCGACCCGTCCAAAAAAATCGACATGATGAAAAAAGACACATGGACGGTGAGAATACATACGCCTTGGTCGGGCGGTAGTGTCCCAGTTGACCTTCCGCCTCGCTCTCGTTCTCGACATCTTTATCGTCAACCTCGAAGGCAGTTCTCTTTTGGTACTTTTCCCCCTTAGCCGCCTTGGCACCTGTAATCTCTTGCTTCTCCTTGGCCGAGGCCATCTTCTTATTGGCGGGGTCAGAGGTCGAGGCAGAGGCCGCTGCAGACGCAGAAGCAGAAGAAGACCTCGCAGAAGAAGACTCCTTGGACTTGCATTTGGTCATGTGTATGTCCATGGTCGAAAGGCACCGAGTAGGTGGGTGTTGAGTGTGTGTGTGCGTATGTGAGTGTTTTTTGGGATAGAAGTTGAAGAAGAGAGAGAGAGAGCAAGTGAGGCAAACAAAAGCAAACCACGCTCAAGTTTGGAGGTTATACAAAATTACGGGCGTTCATTTGTTTTTATTACGTGTGTGTTATGGTATCATTTGTTATTTTTACATCGCACCGGATGCAGCACACATGGATTTCATCTCAGCAGGGACATCCATGGTCTTGATCTTGTCAGGCAGGGACTCAAACTGGACCAAGAGACCACTCTCAGAATGCCACGAGATATGACAGTGCAGGGCCCACATGCCCGGGTTATCGTTCACAAACCGAACCACCGTCCATCCAAATGCAGGGATCGTTATCGTGTCTCGACGCAAAGGGTTGACCAACTCCAATGGCGTCACTCCTGGCTGGTAGTTTCCATGACCCCACCCTAGGACGTGGAATACGTGACCATGGAAATGGAATGGGTGTGACCCTTCGTCAAGGTTGTTGAGAACCAGTTGGACTCCGTTGGTGTTGTTCAGAGGGATCACAAACTGGGAAGTGGAGGCGGCGTCAAAGGTGTTGATGCCTCGTTGGGACTGGAACAGAGTCGAGTCGTTCATGAGTGGTCGCCAGGAGGTTTGGTTCATGTACCCCATGTTGACATAGTCTTTACTGATTGTCTGAAAGGAGATGTCGAGGTGATAGCTCACATCTGCAGCGGGAACGGGCACAATAGTGTAGGGCTTGAGCATGTCCAAGGTCAAGTCGACGCAGACAGCGACCCAGGCGCTGGAGCTCCAATCGTCAGAGTTGGGAGCCCGTGTGCTGGCAGCGCCCTCATAGCGGATAATGGCCTGGATACTAGGGTTCAGGGCTGGGTTCGGGTTGTTGAAGCAGTTGGTGTTCATCAGAGCACGGACCCAGTAATTATCGACAGCCTGGTTGGCATGGACCAAGACCGAGTACCGCTGAGCGACATGAATGGGGAGCCGCTGGACCTGCACAGGCTGCATATCGACTCCGTCGGCTTCAATGACTGTCAAGTTATGGTTATCGATCGAGAACTGGAAATCGGCAAATGCTCCAGAGTTGATGATACGGACACGGTAGGTGGTCCCGGCCTTGAAGTCAAACACGGACATGGGTGCACCATCGTTACACTTGTTGCCGGTAGGAAAGAGGGCCTGAGAATCTCCAGAGCAGTCAAATGTACCGCGGCCGTTGATGACACCGCTGTCGGGGACGGGTTCGGTTCCTTCGCTGTCCGGGCTGAGATACCAGGAGACGAGGGAGCCAGAGTCGGTATGATAATGGTCGGCGATCATCATGATGACATCCTCCTGGTATTCTGCAAGGTGAGGCTCGTCTGGGCTGTGGATGATCAAGGGTCCATAGATACCGTCGGTGTACTGAGATGCGGCATGGGAGTGCCACCAGTAGGTGCCCCATTGGTTTGGCACAGTAAAGTTATAGGTAAAGCTCTGACCTGGAGGAATCGGACACTGCGTGATGCCCACGGTACCATCCATCCAGTTGGTGCCTAATTATACAGGAAAAACATGTGTTATGTTAGTAAATAAAGGAACCCAGACCGGGAAGTTTAGTGAGGGTACACCTTTTTTTCTTGTGGTTACCATTTTGGAACATGCCGTGCCAATGGATGGCGGTGCCGTTCACCATGTTGTTGGTGACCTTGACCACAATCCTGTCACCGGTGTTTGCCTCGACCAAGGGACCAGGGAACATCCCTATGCACACATTGTCAATCATTCAACTTGATTAGCTATTACTCACATCATTTTTGTATCATTCAACGAGAAGAAATAAACAATAGGGTGCATACCGTTGACGAGAAGCATGGGTCGCTCAAGACCGTCAGGGGCAATGGTCTGCTGTGAGACGTTCCACTCATAGTACCGGGTAGTAGGTGTCCGAATAATAGAAAAGTTCTTGCCGAGCAAGAATTCCGAGGGCTGGTTCCAGGCCTCTGAGAAATCGGATCCTGAGTCCAGACCAGAGGAGTTGTGGTGCCTTGCTCGAAGTCCAAAGACGAGACCGAGGACTAGCACCAGGACTGCGATGAGAAGGACTGCGACGGAAATGAGTGGTCGGCGGAGGAGTACATTCTTTTTCTTCTGTGGCTTCTCCATGGCTTTGATGTGCTTGAGATGATAGAAGAGAGAAACTAGTTGATGGAGGGTGGTCGGAAGGAAGTGACAAGAGGGAAAAAAAAGGATCTGATAAGAGAGGTGGTCTGTTGCTTTTATTTGATTTCTTTGTCAACAAGGACAAAAAGGAGGAAACGCAATGGTGAAGAGAGAGAAGGCCGACTTTACTTTTCGGATATTCTTCGGTCGATCGAATAATGGCGGACTTGCCACGATAAACCAATGGCTGGTTAGAGTGTCCCATCGCATTCATTAGCGCAACAAAAACGTGTTGCTTGCACCAATGAGAATCTCTATCCACTTTCCACTCCGGAATCAGTCCCCGCACTTGCCATCTGCAGTTCGAGATGGTCGGCCCACATTCACGAGGCATTATGAGCAAAACTCTTTTCTCTTCAACGCCTCAAATATGGATAAACATGTACTGTTGGACCTTTTAGCTTTCAACTCACCATCATATTTGCTTTGCCAACAAAAGAGAAGGAGAGAGCGGAGTGGGAAAAGGTGGCCAAATCAGACAACCATGTTCGTTCCCAGGGGTACATGGGTCCGGTTAAGCAAATCCATTGGCCAACCTTGTTTTGTTTACCTATTGTACCCGCTGTCTTGTTACCCTGGGTAAATTGGCGTCCTGTGAGCAGGCAACGTTTTGGTTTCCTTTGCGCGGACTGGCTGTCTCTCTTGTTCGCTGTAACGGTTCTCTTTGTGTTCATTGATGCAATCGTGTGAAGGAAGCAAACGACAGCCCTCAACCACGCTTCTTTTGCATGTCCAACCATACATATATTTCCAAAAGCGATCGAGATGGAAATTCAATTTCCTCCTCCTTTCCTTGTGCTCACTCTTGGTCGACTACTTTATTCTCTCATCAAGCATGTACAACATACTGTAAAGGTACTACTTTGAAAAAGCCGAATGTTTTTGTTCCTCACATTTCCAACCCTCCTCTCGCCTCATTTTTGTTTAGCGACTCGCGCAAGCACATGTGTATTCCAAGAGGGCAACAAAGTTGTCCCCGGGAGAAAAACAACATACACTCTGTCTACCATTGGCCTCGCCTTCCGGAAAACGATTGCCATTCGCAGAGAAGGCACCAGCATGTGTTTCTGGGATGCTCGCTGACTGGAGAGTTCAAAAACCGCGCACCCATGATCCCATTGCTTGCCAACCTGTTTTGGTAACATTTTCCCGGAAAAACGCACCCATGGACCGTTGTTGTGCTAATGTTCTTGATCATGGTATTCAGTTGTTTACTTTTCTCGACTATATAATCAAGCCCCTTGCCCCTGTTCACTAATTCTTCACCCCAATACCCTCACACATCCAGAAAAGCCATGTTGTTCAAGTCCATTATCTCGCTCGCTGTTGTTGCCTCGGCCGCCGCCGCCGCCGCCAAGGGAAAGGCTTTTGACCACATCTTCATCGTCTTCCTCGAGAACACCGACTACGACAAGGCTGCCACCGACCCCAACCTCATGTCCTACTTCCCCGATGCCGTCGTCCTTGACAACTACTATGGTGTCACCCATCCCTCCGAGCCCAACTACATTGCCGCCTCTGGTGGAGACTACTTCGGCATGGCCGACGATGGCTTTTACAACATCCCCTCCAACTACACAACCATTGTCGACCTGTTGGAGCCTAAGGGCTTGACCTGGAAGGCCTACCAGGAGGATGCCCCCACGCCCTGCTTCAAGGACTTCGAGAGCAACGGCGAGTACTTCCGCAAGCACAACCCCTTCATCATTTACGACAGCATTTCCACCAACGCCACTCGCTGCAGCAACATCGTCCCCGCCACCCAGCTCCAGGCCGATCTTGCCGCCGGTAACATGCCTAACTACGCCTTCTACACCCCCAACATGATCAACGACGGTCACAACAGCACCGTCGCCGTTGCTTCGAACTGGTTGAAGGGCTTCTTGACCCCTCTCTTGGCTGATAAGACCTTCATCAACAACACCCTTGTCGTTGTCACCTTTGACGAGACCGAGACCTATGCCCTCGAAAACCGCGTCCTGACCCTCCTCCTCGGTGACTCTGTCGCGGCCCTCAAGAACACCACCGACTCGACTTTCTACACTCACTACTCGCTCCTTTCGACCATCGAGTCCAACTGGGACTTGGGCAACCTCGGTCGCCAGGACGCCAACTCCACCGTCAACAACGTCTTTGACTATGTTGCCAAGGTCACCGGTGCCAAGAACAACAACATCACTGTGGGACCTCTCTTGAACAGCACCGTCCCCGGCTTCTTGACCCCTCCCCCTCAGAGCACTTCTGCTGCTGGTTCTACCCCCACTGGCAAGGCCTCTGCTGCCGCTGGCGTCAACACTATTTCCAAGGCCGCCCTTACCGTCGCTGCCCTTGCCGGTGCCTTTGCTGCCTTCTTGTAGAGACCCACCCCCAACTACAGCAACCTTTATTACTTTTCTGCTTCAATACAAACCTAATAAAAATCCTTCGCACGATTTCTCATTTGATATCTCTTAATTTTAACTTTTTTTTTCTTTGCTTCGATTGCGAGCATCGAATAACGCGGAAGGACACAAAGTGAGGTGACTCCACAAGATTTCTAACTTTTTTTGCTTCAATTGCGAGCATCGAATAATGCGAAAGGACACAAAGTGGGTGAAGGAAAATGAACCACAGCAAGCATCAACAGGTTGAACTCAAAATTCATATGATTGTGAGAAGCCAATCAAAGGAGCCCCTTAAAGGCATTTCGAGTACATGACGAGAGTGCAAGCGCACAATTGGTTTGATCCCTCTCTATTGCAAAGCATATTTTTACGTACGACCCCAAAGTCATATCCATCATATGGACATCCATCCATCGGAAGCATCCATCGATCGCAACAAACGACGACTACTTTGTCAGGACATCGACATCTACCTTCTCAACAACCACGTCTGCCATTGTTGGTATTTTTAAAAAAAACATGATCGACAACACTCTCATCAACTTCGACCGTTGTTGATGATTTCGATGACACCCGGCAGTGAGGATGTCACAAAAAACCCAACAGCAACACACCCAATACCTACCCCATCCAACAACGCAACCCACACTCCTGCAGGATCTATGCATCATCTCCGGAACCAGGAAACAAAGAGATCTCAAAAACTCACCTTGGGACTTCATCTCGTCGATCTGAACTTTTAGAAAATGGCCAAGGAATCCAAGGGTACCAAGCGTTCTACCATCCACGACGTTGTCGCTCGTGAGTACACCATTCACTTGCACAAGCACGTCCACGGCAGGTAAATATCATGACTTTGCTACCACTTGACTTATCACAGGATAATTCAGGGTTCGAGATTGGGTAGGACTGGTGCGTCGGGAAACCGTCTGGAGGACGAGCTGGGGCTTTTGTCGTTTCCTGAGGAGGAACAGTGGTTGGACAGAGGCGTAGTTTTGATGGTTGGCACAGATGTCAGGAACTCTCATGGAGCCAGATATCCCCAGTTCGTGACGGGAGCTATCTTTGCATGAACGCTATTCATTGACGAGAGGAACTGGCGACACCATTTGGACGCGACCTGCCTATATCTGGACTGCAAACATCAGTTCAGAACTCTGATCACTTACCTTCTCTCTTGTTCCTGAATTTATTTAATCAACAAACAGATCCTTCAAGAAGCGTGCTCCCCACGCCATCAAGGCCATCAAGGCCTTCGCCCAGAAGACCATGGGCACCTCGGATGTCCGTGTCGACCCCAGCTTGAACAAGCAGATCTGGTCCAAGGGTATCAAGACCGTCCAGCACCGCATCCGCGTCCGCTTGTCCCGCAAGCGTAACGATGATGAGGAGGCCAAGGAGAAGTTGTACACCTACGTCTCCTACGTTCCCGTCACCTCCTTCAAGGGCCTCGAGACCCAGGTCTGCGACGAGTAAATTTTGTCTTCACGACATCTTTTAACTCGATCCAACCCTTGATGTGTCTTTTGCAGAGGGAGTAAAAAGGAGTTCTGTTTCTATTCCTTTCTTTTAATAAACTCTTCATCGGCTCAATTCGGTTCTGACCCAACCAACGATGTAGACAACCTCCACCATGCTGGTGAAGACTCTCTTCTTTGTTCTAATAACAAAGAAGAGGTCCTCTCGCATGTAAAAATATCACACTTGGCTATTTGTTCTTCTCATTGTTGATGGCAAAAATATAAAATGGTTTGTTGAAGGAAGGCTTTGGCACCCCTGCCTTGTCGCACTCGGTCCAATGCTATTCTTGTTCGAGAACAACGTTTTATTTGTCTACAATGGAGAATTCATACAGTGTCGATGATAGTTGTTGTCTACATATCGTTTCCTTTGTTCGTTTATGACTTGGAATGTTGGGGGAGATATAAAGCGTAAAGGAAGTGAAAGTAACATATGGACACAAAGATAAGTTGGCGAAATGAAGAAAAGGTAAGTTGCATAGTAGTACAGCATACTTGTGAATGACAAACGACAAAAAGTCAATAAAAAAAACCACTTCAAAACACATCAACGCATGCTGTGCACATTTTCCGCTTGTTCAAAGGAACCTTACGATTACGATTATTATTATGATCATGATATGGCCGGCTCAGGCACAACGGTATCTGTTCCTTGATCCGCCGATGGTGCTGCCGTACAAGCAAGGACGGTCTCTCTGGCCCAATCGGGGAGCTCAGTCTCAAACGCCCAATCCTTGGCCTGATACCTCCACGCATGCAGGTACATGATCCGCTTCTCCGGTTCCGGGTCTGCTCTTGAAGGGAGCTGACAGATCGAACAAAACTCCGCCTTTTGATGCTCGCTACCACCATTTCCTGCGTCAGCGGTTTCGGTGTTGTTCAGGCTAGAAGTCGCCAGGGCATGGTCAAGTTCATCCTCAGCCTCAGTCTGTGCCAACAACTTGCTGACAAGCTCCTCTTCTGCCTCCATGGTAATCCCTCCTTGTCCGTTGCATGCGCCCCATATCTCCGTGTTGTGGTACAGGGGGTCGTTGGTGATTGGGTATCCGAGCCATTGCAGGTGCACGCGGATCTGATGTGTCCGTCCTGTCACAGGTCGTGCCAGCACGATGGAAGTGTTGGACTCGGGGTCGTATCGAAGACGCTCAAAGATGGTCGAACATGCCTTGCCGTCGGGTTGGACTGTGTTGAGCGTCAACTTGAAGGACGCCACATGGATCGGCTGATGGCACTCTGTCACTCCGCTATTGACCCAGACGCGAAAAGGCTATGGGTTAGGTCATAATCTTTTGTTTACACGATAGAAGTATCCACCACCAAAAACGCATGCTCTTCAAAACGTTTCATACCTTGGGAACTCGCCCTTGACCTTGCAGACGTATTCCTTCTTGATCTCGCACTTTTGCATCATTTTTTCAAACTCCCGAGCCTTCTTGACTGACAGCGCGATAATCATCAGTCCCGAGGTGAGCCGATCCAACCGATTGACAGCTAACAGCGTGAGAAATGGATCGCCGTCAGTATTATTTCTATCGCTAATTATTAGGTTGTCAAATTGAGCCAAGCAAAATAGCAAACTTACGAAAGAGTTCCTTGTATCCCTGTTCGGTCGACAGGATATGCAAGATGGTATTGTGTCGGTAACGCCCACTTGGGTGGACAGGTATACTACTAGGTTTGTCAACAATGATAACGCCATCCACATTCCGCACGACTTTGACAGGCAGGTTGGCGACTGGTGGTTCATGTCGATGAATGTCGTGTGCAACAATGTCGCTATTCTTGATGATATAGTCCTTGTCCACTGTTTCTCCGTTGATCTTGACTCTCCCGTCCTTGATAGCCCGTTCCTATAGTAAGCAACGTAATGAAAACAGCTCTTGTCAACTCCTTGTTTGTTGCGTTCAAGCCAGAAATCCAATGAATTGGTTCTTGAATTTCGCCTTGTGAAGGAAAGAATCCTAAACTTACGTAGAAGGTATTATCCCGATCCCGGAACTCTGTGTTAAACACATCGATCAGCTTGCGGCCTAGCCACCTGCCCTTGGCGTATGTCTGGTACTTGAAGAAGTATGGCTTGATCTTGCGTAGATCTAAACACATCATTCAATGATGAAATGAATCCGTTAGCAGTGGCAAGACAATTGATATTCCTTGACTCGCATACATACACCCGAACGTAGTGCCCAATTGAGTGCCATCCAAGCTTGCAATCGAGCGTCTGTTTCCGTGGTTGAACTACTTGCCATTGTCGAAAAAGTACTGGGCGTTCTTGAGATCCTCCTCTGGATCGACAAGATCGATTCGTTTCTTTTGCTTCTTTGGGGGTTGCTCTCCTCCGTAATGACCATGCTTGGATTCTTTATGGCGCTTGGATCCTTGGTGAATATCACCCCCCTCTGGTATTTGCTGTTCGGAAGCATTGGGTGTATCGCCGCTCTGCCCAATGACCTCGCCCTCCTTGTGTTCCTCAGTCCTATCGCTTCCTCCTGATGACTCTGCAACTACAGGCGAAGAAGTAACCTGCATCAGGGTTGCATTAGTGGTTGATGCAGCAGCGGCAGCAGTGGGCTGTTGATCCTTGGGCGCTCCAGGGAGATCAGCACTTCCATGTCCTTGAGATGCTGCGTCCTCCATTCCTGCAACTTTTTAGTTCTTGTCTTGGTCTGTGTCCAGTTGTTTTGCGCCCTCTCTCCCCTCAACATTTTTTTTTAATCGAAAACACACAACGGTCACTTTGCACACACGTGACGGATTCGCTGATTGGCGTAGTCGCGTCCGTTCGTTCACAGGAACCAAACGAATGCCAAAGGGTTCCTAGATCCGGGCAGGGCGGGTCCACGGTTCCTGCTGTTTCGTCCAGGCATTCAATTCAACCAGCACAGAAGACAATAGTTCAACCCGCTCTTATCTATCTTTGTCTTATATCTTCTGTTCTTCTTCAGATCAATGACCTAAAATATTCTCACTCTTCCAAACAACAAAAAAACATGAGTGAGCACTCTCTCGTTGCCTGACTTGAGATCAAAAAAGGATAAAAGACCAATGGTTGTACGGAGTACAGACACCATTGAATGTCTTCAGTAAAGAGAGCAACAATGCGAATTCATGCAGTAATAGAGACATCACAACAAGCAATGACCAGCAAAACGCACGGCATTAGAGACTTTTTCAGTATGAGAGAGAGAGATAGCCGGTTGAGGGGAAAAGGAAATTTCAAATAGTATGGTCTCCCCTTCTTCCAGCCAAAGAAAGACTGACAATCAATAGAAGGTCGATCCCTATCCCAGGCACCATCACCCTCTGCCCTGACTGGTCTTGGTATGATCCTGGGCACCATCACTGACCACCTTGTTTGTTTCACTGAGGAATCAGAATATATTTTGAAAAAACGGTCGTAGAAAAAATAATGTATATGCACAAGTCTTCCTGTCCCCCCCCCCCCCCCCCTTGTCTGTGTGTCTCACATCTTACTCTCTCACACTCTCGTCTGTTCTTTCTTCTATGCTCGTCTTTTAACAAACAACGCATCCTTTCCTCCTCCTCCTCCTCCCCATCCTGCTTCGTCCCATCCTTCTCTTCTATTCCCGCCTTTGTCCCTTTCTCCCTTATTCCTATCCTTCCCCTCTGCTCATCACATCCTTCACCATCCCCTTCTTTCCCCATCCACCCACCTGCAAATCACTTTCGCCATCATGGGTTGCTGTGGAAGCAAGCACACTCACCAAGAGGAGGTACATACCCAGCCCAATTACACCCTACTACACCAACAATTCATCCATCCAATGCAACAGACAACGAACAACCACCCACCCACCCCCGTATTACACTTTACTTCTTTTGCGAAGACACATACCAACTCGCGCAGCTTTTCGCTTCAGGAACACCAGGACAGCCTTTATCCTACAACTCCACACACTTTCCGTGTTTTACCTGTCAACACTCCCCCTTATCCACACCCCATCTTTCCTCCTCCTCCTCCTCTCGTCATCGTTTTATCGAAAGTGGACCATCAGGATACGAATAGCATCGCGCACAACTTGCGCTTTTTTCACACCTGCCTCCTGCAGCAATCGATCAACCAAATGCCGCCACCGACCAGGACAACCCAGAAAACGAAACTAATATCAGCGCTCTCTTCATTTTCTCCTTTCAATTGGACATGCATATCTGTCGCGTAGGAGGAGCAGGAACGGCTCTTGAACTCGACCAACGATGCACTCCGTTATGAGTACGTACTGCACATGTACAACCGACTCTTATTCCCTCCCTTTTACTAACAACAATAAGGTGGAGGTGTCACTACTTGGGCCTTGATCAAAATATGGCAACGTAAAGGGCAAGGAGAAAAATAGGGGATGCAACACAAGGGTCTGGTTAGAAGAGGGAGGCGACAACGGTGTGTCTTGCCTCGTTTGACATTTTGCGCACCATGCTCTTTGGTCCGACAAGAGCATGTCGTGAATATTGGTTGGGGTGCAGCGACCCTTGCTTTTTTTTTTTGCAGTGACCTTCCTCTCCTGCCTTTGTTGTCCACTGAGCACACACGACACCATCCTATGAATTCGACTTCACGTTTTCCTCATCGTTATGTCTGGGCGGGAAAAAAATAGCCGGCTTTCGGGGGTTTTTTTTGTTGGTCATATTGCATTAGCAGGGAGTTTGTTTTATTGTTGTGTTTTTGGAGGGAGTAGAGGTCTAGGCAGACACATTAGTTATCGAAGTTTGAACAACGACATTTGGCGGGAAACAGAAAATCAAAACGCCTGGCCTTGGCTTTGGGCAGGTAAGCTGGCACACCTATCGGGCAAACCGTTTTTGTTTACAATGTGGTAATGACAAGAACGAAGTGGAGGGGATAAGGAAGGGAAGGTCAGTTGCCTGCTGTTAGTATGGATCTGGAGTAGAGAGTAGGGGTTGTTTGTTTGTTTGTTTTGATACCGCAACACTTTTTCTGCTTCGAAATATTTGGTTCCTGAAAACGTAGGGAGCGGGCGGGGGGTTATGTTTGTTGTTGTTCTTGGAGGGGTGACGGTGAGAGGTAGTGTGGGGCAGCGTCGACATAACTGAAGAGTAGTGATGACAACAACAATGCCAATCGAGAGAGTAGAGGGTCATTCACATCTCCACTGCCTGTCTAACAATGCTTGTTGGCCGAGGCTAGCCTGACTGACTGACTGACCCTTGTTAACTGTACCTGCTGTACCTGCTGTTATGTGACGTTCGCTTTTGCATATTTCCAGAATGTTGACTGACCTTCCGTTATGCATTGCATTCTTTTCTCTGCTATAGTTCGAACAGGATGGCTCATGCATCCTTTGGTGAACAAAACCAAATACGAGAGACGGAATCACTTCAGAAGATTGTCGAGAGGACCGCAGGGTAAGTTAAACACAGCCAACATGACCAAGTGTTCATGACCATCCAACCCTGTCCCTTTGTCCACACACAAGGTTGTCAGCAGCTATGCTCATCATCACTTGGTCCCCGATCCTCAAGTATTCCTTACCCCTTTTCGACATCTCCTTCATTTCCCTATCGCTCTTTCACTTTCAGCCTCGTCCTCGTCTTCTCCCTTTTTTTTACTCTTTTCTCTCTTTAACTCTGCCCGTGCCATTTTTGTTTTTTCGATGGGCTTGTTTGTTTTCTGTCCTTACAATGGAGCCCAGGCACGACATATTGAGGGGTCGATATTGCACTCGGCTTGGGTGGTGATTACTGTGTTTTTTATTTCTTGCTCTCGTCCATTCTGTAATGATCTGTTCGAGTCGCGGATATCGTAAAGCACCCAATCGCTCTCTACAATGGTTACACGGTTCATCTCGAACCCATCGCCCTTTATTTTTCACTCCTCGTTTTTGCAAGGCTCCTCTCTTTTTTGCAAGGTTCCTCTCCTATCTGGCCTCTTTATATGTGGGCCTAAATAGCCCTCCGCACCCTAGCCTGACATTGAATGCATGCACTTGCAGTTTCAGCTGCAACCCTTGATCCGTTTCGCCTGTCTTGCCCTACATGATCACAGAACTCATACCATCGGACTTTTTGTTCAATTTCGCCTTTTAGAAACTTGATCGACATTCCCTCCACGTTCCATGTCGAGAGGCTACAGCAACAGGAGGCCCAGGACCGATCGAACGAGTACCTGAATGCATTGAACACGGTCAAGTTGCCCGAACAGACCATTCGCAAGCTGTACAGCATGACCTCAGTCATGGCTTCCGCGGGGACGGACTCGCAAACGAACGAGATGCACGAGACGACGAAAGCAGCTACACCCAGGGAGCGGTCATCAACCTCGTCGGGTAGTTCTATCAAGGCGCCCTCTGTGCGCGAAGTATTGGCAGAAAAGACTGTTGATCCCAAGACAGTTGGTTGGGTAAGTGCATGCACACACACAAGAAATAGAGATGTGGTTTTTCTGTTCGACAACACAGCAATAGAAATTTCTGGTGCACATTGTTCCTAACGATCTTTTTTTTCCTTCTTTGTGTTCCTAATTGCGATTGTGGTTTGTGTAGATGGCAAGCGCGATGGGTGAACTTCACCAGGCTACAGAGTCAATTGACGTTGAGGATGTCGGAGACCTCATCGTGACCCTCTCACCGCCCGCAGCGAGATAAGATTTTTTTTTTATACGTGCACGCCTTTTCTTCATCCACGTCGTCCTTTTTACATACGCACAAACGCACCTCGACAGTTTCCTTCACACTTTTTTCCTTTTTTTTCCCCTCCCCTTCCTTTGTCTTTTGCATCCAGCATCCAGAGAAGTTATTTTTCCTCCTCTTCTCGACGAAATACCCCCCCCCCCCCTTTTTTTTTTCACACTGGAGAGCACTTCAAATGGAAGTATACTCCTGATACGTTTTTCATAACTTGTACATACATAACACATTCCAAAAAAAAAAAAAAAAAAAAAAAAAACACACAACTCAAACACACTTACAATTACAGACATAGGCAAACAGAAACGCATATACGCTTTTCAATGACTTGATCCTTCATCTCCCTTCCTTTCCATCATGTTCCTTGGAAAGCATAGCAAAAACACCAAATAAAACTGACAGCAAGATGATTTTTTTTAACGATGTAGGCTTTATGTATTACTCGTCTTTTGTGTGTGTGTGAGAGAGAGAGGGAGGGAGAGAGAGGGAGAGGAGGTAAAAAAAAAAAAGTGAGGAAAGAAAAGGGAAGTAAAAAGAACATTGCCTCGCTTGTCCCTCACTTAGAGAACAGGTTGGTTAAAAACACATCCCCGTTCAACGGGGAGGATGTATGGATATGAAGTTAAAGAAAAGCAAATAATAGTGGATGGTTTGTTATGGAAAAAGAGAACAGACGAAAAGGCAAGGGAGGCTAAGAAGGTGAGAGGATTTTGTTGATTTTGCTCTTTAGGAGATGGTGCAGCATCCAGTGGCCTGTTTCGAGAAGGGGTCCGATGGTGGGTTACCCCACAGGGTGGGAATCAGCAAGTCCTTGGTGCCCATCACGAACTTTATCAAACTATTTTCAGGTTTATAGCAGAAGGGGGACAACATGGTTAGTGAGTGAAAGCGAAAAAAGATCAAATACATATAGAACTTATCCTTAGTCCCCTGGTGTTTACCTTTGAGAGGCCTCAGTGACAGAGATCCGGCGCATCTCAAGCTGCTCCTGCAACCGCTGGTTATGCTCCAAGAACCTCTTCAGCTTGATATCCGACACCCCGGAACTCGAGATCCCACTCATCCCACCCATTCCACTCAATCCTGTAACACTGCCGGCCACGGTCGTACCACTCCCGTTTCCTGTGAGGGTTGAGGAATTCGCGGTGGTGGCTGAGGAGGCCGAGCCGCCCTTGGCGCTGTTCAGGGATGGGCTGCGGAGGACGCCTCCGGATGAGTTGTCAGTGGCGGAGGAGTTGAAGAGGTTGGAGTGGCCGTGGCCGCCGAGATTGGGGGTTGTCATGGGCGAGGTGGTGGTTGTAGGACTGGACATGGTGATTGCTGGTGTTTGCGGTGGCAAGGATGTGAGAGTGTCGCCTGGTGTAAGAGACAGAGTTGTAGCAATAACGCTGTTGTAATTAATGTTGTAGTTGGACGGAAACTGCAAATGGCCCTTGCTAACTGCAGAAGTTATCGTCGAGTTTGAGGAAGACTCCGTGACAGAGATAGGGATCAGCAAAGCCTGTTGTTGGTTGGTTGTGGGGGCGACAAAGGAGAGTGGAGGCAGCGAAGGCGAAGACGATACTGAAGTTGATGCAGAAGTTGAAGTCGTTCTGAATGATGTCAGAGAAGACGTGCTGCCGGTGGGTGTCTTTGAAAGGTAGTGTCGGGTAGTAGTGGTAGTATTAGTGGAATGAGGTATTGTCGCGTCGTCGCCTAGAGGAGCGGCCGTAAGTGCAGTCGTGGGAAGAGGAGAAGTAGAGGTAGGGATAGTAGTAATGGAGGAGGGTTCGAAATTCAGTCGCTTTGTGGCAAAGTCTGAAGAAGGAAAAGTGGTCTGCAGATCGCGATGGTCATTTTGAGCAATGGGTGGACGCGTAGGGGCGATTGTGGTGTTATTGTCGTTGTTGTTGTTGTTGTTGTTGGTGGTGGTGGTGGTGGTATTGGACGAGTCATCGTGTTTTGTCGCCGCAAAGACAGGATCGAATTTGGATACCAAGGATGAGAGCGTTGAAGGAGGAGTAATGAAGAGAGGATGATTAGTATCTGTGCTCATGGTGGATTGGTTCGATCAATGGTCGGTGGGGTCAATGGGGTAAGGAGCGGGAGTGGAAAGAAAAGGGTGGAAACGAGGGTAGGAGCGAACAACAAAAAAGAAGGGTAGTGAAGCAAGAAGTGAAGGGAACACAGATGAAAGAATGAAGCGAGAGGATGCCAACAAGGACATATGGACGCAGTGCTGACCCCGGAACTGACTATCAGCTAAAGAACAAGTCAGCCTTGGGAAGTGGAGAGCACACAACAATAATGCTCACAACACAATTCGTGGCCCATTCGCACGACAAGGAATCGACACACATGGAAAGGAAACGAGGACCATACAGAGAGTGGTAGTCTCGCCTGAAGGAATTACTGCTGTCAGAGTCCCTTCAATACAAACGATGGAGATACTGACGATAGAAAGGGACAGCAAGAAGAAGAGGGGAGAGGAGATGGAGAATGAGGACGATAGAGGGCGAGCGAGGGGAAGTGTGAAGGAGGTGGACAAGGAAGGAGTAGGGACACGATAGCCATATGTGAATGTCCTTGCGGAATGGAAGACCCGACAACAATCGACTGGGACATTAATTTGCAGCGACACACTTACGATAGTCTTGAGTGTTTATGGTCTGCTTTGCGAGGATAGAAAGGAGGCAAGAGAGTAGGAAAGATGGAAGGAAGAAGGACGAAGGAATAAGAAAGAGAAGAGTGGAGTGACGTGAGGTGAAGAGTGGAGGAAGGGAGAGCTGTTGAAGAGAAAGAAGGAAAGATGAGAAAGTGTGGCGGTTAGCAATGTGGACGTATGGAGTTTCGAGAGGAACCAAGAAGTAGGTGGGTTCGAAGAACAGGTTTAAAAAAAGAAAAAGAAAAAAGAAGGGGAGAGAGGGTAAAAAGTGTTGGCGTCAAAGCAGGGGGATAGAGAGGTAAAGAAGAAAAGGACCAGACGCCATCAAAAAGAGACGAAAGGCAGTGACGAAAAGTCATTTTTGACAGGGCAATGGTGGAAGCCAACAAGCCAGTTGGTTGCTGCTGGTTCCCACAGCGGGAAGGGTTCACGTTGTTTGCTGTGATGACTCGCATGAAAAAGCCTTTTGCAAATGGCTTCTTCCTGTATTTGTTTGTTTGTTTTTGCATTTGTATGAATCGACCTCACTTGCTTTGTTGTCAATGAGAATGGCAATCGTGTCTTGCTTTCATTCTCTGCTCAACAACAACTAAGTTCGAGCAGTGAACACCCCACCTCCGGAAGGCGAGAGCCAAAGGAAACATGGCACAGATCATTAATGCAAATTAACCCGAGGGGTGTGAGTGAGTGTTTGTTCAGTCAAAGAAAACGTCAATGCGCTGGCAGACAGTGCATCAGATATAAAATAAAACGAGGGGAAGGAGGGAAATGGAAGAGGAACAAGAGGACGGGGGGGGGGGGGGGGCACAGAAAAGAAGGGGAAGGGATGAGGGGGTGAACTATGAAGAAGACAGAGAAAAGGCAGGAAGAATGGATGGGTAGATGTGGGTTCTCTAGTCTGGAGGCCATTGCCGATTAGAGCGAGTTTGATGAAGCTCACAACAACAAAGGGGAGTTGGCATGGATGGCATATGGATGGCAAATGGATAAAAAAGAGTGGATTTGGGGAGTGCAGTGCAGCACACGTACATGCACGTAAAGGAGACATGAAAAATGGCGCCCAATTTGGGACACTCATTTGTGCACTGGGCATTCAACTGCCGTTCTCATCGTCGCAAGAAACCAACAGTGGCTACAGCTCGGCATCAAAATAAATGAGCACCCTAGGTTTTCTAGATCACAGCCTTATAGGCCTTCCTCCTCTTTTTCTCGCTCGGCGATAGAAATGTGATGATACTTAACCCTCTATCTACATTGCATGGGATGAATGAAGGAAGCGAGAGGCACGGAGGAGGACCGGGTAGTAAACCGGGCTGCTTTGTCGTAGGCACGTTGCGTGATTGCGACCACTTCCGTATTTTTTTTGCTCGAGCGACTTGCGTCTTGACAAAAATAAAGACTTTATCAAGCATAAGAGCATCAAGAGAAGAGAAAGAGAGAGCAAAAGGCAAATTGCACGGGGGAGGAGGACATAATGTGCAAGGAGAAGGAGGTGATGTGAAGTACGGAAGGAGAACGGGTAATTGTGCGTGCAGGAAAGGAAAGGAGGTCCGTCCACTCTGTCTCTCTTTGCTTTTGTTGTTGTTGTTGTTGTGTCAAATTAGAAATTATTCTTGGAACCAATTTTGCTTTTGAACTTTTTTTGTTATCGTCAACCAACGCCCAACGTCTTTTTGTTTTGTTGATTCAACTAATGCCGCTGCTGCTGTTGTTGTATTCCTTCCTTGTCGCCTTTTGTTATTACTTGGTAGACAGCACGTTGTCGCCGTTGGCATGAAATGAAAGATAGGGATGGTTTTCAACGAGGCATACAAGCACAGATGGCAGCGTCCATGATTCGCTTTGTTTCTTTGTCAATCCCATGGATTGAAACAAATAAAGTTGAGTGATGATGTTCCAAAATAATCAAAGCGGTTTCTTATCCACTTGATCCCATGTCCTCTTCGCCTCAGTCTTTTTTGATCCATTGCATTATCCGGTTAATGGAACCGGTCCTAGTAATTGGTCCTGGCGGTGTTGTATGTGGTAAAATAAGAGGTATACGGTAATGTAGTGGTTTGAGATAATATCTGTTTTGTGTCGTTACTGCTCTACACACATACTCACCAGTACTGAAAGTTGCGCCTCTTGTCGGTTGATGTATGATGGGAGGCAACTAAAGAGTGCCGACTGGGATTATTTTAAGTGTGAAGAGAAATAAGTGCAAAAAAAGACAAGGAAAGGGAAGTAGCAAAGGTGCGGGAATGGGAAAGGAAGAAAACAAAATCGGGTGAGCTGGGTAAACAAGAGAAGATAAGAGAAGAGAAGTGCCTTAGGATTGACTGCAACGAGGAGAGAGAGAAAAGAGGAAGGAGGAAGAGAGAGAAGGGGTAATACATGGATGGTCGATCATAGAGACTGTCCTTTCTTTCTTTCTTTCTTTCTTAGAACAAAAACGGGATACAGAGAGAGCGACAGAGTCGCCGGGTTAATACTAAAGCATATCTGACCATCGTGCAGACGGGTGAGGCAGGCAGCTAAGGCAAGGCCAAGGCAAAAAAGGTTCCGTAGATCGGAAACATTAAACAAATCACGGATGCGGGTATTTCCTGTTCTAAAGTCTAAGCGCTTGTTTTGACTAACCATGTTTATCTATTCTGACCCACTTACAACTGTTTACGCATGATTTTTTCTAACTTTGCTCGCATTGTGGATGTCGATCTGTGTTCATGGGTAGGGTCTTGATGATAGTGAGAATGAGGGAGAGTGTGTTTGTGTTGTGCAAGCAGATGAGGAGGGACTGTGCGGGAACATGCCAGTAAAATAACTCTGTCCTACCAAGGTTCCCTGCCTCAGTCTTATCCTTTTAGTGGATGTCGCGTTTCATCTTTTTGTTATCTGTTGGAGGTAGTAACCACAGAACTCAAAAAAAAACCACATTCCAATTATCTTGGAGGGGAGAGGATAAGAGCCATTGCTGCAGAAAATAAAAGGCAGCGCAGCAGGAGCAGCAGCAACCCGCATTTTTGTATTTGTCTTCAATCAGACGATCTTTCCACGACAAGGGATCAAGAATGTCAAATGGCCGAAATACCTTGTAGACGGAAAAAAAAAGCGTTTAACTGCTCGCGTTTTCGTGATCATAACAATCCAATCAAGACGCACGTCTACCTTTTCTTCCTTGTCCAGCTGCCATTTCGTGGCTCTTTCTGTTCGTCCCTCCCTCTTACGGTACGGCTATTCTGCGTGACAACTAGTAAATACATATAATGGTCTACCATTGACTCCTTCCCCACACAATATCAAGCTACTCTTCCCCCAGTCACCTTACACCCATTCCTCTCTCCTCCAACAACAAAAAAATAACATAGAACATACAATCGCATGAAACACCCGAAGGCAAACAACGTCAACATCACAATCACTCCTTCCTCTCGACCCTCCACAATGGATGATGCCAGCGGCCCACGCAGCGGTGTAACAAACGACAGTCGCCGTCAGCAACATACCTCAAAGGTCACTGCCACTTCACCACCCCCGCAACAGTACACATTCGAAAGCTCCACCACAACGTCATCAGCCTCCTCATTTTGCGGCGATTATACACGCTCTACTTCCATGAACCAAGGATCTGATGTTGCGGGCCGTCATGTCCAGGGACTCCCTGCCTCTGCATTGGCAACGGTTGACGCTGTCCTGAACCGTACTCCTGCACGCCATGAAGGCATTGACAGGTTTGATAAGTTGGATAGTGGTGATACGGATGACGATGATAACAGCGAGATTGGCCACCATCATCAGCAGAGGAGAACTAGACGTGGTGGAGGTCTGACACGAGACCATCCCTTGGGACAAGAGCCCAAGGTCCCAAAGACCCAACCTCAGCGCCACATCCGATTAGCCGATCCTCCTATGATGACTACCACCACGGCTAACAAGGGTTCTTCCCGCACACACAAGGTGACCCTTTGCAAACCTGGCAACACCAACAAAGCGACGCGACGGCGCTCTGTCAGTCCACGCCGAGGAGAGTCGAGACCGGAGGATAGTGGAGTGACAGAAGTTGATCGCAGCAGTAGCATTGGCAGTCGCGATCGGAACGGAGGGCATTTCTATAACTTTGAAAACACTCCTGCCCATCCTCAGCAACCATCCACCTTTAACAACCCGTACAAGAACCAAAACCAGCAACAGCAACAGAGCGAGAAGCAAAACCAACTATTGGAGATGTACCGTACAAAGTCCTTCATAAGTGAACTCTCATTCGAGCGCAATAGTGGTGGTGGTGGTTATGGCGGTGATGGAGCAGGAGGAGTAGAGAAGCGAGGCGAGTACTTTGCGGCAATGAATTTCCAACAAGACCCCGAGATGGAGAGACGAATTGTCCGCAAGTTTGATCGACACCTGTTGCCGCTGCTAGGGATCCTGTACCTGTTTTCGTACTTGGATCGGGTCAACATCGGAAACGCTCGATTGTTTGGACTCGAGGAGGCCGTTCATCTCTCAAATGGCCAATACAACATGTGAGTTCAGGCCTCATTATATTTGTTTCGTGTTTTGATGTACTTTTTTTCATCACAAGACTCACAAGAGCTATCCATTTTTCTGGACACAAACAGCGCTCTGGCGTCGTTCTTTTTGGCTTACTGTTTGTTTGAGCTGCCCTCGAATTGGATGCTTGTCCGTGTTGGACCCCGCACCTGGATCCCTCTACTGATGTTCCTCTGGTAACCAACTACACCTCTTATTTTCCACGCCACACCTGTTCAACACCACAGCCTAATATCTTTTGTGTGCAACATTTCTACTACAATTAGGGGCGGAGTCAGTTTGGCGCTAGCATGGGTCACAGACTTTACAGGTCTGGTCGTTGCTCGCTTTGCTCTCGGTACTGCCGAAGGTTTGTAACATACGAAGACGCTTCTCTACTTTCCTCATATTGTTATTGTTTGTCCCACTGTCATTCCTCTTCTACTGCAATTGTTGTTACTCCTCCTCTCACCTATCATTCCTCTTTTTATCGTCACAAAACAGAAGAATGATGTAACTTACACTTACCAACCGTAACACCTCCTTTAATGTTAGCTGGGTTCGTACCAGGTGTCCTATTCTACATAACACTCTTCTACAAGCGGTCAGAACACTCCTTCCGCATAGCAATCTTCCTCTGCTTCAACATCCTGGCTGGGGCCTTTGGAGGTCTCCTCGGCGCAGGGATTTCACAACTCGCCGGGAAATGGGGCCTCCAAGGATGGCAATGGATTTTCATCCTCGAAGCCATCCCTACCCTCCTCCTCGCTATCCTGACATGGTTTATCATGACCCCGTCGCCAATGCAGGCGAAATTCTTGACGGAGGAGGAGAGGATCTATGCGACGAACCGGATTATTGTGGACAGTGATGTGGTTCCGACGGTCGAAGCGAGTTGGAGACAGACGCGGTCGGCCTTGACGGATGTGAGGGTTTATCTGATCTGTTTGGGGTCCATGTTTTTGCATATCCCCAGTGCTGGTGTTGTCATGTTCTTGCCCTCCCTCATCGCTGACATGGGCTTTAAAGCGTATGTTCTTGTTTCTCTGTCGGGTTGGGTTTTATGTGTTTCACTCACCCGCACTACCCTTTTTCTCTTCTAATACTCTAACGTTGCCTTTTACCTTTACATCCATTGAAATAATAGAACAACGGCACAGCTACTGACGGTACCTCCGTATTTGGTCGCAGCCTGCGTCTCACTCCTAGTCCCCTGGTGGTCCGACCGCCTCGGCATCCGCGGTTACTTTGCCATCTTCATCCCCATGGTCTCTGTCGTCGGATTCTCCCTCCTCGCCTTTGCCCCCTGGACCTGGCGTAAGTCTCATTTTTCCTCATTTCCCTTCACAACACATATATAACCGAAAAAAACACATTTTTTTACTTACACGCTCTCAATGCAAAACCTACTTCCCCCCCACCCCCCTCCTCCCTCTTTTTTTTTATCTCTCTGTTGAATAGTGCGTTATTTGGCGGTAACATTCGCATTATGTGGAATGGTGCCAACATCCTCCATTTTGACATCCTGGTTGACAAACAACTGTGTCGGCCATGCAAAACGAGCAACCGCTCTGGCAATGATGGTCTCTGCAGGAAGTCTGGCCGGTATGATTGGCACTCAAGTCTACCGCCCAGACGACGCGCCTCGCTACCGTACGTTCTATACCTATACCTTATACCTATATATTATACCTATACACAGAGTATCTTGTTTGTACTCCCACGAACCAACCTACTAATGGAACCCTCCTCCATCTCAAAATAATCTTCCGTTACATAGAACGAGGTCATAACGTGATGGCGATCTCGATCTGCTGCCTCATCTTGAACTCCCTCGTCCTGAGAACAATGCTGTCGCGCGAGAACCATCGCCGTGACAACAACCAAACAAAGGGCATTCGCTTGATTCAATTTATGTCCGAGGGACACCTTAACGACCTCGGGGACATGCATCCCAACTTCAGATACACCTTGTGAACTAAATATAATTAGTTGATAAATAAACAGCAATGACACCTTTGGTATTGAGAGAAAAGCGATCTATTAGCAGAGGCGAGGGTATACACAGTGGGAGCGAAAAAGCAAACAAAGAGGCAATGAAAAGGAAGAAAACAACCAGAATGAAAAATAGCGGATGTCTAAGGTACAGGTATGAATAATAAACGACATGCAGACGAAAGAAACGAAAAGCAAATGAAGTGGTGGAAGATCTGAGTAAGAGTAATGGCTGATGTGTACGTGTGCCTAATAAAGTTGAAATGGGTAACAGTTCTTGGGTGGTGGTATGTTTTTTACAGGGTTTCACCTCCCTCACGGCGTTGCTGTTTGTAGCCGAGACCCAGGCCGCCGATGCTTCCCGAGCTCTGACCAGTCGTCGAAGTGGTGCCGCTCAGCAACGTGCTCGAAACAGACAGAGGCATCTGGTTGACCGATCCCGACTTGGTCAAACGAGGCGTCGACTGCGTAATCGTCTTGATCGCGTTCAGGATCGACTCACTCGTGGACTTTTCTCCAGTCACCGCAGGAGTAGCCGACACGGGAGATGTGTTGAATGGCGTCGCCACCAAGGAAGATGCCAAAGAGGCCGTCGTCGAAGAGCTGGTCGTCTCACTCGCTCCTCGAGGAATCGCTAACTTAGGTAAGCTTCCGCCACGATGATGTCGTCCACTGGCGATCAATGCGGTAGAATGAATTCCAAATCCAGATCCATCTCCTCCAAATGACTCGCCGCTGTTCTTGAGGAAGGCACTGCGGAAGGGCGAGACAGTAGAATTGGCCGCTGATGCGGACGTGAGCGAGGGAAATGTATAAGGAATGGTGCCGACAGGCATGAGCTGGGTGTTGGGCGAAGCAAAGGATGAGATGCCTGAAATACTGAGAGATCGGCCAGAGTTGTGTCGGTAATGCGATCCCAAAGACTTCCAAGCATTCGAACTCGAATGTGCCACCAGAGAGCCGAGGCTGGTAGGGGATGATGGTGAGCCAGATTCGTTCGAGCCCAATTCCAGGTTACCACACGGGTTCTGGAAAGCTTGAGAAGACGCCTTGGGGGTCACATCGCCGCCAGTAGTCTGGACAACAGCTGCAGCGTAGGATGGTGCAGGTGTCAGATCGCGGGCTCCAGACTTGAGTGAGGTGTTCGAAGGAGGCGCCGGGGTCGCTGTAGGGGTACTCTCACTCGATGCTGACTCGGTTGGTCCTGCAGCTTTGGAAGATGGCGCTACAACAGCTGCCCATGTCGTGACAGGCATGCTAGGTTTCACCTCCTTGGGGTTGGTCACGGGCGAGGCGGCATCTGTCGCGGTTGCTGCCTTGGAACGTCCACCAAGAACTTCACCAGTAGCAGACTCGGAAATGCCTAGACACTCGATAGCCTCTTCGATGGACTTGACCTCAGATAACTCATGCTCGCCTTTTGCAAGAGAGATGTCAGGATCAGATGGAACTACAGAGTCGCCTTCGGCATTCTCAGCAACGACATTGAGGTCACCAGGAGTATCCAGAGGAGCCATCGCAGTCTCAAGTGGTGCGGGTGGGGCCATCCAACCAACAAGGTCCTCAGGACAGGTCACGCCAGCCACGACTAGAACCATGTTCTTCTGTCTCTCTGTGAAGGCGGGTGTCAAGACGGCGCAGCGGACCATGCGGGTCAAGAGCGTGGGGTGGATGGTGTTGTACTCCTTACTGAGATGCATCCTCAGGGACTCAATCGACAACTTGAGCAGCTCAAAGATGTGGTCCCGATGCAAAGGAAGTACCCGGTGCGACTGATGCCAAGGATATTTCGCCAGGATCGAGAGAATGTTTTCGAACGGTCTCTCCGCACACTTGCGAGAAAAGTGCAGCTGGAATATACAAGTATGCCATAGGGAGGGGTCAGTATAGACGTACTTAAATCATATAAGCATCAGAGTAAGAAACAAGTAAAACACTGGATGAGATGTATACCTTGTAGTTGCGACAGATGACAAGGAGTGCATTGATCTCGTCGCGCGTCACAAATGGTGGCGTTGGTTGCCCCTGCTTTGCAGAATCCATGAGCCATGGCGCAACATTATGGCTGCCCCTGTCTCCCTCTTCTTCAGCGCCTTGGACGGAGACGCGCTCTCCAGGGATCAAAGGCTCTCCATCCACAAAGTCACCAGTCCACTTGGGGAACACTGAACGCAGAAGCTCGTCCTGACTCGATAGCTCAACCGAGACTTGCCTTCCCTTCAGAACCCTCTGGTTTCGAGCCTGCGCCACCATACCTGCTTGGCGGGTCGTCAATGCCAGCTCAATGAATGCAGAGTTGAAGGTTTTTCCTGACGTTCTGTCCATGAGAATGTGGACGTTTTGGGCGAGCAGATGCTCGGGAGGATACGGGAATCCGGCAAAGAATCCGAGCATGTCTTGCAGAGATACATCCCATGGAATCTGTCAAACATAAAATGTCGAGTTAAAGTTAGCAGATGTAATGAATGGACGTTGACAAACATACGCCGAAATAAACTGGAGAGACGTACGTTGGTAACGCGAACAACTGCCCATTGGATAGCCTTGGTCTTTGGTTTAGCAGGTGGAACGGCTGGTGGCAAGTCTGGCAAGACTGGGAAGGAGAGTACTGCCGATGGTGCGCCTGGAGCCGCTCCAGGTCCTGCCAGGTTGTTCATAGCATGTCCGTAGTGTTGGTATCCTTGAGGAAAGTTGCCGACCGTTGGAGGTAACACCATGTGTTGCTGGCTTCCGTGACGTTGTTGCAAGTACTGCGGAGGCATCGGGATCTGCTGCTGGTAAGCATACTCCTGCGAAGTATAATCAACGACCCCAGAACCGCCTTCACGCCATGCTCCCGTTGGCGGGTTGATCATCCCGGGACGTCCCATAGCTGCCATGTTGCCACCATCGTGATATTGCTGTGCCATAGATAAACCAGGCTGAAAGCTGGGTGCGTACTGGTCCAGCCCCTGTCTGTGCGAGTGCTGCTGTCTCTGAGCATTTTGACCGCCGTGTGTAGATGCTTGAAGTGGGAAGAATCCTGGCAGAGGCTTCTGGTGAGCACCATTGCCAGCATTCTGGACAAAGTGATCCGTTGGTCCAGCTCCGCCAGCATAGTTCCCGTGGTTAGCAGAGGGACCAGATATCGATGAGTTGCCAGAGGCAATGATCGGCGCTGTGTCGAGTTGAAGCGAAGACGTCCAGAGAAGTGCTGTAGCATGGGCGGCGCCGTAAGTGGGGAATGTTTGATGGTACTGACGGTTCAAAGGGTAACCGTCACCCATGTCGTCAGAGTTCGTGTCATCGTGAGGACCTCGATTTGCGAAAGTCTGCCTTTGCCGCTGAGGTCGTTGCAGATGCATCTGTTGGGGTCCCTGTTGGCCTGAATACGTCTGCTGAGGCACGTGGAGGAAAGAATAGTGCCGGTTCTGCTGATCCGCATCCGCGCCTGGCATAGTTGGCCTTCCTGACGACACTGATTGTTGTGCTGGGATGACTCCGTGGGTGCAGAATGGACATGGTGGACTAGCATTCTGGAAGAGTCGAAGAGAGCGATGGTTCTCGTGGCGATAGCAAACATTACACACCCTATTGTTCAGATGTTTGTCAATCTATGTTCTAGTCCTGAATCAAAACATATCGTAACAACCAGTAGAATCTGTGTCATACCTGTGTCCGCATGACCCAAACGGGACTATCGCTAGCTGAACTCCACACAGTCCACACATCTCCAAAGTGGTGCCATCGTTGAGTTGAGCGCTCGATCCGGACTCAGTAGGGATAGTCGTCTCGAAGTGAGGGTGCGATGTTGACTGAGTCGAGTTCAGATGGTGACCCAGGGCTCCAGTGTCCACCCCTGTCACATCTGACTCGCGACTTTCCACACGCGATAACGGATGATGTTCATATGACATAGATTCTGGACGCATTCCTGGGGCGCGACTACCAGTGAACTGTCCTGACTTTGTGTGTCCACCAGCTGCACTATTGTTTGTCGGACTGACAGCTCGATCGGAAAGGTGAGGTGGAATGGACGATCCAGTTGGCACATTGAGAGAGTCCGACTGTTGATAAATGGACCTCATTGTCAAGTAGTCCAGGTTACTTGCCGACAGATCATGGAGTACTGACTCGGACTTGCGACGCTGACTTTGAATGTCCAGTCCAGCGCTCGCTCCCTTTGTGCCCATAATGTCAGACTTTTCAGCCCAAGGATCGTATCCAGGAACGAATCCGCCGTGTTGGAGTTTGTTGCTCTGATTGGAGGTGTTTGAAAACGACGACATAGTCGACGAGGCTGTCAGGGAGTCATCCTCGGGAATGCTGAGGTCCGAGCTTGTAGTGCTGCTAGTGCTGGCGTTAAGAAGATGGGCCAATTTGTCCTCAGGCTGGTCCTGTTCCTTGAAAATCAGTTCGTCCACGCTCTGCTTCCTTGCGTGAGAGATTCCTGGCGGTTGAATAGGGTTCGGGAGTATGCGACTGTTACGCCGACTGGATGACAACGAGGATGGAAGGTGCTGACGTTGCCTCTGTGAGAACGTCTGGAGTGCCAAGTTATGATTCGAGGCGCTTTCGATGAGGAAGGAGAGGTCGTCATGGATTGTGGCAAGCGATTCCGGGCCTGAAAGGTCCTTGTCCCAGTCGGTATTTCGTACCGAATCCTCTTCAGCCTGACCCTGGATGGTTGATGCAGGAACTGGGAAGGAGTGCGTATCATATCCCATTTGGAACGAGCTCGAATGCCTATGCGGTAACACTTGGTCGGGCTAATGACAATCGGAGAGAAAACGACAGGACATATCATCGCGGAGGCAGCGGTATGTTAGTCCATCGATATGCGACAACGGGAGTGGTAAAGGGGGTGGATTGTGGTTGAAGGAGATGGGTGTTCATGTAATCACAGAAAAAAAGGGGAGACGAGGTGGTTGCGGTCCAATAAGGGGTGAGCAACTTCGTGAGTCTTGGGGATTTTGGGTTGTACAGACTGAATCAGCATATGCCAGTCATCAAGAGAAAAAGACGTAAAAAGTACACGGCGGGAAAGGGGAAAGTGCAAACGACAACCACGGATGCATATCAGTTTGGGTCACAAACACTGCTGTGAGAGAACGGATCGAATAGAAAAGCATGCATGGAGAGAAAAAAGTGATACACAAAACAAAACAAACAACAACAAAAAAAACTTGTCCACGCAAAAAGGGATGTGATTTTTAGGCCTTTTTCTCCTTCCCCTTTTCTCATTTGCATGGTGATAGATTTCTTCCGCGCAATGCCAGATGGCAGGAATCCGGATGTATGCCACAGAGTCATTTTCTGTAAGTATCCTGAAGTCATTCCCGTAAAAGTTCCCGTGCTGTGAAAATTAGCGACCACCGTTTTGAATAACAGAAGGTATTGTAGGGATGATCAAGACTGGACGTGGGATGCTTTGTGTTTTGTGTTCATGAGCAAGCGGTATAGTGGTGGACGTGGGTGGAGACATGGAAGGAACAAAAAGGGAGGAACAAAGTGAAGGGGTAAAACATGTACAAACGGTAACGTACCTGGTCCCAGACACCGCCATAGAAGGAGAGCTGTGACATGGACGCTCTTCGGCCAAAGTTATCGGTCATGGTGTTTGTCACTCCGCTGTCAGGGTGCTGTTGCTGACCGAAGGCGTTTGGGTGTAGTCTGTTGGAGCTCCGCTGGTTGTTGCCGACAAGGTTGATGCTGGACGAGTTGATTTCTTGCTTGTCCGAGATTGACGTGAACGAGGACTCGCTCGAGTGACTGCTCCAAGGTGAGGCCATGCTGCTGTCGTATTTGTTCGACAGATCAGAGCCAGCTGCTGACCTCTGTGTGGCGATCTGGTCGACGCACAGGAACTGGTTAAAGGCTCCCTGAGTGCTCCATGCTGAGTAGTCGACCGTGTGCCGTCTCTGGTCCAGGAGGTGTTGCGGAGGACGCTTTTGTGTTGACAGAGTTGACAGAGTTGACAGAGTTGTCGCTGGTAATGTTGGAGATGACCCTGGTGCCGAAGACAAGGATCGCGGTTGAGACTCAGAGGTTCTCCGGGATCCCGCCTCGCTCAGGTGTTCGCGGGTATTCATTCAGCTGCTCTCTTTCTCTTCGTAAAGTACGTTGTTGTAGAGTCAGACGGGCAGCTGTGGTTTTGATGAGAGAGTAAAGGCGGTTGTGAGGTGTTGATCAGTGTCTGTTATCGATCTGATTTTGACTCTCTGTTGGTTTGTGAGACGTGGACGAGGAAGGCGTGAAAGGTTGACAGGAAAAGGCGAGAGGAGAGAACAAAGAGAGATAGTTAAGTAAGTGTTTTTGTTGAACAACGGAGGGGTTATTGCCGGTCAAGCGAAGAATAAGGAAGGAGGCAAGGAGGGAAGAAGAAAGAAGGAAAGGAGAAAGGGAATACTGGAAAAAAAGGTTAAAGTGGAAAGGCTGAGTTTATGTTGAGAAAAAGGGAAGTGTGCGTGTGACCAGACAATCGGTAGAGGATGGAGGATTGCGTGAGAGCTGAAGAGGAGAAAAGAGAAAGGGAGAAGGGAAAGGGTGAAGAAGTAGCGGTGGAAGGAAGAAGAGGAAGTTGTAGAAGGAGAGGAGAGCAGAGAGGAAGGGGAGGAAGAGGAGGAAAGGAGAGGGAAAAGGAAAAGGAAAAGGAGACTTGAAAGGAAGAGGAGGGAATAAAGGGAAAGGGAATAAAGGAAAAAAAAGAAAAAAAAAAAAAAAAACTGAGATAGTAAAATGGGGCGGGGTGAGGGTGTGCGTGTGCGTTTGTATGGAGTGGCAACCATGCAAACATGCAAACATACACAGCACACATTGGCAACAAGAAGCAAGTGGGCGAGATTGAACAAAGGCACAACGGCACAGAAACAGGATTCAACGCGACGTTATGGTGTTTCTGTGTTCTCTGGGGTAATATGCTATGTTGTGTGTGTGTGTGTGTTTTGAGAGGGATGTTTCTGAGCGAGATAAGAAACAGGCAACGAAGCAAGCGAAAAAGTACATACCCGCCAAGGGTTCAGTGACGGATCCGAGTTGGAGAATGAGGAGAGTGTGTGTAGGTGAGAGGAGAAGGAGAGAGTGAGAGAAAGACGAAGAGGAGGAGGAGGTGTGAGCTTCTTTTTGGGCAAGTGTGTGTGTGCCTGTTTGTAGGAAATGGATGCAGCGTGTAGGATTGTGTAAGAGTGAGGGGAGAGAGAAATGGAAATGAAAAAGAGAATGAGGGGAGAAAAGAAGAGAGAGAGGAAAAGAGGAAGATGAAGCAGAAAAATAAGGAGATGGACAGCCAGAGAGGACACCAAGAATATCAGACAATCAGACAATCACTCACACATACTTTCGAACAATCAACAACCAGAGATGGTGATGTTTTCAACAACAACAACAATAACAAACAACGAGATCACATTTTCGGCCCTTTTCCTCATAGAACGTCCCTCAAAAAGAAGCCCTTGTTTGGTGTTTTGTTTCTCAACATCTTGTACGACGGTGCGTGCATGCATTCAAACAACAGACAGACGGACACTCTTCGGAGATGAGAGCCTCAGTACAGTACAGACGATCTCGTGGGGTCTTTAGTCAATACACTACTTCGTGGACATGCAAAAAAAAAAAAAAAAAAAAAAAAAAACGAACAAGTGGCCTTGTATGTCATCTAGGAGTCACAGAAAAGTGGGAGGAAAGGGAGGAATGAACAAGCTCGACCACCATCATTCTGCGCTTCTGCATGCAAAAGGAGAAGCTGACACTTCTTTGCATTGACACCATTTGCATGGAACAAAAACAGACCCCAAATCATTTGCGGCTCTTCCTATCTTTATCGGAGTATCTTCCATGCAAGGCAAAATAAACATCAACAACCTTGTCTTTGCTTACTTATCTCTTTACAGGCAGTTTTTCCTTGTGGTTCATGTCGTCTATTGCACAATGTATTCCCGACCCCCTTGCGTCCATGGGTCTATGGAGGAGAGGGAGAGAGCAAAGAGAAAGAGAAACAACCTCCTGTGGCTCCTAGGGCTCACACGACCGGATTTGCACTAATTCTTTCACTCTCTCACGCACACAGACCTCCTCTTCATTTTCCGTCAGATTGAGAGCATCTCAACAGTGAAAAAAAAAAACATACACAAAGAAAACAATGCTTCATAGAGGAAGGAATGCGATGGATGACCAACATGCCGAAGCTGCCCAATTATTTCTGTCACTTTGTTCTCATTGTTTCTTCGTGTTCGATTGCCCGAAAACGACTGACGTTACTCGCATTCGCAGAATGAAGTGTTTCGTAATACAAAAACTGAGCCATAACGAAAACAACAGCAACAACAAGGAAAGCTTGGTCTTTGGAGTTCGCTCTTTAGTTCAATGAGAGTTTGACAACCGTGTGTCAGTTGTAAACGGACAGGCAGGCAGACATGGACAATTTCTCCATATGGAACACGCTCATCAATTGCTCCCAGTCGCGTCATTCCACAGGAGCACAGACTCTATGCAATTCCCAGAGTTTCTTTGACTACAAAGGAGGTTCACGACCAAGCAAGGACATAGGAGTTATAGGAGAGACATTGTCCAATTGTCGTCCAATTGTCCAAGTGTCCAAGGGGGAAGATGAGGACATGGTAGTACTCTCACTATCCCTGAACTTCATACATGACCTCATGGTGGTGCCTTTTGATGAAGATCTTGTCTGTCATGTGCTCATTGCTGTCTTTTGTTTTTTACCCTTTGCCCCTCGCCCTTGATGCCCTCGGAGGAAAAGAAAAATGAACAATAGTCATCGCACTCAAGCAAAAAACACGAAACTCCAAACGAGCCTAATGAAAGGTGTGCAGTAAACCTTCTTCTTTCTCAACACCCCCTTCTAAAAAGCCCCTTGCCTGTATCTTTGTCCGTCCCCACCCTTTCTGAGTTGTTTTTTTTTCTCTTTGAAAAGATTGTTCGTCGGTCGTGCCTTTGTTTGTTTTCCAAGATCTGTATTCCACACCGTCGTTTTTGGTGTTTTATCAACACCAACCTGAGAGCGCAAGCTAAGAGAGAGGGTGAGAGAGAGTGAGAGAGTGAGGAGAGAGAAAGAAAGTGAGAAGAAAGTAAGAAAGAACGGTGCTTACGGAATGGATCGACACTCCAAGAAAGAAAAACACCAAATTCCTGAAACTTGTTTTTGAGAGCACCACATGTCTAACACAACTCCCTTTTAAACAAACAAATACAACACGCACAAACAAACATAGTAAATCCAACATCAACAAACACATGAGCATACAACAAACAAAATGAATGAAACAAGATCAAGCTCAAGGGCAAGGGCAATGAATAGTTAGCAAGCAATGGTACATTAAAGTATTTTACAGAGAATCTTGAGCAGGTGAAGAGCTATCTCAATCGATGTTGTTGTGTGTGTGAGGGAGCGAGTGTGCGTGCGTGTGCACGCTCAGGCGAAAGAAAGGGGGAAGGGAAGAAGAAAATAGATGACAGGGGAGTAGAACAGATAGACACGCGTTATCATAACATCGCAATGTTGCAAGTCGAGCCTTTGGTAATACGATAGTTCCATTCGTGAAAGAATCTCTCATTAGAGGTGCATAGTCGACTGATCGTGAGCTGATCCGCTAGGAATAATTGGGCGGCACGGTCCCTTGAGCGCGTCGAGAAACAAGTCCCTGATTCGATAGCAGTTATTGCGTCGTCGCATGTATGTCGTGGGCCGGGTTGCCAAGGGTTGGGGCTCGTAGCTTCTCACCGCATCCAGCAGATCCGTGTACTCTTCATCAGAGTCCACGTTGACGTCTTCCTTGTCAGCAAGCGGAGCCTCAGAATCTCGGTTGATCTTTTCATCTTTGACTAAACGAAGGAAGAGTTTAAATTGCTCAGTCATTGCCACTAAAATCAAGAAATAAGCTTGCATCTGAAAACTATCATATCCTAATGACACAAGCAACATACCAGGCATTGGCTTCTTTTGGTACATTCCAAGGAGAACGTCATAGGGTCTTGATCTACCCTCAACAGCTCTCTTAGACGACATGGAGTGGCTCTTGCAGGTCAATGAACGAGCACAAGGCGGTGCGCCAATCGAGGGAACAACACCGCATTGCTTATCCAGGTCCAGAGGCCCTTTGACGCGACCAGGTGGCTTGACCTTGGCAACCTTGGCGATCTTTTGCTTCTTCTCCGATGGCTTCTTCTCCGGCACCGACGCAGGAGGAGGCGACATCTCAACCGCCGACACAGGCGTCTCCGGTTCTATTCACCATATAATTAATTGTCACTTTTGTTAGAGTCCAATGCATGAGTGCATTTAGTTCATACCAGATCAACCCCACGATATATAAAACAAAGGTTGTACCTTCAATCACGACGGATTCCTTTCTCTTCTTGGTCTTTGTTTCAGGCTTCTTCTCCAACGCCTCGGTACGGATCACCAAGGTTGGTGCCGCAGGTGCTGATTCCACTGCTGATGCCTTGCATTTGCCTAACAAGTAACAAAAATTCAAAATGATCTGGTAAATATCTCACTTCGCCACGATAGCAAAGTATGACTCATGCCCACATAGAACGGAGTATGGCAAATAAATTACCTCGATGCTCCTTGACGGCACTGGGGATCATAGGCTTGTCGCAGTGGACACAAGTCACGATCACAACTTCATCCGTCATGGGCATGCCTCCATATGTCTTCATCTCCTTGAATTCCAGACGTGACGCAGTTGGTGCCTTTGATTTCCCTTGAGACTGAGTGACTTTGTCCGCAAGTTCGCAATGCTCTATTGTTCCAAGAAATGAGAAAAAGATAAAGGTTAACCTCTATACATACCCTTCAAGACAATCAATTTTTCGTCCCGATCTGATAAGACAAGGTCAATCATTTACCCTCGGCATCTAGCTGTGATCGAATCCCGATCCACGAAGTCGAGTTTTTAAACAGGTCATTGCTAAGAGGTGCTGCTGTTGCTGCTGTAGCAGCGTGTGATGCAGATCCTCGAGGCAGTTTCTTCCAGCGATCCTGTTCCCGAAAGACTGCAAGCGTTTGCGGGTTGACGAGTCCTGAAAGCGAATCAACCGTGTCTGAACCGAGCAGTGTTTGAGCATTGTTCAGAATTCCTAAGTCGTTTCAAACAAAAGGGGCGTCCGTTATTAATGAGCTCGACATATTAAAAAAAGAACGCGCTTTTCAAAGAAACTCAAAAATCAAGGCGGTTGATAGCAAAGGGAAGGGAGAGGGAGAGGCGGAGGGGCCAAGAAGCGGGGAGGGAGGGAGGGTATATTTTACCTGCTTCTGCGAGCTCAATTTCTCTCCGCTGGTCCATGAGTAGGCCTGTCTGCCTGTCGTTCAGGGCTTCCCAGCCAGCTAATTGTTTAAATAAAAAGGAGCGGTGTATGAATAGAGGTCAGGGCTGTGTGTCAGTCTCTATGGTTGTAATATGTCCGAGGCGTGATTGTAATGACATTGCGTTGGGTTGTGTAGTGATGGCTCCCTTGCGGGATCCCAGTCGAGAGGAAAGTGGGCGAAGGCAGTGAATTTTATTGTTATTATTTTGTGGGTTCAGCGTTGTTGTTTACCTGGAGGGGTCCCAGTCATTTGGTCGCGTGTGTTGTGTGTACGGGATGTATGTGAGGGCAAACAAAGGGGTGGAAGGGAGGAGGACGATGAGTGTGGAGGTTGTGTTTGTTGAGGGTGATTAGGTGTCTGATGAGATGAGAGAGTTGTTGATGGCTGTTGAAGGAGGGCGCACACCGAGCCTCGTACACATCCAGTTAGGAGAGGGGAGGAGTGAGGAAATGAACATAGCAGATGGAACACACTACAATTTTTTAGATTGTGACGTCATTTTTTTTTTCTTTTAAGGAGAGCGATTCCTCCCGTTCATGGTTGTTGAACGCGTCGCGATCATCAAAAGAACACCACGGTTTGTGGGGGTTCTTATTACGCCCCCATTCTATCATTCGTAAAAATCCACTAAACGAACACACCTGGCAAAGTCAAATGAGCGGGCCTTGAGAACGGCGATATGGCTAGCAAAGATAAAAAAAAGAGGCGGTTGTTGCAATCAATGAGATATCGACTTGGTCCGTATGGCTTTATTCATCCAATATCATATCATTATTGGGCAAGCGTTATCGCCAAGCCGACAGCAGCAGAAGCAATCGTCAACATCTTGGGCCAATACGACCCACTACCACTGTCCGCGTCCTTCCTAGGCCCACCCGCTGGCTGACCATCAAACGCCTTTCCTCCATCCTGCGGCACCTCCTTCAACTCAAACTGGGTCCGCTTCCCAATCTTCTTGGCAATTACCATCATTTGGACCTTGCGAATCATAGGACTCCGGATCCGGAACCACCACGGCGACTTTGTCACCAGCCAGAGATCAAACAACATAATGTTTAGAATCATCTGCTTGGCGAACCGGTAAGGAGTCGTCATACGCGGCAGTCCACTCTCTTTCCAAAAGACAGGTCCCAGCAGATGCTCGGCTAAAGCCATGTGAATCTTGAAGGGGTCAGGCAGGCCAATCGCCTTGATGATCTTGACGGGGATAATCGGTTTTGGCCCCATGTTCTGGAGAAGAGTCGCACACATGCGTCCACTCTCGTCGTCTGGATCCGTCAGGTGGAGGACAATCGATTCGAGACAGGCATCGGCACTCTCGGGTGTACGGGCAGCGCCAAGGACATCGTCAACACCCATCATGTAGCCAATGTAGCGCCACAGATGAAGATAATCCTCGCGTTCTTGAGTCGTCATGTGGACTCCCATCTTGAAGTCCATCACCCTCCACATGGTATTGGAGAACGAGAACATGGTTGCCAGGAGATCCTCTTGGTTGATCGGAACGCCATGCTCTTCGACATTGTAGTACTTTGAGTGAGCGCGACTAATCTTGGACAGACGGGCGCGAACGCTGGCGTGAAGGAATCGAACTTGAACGATCGACTCCCAGGCGACGCCTGTTCCTGGTTGGAGGTAATCGATCGAGTGGACGACATCGAGGACGAACTGCGAGGTCTCAAGGACACGCTCCTTGGTCTTTTTACCAGATAGGTAGCCAGTGGAGTTGAGGACCTTGGTAATCTTGGGGACGGAGAATCCACCAGCAAGAGAAAAGTGTAGAAGCGCGTGAGATATGAAGAGGCAATAGCGCCTAAATTGACGTAGGTGAAGTTTCAAGTGAATGAGCGATTAGTGTCAAAACTTGTGCCACGAAGTAAGCGTGGAGCGATAGATGGTTAAGATGAGTCGTATTGGTCCACTGCTGAATATTCGAAAAAAGATGAGTCTCAAGGGCAGGAAAAGCACATATTCAGGTGAGAAAAAGGGGTGGAAAAAGGGGAGAAGAAAAGATGGAGTCATCGTTGAGGATCAAGCACAAGTCATGCATACCAGTATACTTCTTGACCACGTTTGACTTGTTCCCAGTTCACCCACTCAGGGACCGTCATGAGCTGCTGCATCAGCAAACGAGGTGCAGGACTCTCTTGCTTCTCTTCGGGCTGAGAAACATATGCGACCAAGGCCTTGAGGGCATCCTCGCCTTGCTTGACCTTGAGGACCTCCAACGCGTTGTCAGCCAGAGGATCACCGATCTTGCGTAAAGGCTCAAGGCGGCTGGAGGGGAGGTGCTTCTCTGTCCACATGATATCATAGTCCCAGAACTGAAAGCGTTGGCCCGGTTGTAGGGTTTCGGTGATGGCAGCAAAAGGTGCCTTACGCCGCTCTGATTCGAAGGAAAATCCAGCCGGACAAGACATTGTGCGAGGGGAAATGTGTTCGTTGGACAAAAGTGTGAGGTCAGCCGGAGTTTTTTTCTGTGGAGGAGTTGTGGAGGCACAAAAGAGTTGAGAGCAGTTGAAAAACAGAAAAGCGGCACAGATGGAACCATTTCTTTTATGGGTGGCAAGTTCGGGTAGTCCGGGTGGTTATTGTATGTGTCAGCAACCAGAACACCACGAACAACTTCCATACTCCTTTTCAAACTTGCAAGAGTCAAAGAGCTTCTCCGAAAGCTGTCATCCCTTTAGTTTTTTTTTATATATTTGGTCACCCCCCAGAAAGCTCTATGAACCCCTCAAAAACCCACAACAAATGGGGATCAATGTGGAAGAATGCATTTCGCACGTGTGTGTAGGTGAGTTTGTTTTTTTCTTCTTCCTTCGGCTGTCCCCTGATCTTCAATTGACAGACGAAAAAACACAAACAAATAAACAAATCCTCGGCTCGAGCGTAGCTTCTTGACGTAGCCCGACCATCCCCAAAAACGCGATGTGGTGAAGAATGATCACATCCTACAGAATCCCTAAATGCATTGTGTAGACCGCTCCCCTTCGAACTCCCAAAGCGCAATCCCTTGAAAATAATCCTGTAGTTGCATATGTAGTATCCTATGGAGTCTGTAGATGTACAATCAAATGTTTATGCAAGAAAACAATGAAATGGTCTATGATGTGTTGTGTTGATGGTCGAATGATGCGAGGTGAGTTGAGGAAATAGGCGGGTGAAAGTAAGGTTGATAAAAATTTACATGCCACCAGCGTTCTGCGACTCGCGCTGGACGCGGTTGATATAGGTGCGGGAGACGATGTTCCATGCCTCCATGTAGCGATCCATGCACTTGGAGAGGCAGTCCTGTTGGCGATGGAATTGCAAATGTCGATACGGTGGGTGTGTGTGTCGGAGGTCAACAGACCAAATGGAAGGCAAGAGTATGTGTGCTGGCGGGTTAGAGTCCGGTCGTAGGTACTGAAAAGGCCATAAAGAGAATTCAAATACAATTGTACAAGGAACTGACCTGTTCGCCACCGCTCAACTTGGCGCCGGGCTTGATCACGCACTTGGCGAAGCACTTCTCGTTGATTTTCTATGATATAGAAATGAGATATACCGAAGAAGCATGTCAGCATTGACGTACTGTTTGACTGTACTCGGTCCCTTATGGTCAAGCCTCTATGATACATACGTTGATCAACTCCTGGGCGTTAGCGAGAGCGAGCTCGCTGCGGACCTGGTCCATGACTTGCTGCTTCTTGGCCTCCTATTGTGTTGTTAAAAATCCGTCGTTAGTTTTCAGGTCCGAGGGATCGTGTACAAGATCAACCTAACGACTAAAAAAATTCATTCGGTCGCCCAGTTTCAAGAATCGATCAATGTGTTCCTGAAGTCCTTGCTACGCACCATGGAGCCGCCGCCGTAGTTTCCAAAGTCAGACATGGTTGTAAGTGTAAGTGTGGTGGTGAAGTGAGAAAGGTGATCAGATCACCGAATAAACAGGCCATGAAGGCCCAATGTGACGGACGGAAGAGAATGCGATCGCACAAGTTAATTTTCCCTCAAACGCCACTATGTTTAAGTGTCCATTCGCGGTTTGCCATTGTGCTTTGCCTGTGCTTCCAGCCAACAAACTCTGTTCTCGATGGGATTCCCCCGCCTGCTCTCCATCTTCTACTGCACCTTCCACCCCACCCAGGGCCCCAAGGTCCTCTACGAAGTGCCCGAGGGTTCAATTCTATCCAAGACCTCACCCCTCGTAGACTTCGACTCCATCTCCGAGTTCCTCATCCCTAAGGTCGAACTCTGCGCCAAAATCGTCACCATCTCAACCCCAACCTGCAAGGTCATCGGCTACCCGATCAACCTCGAGCACAAAAAGTTCCAGAGAAATGCTCTCATGTTCAACCTCGCCTTTGTCTTTGACAAGGACGCCGAGATTTCGTCGTACAAGCCCGTTGTCCGGAAAATGGCACGAGTCCTCAAGGCCCTGGAGAAGGAGAGCGAGTTCCTTAGTCGGCAGACACGGCTGGAGATGATGGACAATGAGGCATTGGCGAGCCTTAACTCTACATCATCTATCTCGGGACCTTCAGGAACGAGCACGGCTGTAGCGATAACAACCACATTAACCAGCATCACGAAAACTTTGGCTCAGCAACCCGCTGCCAATGGACAAGTACCACTGGAGACTATCAGAGAAGGTGCCTCCAACCTGAGCATCAGCAAGCCCGATTTAACCAATGCACAAACACAGGGATCGACTACTACCACTGACTCTGCCTTGCCTTCAACCTCAAGCACACTTACAGCGCCCACCGACCCAACGACCAATGGCTCATCCGCAGCCACATTGCCAACCGTATCACAGGAGGGACATTATACGGCAGGAGCAGGAACAGGGTTTACGTCCGGTAGCATTACCTACGCGGCAATCGTCTCATCTCCCCCTTCTATGTCAGGCAGCAGCATTGGATCAATCTTGACAGCTCCACCGTCGTCCTCACCATTCCCTCCCGCCAGATCGACAACGAATCCAGGAGCCACAAACAGTGGATCGACTGTTGTCGCCAAGGCGAAACCGCAGGAAGCACCCTCCTTGATGGATCTAATGCAGGCTGACGGCAGTGGGATGCAGAACTTGATTGAGCAATTGATCGAGGATCTCAACAGTTATTGCGAGTGCCAGATTCCTATCGGTAAGTCCCGTTGCAATTACTAGAGGGTTTCATGTACCGAACTTTTGTCAGCATGAATGCATCGTGAACCGCCTCTAACAGTTGTTGACCTTGGCCCTTTAGATTCTGCAAACACAATCAACTTAAAGCTATTTCCGACATACCCTAACCCAGCACCGGTTTACGACTACCAGGTGCCCATCTCGACAGTCAACCTGGAGGCGTTGACAGATGTCAATTGGGACATGACAATGCAGAGGATCACAGGATACATCAACGGTGTCAACTCAGTCAAGAAGATTGCCGAGTACGCCGATGTGGAAACAGTTCTCGCTAGGATGTGCATGGAGCACTTGCTGTATTACGGTTGCATCATCATGGTCGACTTGTTCCAGTTCAAGAATATCTACGCCGTCAAGATGGAGATGATGCGACTCACAGAGGATGTTGCTCTGCAGTATGAGTGTGTCGCGTATGTCACATTACCAGGTACGCTGCATTGACATCACTCCTGCCACAGTCTACATGCCGCTGGTTCTTTTACTAGGTGGCTAACCGGAGTCGAACTATGGTGAACACTTTAGATATGCACGCTCCATCCTTTGCCAAAATCTTTTCACTCTACTGCTCTCTTCAGTACGGCGTTGTTCTCCAGGACTGGATTGAGCAGAACCAAATTGCAGACTACAACATTGACGTGAGGTAAGGTGGCCGTTCTGGTAACACTGTACGTATGGCGCGGACAAAATGCTATTCCTCCCTTTGACTCAATCCTAACACGCAATCTTTCTACCTCTTATCCAGGCGCTTCATATCCTTTGGTGTGATCAAGGGGTTCCTCTACAGGGTGCACAAATACCCCATTCTGGATTACTACGATCCAGCGACCTCCGGCTCAGCACCTTCCTCCGCACCTTCCTCCGCTAAAGTACACACACCACAACCAGTGAACGCAGAGGCTGCACCCTCGACCGCTACTGCCGCTGCACCTAATGGAAGGGTACCAAGTCGGCCTGGTACACCTTCTGCCATTCCATCAAACCAAAAGAAAATGTATGGCGACAACTTGGCACCGACAGATCAGCAAACTCATGCCCAGCAACACCAAGGTATGCAGCAACACCAACAGGGGTCGTCCAATGACTCGGCTTCAGGAGTTGTGATACCTCCTGCCCTCAGAAAGTAAGTTGACATAACGTCTGTGCGCTCTCTCCCTTTCATGGCCTTTTTTTCCCCCTCGTGGCGTAAGGGTCTTTGCTGACAGCTTATGCTTTTGTTTTGGAATGTACCGTTGATAGACGCTTGAATGGTCAACACCACTATGACGAACTCTGCACTCATTTCGGCTGTAGTGTACGAGACCTTGACAAGCTGCTGGCCACCGATAGTCGCGTCAAGTTCATCTACCGCTAGTATCTCCCCATAAACGAAATGTCTCCCATGCGCATAATTTGTCTGTCCCTCCCCTTTGACGTTCAACATCCTGAAAAAAAAAAAGAAACAACATTTGGTGGGGGGCGCTTGTTATGATAGAAAACTGACCGTCCAAAATGCCGATGATTTTGGGGCTTGGCGGCTCGCTTTTATTCCACTTTTTTTTTATGCTTTGAAAAAAAGTTGAGTTGTCTCGACTTAACGGAGACGACGGGCCTCACGCTCGGACTCCATAAGGCAGAGGATATCGCCTATTTGACATACAGAGGAAGGGGGGGGGGGGGGAACATATGTTAGGAAATGCTGTTGAGCGTAACAAAGGCTTGATTGTTCACAGATTATCCCGTGAAGATGGGCGGGTGAGTACGACGTGCAAGCCATTCTGTAGTTGTGTTTGCTTCCTTAATGCAACTTGTCTGCTCCATATATGGTAGATCGCGTCCGGAAAAAGGCAGACTGTTGTTCAATTGGCGCGGAGGTCTGTTGATAGACACACTCTTTACGTCTCAAAACATATTGAGATCCTGCACAAAACGCCCGCTTGCCAAACTGTCGAGTGTCGTGCCTCCCCCTTTGCATTCTGGATCCAAGTACAAGACACCAATTGATCCAAAGAAGATAATAACGTACCCTCACGGACGGGTCCCTTGACGTTACGGATAACGTTGCGGATGGAGTTGGGGTTGGAGGGGTCCTCCTGCAACTCAACCTTAACCTGGGTGACACCACCGCGGGAGCCGGTACGGCCGAGAACCTTGGTGACTTTGGCGTGCTTGACAACGGTCTTATCCTGAGGTGATAGAAAGAATGAAATAAGGACGGAGGGAAGGTGTGTTAACAGGCTGTTGAGCGGGGTTGACTTTGTGTGGTTTTGGCTGTGAAAGTTGATCGCCTTTCCTTTCCCGCTGGCGTGATTGATGTCCTCCTGCTGCCTCTCACACAAACGAAACGAGATGTCTATCACCACATCACTTTTGTGTTTCCCATCTACCTCTCCTGCCCTCAGACGGCTGTGGTTGTGAGATCCTGTGTTGTTGTTCCCACTGTGAAAATTTTTGAAGGTTCATCCCTGAGGTAGCTGCTGGAGAAGGTGTTTTGTCGAGTGCCCTCTTTGAAAGCTCCCAGAGGAAAACAGAAAAAAAATCTGCATAGTTTCCCCTAGCTCGACGATAGTAGACGGAGACCAGGGGTTGTGTTGTATGCTGGTTCCTCCAGTACGATGTGATGCAGTGTTGGTCGGGTTGATTGGTAACAAGTCGAGTGTTTTAAAAGGGGTTCTCTCATCCGGATGAGAATATAAGAGATCCCGCACCAAAATAGCGATATTGAGAGTCCTGGAGGATGGTGAAAATGAGATGTGTCGAATGATGATGGTGCCGGGTGGGTGCGATGTCCGTTGTAGCCAGGGTGTCGATCGATGGATGGTATCGTTGGCGTGGGTGGCCATGGATGCGCCAATCCCCTACGGAGTGGATGCATGGGCCGTCACATGTACCATTTTAATAAGTGATCAAAAAGAAGGAAGGTTGCCACTACAGTCCACTCGCCGTGATAAGTCCAACTCACTTCCGTCCCCTTAAGACACATTTCACATTTCTTGCCAGCTTTGCCCTGCTCACTAGAATGACACACCGCAAACGTCAACCGCCAACGACAATCCCCCTTCTTCTTCTTCAGACATCGATGGACCCATCTCTCTCCTCATCCAAGAAACACTCACTACAGGAAGAAAACTTTCTAAGGGCAGCAGCAGAAGTCAGAGCAGAGCATCAGAAAGCCATGGAGCCATTACCTCCAGACCCACGCACAACCAAGGGTATCACCCATGAACAGCGATACCACCTCTGTCTCAAGAAGCAGGACTGTCCCGCCATGAAACAGTCCGAGCTCGCAGCCTGGTTCCTGGAGACCTACTCGTTCCCCATCAGTCAGCCGACCATTTCTCACTCCTTGAAGAAGAGCGCCGAAATCCTTGCCAGAGGCATCTCTGCCCCGGGATTGGAACCCACGCGGGTGCGGCGGAGACCTGTCCGACATCCAGAGCTCGAGCAGGCTCTCTTCCAATGGGTACAACAACAGCATCAAGAACACGGACCAGAGCAATCGGGGGAAGGATCGGATTCGATATCAGGGCCTGCGCTGGTTCGACAAGCCAAGAGGATTGCCCAGGAGATGGATATTCACGACACGGTCTTTTGCCCGGGATGGCTCTCGCGGTTCAAAATGCGGTACGGGATTACACCAAGTCGAGGGTCCAATCAGCCAGAACACCACCACCGCCATCATCACCACGACCACTCTCATCACCACAATCACTCTCATCATCCACACCATTCATATCCGCATCAGCGTCGACATCGCCACTGCCCACCCTCTGAGCAACAGCAACAAGAACAACATCAACAGCAACAGCAGCCGCAGCCAGAGTTTGAGTCGCCAATACAAACAGTCAGCTCCATCACGATCTCCAATCACTCGTGCTCTCCTCCTCCGTCTGAGGATTACTCGATGCCTCAAAGCGATTCAATAACGCCGAGGAGTACCACCTTGGACTCCTCCGCACTCGGAACAATCGAGATTCGACCTTCAATTGCAGTTCCGGCCAGCATCAATAGTTCCCATTCATCACTGCAGCCACTGCGTCCACAACACACTGGCTTTGGCACGGTACATATACTGCCATCCTCAGGAGACCTTGATCGGCAGTCACTTCACCATCAACGACAACAGCATTTACAACAGCAGCAACAGCAGCAACAACAGGATGCACAGCTATTACAGCAGTTCAGGATGCAGACATATCAACCTTCAACATCGCGCACTACACACCTACACCCCCATAATCAACAGCGGCAACAGCACCAACAGACATTGACCGATTTCCAGGCGGTATCTGCGGCATCTTCATCTTCATCGTCTTCGGCGGCAACATCAACATCGGAGATAACAGCGGCGATGCACCTAGAATTCCTTCAGTCTATACCCATTACTACACCAACCAACGGAACTGGATCTCTCCTTCATGTGCCTTCCTCCCTGTCGCCTTCACCGCTCTCGCATCACACTCCAGGATCCCTACTTCGATCGCCCAATGATCCGTTTCAATCGTCGTCAATCGTCGCAGCAAGGACCGAGACGACTGTGACTTCCTCTTCACCATCGTCTACGGGTGGTTCGAAAATGGACTCTGGTATTTCCCTAGGTAAAGTGCAGACACTACAGGAGGCACAACGACTGGTGCAGCTTTTGAGACAGTATGCAGGATCCAATCTTCAGGACCCGACAGGAGCATTGAAGAATCTAGAATCGTTGGAGTGGGAATTGGACCCGACGAGAATGAGAGGGTCTATCACTATCTCTGAAATGGGAGACGATCAAGATTAAGCTTGTTTGAATAAATTGCGATGTGTATTACTAGTGAAAGATGATGAAAGATGCTAAAGGGTGTGTGTGTGTGTGCTAATTATCCTGACTTCATTGGGCGGACTTTGTGGGTCCCAGCATGAGTTCAGGGCGGACCCATTCCTTGAACTGGTCCTCGTTCAAAAGTCCCAATGAAATAGCAGCCTCCATCAGAGTGGTCCCTTCCTTGTGTGCCTTCTTGGCGCACTTGGCGGCGTTATCGTACCCAATATGAGGGTTCAAAGCGGTGACGAGCATCAAGGACTCGTTCATGATCGCATTGATCTTCTTCTCATTGGCCTCAATTCCAACAACACAGTTCTTGGTGAAGGAGACACAGGCATCAGAAAGAAGACGGATGGACTGGATCATGCTCTTGATCATCACAGGTTTGAAGACGTTCAATTCAAAGTGACCATTAGAGCCTGCGATAGAGATGGTGGTGTTGTTGCCCATGACTTGGGCACAAACCATGGTCATGGCCTCACATTGGGTGGGGTTGACCTTTCCGGGCATGATTGACGAACCGGGCTCGTTCTCGGGCAAGTTCAACTCTCCGAGACCGCAACGGGGGCCAGAGCCCAAGAAGCGAATATCGTTGGCGATCTTCATCAGTGAGACGGCAAGGACGTTGAGCGAACCGTGGGATTCAACAATGGCGTCGTGGGCGGCCAGGGCTTCAAACTTGTTGGGGGCGGTCTTGAAGGGGAGATGGGTAATCTTTGCAATCACCTCGGCGACCTTAACATCAAAGCCTTCGCGTGTGTTCAAGCCCTAATTAGAAGCAAGGCAAAGCCGTCGTTACTAAGGGATGTCAAATATTTACTTTCGGGGTGGGTCTTGAGGAACACAACTTACAGTGCCAACGGCGGTACCTCCTTGGGCAAGGTTGTAGAGACGAGGAAGGGTCGCTTGGACACGGGCAATGCCATAGGTGAGCTGCTGAACGTATCCCGAGAATTCTTGTCCAAGAGTCAAGGGAGTAGCATCCTGCAAGTGAGTGCGACCGATCTTGATAATGTCCTTGAACTCGTCGCTCTTGGCCTGAATTGCGTCACGGAGGAGCGTGATGGCAGGGATGAGTTGCTGATTGATCTCGATCGCGGCAGCGACATGCATGGCGGTGGGGAAGGTGTCATTGGAGGACTGGGACATGTTGACGTGGTCGTTGGGGTGGACAGGCTTCTTGGACCCGAGCTCGCCTCCCAAGAGCTCAATGGCGCGGTTGGAGATGACCTCGTTAACGTTCATGTTGGTCTGAGTGCCAGAGCCGGTCTGCCAGATGACTAGGGGGAAGTGGTCGAAGAGCTTGCCCTCAATGACTTCATTGGCAGCCTTGAAGATAGCATAGCCGACATTGGGATCGAGACCGTAGGTCATGTTGACCTGAGCAGCGGCGCGCTTCAAGATACCGAAAGCCTTGATCAAGGGTTCGGGCATGCGCTCTGTCACGCCACCAATATCAAAGTTTTGCAGGGAACTAAAAAAAAAACAATGCAGTGAACGTGTACTCGTAAGTACAGTTGGCAGGTGCGCGTACCATTGTTAATCCTCCCGCGTAACGCTCCGATTTGCTTCGTATTAGGAACACTCACCGTTGAGTCTGGGCACCCCAGTATCTGTCGGCGGGCACTTGAAGGATTCCGAAGGTGTCAGCCTCCTCGCGGTAGTTTTGCGCCTGGATTTGGTCTTTTGCTGACATTTTTTTTTTTTGGTTGTGGAATGAGAGGAGAATGAACGTGAATCAGAAATGGAAGAGAATGCAGACGAAGGAAGGAAAAGAGGAGAATTGTAGAAGTGGAGAAAGAGAGTAGAAGAGAAAAAGAGAGGGCGCGTGGGAGGAAAGCGAAAAACCGAAACCATGAAAAAAAAGGCGGATCTGTTATCATGTCGGACAAGCCCCTTAGTGAGTTTCGACCCCGCTTACAGAAGTGTAGGAAAAAAAAAGCTTGTTCGTCCAGGCTGGAGCTGGATGCCTGTTTTTGGGCAATGCTCAGAGTAGGATCCTTATCTAGTGGAAGCGGGGACGGAGAGGGAATAGGACTGTAGGGGTGTTTGTGCGAGCGCGCCTACTTTGCAGGTTGCAGATGCGTTGCAGAAAGGAGGCGCGTCATAAGCGCGTTCCTCCTTGTAGCACAAAAAAACGACCCTTTTGTGTCCAAGAGCCAAGGACTCAAAGGGATGAATCATGAACTAAACGTACGTGCAGCATGTGCGATCAAAATGGAAGGGAAGAAGGCATAAGGAGGCTCGCATGTGTCACTCTGTCTATGTGTCTATGTCAGAGCGTGCCTGGTGAGACGAAGAGGAGAACGCTATGCAATTTCGAGTGGCGTCGACAATTTTTTTTGTCTGTTGCTTGCTTTCTGTCTTGCTGCTTGTCCTCCCTCTCCTTTCTTCTCTTCTTCTTGCTCAACTCTCATTCCCAACGACACACACACACGCCTGCCTTTAGCTCAACGACACTCTCCCCTTCTTATCTCAACATATTAACCTCTGCTTGACTCTAACTCTCCTTCATTCGCACTCTCACTCTTGCAAACCCCCCTTCGCATCTTCCTCCTTTTGCACTCTCACACGACATCACCTTATACAAAACAAGAGACAAGAGGCTAACCAACCAACCCCGCCTAAAACAAGACGAAACAAGGACAACACAACCCAACAACACTCCTCCATTCCACCATGTACTGGCGATTCGGTCACCAGAACCCCTCGGTGATTGACCATCTTCTCGAAACTGGAAACGTCTCGCTCGAGGAACTGCTCGAACAGGATGATCTCATTCAGGAGTGCAAGGCCCAGAATCCAAGGCTCATCGAATAGTAAATGCTCGACCAATCCTTTTTTTATTTTATTTTATTGCTCTTAATGCGTTGTGTGTTTGACATCAAGTCTCTTTTTGTACGCCTTGTTTTCCATGCATCCTTGCTTTTTGGTTTTGGATGTTGAGGATTGGGGAATGTACTTTATTGTTTGTCACTCGAGCCAACATCATTCGAAAAAAGAAGTGTTGAATGTATGACGCTTTCTTCCCATGCGCTTACAGGGTTGTCGTGCTGCCTGTGCCTAACATAACGAGCAACCTAACACAACTGGCCGACAGTGTAGATCCATCCCTCTTGCCATTCCTCGAACAGGCCCAAAACAAGAACCCAGAGACGACACAACCAAATCCTAACAGCCCATTGTTCCCTTTGGATGCTTTCGTCATACTTTAGTTTACGTGAACCGTCAGTGCTCCAGCAGCTTCTCAGCTATATCACGAGTGATGACCTCGAAGATCGCGCACGGTTCAAGTAAGTTATTCGTCTTTTCTTTCAACCGCACCTCTCATTGGTGTGGACAAGGGGGCCAAAGTCTCTCTCGTACTTGGGCAGAAGCAGAAAAGTAGAAAGCAGGGGTTTAGAAGCGGGGACTCTAATTTGCAGCCAGCAACAGGACAAGATCACAAAAGTACAGGCCAGGCCAGAACAGACAGGACAGAAATTCGAACTCTGTGGCATGTCTCACAGGAATATCACACAGACGGGGAAAGGGAGGGCTTCAGCGGGAATCCAGCACCGAAAAACCACATACACGCGAGCAATTGAAACTCAGGACAGTAAGCCCCATCCCTCCCCGCCAATAGTGGTGGTATAACGGCCATCAGGATAAAAGACCCACCTCCTTCCAACAAAAAAGACCAACGACGAATGGGTACCGTCATTAGGAATAGAGAAGGGGCCGGGAGTATATATACATCACTTGTGACTAACCACGACACCCGCTTTATTCTCCCGCCTAAAATGATAGATATCCATTTATCGCCTGTGAGGTGATTGCATGCGAGGTCTGGGGTATCTTTGAGTCGGCATTAACCCATAATGACATGCTCGTCAAGTTCTGGGAGTTCCTTGATCGACCTCCTCCTCTGAACCCTGTCCAGGCCAGCTACTTTGCCAAAGTGATTGGTGTATTTTTGATGAAAAAGACGAATGAGGTAACCCCCACTAGAAGCAATTAGGACAGCCAGGGCTGAAGGACGTGGACGCCACGGGATACAGGACAAGAGCAATCAAGTACTAACGCAAGGATACCTTCCTCTAAACCATGATGTCCCACGCTGTAGATGTTGAGCTTTATCCGCTCCCAGCCTAAAGTGGTGCCAAAACTCTTGCTACACATGTCAACGTCTGCCATCATGGACCTGTTGCTCAAGATTATCAGCATGGAGGAATCGTCCGAAGGAAAGGGAACTGTTCAGGTGAGTGTTTGTGTCATCTTCTTCTTTACCTGTATTGCTTTGACTTTAATAGCCATGAGAGCAATTGATTCCTTCGACCTTAAGACGCAAGACGAAGAAATAAAACAGATTGAAGGAATCAACCCAAAAACTAACCATTTCGCTCTCAATTCATATTATCTAGTGGTTGAGCGAAGAGGGTTTGATGCCATGGCTCGTGAATCGCTTGGACCCCAACTTTGACGAAGAGGTAAACAGCTGATCCAACCTTCAGTTGACGCCTATTCTCATATTGCTTCGAGTTCAGACATCCTAACCCGACATTCGCTCCTGCATTCCTTCTATTGTTGATAGGTACATTCAATTGCATCACAAGTATTGCTGGACATCATCGCCATCTCCCAGTCCTCTCACCCCGAGCAACCTTCCATCGGAACAAATGTGTTGATTGAAGAGCTCAAGAGCGAGGTCATTGTTGGCCAGCTCGTGAGCTTTATGCTGGACAGAGATGCTCCTTACTCGTCCTCCACTCTGATCAACGGCGTCACCATCTTTATTGAGTTGATCCGAAGAAATAACAGGTATAGCATGTCTCATACAAAATGAAATGTTCATTGTTGAGAGTTGTGTTGCCACCAATTCTAATGAGTTCGTTTGTCCTGTGGTTCATTTTAGTGATTATGACATGGAGCCACTTCCTCCAAATGCCGCGGAGCCTGTGCGTGAGGCAGTGGATTTGAGCGATCTTCTCAAGGTCTTGGCAACCCGGATCGAGGACTTTAAGGACCTTCTCATCGTGCCCAGATCAACGGTACGGATTTCCTCGTCCATTGCAGGATCTTTTCATTTGCTTCAAACAACCCCCTAACTCATTTTTATATATTTGTAAATTATGACAGACCGGACCTATTTTGACATCGATTGGAAAGCAGACCCCTCTTGGATTTGAGCGTCTCAAGATCTGCGAGATGTTCGCCGAGCTCCTTCACTGTTCCAACATGGCCGTTTTGAACTCCAAGCCAATCATTACGGTGTCGGCGGATGGCACTGTCAGGATACCCAAAATGTCGGTCACCGCACTTCATCATCAGGCGCACTCAGTAAATGGCGATTCAGATGGGGAGGACGGACACAATGGCAGTAAGGACCAACAACACGACTCGGGCAAGGGCTCAAGCACCACCGACAAGGATACTACTGACGACCACGCCACCCCACGCACTTCTTCTGACGAACCAAGCCCTTCGACTTTAGCCAGCTCGACAATTGCAACTCTTGCGTCTGCCAATGCGATTGAAGGAGACGTTTTGATTCCAGTTGGAGATTTTTTGAAGCTGCAGTTCGTGGATCACCACATTATCTCAACTTGCTTCGATCTTTTCTTCCAGTTCCCCTGGAACAACTTTCTTCACACAGTGGTCTACGATATGGTTCACCAGGTGTTCCACCGACCCATGGGCGACATTGGGCGTCCCGGTGCTGATGGTACCTACGTTCCTCCCAAGGCTGACCAGGATATGACTGAAGGGTGGAACAGGAGGCTCACAGTGTCGATTTTCAAGGACGGACAGCTGACCAAGCGTATTACAGATGCTCAACGACTCTGTGATTATGAATGGTGAGCAATCTTTTTTTGCTTTGCTTTTGATTCTACAAAGAATGTATGTTAACAAGTACACGGAGTACTGATTGCCGCTTTTTTTTGATAGCGCGCAACCAAAGGGTGTCCGTCTTGGCTACATGGGTCATTTGACATACATTGCTGACGAGACTGTCAAGTTGCTGGAATTGTACTCGCAGACGTCTTTGCTGTCGACGCTGTACGAGCATATCGATCTGGAAGACTGGTGGAACTATGTCTCCAAGATTCTGAAGGAAACTAAGGAACGTGACGCCAAGGTCTTGGGTGGAGCTCGTCCCAACGTTGTTGAGAGCCACAAGCCTGATCATGATGATGGCAATGACGACGATTATATTGACGACAACGACGAGGATTATGGAAACGACTTTATTGGTGGCGACATTGGAGCAGGCCATGAGGGTGATGTTGCCAGTGACCAGGTATGTGTTTGATGAATGTCGTCTATGTGTTTTTCATACCTGTAAGAATATGATATTCTTCGTGGTGTCTGACGATCCTATTCTTCCTTCCCTTCAATAGTTTGCACGCTACTTATGTCAGCAGATCACAAACAACCTGCCTGACAAGTTTGGATCTTCGGACGAGGATGAGGATGACGACGAAGGCAACTGGATCGGAGAATATGGAGCAGAGAACCAGTTTGACCGCGCTGGTGCCCCAGGAGCTCTCAGCGATCCTTTTGGCAACAACCACGCCATGGACTTTGATAGCGACGACGAAGATGGTGTCGATGAGGAAACATGGAATGCAGAAGTAAGTACTGTTTCAAATCACAATGGTGCTTTATCTATCTCACAAAATTATATTCAAGTATCTAACCGCCATACTTTCATTCATTTGTCTGTCTTAAAGTGGCCAACGAAACCTGCGGAGCACAATGGCGTGCCGGTACAATTGGACACCAAGCTAGTGGAACAATCGGAGGACTTGCAAGGAGTCACAGATGAAAAGACGACGCCGACAACAAAGGAGAACGAATCAGCCAAAGTCAACGCGTCAGAATCTAATACTCCTACGACAGCAACGGCAGCACCTTCAACAAACCTTGACACAGCTACACCTGTCAGCACTGCGACGGCGGCTACTGGTTTGAACCAAGCTGGTAAATCTGAGTCGGATGAACCCATGGTGAGAGCTCCAGCGCCTGCGCAGACAGTGAGCAATGGTGAAGCAAAGAACAAATACGTGACTGTGAACGGTGGTGACAAGGCCTCTGGCAATGTCTCGACCGAATCAGCAGCTATTGTGGAGCCTGTCAAGTTGGCACCCGAGATCCAAGCACCACCTCCGCTCAAGAAGTTTGTCCTTTCCAAGGAGTCGTCTGCGTCATCACCCTCAACACCCGTTGATACGGCGCCATCTGTGGTCAAGGTGGAAATGGAGGTTGTTGCTCTCTCTGATCCCGATCAACCCTCTCTCAAGAAGACAACTCCTGCTGCAGTTGCTGCCACGCCTGCTCCTGCCACACCTACTACTACTGCTGCTGCCGCTGCTACCACTCCTGCTCCTGCTCCTGCTGCCTCCACTCCTGCTCCTACTCCTGCTGCCTCCACTCCTGCTTCTGCTCCTGCTTCTGCTGCCTCCACGCCTGCTCCTGCTTCTGCTGCTTCCACGCCTGCTCCTGCTCCTGCTGCCTCCACTCCTGCTCCTACTCCTGCTGCCTCCACTCCTGCTCCTACTCCTGCTGCCTCCACTCCTGCTCCTGCTCCTGCTTCTGCTGCCTCCACGCCTGCTCCTGCTCCTGCTGTTTCCACACCTGCTCCTACAACTACTGTTGAGAAGCCAAAAACATTGGAGACAAAGGCTGAGACGAAGACTGAGACGAAGGCTGAGACGAAGGCTGAGACTGATGTCAAGGATACGTCAAAGCAACTGGACGCACTCAAACTTGAGAAGTAGAACCTTGTAATTGTTTATTGTCCTCTTTCATTTTTTTCTTACCACACACACACATATTTCACTAAACAAAGCATTGCAACAAGAATTTATTCGTGAAGATGAATGTTATGATTGCCTTGTGTGCAAAGGCAGGATGAGTTTGAGGTCCGATTGAACCAGAGAAAAAGGAAGAGATTGAGAGGTGGAGTCTAAGGTGTCTATTGTTTTCTGCAGGTGGTATTGAAACTCTTTCAAACCGGGATTCAGAAATTCCGTTGAGCAGAAGAATTGTTGTAGGATCACATCCAAAGTTCGTCGTTCCGAGATTAGCACCTCTGTGCAGGCGTAAAGACTTGCCGAGATGGGATCTTGGACTGCCGCAGTTCCAGAAGTAGCATCATCAGAAGTATAAGCAAGCTCGAGGTCGTGATCGTGATCGTGATTGTGATCGTGATCACCTTGGAGCTGACGGATTCGGTCGTGGATGAAATCGCCTAGGTCCTCGGCATCTTCTTGGTCGCGCAAGAGATTGTAGGCTGTTGTCAGACCTCCTGCATGGTCGCAGCCATCGCCAATCCTGTGTACGAAGGGAAGCACCCACTCGTTGATGGGAGTGGAGGTGGTGTGCTCGGAGATGGTGACGCGATAGTAGAGGTGGGGTGGTAAACAGCCGTGAGGCTGGTCCATGTCGGGTGGGTAGGAGCCCCAAGGGTGTGGTGTGCCTTGGAGGAAGAATAACACTTCGTTGACTGAAGAGGAGGAGAAGTTGGTTTGGGGTAGAGGATTCTGCTGAGTTGGGGATGGGTTTGGGAGGATGGCAGTTGTATTAGGACGGAAGACTGCCCAGAAAAAGGCGGGTTGTTCTTCGGGATCATGGCGTGCATGCAAATGCGAATGAGAATGGGCGTGATGAGGGTGGTGAGCTGGCGAGGCTGAAGGTTCAGGTCCGGGACCGGGGCCGGGACCGTAGACGATGAATGCGGTTCCGTCAAGGTACCTTGCTGCAGGCGATGGCATTGTCATTGTTGGGGCGAGTAGAGGAAAGGTGGTTGTGAATGAGGAGATGCAAAGAAGCTCAAAAGGTGATCGAGATCATGAAACGAAATTTGGTGGCAAACGACAGGCACGACTTCTCTCGCGAAAACAGGTTTGGTGGCAAACAGTTCATTTCCTATGTGGCATCCAAGCCTGCTCGTGTGCCGTTTCTGTATCTCCCACAAGGTAACCTGAGCTCATCCATCACACTCGATATCCCCTTGTTGTTTCTGTTCTTTGTTGAGTAGCGGCCTGAGCTCGTTCCATTACGTGATTTAACCCCTTGAATCTTGAGAATAAAGGACGTCGCGAGAACCCCCCCTGTTTGTCACCCCACAAAAGGGGTTTCTATGATGTCCTTGTGGAGATTATTATGGTTCCGATTATCGAGTGTGTGAAATCTGTCTTTTTGGAGAAATTGTTTAGGGGGCAAGGAGAATTGAAAAGACCAGCTGCTGGCTTTTTGTAAGGTATGTAATAGAGTTGCGATCGGGCGGGCCTGACAGAGAGGGGAGGAGGAGAATCTTGAATGTCGCAAAATGATTGTAGACACCCCTTTTAATGGCTGACAGAAAAGAGTATGAGACTGTGTGAATGAAGGCGCACTCCCTCTGTCAGCATTTGACGATGAAGATGTCTCTCCCTTCCTTGCCCTTTACATCAAGCGTCTTTCTTGCCTTTCCTTTTCTTTTCTCACACTTCTCTTCCCTCTCGTGTTTATATCGCGTGTCCTTCCACAAACACACATACCCACGCGCACACACTCACGCCTCTTCCCTTCCTTCTCTTCCGTGATTATCCAACTCCCACGCCACAAATCCAATCGCTTTGTCTCTGTCTTGTGTTTCTTGGTTCCAAGCTGCTCGCCCTTTATCTCATATACCTGTAAAGAAAGAGTAAGATAGCCATTGTTTTTATTCTCTTTTCTCTGAGAAGGCCGTGCCTTATCAGCAGCCATTCCATCCATCCCGTCTCCTTCTCACCTGTGTGCATTTCGATCGTCTTGTCTCCTGCGTCCAGACACCTGTTTGGCCAGTCTTCCAGTCGCCATAAGGTCATTCTATGTTAGTCCATCCAGTCCATCCAGTCCAGAGCCGTGGAGGTCTTGTTTTTGAAACGGGAAATTACTTTTGTTTGTTTTCATTGCACAATTGCCCATACCGTCTTGCCATTTGCTCTCATGCGAAGTGTCCGCCTGACTCACTCTCCACTGCCAAGAGAGGGAGTGAGTAACAAACTTTCCTTTGTTTTCGTCCCCGGTTCCTCCTCTACTTCTTCCGTCTTCTTCTTCCTCTTCTTCCTCTTCTTCCTCTTCTTCTTCTTCTTCTTCCCTCTTCCTTCCTCCTTCCCCCTCCTTCCTCCTTCCCCCTCCTTCCTCCTTCCCCCTCCTTCTTCCTTCTTCCTTCTTCATCCCATATACCCTTTCTATCCATCCTCACTATTATTATTCTCCCCACACATCCCTTATTCTTTACATATACCCTCACTCGTTCACTCAGACAAGCTCGGGCCTGTTTCCATACTCCGCCGACTGGATCACCATCGTATCCATCCACCCTCTCCTCATCCCTTTGACACCCTCTCTTTTTCTCTTCTTCTCACGTCCTTCTCTTTCTCCATCAGCAAACCTCATTCACTCTTCGACACCCTCATCACAATAACCCTTTCGTCTTCTTCTTTAATCCCTTCCTGGCCTTGCCCGCAACAGCCTCTTCTTTGTCGTCGTCTTCTTCTCTTCTTGCTCTTCTTCTCTTCTTGCTCTTCTTCTCTTCTTGCTCTTCCCACATACTCACAAACCCGCATCGTCGCACAAAGTCAGCAAACAAAAAAAACTCCCGCTCGATAAATCTCCTTCAGGAACTGCTCCTCTGCCCCCCCCCCACACTATTCCCCTACTCTCCGCTCCCTGATATATCAACCTCCGCTATGGATGGCGTTGACTGCGACTGGTGCCTGGTCTGTGACAAGCACACCAACAACGGCGCAACCTACTGCTCTGCAGAGTGCCGCTCCACCGACCTCATCTCTTCCTCGGCATCCTCCTCGTCCTCATCAGCCTCCTCCGCAAGCTCAACAGAGTCATCCTACTTTTCCATGACAGACAACAATGGAGCACCCCTTCCCGGCACATCCTCCTCAACCTCGTCCTTCACTAATGACAACTACCCTATGCCACCGTTCATTCGGAAGCAGAGGACAAGCATACCCAATATCTATCACCAGTGTGCCTCCAACCCAAACCCACCTGGCTCACCGAGGTTTATGCCTGGTGGCTCTGGATCCTCAGCCCTGAGCCATCACCTGCAACAACAGCAAATACAGCAACATCAATTGTTGTCAACAGCAACACCAGGGTCTACTGGTCAGAAGGAACTGCCCAACTCTGCAGCATCTCAATATCCCCTGTTCTACGCGACCCTGAATGCCCTTCGGCCAGCCACCCCGTCGGGTCTTCCTCAGCAAGACTAACAAAAGCAATCGGTCATCCGACATGTACAGTTTTCTCTCCCTTTCGCCTGTATTTTTGTTTCCTTCTCGCTTTTGCTTTTCCTTTTGCCTTTTGATTGTCGATGGCGAGGTTGCCTTCACTTTCTTTCGTTCTATCCACTTTCTTCGTTCTATCCACCCTGTCATCAGTCGCACCTGCTGAAGCGGAACCACTTTGTCTTATTTCTTATTTTTATTTTGCAACAGACCATCTTCTATTTTTTCCGCTTCCTTCTTGTCACATTGTTACTGTCATTACCCTTTTCCCTTTTATTCCTGGCAGAGCTCTCGTTTTCTCTTCCTCCCAACAATTATAAATATGGCGCTACCAAAACACACTTTGCTTTGTACATGTGTCTCCATCCAATGATGCTCCCTCCCACACAGCACGAGATTCATTCTTAATGGTTTGGGTGACCAAGAGAGCCTTCTTCTTCTTCGCTTACTTGTAGTTATTTTCATTTTTTCACCCAAGTCGCCGACCAACCAAACCAACTTTTGCTGTGTCGCGTCATTTTTCTCAACTTTGGACACCTGTTCCCGCGGCTTCCTTTCCGTCCTCCCGAGAGAGGTTCATCCGAACCAAAACCTTTTTAAATTCTCTTTTTTTGTCCCTTCCTTGCCTCTTCCTCTTTTCTACTCTTGTTGATAGTCTCGCTGTTGCTTTTTTCATTGCTGTTGTTGGAGGACTCCATTGCTGTGCTTTTCGCTGTTTCCAGGAACCGAAAAGTGTCGCTCAGGCCCAGGGTTCGAGATGACCCATTGGTCAGTCTCTGAATGGGTTTGAAACTCAGCCAATACACCAAACCGTTCCACTTTTTTGCCTTTCTCTTGTTTTCTTCGCGTTCTTTCGTTTGCTCGTAGCTCAAATGCTGAATGGCAAGGTCAACGAAGCTGTTCTTTTACGTGTGCATCCCACCACCTTTCCTATGTACATTTCCCTATACTTCTATTCAAACTGTAAAAAAAAAATCCAATACTTTAATAACTTGCTGCTAATAAAAACACACCAAGGCAACACACAAAAACGAATGCATTGCACTAGTGAATTTTGAACTTCAAAACTTTGAACCAAAATAACATCGAGCATTTGAAAGTCTCAGGAATCGACTGTATTTCGAAAACGGAAGACCCCGCTACGTTTGTGCTAATCAATTGGACGAGAATGGATGGTAAATGGTGCAGAGCATGGTCGATCTGACCTCACCAGAGGTTGGAATGTTGGGCCTCCCCCATTGCCTTTCATTACCATCCCTCGAGCTTGCTGAGTTTATGTTTCTCCATTTGGGTGGCTATCGGTAACCATGGGTTAAGTCTACACATGCCAAACTACACCAAGACGGTTGCAAATTTGTCCAGATTTCTCTATCAATCCTGTTCAGCCTGGACTACAATCCTCTTCCACCACAATATATTCAGCTCGGAAAAGGGGGGGGGGGGGGGGGCGACGAGGACGAGGAACGAGAAAAGAGATATAAGTGCATTGATTCCCCCGCAAAACAAAGAAACCAATATCCTGCTCGACCCTGTTTTTATTGTTGTGTTCTTTCCTAGTTTTCACTTCATATATCCAACACAACTTTCAAATCAGTTCTTTACAGCAAAATTCACGAGCACTCCCCACCCCCCCTCCCCCAATGCCCTCCAAGAACTGCTCGTCTTCGACAATGTTCTCGCGTCGCCATTTGGCCCTGTTGGCCGTCCTGGCCTTATCAACTCTCATCGTAGCCTCTGCCAATTCCTCTCAAGTCTCGACAGAAGAAGCTATGGCACTCCTGACACGTCCCGCCGCCGCCGCCAGTGTTGCTCGTCCCCAGAACGACATTAACTACCATGGCATCGTCCCTTCCTTCCTCGCGAAACATGCTCACGCTTACGGCGGAATCAACCGTCAAGAACAAGTCGAGGACGACTCTATCGAAGCCCAACGTGAACGCAACAGCCACTCACGGATCCGAATAAACGTCGACCAGTACCCACCCAAAGACCAAATCCCAGACGTCAACCACCCCCGAGTAAAAGCCTGGGTCAAAGAAATCGACTGGTCCAAAGTGCCCAACATCCCCGTCGCCCAGGGCCTCGCGGACGCACCCCGGTTCCCGAACTGCCCACCCGATGATCAAGTCAACCCTGATCACTGTTGGTGGTCGTGTGATGGCTGTTTGGAGCCGGAAGATGTTGTGAGTTGCCCAACGGAGGGACATTGGGGGCTGACGTATGATGATGGACCTAGTGTTGCGAGTAAGGCGCTTGTACAATATCTGGATGAGAGATCGTTGTCGGCGACGTTTTTTATAGTTGGTTCGAGGGTTCTGGAATACCCGGATATTTTGAAGGAGCAGGTTGCTTCTGGACACCATATCGCCATGCACAGTACGTTTTTTTTTTCTTTTTCGTTTTGTTGGCTGGTGTTTTTTTTTTTTTTTTTTTTTTTTTTTTCGATGAACAAATTCTCCCACTAGGATATCGTACTTAACCCTGACCCCCGCTATCCTAAAAAAAAAAAAAAATACGAAATAGCCTGGTCGCACGGAGGATTGACAACCCTCACCAACGAAGAGATCGTCGCGGAAATCAAATGGACAGAAAAAATTATCCGAGACGTTACAGGCCTTACCATGAAATACGTCCGGCCACCCTACGGAGACTGCGACAACCGCGTCCGAGAGATCCTCCGCCAAATGGGCTACATCAACGTCATCTGGTCCCAAGGCTGGGACACCAACGACTGGCGCTTACCCCTGCAGACGATCAAGGCCCCCGAGATCATTTCTACCTTCCAGAACGCCCTCGATAATGTTGCACTTGTAAAGTCGAGGGAGACGGGTGCGCTGGAGGGACCGATTACGTTGGAGCATGATCTGACGTTGCAGACGGTTGATTTGTCAAAGAGTATTATCTCGATTGGGATGGCGAAGGGCTTGAAGCCGATGAACTTGGCGCAGTGTTTGAGTGATCTTACTCCTTACCAGGTGGATAACAAGAGTTCTGAGGCGGCGGGCCAGGCACCAAAGTCGGACGGTAACAGCACAAAGTCTACGAGTGGTAGTAGTAGTAGTAACTCCAAGGAGGTACCCGCTGTTGGCGCGCCTACTCAGGCTCCTACTCCTGTTACTGATACTGATATCAAGGGCAAGTCTGCAGCCACCAGTTTGCAGTCGTCTCTTGGCGCCATTACCCTTGGAGGCATCTTTGCCGTCGCCTCTTATTTCCTTGCCTTGTAGTTTTATAGTGCTTTTCTTTCTTCAAACCTTCAAACCCAGAGGGTATAAATCCGTTATTTATTTCATTGTATGCTTCATGGTGGAAGAAGAAGAAGAGGATTGAAGGACTTTGATGAGGTTGGCTTGCAGTTTGGAAGATGCTTCAAGAATCTCCAATTGCTGCTGCGAGAGACTCGTCAGCCCGTCCAAGCTCGTTTTCTAGAAGGCACGGATAAGGGCGGGGTGAGATAATAGATGTAAGCCGAATGAAAAACAGTAGAAAAAAAAAAAAAAAAAAAAAAAAACGCTACCATACAATAGAACGAGAGAAACAAAACATGACTTACGAGTCGGTCCAAGGTAGTAGCATTCTGAGACCTCGACGTCAAAGTCGACGATGCCGACGAAGAAGATGTCCGTCCCATCAAGGAAGAATCTTGCTGTTGTTGCTGGTTCCAACCAAGCAGCGCCCTCAAATTCCCATCGATTTTCGGAACCTCGTCCTGAATCTGATAAAATAGCTCCACAAAGTCGTGGTGGTACTGTGGGTCCATTATAATGACATCTTGCTGCTGGTGGTGGCTGTGACGAGAGTCGCCATCGTAGGAGAAGGAGGAGGAGGTACGGTTCAGTCTATCGAGGAGTTGGGCCTGGTTTTGGTGAAGGAGCATGATCTGGTCGGCGAAAGTGTCCAGGCATCGTATCCGGTCATCTGTAACGACAATTGGGGTGGGATGTTAGGGAGTTCGTCGAAAAAAAAAAGAGTTTAACAACATTGAATAGCAATAGCAATTTGCACCCCTCAAAGCGTCCTTTCTTCCTTACTGATGCTATGGCTTGAAAAGTCCTCAGCGAGTTGCAGTTTCCTGATATCCCGGAGTTGACTCTCCATCTACCAAAGTGACAGTAAAAAGGATGAACGAGAAGAAGCTTCTCAGTTTCCTATACTGTCGTTCATTCTCGGTCAGTCTTTATGCATTGTGGCGGTAATATATTATGTAATAGTACCTGAGCGAGCTGTCGTTGGGTACGTTCAATGTCCAGGACAAGGCCTGCAACTCTGATTGACCGTGGCACCTGCACCTGTTGGGTTGGTGGCGTTTCTCGTGGTTGTTGTTGTTGTGACGAGGAAGACAATGAAAGAGGATCAGCAACAGCCGATGGAGATGGAGTGAGGTTGAACTGTGCAGCGAGATCAAGAATCGAGTCCATGGCGTGCAGTTGCGAAGACAGCTCATCGCTGCTCCATGCCGTTCTTGTTGTCGTTGAAGTGTTCATTGCAAAAAGTGATGTTGCAAGAGGTGCCAAAAAAAGATGTAATACGATTGTGTGACTGTAGATTGGTGGCGGCGATGATTTGTCTCTACTTGTTACGCATTCTCGTTGTCGTCGTCGTCCTCCTCATAGACGTCCTCGGACAATTCAGGGTCTCTGGTAATCCTCCCCCTCGCAGCCTTTTTCGCACCCGCCCCCTCAGCCTCCTTGGCAGCCTGCTTTTTCATGGCCTCGCGGGCCAGGCGGAGTGCTCGGACATGTTGACGATGCTTCCCCTGATCGGTCTGTTCCCGGTACTTGTCCTTGAGCATAACCTGGCTGCGGTGTCGGAGGACATATCCATTGTCCATGTCGTATCTCTTGAGTGCCGCCCACTTGATCGTGCGTTTCCTGACCTTCACCTCGGACTCGTCGTACTGGAACATGGGAACCAAGTCCATCAACACTTGAACCTCCTTCAACGTCCACTTTCGCGATCGCCTCCGACCGTTCGCCCTCGTTCCTGGATCCGAGTCTTCTGCCGAGTTGCTACCGTTGTTGCCGTCGTCCTCGTCTGCGGAATTCGAAAAAGAAGGAGAACCGTTTGTTCTCTGTCTACGCTTGGATTTGGCCTCCTTGCTGTCCTTCCTCTTCTTCTTCCTGACTGGCTCATCCTCTTCGTCCTCGTCTTCCTCTTCCACCTCTTCCTGCTTTTCCACCTCAAAGTCACTGTGATCAGAGTCTGGCACGTCCTTGTGGCGCTCCCGTGATTCTGGCTCCATGTTCTTCTTGGTCCTGGGCTTGGTGGCTTGTATCACCGGTATCCGCCTGCTCTCCCGCACTGCAACTTGCCTACTGCCTGACGTTCCTGCCTTGGTCGATTGTTGTGACAGTAACAGTGTGGCAGGCGGCCGATGAATGTCATCAATATCCATGTCGTCCTCGTTATGGACAGGCTGTTGTCGCTGTTGTTGTTGCTGCTTGCTCCTCTTCTGAGAGATGCTGGCTTTAGAAGGCTTCCTCTCGAAAGACTCCTCCATCTCGCTGTCCGACCCCACCTTTAATTCACGCCGCCGAACCTTCTTTTCCGGCAAGTCCTTCTTCTTAATAGCATTGGCCTTAGAGGGCTGCTTCTCGAAAGACACCTCCATGTCCATGTCAATGTCCGACATCTCCCTCACTTCATGACGCCGAGCCCCCACTTCCGGCAAGTCCTTCGTCTTCTTCTGAGCAGTACTCGCCCTAGAAGACTGTCTCTTGAGAGGCTCCTCCTCTATCTCGGTATCCCACTCCTCCGATACTTCCCGGTGCGGTTCTCGTGCAGAGGCCTTATCCTGAGCCTTCTCCTCGCGCAATTTCCTTCTCTGAGAAGCACTGGGCCTCGAAGACTGCCTCACGCGCCCCCCCTCCTCATCCTCCTCCTCCGCTATCATGGTATCCCACTCATCCGAAATTTCCTGCTGCAGCTGTCGTGCTGCGACGTTGTCCTGAACCCTCTCCTCTTGCAACCAGATCTCGTCCCGATACTCATCTACAGACTTGTCCTTGGGCTCCTTCCTGTAGATAGCTTTAACGATGTCGTCGTGCTTTGCCTGCAACACGAGCAGTGCCTCCTTATCAGCTGGGCGAGGGATTGCCTTGTCCTTGGTTCTCATACGTTCAATGATCTTCTTGAGGGTGTTGTTGTAGAGGGAATCCAGTCGTTTCGTGTCGTTCGCCACGTACTGTGCAAGTTGAACCGCTTCGTCCTATAATATTGACAGAGAATGGGCAACGTGAGTGTTTGGCGATCGAAAAGGTATGATAGCAAACTTCTTTCAAAAATAAAATGAATAAAATTCGTATGGCCTCTTACGATGCGCAACTCAGGCAGGGAGACGGGTCCATAAACGATATCGGCTTTGATTGCGTCGCGGATATCGGCGATCGTGATTCTCTTGAAGGCCGATCTGGTCTGGCGAGTGTAGACTGCCAGCAGCTACCAACCACAAAAAAAAAGCGCGAAGTTGATGGTGTTAACTTTATACACGCCTTCGCCAAAAAAAAAAAAAAAAAAAAAAAAAAAAAAAGATGTTCCACTGGTGCATCGCGGAGTAATGAAAAAATCTGACTACTTCTGGTGAGCACACTGCGAGGGAGTCGATCACTTACAATAGCGACGAGCTGTGTGTAGGTCTCCCGTAATGGCGACTGGTTGTCATTGACTCTAAAGTCCCTTTTGCTGAGGAACAGCAGTGCAAAGTCTTCGACGACTCGTTGAATGCGTTCCATTTCCAACGTGGGTGAGTAGGTAAAACGACAAAACAAGGCCAGGTCGAGTCGTATGGCAGTTCCTACGGAGAGTCGTTGCCTGTTGATGCTGACTTCGTCCAGATATTCGTCGTCGCCCTCCAGTCCAATTTCTTCCCGTCCCTCTAAACAAAGATTAATTAATAAAGTCAGATAGTATTCATTTCGTTGGCCGGCTGGAGGTATGTGTGCGCAGACAAGAGGAGTGCCACGCTTCACTCACGGATAAGATTTTTCCACTGGCGGTTGAGTTCCTTTGCCTCGATGCGTGTTTGTCGTACGGGGTTGTCCATTGCCAGGAAGGAGTTGATGAAGACCTGAGCGGCAGCCTCGACCACATCCTGGTAGTCTTCCTCGACTGAAGAGTTCTTGACCATGGCGTGGCGTGTGAATGTGCGCGTGTGTGCGAGAAAGAGTTGTTCCTGAGTGAAGGCGGAATGATCTTTTGGACGGGTAATAAAAGAGCGTTCTGGTGGAGTGCGTGAGTGAGAGAGAGAAACACACACGGAGTTGCTCTTCTAAAGGGGGATAAACCAAACTTGGGCTCGTTTCACACTCTGTCAGCCAAGCCACCACTCCTTGAATTTTTGACTCCTCCAACAGGCTTGCTACTCCTTTTCTTCGTTTCTTTTTTGCTCACCCGAGTTGCATGGAACTGACCCAGCAGAGACACCTGCACAGGAGGATAATCTTACCAGCTCAACCACGACACCGCAAACAGGATAGCGACTAAAGCAAAGATACATACAAAGGAGCATTGGCATCGCTAGCGAACACATCGACCCTTGTTCCCCCTTCCCCTGTGATCCCACTAAAGGAATCATCTAGTTGGCATCTCCACTCCAGCTCATCTACTTTTAAGCGACGAAACAATACCAGTAACAAAAAAGAAAAAAGCGACGCAGTAGGCTACATCAGCGGTCAGTTTGCCAATAATAACAACAAGGAGTCATGTCGTCGCCACAACAGCACCAGCAGCTCCACACCATCCCTCCTGGGCTGACTAATATCGACCCGGCCCTGGAGGGCGTCGTCAAGAATTTTATGCGCTCGGAAAAATACGCACGCAAGATCAAGTACATTGTCCGCGCCACCTCTGTTCCAGGACGTCAAAGTAAGTGTTTTGTTTTATTATGAATCGATCAAAGAACGTTGTGGTCAAGTGCAGGGCACAAAAGAGGACAAACGGATCAGTGCCTACAATTTTTTGTCCAGTCGATGTAACAATTGTCGTTGGGTCTCTTTTAATTAGATTACAAGTTCGCACCAGCGACGGCATTGACACCACAGGAGACAAAGATTTGGAGGACAAACTTGATGCAGGACGAGGTCGCGTCCAACAACCCCTTCTGGACCGCTCGCTGGATGAGGGTCTTTGGAACTGCACCCAGACTGGACGACAGCTTGCTCAAGGTCCCATGGATCAAGTGCGAAAGGTACGATCAGTGTCCCCCAAATCGATCAATTACTTTTTGCTGCACTACGGCTTTATCGGTTGGAGATCTTATTACTAATTCTCCATCTACTTATTATTGTTGAATTTCAAATAGACCTGGCGCGAATGAAGGAGATCCAAAGGCTGCATTGCCCCTGCACAGGAAGGAAACGTACCTCGATTTGCGCGATGACCAGAACAGGAACTGGGCCATGGACAGGTACCGTGATCTGGGACCATATGCGATGCTGCTCTCTCATTCGTGGACAGCCGCGTATTGCTACATATGACTCATAAGTTAACCAACTACTACTCTACTTTTCTTTCTGTAATAGTTTCGCTGAAGGAATCGCATATGCGCAAAAGGGGCAGCTGGATGATGCGATTAAGGCATATTCACAGTCGATCCAGATCGACTCGAAGTGCATTGAAGGATATATCGCCCGCGGATGCACGTAAGTTCTGACACCAAAGTCCTGTTTTCGTTCTTTTCAGATGCCAAGTCTGAACCTATGAAGCTCACACGATTCATTGACAATGATAATAGGTTGGCGAACATGAAGAAGTTCAGGGCTGCGATTATGGACTTTCGAGCTGCATTGGGACTCGACCCTTCTAATATCTCTGCCCGTCAATATCTGGAAACAACCATTGCTCAAGAGGAAGAGCATCGCCTCAACGTAAGTTAACCAGTCTACATAACGGCCTCCCTGTTATATGTTTTAACTCACGAAAACTACGAGGTACAAATACTAATGTACGTTGTCGTGTTTCGTATTTAGCCTATTCATGATGTGAACGCACAGCAAGCGCCATCAAACAAACACGCCTTCCCTATCAACAGCGACGCCTTTGATCCAAACTCGAACCTAGACAACATCAACGAGATTGTTCTCGACACGGACAATTTCGACATGGCTGACGGTGGCAACAAGGCGAACCCTGAGCGGAAGAAGAAAAAGAAGAAGAGCAAGGCTAAGAGGCGGAATCGAGGAGGACGCGATGAACTGGATCATTATGATGGTAGTGAGCGAGCACGCGATCTTGCCCGCGACCGCAACAGAGGTCGTGACAGGAGCCATGATCGGGGCAGGGATAGGAGCCGTGACAGAAGTCGGGACCGGAGTCGTGATCGAAGCCATGACAGAAGTCGAGACAGGAGTCGTGACCGGAGCAGGGATAGAAGCCGAGATAGAGGTCATGATCGATACTCGAGGAAGTCACGACGAGGAGGTGGTGGTGAGTCCCGTTCTCGGTCACCGCGTTCACCACGGTCACATCGGTCAAAAACTAGGTCAAGATCGCGATCTCGCTCAAGGTCCACCAACAGGTCTCGTCGTCGTCTTCGTTCAAAGAGTCCGTTGAGGAATCGCTCTCGGCAGAGATCTACTTCCAGGTTGGGAAGCAACAGGAGACGTTCTCGATCGCCTGTTCGTTCACGATCGAGGTCTCGTTCTCGCTCTCCTTCAAGACGACTCTCTCGTGGAGGATCTCAATACCGCCCTGAACGTGCGCGAGATGACAAGGAGAAGGACAAGAAGGACAGCGCTGACAATAAACGCCAGCGGTCGAGGACAAGGAGCAGATCGCCTTCTAGGGACCGGTCGAGACTCAAATCGGATCATGCTACTTCAACTACCTCTCCTCATCATAAACAGGACACTGAGGAGCGAGGCAAGGATCAAGTCAAGGACCAGCAGCGCAAGGAGAAGGATTCCGAAACTGTTGCTGCTCCATCAGTCAAGGAAGCGACCAAGGACGCGCCTAGCCAACCTCGGGAACCAGAGTCCACCACTGCTGCGACTGAGACAAAGGCACTTGCCCCAGTTGCTGATGTTGATGAGGCCAAGGCTGTTGTGGGGGCCTCTTCTGGCAAGGACAAGGGCAAGCCTGCTGAGGCTCGCACGAAGGACGAGAAAGATACTAAGGAGACGGCTGTAGCCGCGAGGTCCTCCTCCAAGGATCGATCTGACGACAAAAAGGTGCAAGACAGTACCACCAAGGCTTCCGAGTCCGCTGACGCCTCCAAGGCCAATAAGGATAAAGACAAGGACACCAAGAGCCGACCATCTGAACCCCTCGGATCGCCTACTGGAAGCAACAACAATAGCAGCAACAAGAGACCACGAGAGGCTGACACGTATGATGGCAGAGGACGACGCAGGGACCGAGACAGAACCCCAAGTTCTCCTAGGAGGAGAAATAGTGGTGATGGAGGAGGATCTAAACTCCATAGTCGGTCGAGGAGTCGAAGTGGGACTCGAAATACTCGTGGTGGGCAGAGTCGATCGACCAGCAAAGGCCGTGGTGGCCGTCGTTACAGCAGAGGGAGGAGTCATTCTAAGGATCGTGATAGGAACCGAGACCGTCGACGCAGTCCGTCACCAAGTAGCCGGTCCAAGAGCGGCACCGACAAGACCCGTAACCAGAGTCGATCGACGAGTCGGGCGCGATCGCATACGAACAAGGATGGCAAGGATACTAAGGACAAGGATGGTGGTGGTAGCTCCAAGGCCAGGAGTCGATCCAGGAGTCCACTCCCGAGTCGCTCGAATAATGCTGACCTCGGTGGTGGGCGTGATAGGAGCCGGTCTGTCAGTCCATCAAGACGGAATGGTGGTCGGACGAGGACGCGAAGTCGATCGCCTGTTAAGCGGGCTCGCGATAATAACAACAACAGTAACAATCGGCGGGGACGATCGGATTCGAAGGGTCAGGGACCGCAGAGGAAGAGGACCAAGTCTGGGTCACCTGCTCGATCTGGAGGTGGGGGTGGTGGAGGTGGTGGAAGTGGGAAGGGTGGGAAGCGAGGTGGAGGCAAGAACTTGTCAGGCGCCAACACGATTGAGGTGTCGAAGGACTTTATGGAGCAGCGCAAGAAGATGAGGATGAAGAAGGATAGTCCTTCGCGATCGCGCTCCCGATAGTTCATCTCCGTAGTGTCTGACTGCCTGAGAGAAAGAGAATAGCAAGCTAAATACAAGCGATATGTACAACATTGTGGGTTCGTTATTCTTTTTATTTTTCGCGTTATCATGAAAATGGAGAAAATGGGAGAGGAAGGGAGATAAAAGTACAGTTTTGAAAAGGATGTTGAAAAAAGGATGTTATTCTATTTCTCCCAAGGAGAAGGGGTAGGGAATCTGGCGTTCAAGAAATCGGCAAAGACCGCGCGGATCTGATCCACCGTCGTCGGGTTCTCACCCGCGTTATCATTGATACAAAAGAAGGCTTCCATATACTCTCTGCTCTTGATCAGGTCCAATTTTCTTCTCGCGTCTTGGGGCTCATGCAGCTGGACGAAGGAGTATGGCGAGGTGGCGACGACAAAGTTGTACTTGCTGAGGTCTGCGATGACATTGCGGAAGGCTGGGGTTTGGGTGTTGAGCGGGAGGATCTCGCTGCCTAATCCCGGGCCGCGTGATGATTTGGAAGTGGAGGAGGTGGAGGAGGAAGGAGAGGAAGATTGGCGGAGCATGTGGAGGAGACAGTCGCCGCATTGGAATTTTGCGAATGCGAGGTTCTCGAAGATCTGAGTTGAGGTTGTCTTGTTGAGGGTGAGGATGGACTCGTTGGAGAACTGGGGCCCGAGACACTGGTCAATGGCAAAGTAGCACAGGCGGTGGTCGACAGAGAAGGTGGGCATGTACGGAATGTCCTTATTGGAAGGAGGAGCGGAAGTAGGGATGGTGGTGCCGTCGAGGGACTGGATGAGCTCATGCTCGTTGGTCTTGATCATGAACGGGTACCCGTCCAGACCGGACAGCTTGTAATCCGAGGATCCAGACCTGGGGAACCCCAACTTTGCCAGGTTGGCCTCATAGTCCTTCAATGAGCTATTGAACCCACTAACAAATGTGTACCCCTGTGCAGAATTCAACAACTCTGCAGTCTTGGCCTGCCCTTCATTCCAAGTACGAACCCGGTCCAAAAACCTGCTCCGCTCATCCCAATCTAGGACCCCATCCATATTAGCATCCAACCGATAATTCCAAAACGACGCCAACTGGGTCTCACGCAACCGCTCCATCACATAATGCGCCATAAAGAACGACACCTGCACATCTTCAGCTCTTCCTTCGCCCCGGAACCGATGTGCGCTCGTCTCGGCAAACTCCTCCGACCAGATATGTTGGATCTCCTGGAGTATGGGAGTACAGAGTACATGCGGGACGTGCGCAAGGTACGATCGGAACCGGGGCCCGAATTGACGAGAGAGGAGGTGGTTGGAGTACTGGAGAGAGTTCCATTCTCCTACGGAAAGGGTGTTTTGGGGAGGGGGGAGGATGGTGGGAGGAACGAGGAGGGTGGGCTCCATGTGGAAGACGAAGCCATAGAGGGGAGTCCATATGTCGGCGGCAACCATTTCTTTGCCGAGGAAGACATCGTCGTTTAGGTAGAGGAACTATTAGAAGATGTGTAGAGAATAGGTGAAGTGAGACAATGGTTGTTGGGAAAAGGAAAAGGATCAAACAAAGGAGCGAAGAAATGAGGAAACGGTTAGTGTGATGTGGAGGGCTAACTGTGTCTGTGAGCAATCTACCCAAGACTAGAACTGAAAAGTCCATTAAGAGAAAATAAGGGACTAGAACCCGCAGCCATAGGGGGATATGCACCGCAAAGATATTCCGTAGAAATTAGCACGAGAAGATAGCAAATAAATTTTCAAGGAACAAAGTCTCAAGCGCTCCTCCCTTTACCAACACGGATGAACCTTTTGGCCAAGCCAAAAAAAAAAAAAAAAAAAAAAAAAAAATGAGCGAACAAACCAGGAATGGACAATAGCTGGTCGTGTCTTTTGTCTGCATACCACCCCATTCGTCGGCTTGGCTTCTTTTTTCTCGTTTTTTTTTTTTTTTTTTTTTTTTTGGTTTGTGTCTCTTCGTATGTGATGTTCTCTCCATCCGGTTCAGGTTTTGCATTGGCGTTTGTGTGTTGGCTTTGCTATTCGCAAGTGATCTCCGAACTATGATTTATCCACAGTTGCCAACAACAAATAATGACAACACACGATAGCAACCATTCAATAGTTTGGGCAGTGTGAGGAGGTAAAAAGAAATCTTTGAGCACGCACACCACACGAGTCCCAATTTAACTCGGCTAAATGCCATTGGAAGAGACGAAAAGGGATGAAGAGACGAAAAGGGAAGAAACACAAAAAAAAAAAAAAAAAAACTTACAACGTCCGTGACACCTGGGATATGGTGCATCTGGCTCTCGATCGCAAGGCTGTTGAAAGACGGCAAGCTATTCGAGTTGTCAAAGATCGCTCCATGGGGCACCATCCGGATCCGATCCCCCGAGGCCTCCAGATCCAACCACGAGGGGACCTGAACCTCTTCATTCCTCTCATCGACGGCCGTGGTCAGGATATGGATCCGATTGAAGAGCGTGCGAGAAAAGTACTTGCTGACCGATCGGACCGAGTACTTGAGCTCGTTCATATCCCTGAACCGATTCGACGTCAAGTCAGCAGCTGCTGGTGTGTGAGTGTGGCCGGCGTTACGGATCTTGCCCCACCGAGCTTCATCAGCTGCGCGATACGCTTGAAAGAAGGGCGACCGATCTTCATACCCCTCCTTGATCACCAGTAACCGCGGGTCAGAGCCATTGACCCAAGTGTATACCACATCCATAGTCAAGTCCTGGCCCTCAGTCTCGTTCAAAGACGGGTTCAAGTAAAACTGCCGGAACCACTCGACAGTCCAGTCGGGGGTCTGGGAGAAAGGGTGTTGAACTGCCTGCATCCACGAGCTGGACTCGCGTCGGTCGACAGGTAGTTCTGGGTCGAGGACTGGGGGTTTGGCGAGGAGGAGAAGCCATGGATAGGAGGTATATACAAGGAGGTTGAGGGTGATGAAGAGGATGAGAAGGATAAGCGCTAAACTCCGTGCGCTGCAGGGGAGCCTTCTACGAAGGATGAGATATTTTGAGCGGATGCTTTGCGGATGTAGTGACAGTGGTAATGGTATTTGTAGTGATGGAGAAACCGTCATTATGTCGAGTTTGTGATTTGGGAAAGAGGAGGTACTGGAACAAGTACTGGAACAGGTGGTGTTAGAAGAAAAGGGCGATGTAAGAGCTGTAAAAAACAGCTGGTAATTGAAGAGATGGCGGCGGATTGAAAACGAGAAGAACGAAAGAAGGTAAGGCAGATTATATATACACAACTGCCGGGTAATGCCACCGATGGTCTATGATGTCACGAAGAAAAGGCGTGAGAAGGGAAGTAGAAGATGTCTATTCTATTCTATTCTATTGTACTGGGTTACCGACGATTGAAGCTGAAAAAAAGTGTTGTCGATCGAAGAGTGTCGTCCGTCACGTAACAAGAAACAAAGACAAAAAAGGATGGATCCAGGTCCACCTGAAAAACAAACAAACGCACAGAGATATCTTTGTGTACTGACAATAGATTGAGACACAGTCTAAAAGGTCGACAAGGAGATGGGAAGAGGTGGGCTGTAGGCGGGGCAGGGTAATTCGTGTGTACCGAGGGATGTGGATAAAAAAAGGATAAAATAGATAGTGAAAAATCTACTGGCGTAAGGAGAGGGTGAGTGGAAGGAGATGGAGTGGAGGGAGTAGAGAACGAAGAAGGATGATGGAAGAAGTAACGGAGGAAAATGAAGGAGAAGAATGGGAAGAAATGAAAGAAAGAAAGGAGAAAGGAAGAGCAAAAAAAAACAATGAAAGGACAAGAAGGACAAATGACCGTTTTGCTACCTAATTGTTGCTGATGCTGTCAACAGCCGACAGAGGAAGGAGATCATATCAAAATGAACAAACGAATGAATGGCCAAGGGTGTTTATTGTTGTTGCTATTGTTGAGAGCTAGCACAGAGAGAGAGAGAAGGTTGAGGTGGAAGAAATAATCAAATTATAAAAAGAGGGAACAACCTCAGGGAGCAGGAACAACTGTACACTTGTTTCCTTTTTGAGGTTGACCCTTTTAATCGTTCGATCTTGGGATCGAGACTCACCCAAGGCACCCCACTCACACGATTGATTTGTTATCACCCTGTATTCTTGTATTCTTCCGCCGATGTCTTCGCCCTGATGGCTGATGGAGGTGATTGATGCCGTCCCTGAACCATCACCCATCACTCTCATCGCCAGGAATAGAACCATCAGCCTCGAGGAGACTGAAGGATGAATACACCCGCTGTGCTTGCGACATTCAAGCACGAACAATTGGAATGGCAGTGCGTCCTCTCACATACCTTCGTTAGTCCCATCCACTAGCCCTATTCTTTTTTTAAGCCGTCCTTCAACCCCGGTTGTATAATGCTGGGCCTTGGGTTGAACACGCCGTGAGGAGGGGGCACGCACTGTTACTTAGGCCCACATGCTCGTGCTCCCCCTTTTATCTTATTTTTCTGGATGCGTTTAAACTTAAGTGTCCAGATGATAAGCCAACATAAAAGAAAACAAACGTGATGGAAGAACCTCAGGGTTCTCATTTTATTCATACGACCCTCTTGGTCGGACAATTATTTGACAGGTCGATGATGAGCACTGCCACCAACTCCGGACAACAATTATCCTGGCTGTCGCTGGACATTCGAGAAGTCTTTTTATTTTGACAGACTTGGCCCGGAAAAAACTTTATGAGGTCTTCTGCTGTATATCTGTCGATTGACCAGGAACGGTTCATGTTTTTGTTTTGCTGTTCTATTAAGGAGAAGTAAATTACGCTTGCCATATCATGGTGCAGGACTGACTCCGTTAGGTTTGTATCGAGAATAAAAATAGGCACTGAACCCTGAATCTTTCAGACAAACAAACTCTCAATCGCCTTTTTCTTTGTGATGGATGCCGCAAAAATGAGCCGGCATAAGGCATGACCCCGGAGTATCTTTCGTATGTATGCGATGTATGTAGTATGCATTAGTGATTGGTCTTCTTGTTGTTGTTGTTGTTGCTGTTGTTGTCCATCGTTTTCCTGGAGAAAGCCACTTTATGTTTCGTGTCAATTGCTCTAGGACAAAGGGCGTCTTATCTATTCCAGTGGCACTGCAACCAGGGGATAAACTGTCAGGGCGTTTGACTATGCGACATTGGTACAAAAGTAGGAGGGTGATCGGTAGTTATCGTGTTCTTCAGAAGAATGTGTATTATGCGGTAAGAAGGGGCAGTAAGGCTGATGTGGCCCTTTGTGATGATAGATAGATCGATCAATGATCAATTGATGTGGTGAAAGGGAGCGGTGTTCCCTACTGTTTGTTCTTTGCTCATGCCGTAAGGTGTGACTGACACCTGTCTTCAGTAGAGGAAAATTGCGCCGCTAATTTTTTCGTTTATTTTTTTTTCCCTCTCCTCCTCAATCAATTCGGCGACAACCCATCACCTTCTCGCTTTCGTCAAACCGACAGACAAGCCATGGACAACATACCCCCGTTTGCCAGGAAATACGTCTCAAAGGCCTACTTTGACCGGCTCGACTGGAGGGAGAGGGCCGCCTACCTCAAGGGAGTCCAGGACGTCATGGACCTCTTCAGCAAAGACCTCGAGAACAGAGCTATGGGAGTCCTCAAGCGAAAGGCCCACTGGCTCGAACCAATAGAATCAACCTCCTCGTCGTCGTCCTCACGCCCAACTCTCTCTCAGCCTTATTCTTCCTTGGCAGCACCAAAGGCATTTCCAACAATCACAACAGCAGCGGCAGCACTGGCGACTGCAAAGGCAACAGCAGCAGTAACAACTCTGAACAACGCCAGGGTCGTGCCAAAGACGGGGCAGTCAACACAACAATCATCACAGTCTTCATCACAGTCTTCATCACAGCCTTCATCACAACCTTTCAACGGATCGCAATCAACAGCATCGCAGCCATCGCAAAACGCGTCTCAGTCCCTGTCATCGCAGTCATCAACAACCTCACAGCCACACCTGAAGCGCAAGACGACCGAGAATGCGCCCCTCGACACAGAGATCACGTTTGTTGGCATGAGGTACAGGAGTGGACACGTCTTCTCACCCACTGATCAAGTCAGGCTGGAACGGGATCGCAATAACCCCGTTGACAAGAACGCGATCAAGGTCATGGTCGCCAAGAACGGCAAGTGGTTCCATGCAGCCTATGTCGGGAGGGACGAGGCAAACGCATTGAAGGATCAGCTTGGAATCGAACATATGAAGCTCACCTACCTTCGCGCCTACCTCGCCAGCGTCAAGTATCGTCTTCAAGCCTAACTGGATGGCCGCGCCTTTCTTTTGTCCTTTTTATCCTTCGCCTCGCCCGCATCATACGCCCACCCTTCCTTCCTTCCTTCCTTCGCCGTTTGTGCTCAGCCAGAATTGTTTGTTTCCTCGGTGGCTCCACGGGACCAAGATGCATACATAGCACGTATTTTGCAAAGAGTATTATCCCCCTCATTATTGTCCTTTCTTCCCTTTCGCCTTGTATCATATCACCTCTTTTGCGAATAAAAAAATCAAAGGACCCATCAACACGCTTCAGAGCGCCATGTTTATTTTACGATAGGAACAGTGATTGTGTCCACCGTTGAGCCGCTTACAGACCTACGAGGAAATATTGTCGAGGTTACTCATCTATTCAGTTTAATCTACATCTTCTCAACTAATTGCTCCTTGGCTAAAAAGAAAAAGGCAAAGAGGAGTGGACCGAGCAATAGGAGAACCGGGACAGCCATCACATGCTGCATAGCTACACACAGGTATCAGTTTGCCAAGACGGCTGATCCTCGACAAAACAACACAATTGTGTGCAAACTACAAACAAACAAAACGGCAACAAAGTGCCTTAGCGTGCTACCCGTTGACGCTGTATGCTTTGTGTTTTTTTTTACCATAAGGTTAATACAAACTATTCACCTTCAAGGCGTTCTTCTCGTCATGTTTTCTTTTTGTTTTGTTTGTGGAGAGAGCGAGTAGAGGAGGGAGGGACAGAGTTATGCTGAGAATGCAGTAATATGCAACAGCTGGGCCAGCCAGGGACATGTGGGATCCGCAGGCCGATTTTTATTATTATTTTCTCGCCATGCCTATGATCATGCCATGAGCGTAATTGCGCATCCAAGCCGAAAATAAGCAAAGCAAGAGGAGGAGCCAGCCGGCAGTTGTCATGTTGCAAAGCTATCCATCCAGTTCCTGTGCACTCCGTTATTTTGTCACACTTTTGTTGCTGCATATAGCAAAGAGCGAACCAATAAGCAGTGAGCAAGAGGACGGGAGAGAGGGAAAGGTGCCGAACGGCTCACAAATAAAAGGTACACTGTGCCCTGACGTCCCTTTTTATGCCATTCTAATCCCACCAAGTTCTAAATTTCTCTCTCTCTCTCTCCTTCTTTTCCCACCCACTCCACTCTTCCGCTCCCCAATTCCTGCCCCTTACTCACACGCTTTTTCACTCCCTTGATTCTCTTTGTCACTTACACACTCTCTTCTTGAACCATGTCGTCATACATCCGTCCTGTACTATCAACAGAGGGTCGCCTGGGCCACCTGACGCCCGACCAGAACCTCAAGCTCCAGGAATTCTGGGTCCGACTGTACGAAATCTTTGACGGCAAGGTCGACTTTGACCAGACCACTCCTCCGTCCTTCAAGGGCCAGGGTCGTGACGCCGACGTCTCCTCCCTCTACTCTCCAGCTGTTCCTCATTCCTCTTCTTCTTCTTCTTCGTCGTCAACAGTTCAGGCACAACAGGTTCCTGTTACACAGAGCGCGGGATGGTTAGGCGGCGGGTTTGGTCCGTCAGCGGCTGCTGGCTTTGTCGACGCCGTATCGTCGGATACTGTTATGGCGGATGAAGCGCCGAGGTTTACGGGCAAGCAGTTGCATAGGATCTTTTGGAAGATCACGATGATGGATCATCCTGATCTTGTGGTCCTTAAGGTAAACAATTATGCCCTTGCATAAAGTCTCCGAAAAAAAAACCTCCCCTCCCTGAGGGTTATTACTTTATATCTTGTCACTTTACAAGGGCAATTAGTAAACCTGCATATGTTCTGTTCTACCAAACAAACCAAACCAACTAACTGTTTTTCGTTCATTCTCCTATTCAATTGCTTAATAGTACATCCGTGCCCGCAAATGGGTGATTGACGATGCGCTCAAGATGGTCCTGAACGCGTTGAAGTGGCGGGTAGTCGAGCGATTGGACGAGTTGGTCGAGTTATCGGACACGGAACTGGATGCCAAATACCCCAAATTCGTTGAACAGTTAAAGTCAGGAAAAGGTTACTTGCGAGGCGCCGACCCCCTGGGACGTCCCATGACGATCATCAACACCCGCTTGCACCATAAAGGCGATCAACCCCCCGAGACCATTCATCGATACACTCTTTACGTATGGACGCACTCGAGATTATTTTTTTTTTTTTCCATTTTTCTCGACATTGTTATTATTTACATGCGTGGAATACTTGTGATGATATTAACAATTAATTTGCCCACTGTTTTAATACTAGACGATGGAATGCGGAAGGACGATCTTGGAACCAGGCGCAGAGTCAATCATCGTCATCTTTGACCTCTCAGATTTCGGTCTCGACAACATGGACTGGGGATTCATCCGTCTCTTTGTCCAATGCTTCGAAGCCTACTACCCCGAAACCCTGGGCGTTTGCGTCATCCACAAGGCCCCCTATGTCTTCTGGGGCATCTGGAAACTGATCCAACCCCTCCTCGACCCCGTCGTCACCGCAAAATTCGTCTTCACCCGCAATAACGCCGACTTACACAAGGTCATCCCTCGTGAACGACTCCCTGTGGTTCCTTATGATGGGTTGGATGATTGGAAGTATGAGTATATCCCGGCGCAGGAAGGCGAGAACGATCACAGGAATGATGTAGTCAAGCGGGAGGAGCTGTTGAATGAGCGACAGGATTTGGAGAACCAGTTTGAGACGGTTTCAAAGGAGTGGAGTTTGAGGATGGATGGAAGTAACTCGGCGGAGAGGGATACGATTGCCGCACAGTTGAAGGAGCAGTATACAAGGCTATGGCCTTATGTGAGGGCTGTGAATATGTATCAACGGTGGGGGGTTGCTCAACCTACGGGCGTCAATTGGACGTACAACATTGTTCAAGACATGGAACTAGACTGATTCAACATATTCGTCCATACCTCCATATTTTTAAACATGCACCTGATAAATAACATATTGGAAATACCATTTCTTGTTGTTTGTTTTTGCGACTATTCGAAACGAGAACTGCCAGAGTGGACATGATATCCATTATGAAAATCCTTGGCAGAGAGCCGTTTCTTGCCTTCGAACTGGACGGCCTTGACGCCAAGCAACGAGCCGTCAGAACAAGTGATGTGCAGAGATTCGGTCGGGCCGTGATAGAAAATGGTCCCTGGAGCGGACGTCTGGCTAGGCGTCTTTCCATCTGCGGCGTACCCTCCGTTCTTCAGTTGGGTTGCGGAGGTTGGAGTAGAGGAGTCGACACGGAAGAGGTCAAAGAGCGAGATGGGGAGTACCTTCCCGGAGTCTTGTACTGTCCATGTTGCCGTGATTGGGTACTATCGTTTTGAAGACGCAGGATAATTGTCATCAAGAATTAGTCTTGTCATATCCTTGCGAACCGAGCGAATGATCAAGCTGAGCTTGGCTGAGGAAGCTTTGCTGATTGCACCAATAATTCCAGTTGTTTTTTTCTGTTTATCTTGGACCCTATTCCAACCTATCACATTCATGTGCATAAATGCACAACGCATGCTCGTTGCCGTTTTGCTGCCATTGAATTGCCATCGAGTGTATGTTGCTCTTACTCTGAATCCATTAGCGCGATGCAACCGCTCCGTACGAGCAGATGTCCAGGTCGACCATTGGACCTTACAGGCCTCTCGGCTGATCTTGTTTGCTTTTGTTACTTTTGTTGGGTCCTGACTCTTGGCATCACGCTAAAACGTACAGTACAAAGAGGGAGGGATGAAAGGAAAATAATGTGGGTATAAGAGGGAGGATACGTGGACAAGGAGGAAAATGTGTGGTTAATAATTGGTGCATGTGAGTGTGGTTATTGTCCATGCAAGCACACGCCTTTCCTTCCCAACTCCGCTATATGCACAACTTGTAAAGGCAGATAACACAATAGGGAAAGTACATACCCTGCGCTGGTCATAGTTGTTGATAACATCGACCACCAGCTCGCCTCCCTTCGTGGCCAACAGTGCCTCCAATGACCGATACGTAGAATTCTCGGGCAATGCCTACAATTGTTTGCAAATATATCCAAAACAGCGCGAGTTAATACTTTGTTGGCTAGGTGAGCAATCCACCACGAAGAACGTGATTCTTCAGTGCCGTAAAAAAAACGTACGACTTCAGCTTGGGCAAGAATCTTTCCGGCATCAAACTCATTCGGGTCGAGCAATTGGACTGTCACGCCTGTCGTTTGATCCTGGTTCAAAATCGCCCTCTGCAACGGTGCCGATCCACGATACCTAAACACATCACGCGAGCAACAATCGATAGAAAACACAGAGGATTAGAACACATCAGTCTCTCAAAATGATTTAAACATACAGTTTGCCAACAGAGCACACTTACTTGGGCAGGAGGGAAGGGTGGACGTTGATACCTGCCTTCTTGAAGCGGGTGATGACATCGTCAGGGAGAAACCATCCAAACGAAACGACGACTCCGAAATCCCAAGCATCGACTTGACTATCTTCGGGGAACGTCCATGCGTCGAACCCACCCTTCCTGTCTGGTGATGGGTACGTGTTCAGATTGTGCGCCTTTGCCAGTTGTGTGAGCGGGGCTAATTATTTCAGCGAATTTGTTCACAGGACGTGAATAGGTGTCAGAGACGCGCGTTGTGAGATGTTTTGTTCGTTCCACGACAGGAGTAGGAGAGGAGACGCGTAATTCGATTTTGATGTCTGCTTACAATCTTCGGCGTCGCGTTTTGATTTCTTGGTCCGTTCCTTTGGAGAGACGACGTCGATTCTCTCAATGATTGATCCCGGCTTGCCTAACGAAAAGAAACCGATAATACAGGGCGATTATGATAGGCTCCGATTGCTCTTTTGGTTCGACCACTTCAAAAGATCGCGTTCAACCTGTAGCATCATCATTCACTTACTCTTCTCCTGGATCAAGGCTTCCAGATGAGGCACCGAGAAAGAATCGCTTCCAAAGAACAAGATCTTGACCTTGTGTTGGTCCTTGTTCTGTAGAGTCGAAACACTGAATGACCGTGACGCCTAAAAATGTATTGGAACAATGTTGACCAAAATGCATATCAGTATCGTTGGCTCGTAAAGGGCAAACTCTTCCTCCTCCTCCTCCTCCATTGTCGGTACTTGTTGTGCTCAAGGGTAAGTTTCGTCGAATCACAAGCGGGGTGTTTACGTTCTGCGACATGCGAAGACTGTTGAATGAGCTTGCCCATCCTGAATTTGTAGCGGCGGTGGTAGTGAATGATGTTGTCTGGTTCCGGCAGCGTGCCCATGCCAAAAAGAAGGAACGCGACATGGCGGTAGTTTGGTCGCGTGAATGATTCGTGCGAGGAAAGGGAAAGGGTGGGAACAAAAAGGTGGGAGCTCCATTCCGACTTGAAAAATTGAGAAAGGGTGTGGCTTTGAACGCCACCAACCTTACACCCTTGAAATGTAGATCATGAATTCAATCATACAAGGGACAGATCGTCGGTCTGACATGTTTATCAAACGCATCCAATATCTAATACTTCATGAGCGATATCGGTTACCACCGTTGTTGACCAACGTTCTTATCAGTCTCAGATATTGTGTTCGAGTGTCAAGTCATGAAAGGTATCAGAATACAAGAGGCATTAGTTAATATGGTTATTATTTTTTATTATTCATTCTTGTTTTTGAATGGTTGGAAACGTATTATGATATTGACATGCTAAATGGTATGTATACAAATAAGAGACGGACTGCGATGAAAAACTATCTACAAATTCTGCTTCTGGCAAAGGTCGGCATAGACACCGCCCAAGCCAACGAGCTCGTAGTGGCGGCCAGATTCGACAATGGCACCGTCCTTGACGACTAAGATCAAGTCAGCGTCCTGAATGGTGCTGAGACGATGGGCAATCACAATCGTGGTACGACCATAGCGGGCCTTGTCGAGCGCCTCCTGGACAAGCTTCTCAGACTCAGAATCCAAAGCCGAGGTGGCCTCATCGAGGAGCAAGACCTTGGGGTTGCGGATGAGGGCACGGGCAATGGCAATACGCTGCTTCTGGCCTCCAGAGAGCTGCGAGCCCTTGTCTCCGACCGAGGTGTTGTAGCCGTCGGGGAGGGACATGACAAAGTTGTGGATGTTGGACAGCTTGGCGGCTGCCTCGACCTGCTCAAGCGTACCCTCGCTATCGGGAAGGCCGTAGAGGATGTTGTCCTTGATCGACATGTCGAACAGAACGGGCTCCTGACCGACCAAAGCCATGTGCTCACGGATGTTGTGCAACTGAAGATCCTTGATGTTGTAGTTGTCGACGAGGACCTTGCCGCCGTCAACATCGTACCAGCGCTCAAGGAGGGCAATGATGGTCGACTTGCCGCATCCCGAGGGGCCAACGAGGGCAACAGTCTGGCTGGGCTTGACCTTGATATCGACACCGTTAAAGATCTGGATGTTCTCGCGGGTGGGGTAATGGAAATCGACCTTCTCCAACGAAAGAGAGCCGGAGATGGTCTTGAGCGAGGTACCGTCACGGTCGGCATCGATCAGGGTATCCTTATCCAAGAGCTCGTAGACGTTGATGGCTGACTGCTTGCCCTTGGCATACTTGGGGAGCTCCGAGGTGATGTGACCCAAACTCATGGCGAGGAAGACAATGGCGAACATGCAGTCGAACATCTTGCCCCAGGTGATGATGTTGGCTTCGACAAGACGATAACCACCATAGAATCCGATAGAATAACTCCAGTAAGCGACAGCCTGGGACATAGCGAAACCGAACGAAGCGAAAAGAGCCTTGTGGAGAGCGTACTTGTGAGGTTCACGGGTAACCTCAAAGTAACGGGCCTCAAAAACGTCCTCCTTGGCAAGGGAGACAACAGTGCGGATGTTGGCAATGGCCTCACCAGCAACCTGACCAGACTTTTCGTACGCCTTGCGGGTCTTGCTTCCGAAACCGGTTAACGAAGCCAACTCGAGGTACTGTCCAAGACCGATGATGGGAACTGCAGCAAGAATAATCAATGTCATCTGCCATGAGGCCTTGAAAGCGAATCCAAGACCGACGGCAATGGTAGCCATAGACGAGACAGAGGTCAAGACGACCTGGGAGACCATATCGAACATTTGCTGGGAATCGGTGGCAAGACGACTGGCAAGGGCTCCAGTCGAGTTCTCGGGGCGGTCAAAGAAGGCCATCTCTTGGCTAAGGATGGCCTTGTAGCTCAGGAAACGCATCTCGCGGGTAAGACGTTCACCGGCAAGCAAAAAGAAGAACATGCCGCCGGCAAAACCGATGAAACCGACAAAGGCGAGGATGAGGAACAGAAGAGAGTAGTGGTTGGCCTTGGGAATGAAATCGTCGCCGAGCTCGTTGACCTTAGTCAGAGTCGTGATCGCACCAGAGAAGATCTGAGAGAAGCCGGGGAAGAGGCCACCTTGGATGATGGCACAGAAAACACCAGCAAGGCAGATGTGGAAGTTGGGCTTCAAGTAACGGATGGTACGCGAGATGGGAGCCTTCTGGAGTTTCAACTTCCTAGCTGCCTCCTTCTTCTCTCGAGCCATGGTCATCTCCTTGTCCTCCTCAATTTCAACAACGGTAGGGCCCTTGGCGGCAGAGTTGTCCGAGTGGTGAGACGATATACGGCGGAGAAGGTTGCTCATGCGGCGACCAGTGTGAGCTCCCTCAGGCCTGGCCTTCTCATCAATGACAATGTGTGCCTTGGGTTCGGCAGCAGCGATGGAGTCGGGTTCGGCGGTCTCCTCGGGTGCCTCGATATCGGTTCCTCCTGTCTTGAGCTGCTGCTTGGCGACGAATTCAGTGTAGGTTCCTCCGAGGGCCATGAGAGACTCGTGGGTTCCAGATTCCAATACAACTCCACGGTCCATAACGTAAATGAGATCAGCATTCATAATGGTCGACAGACGATGGGCAATGACAATGGTCGAGCGACCGGTGGCAGCGTTATCCAAGGCAGCCTGGACAATACGTTCAGACTCGGTATCCAACGCAGAGGTGGCCTCATCCAAAAGCAAGATCGAGGGGTTCTTGATCAAAGCACGAGCAATGGCAATACGCTGTTTCTGACCTCCAGAGAGCAGGGCGCCCCTCTCACCGACCATGGTGTTGTAACCCTGGGGAAGCTTGGAGATATAGTCGTGGGCGTTGGCGAGATGGCAAGCCTTCTCAATGTCTGCGTCGGTGGGCTGTTTCTGATCCTTGCGGACTCCGTACAAAATGTTCTGCTTGATGGTGGCGTTGAAAAGAACGGGCTCCTGAGAGACCAAACCGATGCTGTCACGCAAGTGACGAATATTGAAGTCCTTAATCTCAATGCCGTCGATGGTGATAGTTCCAGAAGAAGGGTCGTAGAAACGCTCGACAAGACCGATAATAGTCGACTTTCCTGATCCTGAGTGACCGACAAGGGCAACGGTTTGGCCGGGCTTGACCTCGATGTTCATCTCCTTGAGAATAGGGACGTTGGGACGACTGGGGTAGGCAAAGTTAACGTTCTTGACTACAATGTGGCCCTGCAAGTTCTCGGGCTTGAGACCGGAGGGATCAAAGGAGTCAATGGCGGGGACGCGGTCGATGGTGTGGAAGATGGTGTAAGCAGCGGCTTGGGCTTTGCCGAAGCTGGCGATGTTGGGGCCGACGTTACCGATGGAGAAGGCACCGATGATGGTACCGAACAAGACAGTCAAGACATTACCAGGCAACATCTCTCCGCTCTTGACCAGGCCGGATCCGTAGTAGAAAGCCAAGGAATAACTCAAGAACATGATCATCATGAAGGAACCCATGCCCAATCCAGTAGCAATAGATTTCTTGACACCAGACTTGTAGGCCTCCTCGAGGACAACATTGAACTTCTTGAGCTCACGCTTCTGACCACCGAAAGCAGCGATTGTGCGGATAGAGCCAATGGCCTGCTCGGCCAATCCTCCAGCAGCGGCGTAGGAATCCTGGCCATCAGCGGAATTTTCACCAGCATACTTGGCCATGAGGGCTCCAGCGGCTATAGAGTTATTGTTTGAAAGAAAAAAGGCGAAAGCACGTTAGTTTCATAAAAAACGATTATGCAGTTTCGTGTGTGATCGACGGTTTCAACATTGTAGAGATAGATTAACTTACCAGCCATCAAAGGGACAGAAGTCAAGAGGACCAAACTCATTTTCCAGCCGTGGGTGAAGGCAATGACGAAACCAGCGACGAAGGTGGCCAAGGATGAGAGGCAGATACCGACCTTGTCAGCGAGACCATCAAAAATCAACTGGGTGTCGGCGCTGAGACGCGAGTTGAGGGACTCGCTCTTCTTGCCGATGTCGTGCCAGGTGATGTCCTGGCGAAGAATGGCATGGAGGTACTTTTCGCGGATACGCTTGGTCTGGTTTTCGGCAGAGAGGGTGAAGAGGCACATCTGGCCGTAGGCGACAAAGAACATGATGGCTCCGACAACGGTGAACTTGATGACGAGGACACGCATTTCAGCGATGAGCTTGATGTTAAGAGCGTCAGCCTCAGGTCCGGTCGCGGTTGAGGTAAGATTGGCGATGGCGTTGATGACATCTCCCATCAACAAAGCGACTAAAGGCTGGCCGACACCGTTAGCAAAAGCACAGATGGTACCCAGGCTAAGTATTAAGGAGAAGCAATTAGAAAGGCAAGGTCAGTGCTTCGCTCAATGCAGAGTGCAAGGGTGTTGTTTGACTGGCATTGAATATATTTTTTGTTTCCAGTTGCACAAGAATAATAACAGGATGTATATAAAAAAAAACATACATGACGCAGAAGTAATCGAAAGGAGAGGCGAAGCGGTAGAGCTGCAGGTACGAGATCTTTGGCTCGGGCTTGACGATGGGCTTGCCGTTTTTGTCGAGCTCGACTTCCTTGTTGTCCGAGCCCTTGTCGGTGAGATCGATGGAGGAAGGGGTGGCGGTGACATCGTTACGATCGACATCGACGACGATGTCTCTCTTTTCCGACTCAAAGGCGTTCTTGGCAGTCTTTGCCGATGAGGAGTGTTCGGCCGACATGAATGTGCTGTATCAGTGGTCGAAGCTGGGTTGGAGTACAGTTGTTGTTGTGTTATTGTTATTGTTATTGTTATTATTGTTGATGAGCAACTGATGAGTGGGGGTGTGATGAGTGCGAGTGAATGAGAAAAGGAGATGACTGAGAGAAAGAGAGATGAGGGAGAAGGGAGGAGTAGGATTAGTAGTGATCCTGGTAGAGATATACGAAGAGAGAGTAGAGAAGGTAGAGGTGGAAAAAGAAAGAAGAAGAGAAGGACAAGGGACAATTGTAATCTGGGGAGGAGATCAAGTGTTTATATAATGCTATGGGGGTGAGAGGGATGGGATGGGAAATGAGTACTCTTGGAGCTCGGAGTGTTCACACCCTGTTCACACCCTGTCTCTCTCTCTCTCGTGAATCCATGGCGACAAAGGTCAAACGAGAAAGGAAATAAAAAAAACAAAATAGATTAAAGAGCTTGAGCTTGAACGCACACAAAACACAAACACGCAGCAGATGAGAGTGGATACAACCTTTTTTTCTAATTTCAAAGAGAGTTTTTTTCCTTTTTCTGCAGGTCTGCGTAGTCAATCGGAGAGTGTGCGCTCTCCCTTCTTTTCGTTTCCGCTCTCTCCTATCTCTCTCTCTCTCTCTCGCTTTTTCTTCCGCTCACTTTTTTTTTTTTTTTTTTTTTTCCTTTGCTTGGCGCTTAACTTGCGAGATTGAGTGAGTTAGACGCAGAAAAAGAGGGGGGAGGAGACGAATACGCAATTGCTCATGGACCTTCGGACCCTTCTTCTCTCTTCCTTCCTTGTCACCCCTTATGTTGTACAGGCAGAACAGACTCCAACTCAAACACAATTATACTAATTCCCTTTTTCGGACAACTTCCCTGTCGCTTTTGTTTGAAAATCCCTGCCATTCTTTCTCGCCCCTCTTGCCCCTTCCCTTCATCTCCACATTCAATACATCCTTCCAACCCCCCACCGGACAAATAGCTATTCCGGTGAACTAATCACACATCCCTGTCGACTCCATCCCACTTTTGCTCTTGGCCCGTGGTTAGATTTCTTGGCTTGTGATGTCCCTTTGACCCTATTTCTTGGCCATCAGTCTCTCCGATCATCTTCCAAGACCCATAACCCACAATCAAACGGTAATAAACAACAAGGCTTTTTGTTGATGCTCTCCTTATGGAGTTTTTTGCCTTCTCGTTGCATGTTCTCAAGAGAACGTAGCTCGTCGTCTCAGATAAGCCAGACACAGCGGCCAAGAACCATGTCCTATTTCCACGTTTTGTGCTTTGCTAAACAGCAAGCAAAGAAACAAAAGAGGCGGCAATAATTGTCAACCTCTGCACACTCACAGCAGGACAAAGAAAAGATACTACATCTCCGGAGAGACACTAACAGAAAGTAAGAGAGAGGGACTGAATGTGGATTGGAGTGAGAGGTCTGACAAACAATCCTCCATCTCTGTGTACCGTTTGCTCAGCGGGTTCGCGTGCTATTTTTTTTTCTTGGCCTTTATCGCTCTCCCCAACTATTTCTTTTTTTTGTTTCGGAACTTTCGCGCAGCAGCAACGTTTGGATTGATTGCATGGTGGAGCGTGTGTCATTTTTTTTTGTCCTCATCCCTTCCATCTCACATTTTAATGAGCGGCGCCTGTTTGTCTAGAAACTGAATTTCCCCTAAATGTCATGCAAGACCCCTTTCTCGTTCCCATTGGGTAATGTTGTGGTTTGCTGGTAAAAAACTCTTTACCAGGAGCAGGCGTCAATTGAGAGACGGACAAAGAATAGCGTTACCGACGATCATATCAGATAACAATAACAACAACCAAGCAATTGATAACCCTTCTTCATTTCATTCAATTGAGTGGCGCGATTTTTTCTTGACGACGTTCTTTTTTCCATTTCCTTTGTGTTCCAGCCCGTTTCACTGCGGAATGAGCTTAAAATGGTTGGCAACCACCCCATTCTTTTCAAAAATCAACGCTGAAATTGGACATAGTCTACAAGGGGGTACTTGTGGATACTCACAGGGCTGTTGTTGCAACCGCTGCCAAAAATGTCATCACGGCCATGTATCTCGGAGAATCGGGCAAAAACCAAACCGGTTATTTGTCAATTGCACCCAAACTCCATGATCTCCACTCTTCAACTCCGCGCCACCACTATCAGTATCTATCAGCACAAATATGGAAAAATGAAAAAGGACTATCAAGACAGCGAGAGTGGATGTGTAGACGTCGGATCCTTTAATCCATTGAACAAAGTACCACATACAGCTGTTTGATCCTCCACGTACCACTCACCTCGTCCACTCTCTTGCTAGTCGCCGAAAGCTTCCATGAAATCGAGCTCCAATACGTTTCATTTTTAACCTCGCTAAGCTACTGCAGCCATGCCGCGCTGCACTTTTCATGCATTTTTTTTTTTTTTTGTTAAAAGTGCTTTTTGTTCAGCCTGTGCTGTTTTGGAGTATCTTTTTTTTGTGATACGCTTCTGACATACACATGCACGTGCACAAGGCGCCATCCGCAGCTATTATCCATCTCATAGTCCTCTTGTGATCGCATGTTAATGTGACGATAAGCTTACGTGGATCGAGTTTTTTTTTGCTGGAAGTCGTTATTGTGCGTTCAAAAATAGAAGTTCACATCTTCGCTTTGAAAAAAAAATAAGGACATGAACCAAGTTCAGACAATTGACAGGGTTTCCTACCAAAAGTGGAGTCAAAGAAAAAAATATTTTCCGATCGAGGGAGAGGAGGTGGTGTCAATCTCGAATGTCAATTTTGCGAACAGAACAGCCCGCTTTTGTTCTATCGTTTCTACCTTTGGTTGTTGGTTGTGGGGTTTGTTTCTGAACACGAGCCAAGAAAACGTCATCGACATACAAACCATGCTCGTTGATGCCATAGGAGAACAGCAAGGACGAAAGACGAAACGATGATCGTGTCCATGCGTGGATAAAGAGTTCGATCGATGCGTCTTTTCTTTTGTTTTCACTCTGACATGGCTCAAGCGGCGAACGCCACCAAAATTTCCACTCGGTTCCGTAGGCGATGATTCTAGATCCAGCGACGTCACATAGGCGGGCGGCGACACTTCTTTGTTCAAGACGATTGTCCTTTAACACCATCAACCATCACACACACATACACACACACACACACCTCACCGACCAGGAACAAGGAAACAACACTTTTATCACAGCAGGAAAGAAGAACCGAGCTCATTCCTACCCACTCTAAACCACAGACAACCCCTCAACAGGAAAACCTTCAACCTCTCCCGCATTCTTTCCCCTTCCCCAACAATTCGTGTACATTCCTCTTCTCCATGGCGACACGGAAACTGCAAAGTAAAGTAATACTTTGCCAGCTTCAAAGCACTTTCAACAGGAACTTTCGATGCTCGTATCAATTAGTCGGTCGTATCAAGCAAGCCGTTCTTGTACACAGGGCAAAACAAGGATGCCTGACGCTACTATTGTTCTATCACCTTATAACCAATAGCTGAAATCGACAAGGTCTTGAAGAAGGTCGCGGAGGGCATCGAGACGTTTGAAGAGACACTGGAAAAGATCGAGACGACGACCAATGTCAACCAAAAGGAAAAGTACGAGTCGGATCTCAAGAAGGATATTAAGAAGCTGCAACGGCAGCGAGATCAGATCAAGACATGGATCTCCTCAAGCGACATCAAGGATAAACGGGCGCTCATGGAGAACCGTAAGCTTATTGAGCAGGTATGTATTGCGGATAGCTCACTCTTGAGTCGGGATTGCTTCAGGATTTGCAATTCATTCATAGGATCATTTGTATCCTACTAAAAGCGAAGAAAACCAACCATATATCTCTTCCATTTTATCACACATTTTTGAAATAAATAGCAAATGGAGAAGTTCAAGGTCATTGAAAAGGAGATGAAGACAAAGGCCTACTCCCGGGAGGGCCTCATCATGTCTGGGCGACTGGATCCCAAGGAAAAAGAAAAGACGGATCTGTGCGCATGGGTCACAGACCGAGTCGATTCGCTCAACTTGCAGATCGAAGTAATGGAGGCAGAGGTCGAAACGTTACAGACCGGATCCAAAAAGGGCAAGAACAGTCCTGCAAGAGAGAGGATATCGGAACTGGAGGACAAGATCGAACGGCACAAGTGGCACCAAGGGCGACTGGAGCTGATCTTGAGGCTGCTGGAGAATGGACAAATCGACCTTGACAAGGTGAGATTGACATATCCTGCAAGACGAATGTGAACTGGTCAAACACTGGCATTCTATTGTATAGTTTCAGGATTAACACGTCCGTTCTTTTTGTTTGCTATGTGCTTATAGGTCACGTCGATTCAGGAAGACGTCAACTACTATGTGGATGAAAACCAGGTACGCACTCTGGATAGTCCTCAGGACATGGACCACAGACAGTCCCAGCATCTTTCTAACATACCCAAACAAACAAACTGATCTCCAATTCACATAGGATCCTGACTTTGCAGAGGACGAGGAGATCTATACCGACTTGAATCTGGAAGAGGAGGAGGATTTCTATGTCATCGGAGCAGACGATCACCACAAGGACGATGATGTGTCTGAAAAGGACAAGGACGAAGAAATCCCAGCAAAGAAGCCTTCCAAAACCGTGGAACCGGAGCCTGCATCGCCACCTGCACGGACCACTACAACGAAAACGGTACCGACGAAAAGTAGGTCGTGCTTTATGTTTAATCACGGTATATCGATGTACTGTAACAAACATGGAAGTGGGAGTCCGCTGACTCTCTTATTGCAATACGCTTATTGTTAGAACTGTCCATCTCGGAACCCAAGGAGACAAAGCCAGCAGCAACACTAGCAGCAACACTAGCAACGGCACCGACAGCAACGGCACCGACAGCAACGGCACCGTCAGCAACGGCACTGACAGCGGCGGCTACATCGAAAACAACGACAAGCGGATCTACACGGCAAACGACCATACCTCGGCCTGCAGACACGCCAACGATTCAGTACGCTGCTGCGGCGGCGGCCAATCTTCCTGTGGCAGAACCCTCTCAAGCCTCCAACATCACAGCATCACCATCGCTCGCCGCCGCCACTGTTGATGAGGCACCAGCGGCATCAAAGGACGGATTGGCTTCAACGTCAGAGGCAATGGCAGAATCAGCAGTAGCCCCAGCGTCGACTGCAGGATCAGCTGTCGCACCAGCAGGAGCATCGGCAGCAGTTGCCACACCACCCATGGACGAAGCCAAGGCACATTCGGCCATGTCCACGCCATTGGCGGCCAACTCTTCAGTCGTCTCCTCCACAACAACCGCAAAGTCTACGGATATCACTTCAGCTCAACCAAGCAGGAGTCAGTCGCCAGACGAGGTATATCAAAAAATGAACCTTTGCCTCGCTTCAGGATTATCTTTTAGACAGTGATTTTGTTTTCACTCGGACAAAAGTGACTCCGGAATTCATTTCTTATTTCTAACGTCTATGGTCTTGTATGGACTTTCTCCCCTTTAGAAATCCGTGGTTCAGGAGGCTACTCGAAGCCAGCTTACCCCCTCTGAACCCGAGATTCGTCTCCCATCTGCGCTGGCGGACCTTGCACACAGCTTCGAGATCTCCAAAGAACGCGCCATGTCCAAGGATGTTGGATTCTTTGCCATTCAGATGCTTGAAACAAGCTTCCAGTTTCTTCCGGAAGCCGCAGACACGGAGAGGTATGTCAGGATATTTAATTTCTCGTTGTTTGATGTGCACCCGTTCTGGGTTATTAGCCGAGAACATCGACAAGACGTCAACGACTCCGTGTTGATCAACTAAACGCTCACCTCTCTTTTTTATGTTCTTCATTGTGCATGATAGGCCAAAGTACTACGCTCCTAAGAATCCCTACCCAACACCATCCTACTACCCTCAATTGCCGCCTCCAGCTCTTTTCGAGGCTTCTGCGACGTTTGAAAAGTTTGACATCGACACGCTGTTCTTTATCTTTTACTACCAGCAAGGAACCTATCAGCAGTAAGTGCCAAGCTCTTATGGCTCATTCTTAGAGAGCTTAAGAGTGCGCAAAGAAAGATGAACGAATGTCCTTTCGCACACTAACTCGTCCTGTTTGACCTCTAGGTACCTGGCGGCAAGGGAGCTAAAGAAGCAATCGTGGCGGTTCCACAAGAAATACTTGACATGGTTCCAGCGCCATGAGGAGCCAAAGGCCATTACTGACGACTATGAGCAAGGAACATATATCTACTTTGACTACGAAGGCGCCTGGTGCCAACGCAAGAATACCGATTTCCGGTTCGAGTACAAGTTCCTCGAGGACGAACTTGTCTAAAAGCAAGATTCGTTATGAGCCAGCGACTTTTTGATACCTTTTCTTTTTCCCTCTTTCCTCCTTCCCTATCGTCTAAACCCGTTCCTTTCTCCATTACTGTTTATCGCAATTCTCTCCTTTTACTTTGCTTCCTCTCTCTCCTCCCTCTCTCTCCCCATGTTTTTTCTGTTGTTGTTCCGTCGTCTTTACCCTCTATCCCGTTTGTAATGCCCTCCTTTGCTCTGTTCAACACATGTAGTTTTATTTCGTCTTTTTTTTTTCCTGCTTTAACCTTTTTTTTCCATTTTACCCTTCGCCCATCATATTCAGCCGAAAGCTTCAATTTAAAAGTGAGGCTCTCTATCATCAAATTGTCATGAACTATTCATTGGATGACAAGGGGTTTTTGTGGTTAGTTTATGTCTAATTGCTGGGGTGGGAGTTCATGTTTTTTGTAATATGCGGTTGGTCGCTGCAAAGTGAGAAGAGAAGCAGAAGGAGAGGAGGGGGTTGAAGGAGAGAGCCAGCAACGACAGGTTTTATCTTATAGTCGTGGTTACCTACGCTTTCTGCACGTGGAAGCAATCCTTGAAGAACTATTCGGTAGAAGGAGACATAAAAAATGTCCCTTCGGACACAGTCCTTCAAACTCGCGATATCGAGGGAGCATCGCATACACAATCATGACACTTTTTCGATTTCAGCTGGTTGCATTGTGCTTCTTCTCCATATGGCCACTTTGGAGAATGCGGATGGATCAGGTGTCATCGGTGGATCAAAAAAAAAAAGAAATTGTCAATGCCCTCCTCGTCTGTGTTCGTTCTTCCGGCCGTTTGTTCGTTCATCTTTGTCAAATGAACATTCTTTTTTTTATCTCAATTCTATCCTTTTTCCTTGTTCATCCTCACACTCCTCAGTTCTGTACTTCACTTTTTTACCTTTTTTCGTTTTCCTTTATCCTCGCCCATCCGCCGTTCGCTTGCTTATTTTTACCAAGAGTGTCCATTGATCGCCAGTAATAAGGTAAAAGTACTTTCAAAAAAAAAAATCAGCGGAAATAGCCTGCATCCTTTTTTTTTATCATTAAACGATCAAAGAAGGCTAGTTCTTGTTTTGTTGATAAAAAACATCAACACTCTATCAGTCTAGGATTAGTGATTGTCTGTTTTGGGTCGATTTATCATCCTTCGAGAGCTGGTTCCTTCGCTTTCCCTGTCCATCTCGCCTCGCTATTGCCTCAATAAGGACGATTGATTCGAGAGAGAAGGACAATGGAGGTGGAGAAAAGAGGATCGACGATGATTGAATGCCGATCCAAATGAACATCCTATGGTCGTATATCAGCTTTCTCTTTCTACTTTCACTCCTACAACAACCATTGGCGATTGAAAGCCCTTAGCTTCCGTTTCTGACTGGCCATTCTTGCTCACCACTACTCTCCCTTTCTTGTCCTTCTCTCACTTTTCTTTCCTATTCCTGCCCACGCTTCCTTTCTTTTTTCCTTAAGGCCCAAGTGTTCACTAAGCTGACTCCCTGTCAAGCCTGTCCTGCCACACTCCCCTTCCCTCGGGCCGCTCCTTTTTTTAATCCTTTGGCTTATCCAGCCCCACTTTTTTTTTCCTATTCAGCTAAAAACAGCAGAAACCGAAATCTACTGCAAAACACACGCACGATCCAACAATGCTCCGTCGCGCCGCCTACCAAGAAGTCGTCGTCGTCTTCTACCCTGCCGATCACCCCACCTTGCCCCTTCCACCTGCCCTCTCGCCCTCCCCCTCCTCCATTTCGGCTCCTCCAGCGAACACCCAGCATACACAACAAACACAGCCCCAATCACAACAACAACAACAACAATATCCTTTCTCGACTGTTCGGCCGTGGGACAAGGAGAGCAAAACATTCAAGGTTCCCATCCATCTCATAAAGCGCTCCCGAGCAGTCCTCTTCAAGGATCTAGAACGTCTCACAACCCCCTCCTCTACCGCTGGCTGTGGGAGTAGTGGTAGATTTGTGCAGGCCATTCGGACACAACGTGGGGATATTATCTACAGTCGACATGGCCACGAGAGCAGCAATAATAATATTCCAGCCAACAACCAAAACTTTACCGAGAGCAGGACCGATAATTGCAGCAACAACAGCAATATCAACAAACACTACAACTCTATCATGGCCGATGCAGCAGACGCAACACGTTCTTCGCACCGACCCTCCGATTCATCCCTCCCTGCATCTGTTGCTTTGCCATACTCGTCTTCATTTTCAAATACAAACAATACAATGACGCCTACATCAACAACCTCACCGTCTTCCTCCTCCTCGTCTTCCTCCTCCTCGTCTTCCTCCTCCTCGTCTTCGTCGACGTCCATTTCCTACAAACCTCAGCTACAACAACCAACGTTTATCCCCATCCACGAAGACATGGAAGACTGTATCTGGTACCTTTACCCTTCCTCCTCTCCATCTCTCTCTTCTTCCTCCAGCAGGAGCAGCAGTGCCAACAACCATCCCTTCACGACAACTATGACAGCTACACCGATCACGAATGGCAAGGACGAGCATCGGTTGGTCAGACGTCCTGATACGGCGAATTGCTCTCAACCTTGCTCCTCGTCTTCCCCTTTTACTTCTGCTTCTGCGAGTTCTCCTTTTTCGGTCGTCGAGAATTCCAAAAAAGAGTTGTTCTCGCTGTTGGACACGAGCATGGCTAGCACTACTGCTGCTGTCGCTTCGCCTCTATTTCAAGGAGTTGACCAAGCTACTCTACTACAGTGCCGACGACGACAGGAGCAGGAGAAGTGGCAAGAAACCCACCGACAAGCACGAGGGGGAGGAGGAGGGTTGAGGATGAGTACCACAACAGCAATACAAGGATTTGACAATGAGAAAGGTTGCAGTCGAACTTTGTTCCAGGGAATGGGTCATGGCGGTCCTCCTGACGATGCCGATAAAGAAGGACATGCAGCAGCTGGGGTAGAAAAAGGAGGAGGACGAGGGGGAGAGGTGGATGAGAGTCAAACGCGCACAATACTAGGAGGAAGAATATCCGTGGGCCAATCATCACCCATGACGGGGTCACGGTCCGAGAGGGGATCGACCACCCAGACCACCTCCATTTCCTCTTCCATGAGCACTCGCACCTCCGACTGTCAGACCTTATTCGTTACCACCCCTAACATGAACGGGCAAGGACAGCAACGACTGGAACAGCAGGAAGAGGAGGAGGAGCAGTGGCAATTGTACGACAAGGAAGAGAGCAATGACACCCCTTCCCACTCTTTCTCGGATAATCATCGATTTGAGCGAAATACTTTTGCTCCTCGCCCATTCGACTCCTCTCTTTCTTTGTCTCATTCTTCTCTTCCTACTTCTTCCTTCGTTCCTTTTTCTTCTTCCTCTTCAATTGCTTCTTGCTCTTACACTCCAGCCTCAACACACCCACCACACCCACTACCAGCATCATCATCATCATCCACACAGCTCTCTCTCAAATTATCCCTCAGATCTGCACCCACCCTCCCCACTCCTACTCAAACAACAAACGCATTTAATCAAACCAACAGCACCGACACCGCCTTTACTTCAACAGTTTCAAGATCAGACACATCAAACTCCAAAATAACGACCATGACATCACCCACCATCGCCCACACTCACACCCACGCCCACAGCCAGGAAAGTTCACAACAACGACAACACCCACCAGCGGCGGTAGTAGCATGTACGACTGAGTGTTGGACGACCATGGTTCAGTTGCAGGAGCAACTGGAGCGGTTGGCAAGGTCTTTGGTCTCGGTCTTGGATAGTAGTTGTGAAAGATCGTCATTGCGCCTTGGTGGAGTCGAACAGCACGAGCATGAAGAGGAGGTGGTTGGTGGACGGGGAACCAGCGAGTTGCGGGCGATGGCGATGGCGGCGTTGGAGACTTGTGCCGGAACTTCATCCTCATCCTCTCCCTCGTTTTCTACGATCGCAACAACCACAATGGCGACATTGACGCCTAGATCCAGCCAGCACGACACGAAAGATACCACCGACCATGGTAACGATAGTATTAGTGGCGATAATACCAGCCACGGGCCTTCAACACCTGAGGTTACCTCGGTTTCAGCTCCAGTCATAGCTGCGACCATTTACCATCATCACCAGCAACAGCCCGCCACCTCTCGTGGCAGTCTCCATTCTGTCTCCTCTGCCTCTTCCTCCAAGACGTTCACATGCAGCAGTGGTGGCGGTAGTGGGAGTGGTATGGATACCAGCCTTTCGGCGTTGACTCTTCCCGAAACCATCGTTTCGAATCTGGAACAGCAAAAACAACGTCAACCCCAGGAACGGAACAACACCCGCGACGATGGCGACAATGACAGCAACGATCCGCAACCACTTCAGAACACTGTTTCACGCTTTTCCAGCTACCGTATGAGTTTCCCTCCTTCCCTGCCCAACTCTTCAACTCCTTCCTCTTCATCTACCGCAGCAAACCCCCTCAACAACACATCAACTTCCACACCAACAGCAACACCGCCAGCGACGAGGACCGTTAGTGCATCACAGACCATGCCACCATTCACAATCGCTACAGCCACACCTACAACAACGACGATGCAGCCGTCGAGTGGAAAGAGGTGCAGGAACCCTTTCTTGACCATTTTTGGAAGGACCTCCTCTTCAACAACCTCTTCGCCTTCGCCTTCATCCTTACCCCTACAAAGACCAATCTCCCTCGGTGGCGTCACTCAAGTCAATTCTCAGCACCCACCATCACCCAAGGCGCATAAGAGCAGCAGTGGTGGTAGTAGTAATGGATCGAAATCTGGCAGGAGGAAGGAGGGCAAGAAAAGCGGCGATGAGGGTACCGGTGGTGATGAGAAGAAGAAGCGGAGGTCATCATGGTTCAAGTCGGCGACAACAACAACAACAACAACAGCAGCAGCAGCTACGCCTACGCCTACGATTCAGCGCGGGCGTGCCAACACCATGCTCGGCGCCTTGCCCTCTTCTTCGTCTTCTAGATCACATCTTAACAACCATCGTGGATCACCTTCGTCGTCATCGTCGGCTAATACAGCTACGATTGCAGCTTCAGGGCCCGAGTCCTCGGCTTCAAGGATTACGGCAGCAGCTGCGTCAGGAGGCGCACTGACGGCAAAACGGTTCTCAACGCCATTTCAGTTCAATCTGCGAGGACCTGGGTCTCGCAGGTCAACGCTCCCAGCCGCGAACAGCACCAGTACCAGCACTAGCACCAGTCGAGCACCACCTCCACCATTGTCTTCTTCGCCTTCTTCTTCATCGCCATCTTGCCAGAACAACCCCTCGATCGCATCATTCCCTCGCTATCTGCATGCACAGCCAATCGGATCTCAAAGCCGCCCACAATACTACTACTACTCAGCACCAGCAGCAGCAGGAAACCCGCAACAACACGGCCCATCGACAAGGACTGCAACAGGCACCTTCTTCGACTCTGTCTCGGACGACGACTCGGATTCGGATTCGGATGAAGGGTCTCCTAGTCAGTACCAGCAGCGTCAACAGTATCAGCACCAGTTGCAACAGGCGCCTCCTCCACACTACTATCAACAACAACACGTTCAACCTCAACAGCAGCAGAGCGCCGCTGTTGTGTCGTCGAGGCAGCATGGGCAGGATCACCGGTACCAGTGTTATGATAGCGACGACGATAGCGATTCGTCTGAGAAGGAGGAGGAGGAGGAGGATAGTGAAGACGACTCGGTTGAGGACTGTGACGAAGAAGACTTGGATGTGGACAGTGACGAAGAAGACTTGGATGTGGATGATGAAGAGGAAACCAATTCCTTCTACCGCCATCACGACCAACAACAGGTCGTCAACCCAGACACACCGGAAGGGTACATGCACGAATTTGATGACGCGCCACCCCCACCGCCCTACCACTCCCTCATCCGTGCCGAGGCCGACACCGCACGCTCCGCCGCTTTGGCCACCCTCTCTGCAAGAGGACGACAATTCCAACAACAACACACGCATTCTCATGCTCATATTCATGCCCACGCTCATTCTTCCCCTACCACATACCCACACACCTCTGCAATGATGCCCTCCACCCCCCTCACTGAACTTTGCCCACCCAATTCTACTTCTTTTTCCTCCTCTTCGTCTTCCATCATCACTCCAACAGCATATGCATCTACACCACCAGCATCATCATCATCACAAGTCTCACCAACCATCCTAGAAAACCTCCTCACCCTCCTCCACACCTTCGAATCCCACCTCCTCACCCACTACAAAACCCCTTCCTTCCAAGCACAACAACCCACAGCAGCAACAATGTCACGTCGCCAGGCATGGTTAGATCGAAACCCGCAAACCATCGCATCCTTCGCCTATCTCATAATCGAGCTCGAACAGACAGGTATCCTCCCAACCGCCATGTCCCCCTCCTGGTCCTCCACTGCCTCTCCTTCATCTTCATCCTCAAGTCCCGGCAGCCCCTTGTCAACCTCAATGGCATTGGACATGTCGGAGCAGGAATGGTTGTCGATGACGGGTAATGCGGCGACAGAAGCCGATCTTGCAAAGGCGCTCTTGGCGCTTGAACAGAGCTGTCTCTTTGCGATGGATCCTGTTCTTTGGCACCGCGAGAGAGAGGTGACAAGGGACGCATGGATACGTCAGGTCCAGGCCATCATCACCTCTTCTTTGAATTAGATCCACCCCCCCCCCCCCCCCCCCCCCCCCCCTTCACCTTGGACCCTTATTTTCACGTTCTCATTTACAGATAACAAATAAATATTAAGCATCATTCATGACCCTCATGACCCCCCTCCTTATCAGATCAACCATCAAAACTCTCCATCCCCTTATCACGAACACGCATAGCAAGCATGAGCAGGTCGAGTTAATTATTTTTTTTCACCCCACTCTTTCTTCTAAATGCTTTTTGTTAGATATTCCATTTATTTTTTGTTCTAAACAAAAATGATGACATGTATGTTTGTTTGTATGTGAAGGTTGCTTGTTGGGGCTTTTTATGTTTTCTGCGGTAGGTGCTGGGTTGGGTTGAGGGTGATTCCTTGTGCATACTTATGCGCAGTCGAGCTGCCGTTGGTCTACACGGGCTGGTCTGGTCTGCAAGGTAGTTGTTGTACTATTCCAATTGTAGTCCATCCGATTTTCTTCCTCTCTCGCCCACCTCACACAAGGTTAGTTCCACGACCACTGAAATCAACAGGATCGTTGGAACACATATCCGGTCGACAGTGCTCGCTCGAGTTGGATGCCGTCTCGAGCTGGATGGTCGAATGATGGATTTGGAACTTTCCACAGACAACGTTTTGTGCCTCCGTCAAGATCCGGTCATAGTCCGCCATCGATAGGGCCTCATGGGTCAAGGGGCTGATAGGTGCCAACTGCAAATGAACCGCCATCGAAGCCTATTGCAAAAAAAAAAAAAAAAAAATGACCACAAGGAAGAAAAAACAAAAAGGGTCAGTGAGTGAGTAAATTGAGTGAGAGCGGCGAGCAGGTGGATCCTGCTAGAAACAGCTAGCGGGGTTTTTTTTCTCATGATACTTTTTTGAGTACCATAAATGGTGGCCACTAGGCGTAACCTTTTGCAACCTGAGCTCGAACAGTAAAAGAATGCTGCAGCCGTTGATGATGAAGGAGTTGCATTAGAAATATTGCACAATCATACCTTGCCAGCGGTCAAGTTCCAGACGTGCAAGTCGTGCACGAGGGTAACACCAGAGATCTTGAGAAGACTGGCCTCAATCTCTTCGGGGTCAATGTGCGTGGGGGTGCCCTCCATCAAAATGCCAAGACTGTCCCAAACAAGACGGTAGGTAGTGAACATGACCAATGCCGAGAAGAACACTGTGCAAATCGGGTCAACAATAGTCCACGAAGGCTTGATCATGATAATAATCGAGGCAATCAACACTCCCTATTTTTGAAAAACGAGAACTAGGTGAGAAAAAAATCATACAGGCAAAGAGGGACCGGAAGACGAACGGATCTCTCTTCGCGGGTCGCATCTCACTTTGGATACCATTGCCTGTTTGTCAGATCATCAAGAAAACAACAAGAAACTCCGCATGTTGGATATTGAAGTGAACCACATACCACCGACGAAATCAAGTCGCCAATAACATGAAGAGTCGCAGCCTTGACATTGATGTTGACCTCCTATTAATCATGCAAGAAAAAAGTAGTGAGGTGTAAGTAAGATCATCAAGAGACAGAAAGGCAGGGTCTTTTCAGATCATCTAAACCAGCAGTAGCAATACCTTCTTCTGCTTTCCACCATCGTGGTCATGGGAATGATCCTCGTTGTGGGCATGGGAAGAGCCGCTGCTGTGATCATGAGAATGGCTGTGGTCGTCGTTGTGCGAGTGGCCGTGGTCATGGCCTCCGTGGTCATGGCCGTGATCGTGTCCCAAAGCAAACGCCAGACTGGAACATAGTAAATATAAACGTTTGGACGTAAAAGTTAGTCATTTGCAAAAGGGCGGATCGACGCTAAGAAAGAAAGAAAGAAAAAAAGGCAACAAGCAAGAACTTACATAATGTTGATGAGGACACCGATACTGGCGACGATGCACATGGTCTTGCCGTCGATGGACTGTGGGTTCTGGATACGCTCGTAGGCCTCCATGAGGAGGAAGGCGGTCAGGATCCAAATAATAAAGACAGACATGAGCGCAGCCAGGACTTCTGCGCGGTGGTATCCAAATGAGTGGCGCTTGGTGGCAGGCTGCTCTGAGAGCCAGATAGCAATCAACGAGACCATGAAGCTGATCACGTCTATATGCATTGCGATATGCAAAATGAAACGTAATGAGGATCAAGTTAGAAACTCGGAACAGTACTGAGCTTGGCACCTCCTCAAGGAGGTAGGATCCATACCATTCTCTCGTCTTGCTGTCGTTGCTTTCTTTTTGCTCTCTCTCTCTCTCTCGTCCTTCTGTCATGTTTTTTCACTCTCCTCTTCAATTTCTCTCTTCTTTCTGTCTTCACTAGCCTGCATCTCTTGCATCTCATCTTTAGCCGCAAGGAAAGTATAAAAAAAAGACAGATCTACGCCGTTGAGAGGAAAGGAAATCTGCGATCCGTTACAGCCAAATAGCAACCAAGGGTCCACCTAACCAACACATACAGAGCTTGTATAGCTGGTCTGTCATGCTTACCAGACAACAGGTGGAAGGCATCACTCATGAGGGCGAGTGACTTCGCAAAGTAACCTCCAACCATCTCGACGGCAAAGAAGGCCAGGCAGAGTACGGTGACAAAGATCAGCTTGCGCTTGTTCTTTGTTGACTCGTTGGTGATCAGGACACCCTTGCAGGCAATTGGAGGAGGGGTTGAGCCGCGAAGGGGAGGCGAGTTGGCATCGTGAGGACCGTGGTGGAAGTGAGTGTCGACAGAGGTCGACGATCCAAGACCGCTACCGTAGCTCTGGCCAAGGGACGAAGCCTTCAAGGGAGTTTTGCTGTGGGGCATGGTATGGATGATGCTCTGACTGTCGACTGTGCTTTGAGGGGCGTGGACGTGTCCTGGTCCGTGGGCATGATGATCACCATTGGAGTGGTTGTGAGACGAGTGTTCGTGGGAGTGCTCTTGTTCTTCGGTGGCGGGCATGGTTGGGGATCGTTGAGGGTTGCGAGAGTGGACGTGCGCAGGTGGTTCCAGGTGGTTCTGAGCAGCAGTAAGGTCGTCTTCCTCCAGCTCCAGGTGTGTCTCGTTGTTGGTGTCTGCAGTGACACTGCTGCTACTACTGTTGCCGTTGCCGTTGCTGTTGCCGACGGGGACGGCGATGTGATTGACGGTTGAGGAGGGGATAGAGAGAGCAGAGGAAGGGGAGGGGGAAGAAGAGAGAAGAGGTTGAGGAAGGGTAGAGGAGGCGGGGGATGACTGTCCTGATGAGGTGTTTGAGCCGGCGATGTTTGCTTTGATGGATGCGATTGTCTTTGCCTTGCTCTGGCTCTTCTTCTTCGACTTGGGACCCATGAGGAGGAGGTGTGAAAGTTGCTTTGTATAAGTGTGAGGAGGTGAAGAAAGGTAACAAGAAGAGCGAACAAGAAGAAGAAAAAAGAAAACAAAGAGGGCGGGCGTTTTGACCTTTTGACTTTCTTACCTCTTCAGACTCAGTGGTGTGGTGAAAAAAAAAAAAGAAGTCTCTTGGCCAGTAAAACGGCACGTGCGCCTATAAATAGGCGGCTAACCTCCTTCGCACGTGATCATGTACAAATTGATCTGTCGGTTCATAAAAATAAATAGTTCAATGTGTAACATCGGGCTTCTGTGGCGCAATTGGTTAGCGCGTCTGACTGTTAATCAGGAGGTTGGTGGTTCAAGCCCACCCAGGAGCGTTTCTTTTTTTGTTTTTGCGTTGCAGACCGTTTAGCGGGGGGGTTTTTTTTTCCCTCTCATCAACTGGCATCAACAGCCCATCTTGAGAACGTCTAGGAAGATGGTTAGGCTGTTTTTCTTTTGCGCAAAATGACACAGGAAGACTACAAGAGAAGTGTCAGATAAAAGGAGTCGCGATAACTCAAGATCGTCCATTGACCTGCGGGAGTCCAAGCAGAGCAATAGTCGGAGATATTCATCAATTGCAACAGGAACAACAGGAACCAAAACGTTAGACAGCCGATGTGGACTAAGATGACGACGCGCACCTGCGTCCTTTTGTTCAAGAGCGCCAACAGGAACTTCAAAGATGAGGTGGGGTTCAAAGTGACGTCTTTAGTATGGGTCCCATGTGCGATTCTTGCAATTATTTTTATCTCTTCTTTTCCCTTCTTTCCCTTCTCCCTTCTTTCTTCCTTTCTTTCTTTTTTTCCTCTCTCATCTTTTCATCCCATTGACCATCAACCCAACTCATCACACAACAACGCAACTACTTCCATCATGAGTAAGGACACCATCAACGATACCGAAACCGCGCCCACAGTCCCTGAGGGTCAGAAGGACTCTCTCAGCTCGTTCGTCGCCACTCTCGCCAGCTTCTCAGGAGACCTCTCTTCCCTCACTTGCCCCAGCTTCTTACTTAGCTCCGTCAGCTTGCTCGAGTACAGGTGCGTCTCTCTCTTTCTCTTTCTCTTATCTCCATCACCCCAATCAACGCGAATGGGCACACTCGCTTGCTTGCTCGCACTTCAAATTGATGGCTATAGCGGCCGTTACAAACGGGCGGCCGTCTTTGGAATCCTTTGTCAACCGCTTCTCTAGAGAAAAACGAGCAACATGACCGACTGCTAATTGGACAAATATGATTATTACTCTCCTTTCTTTACCCCAACATCTCTAGTCAGTACTGGGGTGACCATCCCAAACTGTTTGCTTCCATCTCCAAGGGCGAGACCCCAGAGGAGCGTCTGTTGAACGCTACTCGGTGGTTCATCTCGACTTTGTACGGATCGTACTCTTCCAGATCTACCACTGCTGGCATGGAGAAAAAGCCTTACAACCCAGTCCTTGGCGAGCAGTACTTTGCCCAATGGACTGGCGACGAAGAGACTGGGGACACAATCTTGAAGGCCGAGCAAGTCAGCCATCACCCTCCTGTAAGTGTTGTCTGATTGTCACCTCTCTGTCACCCCACTGTTTTTGAGGACAACAAAAAAGGCTTTGTAAAAAAAAGAGAAAAAGAAAAAAAGAGCATGAACGGACATGGGTGTTTCTCTCCCTCTTGTTTGATCTGGTTCAAGCTCGTGCGATTGGGTTGGATCTGACCTTATTCTACTTTCACTTTTTTTCCCTCCACGGCGGCACGGTGTGATTATCCTCGCGCGCATGTGTGTTATGTGTGACCCACCACAATATCAATATCGATATCGATAAACTTAACTACCAAACATAGATCATGGGCTTCCACCTCGAGAACAAGAAGGCTGGCGTTATTCTGGAAGGTCACTGCGGTCAAAAGTCTCGATTCGCCATGCCTGCAGGAATTGATGTCTCCCAGACCGGCCACGCCATCCTCAACTTGCCCCAGTTCAAGGAGCATTACCTGATTACCCTGCCCAACCTCAACATTCGCGGCATGGTCACCGGCCGTCCTTCGGTCGAGCTGTCTGGAACGACCTATATTGTCAGCAGCGCAGGACATATGACAACCATCGAGTACAGCACCAAGGGATACTTTTCAGGAGAACGTCACAGCTTCAAGGCCACGTTGAAGCCCATCGAGGGAGGATCGGTCTCCTATACTGCCCAGGGTGTCTGGAGTGGAGTGTCAAATTACACCGACAACAAGACCAACGAGACCAGCCTGTTCTTTGACTCGGATACGGACCCGAGAGTCGCACCCGAACTGAAGCCCCAGGCGGAGATGGGTGATTTGGAGTCTCACAAGCTGTGGTCGCAGGTGACGAATGCGATCAACAACAAGGACTACTCGACAGCGTCGCGGGTGAAGGCACAGATCGAGGAGGCGCAGCGTGCTCTTGCCAAGGCTCGCAAAGAGAAGGGCGAGACGCAAGCGGATGCCTTGAAGGTGTTTGAGCTGGTGTCGGAAGACGATGACGAGACGGGCAAGGCATTCCAGGAGCTGAAGGGCAAGCTTGTGGCGGCTGTGGGGGCCAAGGCTCTGAAGGAGGACGACACGAAACCCCACTGGAGGCTGCGTCAGTAAATGCGATGAGTAGAGTAGGACAGAGAGAGTATGTATTATGTAAACGCAAAGGGGCCAATGGTTCCATTTTGCTGCTGCTGCTCTGCTCTGCTGCTGCTTGTCATTCCCTCGTCACCACCCACCACCATTCCTTCCTTCTAGACTCATTATCGGCATGTCATAACATAAAATGCGCCCGAGCTAATTTTTTTCGACTTGCATGCAAATTGTCATTGCCATCCAGTGACGTTATTGTCTTGTTCTAATACATGGGGGGTCAATAATTTTTCTTCCCTTCTGGCTCCTTTGTTCTTGTTTTCGTCTCTTCTCTTTTCTTTTCCTCCTTCATACCCTTCTCTTCCCATCCTTTACCCATTGCACACAACAGTACACCCTATCCCAAACCTGAGAGAGGATGCCAAGCGTAACCCTCCACAACCCCGAGGACAAGGCCGCCATCAAGCGCGCCTTGCCTACCACCACCCAGGTTCGCATCCTCTCTTCTCACTCTTCTTTACACCTCACTCTCACTCGCACAAACTCCATTCCATTAACCCAACACCCACCCCATTCCACTCCTGACAACTCCTCTCTCCCCCTACCCAACGGTCAGCACAGTGCAGACAACCAACCGACGTTCTTATCCTAACCGCCACCCCGTTGCCATTTTTTCTTTCTTTCTGGGGCCCATAGAAAATTATCACTGCGACAGTGGCTCGACTCTATGTTGCCTACCCTGACCCCAACTCGTGGACCTACTCGGGCATCATGGGAGGTCTTGCCTTTGTTCAGACAAAGTCGACCTTCTTCTTCCGCATCGTGGACCTCATGGTAACCAAGAAACCAGTCTGGGCTAAACAGCCGCAACTGCCATACCGATATAACGACCGAAACTACACAAAATATACTAACAAGGACTTCATTAACCTCATTCATCAATTGATAGGGTTCTCGAGGAGTCATTTGGGAACAGGAGCTGTACGAGAACTTTGAGTATAACCAGGAGCGCTCTTTCTTCCACACCTTTGCGATCGATGTAAGCATCTCAGCCAGGCCAGTTGCATTTTTTTTCTCTTGGCACAGTTTTTTGACTGGATAGCATTAATGATTCCAGAGTGGAAGGACTACAGCCCAACACAACAACAATTCAGGCGCACTGCGGAGGCATGGAAATTGACTCTGTCGACTCTTCTTTTATCAATACTAGAACTGCCTGGCCGCCTTTTCGTTCGCGGATGACCAGGAGGCAAGCGTCTTCTACAAAAAGGTCTCCAACCGTGAGACTCTCAAGAAATGTAATTGCGCTCACTCTTTCACTCACTCACTTACTGTCGTCCTTTTGGAGATATGGAAAAATGTCACCGAACCTTATTGAAAAAGTGAATTATCGACAAACAGCGACAGTGCTCAACTTTTACTAATGCCTTACTGTTTTGCTCAAAAACAAATCCTGAATCCGCACACGTATTAATAGCCAAGTCGTCGCCCAATGGATCGCCCAGCGCTACTCCAAAGTCGAGAAAGAGTGGCTTCTTTGGCAGCAAGAAGGAGAAGAAGGGCTCCAAGGGCAAGCTGGACAAGACCCTGATTGGCCTTCCCTCGAACTTTAGGCATCTTGGCCATATCGGATGGGACCCCAACAAGGGCTTCAACGTACGTGTTGCAATATGTTTTTCCATTGACAAATCGTGTCATCTGCGAATGCATTTATTAACCAGAGCATTACTCTTCTCGAATAGGTCCAGAACATTGATCCGGAATGGAAGAATCTCTTTGAGCAGCTGGATAAGATGGGCGTCAGTCAGGAGGATATCCAGAACAACGCCGAGTTTGTGTCGCAGTTTGTGCAGTCGCGTGGAGGACCCGGTGCTACCAAGCCGGCACCTGCTGCACCTGCCAGTCGTCGTGTGGCTCCTGCATCCGGAGGTCATCAACAAAGTCCATCTGGTGGGGCTGTCCCATCTGCCGCAGTCATGCCCATCATGAAGCCGACAGTCAAGCCTCCTCCTCCACCTCCCCCAGCTTCTCGTCGCGCTCCTCCACCTCCACCTCCATCGCGTCTGTCGCGTGTCGCCCCTGCGCCACCTTCGCCAGCTCCACCAGCTCTGCCAAGCAGAGAGCCGGTTCATGCGCCCGCACCTCCTTCGCCTGAACCTCCTCGTGCTTATGCGCCACCAACTCCTGCACGCGACACTGCTCCTCCACCCCCCCCTCGCCCTTCGTATGCGCCTCCCACCTCTCACCAGGCGCCTCCTCCCCCGCCTCCCCCTATTCGTGGAGCCTATGTTCCTGCCGTGGCAACGCCCCCTCCACCCCCTCCCCCATTCCATTCGTCTGGATCAGGAGCTCCTCCTCCACCACCTCCTCCTCCTATGGGTGGATTCAACCATGGCGGCCCTCCTCCCCCTCCTCCCCCTCCTCCCATGGTAGGTTCCGGTGGCCCTCCTCCCCCACCTCCACCACCACCAATGGGAGGCGCAGGTGGCCCTCCCCCTCCCCCTCCCCCTCCACCCATGGGGGGCGGCGGACCACCCCCTCCACCTCCACCACCAGGCATGGGCGGTAGTATTGCGCCTGCCGGTGCTCCTCCCGCTCGTGCCAACCTCTTGGAGAGTATTCGTGGTGCTGGAGGTATTGGAGGGTTGCGCAAGACTAATAGTGCCGACGGCTCAGCCTCGCGTAGCCCTATCCCTCCCCCTCCTCCTGCAGAGGAAGAAGGCAGTAGTGGCGATTTGGCCTCTGCCTTGGCGGCTGCTCTGCAGATGCGCAAGTCTCGTGTTGCTGGAAGTGATGATGAGGACGAGACTGACGATGAGAACTGGGACGATTAAAAATCGGAGGATGTTGAGAGGTGTTGGCTGATGATGGTTGGTACGAGTTTTTGTCACCTCCTCTTCTCTCCTCTCCTCTCTGCCCCTCTTTCTCGCTGCAGTGAGAAACGTATTTTTAAAAAAAAAAAAAAAAAAAAACAGGATAATGTTTTTTTGTTCGAAAAAGTAAATAATAAAAATCGTTGTTAAAAATGAAGAGCTTTAATAAAAAAAGTAGAAAAGGTTATGAATCGCGCGGATCGGTGGGAGAATCGGGTCTGGGTGGCTCGTTCTCGAGAATCGTCGGAGCTCCCACGCTATCACCGCCGGCATTAAGGTACTTCCCCTTGCCACCAAGCCCTCGCAGCTGGTAAGAGTGTGCATGTCCATAGGGATGTGGCTGGAACGAAGCAAAGTAAAGAGTGCTGCTGGTAGAACTCTTCTTGCGGTGGTGATATGCCTTTGGTCTCCCTGTAGTAGTAGCGGTAGTAGAAAAGTCGTGTCCAGTCGTAGAACCGGTCCCAGCAGACTCGTCGTCATCGGCGTCTGCGTAGAGGTCGATGACATTGATCCCCTTTGAAACTAGATGGAAGTAGGCCCCTTTCAGCGGGTGGTGGTGTGGGTAACGAGTGTCGTCACTCCTGCGACTGCTGCGCCCACTAGATGCGCGTGAGATATGCCCATGTCCATAAGGCGAGTTGGAGTACTGGATCACCGAAGGACGACGCCCACTAATACGTCCTCGACTTGTCGATCGTTTACTCGTACCGGGCTGCACGGACGTGGTAGTGGTAGTAGTTCGGTGGTGGGAGGGGACGGAGGGTGGAGTCGAGGCCATGAGAACATGGTGGACAATATTCTCCAGCATTGCGCGGTTGTCCGAGGGGATCATCATTGTCTGGTGAACGGATTCGTAACCTGTCGAGGGTTCGTCGAATACAAGTTCTTCGAGGGATATGGCCCCCATGGTTTCCATGTCGTAGTTGTCCTCGTCCAGGTCGTCAAGGTTGGAGCCAAGTTCGCAGTCGTAGTTAAAGTCGAAATCAATCTCGGTAGCTGCTGCAGCAGCAGGGGAGATCCCCTTGTTAGAGTGGGTCAGCAGAAAGGCGGGGCTGGAGGAGGAGGAGGAAGAGGAGGAGGAGGGTGGGGCGCAGATGGAGACCGAGGTTGGGTATGATCCTTGGTTCTGGAGTATGCGCGGCCCGATTGAAGTGTGGGTGTGTTGAGAGTTGGTAGCAGTAGAAGGGGGGATATATGGGAGAGTCGAAGAAGCTGTCTGTACAGGATCACGGCTCTTTCCAACAGCAGTCAACGACACCTTCTGACTATCCCTCGGGCTCGTGGTTTCCACTCCCGAACCCATCGTCTGAGACCGCGAAAAAGCAGGCGAAGCACACCTCGACGAGGTCGCATAACCAATATTACAACTCTGTCCCTTAACTCTCGTCGCCGGGAAGACCTGATCTGGAATCGTCGGCAACGGCCCCTGGGTATACGCCAGCAGTTCCGGGCTCGACAAGTTACGAAGGGTCGACTTGGAGACTTTGGGTGTCAGTGAAGCGGCAGGGAGAGGGTAGGAGACAAGGGTTGTGGCGGTTGAAGTCAGAGTACTGGAGGTGGATGGGATGGCTGTGAAGGCACCGTCAGCCTTGATGGGTGCTGAGGATAGCCAGGTGGTGGTTGTGGTCGTGGTGGGAGAGTCAGTGGACCGGCCTCCTTCGGGGTGGGCTGCTTGGTCGGGTTTGGAGATGGTTGGTAATTCGATCGTTATGCGGCCAGACTTTCCCTCGGTGCTGGAAAGAGAGAAACGAACAAGAGGTTAAGTATGAGTCATGTTCACACAAAAACAAAGCGCGTAACATGAGCAACAATAACAGTTGGGAATGAAGAAAAAAAACATACGGAGAAAGCTGACAACCGTGAAGCGACCCTGACCGTAGAACGAACTCCTCCTCCAGATCCTCATTCAAATCCGTCACGCGGCACTCGCTTCCGATAGAAATTATCATCGACGGTTCAACAATCCCGACCCTCGACCCGGGGTACCTCTCCAACCTCGTCATCTCGCTGTCCCCAGGTCCGACACTCGTCCGACTTGTTGACGTCGTCGCTGTTGAGGTTATTTGGGCCAAGTATCGGATTGGAATGAAAGGGCGTTGTTGATGTTGTTGGTGGTGCTTGCCCTTGCTGACGCTTTTGAGCGGCTTGGGGTAGTTAGGGAAAGAGGCACTATTGGCGTGTGCAGACTCATCATCGTCCTCTGAGGAAGTGTCTCGAAAGCAACAAAAGAGATACCTCCAAAAAGTCTTCAAGTACGTGACAACGACGAGGAGTATGGCGAGAATGACAAGAGTCACATCTGGATCGTGTTCTGCAGTCCTGAAAAGATGTTGAGGCTCGGGGCTGGTTCCATTCGCGGTGAATTGTTTGTAGGCTGACATTGTTAGACCGAGATAGATGATGAGGCCGAGGGTGAGGATAGTGTTCAGGCCAACACAGAAGAGGAGGATGTTCTTGACGATCTCGGTTGACTTGTATAGGCGAAGGACGGCGGGTGAAGGGGTTAGGCTCTTCATCTTGAAGCTCAGAGCGCCATTCTGTTTCTTGAACTGGAAGATCGAAAGAACTACACGCGAGAAGGTGGAAAGGGAGAAATGTGTTTAGAGGTTTGTCTTTCATAAACGTTATAGCTGCAATGATTTACGAGCGGCTGCACTTACTCGCAAAAAGCAATCCAAAGACAGCAATGACTGTGTTCAGGGTTAGAAGCACAACCATGCGAATCCAATCAGCTTGGCCACGGTTGCTCGTGACACGACATCCGCCGCGGTAAGGATAGACATCATAGGTACGATCCCGGGCAGGGAAAATATACAACGGGATAAAGGCAAGCGCGGGGATGACAATGCAGAAAAAAATGTCGCCAAGAAGCCGCTGGTGCACGGCCATCATGACTTTGGTCTTGTGGCTCCAAGAGTCTCTGTGGTACCGAATCCGCTGCTTGGTGATGTCGTAGCCATAGCTCTCCTCGTAGGTGTCGTTCAGGTCAAGACGCGTGACTCGCAACTTGGCCGCAAGAGTAGGATGCTCCGAGACAATGGACCCCGAGGTAGGACGAGACGGCGATGAGCCGACGTCTGGAAGAGGAGACTGCACACGGATCTCGGTCAACTCGTGGGAAGGTTCGGCGGCTACCTGGTTCTGGTACTGATTCGCCAACGGATCGTCATCCATGTGTTTTGGCCACTTTGGCCACGCTTCAAAGACATCCTCGACATTTTTTGCCTTCATCTTTCTTTGAATCTCCTCTTCCATCACCGCGCGGTTCTGGTCCGAGATCGGCGCCTTGCTGTCATTTCCAGACAAACAAGACCCACAACAAACGGTCCGAATACAAGTCTTGATAACCAACCATATGATCGCAACGGGGACCACAATAAACACCGGCATCATACCCCAAACATCCGCAAAACTCTTGATCGACCGTCGTGTGAAACTGTATCCTGCAGCCATGTCTACCTCGACCCCACCTCCTCCTCCTCCGCCACCATAGCCACGAGACCCCATCCTAACAGCGACCGGGTCATGTTCTGCAACGGCTTCCATTAGGCGCGGACTGACGACTCCAAGTTTCCGCCGAAGACTACTATATAGGTAGCAAGTCCATCGTAACAGCGACATGCCGACTCCGAGCCAGAGGACTTCTTCGAAATGCGCAAACAGGACACAGATATGAAGTCGTGTGAAATTATTTGGTGTGGTGCTGATGCTGGATATGGCAGTGAGTCCTGAGAGAGTTGTGTGGGTTGGGTCGATTAGGTAGGTAGGCAACGAGGGGTAAAAAGATGAGGGTCCTAGGAGGAATTGGCTTAGAAAAGTCAGGAGGGCGACTAGTAGCAGCCAGATGAACATGAAGGAGAGGGAGTAGTGTTGACGGCCTTCCTTAGCTTGGCGAATCCAGATAGAGATGATGAGGAGGCAGGTGAGGGCACCAAAGATGGCCAAGATGACCTCGACCGTTGATAAGGTAACCATCGTGGTAGTGGAAGGCGTTTACAAGAAATTAGAAATGAGAAATAAACACCCTTCGTTTATGAAGAAGAAGGAGGTTGTAACAAAATAGGGTATAAAGGATGGGAATGGTACTAAAGGCGTAGAAAGGAGCAAAATAAAACAGACGTTGACGAAGGGCACGGAGGCTAAGGTTAATTGCTGCCCAGGGGATGAGACCGTAGCAGTTATATTTGGAAGGGGCCAGGGAGGGAGGGGCGAAGCAAATGTGAGAGCAGCGAACGACTGGTGGAGAAGAAATTTATGGAGGAAAAAAGGCGAAGTGAAATGAAAGTGTCAAGAGGGAATTCAATTGCAAGCGAGAAGAGAGGGCGTGAGTGGAGTGAAGATATGAACAAGGAGGTATGTGAAGTCTTGACAAGAGGGTACAGGTGTTGTCAAGAAAGTGGAAGATGATGGAAGAAAGCGATTGAAGTGGACAGAAGGAAAATAATGAGTGAGGATAGATTATGGTGGAAGGGAGAGAGAAAGGGCGGGGACGAATGTCGAAGGAAGCGAAAGGAGAAAGAGAGAGAGAGGAAAGAGAAGAAAGAGAAGAAAGAGAAGAAAGAGAAGAAAGAGAAGAGTGAGATGAAAAAAGAGCGCGAAATGAGGGGGGGGGGACGGGAGAATGGAAAAGTGTTCGCCGTTGGGAAGGCATGGACGAGAGACATGCATGAGCTGTGAACCTGCTTCCTTCAATGGCTATTGTTATAGATGTTGCTCTTCTTTACTTGAACAGCATCACAACGACGTGCTAGTGCGCGCTCAGGCATTCGTTCTCCTTTATTTTCTCGCTCTCCCTTTAGACAAGTTCAACCTTATCTTGCCCTTTTCTATGTTTTGCCTTTCAGCGCCCTCTCTTCCGTAACAATGGCATTGTGTTGTCTTGGTCAGAGAGATGAGAGCGAGGCGGCAGAGAGCAAAAGAGAAAATGTGGGTGTTGAGGAAAGGGGGAGGTCCAAGCATGCAGATCGGAACAATAGGCCGTTTGTATCACACGCGTTAAAATTTCAAATGGATGGTCCCCTCTTCTCCCTCCATCTTTTGTTGTTTTTTTTTGCCTTAGCAGCAAAGACAGACACAGATGATAGACAGAGACAAAAGCAGCAACCAAACAAAAAATGGAGACGGTCTCATCCTATGTGCTCTTTGTGCTTGTCGTCAACGATGTCGGTGTCGTTGATGTTGTTTTATCTACTTTTGGCCATTCTTTCACGAATATATTCCGGGCTAGACCTCGGTTGAAGACGCATAGAAACCACGCGAAATCGAAATTTTTACGTCACGGTATCGTAGCTGAATGCGCGTGCTGAGCCCTCCCTTCTCTGTCTGCCACCAACTCGACCAAGTGAACCAACCAACCAACCAGCGGCAACCAAACGTAAGAAAGAGCCGATCGCACTTTCAAACACGCCAAAGAAGGCCGCCCAAACTCCACTTTCTTACTTTCCCATCACTCCTCCACCAACACATCATCATGTCAAAGACATCCAGTCTCAACCTCCTCCGCAAGACCAAAGCCAAGGAATCATTCTTCCTCGAAGAAGAATCGGACCACGAGGATGACCAGATTCATGAAGAGGACGAGTTCGACCTCGACAACATGGATTTCCCCTTACCTACCGATGACGCTCCTTCATCATCTTCAGGACAGTACAACAGTCATGGCATCTCCAGTTCAGCACCCCTGACACCTGAACAGTTGGCTCAGATTCAGAGTTTGATGGATACGGGTGCGGTGGGAGGCAAGGGGAACGTGGGGGAGAATGGCGTTCGTTATGTCTCGATGGAGGAGGCTGATCAGTTCAAAAAGTAACGTTCACACCACACGTTGTCAGTTGACTGGACATTTCTCTTAGGAAACATGTTGAGCACTGGATCGGTTACTAACCTCCAAAACGTGCCAACCTTCATTTCTCTCGGAAACGCCTAAAATAGCTGGATGTGCTTATACCCCTGCTACATTGACGGAACAAAGACAGTGGCAGAGGGTCGCAGGATTCCAAAGGAAAAGGCCTGTGCCAAGCAACCCTGGGCCAAGGATATTGTCGAGGCATTGAAGGAACTCATGCTTTCTCAGGCATTCGAGGTACACCTCTATTTTTTTTCCAACCTTGGAACTACTTTTACGATAAAGTGTGTCGCGCTCAGAGCTGCCCCGTTACTAACTTTACTATCTTTGCTTTTGTTGAAATTGACAAATAGCCTGGCAAGACACATCCTAGGGATTGGGCTAACCGTGGACGCGTCAGAGTATTGTTCAAGGAAAACGGCCGCTTCTGCCACCCCACCATCCATACCAGTAAGTCTTCATCGTCCTCATCAGTTTACATATCCTACATTTTTCATCCTTGGACACAAATATGACAGCCAACTCACTAACATCTTTCTCTCCCACTAGAACACGAGCTCTTGATCAGGATTGCGGCGTCCATTAATAAGATCCACGCCAGGGAAGAGACTTCAAGCACCAAGCGACCCGAATACTCGCCCCTCTCGCCTTTGACGCCTCTCTCGATCGTCATGCCCGGTATGGCCAATGTAGACCCCCTTGCTGGATTCTTGGGAGGCAACGACGACTCTTCATCATCATCAGCACAGCCACAGATTGGAGATTCTTCGTCGAGTGGAGCTGCTCAGCCAACACCGGAATCAAAACGCCAAAAGAAGTTGGCCAAGAAGCCAAAGAGGGTCATGATCCGTGGATAAAATGCGAGACGCGTAAATGCTGTATTAAGAGAGAAGGATGCATGCAGGTGTACTGTAATAGGCAAAATAAAAAAAGATAATGCAACTAAGAAAAGATTAAGCACGGTCTTCATCGCTATCATCTTCATCATCGTCGTCTCTTGGGAGGACAATACCGAGTCTTGAAAGGAGGTTACCACCGGGTCCGGGAAGTCCACCCTGGCTCTTGAAACTCTCCAGCAGGTTCTTGGCCAAATTCAAATCCAGATCCACCATCTCCTGGTCCATTTCCTCCACCTCGTCGTCATCAAGTTCATCCAGTTCGTCACCCTCCTCGCCATCTGCGGATATCGTAGCCACGCGAGGTTTTCTGACATCTTCTTCCTCTTCATCATCCTCGTCATCTGCGAAGGACATACCCGCAGGGTCGTATCCAAACGACGGGCCCGAAGGCATACCCAATGGCCCATGTCTGCTGAACCCTCTACGAGACCGATCCGTAGCCTCCTTCATCAACTCCTCCAGGTTCTTCTCAGGCTTCTTCTTCGTCTTCTGTACTGGCGCCGCCATCTTCCGAGGAACACCCTTGCCTTTATCCTCGTTGCTGCTGCTGGTGGTTGTCTTCTCGAAGGATTCTCCCACCTTTGTGGCCGATAGTTCTGCATCGAGCGCAGACATGTACTCCTTCAACTTCTCAACATCCATGTCGTCTTCCTCTTCATCGTCCTCACTCATCTCGACATCGCCTGAGCTCTCCTTTGCGGCTCGAGAAGATGGAGAAGGTACACCGAACGTCTGAACAAGGATATCCTTGAACTTACCATGGTCCATCGCAAACGCCTTTGATTCCTCCGTTGACTTTGGCGCCTCGGATATCGCTGGTGAGACCCCATTCTCAAAGCTCATCATATCGGCGTCAAACAAGAACACACCTCCGCCAGACTTGTTGCCCCTCTTGGCCTTGGCCGCTCGCTTCGCAGCCTGCTTTTCCTCATAGTCGCTCGCAAACATATCATCGTCGGAATCATCACCTGTCTCCTCCTCTCCTGCCTCGTCAACTTCGGCTTTGACACTCATATCCTGCTCTTCATCGGTATCATCGGTATCCTCGTCATCCTCGTCATCCTCACTCATCTCATCCAAGAACTCAGCTCCCTCAACACCTCCCTCCCCATCCTCAACGAACGCCCCAAACCGATCAAGCATCTGCTGCATATTAAGTCCAGACTTCTCTCCCTCCTCCTCCGTCTCCATAGAACCAGAGCTTGCGCCTCCATTACCGCCACCAAACCCACGAGCACGCATCATATCCTCCAAATCCTGCAGATCCACATCCATCCACGAATCATCATCCGACTTCCTTTCATCCACCAACTCTTTCGCATCCACCGGTTCTGCAGATTCGACATCCAGGATACGTTCAATTTCCTGAACAGGGTGATAACCATGTCCATGAAAAGACGCCGAAATCCCCTCCTCTCCCTGACCCTCATCGGCACTCAGCCGATCCAACTTGTATTCCAAGAATTGTCGCTTGGCCGCCTCCTCGAGTTGCTGGTACCGTGCAGACCCTACCCGCTCGTCTCCGAAATAACTCCGTAGGGTCAGGTTGCTCTTGAACACCCTCCAGGAGTCATCTGTCGCAAATGGGAAACTGTCGATTTGGATCTCGTCTTTGCTCCTGAACCCAAAGTCTCCTGGGTATTCCTTGCTACACAGAATTTCAAACCCGCACGTCTGTTACAACCCAAAAAAAAAAAAAAAAAAAAAAAAAAGAATAATAAAGCGTAAAGGTTAGAAACGGAAAAATTATAACATAATTTTGACCTACAGTTTTCGTCTGACAAGTAGAATACGTACCAGTTTCATGCCGAGTTCTGCTTCTTTGACTTTCTGAGGATCCTGAGCATCCTCAACCTTGGGCGGCGGTACAATCCCATCCCAGATTTTTGGTGACTGAAATTGCTGTCCCATCAACTGCGCATAACAAGTCTTTGTGAAACAAACCGCCGTCGTAACAAACGGCGTCTCGTTCTTCCCCAGTGTCTGTGCCCCATTCAAACTTGTCGATGTCGATAGTGTAGAACCAGCAGGAGCAGGAGGGAAGAACTTTGTCATTCGACTACACACGGCCATGGCGACAGCATCCCTGGTATAAAAGGCCTCTGCCGCACGAGTCACCAACTCGGGTCGAGTCTTCAAGATCCTAGCGACCTGCACTGGGATTTGACAGCGGGCATAATGGCGTTGTTCCTGGATTTTCCGCAGTGCAAAGGGTTGTTCCTGAGAGTCTGGCAAGAGGGGTCCGAATGCTGCCTGCTGGATCTTTATACTCGCCAATGTTGATATTTGTGGAGATCCTGTAGCAGTAGTAGTAGCGGAGCGGATGAATTCCAGGGCGTCCTGTAGTTTTGGTGCTCGAGACTTGCTTCCGAGTGTTGTTGGGAAAAATTTCTTTTCGTCCGCCGTTGTGGCAATGGGTATGATGTGAAGGTTTCCTTGATAGATGAACACCTATTTGTCATTTCAGAAGTCATTATTAATGCTTACTAACTGAGGGGCGCAAAAAAGTAGGATGTAAATATTACAATAGGGTCACATACCCTGTTATCGCTGTTTTCGGGGTCAAGCCAGGCGGGGATTTGGTCTGCAGCCTCGATCAACAGAAACTCTCCATCGTTATCCTGCACCCTATTATGGCCGAATAAGTTGGTGACACGGTTAGTCTTATTTGTTCTTGGCATATTTTTTCTTTAACCGTTGTATGTTGGACGAGTGTGATCATTCATTCCTTACCTGGCAATAGATCCAGGGATCCGTTTCGTGATCTCCCTGAGCAAGTGCACAACGATCCACTCATCGTCAATCGAGTCGCCGAACCGCGTTAGGCCTCTTAGATAAGGCTGACCCGTCGAACCTAGAACCGATAGTATGAAAGCATTTACGTCTATTAATTCTACGCTCGTTTCGAAAAATACATGGGCCAAGAAATGAATTAGCATCAGTTCGATGCGCTACCTTTCCCTTGGTCTGAAGCAATGGTGAGTGAGAATGCATCCTTGTGCCAGATATAGTCCTTGGACAGCTCTGCAACAATAGAGTTCACCAGCGTCCTGGCGACCTGGACTGACTCCAGCGCAGTTGCATGCTGTTGTTGGTCCTGAATCTGACTATTGGGATCTGTTGTCTTTGTTGTTGTTGTTGTTGTTGTTGTTGTTGTTGTGGATGTTGATGTCGAAAGGGAGGAGGGGAGGTAGATGGCGTAAGAGACAGTGTCTTCGGCGAGTGCCCGTCGTTGCTCCTGGATCGATTCGCGAGGAGGGAATGAGCTGTCCATGGTTTCTTGTAACAAACAAAGAAAGGGAATGAAAGAAAAAAGAATCTCTCTATTTATGCCGTTGTTGTGACGACTGATAATCCAACGGCTGCAAATTGGCCCGTGCACTGAGTTTCTCTTTTCATCAAAGTGTCTAGAAATGCAGTTTTAGTTTATTTGTTTGCTCGTTGTGCTTTACAACGAAGCATCCGAGCCCTCATCGTCAGCAGAGCTCTTCCTCTTCTTCCCATGCTCTACAGCTATCGTTGTTGCCGCTGCCGTTACAGATGATGGTGCAGCCTCCACAGCCTCCACAACATCCACAACCTCCACAGCCTTCTGCTTCAGCTTCTTGGCCTTGGCTGACCCGCCTCCAAACTTAATGTGCAGCTTATCATACTTCATCCTGTCCTGAGGAGACACACTGGGCGACACCTTGGTGAATGCAGTATCGAAATCGCTCCAAGCGACCAAAATTGGCGTCGACAGCAAGTCGCTCGACGGTCCATCCATATCAATCAACGATGCCTGCCCACGGTTATCATCCAACTTCTCGCCTGCCTTGCCCATATCGTTCAACGTCTTCAGTGTCGTCCGGAGTGCAGACATACCAGCCTCACGAACCAATGACGCCAAATCGGCACCGGAAAAGTTCTCACAGCGCTCATCCGATGCGACCATGTCCAGTTTCACATCTGGTCCCAGAGGTGTCTTCTTGGCGAGTGTCTGCAAAATATCAAGACGTTCCTCCATGGTTGGCAACTGGACGTACAACAACTTGTCCAAACGGCCGGGACGGAGCATAGCAGAATCGATGATATCGGGACGGTTCGTGGCGGCGATCACATACACAGCAGACCGGTTCTCCATTCCGTCCAACTCTGTCAGCAGCGTGTTGACAACACGAGCCGAAGCTTCAGACTAAGTTCAACGAACACAACAAGTAGCCAAAACACGTCAGTAAATATATCCCCTTTACATTGCAGACATGGTTTCTTGACACATCACAAAGAAAATTACCTGAGAGTCATCACGCTTGGCACAGAGGGCATCCAACTCATCGAAAAAGATGACACATGGGGCCGAGGCACGGGCACGGGCAAAAACTTGACGAATTCCTCTTTCACTCTCTCCAACATACTTGTTGAGCAACTCTGGTCCCTTGACAGAGATGAAGTTGGTCCTACTCTCGCTTGCGACAGCCTTGGCCAGCAAGGTTTTACCGCATCCGGGAGGTCCCCACAGCAACACACCAGCAGGAGTCTGGATTCCAACCGAGGCGAACAGGCCAGGGTACTTGATCGGTTCAACAACAGCCATTCTCAGCTCATCACGGACATAAGTCAAAGCTCCAATCTTGTCCCACGAAACATCGGGCACTGTGGCGAAACCCTCGCGCTTGGCCGAGGGCTGGACCTTGGTCAAGGCAATCAAAAAGTCTTCGTTGGTGATATGAAGGGGCTCGAGTTGCTCCGGCGTCAATGGTGTAGGGTGAGACTGCAAGAAGGCGCTGATAGAATGGATGGGTTTGTGGGTGGCGTTGTTGAAGTGTTCGTGCTTCACTACTGCTGTCGAGGTTGTTGTGGTAGTCCGCTCAGTGGTCGTTCCCGTGACAATCTCGGTAATAGTGGTTGAAGTTGAGTCAACCTGCATGGCCTTATCGGCATCGGCCATCTGTTGGTCCATGTCCATCATGTCCAACTCATCGGTAACGGTCTCCATCGCCTCTGATTCATTGATCTTGTCGACGTTGCCAATCTCTTGGAAGATACGCTTCAGAGCAGCCACTCCGGCGGCAGCAGTCAATGCGTTCAGATCCGCTCCAACATATCCAGGAGTCAGCTTGGCCAGTTCCTTGAAATCAAAGTTGCCCGACAACTTGAGCTTTGACGACATAACACGAAGGATCCTATAGGAAATAAAGAACATTTGCAATGGTTGGTTTCCGTTCGTAAGTGAATCCATATTGCACCCCCTGTCCGCAACTGAACTTACTGCTCACGAGCGTCCTGGTCGGGCACACCGATGTTGATTTCCAGATCGAAACGTCCAGCTCGTCGAAGGGCAGGGTCCAGAGAGTCGGGGCGGTTGGTGGCGCCAATAATCATCACTGGCTTTCCGTTTGTGTTCTCCAAGTTCAAATCTAATAGCAGAGTCAGTGAAATTAGCATAAAAACGAATACAATTGTAAGAAAGGCCCTCTTTTGAAGAACAATAAAGAATGAAAAGTGAGATACGTACCATCCATACAGGTGAGCAGTTGTGCAACGATACGTCTCTCCATCTCTCTCTGAGCTGTCTCACGCTTTGGTGTAATAGCATCGATCTCATCGATAAACATCAGACAAGGCGCCAAATCCCTGGCCTCCTCAAACACTTCACGGATCTTCTTCTCAGACTCTCCCGACATTCCCGAGACAACCGAGGGTGCCGAAATGGTGATGAATGGGACGCCCAAGCTTCCTGCAATGGCGTTTGCCATCATCGTCTTTCCTGTTCCTGGGGGTCCATGCAACAGAATTCCTCTTGGAGGCTTGACTCCCATATGAGCATATACTTCTGGATGTGCGAGCGGCATCATGACATACTCCTTGACCTTCTCGATAAAGTGGTCAACGCCTCCCAGGTCCTCCAGTCTGATCTTGGGTGGTGCGTGCTCTGCCCCTCCGCGACTTTCACTGCTGCCAGAAGTCTTGTGTCTCTTGCTTCCTGATGTGTCACTAGTGCCGTTGGGGGTCGATTTGGCGCGCTTCTTGGACTTGCTGCTGGTGATGGCGACCTCGGCGGCAGCATGGGCCAAGGCGGTTGGGGTAGCATCGACAGCCAGGGGGTCGAGGGGTGGGTCAACAACGTGGTTAGGTGTCAGCGATCCATTGAGATGAGGAGTTCCTGGTTCTGAGACTGAGGGCGAGGCGACTGCAGATGGGGCCGCGGAGACTGACGCTGATCCAATGGCAGAGGCAGGATTCGAGGCGCTCTGAGGGTGCTTCCAGCGCGAGGTGATGCTCTTGTTCATGCTGTTGGTGTTCTTGATTTCCATCATTGCCACTGGGGTTCCATCTGCTGTAGGGGGGTACTCTTCTTCATCGTCTGAATCGTCCTCGTCGTCATTTCCTGCTCCCTCTGAACCCATCTTTTCTTTCTCTGACCTGATAATCTCCAGCGCTATATGTGTTCGCAGTGATACAATTTAATTCGTTAGCATGGTGTGTTGAAGAAAAAAAGAGACCACAGCAGCAGTAATATTCCCAGGGCGCACCTTTGTCGACAGACTGGGAAAGGATATCCTTCTTTGTGCGGGCGTGCTCCCTCCGTTCTTTGAGCTTGTTGACGAGGTCGATGGCGCTGATGTCTGGGTTCTCTTCCTGCAGTTTCATGATGGGTTCGATTATGCCATTGACGATGGCATTGCCGATCCTTCCGGCGGCCTGCTTATTTCTCTTTCCCATTTGTAGTTCAGGGCTTGACGAGGAGAATGGGTTCGAGGTTGATGTGTGTGAAGAATGAGATTCTCCTCTTGCGTTCCTTGACTTTACTCAACTCAGCTGAGCGCACACTCAAAAAAAAAAAGTTGCCTCTTCGAAAAGCAAACAGAAGCCCATAGAGCAGTCACATTAGCAGTCGTAATTGGAGGAGCATTGGGCGCATGCGAAGGACGCGCGAAAAGGAGGAGAGGTTAACTAGTGATAGAGATGTCACAAAGATATGCCAGGGAGAGCAATAGGCAATCGCGGCGACATTGTGATGTATATACTTCCTGCCTACCGCTCTAATACCAGACATGTATCCAGGTAATTGTATCGATGATGGTGATATTGAAGTGACGAGAAACAGCATTCTAAAGAGAAAAAAATTTATCCTTCGATTCCTGCGTCTGCGTAGACTGGACAAGGTCGAGTGGGTTCACTCGTCATTCATCACGTATTCACTCACACGACCACTATTTGTCTTGTTTTTTTTCTGCTTTTCTTTCTTTCCTTCTGAACCCTTCCAACCCCTTTTCCTCGTCATCTATCATTCCTTACCTCTTTCATTCCTTACCTCTTTCATTCCTCCCGCCATTGTATATACTTCCTTAAATACCTACTTGTACATATCACACATTCCAATAACAACCATACAATACCATACCATACCACCACCACGCCTCCCAACCCTCTCCGCTTCGCCATGACACACGATCTGAAGTACCACGCCAGCCGTGCAATCGACACTCTCTACGAGTTCCTCTTTGACGGACCAGCCTATGATCCCTCCACCCAAGCCGGAAGTTGCTGCATCAAACCCTATCACGGCGAAAATGGCGCTGCGAACCTAGCAAGCTTTGCTGGGAGTACGAACGACGGTGGCGACAGAGCCGGGCGTTTAGCGAACGCAGTCCAGGAAAACGTCGGTTTTGTCGCCTCGAGCGCCTCGAGCGCCGCTGCTAGCTTGGTCAGCACCATCGGTAGCGGCAGTAGCGGCCACAGCCACACCGACAGTCATACGGCCGATCATCACCACCATCTTGGTGGCAGTTCCGGCCGTTTTTGGGACTCAACACTGACCGAGTCTACGTTCTCGCACTGGAAGTCAGTCTTGCACGACAACTGGCATTCGTTGACGGAGCATTCGTTCTCCAGTCCCGATTTCTGGCACCAGCTGCAGTCTCGCTTGGGAATAGACCACTTGGCCCGCTCATGGAACCTTGAGCCCCATATCGTTTTCTTGCTCATGCTCGCCCCCTTAGTGTTGCTCTTGTTGTCGTGGTGTCTGATGCAGGGTGCTGGCAACACGTCGGAGGAGCCCCGTGGACCAGGACGTAAATCGGACCCAACAAAGGTTGGAGAGAAGGAAAACCAGGGTCGTCCTACTTATGCCTCCATGGTCGCTGGTGGTGCCAGCCCAACTTCCAATACTGGAAAGGACAAGAAGGTCCAAAGATCAAAGAAAGATGGAGCCCAAGACAATGGCAAGTTTGATTGTTTGTGCAGTTCAGGAGACTCGCAACAAGATCAACCTTTCGATCGGTTGCATTTGGTCATTAACCCTATGCTTCACTTGCTCCTCCCTTATCACAGCCGGCTCGATTAAATCCCATAACCAGCTTGGCAGCGACAATGGCATCAGCTCATGGTCTGCGCTTCTTGGATCAGCCGGATTCCGAGGTGGCGAAGCATTAAGCTACAAGCCTATCGATATCTATGGTAAAATGCAATGGATGGTGGGATTGTTCCCGGTGGACAGAACAATGTCCACAAAGAAACGGTAACTAACACAGTCATCTTTTGAGTCAATAGCTGCTATGAAGTTTGGCAAGAAGACCATTGCCAACACTGTCGAGGATGCCTTTGCCCCAGGTCACGGTTAGTACTTCTGACGAAGTTGAGCACAGATGCAAAAAAATATCGTTGCCACCAAATTACGTACTCATCCATCGATTTTCTGATTCTCTAGACGAAGGAATGGTCTCCAACATCATCGAAGGTGAGGATTGCCGCGAGTAGCAGGTGATCGAACAGTAGTGGTATATAATTAGTGGTTCCTAACAAACTATTCCCTTCTGTCCACTTTACCAGAAATCGTTGGATCTACTGAGGCCCAGCACGAGCAGAAGGAAATCGGACTGGACAACAAGGAGGATTACATCGACGACTTCCCTGCCTTAGGCGAGCACGAACACAACGCCAATCTTATCGACAAGGGTCGCGCTTCTCGATCTGGCCCTGCCGGCCCTGGCTCCAACTCTGCATCAAACTCCTCTGCCAAGATTCGCGTCCCTCGCCCATACGGCGCCAAAGAAGCTGATCGCCATCGCCACCAACCTCACAAGTCGTTCAGTAAAATCGAGCGCGAGTCTGCTCCTTATCAGCACCAGGCCCCACAGATCAGTTTTGCCGCTAAGTTGATGGACTTTGCTCAAGAGAATCCTGCCATGAAGAGCCTGGATGGTATCTCCGGAGGTGTCCTAGGAGCTGCCATGGCTACCATTGCTGCGATTGCCAATACTGCCGAAGCTGCCACCACTTCCTTGAAGGAGAACATGCCCTCCTCTGTTGATGGTAAGCTATCTTTTTTTCTGTGTTTTATCGAAAATGATGCCTTATTACACCTGGCACATCAGCTAATTGAACATCATCTTTTATGTTTTCACAGAACTTGCTCATGATTTGAGAAACTCGTTTGACAAGGCTATGGAGCAAGGCGGGTTGGAAGGCTCAGGATTCGATGAACAAGACGACGACTCATACATCTCCTCAAACACAACCCGTACCCAGAGCCACCAGACCGAATCTCACTTTTCAAGTTCTTCATCCTCCTCTTCCCAACGCGTCAAAGACAACCTTGGAGAGCTCTTCTCCATGGGACCAGCCATGTTCTCCAACCATGACGGTCCTACGTCATCTCCCTCTCACCTTACCACGGATAACTTAGGAGAAGAATTCTCCAAGGGCCCAGCCATGGTCGCCAATCCCCCTCGTCTGCGTAAACGAAGCGTCGTTCAGGCTCAGCCCGGAACTGCTGCCATTATCGCTGCCGCCAAAGCTACAACTGTCGGCGCCGTCCCTGCTTCGCCCACCACTCCTTCGCCTTCTCACAAGGCTGCTGTCACCCCCGCTCACACAGAGAAGTCTGTCGTCTCGAACCCATCTGACAAGTTTACTGCCCATACCCATACCCATACCCATGCCCATGCCCATGCCCATGACCACACACCCGCCCCCGCCCCGTCCAAGGCAACAGCTCCCTCTTCCAACTCCACCAAGACTACCTCTGCTTCAAAGCCAGCTTCTGCCGTCGAGAACATTTCTTCCCGCCCTGCCACTAGTCCTGTGACCCAGACAAACAACTCCTCGTCCCTTGCCCAGAAGACATCTACCCAGAAGAACAATATTAAGGGTGTTGCCGCTGAAGCTATTCGTGGCGCCAAGAAAACTACTTCTAATGCAGTCAAGGAGGCCAAGGATGCGTCTGGCCATGTTGCCGATGATGTGAAGGATGTCGTCGAGGACACCAAGAATGCGGCCTCTAAGGCTGCTGGCGATGTCGAGGACCTTGTAAAGGACGCGAAGAAGGCTGCTACAAATGGGGCTGATGATGTCAAGGTCGCAGCCAACAATGTCGTTGGCAAGGCTAAGAAGGCTGCTGCCAAGGAGGCCAAGGTCGCTGTCGATGCCGCCGCTGAGACGACGCACAAACTTAAGGGCGCTGCTGACGACAAGGCACACGGGTTCAAAGGCACCACTGTCAAGAAGGCAAACGGGGCTGCCAAGGAGGCCAAGGACGCTGGCGATGCCGCTAATCAGAAGGCACACGCGCTCAAGAGCGCCCCTGTCAAGAAGGCAGACGGGGCCACCAAGGAAGCCAAGAATGCCATCGACAAGAACGTCGTCCAACCCATCAAGAACGCCGAGAAGATGGTCAAGACTACCGTCAAGGATGCGGAGAAGGAGGTAGATGGAGCCGTCAAGAACACCGCCGAGGCAGTCCAGAAATCCAAGGGCGCCGCTGTCAAGAAGGCTAATGAGGCTACTGATATGGCTAACGAGCTCAAGGACACTACTGTCACGAAAGCAAACGAGGCTGCCAAGGACGCCAAAGGCACTGTCGAAGCCGCTGCCGAGAAGGCGAACGAACTCAAAGAGGCTGTTGTCGAGAAGACAGGCGAGGGCGTGGAGCAAGCCAAGAATATCATTGATAGAAACATCGTCCAACCCATCAAGAGCGCCGAGCAGAAGGTCGAGACTACCGTCAAGGACACCGAGAAGAAGCCAGAGGATACCGTCAAGGTCGCCGCCCAGAAAGTCTACAAGGCCAAGGATGCCGCTGTTGAGAGGGCTGGCGAGGTGGCCCATGCTGCCGCTGACACTGTCAAGAGTACTGAGATGACTGAGGGTGTTGTCAAGAATGCCGCCGAGACTGCTCACCATGCCAAGGATGCCGCTGTTGGGAAGGCTGGCGAGGTCGTCCATGCCGCCGCTGATACCGTCAGGAATGCTGAAAGAAGGCTTGAAGAGACCGTCAAGTATGCTGCTAAGGAGGCTAAGAGCGCTGCTGTTGTGAAGGCTGGCGAGATGGCTCACGCTGCTGCAGAGGGTGTCGTCAGGGATGTCGACGACAGCTTTGACGACGGCTCACTCATTGACGCAGATGAGGCGCTAGACGAAACTGCTCACACAACTGCCGCTGCTACCCAATCTCCTGTGACTGCCAAATCAGCTCATATCAGAAGCACGTCTCCGTCCGAGTTGGTCCAAACCGCGATGGAAGGGGCAGTTGACGAGATTGCAGATGTTTCGGAGAGTCTGTCGAGCATGTTTGCGGGGTTCAAGGACTCTGTCGCTCGCGCTTTCAAGGATGTCAAGGATATGGCCAGCCATGTTGGACCCGCTTTGGCCCCCGCTTCTATTTCTGTCTCGCCTGCTTTTGCTACTGGACACATGGAGTCGAGTCCAACGTCGTCGTCGTCTTCGAGTGTGTTCAAGAACGTTGACTCGAACCACGCCGACTCGAACCACAAGAGCGCTGTTGATTCCCTTACTGCCTCTACTTCTGCCTTTGCTACTGCATCCGATGCATCACACAAGGACACCAGCAAGCAACACCAAGACGGCATGGTCGACGGGCGCTCCTATAGCGATGTCGTCAAGGTCACCCCCGAAACAACCCCCAAGCTCCACGCCGCCAAGCTCACTCCTGCTACTGATGACAGCTCGGTCCACCTTCACGATGAAGCCTCCGCCTCTTCTTCTTCGGACGATCAGGCTGATGCGCCACCCACCGAAGCTCAAGAGTACACGGTGGACGAGTCTGGAAATAAGGTCGCTGTGGTCGATGTTCGTCGCGACTCTGGATTCGACCTTTTGATGTGAATGCCGAGATGGTCTGCAGGCGGGTCCATGTATGATTTCTTTGACGATGCTATTGATGAGGAGTGGTAACAAGATCCATATATACACTACACATTGTCCATTTTTCTTTAGTCATTTGCAGTAATAAGTATTAATTTTCTCGACCAGCTATTTCGCAGGGGTGTGATGCCTGCCTGGAAGGTAATCGACCTATTGTTACATGGCAATCATCTTGAAATGAAAGCGGGAGCGCCAAGGTGTGAGACGACACTTGACACTCGTTCCAACGCGTTCGTCTTCATAACTATTGCCGAGAAAAAAAGTAAAAGGTGTGTATTGCCAGAATATCTAGAGTATCATTATCAGAAAGGGGCGGTATCTACAAAGTTTGGAGGGAAAAAAAAAGAAAAAAGAGGAAGAGGGTGGGGGGAACCAGTTTCTAGCAGTAAAGTGCTTAGATTAGGCATTAGAGGCACGACGCCCAAACAGTCGCTGACGGATCATGAACGAGAGGATAGTACAGATGCCCGTCAAAGCCGCACAGGTGTACCACACAAACTCGGGCATCGTCCCTACGGTCAACGCATAGACCCACGAGATCACGATCGGCGAAAGGATCCCCGACATCGAGTCCAGTACCTGGACCGCTCCCAGAACTGCACCAAACTGTGAAGGTTCGACTTGGCTGGTGATCAACGATTTGAGTGATGGCGCAGCAATGATGCTGATTGCGTGGAGGGACGACCAGAGGTAGAACATCCATGGCTCGGTGGCAATTCCATAGCCGATATAGGTGGTCGAGTTGATCAGAAAGCCTAGGCGAATGATCCATGTGTCCAGCTTCAAGGCGTCGCGGGTATTTTCTAATTTCTTTTGTTGCTCTGCCTGGCTGGTTTGGGAGGGTTCGGAGCCTACGGATTGCTTGCGAGAGGCCGGTGCTGAGTTTGATGAAGAAGAGATCGAAGAGTAGTTGGGTTTGGTGGAATTTAAGAGGGTGGCTGACGATTGGCGGCGCCGGCGTTCCTGGAAGGACTCCTCGTCGTCCGAGAGGTTCAGCGCAGCCTCGCCCAGATGCTCAATACTCGAAGCCACAGTGGGGTCATTCAGTCCCACCAAGATCCTGTCCGGGTGGTCGCCAATAATGTCGTTGGTATTGATGTCATTACGATCCTGTCGTTCAGCAGCAGCCCATGGGTGAGTGGATGAGGAAGAAGAAGCGTTGATAAGATCATCCTTCTTGTTGGGTCCATCGTGCGCCTGAGGTCCAGCAGCCAAGGCACCTCGCTTCTTATTATTCCACTTGTGGAAAGAATGGACCAAAACCGGGAGGAGGATCAACAACGAGATTAACCGGACAAAGCTTGACATAGATAACAATATGCCGTCTTCGAGTTCCGTCCAGTTGAAGACCTTGTTGGTGTACAGAATCAACACTGAGAAGGTCCCGTTGAGAGCCAGAGTCTGGAGGAAAGAGATGGCGGCGAGGATGATAAAGTTGGTGTTGTTACCGTTAGGTTTGAAGAACCGCAGAGACCGGACAACATGCGAATGCCAGGCGACGTTCTCCTGAGATCGTTTACTGGATGCTGCAGCCTGCACGGCTTTGGGTCCAATAGCCTCTTCGTACAGTCGGCGGATGCGAGGCGACTGTTTACTGGGTAGGGACTCGGGAAGCAAGAATACGAGGAATCCTCCCGATATCACTGTGGCGACGAGGCAAATCTGGATGAGTGTCATGAAGCCCATTTTGTTGGCCAACACGCCTCCTATAGGTTGTCTAGAGCATAAAAGAAAAATAGGAGGTCAGTAAAGGTTCTTTCACCGTGAAATACCTTATCCAGCTATGAAAAGAGTGAGAAGACTTACCCGATCATGAGTCCAAGGAACAGACTGGCATGGAGCCACGAGAAGATCAAACTCCTCTTGCTGACAGCGGTACAGTCGGCGGCATAGGCCATACCCATGGTAGCACTCAGACCAATACCTCCTAGGAGCCCTCCGAGCGTGGCCATGATATAGAGCAGAGGGAACCCGACCTGGTCCCACCATTTGCCCATGATCGCCAAACAGCCGAGCATGATCAAGTTGCTGACACCGCCGAGCAACATCAGCTTGACACGGCCGTGCTTGTCACTCAACGACGCCCAGTATCCAATTGATAGCGTGGCTGTACAAAAATAACAAAAAGAGAGAGGAAATGGAGGATGAGTGTTAGTTCCTGTTCGAAACCAATGCATATCCACTTGGTAGATACTTCCTCCCCTTCCATTTCGCACACAACGTGGGAAAGGATTTTCTGCAGAATGATTATCTCGATTCAATGGCCGCCCGATCATGTCATCGTACATGGTGCAAATACATACCACAGATGCCTCCAAGGACCTGCATCACAGCCAATGCCTTCGCTGTGAAGGCGTGAATCTCGGGTACTTGGCATTCGATGGGTGGACTGAAGACATTGACTTCCCCCATCAACTTCGAGGATGGTGACTGTGTCATCGTGTTCAACAAGTGAGTTGCAGCGCCGGTAGCAGCCAGTATGGTCGAGTTCGAGGGCGGGTAGCGGTTCATATACTCTCTACAAAGAAGCGTCACCTCAAACTGGCTCAATGCCGCCATCAACATTCCACCGCTGACAGCGGCCATTCCATAGAAGGGAAGGAGCCAGAAGGCTGAGGGGCGCTTATGCCAGGGGAGGTGCTCCTCCAGGATCTGGGCGTAGATGGTGGTGGCGTCAACGTTGTCCTCCTGGATCCCGTCGGTGGAAGTGGAAGAGTCAGACAAGAGAGGTGAATCTTCGCGCTGGTCTGCCTCCAAGAGAGTGTTCTCCGAGGTGTTCAGTCGCCTGCTGGTGTCGGCTGCCATGACTATTTTCTATATGTACGAAGTGTGTGTATGTATGTGTGTCTGTGGGTGGATGAAAAGCCGAAAAAAAGATGTGTCAACAAGCGTGATCGAGAGGGAGAGGGAGTGATAATGTCCTGTGAGACTGATAAACACTTTCATCTTTTGGAGGAAGACGGGGGGAAAGTATTTGTACTCTTCTGGGTAACGACCCTTTTCTTCTTTTTATTGCTTTTGCGAAGCAGTTGGGTAGTAGAGGTGGTAGTGGTCTAGCCTCTGCCTTCTGTTGGTTGAATGAAACTCCTCTTTGTTTTCCTGTGTGCGTGTTCATTGGTGATGACCACTTGATTCATTTCGCTCTGTCGCATTCTCTGTGTCTCTGACAACATTGCTGGTCATGAGCATAGTTGGCTCAAACACAAATGCATTTCAAATCAGCTACTTTTTAGGAAACACAAGTACCCTGCAGCACAGCGACTGGTCGAGGGAGAGAGGGTGACGGAGAGGAAGGGGTTACCCAATTGTGATCGAGGACGCGTACCTTCTTCCTGCCTGTACAAAGCGAAAACAGCCGTTTGGAGAAAAAAGGGGAGATGGAGAGGTGAGATAAAAATTGGTGCGCAGGTGGCCTAGGGGTGGAGAAGCAGGTACAGTGCAGAGAGGAGAGAGAGGAGATGGCAGTAAAAGAGGAGCGAGAGAGAGAGAGAGGACGAGAGAGGGAGGTGGTTAAGAGAAAGAAACAAAGAAATGAAAAAGAAAAGGAAAGAGGAGTAAAGTCAAGAACAAATGGTAAAGAGAGTGAAGGTGCGATCGGGAGTGGTACCAATGGAAGAAACTGCAAGCTTGTTGTGCACCTTTCGACAACAAGGAACCTTTTACTAATCGAATGCGCCCATAGGGCCAATTACGATGTGTATGTACCTTTGTGCTCTCTTCCTTCTTCCTCTTGTGATTTCTTGCAGAACACTAAATGCGAATGCGACGAACAATGCTTGAAAAGGCAAAGATAACCTTCCTGTCGGCCAACTCCATCCGTGAAGCACAATCCCAAACATCCCCTATTTCACTTTTCCTTATGAGTGCTCAATGTTAAGAAACGTGTGTTTGTGCTCACATTCTCTTCTCTCCTTTGTTGTTGACACAACAAAACGAGCAGTGATCTCATCCCCTCCTTCCCGCTCTCCCTTCTATATCTCGTCCACTTTCGCTCACACAAGTCAAAAACAAGGCCACCGAAAAAGGTTTCCTCAGAAAACACCATCCGCTTCTGCATACAGTCTACAAAGGCAGCAAAATGGAAGGGAAGAATGACGACAGAAGACAAAGAAATAAACACGCTTACCCCTAAACAAACAGCAACCTTTGAGCGACGGGAAGGCCAACTACTCTTTGTGTAAAACGAAAAGTGTACCTTCAGGGAGCCAGCAAAGATCAGTGCACGCCTGCATTTGCGGGAAACACAAAACGAAGTGGGCAGGCTTACACGCGCGGATATGCGCGTATGTGTTTTTCTATCTCCTTTCCCCCCTCTTTCCCCCCTCTTTCCCCTAGTTCAACCATCCATCTTCTGATGTGAGAAGAAAAAAAATCTGAAAACCAGGGGCATCCCTGATACAGGAGTTGAAAATGAACTACTATTTCTCACCTTTCTTGGACACCGTTGAAGAAACGTCCCCTTTTTTTTTTCTTTTTCTCGCAACGGTCAGTGCCTTCCTCCAAGATGTTACCCTTCATCCACCGCGCTCGTCAAAACCAAATTGGCTAATTATCTAGAGCCCTCAAAACACACAAACAGACAAATCCACGCTCATGCATAAATGATATCAGAATTGTGTTGACCCAACAGCACAACGAACGCGTGCACAAAAGTGCTAAAGTGAAGTTGCTTCTCAACAAAAAAAAAATACGCCCATTATTGTTTCCATAAATGGTGCCCTACCGCCAATTCGCCCATGCTCTCCTACCTTTTCTTCCTTCACGGACACAGACAACAGATACAAAAGGAACACACATAACAATAAGCACACTCGTATCACAATCAATCGCTGTTCCGCTCATCATTCAAAAGGGGCAAGGGGCGCTCTTACTTAGTGGTATAGATGTCGTGGGCGAAATTGTGAAGAGAAAACATGCACACTCGCCATTGGCTCATCCATAATCGATTTGTCGGGAGCGATAGGAAGGAGGCAAAAGGAATGAATGTTTAACTTTGTTTGAAAAAAAGAATGGCGTATTGGTTTTGTGAAGTCTATGTACAATTTGTGTGGGTAATAAGGGTTGCGAACAGGAGAGATAGTGAGAGAGAGGGAAGTGGTGTGCTCGTCTCCGTTTAATGATGGAATCCACCTTAGCACTCCATAGCTTGACCATCAAACAGCAGCGTGTTGACCTTGTCAACATCCTTCTGACTAGCCTCCATATTCGACTTGCCCTGCTGCTGTTGTCGTTGGAGACCGGCGCCGCCGTTGGAACCACCACGACCCATGATGGCGACTTTTGTCAGCGATTCTAGGAACGCCTCCCGTGCTGCTGCTGTCGCCTTGGTCCCGTCCACATCCACATCATCGAATTGACATTGGATCTGAACATCGTGTCTTGAAGACGAGCAAGAAGACGACGATGACGACGAAGTTGAGGTGATGGGAGAAATGAACAGATCTGGATCGTCAGAAAGGGACGAGGATTCCATATCCATGTCGTCTGAAGAGATGGCTGGTGGAGAGGGAGGATCAGCAGTGTCATCCTCCATCATCGCGTGAAGCCGCTGCTCTTGCTGTTGCTGCTGCTGCTGCTGCTGGATCTGAGCAGATGTAACGGCAGTGGTGACAATGTTGGGCGTAGAGGTAACTGTCGATTGGTGGTGGTGGTGCGACTGAGTTTGGCGCATCTGGAGGACCGATGTGAGATTCGAGGTCAGCTCTTGCATAAGGCTCTGGGTCTGTGCAGCCGCGAAAGCGTTTGTCGAGACATTGCTTGTGGTTGCAGTGGGGGTGGAAATGGAAGTACTTGTGGCGGTACTGAACTGGATATGATTGTCCTGCGCCATTGCATGACTCTGAGAATGGACGATGGGTTGCTGTTGCTGGATCTGAACGGGGGCAGTAGGTTGGTACTGGAGAAGGTGAGCCTGTTGTTGCTGCTGGAGTTGTTGGGTTGTCTGGACCAGGGTCTGCTGCTGCTGCAATGGCGACACGCCAAAGTCAAAAGAAGAGGCGTCGGTGCCAAAGGGATCCAAACTAGAGCCAGGAGTGCCCGTCATCGAATCGATCTGACCAAACAGCATAGAGTCGATCGGGGCCAGACGCAGGGCCTCAGGTAGATCGAGCGGGTCAGCAAAGAACTGCTGTTCTTGTTGAGGATCAGTTCCTCCAAAAGCAATAGCAGCCATAGCCACAGCGGTGGCGATCTGGGCCTGCCACATTGAACTCAGTGTCGTCGCGCTCTGGTCTTTAGTCGACTCGGGCAAGGGCATCGAGAAGTTGCCATAAGGATGACGAAGCTGGATCGAGGGCGTAGGACCAGGACCATCTTTGGCGAGTTTGGCCAGACGGGCAGCCTCATAGATGTTACCTATAGAGGCAGATTGGAGATGGGTCATATCCATGAAGGGCGCGACAAAAGTCGAAATGTCAATGAATGAGGCGGCCATCTCGGTCGGGACAGAGCTGGTCTGACTGGCAAAGACATCCAGAGCCACGGCAATCAAGGACTCGGCGATGGGGAAGGTCCTGACCAGCTCATGGGCAGCCTTGACAGTTTTAGAGAGACCCGCTCGAGTCGTCTCCCGATTGCTTGGGGTAGGGGTAATGGCGTTGTGCACATGAACTGTACCAGCAGACAAGAGGCAAGCCATGCCATGGTAGCAAGTAGCGCGAAGTTGGCCGTGGAGCATCAAAGAGTCGGCGATGTGGCAGACGTTGGTCGCAGCCGCTGTGCAAATGTTGCGAGAGGACAACAAAAATTTGGAGTCGATCGACTCAGAGTTGACGGGACGGAGGTAAGGGCGGTGGAGGATCGTCAGAGTCGTGTAATAGAACATGTGCATGAGCGCCGTGGGTGGTGAGGGTGGGTGGTTCGAGTTGGGCGACATGGTATAGGGTGTGTACATGAGCTCGTTCGGGAGCGACAGGAACCAGGACGTGAGACTGTTGTGCAATTGGGGGAGCTGTGTCCGGGAAATGTCGGCAAGGAAAGAACCATTGATCTCGGCCTCGATACAGTGCATCGTGTCGAGGACCTTGCCCAACTGCATGAACAGCTTGATCGACCAGACCAGACGACAAGAGATGACGCTCTCAGGTTCGTAGGGGTACTCGACTGTGTCTTCACCAAGAACGTCGGCGATCCATTCATCGGTGGGCATCTGGACGTTGAATCCTTCGTCGCGCAGAGTCATAGGACGGCCAAGGATAGCACTGCCCAAGCGATCCGCCATGTATAGAGACCACCAGAGTCGCTTCCTGATCTCAGCCTCGTCAGGCTCATCCACATGAATATCTTGACGATGTAGGCCGATATCCTATTGCGATAAGTAAAAGATCTTTAGTACTGATTTCGAAATAAAAGATTACTAACTAATAAGAAATGAGGAAATAAAACGCGACACGACTTACTTGTGCAATCCTAATCGACATGCCAGTATACAACCAGCCACCCGAGTAATTGCCCGTAGCGTATTGGTGATGAGCCATCAACAGCAGCGCCTGCACTGTGCTGATCCTCGAGACATGGTAAGTCTCATCCAGAATGATCTTGGCCCGGTTAAAGTACTTTGTCGACTCCTGCCTGAGTGCCGGGTCGTCCGAATACCAACACGCATTGCTGAAGAGTGCATTGAGGATCAAGATCTGTGATAGGTCAGGCCGGTTCTGGCGGAAGTCGTCCATGAATGTCCTGCGAATGAACATGGGCGCGAAGGGGTACATAAACTGGAAATAGAGGTTCAGAAGGACCTCCATCTGCTCCTTGGATGGCAATTCTCGTTCGCTGGTCATTTGAAGGGAGTGGGACCACAGATCACTGTCGTTCAGGTGGGCCATTGGGAGAGGATCTGTAAGGTGATATACAAATAGGATGTGGTGAGTTGGTGTGCTCCATGATCGACCATGGCAACGGAAAAAAAATGTGAATGATACAATGACTTACAAACACCCTGGCGATAACGAGAGCTCAGCTGGCAAACATAGAACCCAGAACTGCTCCCATGGAAGCTAAAAACAAGGAAACAAAGTAAACAAAGGGTTGTTAATACCCAGTTCATGCGAGGCAGCGTTAACAACATCGTAAAGAGGGTTACGAGCTCAAAGACTTACTGTTGGCCATGTCCATCAAGACTCATAGTGCTCACGACAGACTTTTGCTCTCCATTCTTCTTAGTTGATTTGGACGAGTCTTGGAGAGGAAAGGTAGGCGAGCAAGGATCGGCATCCAGACCTGGCCCCGTCGAACTCGTGTCCGCTGCTGCCTTGGAATTGGTTCTCTTCTGTTTTAGTTTGGTCGAGCCTTGGTCCTTTGAGGCTCTTTTCTTGCTGGCGGTTACTGGAGCCGAGGATGTGGATGGAGACGAGTATGATTCAGTGGCGCCGGCGTTAGGGATGGAGATGGTTGGTGCTGGGGGGCGACTCTTGGATGCTTTACCAGCGGATGTTTGAGAAGCATCAGCAGTCGTAGCATTTGTTCGTGAGCCGGAATTCGTCTTTGGATAGTAGTTGGAGGAAGAAGAGGATGAACCCAAGGGAGGGTAAGAGTTGTGGCCAAAGGTTGAAGGAGAGGAGGGGCCAGGACTGAGACTCGAGAGACTTGTCATACTGCTGCCAGACATACGACGATCGGTGTGGAAGCTGTAGGGATCGTGACGAATTGCGTCCATCATTTCGTCACCGGAGCCACCAGAGGAGGAAGAACCATGGTCGCGAGGGTAATAGGGATCAGAAGGGTGTGGGAACTGCTGTTGTTGGTGTTTGGAGTGTGACACGGGGTGATATGGGTGAGCGTGTTTTTGCTGATCAAGACGTTGTGCAGAAGTAGAGGAAGAGGCGTTGATGTTGTTGTTGGAGGAAGACAAAGAAGTAGAAAGTCGAGTGCCCGCGGCGGTTTTGGCGAATAAGCTTTTAGCGCTATTGGTCTTCAGGAACAGGGCCTCGTCGACGACACAATCAAGTTTATGGGTGACACACCGGGCACAATTAGGGGTTCCGGTGCATCTCAGCTTCTTTTTACGGCAGTTTGTGCAGGCTGTGCCCGCCTTCAACCGTTTCTGACGAGCTACAGCAGCAGCTTGGCTAGCCGCCGAAGCTGCGGCCTGATTAGCTTTATTAGTGTCCATGTTCATTGTTGGAAGAGGAAGAGGAAATGTGTGTGATATGTACAAGTTTAGAGGAAAGGTGAATGTGGAGTGTGGAGTTTGAAGTGTGGAGTGTGGAGTGTGGAGTGTGCAGAAGAAATAAACAAGATGAAGTGTGCTTGTCAAGAAAGAACAGAGAAGAGGGGGTGAAGTGCAATCGATGGTGGGGTATGCGAGGTATGAGGGCAAAGGTATCGCAAAAAGGGACTATGGGAGGCGAGGGGATGGTGAGTGGTGACAAAAGACCAGCGAGAGAGAGTTGTAGGGGAGATCGACGAGACGCTGTCGAGAGGAAGATCGCGGAATAAAGTAGGGAAAGGAAGGGAGGAGTTGAATCCAGAGAGTGTTCAGGGAAAGATACACATGAACAGCAAGTCTAACGCAGAAGCAAAAACGAAGGAAATGAAAATGAAAATGAAAATGAAAGCGGAAGCAATTGAAGAAATAAGAAAGAGAAGAAAAGAAAGAAGTGAAGATTAAGGGAGGTGACGGAGGAGGAGAAGGGAATGGGTTGTGGAGAGGTGGCTAATAAGGAAGAGGAAAGAGTTGGCCAAGGTGGGTTGGTGGACGGAGAAGCATTGGGCCTAAACGATCGTTTTAGTCTCCTCCGTTGTCCGTTTTGTTCGTTGACACCTGTCTGAAGTCTGAGCATACAACACACGCTCAATTCAACACCTTGTGAATCCAACTTTCTTGTTGAATATGTTCGATCTTTCATAATTGAATAGCACGTTTCGATTCACTCGGCTCGCAAAGTGCGCAAGCAACGTTGAATCCGCGAGCCGAGAGTTTAAAAAACAACAAATAAAAGGGAACAAAAGAAATTGATGTGGAGGAAAGGAGAAATACAAAAAAGCGTAATTTGCGTTGGGCACACACCCACACCTACAAAGACGCTTTAAGCACTCTATTTGAACACCTGGGCAGTACGAGAAGCTATTGGCATAGGGCACATCGTTTTCTGTTAGACGAAACAAATACCTCGACGTTGAAGGAGCAGCTCATCATCGATTGAGTTTATTTTACAACGTTTTCTTGTGGAGAACAACCTTCCTCTCTCAAGAAAGGAGGGCATAGGTTCCTTCTCATGAGACTTCGCTCCTGCATCTATCATCGCTCAAGGAGGTGTAGAAGAAGGAGCAGAATAGACACACAGACTTGAGTTGAATGGAAGCGATGGCTAATCCTACGAATTGACACCTGAAGACCAAGTGCCCAGCACTTGCTTCATCCCCCCATCCCAAAGGTAAAAAAAACCAACAAAGAGTCTGAGCGTTCATCTGGTACTTTCGTCCTTTTATCCTTGTCCCCAGCCAAAATAACAGCCGTCTAGAAACGCCTTCCCCCTCCCCCCCCAAAAAAAAAAGATCTGTTTCCTTTGTTCACGATCCTTGGGCCATGTACCTGTGAAAACCGCTGCTGTTGTTATCTGTTGTTTGTTGTGCTATTTGTTGGCGATGACCGAGAATGAGAATAGAAGGAGAGCAACGCACAATTCCTCTCTCACCCCCAGCCGAATGCATGGAACCAAAACGAAGGAAAAAAATAGAAAATAGACATGCTAGACTAGCCAACCTAACTCTGCCTCCAAAAGGGCTCAGAAGCAATGCAACGGCAGCGGCCAAGAAGGCCTCTTTTTGCTCTTCATTGGACTTATTTGTTTGTTTATCTGCTTGTGCTCCAAACCCATCATCGACAGCCGGATCCGGCCACTGACACTGCTGCAGCAGCTCGGCACACCCTCATTGTACTCCCCATGTACAGACAGTCCTCTCCCAAAATGTATCGAACTAAAGATTTACAATTGCAAGACCTCTTAGTGAGATACATCGACACGTCAGGGTTCATTATGGAATGCCAAGCACTCATCGTCATCATCCATGCACCTAGCGAACCCAAAAAAAAAGAATCCTCCACCCCACGAATGTGGTCTCTTTCGCCGTTTTTCTCATCACCTCCACATGTTCACCTAGCCTGAAGCTCTTCCTTTCATGTTTGGGATTCTGCAAAGCACAAAGAATCAGGCACCAAGCGAAACAACTCACCAACAGCTTGAGTAATTGTTTTACCAAGCTTCCATGCTCCTATTCCCTCATATACAAATGTACTAATCGGGAGGCGAGTGTGTCTGTGTGTGGGTGTGCATCTTATGTATACGTGTGTGCGGTCATGGTGTAGAAGGTGGCGAGAAAAGTCTAGAGACTCAAGTGCTCCCCTTCTCCATCTCTTTCTTCGCCCTTCTTCCTTCCCAAAAGGCCAACAACTATTCTCAACCAATCTCCTTTCTTTCACATGTTGAATTTGAGTTACCAACCCCATTGTAGCACCAAAAGTAAAAACAAAACACCTACCCAAAAATACAAATGTCCTCCTTTCTCTTCCTCCACTTCACTACGCACCCATGTGAGCTCTCGATGCCGCTTCTTTTTTCGCTCCTTCTCTCGCCATAAAAGTTTTGTTTGTTGTTGAAAATTATTGAACGAGCATTATTTTGCCCCAGCTTTTAACGTCGACCTAGCCATCTTATCCCTTCACTCCTCATTCCATGCCCCAAGCTCGAGCACCTTCCTCTCAAATGGCTCATCGTTCTATCCGCTTTGGCTCAACTCCTTGACGACCAAGCGTACTATGACTGACAGGTTTTCGTCAACGTATAGTTTTTCTCAGAAGCTATCAGAAACACACTCTCGCTCCACATCGCTCCTTCTTTGCCGCGCGCAGGTCGATGTTATTTGTACACCCTTCCTCCTTTCTCAATTTCATACGCGTAGCAAGTAATCAATGAATAGCGAACGGCCTTTACTTCTTTTGTTGATTGGTACTGTTGTCTTTTTGGACGTTCACATCTCAGCAATCGGGATGAGTAAAATAACAAAAGAGAAGAAAAAAAAGGCACGACCATATTTTCGCTTTTTTTTTTTTTGCTATTGTCATTACTCCATTACTTTCTTTCCTATAAACCACGCCTTTCGTAATGAGTAAAAACAAGAGGTATCAATAAAAAAGATTGACAGCCCCGATAGAGCTCTTTGCAAAACGAAAACGAAAACAAAAAAAAAGAGAGGCAACTTTTTGTGTCTTCACAACAATACCCATCTCGACCGTTCTGAGCAGCTATTCGCGTGATCAAAGACGCGCTCAGCTGGCTCAACGAACAAAAGCCATGTGAACGACTTCAAATCATAAATGACAAAGCGGGTAATTTTATGCAATAAGTATTCGTGTAATATGCTATTAAAAAATGATGTCTAGATGCGGGTAGATGAAAAAACGGTTGAAAAGATGCCGACGAGTACAAAAAAGATTAGGGGTTGACAAAGATGGATGCAAAATGTGTGGGAGATGGAGGCTTGTGCGAGAGGAGAAGTAGCCCATTTTCTCTTCGTACCCTAGGGAGGAAAAGAGAGCGGCCATTCGCTGGTGTGCGTTGCAGTGTGTGGGCACGAATTATTCTTTGAGAGATATGGTGTTGCTTTAGAGTAACGCCAATCCTGCTGCGATAACGATGGAGCCCAAAACAATGCCCGACGACCACACAGCTGCCGCCGCTGCCTTCTTTTGGCCAACCGCCGCATTGTGATGATAATCCAGATCCAACCCGGCGCCCTGTGCGATGGGATTGACGGGTGATGAAGGAGGTGGTGGTGGTGGAAGAGATCTGATAGGAGAGACCACTGCAGTGTTATTGGCGCCATAAGGCGACGCGTCACGAAGGCAATCGGCAACACTCATGATCTGAAGGTTGTGCTCTTTGCCAAAGGGAATCAGTGTCTTTGCAACGTTCACGGTCTGGGAAGTAAGGTCATGCTCGAGTGAGATGAAACCTTTGGTGTTGTTGGCGGCGTTGGTGGCGTAGGTTGTAATTGACTTTTGAAAGTGAGTAACCACTGCAGAGCTAGACATTTGAGGGACTGTTGTAAGGCAGGTATGGGGTTGAGTTAGTTAAACGTAAAGAGTGCTTACGTCCAACTTGTGTGGAAGAGGAGGTAGAAAGAAAAACACTTACTCTTCCAGTCGTTCGAGTCAAAGGTATCTCCACCCCAATCAACAACAGTGTATCCGAGCTTTTTGAGGATAAAGCGGACACGGTTGTCAACATCTCCGTATGGGGGTCGCATGTACCGGACTCGGAGACCTGTCGCATCCATAATAGCCTTCTCCGTCCACTTGATCTCGGCCACAATTTCCTCGTTCGTCAATGTCGTCAATGCATGATGGGACCAACTACATGAAGTCATAAAAAAAAACAACAGTAAACAGAGAGGAGTTAGCGAAAACATGCGAAGGAGAAGCCAACTTGACCTTTTCGTAACAACAACCAATTCTTACGTATGGGATGCCAGGTGGTGTCCGGCAGCAGCCTCTTTCACAACCATGTCTGGGTACTGAACAACATTGGCACCGATCAAGAAGAAGGTCGCCTTGACCTGTTGCTGATCCAAGAACGCCAAGAGGTCTGGAGTCGCCGGCGTTGGGCCATCATCAAACGTCAATCCCCAGACATTCTTGTCTGGACACTCGACCACATCATCGCTTGCACAGTCCTCACAGGTCCAATAACAGACACCAGGTTCGACTTTGGCGGGGCAGTCTGGCGGGTCACCCGAATTCAGGGGGATCGACGGAACGCCCGTCAAATCGATCTCAGCTAACCATTGTTGAACTTGAGGGTGATTGACAGGAGGGACAGCTGAAGATGGTGGGAAATCTTTCATGTTGATCGCTGCGGTCGTGGAAGGGATGGTGCTGGCGAGGAAGCAGATAACTGCTGTGCAGAGAAGTATAGGAGAGAGCCTCCTTGGATTGTGGAGGGAGGTATGTGAGGGTGTCATTTTCGAAGTTGTCTACCAGGGTTATTGGTTGGGGTGGTGGAATGAGGCGTGGTATTGATTTGTCGTGTCACCCGTTGGTCGAGTGTAGATGATGAAGAGGTATGACAAAGATAATAAAGATGAGATAAAATGAACGAGGATGAGGTGGGACAGTAACAACGCAAAGAGGTGCCTGAGATGAATGGAATGCAATGAAACGAAAACAAAAAAATAATAATGATAAAAACAAAAAAGGGAAGAAATTGAGTAACTCTGTGTCAAGATATATACTTTCTGAGAATCCTTACACCTCAGGAAGGAAGAAGGATGGGTCTCCGATGACGAGAACACTATCTATCCGCGACTGCTCTCCTTCTTTAGTTGCTACAGTCCAGTCAACATTCAATCGAGGGAGGACACAATACTTGTGAGCGAAGCAAAGTACATGTTGTGTACGAAACATGATTGTTGGTGACAAAAGGGAGTTCTCTGTTTTTTTTGCCTTCATCAGTTAGTGCTATTGGCGTCGCGTTTTTCACATAATGGATGAGGTGTTGCAAGCGCAGGATGGGCAATGGAGAAAAGAACAGACAGGCACACATTGAGGCTGTTGGCTCATGAGAGCTAAGGATTGTTTTTTTCTTTATGTTTCTTTTGGCTGCGTCTGCTGGTTCAAGAGTGGGCTGGAATAAGCAAACAGACTCCTCCTGAGGCACGGACCACACCGCCTGCCAATGTGTCTGTCGTGTTCGAAAAACAAGCTTTATCTCCTTCATCCTACTTGCGTGCCCAGACAACACGGAGACATGCGACGAGAAAAGGAGTCCAGTCAGTCCCATGAATCATCATCATTGTCACACGACGCTTGAAAGCAGCTTGGCCTTTATTTTCAAGGGGACGCACAAAGAAGGGCTCTTTTAAAGAAGCCCTTCTTTTGTGTCTTTTTGCGAAACTAAGGACTCTTTGGAGCCTTCCTTCTGAACGCAGAACAACAAGGAAACATTGGCAATCGTGTTTGTGGACCCTTTGTTCTTTTGTTTTGTGATGATTTGAAAGGGAAAGAAACCTGCCTTAGGAAACTGACGATCGTCCATGCCGATTTGAACTAACGTCTCTCCATCAGTAGACAAAGCCCTCCCTCCGTCTATTTTACAAATCCTCTAGCATGGGACCCATCCCCTTGCCTGTATTACAATTACACACCCATTCCAATATGCTCTTCTTTGCCTAAGATCGAAAAGGCTCCTTTTTTTTACGAGGTGGGCAGACAAAGGTACGCCTTGTTGATCCACTGCTGGGCAACAATGGAAAATCATAGATGGTTGTCCTCTCATGATATTTTTATAACTCCACCTCCTGGAGCCATAAAGCATGGAGGTGGAGAAAAGGACAAATGAAGTCATTCAGTCAGCCAATGCCTTGATTGTATTTCTCCACAAAACTTTGCCCGTTGAAGTTAGTTCAAGAGACATCAGCTTGTCGCGGAAGCAGATATAATAAAGATGTGGAACGCGTCTTCAAGCATGCTCGACTATGCTTACTCCACTCCTCATTCTCTCCTGACAACTCCCGCTCTATATTGCTCGAGCGAACGTATATAACAATGACATTTGTTCTTGCAATTAGGATGGTTGAGTCAGAAAAACATGGCTAACTACTACCTTTTTGTAGGACTTTCGAGGTGTAACTAAGCCGATGGTGAAATCGAGCACTACCTCTTAGTGGCCGATGAGCGTCGAACCATACCGCCGTATAAGCACTTTACCGATGCAGGCGAGAAATTGGTGGTGCATTGGGACACAACCCACCTGGGCGAGTGATTGCCAGTCTGGCCGCCCGCCATCAAAAGTACCATCAGAGGGAGTGCTTTCATAAGTGGTGAACCCGTCCAGCCTCAGATTCGTAATGAGTGATATTTTTTGTCACTGTCAATGATAAGTTTTTTTATTAGTTTCGGATATGGTTGGTAGCGACGATCATGTCTCCTCCTCAGCACCCTTTCAGCAACAGGAAGTTGCTTATCGTTTTTTATTTATGGACTGAGCACACATCCATCCTGTGAATAAATTTTCTCCTCTGTGGACTCCTGTAGTTCATGCCTGCCCTCTCCCATGTTGGACTGGAAACTCGGGTGATACACACACTGAACTGGCGCTTGCAAAGGCGGAAGTTTGGATTTAAAACAAAGCCATGATCAACCTTTGATAAGCGGGATGACGACGATCTAAACGGGGTGGTAACTTCACGCATTTTTTTTTCCACGCCCACCCCTTCTATGACATTCCTTGCCTAATGAATGCCACCGATCCAGCGAACGCCTTCCAGATTGCTGATAGACAATCTTTTCTCCTTTCCTTCTCTCTGTGGCATCCTTTTTGGAAAGAATGTAGTATGGTTTGGAATGTTCAGGTAGGGGAAGACAGGCCGATGTGGGATGGGCGAAATACCCTTTATTTTTCTTATTCTTGTGGTTGTCCTGGCAAAAGAGGAAGTAAAAAGCATGGATCTCCCCCTAGCTTTTTTTTGATCCATTCAGATGGACGAAAAAACACACTCGCGGTAACATACCTCCATTCTGCTTCCTCCTTTCTCTATTCTTTTCACCTTTTCTCACTTTTCTAGTTCACGAGGCGGGTGTGTATTTCCACCATTGCAGCACTCTTCATCGCCCAATAGTTCCTTATCTCCAGATCCCTCCCATTTTTCACCACCACGAGCAACAACACCAGCAACAACACCGACGAACCCCAATCTTCGACGAAACAGCTGAACCAGCAGATGCAGCAGTGGACAGAAGGACGAGGAAGGGACTTGGTTTCAGTCACGACATGGACCAATAACCAGTGGACACGGTTTAAAGAGAACGCTGCCAACAGGATCCTTTTCCAAGACGATGACAGTAGTTTGCACAACGAATCAGGCGACGGTAACGGCGACGACATTGAGCAGAGAGATGGTTTAAAGTCTCTTCGGATAGCACCTGACGCAGAGGAGGTTGTGGTGCAGGTGAAAGAGATGGATGACGGTGAGGAGGATCCGTCGTATTTCCCGGGCGAGATCAGGTTCTTGTTAGACATGCCGGACTGGATCCCGGATTGGTTGACCAGCAAGACGATTCATCCTTCAACGCTTTGGCCACCACCACCACAACCCAGTGCGACTACCAACACGGATACAGAGACACAGAGCGAGGTCGAACGTACTGCCAAAAGAGACGACGACGACGACCAAGCAGAACAACAACGCGAACGTGAACAAGACCAGGACCAGAAGCGCCAAAAACGACCTCCAATCTTAGACATCGTCTACACCTGGGTGAACGGATCCGACCCAGAATGGCAATACAGCAAGCACATCTACGAGGCCAAAGAACCGATCCTACGACGGATCAATGCTGCGAAAGTCGAGAGTCGGATGGTAGGACGGTTCCGGGACAATGACGAGTTGAAGCATTCAGTCCGGTCGGCCTACAAATTTGGGAAGGATGTTATTCGAAAGATCCATATCTCGGCGGCGGATGTGATTGAGGAGGGGCTTTGGGAGATTTGACAGGCTGAGCAGCGGCAGAAGCAGGAGAAGGGGAGAGGCAGATCCAATACCTAGAGGCGGAGGCGCCTCAGCTATTCAAACGGGCTCGTCAGGATTTCGACCGGTGGATGGAGTTTGCGAGAAAGCATGGCGCCAACAGGACTGTGGCTGTGAAGAAGGGCATAGAGGAAGATGACAAGTGTATTGTGGCCGACGAGGAGCCACCAGCGCTACCACTTGTTCTCAGACAGACTGGGCCAGGTGAGGAGGTTGGACAAGTGCCGTCCTGGTTGGATCGATCTTCGGCGTCGCGGGATAAGATCGACGTAGCGCATCATTCGACCTTCTTCAAGAACAAGGACAACCTACCGGTGTTCTGCAGTGTGGCGATCGAAAGTCAGCTCTACCATCTCTGACTTGAGTGAGGTGGTAAGGTATTGGATTAGGCGAACGAAAAGTTGATGCAAGCGGAATCTGGAGTGAAGAACTAAAGAACGTTATCTTTACTCTATACAGTTTATCTATATGAACGACGACGAGTACTTCAGCATGGAGTTGGCGCAGTCAGACTTTTGGACACCCCACTATGGTCTCGTCCTACAAATGACCCCCGCGATCGTGATCGCCCCCCGCCCACGCGACTATGGCAACATCGACCCCCTCGATCGCGGTTATCTCGACAACCTCCAGTTCACAAACTATATCCTCTCCAAACGTTTCGGATCCCCGACCCATCCTCGACCACATTGTCCAGGTCGGCAGTCGCTCTATTCTTAAAGAGATCGAGTCCCTCTGGCCTGAGGCCTTTCTCCAGACAGAGAAGTCGCACTTTCGAACGGACTATGATGGCGAAACGGTGTCGGCCATGTTCCTGATGGCCCATCACACGATTGAGCGACTCCGTGAGACACAGTTACGGTCTTTTTGGCGGTACAGGGTCGACAACAATGCGAGCGGGGATTTGGAGTGGGAGGAGCGGTGGGCACTCTTATCGCTGATCGAGGACTGGAACGCGAGCGGTGGTGGTGTCAGTCGAGAGCGCACAGGCCAAGTAATCAATCACACACCCCAGTTTCTGAGCGGCTTCAGACAAGTGCTGGAACAAACCGGATACGGCGATACACAGAACCAACCCGCGACACGATGCGTCTTTTCCGGCATGGAAGGGTTTCCTTTCCTGATTCCAGACGCCAACACCTCCAAGACCACTCACCACGAGAACTGGTCTGAAGCCAGGGCATTACAGAAACTCAACACTGATTTCTCTGTCATGCCCGCTGACAGGACGTGTATTTTCGATGTCGACTTTTGTCTGGGGCCGATGTTCTTGGAGAGACGTGGGTCGTTGGGGAAGAAGGACGTTGAGAAGGTGTTCAAGAGGATGGCGTTTGAGGAGTTCCATTGTGGGGATTGTTTGCTTCATATTGCGACGTATGGCGATCGGGGGATGGAGTATTATCTGGAGCGGGTCGGGGATGCAGAGGAGAGTGATTGGGGTGAGTATGTCCCCTTTGTGTCTCGTAAGCTTCCTGCTCCTATCGCTGCTGTTGACAACAAAAGTACAGAGGGAGCGGGGAACTCTGAGGAGAACGCCGACAACTCTGAGACCGCCAACAACAAGGATACCGCCAATACTGACAAGGCCCAGAACACAGAGAACACAGAGAATGGCGATCTACAAACCAGAAGCGATGACGCGGATAACGCAGACAACGCAGTGACCGCAGACACCACCTCCGAAACCAACACTAACACCGAAAAGCGCGACACCATCCTCTTCCGCACTTTTTCCACAAAAGACACCCTCGCCCAAAAAATCCTTAAGGCCCAATCCCAAACCCATTACACACCCCATACCCGCGGCATCTCTGCCATCCTCCCCCACCTTTCCCACCACCCAAAAGCCCGCCTCCACATCATGCGGGACCTCTACCGGTACAACTTTGTGATGGGGGAGTCCGATTCCTTCTTTGTGACACTTGTCGAGTTGGAGAACGCGCAGGGGGATATGGCGTTTCTGGATAAGGCCAAGGAGAATGAGAAGAAACTGCATATTGTTTGTTTGAATGATGGGATTATTGAGGAGAGGAATGGGACGGAGGTTAGGGCGTTGTTAACGGAGTTTTTGGAGGATCGGTATGGTGATTCTGCGCCTTGGGAGAAAGTGACCGTAGATAAATAGACGCCATCTATCGTTTTTATATCTTAGCCAAGTAATACGCAAGAAAGCAATGAATTCGTTTATTATTAGTTGAGCAAGGAAAGCATGTATTGAGCAGACTCCTTGGCCTCAAGCGCCTCAAGCGCCGCCTCCTCCTCCTCCGTTGGCTCCTCCACATTGCTGCTACTGTTCCGAATCTCACCCTCCTCTTCCTCCTTTGCCTTCCCCTTCCCCTTCGCACCAGCCAGAATGACCTCAGACGCCGTACCAGACCCAGACTGTGCCAACAACTTTGTCCTCGCAACTTCTGCCAACGCGGTATTGACCTCCAATCCATCCAAATACCCCTTCAAATTCTCCCGGATATCATCCAAAGACTGGCCCCTCCTGTTCAACAACGTCCTGACCCTAAGTTTCATCTCACTCTCCTTCTCGCCCCTCTCAACCGCCTCGTCAAGATCCAAATTCTCGGCGCACAGATGAGCAATAATGAGATCAATCTGCTGCATCACATATAGTCCTGTCTCCAGACGCTGTAATGCCCTCGTGGGTTCCTCCTCTTCAATCTCCTCCTGGGTCAGTTCGAGCTCTTTGTTCTCTTGCTCAATTTTTTCGTCCAGTGCCTTGAGGCGTGCCTCATATCCTTCGCGGAGATCCACGAGGCGTTCGAGCTTTGCATAGTCGTCTTCGACGAATTTCCGGACAACTCGGAGACGGTGTCCCGATTCCAAAGGCAAATTCCTGACAAGCGACGCCATGATTCCGATCAAATGCTCTTCCTCCTCAACCTCCGAGAATGACTTGTATGCCTTCTTCAGCTTTTCAATACCCTAAAACCGATATAATGTAAAAGAAAAAAGTTAGCGTCAATACAGCACCTTGCATGGACCAACACACTATCTCACGACAAAAACATACAAGGTACAAACTTACGTTTCGAGAAAAGATAGAGAACAAGGTTTTAAGACCCATAATCTCAACAAAGCGCAGGCAGTTGGCAGTTCCAGCCTTGGTCGACATGGCATAGTTCAGGACCTTGACAGATCGAATACGGGCCATCTTTTTCTCCTTGATCATGATTACCATCAACTCCATACCTTCACCCTCCAAGAACAGGCGCTTGTTCTCCTTCTCTGCGAGAGCCGAGCACAATCCATCAAACAGGTTCTCCAACACTTCGATCTCGTCGTCATCCTTGGGGTCCTTGCGCTTGTACGCCGCCAACAGTTGCAACAGGTCGTCAATACCTCCCAATTCTCCCAGCCTTTTCCTGTTTGCTGTAAATACGAAATTGTGAATAAAAGAAAGAAATTGATTGTGAGCGAAGCTGATAATTGAAAACGTATGCATTTCAAATGCTAATATAGAATGCGTCCTGCAAACGACGTACCTGAACTGCTCTGCAAAAGAATAGCCAAAAGCTCACTGCAGTATTGCTTGTTGGAATCAAACGCCTTGACCTTGAGACGCTTCATCATCCAGGGCAACAACCCGCTCTTAGAAACAATCGTCTCTGCCAACGCAACCTCAATCGACGTCAAGTTTTCAAAGACAGCCAATGTGTTGAAAACTCCTTGACGATCATTGGTTTCTTCCTCATCCAGTCTGCCCAAGTTCTGAACCAGCAGATCCAAAAGTCCTTGATCGATCAGTCCATGGACAAAGACCTTCATGCCGGCCTCGCCTTCACTTCCTGCAACCTCCTGATCTTCTTCCAGCCCGACGCTCAACACTTCTTCGTCCGTGAGCTCCTTCAACAGTTCAATGGCGTCGATGGCAATATCTGGGTTCTCGTGTGTCAGAAGTGAGAGAATCGAGGAAATGGTGTTCAATTCTACGAGAACGGGGTAATGCTGAGGTGCCTGTGTCATGGCCATCATCCGCTTGATTTCCTCGTCCAAGTCTGCCTCTGACTCCATGAACCTAAGCAAAAGCGATGCAAATCATTAGTCAGTGTGAGGCTTCGTTGAAAGTAGTCGTCATCGAATATCAAAACAAAGGCATTCTGCTTGCTCTTACTTTGTAGGATCGTCAGGGTACTTGACGCGCATCTCTTGGTTCTTGTTAATAGACTTTTCAAACTTGAGAATCATCTTTCGAACCGCTGACAAGTCGAAGCGCTCCTAAGTCATGAAGAGCATTAAATATGCCGGTTAGTATTCCGGTTGCTGGCGTTGCTCCTGTCACGACTCCTCCAAAAGTGGCCACAAAAAATGCAGATCCTGATGGCAAGTATGGTTCATACCTCCTCAGGGTCAATCTCATCGACATAGTCGAGAATATCCTTCTGATCGCTTGTCAGACCATCGCCAAAGAAGCGATCATCTTCATCTTCCTCGGGATTCGCGACTCCCTCAAACCGATCTCTGGCACCGTCCTCATCATCCTCCTCCATGGTTACAGCCCTCCGCTTGGCCGAGGAAGAGCTTCCCTCGCCCTGGGAACCGACTTCGAAAGTCCGTCCTGTGAGTTCCTCGTAACTGGCGTGACGTGAGTTCTTCCTGTAGAGCTCGTCGGGTGATACCAGTTTGCGTTTGACACCTCCTTTTGATGCTGGGGCCGTTGGTGCCTATTGGTCCCGGTAAGAGGGTAGACAATAAAAGGGGGAGGTGGAGTGTGAGCGAAAGATGGTTAAATGACCTTAATGTTGTTGATTGCGTTTTCTCTAATGCGAGTTGAAATGAGGAGTTTTCTTCTTCCTTCAGTGTGTTGTAAGTCTAATCCTGTTTTGTACCTTGAAGATGCTGTCGATATCCATGCTGGCTGTTCCTGTTCCTCGTCTGGGCGTGTTGTTTGGTTGTTTGGTGAGTGTTGCATGCAACCAGCCGCACTCCTGGTCAAGTTGATCGCGCAACGAAGCAACGAAGGTGTGGCTGAGCCACCGACTAGAAATAAAAACCAGTCACGCTGTCATTTTGAACAAAGGGAAAAGAAAAAATACGAACGCCCAAACACACACAAGGGTTATCAGATGTGCTTCAGGCAGGGCAAAGGGAGCGTGAGCGGTTTCTTTCTTTTTATTACTCGGGGTTAAAGGGTTTGTCAATGGATAGATGGATCATTTAAGCAGTAATAGGCTCAGGAAGGGCCTCAGCCAATGCAGTCATCGTAAACGTCGACTCCTCGTCGTCCTCGTCCGCAAAATCATCGGGGTCGTAGATGACTCTGATCAAGAGCGAACAGCTCGGGCACCGAGCAATATCCTCGCCATCCTGAAGCTCCTCCTTGGTGATCTGGAACCGGTCGCCGCACGGACAAGGGTAAAAGTAGATATCCTCGTCCTCGTCGTACTCAAAGTCCTATTTTGTTTAGGTATATTATAAGTGTAGGTTAGTGAGGTGTATCTTGGCAAGGCGACTATCGGGAGGAGGGGGACAAGGAAAGGAACTTCAAAGGAAAGTGTTTCGGTTGTAATCCAAGCCAAACGCTGTAGAGTACATTCTGTGAGAGAGAGTGTGTGTCTTGTGGAGGTGGTCTGTGTCCTAGAAGTAAACAAACAGAGATGAATGGAGAACTTGCCTCGATTTCAATCTCGTCGTAAAAGGATGTCATCGTTGACTATTATTATGTGTGAATGTGAATGAATGAAAGGGTGACAGTGGGTGTGAGGAGGGGTAATAGTCGAATGTGATGGTTGTTACGAGGAGTGAGTTAGAGGGAATGCCGAGTGTAAGTGTGAAAGAAGTGTGGAGAGGGAAGGATTTAAAACCATGCGCTGCGGCGAACAACAAGCAGGGAGGACGCCGGCACAAAAGGAGAGATGGTGCCAGCTCTTTTTGCAGCCCTTAACGATAGGTTCTTCGCTAGGAACGTTTCGCTAGGCCGAGCGAGTACCTGCCTGCCTCTTGGTCGCTACAAAGCGCCTTCGAGCGCAGTGACAGCAAGTGAGGCCGTAACGACTATCACATCAGCATCAGACAACACGTTGCCACTAGGAGAACGACCTTGAGTATGATATCCCTAGCTGCTAATACATGTCCTTCATAGTATTCACAGGCTATCACCAATTCATACTTCAATCATTAATATGTCTTTACCCCAGAGTACTAGAATACAACCAACGTGCCTGCAGAACTGCGGTCATTTCCCCCAGATGTGCTCATCTCCTGTAGATAAATCCTTTTTGTTTTCCTTCTGCACTGCCAACCTAGCGGGGAAAGCGCGTTTGGTGTTGCTTGGAATATAGAAATCGATGCTGACTGACTCTTCATTCGTTATCCCCCCTGTAAACATTCCAAGACGTCGGAATCGGACTAGAGACCTTTTTTTCTTCCTCCAATGCTTCTTCCAGGCCATTTTCGTATGCATACTCGCCAGCAATACAAGAAGAGAGGACTTGACTTTTGCTTAAAAGCAACCGTCATATTTCATAACCCACTTTTTCTCTTCAATTTTCTCTTCCACCTGTCCAGCTTTCCTCATCTCCCAAATCCCAACCTCCTACGGTCAACACAACTTTCCACAAACACAAAAACAAAATGCGTTTCAGTGCCACCGTTCTTGCCTTGGTCGCCTTCATTGCACCATCAGTCCTTGCAAAGTCCTGGGATGTCAACGTCGTCAATGGTCTGTTCTCGCCCCAAGAGCTCGACATTGCTCCCGGTGACACAGTCAACTGGCCCAACAACGACGGTGCCGATCACGCCATTGTCGAGACCATCCCTGGAGCCCGCTCCTGCAACAGCACCGGAGGATTCAACTCTGGTCGCAAGACCAAGGGTCAGGCCTACACGCGTGTCTTCCCCACCGCCGGCGTCGTCAATTACAAGGACGGCATTGGCGCCAACTGTGCCAAGGGTGCAACAGGTACCATCTACGTCGGACCTCGCCCTACTGGCGCGGATCCCAACGCTAATGCCACCACTAGCAGCGGCACCGGCGGAGCCACTTCCTCTGGAGCTACTGGAGCCACTCCCTCTGAAGCAATTACCACCACTACATCGACTGCTCATCCTGCCATCACCCCTTCGCCCACCACCAAGCCAAACTCTGCCTTTGGTCTCTCTGCGTCAGTAAACGCACTCTTCCTCGGTGTTGTTTGTTTCGTCGGTGCCCTCGTCGGTTTCTAAGAAGCTTTCTGTCTTTCAGTCCATTCTAGGTATTCTCGTGCCTTGTACATACTCTTCCCCTTCCCCTTTTTCTGAATAAAACATAAAATTACGAGCTTCGGCTTAGAAACGTCATCTTGACCACCTGTGCTCCTGGAAGGAGTCATGTCCAGAAAGGTATCAACGACAATCCCATCTCATCTGTGTTTGTTTCATGATCTTTCTTCGTCGTAAGAATACGCGCGGTTTAATGAGTAAAAAAAAATTGCCTTGCCCTTTTCCCTTAGCTAATAGAATCGCACAACACATTCGCTTCATTTGGGTGTGACTCGATGCCTATCTATTCTTAAAACCACATTCTCTATCCTCCGCATTCCATTTGAGCAGCTCTCATGAAGATCTGAAGATCTAGGTTGTGGGCTCGAACCTTGTAATTGTCCTGTTTAGAAAAAAGATGGGGTGCAAAAAAGCAAGAAAAAGATCACCAGACCCTTCCTTCGAAACACTAATTGGTATTTTTGTATGCGCCATGGACACAAATCGTAGCAATGACAAAATCCACTCGACAACGAAAGAGTGCTCATTGTTTCCGTAACACATACAAACAGCGTACTCACGCCGCGCTCTTGAGTGAGGGTGTTGTAATATTATGCCCATTCATTCCTACAACCGCTCCCCCCTGTCACTTGGTGAACTGGTATTCAATTCGAGAATACTGAGATATGAGAGGAATAAGGCAAGAAAGAACAAGTCAAGTATAAACAATAGGATTGAGAAAAACGTGGTAAGAACGAAGAGCAAAGTGTTGCCAATTCTATGAATTATGAAAAGAGCAGGAGATGCAAAATAGAAGATGAGGTTATTATGGTTACGAAAGAGGGGCAACATCTCCAAGGCCAACCCTAATAAATCAGTTGATGCATGGTGTGTATTGACCATGTTCGAGTGGCAACAAAAGAAAGGGAAATGAATTGGGGTGGTTCCAATGGCATTGGGCGGGATGGCAACCCAACACAATCCCCGAGGGAAGTGGGTGAATAGAACATGTGTTTTTCAAAATTCATGCACGTTGCATATTCATCACTCCTCCCTCCAAAATGACCCCAGGCAGCCATGTCATGCAATCGAGAGAGAGAGGCAAAATGAGAGGTCCACAACGGATAAAATAAACCGCACTAAGGGGGTTGATTACAGAGCCATTTGGAGGCACATCTGCTATCAAGATGCAAAGACGGTGTGTTGTTGCACCCCACCTGGAGCAAAGGAACATGTAGGGGAAAAAAAGAGAGAGAGAGAGAAGGAGAGAGAGAGAGAGAAGGTGGCAAACACGGAGAAGTAGTGGTACTTTTTCGTCCGTTGACTCTTCGACGACAAGCCATGTACCTCCCCCTTGAGAGCACCATTGTATTTTTTGTGGGGTGCGGTTGTGGCCGGGGCATCCTTTTAAAATAAAAAACTATTATGAGCAAGGGAATGACTTATTCAGTCTACGAACAGATGCTGAACCTGGACATATATTGCGTATTTTTTTTTGCCATTGACTGAGAATGAGCGGCAAAAGCAAGGAGGAAAAAAAAAAAGAAGGGACCGAAGCAGGGCACTACATATACTCAGACACAAACACACTGTGGAATACGCTCCACCCAGAGAGAGAGTGTGTGGGTATGTGAGCAATTGGCCCGGGTCTCCTTGTTGTTGGATTTTTTTAACTTCTTCTCGCAGGTCATGGTTCACAACTTGGTACCTCCACTCTGACAGACGCAGACAGAGAGGCCGAGGACAGACAACAAAACAACAGCGAAGTTTTTTCTCGTTGTTCGTCCACCGCATGCCTTCTCTTTTCTTTTCTCTTTGTCTGTCCCTTTTTTTTTCTTCCATCCACTTCTCAATCGAACCCATCTGACCATCCCACTCGTTCTCGATCAGGACCCAAACCACAGACATATTCTAACAACAACAACAACAACAAAGGCCAACTTACTCCTATTTTTCTGCCTTTCCTTTCCCCCACCCCACTCCACTCCACTCTCTCACTCGCATACTTGCTCCACTCTTTCGCCCTCTCTCTTACCAAGTCACTCTCCTCACTCCCTCTCTCCCGCTCTCCTCTCCCTTGGCCAACAACTTACGACGTGTATGTAATTCCCCTCACCCCTTCCCAGATCGACCGCTCATCTATCGTCACTCTCCCCTTTCCTATTGCACACATTGGCACATATTTCGGAGCATCTCTCTTTTCTGTCCTTGTTCACAGTCGAATGACCTCCCCTTTGGTTTCCTTCCCTTAGACTGCTGCTCTCGCTCACTTGGCCCACCTTTTTTTGTTCTGACACCTTCTTGTGCTGATTGCACCGCCACGCTCCTTCCCTCACTCTTCGCCACGCCTTGTTTTTCTATTGATCCTGACGACTCGATCCCACAGCGACGCACCGAGCCCATTCAATTCTTTTTCGTCTGAATGTAAGTCTCTTTCATTCCCCTGGAGAGAGATCCCTTTGCTCAGCAACCAACCCGACCAACCCAGCCTGGTTCTCCAGACGTCCTGTTCCAGGGCAGGGATATCATTGGCGAGGTCTTACTCCTTCGATCTGTGATATATTCTTATTTGTCTTCAACCACCCATGTCTTTTTTATCACACCGATGCCTTGATTCCCTGTCCACTGATTGACCGCGTCCCATTTTTTCCTTCTATGTTTCATCCACCTCCTCCTCCTTATTGCCTACCCAACGCTAATCCTGACCTTACTTGCCATTATCTCGTCCTTTTTCTCATCCTCTCCCTCCTCCTCTCTTTTCTCACCCTCTCCCTCCTCCTCCTCTCTTTTCTCGCTCTCTCGCTCCATCCACTCCACAGTTCCCTCCCACAGACTCGGACCATCTTTGTATATCTCACACCAACGCTCTCACAGGTCTATCACCGCCGCATGGATCAGCCCATTATGAACTACACACTCTCGTCCTCCTTCAACTATACGCCGGATGTCGTCGACTTTGAGGCCATGAATATCACCGACATGTTCCCTGAACAATCGTCCTTCTCCTTCGACATGAGTAACAGCTACTCGGACTCTATATCTGGAATTCCTCTCGCACAGCAGGCTCTCTGGGACGACGGACAATTGACTTTGCCCAACTCTAGTCGAGTCTTCAACTCTTCTTCCCTCAGCAGCAGCGTCAACAGCAGTGTCAACTACGGTCACCCGCAGCAACAACAACAGTCCCTCCATCTTCGTGTACCTATGCCTTCTTTACACCAAGGGCGTCACCACCTTCAACCCCATCCACTATCCCAGCAGTATCAAGGATCACCACTGAGGGGCGATGATGGATATCTAGGTGGCAGTCAAGACGACGAAGACGATGGTGGGCATGATTTCCATGGCGACGAGAGTAGTGGCCATCTTGCATGGATGGACGACACCAAGGACCAAGGGACCATGCTCCACTATAATGATCAGGAGCGTCGCGACGAACAACATTTGCAGTTTCTTCAAGATATTGGAGCTGGAAGTGCTAGTCGTGGCGATAGTATCTCCCTCTTTGACGAACTCAATGATGGTAAGTTTTTTTTTGCTTTGTATTCTACTCTTTCGAGTTTGAACTAGGCTAACTTGTCACGTCTACAAGGGATAGGAAGAAGGGACGAGAGATAGGAGAGGGGGGTGGGGGTGTGGACTGCGAACGACCATCTGGAGGGAAAGAAAAAAGGGGAGACGACATGGAGGGACGAATGGAGTGAAAGAGGAAAGGGTTTGGACGACAGAGAGTGACCGAAACGTCTTTGCAACCCTGACAATGGATGATGCAGCATGACATACGCCCACTTACCCCGACCATGCAGCCGAAGAAAATATGACAAGAGGACGTCGAGATGTTTTTCTATCGTCTCGTTGCCCAATGATCCGACGCCACTTCCCCTGGCCTCTTCATGTTCTTTTCCCCTCGACACACAGACCCTCTTCCCTAGATCGCATCAGGGCCACATGCGGCAGGAGTATATATCATACAGGGGCGCATCGGTGTTGTTAATGGGTGCCAGGTAAAGAGGAAAGTGGGAGGAACAGCATGAATTACTTTCTTTTCAGAAGTGATCTCCCTCTGCCTGGGATGATCTACTTCTGTTCTATCTTTCCCTCTTTTCCAAGACTCTCCCGTCCATCTTACACTCCTCGTCCCCTTTTTCATGATGCGCCTGTTATCCCAATGGTATCATCGAAGGAAAGTTGGAATGGCACCAATACCAGTCCAAGCTGGCTTTCTTTTCTATATATGAGCCCCTTTCTTTACACATTGGGTCGTGCAGCGTCTGCACGGTGTGAGTTGTGTGGTATGCGTGTACGTATTTTGTGGAGAAGTGCAACACGATGATGCAGTATGCAGTATGCATGGGACACCGGACCAATGTGGAATGGCAAAAGGGGGCCAATGCCTGTTTGCCTCCTTTTCTTTCCTCCCCCATGAACCATGGCCACTCCGTCCTTTTTTCCATTTTACCCAACAAAGTTGGTGTATACACCTCACGTTCGCCTTTGTTGAACCAATCGGTCCTAGCTTCTGTTGTACACAAACCACACCCCCTTGGTTCTGGCTCCATCCTTCCCTTCCATTCCGGTCCCCCTTCCCCAAAAACCAGATTTCATAGTATTTTTTTACTCACGCCACTTTTCTCTGTGTCAAACAAAACATAGCATCAGAACTGAGCTGCGATCTCTTCAAGGAGCAGATTGGCATGGACGAGACCAGGGACCATTCTCGGCTACCCTTCGAACACCACACCCTCAACACCCACTCGCACTTCAACAATGCCGGGGGACATTTGGAAAACGAGATCTTTGACCGCGAATTCATGGCTTCGCTCAACGCTCTTCCTTCAGCTTCTTCATTCTCACCTATGGATTCATCATCAGCCTTCAACAACAATACCCAGAGCAACATCATCAGGAGGAATCCTAACAATATTTTGGATGGGCTTCACAGCATCCCGGCCCCAGAACTGAACCACGACGAGAGTATCCATCTAGGACAGCGAAAGCACGAGAGTCGATATGATGGGTCGGAGCGGAGTGGGACTGGGGAGACGTATCAGCGGGCGCTCAAGAGTTTCTTTGATTCGCTCAAGGTCGCTGATCCGATCAAGACCCCACACAAGTTTGCACCGCAGCCTCTTCCTATCCTTTGGAACGAGCCCAAGATCCGGTCCAAGAATTTGCCGAGTTTTAATCTGGCGGATTATAAGGATCTTGCCAAGGCGACCATGCCCCCAGGCACACCCACCTCTCTTCCTCCCTTAAAACCGATCACTACCGCGAATGGAACCAATGGTACAGCTTTCAAGTCGGCAGCTTCAGGATTGTCAAACCGCCTCAATGGAAACACCAACCGCGACTCGTTCTCATCATCACCCACCAACACTCACTCGATCCCCAACTCTGCCCATTCCTCTCCACTCTCCTCCATCTCAACGTCTCCTCCAACAGCAGGTATCCGATCCAAGATGCCCCTCGCTGATCCCAGAACCCCAACCACCGCAACCTACACTTCCAAATTGACCTACCCACCATTTCAACCTCAGGACAAGGAACCAGGCTCCCCGCAACAACAACAGCTTTCGCCCACCATGAGCGAACAGCGTGTGCGTTCGAAGCGGCGACCGACTATTCTGAATCCCCACTTGGCGTTTGATCCGACCATCTCACCAGCCGAGCGTGCTGCGACGGAGGAAGTGAAGACGCCATCAACTCCTCGTGGGACTCTGGAGAGGCGCTCGACCTTGCAGCAGGCTGTCCGACCAATGGGTACGGGGCCTGAGGATCCCAAGTCGGATGAGGATACTGGAGCCAATGAACAGCAGCAGCAGGGGACGATTGGCAAGGCTGGGTCGACGATGATGGGTGGTCTCCGTGGACCTGTTGCTCGGAAACGCCGATCCTTGCACCAAGGTAACAATTATATCTGGAAAAATGTGTCTCGTTTACTCATTCGCAATATACAGCACTTCTAACTTAATTTTTTTTGGTCGTTCAACAACTTCATGTAGATATGTTCGTGAACGAGAACGGACAAGGAACTGACTTCAACCTGGCCGATCAAGGACAACAACAACCGCATCACCACCCCATGGAAAACTTCGCGGACCAAGGCGAAGACCAGCAGCAGCAGCAGCAGGAGGATGAAGAGTTGGCTCGTCGTGGTTCACGCCCCCAATCAATGAACATTCTCCCCGAATCCCTGACCTCCGTCAACAACCACGCCTTCCACCACGAAGAAACTGCAAAAGTCGAGCGTGTCGAGCGAACCCGTCGGTTATCAGAGGAAGAGCGACATGCAGAGAACTTCCCAAACGATGTCGCCCCACCAGCACCAACATCTCCCTCAGCAGCAGCGTTGGCGACTGGTTCGCCAGTGTCTTCTGCCAATAATAGGATCCCGGCCGCGCTTTCGTTAGGACGTGCTGCTGGTGCGCGGTTTGGACGCTCTGGAAGTGGGGGCGCGGGATCTCTTGCTCAGATTAGCCCTACAACTCCGACCGCCACTAACCCTTATGGGTCTTTGAGTGGGCGGACAGCTGCAGGAGCTGCAGCGGCGATGGCAGCAGGAGGAGCAGGAAGCCGCTTGGCCAACACGCCTCACCGATTGAGTCTTACAGGAACGACCGCTGCTTTTGCAAGGCAACAGTTGGACGATGCGGCGGCGGCTTCTCCCTCGACCCCTACTCAGGCCCAGTACATGCCTAAGCTGTCTCAGCCGGCAACAACAACCCTTTCGAGGAGTGGAACGCGTTCTTCGCCTCCTACCACTGCAGGATTGCGTCGACCCGGGTTCGCAACTCAGCAGGATGATTACAATGGTGGTGGAAGCGGCGGAAGTGCTCTTTCGTCACCCACCGAGCAGTACGATGATTATTACCGCGCTGAGAAGGAGTTCCAGATGCAACAGCAGCAGCCGCCCGCGCGTTCCAGCTACCTTCGCCAGCAGCAGCAGCAGAAGCAGCAGCAGCAGGATATGGAACAACCTGAATGGTTCGACAACAACGAGGAGGATCATCAACAACCTCGACGCATCCCCTCCACGCCCATGAAATCCTCACGCACATTACCTCCAGCACCGCTGTCACCCTTGGATCAACAACAGCAACAGCAGCGCGATCAGCGAGAGCAACGTGACCAGAAACATCTCCAGCGTCTGAGGGTCCAGCAACAGGCACTGGAAGAGGTCTATGGTCATGGAAGCGGGTATGGTAGCAATTACCCCGACAACCAGGGTGGATTCATCGACGACCACCATCGTCTCCCTCCTCAGCAAGGACAGTCCAGGCACCAGGCTCAACTGTCGCCTCGGCATCATCGCGATCAGCGCGATGACTATTTCCGCTCCTCGATGCTGGCTTCACCACCATCCTCGCCTCGGGACTACCTCTCTGCAACGGCCACCACGCCCAAGGCAAGTTCTATCCAGCATCACCAACAGAGTCGGTACTCTCCTCCCATGCTGTCGTCCGCCCTGCCGTCCTTGACCTCAACACTCCCTCCCCGCACCTCAGAGCATTACCGCCGCCAGAGCAAAGACGGATACAGCCTCATGTCTGCCCCCCGGATTTCACCCCCTCTCACTGGACTCCCAACTATGTCTGCTCGCACTCCTAGCAGCTCCCAGTTGGCGAACCCTAGACGATCCTTGTCGCAGGGTCTGAGTGGTGCCAGCACCCTCCCCTCACGTCGTCTCTCGAACACCCCCAACGTCGGCAATGATGGTTTTGGCAGCAATGTTGGCGGTATCGGCATGGGTCTTCATGGTCGATCAGGATCTTCAGGATCATTACAACGTTCCAACACTTATGCTTCACAACCATCACCATCAGCGGGAGGACGTGGTGCTACCGGTGGAGTTCCCTCACTGTACTCTGACGGGAACTTGCCATCTGTGGCTGGTGGCAGAAGACCCATGTCTTCTATGATGAACAACGGCGCAGGAGGCAGTGGACTCCCTCATTCCTCTCGTCGCTCAGTATCAGATTCCTTGGGCGGCAACGTCCGCGCATCATCCAACTCTGAATATGCCCGCGTCTTCAACCCCAACCCCCCACCTCCTCTCCGATCCTCCATTCCCTCGGCTGGAGGAAACCACTACCAATACCAACAACAGCAAGACTCTTACACCTACCGTCCAGAAGTCCCACTCCGCCAATCGTCCCTCAGTGCCGGCGGTATGGCGTCCGGTATCGGTGGTGGTGGTGGAGGAGGCCACGTGAGCAGCAGGAGCAGTATCGCCTCCCTCCGAAGCGGAAGCACAAGCTCCCTACACGGACTCTCTGCCGGTGGCTCTGGTTCTATCCCCTCTTCGGCATCACAGTTGCGAAGAGCCGCGTCCATGAACGTGTCCGCTGCCGGTGGCGCTGGTGGACACCACGGCCTTGGGATTGGTATGGGTGGAGGAGGAGGGACGACGTCCCTGGGAAGGGCGGGTGGGATGATGTCCGCGGCTGCTGCTGCTTCTCGGCAGTCGTATCAGCCTCAAGGGATGCAGTCTCAGCAGATGCAGATGCCTCAGCAGCGGTACCAGCGGACGTCCATGTATTCCCATCGGTCGTGAGTTTTGCTACACACAGTAGTTAAAAAACCTGTGCTGTCACTAGCCAAGTTTTTTGTTTGGAAAAAAATAAATATCTAACAAATAATGACATGATTTTCGTAAGCCTCCTACAGTTCATGATGTCTATGGTGTCGTGTCGTCAAGAGTGGCAGCGAGTACGTTTTTTTTGTGTTTTAATTTGACAAAAGGGTAGAAAAGGTCCACCATGGGGGGTTATTGTTTGCTGAAATGAACAAATGGGTAGTGAAGGTTGGCTAAATACATATTTTTTTCTTCATACTATCAACAAGTGTGCTAGAACAAAGCACACGCACGCACGCATAGTCGCTTTAGTACTCGCGAGCAGGGACCTCCAAGCGATCAACAAGGATGGGGTACTTGCGGGTACCGACATGATCCTCGTTCTCGACACGGATGGTGAACTCGAGTTCAAGACCAGAGAGTTCCCGGACCTCACACCAGTTGCGACGGTTGAGCAACATTTTGTGTTCCAAATCCTCGCCGTTGACGTCCTGGTGGAAGATATCGATCATCTCCTCGGAAGTGTGGTCGTTCAAGGGGTAAGTCTTGGCCGACTTGTGGAGGGCCTTGATGACAGCGCCGGGTGGGGGTCCGCTATTGCAGTGAAAGTAGGATAAGGGTGCGATGGTAAGTAATGGTCCTTGTGCTGAGGTGATGTAAAGACGTGGTAGGAAGGAGCAGAGGAGGTTGTTGAACATGAGAAGGATGAATGATAAACGTACTTGACGATGGCAGAGGAGACAATCTGGGTCATGTGCAAGGGATCGCGGAGACGGTCGGTGGAATTGGTGGCAAAGAGGCGACCGGCACCTCCAACATGGACATCACCACCGACGAAGGTGGTACGGACACCACGCTGGGTAGAGATCGACTGCAAGAGCTCGACAAATTTTCTCTTTTCCTCGGTGTGAATGTTGCAAGCCCACGAGTCGACCTAAGCGTATAAACGAAGCGAGATGGCGCCATTAGTCAATTAAACAGGTTGTCCGGAGATAAACATAGAATAGAGTACAAAAGAGAGCCTAGAACTTACCAAGTCATCCAGCAACTCAGGTCCGAACTGTCCCAAGACGTTTTCAAAGGCCTTGCACTTTCCAAAAATCTTGCCGACGACACCCTGGCGGGAGAGGGTGTCACCCATTTTTTCAAGGGTATCTTCGAACAAGGTCAGAGCTGGGTAGACGAGAGGGGTACCCAAGACAATGACCAAGTGCTTGGTGGTGGGCAAGAGGTTGGAGCGGATCTGCTCGTCCAAGAGCCTGTAGGTCTCTTCCGAGAGAATCGTCTCCTTGGAGCGCTCAGAGCGGGTATCGGGGAGGACGACCAGGGTGCGCTTACCGAAGTGAGTAATGCAGTTCCAGCCCTTGCCAGAAGAAGAGGTCGTGAGGCCAGCCTGGCGAGTGGTCTTACGGTTGGCGTGCTGCTGGAAGAGGAGGTAGAAACGGGAGGCGGCAGCACCGATACCTAATATGCGTTAAGAATGACAGAAGGAGGGTCGTGAGTTGACTTAGTTGTATGTGATGATGAGCGTATCTTTGTCGTCTGTGCAGCAAGCTAAAAAGAGATTGACGCAAGCACAACTGGATCTCGGCAACTCTTTGCTGAATATGTCGTGGGCTCGGTCTCGGTAAAAACAACAACAACAACAACAACAACACTGAAGAATAAAAACAGAATTGGCCGAGAGCGGGACAGAGTCCTCCCAGTGATAAAAAGAGCAAAATTTGAAATCCAGGGGGGAAGTAAAGAAGGAAAAGGTAAAGAGAAAACCAACAAACGTGCGAAAAACAGGGTCGGCAAACTGGAATAACAACAGTGAAAGAAGTGAGACAGAAACATACCCTGCATGACATCGGAAAGCTGGTACTTGGGAGGGTAAGAGCCGTATCCGTCCAAGATATCGTGGTCATCCCAGGAGTTGACGGAGGGAATCAAAGACAGGGCCTGGGAGTAGGTGCCGGTGGTGAAGTGCTGGACGTAGTGGTCAAAGTAGTACTTCTCAACAGCATAGCGCTTTTGTGCGTCAAACTCGGTGGCGATTCTCTCCTCCTCGTCCATGGCCAACCACTCGATCATCTCAGGGGTGGCGAGGACATCGTCGTTGTAGATCTGGTCTCCTCCTCCGACCATGGTGTGGAAGGGCTGGGCGTCGTGGGCAGACAGGAGATCGTCCCAGAGAGGGTTGGCACCGTGGAAGTTGGTCTCGGGGTCCTCGACATCCGAGGTGAAGCCGTTGCAGGAGTAGAAGGCCCAGTTGTGGGCCTCATCCAGGGCAGGAACGAAGAAGTTCCAGGTCTGGGGGGTATCGGTACGGCGGCCATCCTCGGTCTCGAACCAGTAGGTGATGTTCTTCACACGGTGGTTCAAAAGTGTCAACTGAATGTCGTAGCGGTAGAAATGGTTGCCCTCCCACGTGTCGAGGAGACGGGCACGGGAGTAACCGACCTCTCTCTTGGTGGGGTCACGGATGACCAAACGAGGGGGGTCGCGGCGGTCGGTGACAATCAAGGCAGAACCAACCCAGCGACGCTGCTCAACATTGATATCCTGATAGCGGAGAACGGGACCGGCCTTGAACTGGGCAGAGGGCTTGATGCTGGCGTACTCTTGCCTGGTGGCCTCAATGGCAGCATCCTCGACCTCATCCTCCTGTTCAAGAAGGGCGTTGGGACCATCGTCCTCGTCGCCCTTGCTGCCGTAGACAGCGACGTTCTTGACGTGCTGCTCGTGGTCCTCGCCGGAGACGAGGTCTTGGACGCGGTGAGCAATATCAGAAACGAAGTTACTGATGGAATCCATTTCAGTATATGTATGTGTGAGAGTGTGAGTTTTTGGTGAGAGAGGAAAGGAGGAAGGGGTATCGAGTGGAGGGTGAAGGAACAGGGTAAGAGAAAAGAAGAGAAGTAAAAAAAGTAAAAAAGTAAAAAAGGAAAAGAAATATAAAAAAAACCGGGTCTAACAAAGTTGCGCGGGATTGAGAGCAATGACCATCATCACATCAGCAGAGGGGAGGACGAGGAGAGGAAGAGAACACTTTCTCTCTCACTCGCTCATTCTCATGTGTTTGCAACTTCTAAGGTTCTCGTCCAAGTGCGTTGAATGTTTGGAGCGAAAAGGTAGCAAAGAGAAGCAGCGAAGCGGCCAATATGCAATGTCACAACCATGCGGCCGTTTTCGCTCTTTTCTATTGTTCATTCATGTTGTCATTCTCATAGACATTGTTGTTATTTTGGTCTTCTCTGCTCTTCTTTTTTGCTTTTCCCCCGGAAAACGACCACATTTGTACCTTCAGAGAAAAGTAACGGAAAACGCACGAAAGAATAGCAACGAGAACAGAGAACGAAGGGCTCCTTAGAGTCAAAACGTTCAGTAACTCCACAATCTCCTCTTTGCTTTCTATCACTTCCCCCCTCCATTGATAGAAGAGAAGAGAGACGGCTGAGGTTTGGACCATGACCAGCAGGGAACTGGACCTTTCCCAGGGTCACTGCCCAAATTGCTCCATACACATGCGTGCGCATACGCATGTAAAAGAAAGCCAAAAAATACCGACCTTCGGATATCTCGATTCTGAATCCGGACACTTTTTTCCACCCTGCCGCTTCTTCTGCCTTTCTTCTCTCTGCCGTTTGCTGCTCTTCTGAAACAAGCGACCTTTGGGCTTTCGGGTTTTCTCGATTGTATTCCTTAACTCCATTTTCCCATATGTACTGTACTGTACAGTAGCATGGGTTGAGCTGGAAAAATATATGTGCCATTCATACTTGAAAAGGCGATAGAATGAGCTCAAGGCGATAGAGACTTTTTGTTATTTTCTTGGTAAAAAACAGGGTGCAGGGTGATGCCCCACTGTCATCATGTGCTATTTAGTGTTTTCTCCCTGTTATGTTGCTTATGGGACCATGGGACAAACAAAGAGATAGTGAAGACAGATGGACAATCAAAACAGCGAGAGGCAAGACGGGCTGCTGTTTTAATGCGCCCATTTCTCATTTCCATTTCGACTAAACTAGTTTTCTACCCACTCCAATAGCCCAATCTCTCCTCCTTCTTCTTGCGTACCTAAGCCTGGACTTGAACCATCTCGACTGAGTGTGAATTTTTGTTATCAATTGAAAATGTATGCACAAAACATACCTTTCTATTGCTCCCTCTCCTCATGTTGTACCTGGCTGGTCTGTTGCGAGAGGACGGGCGTCAGTTCAAAACGACCAAATATCGACCCCTGTGTCGTCTCATTGGACACTGATCAACGATTAAATGTGTTGAATTCTTTTTTGTCTTGCTTGCCCTGGGGAACCGTGAGTTCCAATTGATTGATATTGGAGGTCCTCCAATAGTACTTGGTCATGGAATTAACATCCTTTTGCTTTTCTCTCACTCTAATTTTCCTTTCCTCTTTCATGTGTGAGAGTTTGTCGTCTTGCTTTGCTCCTCGCATTGACCTGAAGCAAATGCTGAGGGAATCGCGCATAAGCAAACATCCGGAAAGGAAAAGTAAAAAAAAAAAGGCATGGCCCATTTGTTCTTTGCTATTAACTTCGTGTGTGCGTCCGGAGAATCAGAGTGTAAGCGAATGTTTGTTTGTTTGTTCCTGCGAACGCTCTGTTCGCTTCGGTGTTTTCGTTCAGTTCCCCGAGGAGAAGGGGAAGGAACGGGAATCTATTTGACCAGACCAACAAGACTGGACCACGACCAAAGTAACTAACGGCAAAGGGGAAGGAAGATTCATGCAATTTGGGCAAGATCTCAAGCCTCCTTGTTCGCGCCTTGGTTGACAAAAGGAAGGAGGGATGTCTCGGCTCCCCTCACTTTGCGTGTGTACTTTGCCTGCATGAGCATGGGTGTGGTCTTTTTATCTTACGGAGGGTTTGAGCAAAGATTGTTTTGTATTTTGAGGAGCAACCCATGGTACAATAAGGTGCCTCAGCTCCCTTTTCTTGTTGCCCTTTTTTTTTCTCGCCTAATACAAGAAAAAAAACCACCCACTCGCGACATTCGACGCGCCATTTGACAACCAACCACGGACTCGCCATCAGCGACATCTACCAAATGGACCCTCGGCAAAACTCGATGCAGGATGAAGCCGACTAGAGAGTGTTCGACATGGCAGCAACACATAGTTCCTTCGTAGGACTATTCATTCCTAGGAGTACCATAGCACCAGATACCACTGAATGCAGTAGATGAACAATTCTCAACGCCATCTTCAGTAATATCGCGACAACTGTTAGAGTTGCCTCGACGAATCCCAGCTCTATTGACCACCAAAGCCCAGCTGCTCCTCCTCGAGGTGTCAAAATGTCCAAGTGGAAAGTCAATGAAGCGAACCTAGATATCGCCGCTATTGGACACTCGGAAGAACAACGCGTCCATGGGCAAAAGGCAGGAGGTATATCCAGTACCACGACCCCACGGACCAACTGACGACCAAGTTGGTGGACTTGTCCTGTTATCCTGAACCTACCACGAACAAATCGTGGTCCGAGTATATGCCATTCGACATCCGACGATTCTGATTGGAAAATTGTTTTTTCGTGTACAGTACATTAAGCTGGACTTCGTCATCCACGTTGGTAAGAGCCGAATTAGCCGAGCTACTGGAAGTGCTGAACTCATTTTGTTTAAAATATGTTTTTTCTTTGAAATTGAACAGTATCTTCGTTCGCTTTTGTCATTGTTCTTTTGGAGCTCAGTGAATTGGACCGACCTATCCCGGTATCGGTCCAATTCTCCGAGAAGCTAAGTGGAGGCGGTATGATGTTCAGTTAGAAGATGATAAAGTCAGCGGGCGCCATGGCGATCACCGAGCCCCCAAAAGTATCGACCTCAAGGATCAGCGTCAAAATATATCTGATTGGCGCCTTTCAGGACCAAACGCATCAGGACCCGCCTCAATGGCACCGTTCGTCAAAGCGACTTTTTTTTGTGATCGAGTACCATGCCAGTTAACCCTAGGTTAAATAATTATGAAAGATTTGTTTGAGGACTCTTCTCTCAGCTGCAAATAAACCAGTGAATATGTATACCTAACAAAAAAACCATACCCCCACCTCCTCCTCCAACCCTCTCGTCAAGACTTCTCCCAAGGCGACGGCTGACCATACCAATCCTCCAAAAACTCGTTCTGTAACCTCCTAATCATCTCTTCATTGCCCTGCTCCTCTCTTCCTCGGTCACAATCGCATCATTCAGGTTCAGCACCTGGTACGGCGGCTTCTTCCACCACCGGTTATCGTGCAACCCTGTGATTGTCTTTTTCGCAGCGTGCAGGTTGTAGAATATCCCAAAGAAGTGTCGTTCGATTTGCTGATCACAAAGTTGTATCGGTATAGGTCTTGGATGATGCGAAGGCGGGCGTTTAGGTGCCGTGAAGTGGAGCGGAGGATTGCTGGGATTCAGCGCGTGTGGTTGCTGTGGACGATCTTTGGTTTCTGTATGTCGTCGTTGTTGAACTCATTGTGCAGGCATCGAAGGTCGTATCTGATTCGTCTTGCTCCTCTACGAAAAAGGTGCTTGTCAGTTCTAGGATCCACAACAAGCGGAGGGTAAAAGGGCATTCGGTCACCCAGGCATCATCCTCCGCATCCTCAATTCGCTGATAATAATGCTCCGTTTCTCGATCACCTTGTAAAGCTATCTGAAGCAAACAATAGCCGTAGTGGTACTCCTTGAACGCCAACCGCTTAAACACCTTTTCGCCCTTCCCTCGAGAAAGCGTCCCATGCCTCGTCATGAACTTGGGACCCGGACAGAAATCGAGATTGAGGTGGCAGACCTGATCCACGGGTGGCGTTATGCATTCAGTGTAGATGGGTCGACTTGTTTTGTCTCATCGGCAACATCCATAGTGGTCGAAATATGAACCCTGGGCATCAAGTAGGGCGTTCCGCACATCTGCGAGAACCCATACGTGACCGCTGGCTCCTAATCTGCTACCCGGTACCCGGTCCTGTCCAGCATAACCTCACTGTTGGTCAGAAAGTGCGCCAATGGTCCCATCCGCTGAGTGTTGCCACAATCTCCACTGGTGGTCCAGTCCATAACCAACTCCACCAACGCCCACCGCCCCTTCGATTCCAAAACTCCATTCAAATTAAAACCAACCCTATGCCTCCAAAAAAATCGCAACTGCGTCTCCGCAGCTGCTCAATCGTGTAATGGGTCATCAAGAACATCTGCTGCAGAGCATGACCCTCATAGCCACTCCTGAACCAGCTCCTCTCAGACTGCACGAACGGCCAGAGTGCCTCCACTTCCTCCAGGATGGATCAACTGGCGACATGAACGATATGATCCATCTTTGGGCGAAACCGGTACCCAAATCGCTTGGAGAGTTGATGGTTCGCAAACTCGAGGTTTTCAGTATATCCTCATTCAAGCAGAGCTTGTTATCTTTATCATTGGGGAGAGGACGGACTGTGTTGTTGAGCACCATTTGGAAGGCCAGGCCGTATTGCGGCGTCCAACAGTCTCCCTACACCATTGGCATATCAAAGAAAACGTCGTTGTTGAGATAGAGGGCTGCAAAAACAATAACATGGGGGGGGGCAGACATCTTTGTTCTATGGTCGGTTCACGATCTCACAAAAAAACGACAACGATAACAAAAAAAAAGTAGTTCAGACTTACCACGTCGTTAAGGCCTGATATGCGATGTATTGCCACTCAGGGTCGGATCCGTTGACCCATGTATAGACTGCAACGAGGACAGGTGGTCGCCGTAGTCGTTTTGCAGACGTTGAATACGATATGTTGGTAAAGAGGCCCTGTTGTTTACCTGCATTCGTTCCAAATTGGTGGCAATGGTAGTGGAACTTGGCTAGAGTGTCGAAGGGTGAAGTGTCTTGTTGACTAGTCAGTCAGGGAACCAATTGGGTATATCTCGAGGTCACCGAGGGTCGTTGTTGTAGTAGTTGGGTCCTCTTTTCCGTCGTCTAGTTCTCCTTCCAGAACGATTGTGGTTGCTGTTACTGTTACCCCTTCCGTCCATCTCAACTGCCAGATTGTCGGTGCCATAATCTTCGTCCTCGCTGTTGACGTCGTCAGTGGCGTAATCCTCCCCTCCGACATTGTTGATATTGCCAGCCTCATTGCATCGTTGGGCTCCACTGTCATGATAAAGCACCTTATCCACTGCGTTAGATATGAACCGCGAGAGACGATGGTTGGTCCAACTCGCACTGCTCTTGGCTGCAGAGATGTGTGAGAGGAGAACACTGCTGCTATTGCAAGTATACAGATTCGTCGTGTGTCTCAGCAGACGATAGGCATCGCTCCTCTGGTCTGGTCGTCGATGTGCGTGTCGGGTGCTGCACACATTCATATTGAAATCGTCGATGATGCATGTAATACCTATTACGATTGTAGACTTGTCTTGCCAGCTAGAGTAACTGTAGAGACTGGTCACCGTATGAAAAGGAGAAGATAATCAATTGGCATAGGAACACCATGAAACCATCGCCTGCACGGGCATCGCAACCAAGAGCCATCGATTGCCCCATGCAGTCATATCTCTCATTTATTCCTTTATCCTTTTTTCTCTTTGTTTGTTAGATCGTAGATGATCTATGGATCCATGGTTCATATATGAAAAAGATAATTCGCTGATCCTCATTGTTCTTTTGAGAGCTTGCGACTCCGTGTTTTCTTTTCTTTCCTCTACCTTGCTGTAAACGTCGTCGTGTGCGAACTCATTGTCGCATATTATTGTCTCCTGGATTCTCTCTTTCCAAGGACACCTTCGCTTTTTCGTTTTATCCAATCAGAACGGGGCTGGGTACATTATTATGAGTAAAGTGGATCCTATCTTGTCCTGAGCGTAAAGAAGAAAAAAAAAGGCTGAGCCATGGAGACGCCACTTGGGGACAAAAGCCATCTTGGCACCTTGATGTCGCATCGATAACGAAGACGATGACGAGGATGGCTGATTCCATTCTGCTCCCTGTACTTTCTTTTTTTTTGTCTATAGGAAACAACCTTTTCCTTTCCTTCAGGGTAATGGTACTCGCTCGAAGGAAAAGAGTGGACGGTAACAAGATTCTTGTGTAGTCAGTAAAAAGCGAGAACTACCCTCTGCTCGGATCTTCTGTTTGGCGAATATTTTCCTGTCATCCTTTAAACAAGGATGAATGAAGATCAATTGCGCAGAATAAGTGAGAGATGAACAGGACATCTAGATTCCAATGCCGGACTGGCACTCATCCCTTTTCTGTTTCGCTCACTCATGCTGTGTCTTGATGCCAAATGGGATCTGACAATACACAGTGCCTTTTGTTGTCCGACAGATCTGATGTGTCATTCAGCAGGAAATAAGAACAACGTATAAGAAGTACCGATCCTTCCTTCATTTCCGTTCTTTGTCACTTTCTTTGCCTCCATCACTGATCATTGCCACCAAATATAATAGCATATATAATACTCTTTTTCAGATCATCATTCATTATTGATAGCCTTCTACCATCAGACACCATCATCCGCATACCTCATATCCCATCACTCGCATTTAAGTCCCTTTTAGTTCCATACAGCCCAACATTATAATTTTTTTGCATTGAACTTGTCCTCCGTGCACCTTCTTTTTTCCCTTCCTTCTTCCTTCCTCCTTCATTCCATCAGTCGACAATAGTCATCGCCATCGTCACAGTCGATTACACGAAAGTCTAATACGCAAGAACAACAACAGACACACAGAGAAAGAGCCCCCCCTGTCCTTCGCTCCCCACGCCCCCCCCTGCACCAATCCAATCCTATCCTGTCCTATCACCCGTAACCTAATCGACTCTTCCCCCAGACATTTTCTCTCTTCTCTCTTTCTCACTTTCTCTCTCTCAGCCTTCACTTGTCTTAGCCAGGCACGCACCCACCACTTTTCTGTCGTTCTTTCTTACCCCACTCCGCTCCACTCCCACTACTCTACCACTCACTCACCCCCCTTGTCTCCCGATTCGTTGTGTTTCTGCCCTATATTCCTCTTGACTTCCCTGGATTTTCGTTTGTGCATTCATAATCCATCCCGCTCTCACTCTCTCTCTCTCTGTCTCTGTCTCTCTCTGTCTCTTTCTCTCTCCTCTCTCCTCTCACTTTGCCTGTCCCCTTTTTCCTCACTTTACCGCCCTTCCCTTTTTTCCCTTCTTCCTCCCCTTCTTTCTTTCCTCTACTCCCTCCACTTAGTTTCTCTTTCTTCTTTGTCACCCTTTCGTCACCGCCTTTCTCCTCTTTTTCATATTACCCACACTCCCATTTTTCTTATCGCTGACTCCCTCTCTCTCTTGGCCGTTCACTCCCCCTTTGTCGGCTCTTATTCATCCCCACCGCCCCTCCTCCTTCCCCTTCCCCTCAGTTGACAAACAATCAACAGCAACAGCAAAACTATAACCGACCATGGCCATCCACTCCATCTCAACATCATCCTCCGCCTCCGCCTCCTCGTCTTCCTCCCCTTCGCCCTCTCCAACAGCAACATCCTCCCCTACTCTCTCTTCCCCTTCCACCACCACAACCACCCCAGCCTCGCACTGCTCCCCCTCTTCCAAGGATATCGCCTACAACGGTCTCTTCTCTCTGAACGACAACAACACCTTCAACAGCAACCACCACTCCATCTTTGAGGACCACGACCCCGCCCTCCCCAGGGGTATTAACATCCTCAACAGACACAACTCCGTTTCTCACCATGATGGCACGTCCGACCCCTTCGGTCTCTCGGACTACTTCTCATCGAGTGTCCCCAAAGCCAACCTCGCCTCCTCCAACTCTATCCACATCGGCTCCTTGAGCAACGGACTCAGCGGACTCAGTCTCGCTGCTCAGGGTCTTTCTAACACCAACAACAGCAACAATTCTTCCACAGAAGAGATCTCGACCATCTTTGTCGTCGGATTCCCCGAGGACATGCACGAGCGAGAGTTCCAAAACATGTTTGTCTTCACCCCTGGCTTCGAGGCCGCTACTCTCAAGATCCCCCAGCGTGAGCAGCAGGAAGACGATGCTCTGACCCTTGGCCTCAACGGAGTCAACCCTCGCAAGCAGATTGTAAGTTTACCTTTCCTTTTGCGCTAGCTTTGGATGGGCTCAAGAGAACTCTGGGAAGGACTGAGGGAAAAAAGGATGAACAACCACGAGACCCCGCAAAGCTACAAAAAAAACGATGAGGGAAGTGGAAAAAAAGAAAGGAGGTCAGGATGTTACTTCATACAACTGGATTACAAGATTACAATTGAGCACTGTCGACAGATAAAGACGAACCAGTTAGTGGATGGAGGAGGGAGCAGCGTCGAAAGTATAAAGAGGAGCGGATTCTACTTCACTCCACTGCAGCGCACGAACACTCTCAACAGTTGGAGAAGCAATGTCGACTAACACGATTTATCATGCCGGTCATCTTTGTGTTCTCTTTATTCTCCCACAGATTGGCTTCGCAAAGTTTCGCTCTCATCAGGAGGCTCAGCAGGCGATTGCCGTGCTCAGTGGACGCAGGGTCGATGCCGAGAAGGGCTCTCTCCTCAAGGCTGAGATGGCGAAGAAGAACCTCCACACCCGCAGGGGTCTCTCCAACGAACTGGTCGCCACTCCCGGGCCCGGTCTGACCTCCACTTCATCCTGGGCCGTTTCGGCTCCCATTGGTTCCACATCGATCCACCCTGTCAACATCGCCAAGAAGGTGCCCCACCCCCTTCAACACCGCAACAGTCTCGCTGGATCTGCCGCCTATGACGCCTTCCACTCCGTCCCCTGCAGCCCTGCCCTGCCCAGTGATCTCCTCTCTCCCAATGACTACGCCAGCAGCTACGATTTCTACGCCGATGTCTACGCCCCCAACAACCTCGCCAACCTTTCCTTTGCAGAATCCTTTGGTGGTCGCCATCAAGCCATCAGTCAGCAACAGCAACAGCAGTCGTCTGATATTTCGTCCTCGTTCTTGGGCCGTCAGAATGCGTTTGATATGAACAGAGTCGACCCCTTGTCCATGGGAAGCTTCAGTAACAACATTGGCGGATTGGCCGGCTCCATCTCAGGATCATTCTCCAATTCGTTCAGCAACCGTCACGGAGGTCTTGCTGGATCCCAGCGTCTTAACAAGGGCTTCTTGGACATGGATGAGGCTCCTACATCGACCATGGCCTTTCTCTCAAAGTCGATCCCTGCCCATACTGAGCGTGGATTCAACAATGCTCTCTTCAGCAACACCAACAGCAGCAACAATGGCGACGACATGAACGGCAACAGCCGATTCCAGGGAATGCCCATCTCGACTGCTGCACCCAGCATGCCCTCGCCCGCAATGGCTTCTCCTGGATTCCGCACTCCCGTCAACCCTGGCGACCAGAACCCTCCCTGCAACACCCTCTATGTCGGTAACCTCCCCATGAACACCTCGGAGGATGAGCTTCGCACGTTGTTCTCGCGCTGTGTCGGATACCGCCGCCTTTGCTTCCGCACAAAGTCGAACGGACCCATGTGCTTCGTCGAATTTGAGAATGTCGAGTGCGCCACTCAGGCTTTGAGTGACTTGTACGGCAACCCTTTGAGCAACTCTGTCAAGGGTGGCATCCGTCTGAGCTTCTCCAAGAACCCTCTTGGTGTCCGCAACTCCAGCATCAACCAGTCCAGCGGTCTTGCCAACCAGCTCCACAACATGAACGGCATGAGCAACGGATCTGCCTCTTACCTGGATCGCCGCGACAGCATGACCGCCATGTTCGAGCAGCACTACTAAGCGAGTGGGTGAGAGAAGCTCATGTCCACCTTTAGCTCTATTCTACTTTCCTGCTCCTCTTTTTCCATTTTTCTTCCACTTTGCATCTATCCCCACTCTTTTCTCAGTCACTTTTCTCCTTTTCTCCTCTTCTCTGGCTTGAAGCATGGCAATGTGATGGACAGCAGAGTGCCTCCTCCCCATTTTTTGATCTTCCATATATCATATATCCTGGCAACGATTTGCCTTTTATTCTTTTGCATTTTACAAAAAAAAACATATACTTTGTGGCATATATAGCATTTCTCATAGCATTCTTCCTTGGCTCTTTTTCTTTTTCTTTTTCTTTTCATTCCCATCTTTTTTTTTTCTGCCTAGTCAAGGAGTTATCTCCTCTCCCTTGATACCCTTGATTCCTGGATCTAAATAAGAAATGACAAGTTATTGAACTCTACGACTCTCATGACATTCAAAATAATGATAACGCCGACCCTTTTCATGAATCAATCAATTCGGGCATTTTTCTCAATTGCTGTTTCATACGCCTTTTGTGTCTTTGACAGTGCAATAGTGTGATGAGTGGAGGATTTGATCGGGGCGCAAGGGAAACGGAACTCCCGTCCGAGATTGTCAATGAAACCAAGAAGATCGGAGTAAAGCGTTGAACAACCAACTACGCGAGCTTACATGATCAATTAGTAAACTCGCTCTGTCAAACAAGCAAGCAAGCAAAGGCGCAACATAAAACCGGACACTTTTGTCCATGAAACTAACATGTCCAACCAGCTCCTCCTCCTCCTCCTTTATCTCCTGCCGCGCAAAACGCCATGATCCTGAAACCTTTGTCAAGCTTGATCCTTGTGCTTGCCCTCGCTGCTGTCAGTCCCGTCCATGCGGCCATTGTTGAACCCTCCGTTGCTACCACTGCCATAGCTGCTCCTTCTACAGCTAACTTGGGTCCCTCACGGTCTACACCCATGGCCAAGGCCATAACTCCAGCCGCCGTCGACTCCTTCGCGTCCTCTCAGGTCCCATCCCATCCTAATTTAAAGGATCCTACAGGACCTTCGAGTATGCGGAAGGTCTCGGGTTGGCCGTCGTTGTTGAAGATTGAGATTGATGAGCTGGAGATTGGAGGGCTGGCGGTACCGTTTGTGCAGACGTCGCTCCGGAACTCGAAGAGTGGGTTCAAGAACTTTGGGAATGCTGACCTTGTGTCTCCTAATTCTGGTCCTGATGCTGAGGACAGATCGAGTGGTGCTGAGAATGAGCAGGCTGGTCAAGTCGTCAAGTATGCTTGAAATGGATGGCTACTTATCAGTTCCCAGTGAAGAGTGTTGCATCGGTTCACAGCGGGTGCCCCTCTTCGAAGGAGAAAAATAAAGCCACCATTTCTAGAAATACGAAGCCCAATGCTGGGCATGTCCAAACTCTATAACAACAAGCTAAAGGCTCCTATTCATATGGGACAATGTATATGTTCGTATCAATCTTTGAAATGTTAACAACTCTCAGCACAGTAGAATTGACATCATATTTTGAGAGCGCGTTTGTCATGTCATCGTTCGTTTGTTGACGTTCTGTTTGGAGTGATTTTTGCCCTCGAAAGATGACCAACAAATGAGGGCGAGTTATAGTTCAGAATGGACGGCGACAACGATGAAAGAACGTAACGTCATGGTCCCTCTTCCGTCGCTATCGTGCCTCGACTTGGCCCAACAGTTGGCATTTATTTGTTGGCTGGGCTAAAGATGATCTTGTTAGGTGTTCCAGGGTGCGGTAAGATCCTCATTTCCCTCGCCCCTTGTCTGCTTTCTGCTTGTGTGCTCTCCGCCTTTCTTCATGGTTTCGTTGTGCATATTCCTCCCGCCACTTTTCTTGCTTTTATCGTTCCAAGTATTTAGGGTAATTCCATTCTTTCCCTTTTTATTTTTCTTTGTCTTCTTTTTTTTTTTACTCTTCACTTTCATCTTTTCTTTCTCGTCAATCACTCCCAACAACTATCACCCAACAACCACCTACTTCGTTTATACCCCAAATATGGAATCGACAATCGGGAAGGCATTTTCTCGAACCTTTGGGCGCAAGTCCTCTGCACCGGCACCAAAGCCCACAACAACAACTGCCCCCTCACCACCCGTTTCCCCTCAACCAGCTGAAGCTGCAGTTCCTCCCAACAAGCAAGTCTTTATTGACACAAACCCAAACACCCTCGCCAAAGGGGTTCATGGCAAGGGGTATTCCAACGGCTACGATCAGAATGGTCTCATGTCACCCGACTCTATCCCCTCGCCCGCCTTGCAGGCGACCATCTCTCCTCCTGACTCGGCAGTTCCCTTTTCCCCAGAGAATTCGACCGCCTCTCCTGTGCACTTTGCCACCAATGGCAATGGCAATATCGCAGGAGCAATGTCCCCAAGGATGACACATACTACCCATACGCGCGAGTCGACCGTGATGTCAACCACAAGCACCGATGGAGAAATGATGCCTGTAGGTGATAGCCATGGCCTCAACCCTGCAGATATCCTCTTGAGCCGTCTCTTGTCCTACCGTGCAATCGTCAAGAACCTGCAGCTGTACTTTATCGAGATTGCGATGGTCGAACAGGGGACCTCCAAGGCCTTACAGCGAGCCTCGACGTTGATTTATGTCCCCTTTAAGGACGGACACCAATTTGTGGGTCAGGGCGGGTTGCAGGATGTTTGTATCGGCGTTCGGGATTCGGCCAAGACCAGGAGTGAGCAACATGCGGCGGCGGCTCGGTTTGTGGACGAGACGATTGTCAAGAATTTGAGGCGACTGAAACAAGATATCAAGTCGAAGGTCAAGGCGCTCAAGGCGGACAGCAGTTTGTATAACATGAAGGTGTTCAAGGAGCGAGAGGCGTCTCAGGAGCGGATTGGACAGTTGGCCAAGGCTATTGGGTTGCTGGAGAAGGTTGGTGGTGGACATCATACGGATATTCATTCCGACCCCTACTTGATCCATCTCGGTAATTTATTGCGCCCATTATTTGCTTTCTGCTTTGTTCGCCTCAATTCTTTTGACCGCGCCTTTTCTTACGTTCGTGGAATTTATGAAACATTTCTTTCTAACAGCCCGCGTTTAATTGCCCTATTGTCCCGAAATGCCTTTTCTTCCTTCATTAGCACTGAAACGACAACTGGCAAGACAGGTCCACGAGGAGAACCTATTCGCTCGAGGACTTCAACAATGTCAGGAACAGATCCGCATCTTCGAGTCCCACATCGTCAAGGAAATCAAACAGATCCTTGCTTCTTTTGCACAGCACCAGCTGAGCCACGCCAGCGCAGGGTTCAGTCAGTCCTGGGCACATACCGAGATGGCTCTCCAAGTTCTGCAGGAGGACACCGAATGGCGCCACTTCCTGGACAAGAACAAAGCTCGTCTCTTCCCCTCGGAACTTGTCGATGCCAACCCGGAGGAACTGGACTACCCCTGTAAGGAGAACCCGTATGTGATCCCTATCAAGACGGCCCATTTGAATCGACAGTCTTCAGTCTTCAAGAACTGGAAGGATGGGTTCTTTGTGTTGACACTTGCCGGTTGGTTGCATGTTTTCTCGTCGTCCAAGGATCTGGGAACAGATTCTATCCCAGAGAGATCAATTCATTTGCCAACAGCTGTTTTGGGACCACATTCGGATTCTGCGCAGAAGCAGCATGTCTTTTCTTTGGACGGCAAGGGTATGGGTGGAATCCTCCACCGCGATGCTCAAACCTTCACGTAAGTATATGCAAGAATGGCAGAAGGAATTGCCATTGTTCGTTTCCGTTCACATCCGGGATACCTATAATTCACACATGCCTGTTTGTTTATTACGGAACTATCGCATAGGGTCCGAGCTCACTCCAGAGAAGAAATGTTGGACTGGTGGGGCGAGATCGCCAAGCATACTCAGGCAGCATTAGTCACCCAGGTAGCAGCCGGTGCCAACTTCGGCCATTCTTCTTCTACGATCATCCGACCTGGGCCAAAGTCTCCTGAACCCGCTCACGCCACAGCATTCAACCAAGAACCATCACCTCCTTATGTGCACTCAAATGATAAGGCAGAGGTACCTGATACTGCTGCCGCTGCTGCTCCTGTTACCGTTACGACTCCTACTACCACGAGCACCGCCAATGGAGCCCTTCCCTCCGCCGCAGTGGACGCGGCGAACGGTCAAACGACCTTCTTGCCTGAAAATACACATACCCAACAAGATCAGAGCCACATGAAGCGCCAAAATACTGGCTCTACGGTCTCCCTCAACACCTCCGGACTCGTCTGAAGAAGCATAAACACACCCACGCGTGAATCACCGCGTCTTTTTTTCCCATTAGTTTTATGAATAAAGTCATGTGATTAAATCATGTTTTCGATCCACGCTTTGGACACCACAAAAAAAAGTTTTTTTCTTAGAGTTCAAGGAACGGGGCTTTCTACTTTCCTTCCTTCAACCCTCATTCAACCGCTCATTCCATAATGCCAAAAGCAACAACCAAGAAGGCTAAACCCGGTGGACTCCGTCGTGCTCAACTCGGAGACGATACTAAATCTGCCGCTGCAGAGTCTCCGCGTTTCAATCCCCTCGCCGCCGCCACCACTACAGGAACCAAAGGAAAATCGACTTCAGGTGTGACCTCAGGCTCTTCAACAACGGCGGCTCAGGACCAGGAAATGACCGTGACCGACGCCGCTGCAGCAGGAGCAGAAGGAACATCTGGAGGAGAGACGGCAAGCTTGGCATTGAAGGCCGACGAAGCTGGCGACGAGCTCTCAGAGCTCCGACAGACCTACGAAGCCGCCCAGAAGCAATTCGCAGAATCGGGAACCCAAGAATACCTCCGCGGGACGATCCACGAATGTGACCGGATGATCCGCAACTGTGGCGAGGAAGTCTACCCCTCCGCAGAGTTCAATTACATCTACGCTTCGGCTTTACATGATTTCTCGTTGATTGGCGCTGAGGAGCAGGAGCTTACTGGATTCGTCGAGATGGCGCTCGAGTATGTCAGCAACGTCGCAGATCTGATCACCGCCGAGGAGAGAAAGGAAGCGGATTGGGTCTGGAAGTACTACCTGGTCGCTGGAAAGGTTCACTTGCAGAAAGCAGATTCGTTATATGAGGACCAGGAGGAGGCATCGTCTAAGAAGGAGTTCAAGAAGTTGGGAACCCAGATCCATACGACGCTGGTTCAGGCGACGGCATTGTTGGATACAGGGTTCAAGATGGTGCCCGAGGGGGAGGAGAAGCATGTGGTGAGGTTAGATGCGAAATCAATCGAGAAGGTGGGTGCCAAGGAGCATGAAATGGTTTCGGCGGCGGCGAATGTTGCATTGCATGCGGATCGGTTTGAGGAGTATGAGAGGCGGAAGAAATGGAATACTTGGGCTCTCGAGACCTACCGTGAAGTCACTCAAGGTAATTGAGGTGGTTTCGTATGGTTAAAGATTGCTGTGAACGACAATTGTCCATGTACCGATTGCTCATGCTTTCCCACCTTGTCCTATATTGTGTGATAGATACCCCCGAGAATGTGGAGGCATGGCAGGGCATTGCGACTTGCATGCATTCAATTGTTGGATGGTGGGCTGATCAGGAGGCGGACGAAGAAAACGACGACGACGAAGACGAGGATGAGGAGGAGCCTGAGGACGAGCTTAGCCTCCCCGTCTACTCCACAGAGCGCGGCCTGATGTCATTACAAGGTATGACAAGGGATATCAGCGCAGTCTTTATAATGGCTAATCGTTGAGGCAGAATGAGTCATTCTTTACCCCCACATAACTGTGCATGTGTCGTCCGTGGGATATATGCCTATCGTCAACTCTAATTAATGTTTGTTTATGGTTGTTTGTTTAGCATTGGATGCTATCAAGAAGGCGATTGAGCTTGCCCGCAAGGCTGAATCATTGACAAGTGACCTCTTGACCTTGGTAAGCAAAAACAAGATATCGCACCTTCCTTTTTTTTTTTGGTGCATGTTTGCGATAAGCATGCCTGCATTAGACCATTGTTAACTCACATTCCTTGTTTTCATACCTCACTATGTGTTCTACAGGGCGCCGAATGCCATTTGAACTTGGTCAACATTGCAGTGGGCGACAAGGCGGCTGCGGAGCAGTCCAAGGCGGCAGTGGCGTTGATCAAGGAGGCCATGGCAACATTCCCTGATCCGGCCCTCGAGGAGCGGTATGCTGAAGTTTTGGAGGAGTTTGAGGAGATTGCTGGTAGCAATTAGAAGTCAATAAAAAGGTTGCTCTTCCTTTTGGATTAGTAAGAAGCAGCTGACTGACTGACTGACTGAGTCCAAGAGCTTATTTGGTCGTTTGAGGGCATCCGGGTGATCTCAATTCTGGATAGTTCAGAGCTTGTCCCCGGCCCCAGTTGCGGGTTAGACGCCGATTTGCCGACGGTCGGTCAAATTACGTGGATCTCGCTAAGAGGGGCTGAATCACGATATGTGTGACTTCTTTAGAGATAACGCCCGTGTCTTTGGGGCGGCAGACAAAGAAAAAAGCAAGGTGCGACATCCCAACATTGTCCTTTTCCTTCCTTCTTTTTTTCTCATCAGCACTCCCCCAACCATCTCTCATTTACCAACCTACATGTAAGCAGTAACTTTTACAAAGACGCGTCTTAAAGGCTCCTCTTAGTCGTCTTTGTGCATGGCATTCATTAACTTGGGAGCCTGTAGCCTAAAACACCATGTAAAAAAATAATACTCACCACTCCTCACCCTCCTTTCGCTCCCTTCTATCATCACAGCAAACACCTGCAACGTACCAAATGACGCTACCATACAGCCCCGCGAACCCCCCACAAAAAGCACTCTCAGGACAAGACAAGAACTCGTTCGGGTACGCGACCCTCCAGAGTCGTCTCCCTGTGATCGTCTCTAAGATTGTCGATGATGTCTACCGGTCCTACCATAACCTCTCGGATGCTGACCCCCTGAAGAAGGAGAAGGAGCAGGAGGCTAAGAAGATTATTGAGCTTATTGGAGGGTTGCGGTATGAGCTCCAGCGCGATAAACCCTTCAGGTATGGACGAAGATGATGTGATTCCGATTGTTCGTGGGCATAATGATTTGTTATCTGATTTGCCAACAGATCACACATTTAACAGTCCGTTCCTTTTCTTTGTTAACATGGGGAATAGACCGTTAACGGATGAGAGAGAGGATGTGGAGGAATGGAACCAAACCCTGGCAGAGTACTATCCAACTTCATCCTGGTACAAGGCCTCCTGGCTCTTCTCAGAATGTTACCTCTACCGCCGGATCAAGGAAGCCTTTGCTTTAACACAACACTGGAAGGACTATGACCCCTTCTTTGAGCAAAAACAAACCGTTTTCAAATCCTCCCAAAAGGCCGTTGTCTCCATGGCCGTTCAACTCACTACGCCTGTCGATCCTAAGACGCATAAATCGGTGCTGGATATTAAGGTCCAGGAGGGACCCGAATCCAAGGGGACCAGGGACGCGTTCTTTGAGATGGTCCAGGTATCACTTTGGGGCAACGCTACGGATCTATCGTTGTTGGATAACCCGGATCTGGCGAAAGTCGAGGAGCTGCAGAGGAGGATGTTGAGTTCTGGATCTTCGAACAATTCGAGCGCGAACGCGTCGCCGGCGGCATCAACGGTGCATTTGGATCAGGTGGCTCAGGAGGACCGGGAGGAGCACGCGTCCGAGTTGGAGAAGCATGCGGATAAAATTCTGTCGAATGATTCAGAGTTGCTCTGGAGCAAGGTCAAGTCGATGCGCAATGGACGCGTCGATATCATCCTTGACAACTCCGGTAAGCTTTTATGTTTGCTGTTGAAAAGCGGTAATAGACTTTGCTCGTTTCGATTTTTCTCATTAACCAACCTACTTTTTCCTCCAATGATCTACTACATAGGATTCGAATTGTATGTGGACTTTGTGTTTGCAGATTTCTTGGTTCGAGCAGGATTTGCCTCAGAGGTCGTCTTCCACGCAAAGCGCATCCCCTGGTTCGTCTCAGATGTCATGCCCATCGACTTCCAATGGACCCTCGACCAACTCCACCGTCCCACCTCCGATAACAACAACTTCTTCAACCCCACCGACCCAATCGAACAACAAGCCCTCCAAGCCCTCGGTCAGAAATGGCAATCCTACGTCAACAACGGGACCTGGAAAGTCACCAGCCACGAGTTCTGGACGTCCTGTTACGCCTTCTACCACCTCCCTACCCACCCCTCGGCTCAGGATCTGTTCCAGGACATGCGACAGTCGGATCTGTGGATCTTTAAGGGTGATTTGAATTACCGGAAACTTGTGTATGATTGCGGTTGGCCTGTAACTACGCCGTTTACGAAGGCGATTGGGCCTCTGGGAGATGGGGAGGAGAAGGCGGAGGGTGTGCCGACAGTGGTATCGTTTAGGACTTGTAAGGCGGATGTTGTTGTGGGTTTGGCCGAGGGTGTGAAGGAGAAGATGGATAAAGTTGCGGCTAATTGGCAGGTCAGTGGAGAATACGCTGTCATCTCTGTCAGCCCTTGATTATGCAACGGTCTCCTTTGTTTGTATCGTAACGTTCAAAATATAGACGATAGAAATAATACTTTGTTTTAATTATTTCTTATATGTGGTATGATACGTGTATGAATGGTATTTTTTTTTGGTTCGTGTTCAGCTATGCCATGCTCTCCCCATAAAGATGAAGGAGCTCAGATCTCACCAGCCTGCTCAGCAAGCCTATAAAACAAACTCTCCTCCTTCCTCGCCAACAACACTTCGGGCCTCTCAAACTCCTCCACCCTCCCCTTCCCCAACACCAGAATCCTATCCGAATCCATCACAGTCTTGATCCGATGTGCAATCGTCAGCACGGTCCTATCCCTAAACTCCTCCCGGATCGTCTTCTGAATCAACTCGTCTGTCTCCACATCCACTGCCGCCGTCGCTTCATCCAAGATCAAAACCCTCGATTTCCGGAGGAGGGCACGGGCGAGACAGATGAGGGACCGTTGGCCTACTGAGAAATTCTCGCCGTTCTGGGAGACGACGAAGGAGAGTTGACCGGGGAGTGAGGAGATGAGAGGTTTTAGGTGGGACCGGTCGAGGGATTCCCAGAGGAGGTTGTCTGGGAGGGAGTGGAAGGGGTCGAGGTTTTCGCGGATTGTTCCTGCAAACAGGACTGGGTCCTGCGGGATGATGGCGAGGTGTTTTCGGAGGTCTTCTAGGCCGATGGTTGAGATGTCGATCCCGTCAATCTCAATCGACCCTCCATCTTCTTCTTCCCTTTCGTTTGGTTCTTCTCTCATATCAACCACGTCGCCGTTCTGGCCAAGTGGAGAAGACAAAGAAGAAGCTGCCTCGATGATCCGGAACAGCGCAAGCGTCAACGACGACTTGCCCGCACCAGTCCTGCCGACAATTCCAATCTTTTGTGCAGGCAAGATTTCAAGCGAGATATTCTTGAGGACCAGATCCAGACCATCACGGTATCGTGTGGAATAGTTCTTGAATCGGATGTGGCCCTGGCTGGGCCAGTTGGGTGGTAGGACGACGTTGGTGTGTTCGGGTGCTTCTGTCTTCAAATCCGTGTATTCGATCACCCTCTCCACCGCCACCAAATGGTTCTATTTTTTTTCGCAGAAAGAGTTGTGTTAGTTGTAAAAACGTTTTCAACCATGTCACAACAAACAAAAAAAAAAAATAATGCAAAGGTCTCAAACAAAAGAGGGCGAGGGGGGGTGAACATACCTGAAAGTCGCATCCAATGCGGACAAGACTAGTAATCTCCTCAGTAATCGACATTGCAAAACTAATCGTCAACCCGACAAGACTAGGATCCAACCTCTCGCGTCCCAAAACCGCAAACAGCGCTGCAAACAAGAGCACAAAGGTACTCAACAACCTCAATTGCACCTCGACCCACCGTTTCGATGTCATGGTACCCATGAAACTATTCGCCATCCGATCCATTCTCGCCCCATTCGCCTCGATAAACCTCTCCTGAACGGCCATAGCCCGAATCGTCGACACGCCATTCAAGGACTCGTTAAAATGCTGATAAACTGGCGATTTCGAAACCGAGTACATCCTCGTCACAACCTGCGAGATCCTCAAGAAGCACACCTGAATCCCATAATAAGCCGCCACCAACACCGGCAAGACTATCAAGAACTGCGGCGCCGTATAAATGATCAACATGAACGTCCCTGCGACCGTGACCAAGAAATAATTGGCGTCAAAGAACTTGTTGGGGAGGCGATCATCGATGGACGCGAAATCGGATGAGAATCGGTTGAGCACTCGACCAAGTGGGGTCGTGTCAAAGAAGGACATGGGAAGGTGCATGATCTTTGTGAGAAAGTCTCGGTGGAGGAGTTCTGAGGCGCGGATGCGGGCATGGGCAAAGGTGAGGTAGGAGACGACCACGTAGAGGAGGACGTAGAAGAATGTCAGGAGTGCGTAGACGCCCAAGAAGAGACCTACTGATGGAGGTTCTGCCGTCGGGGTGCCGTTGTCGCCATTGTTGTTTTTGATGAGATTTTGAGACTCTTCGGTCCGTTTGATCCAGTATTTGAGCCACAGACTGGTGCTTACAAGACAGATCTGCGCAAGGATGAAGAGGATCCACATTATCACCGCGTTCCTGTAGCGCCTATATGTAGTGGAGACGAAATAATAGATGTGTGGGCGTTAGTACTTAGTCTTTTTGTGCTCTTCTGTGGTTGCTCAACAGTCGCGTTACACAAAGTACAGAATTAAGAAACTTACAATGCCTTCATGTAGACAAGAAAAATGTTGGCGTCCACCTGACCCTCCATCATCTTCTCGGCGGCAATGAGTTCTGCCTTGGTGTCCTTCTTGGTGTCGTCATTCACGGCCGTTATAGGACTGGCGGGTTCAGGGTTCGTGGTAGCAGTTTCATCCGCTTCTTGGTCACTGCTATCCGTAGCCTCTGACAACGTAAAGCTCATAGAGTCGCTCTCGTGGACGTTAGGGGCCAGCAGTGTGTTGTTGAGGTCGGTATTGATGGAACTATTTCCTGGGTTGAGCTCTCCAGTAACCGGCGAGGACTCCCGTGGGAGAAGTATGGCTGCTGATGATTTTCTCCTGCTCGAGAGAGATGGTCGACGGGCTGTGGCATACTCCTTGATGAGCTGGTAAAACATCTTCTTGTCCTTCATCAGCTCCTGGTAGTTCCCCTGTTCCACAACCAATCCATCCTTCAGCATCACTATCCAGTCAATTTCCCGCAGATGTTGGATTCCATGGGTCACCAAGACGCGCGCCTTGTTGCGGAGCAAACCAGTCGGTCCCAAGAGATGATCCCACAAATGCCGATCGACATGTGCATCGACGGCGCTCAAGGGGTCGTCCAGCAGGTAGATATCCGCGTTGTCGTATGCCGCTCGCGCGAGCGAGATACGCTGCTTCTGGCCTCCTGACAGGTTGATCCCGCGCTCCCCAATCTCAGTCATATCTCCTGCTGGAAGGATCGCAAGGTCTGGTTCGAGACCGCAGGCAAAGAGGATATGTTGGTACCGTTCCTGATCATATTCGTTTCCAAAGAGGATGTTGTCCCGTAGGGTCGCGTTCATGATCCAGCTCTGTTGTGGGACATAGGCGATCCGACCAGATACTTGAATCCGTCCCTGCAATTTGTACATCTCTCCGATGATGGCGCTCAGAAGGGATGATTTTCCTTGTCCGACTCGCCCGACAATGGCAGTCAGGCTGCCGTTCCGGATGGACAAGTCGATCGATTCCAGAGTCGCATGTGTCTCCAAGGTCGCTGCTTCACCTTCAGAAGAGATCAGGGGCTGACGTTCTTCGTTCTCGACTGTGGTTTCCGTCAGCGATGGTGATGCGGGGTCGGACCAAGTGAACGACGCGTCCTTCATGAGGATGACAGGTTCCTGAGGGTTCTTTGGCACGTTCCTGAATCGAATGACATCCTCCTCCCGAATCTCCTCCCTTAATAAGAATTCCTGAACACGCCTGGTGCCGACAATAAGACTGATGGTAGATGTAGTCGCCTCTGACAGACTGGAAATCGGGCTCCTGAGCATCGCAAACAAGGTCATGCTGACAAAGACAACCTGCGGCGTCAAGGTTCCCCGCGTGAAATTAGGTCCTCCCCAGAGTGCAAAGACGCCAAAGGTAACCAGACTGATAATTAATGACGACGATATAAAGATGATCGACATGAACGCCTGCAGAATTCCAATCATCTTTAGGGCTGCTAGTTCCTGGTTCCTGGTCGACAGAATCCGCTGCAAGAATGCCGACTCCCATCCGTAGATCTTGACAATCTTGATCCCGGCCAGAACCTCGGTCGTCAGTCGAATACGCTGATCCATCGCCGCCAGTTTCCGGGCCTGCATCGATTCGAAAACCCTGGCCTGTAATCCTTGCAAGGGCAGCAAAAAGACCATCCCAAGGAATCCTGCAATCATCGACCAACCCAAGAATCGGTACAACAAGAACAAAGCGATCCCGATCTCTAGTGGAATTGAAACCCAGCTCGATAAGAACACCATACCCTCGTTCCATTGCTCTGCATCGACGGCCATGTGGTTGGTGATCTCACCCGTCGTCGACCTCATCCTTGATCCCGGCGAGAGCCTGAGAGACTTGCGGTAGATCATCGAGATTAGCGCCGCCTTGGTCTCGACATTGACCAGGAACATCAGGTACCGGTTGTAGGTATAGAGAAGGGCAACGAAGAGGGCAACCAGGAACATGCTGCAGGCCAAAAATATCCCGTACGACTGAGGTTTGGTCTCATAATTCTGCAGATAATCCAACAGCAGACTCAGGAGAACTGGTAACGCGTAGGACAACAGCGCGATTACAATCCTGCAAAAGAGGATGGGAAGCATCGCGACGAGTTGGGTCCTCATCACAGTCCAGAACAAAGAAGGCGGTCGCTGGTCGCGCGGGTTCCGAGCGCGCTTTTGAAGTGCTCCATCCCATTGAGCCGAAAGCTTCTTGTATCCTGGCTGTGTCCTCGATCCCGCCGAGAGCAAGTTGGCTGTGTCGTCGGCAGTCAGGGTCCGTCGGATTCCGATACTGACGACGGGCTGGAAGAAGTGAATGACCAGGCGCGAAAAGATGTTGGCTTTGTCGTACTCAGGTGCGCCACTGAGCAGTTGGACTCTAGTTGATCCTCTGGGCCATGCCTCGACCGTGAATCCGACTAGTTGAGCAAAGAAGGCGAGGATCAAGGGCAAGAGTTGGATTGTTGTCGCGGTGGTGTTATGTTGTAGGTCGTAGTGGGTGTGAAGGATAATGCTGGTTGCTGCGATCGATGTGAGGTAGAACAAGAAGATGATGGTCGAGGAGCGGATCTCGAACCGATGTTCCAAACGGTTCACCGCCAACGCGGCGATCTAAGAAAAATCAAGTCCGAGCGATTAGGATTTTTAGCTTTCAACAAACAAAAGCAACCTTGTCGTTCAAACGTAATACGTTATGAGTAACTTACCCATGCCATTCCCATCCCCCAACAACTCAAAACCGCCACTAGCGGCACATCGGGGTGGTCATTATCTCCCTTTATCACCGTTGCCTCGAACAGGAAAAATCCAGCCTGAGTCACCATGAGCGCAGCAGTCAACGCGATAGAGATCTGTGTGGGCCAGTAGATCCATGCGGTTCGACCAAAGCGGTGTGGCACTCCATACGTCGTCAAATAGTAATACCGAGCGACTAGGATCAGCATTATCACCATCGACACCCCTCCATACAATGTGCTAATTGGTTGGGGCACAAGCACGGAAAAAAACCAATGTCGAGGATCAGCCAGTGTGTCTTTCATGGGAAAAAATCTTTTATGTTTGGCGCAGACAAATTATTGCCTCGCCCTCCTCGCATGGGCATGCAATTAAACGTTCGCAAGGAGCGCACATACCTGTACTCGAAGCAAGGCGTGAGATCATATCGATCTGGACTAAACGGACCCTGTATGGATAAGACATCCGTGTTAGAGATGAGGACCAATTGGATGGAAGGGTGAGATTGTAATAAGGGCGAGAAAAAGAAGGGTGCGCTTACCCATCCCTCGCTTTGACGGCAGAGAGCGTTGAATGAAGGTGCTGGAGCCGAGGGTGACTGAGAGAACACAATCTGATCCGCCATTGGTGGATAAGAGGGGGGAAGGTATGAAGGTGAGCTTTGTCGAATTTTCTTCCTTGCGCCGTTGCCTTCCTGTATCCCGTTGGGTGTTGGGGTGTGAGGTAAGGAGGAGGGGGAGCAATGGAAATGATTGAAATACGAAAGAAAAGAAAAGGAGCGAAAGAAGAAAAGAGAGAAAAGAAAGAAAAAGGAGAGGAGTAACGACGGGTCAAGGGAATAAGAAGAGGTTTATCCGCATTGTTTATCTCGTTATCTCGCAGTACTTTCTGTTTTTCGCAGCACTTTTTTCCTTTTCCTTTTCCTTTGCGCCCCCAATTTTTATGGACGAAATGACATCAACGAGTAGGCAGCTCGGCTGTTACCCTTAATGGTCTACTAGCTAGGCATCATCACTGATGACTATATCTGTCTATCAGTTTGATCAGACATTGAAAACGGACCGCTCTTTCACTCCACTTGCAGCGTGAGTGGTGCAAAAAAGAAAGGAGACTCAGGAAGTAGAAGGGGTTAAAGACGATAGTGGGGACAGATATGCGCTCAAGTCCCAAGGAAAAGGAGTGGGGGCCCGATTGGGGGAGAAGCCCTCTGATTGGCCCTATCGTATCCGTGGGTGCGGGGTGTCTGGACATGAGGGCCATTGGCACCTGTTGGCACCTGTACGCAGTTGCCTCCAACTCATTCTCTCTCCCACTCTCCCCTACCCTGTCCTGCCCTGCCCTGCTTTTGCTTTTGCTCTTTTGCTTCTCATTCACTTCTGCTTCTCCTCCCCTCTCTCCTTCCGTGTCCCCTTGTGGCACAAAAAACCCCTTCGTTTTTACTTTCACTCTTCTTGCTCTCATCTCTGTTGCATCATCATTTTTTTATTGTTTGTCTGTTGCATCATCTATTCTTTCTTTCATTCTTTCTTTTATTCCGCAAATCTCCTTTCTCCTTTCTTTTCTTACTCTCTCCTTTCTCTGTCATATTCCTTCACTCCTCTTCGCTTCAGTGCATCAACATCCAACCCATAAGGCACAATGGACAACGCATGGGAGAACTTCCTGGAGGCCATCGCCGCCTTAATGTCCAAGGCCCTGACGGACAAGGAGACCGAAAACGTCATTTCTGGCTTCAGCAACTTTCAACAGCGACTCCAACGTCTCAGCAGGTAACCAGCCCAAAATACTTTGGCTGACAGTATTGCAGAGTCTTGGAGAGAGTGGGAACAAACCGAAGAATACCATTGAACCCCATGGGTTACTTACCTACTTCGTTGTTTATTCTATACCCCCCAATTGCACAACTAGTCATAACTTGCAGCGATTGAACCTCGAGATCACGCAGAGCACAAAGAAGTCCAAAAAGTGCAAGCACGACGGCAAAACATGTACCCAGAACGTCACCAGAGGCTTCCTCAAGACCTGGGTCGTCGCCTACCTCATTAAATATGCCATTGGAGTCCTACCATCACTCCTGAAGGGCAAGGTCTTTAAAAAGTAAGGCCCCATTGATTGGATCAGGATGTATGTTTGTTATTGTTTTCCGTTTTCTTTGCTTTCGTCTCTTCGGCCATGAGGTTATTGACACCATTACACTCCCCTATTTCTCTCTCGCTTTTCCGCTCTTTTGCGCAAAAAAAAAATCGCCTTGTTTTCAAATAGTCCAAGCATCTTGAAGAAGAGTGGTGGAAGCGATACTGTGGGATTCGCATTCTTCTTGTCGTCGTTCTTGTCGGCATACAAGTTGGTCCTATGTGCTATGCGCAAGATCCGACCAAACCATGAAGGAGATCGCCTGAACGCCTTTGTTGCTGGATCGGTTGCAGGATTGACGTTGGCCCTGGACAAGAACAAGAGCCGCAGGACCGCTCTGACGCTCTATCTCTTCACCCGATCGATTCAGTTCGGCTCGAGCTATGCGATGAAACAATGGGCCGAGCACCGACAGGCCAAGAAAGCCTCCAACCGCCAATTGGTTCGCGACAACGACAAATCGATCGACAGCCAGGCATTGGTGACCAAGAACAGATGGGATGACATCTTGGCCAAGATCATGACCTCCTCGGCAGCAACAGCGGTCATGTCATTGACGGCAGCGGTCAATATCTATTCGTGTGTCATTGAGCCGGACGCAATGCCACGATCCTACTACAACTTCATCATGCAGCACTCGGGGTTGCCTCAAAAGTTTGGACCCATGTTCCCACCATTGGTCGAGACCTTCCAGTCCCAGTTCAACATGCTCAAGGATGGACCCGGAGGATTTGATAACATTGGTATCCCTGAGGGCGTGACCTCGCACGACTTCATCGCCAAGAACATCTCGCCCAACATTGCGACTTTGTTCCCTCCCGGCATTCACCACGACTACCAGTGCTGTGCTCTCCTCCACCCATTGTACGGATGCAAGCGCCATGCTGTTGACACCTTTACTGGAGAGTTTGGACGTGCCCTCAAGATGTACGGAACTCTTAACGCCGTAAGTGTTCCTTTTGTTTGTTTTGATATCGTGATTTGCGACGGCCCAATCTCGGAAATTGTACAACTGCATTGGTATGTTCTTTCATCTCACCCCTTTTTTTCGTTACGATTTGCTTGTTTGTTTTTATAACTTGTTTCGTGCATGATAGATCGTGATGGTTGCCTTCCAGCATAAGAAGCTTGCCAGCGACCCTGTCAAGTCTGCCAAGCACTACGTCAAGTCGACTATTCGCTCATGCTTCTTCTTGGCCTTCTACGTCCTCGCTTGCTTTTACATTCCTTGCCTGTCGCGAAGACTTCTCGGCCGCGAATCTAACCTCAAGTAAGTTTTGCTTTGGGTAACCCTGTTGGGGGTGACCGATCATGTGGGGAGTGTGGGCTTTTAATTGCTTGCGTCTGTCTCCCTCGTGATTTTCCTGGTATTTGTTTTTGTTTTCTCGGCCACTAATTTTACCGTCTGTCATCCTTGTGAAAATTCAAATAGCTACATCTTCAACGGACTGATCGCAGGAACAGCAGTGTTGATCGAAGCACCCGGTCGTCAGATGGAGTTGGCACTCTACTGCCTCCCTCGCGCTCTCGAGACCAGCTGGAAGCTGTTGATGAAGCGTGGGCTTGTCAGGAACATCAAGAACGGCGATATTGCATTGTTTAGTGCCTCGATGGGTGTCTTGATGACTCTCTACCAGAACGAGCCCTCTGTCATCAATAAGCATTACCTTACTGTCCTCACCCGCGTCTTTGGACGCAATTAGAAGATCTCTTCCCTTGTATAGAATAGAAAAATACGTTTTTTTTCTGTATTTGTACTCCCACATGTCATTTTGTGTCTTCCTCCCCCATTTCTACTTATTATCCCGCCTAATAAACGCCACTCATCCACAAAAATCAAAACAAACCACAAAAAAAAAAAAAAAACAGATCGCGAAAATATCACGAACACAAACAAGCAAACAAAAACGGAGACAAGGACAGATTTGGGGGGTTTTTTTTCAATGATTTTTTTATTCGCAATTCATTCTACTACAAAGCAAACAAAAGAGAAAAGGGGGAAAGGGAGGAGGGGAATTTCGCACGACTCTGCTGATCATATTCAAGTGAATATCACAAGAAAAGACACGGCACACCCCAAGATCGGCTAGACCAGAGGGGCGACAAGAGCAAGGTGCGCAGAGTTAGTAAGACCCCGCTTTTTTACTTTCTTCGGTGTTTTTCCCATACAACTGCACATTGGTATCGTGCAGTCGATTGAATAGACCCCGGTTGGTTGTGTGTGGATGTGTGGAGGGAAGGGAGGAGAGGAGGAAAGGGGTGGGGGGGAGAAGGAGGACATAAATTCATCATATACAAAGGTGGATGTGGACATTGTTCAACTGTGTGGTTCTTTTAATCGACATTCTTGTAACATATAAACAAAGGAGGATAGTGTGGGTCAAAGGAGGAAGGTGGAGAGGAAGGGATATACTTGCGAAAGGAGGTGGATGTGTTGTTGTGGAAGTTGGTGGAAAGGATGAAGAGAATCAAAAGAAAATTTTTCGCGGCTTTTTATGCTCGCGAAAAATATCACCAATGACGTCACCCGTTTTAACCTTGAGGTGGTTTTTATTGAGTAAAGGGGAGAGATAAAAAGCATGAACAATGAAGAGGAAGAAGAAATAACACAAGCGCGGTATGAAAAAAAGAGAAAATATTACACGCCGCCGTTCCTGCTCCACCAGCTTGTCCTGCGATCGGGCATCTGTCCCTTGGTAGGCGAGCTAGGTGAGTAGTTCTCCTCACCAGGGGTGGCACTACAATTGGCACAACAACAAAAAAAATCGCGTGTCAGTTAGGTCGGTAAACTTCCAATGAACAGTATCATTCAATCAACTACAATCTTCATGAGTCGTACTTGTTGTTGTCAACGGTGGGTCCTCCGCCACGGAAAGGCTTGGCGATCCGTCCAAAGTTGAGCGCATTGTTGGCCGATTTTTGGGCTATTGTGAATGAGAGATGATATAAAGAATGAGAATTCAGCACAGTCAAGACATATCAAGTTCATCACAGAGTTTTGAACTGAAAGCTGTAACTTACAGCGAGCCTGCTCAAGACGATCACGGACAGCCTGCAACTGGGTCTCGAACCTAGCGGACAATGAGTGAACGGAGAGACATTCGTTAGGATAGGTCGAACAAATCATCATCGACAAATATCGATATCAAAGCGTGGACTTACTTGTGGTTCTGGCTGGTAAGGTTCTCCTGAGCAACCTGCAAGAGGCTCTCCAAACTCTGGATACGCTCGTTACGGGCAACAAGCTTGCGCTCAGAGACCGCTACCTCCTTCTTGAGGGCAGAGTTCTGCTCAACAAGCTGCTTCTGGACCAAGGTCAGTTGCTCCAAGTTGCGCTCGAGGAAAGTCATCTTCTTCTGCTGGGCCTTGTTGTTGTTGTTGCGGAGCACGTTGTTATACTGCTCGCGAGTCTCATCCAACTCCATCTCCAACTCGACAACCTTCTCGCACCGGTTCTGAAGATCGCGCATCAAGGCTTTCTTCATCACGTCAAAGTCGGCCAACTGCTGAGCCATCTTCTTGCGGATGCGCTCCATGTCACGCTCGCGCTCCGTCATATCCTTGCCCTCCCAAAGACCACTGCTCGAGTGGCTGCTTTGGCGCTCGATCTGCTCCTTGAGCTCCTCGTTGCCGCGTCTGAGCTCAGTCACGTTGATGCTCAGCTTCTGGATGTCCTCGTTACGACGGGTGACCTCCTGCTTGAGATCTTCAATCTCCTGTTGTGCCTGATCCCTCTTGGCTGCGTACTGGGCCTCGACCTTGGTCCTCAGCTCAGAGATGGTCTCTAACACATCAATCGACGAGTTGGCCTCCTCATCCGCAATGGTCTTGTCCAGCAACTCCTCGTACTCGAGCTCGGCCGCCTGCAAGCGCATCTCAAGGGTATCCCTCTTCTGCGTCAGCGAGGCGTTCTCGTTGTTGAGCTCAGAAATGGTCTGCTCGTGCAGCTCAATGATGGTCCTTGACTGAGCAATCTCCTTGCGGATGGCGATCGTCTCTTCGACAGAGAGTCCAGCGGGCGACTCAAACTTGGAGAGGGTCTCGCGCAACTGTGCCTCCTTGGCCGAGATCTCACCAGAGGGGTCAAGGTCTGCCATCATCTGCGCCATCTTCTCGATCTTCTTCTTCTCCTTGTCGCCCTCGCTCGAGTCCTTCTGAGCAAGGCGCATCTCCATCAACGCCTTCTTGAGCTCCTCCAACTCCTTTGACAGCTCCTGGTTGACCTCACGCAGACTGTCGACGGTAATGGCGCCCTCCTTGTTCTCGTACGAGACCTTCTCCAACTGCAGCTTCAAGTCGCTCAACTCAAAGGCGGCATTGGAAGAATCCTGATCCTTGAGGTAGGTGAGCTCCTCCTTCATCGACTCCAACAGCTGCGACTGAGACAACAGTTCGGCCTCTTTCTCTGCAATCTGATCGGTCAGTTCATTCTCGCGCTTCAAGAACTCTTCTCTCTCATCCAGCTCCAGAACAATGGCGGGAGTCGATGGCCGGGATGTGTCCTGCTGAGCCATGTGCCCAGGTACACTCGAGAGCGGCGCCGATCCACCGCCAGCTTGAATCATCTCCATGCTGACCCACTCCAATTTAGGAACAGTTCCACCTTGACGCCAGATGCCAACTTCTCCCTCCAAAGCAGCAATGTACTGGGTATAGGTAATCGCCTCGGATCGGACCTTCTTGAGGAGCAGCTTGAGTTCGGCCGCACTGAGTTCCTGGTTGACCTTGGCCTTGTTCTTGATGCTCTTGGCTCTTGTACCGAACCGAAGAGTACCAACAGTCTCGGCATCGTTGTAGGACGAAGGAGAACAGTTGATAATCAATGTCGTCCGCGAGTTTCCTCCCAACGACTCTTGCAAGATTCTCGTCAATTTACTGTCACGGTATGGGACGTGAGTGGACTAGAGGTATGCGTATACAAAAGTAACCCGTATTAGTTGCATGCTCTCACATTTCCACCCTCTGAAAGCACATAAATAAAATATACTCCATGGCACGCTCAACAGCTAGCGGAATTGACATACCTTTCCATCGGTAAGGGCATTGATGACCATTCCCAGGGCGGACAGAGACTTGTTAATCTTCTTGGCTTCCTCCAGAGTCTGACCAGACGCACCAGTCTTGCCAACCTTTTCCGAACCAGCCAAATCGACCAAGTAGAGTTTACCACTCTTGACACTTCCGTCCACCAAGTTCTTTTGTGAGATTGTGACGACAAAAATGGAATGCGAACGAGAACTCTCGGCGTTCATGTCTACAGAAATAGTCGATATAAACAGTCATGATGAGCATAAGTGTTTGATGGCTTAAAGTATTCTTCAACACGGCAGGTAGGCAACTTACTGGTATAGGCGACCATCCTGCTGTTTCCTCCGCGACGCATGACCTCGTGAATTTCCGAGATAGAGCTGACATAGACCTCGAAAAGACCCTTGACATAGACACCTCGATTCTTTTCCTCGTGAATCGGCAGGTTATCATTTACGGCTGTTTGTAAATGGAAGGAATGTAGGGGGGTAGCAAAATATAATGCAGAGAAAGCGTTAGAGAAATGCATTTCAATGGTGTGCTTGCATGAAAACGGTGTGCTTCAACAACTTGGCAGCTCTCAACGAAAATAAAAATGCACTTACGGTTCAACAAATCACGAATCTTCTCCATGTAAATTTCCATGTACGAGACTTTGACGGTGTACTCCATGGTCGAGGGCGAGGCGAGAATGCTGGCAAAGATCTGGTCCACAATGCGGGGAATGATACCCTTGGTGGCTTCATCATCAATGGAGGGTCCCTAGAACAGTAACAAAAAGATCATATAGAATGAGAACTCTGTCACATGCAGGCTATTTTATCATTCATTGCTGTGTTCAGAAAATTTGAAGATTCACCTGCTTACCATCATTGTGAAGGTCTTTCCGGATCCTGTCTGACCATAGGCAAAGACGGTACCGTTGTATCCATTGATGACATCTAATTACAATGCAATTGATATTAGCATTGATCCTTTCGACATGTATGATGCCATAAATATACGGTAGATGCGGATAAAAACTGCCTTACCATCGACGATTGTGCTGATAGAGTAGTCGAAAACGTCCTTTTGCTTGGAGTCAGAGGCGAAAACTCTGTCAAAGGTGAATGTTCCTGGATAGTCCTTGCTCTAGTGTCAGAAAAAGAGTGCGTCATGTGAATCACAACAACGTTAATATAGGGAAAAACATAGCCACGAGAGACAATATGAGGATTGCCCTAGTGTGCCAAGGTGACCTCTGGTGGCTCCTTCCCTCCTTGGGGTCCGGAAGGCATGCTTGTTGGTTTTATTTTGTTCTGTCTCCTTGAGGTAGCCTCCTGGGATTCGTCTCCCCTTGGAGCCGCGTGAAGAAAAGGAACAGGCGTGTGTGTGCGCGTGCGTTTGGGTGTGATTGTTTATTCTTTCTTCTTTTTTTCCCCTGATGAAAAAAAAGAATAGAGATATAGTTTTCCACTTGTGCACATCGAACCCCATCTCGCCGCTTCATAGGTCCTGTGAGAATGGTTTTGCACATGCTAAAATATCGATATCATGCCATCCATGTTCCCGAATATCATCATCGCCTTGTTGCCGATAGTGTTGAGCTGGTTGTTTCACGTCGCAGGGTCAAGATGTCTGGCGGTGTATATGGTATGGAATGCAGAGCTGAGGAGGTGTTCCATGTTTTCCCACCCATTCGTCCCCCAAATATCCCCAAGAGTGATAAAGACCCAGAATAACTGATTGTCCAATGCCAATGCCTCCCACAAGTTGTTATATCCGGTTTCTTATTTGCAGCATGGCCCATGCTGCCTGCCGCAACCTCCAATGGTCTTTGCCCTTCCTCCCGCCTCTTTACCCTCTGTGCATTCTTATATTTTTTTGCTCATCTATCCTGTACGCCTCAAATATGACTCCTTGTACCTCTATGGTTTGGAATTCAGATGAAGACTTACATCGACTTTTACGGTTTGGCCATTGTCGTCGTAGTTGATGATGGGTTGACCGCCCTCTTTGATTTCCAATGAGTTTTGAGGGCGGAAACGACAGACGACCTTGATGTTGTTGGACATAATGCAGAGAGACGTCTAGGGGGGCAGTAAAGTGTTGACTGTCGGGTGTTGGCGTAGGTGTGTGCTCTGCTTCACTCGCGCGGGTTTATATGAGGTTCGGCCTGCGCGGGTCTTGAGGAATAGATAGTTCACTCTATCCACCGACAAAGTGCGTTTCGTGTGAGAAGGTGGGTGTTGGGGTATAGTGTTATGTGGTGAGGCTCTCCTAAAGAACTGGATTGTGAAAGGGTGAGGAAAGTAAAAAGGAAAAAGAAGTGTCAGTTCTCAGGACCCGGACAAAAAAACAACAGGTTCTCCTTCCTTCCTGTCCTGTCCAGTCCTGTCCTGTGGTATGGTATTTTTGTGTTTGTTCCTGAAGAAATATTGGAAGTAAAGTAAAGTAAGGGCTTGTCGGACTGGATGAACTGGGATCGGATCTTCTCACCGTAAGTGGAGGTAAGGGACAACAGACAGGCGCAGATGTGCAGTCAATTAGGGTTGAAGTGGAAGGTCAAAAGCAAAAAAAAAAAAAAAAAAAAGAAGAGGAGCAATGGGAAGAGATGATGGAATTGCTACTGTTGGCTGTCTTATGAAGAGGGGGGTTCGTCATTCATCACCCCCTTTCGTCCCTTTCTTCACTGTTTTACTCTGTCACTCTGACTCTGCCTCTCTTTTTCTCTGTGTCCTTTTGCCGAGTGAATAGTATAGGCGGAAGATGTCAAAAAGAGAAGTGGTGATGAAGGCAGAGCAAGACGCACGAAGGGTAATAATAACGAAAAAAAAGTAGTGTCTGATGGTTGCGGCGATCGATTGTGGAGGTGTGATGTCCTGCATGTTGTTTGGCCAGGGATGGGTCAGTGTGAAGGGTTTGAAGGAGAAGAGGGCTATTACCTTTTTGTGAAAAAGAGGATGGAGGATGGGGGAGATGCTGGTGGTGTGAAGAATGAAGGTAGGAGGGAGGGGCGAAGGATGAAGAAGAGGAGGAGGGGAAGGAACGTGAAAGAGTGAGAAGAGAAGGGGTGACGGAGGGGGGAGAAAGGCACGACTTGCACATCCTGAGGAGGGGACCAAAAAAAGTAGTCCTTGAGTATGAGAAAGAGAAACGCGTGATTCCATGTCCAAAGTCTATCCTCCTCTCGCTTGCCCTGCCCTGCCCTGCCCTTTTCAACTTTTCTATCCGCCATCCTCAATCTCAAAAGTCAGCCAGGGCCAGGGCTGGCTAAATATTGGGGAGAGATGGCAAGAGCATCATTATCACCATGTCTCTCGTTGTGTATGTGTGTGTGCAAGTGCAGCACCAGCTGCATAGTTCAATTATGTTGCTGCAAACACGAGGGATTAAAGATGCATGTTGAAGGTAAGAATACTGAACAACGAGAATAAACAGAGTTGGGACCATGGCGCATCCAAACAGCTTGACTCGCTTGATTTGGTGGCGTTTTTTTGTTAAAAAAGAAAAAGGTCCGAGTGCCAGACAGGGTCAAAGAGTGATAGAAGAGAGAAGTGAGAGAGTGAGTCCGCTGGATCACAATAATAACAGAAGGCTGTACAACATCCTCATCGGCTCAAAAGAACTACCTCAAATCTCAAGGTAAAAAAAGGTACTGTTGACATGCCTTACAACTGCGGGCAATGGACTTGAGGACCTCATTTATTGATATGCATTTTGTCATCTCTCTTGGAAACATTATTTGTCCAACGGACGGGAATAAATAAGAGCCTTTCTTCAACTCACCCCTCCTCATTCCAACCAAAAAAATGTCCACCGCTGCCACCACCGCCGATATCATCCCCATTCTCGCCTCCGCCGATAAGGCAACTCTAGTCGCCGATATCTACAACGAGGATCAAGGCCCACGTAAGGGTATCTTCCTGACTTTCCAACAGGCCTCCAAATTGATCGCCTTCCATCTCCCCACCAAGCAATTACACCAGCTCTTTTACTTCAAGCGTGGCTACAACAACAGAGTCTACCTCGCCCTCTGCAACGATGGATCCGAGTACGTCATCCGTCTCGGCGGCCGGTTCTGGGACCACACCAAGATCATCAACGAGGCCCACGCTCTGAGCCTCGCTCGTGCTGCTCTTGGAGATGTTGTCGATGTACCACTGTTTGTCGGCACCAGCGTCGAAGAGTCCAAAGTCCATACCGACGTAGCCTCGAGGATCATCCCACACGACTATATCATCATGAACAGGCTGCCGGGAGTGCCCCTGGACACCGTTTGGGACCAGTTATCAAAGGACGACAAGAAGACGATTGTCGACCAAGCGGCCCATATCTTCTCACGCCTCCGATCAATCGAATTGACCAACATTGGAAACTTTGTCTCGGGGTCCCAGGATGAACCAAAAGTCGGCGCTCTGATGGAGGGAGGAGGAGGACCCTTCTTACGTTGGGGTGAGTTTGTCGCTGCTAACATCCAAAAAGAGCTTGGCAACCTCACCAAGCAAGAGTCTAAATTTGCCGAGATCATGCCGTACCTACCCCGGATCCACGCACTCCTCGCCAAAGTCCAGTCGGAAGAACTCGAGAAGCAGTTTGAGGCCAAGGCCAACGAGGAAGGCGAGGATACGTCGGAGAGACCCATCTCGTTCCTGCATGGCGATTTCGAGTCGCGTAACATGCTTGTTGTTGGCACCAAAATCACCGGTCTTCATGATTTCGAGTTTGCAGGAGGATTTCCGGCTGAGCAGGAGTGGTGCGCTGGATTCGAGTGGCTATTTGCTCGTTCTGAGGATCCATATGATGAATCTGAGCAACAAAAGTTGAGAGACATGACGGAGGATGAGAAGGAGATCCGAGAGTACTTTTTGAGGGTTCTCAAGGAGAGCCATGGGCTGTTGCCGTATGGACCTGGACATCAAGAGTACAAGGTGGTGTTGTATCACTGCCAGAGTAACATTGCTCCTTGGTGGTTGGTCGACCCAGAGCGAAACACTTGGACCGAGCACCAGGTTCAGACCTTGAAGACTGCCGCCGCCTCACTGGACAAAGCATTGACCTATCTTGGTTGCTGATTGGCTTGACCTTAATACATTGCGTTAAGATTCTAAACATTCATCTCTTTTTTTTCACGCGTTGATATCGTTTTCAGGTTGGTTTTTTTTTATTACGAAGCGATTATGAGTGCAGTTCTGAGAGCAACTGAAAAAAGAGCGATCGAGAAACTAGCAATACTTATGGTACAGAAAATGAGGATGGACGATGCGGTTGCATAAAGGAAAGGGGATGGTGTCTCTCCTTCTTTTAAGAGTATGTAAAAATGGGGAAAGTATGTGTGTAATTGTTTTTTTGTTCAACGCCTTTTACAAAGAGTGCTGATGGGCGGATCTCCTTTTAGTGGATGTTGGAGTACTCGCCGTTCTGCTGATGATAATATCCAGCATTGACGTCCTGCTGATGGAAAATACCGCCATCATCCAAGTTCTTGGTCTCCTCCTCGCCCTCCTTGTCCTTTGTTGTTGCTGCCTGACGTTCAATTTTAGTGGTCTATTGATTATTTTTTTTAGAAAAAGAAACGGTAAAGGGAGGCAGGAGAGAAGGAAGGGGTCAGAAGGGGGTTGTGCAGTGCAGAGATCCAAGACAATAGTTGCGAGGGAGACAAGGTTTTAGTTCTACTGTTCTTGTAGGGGGTTTTTTTCCTTTTGTTTTGTAGGTTGGCGCAAAACCAAACAGAAAAACAGACAAACGAGGCTCCATGATCGTCCAGTGAAAACCAAGCAAATCGCTCTAGCATTGACGTTTCTGTTATTTACCTCTCTGTATTTTGACAGGTAAATCTTGAGTGCCTCGGCATAGTTCTCGAATCCAAGGGACTGCATTGCCCACAGGATATCCTCGCCGTTGATCGTCTTGCGCTTCTCAAGCTGGCATCTGTCGCTGGCTAATTTTGAGGTAACAGGAGCATGGGTAAGACAGTGAGTGTGTGGGTGAAGTGTAACAACGGAGAGGGAACGAACGAGTGTGGGTAAAACAACAGAGAAAAAGAACAACCACAGCTAACAAAACGATGTTTCCACTGCCACTTTATTAACAACGAGAGTTGAGGCATTTGCATTCGTGTTTGAATTCAAAAGAGGAGAGGGAGACATACCTTCGCTGGTGATGAAGGAGATAAACTCTGAGACGCACTCCTGCACGGTCTCCTTGGCCTCCTTTGCAATCTTTGCGTTGTCGGGGAGAGCCTTCTTCATAATCCTGGCTACGTTGGCGATGGGCAAGAAGCGATCCTGCTCCTTATAGTCATCCAACTCGTCTCCGGACTGGTGCTGCTCAGACATGGTGGTGCGTACGAAGTTGAGGTTTTGTTTGTATGCTCTTCTCTGGCTTTTATGTTCTTGTGGTCTGTGAGCGGGTTGTGAGTTTGCTGTGGGTGTTGTTGGCGGGGAGAGGCAAAGTGTTGATGAGAAAAGGAAAGGACCGCGGCAAGCTTTTTTTTTTCTCGTTGCACCTTTTCTTCGACTAGTCAGCACCCCGCTTGTTTCATTTGAGATTTTTTTTCTTCTTCCTCGCACAAGTCAGTGAGGCAAATTCTGTGTACGTTGTTGACGTTGTACGTGATTATCCTTCCTCGACTGCCTTATTCCTCTCCATCTTCGTCGCGTCGCCATCATCACTCTCATCACAAGTAGGAAGCTCTCTCTCTCGACCGCACAGGACACACACAGAAACACCCCCATATTTAACCCTTACACGACCTACATACACTATGGCATCGAGTCAGGCTCCAGTAAAACTCGTCAACGAGTCCGCAGTCGAATTCCTCACGACAGAGATGGTCGAGGCAATGATCAGAACCATCAAGGACGACGCCCTTCGCCTCAGCACCGACAAAGACCCTAGTCTTGGCAGCCCGAACGATGGCGCCGGAGGACCCAAGGATTACTCTGAAGGAGACGAAGCTATGGAGGCAGTCTACTACAAGCTGGAAATGATTGGATTCCGCGTAGGCGAGCGGCTCATTGAAAAGTATGATAGTCCTACTTTTATTGTACAAGGGACCATAAATGCTGCTCCGCAAAAGGCTTTAAACAGGCTAACCGATTGGCCCATATCTCTCACTTTTGTAGAATCAGCAAGGACAGGTTGAGGTTCACAGACAATCTGGATGTGGTCAAGTTTGTGTGCAAGGAGGTCTGGATGTTCTTGTTCAAGAAGCAGGTCGACAACCTGAAGACAAATCACAGAGTGCGTATAATTGGCTTCCAGAGCTAATCACGCTGAGGCAACACACGAAGTATGAACAGCACACATTACATCAGTCGGTACTGATACCTCTCTATCACTTGTTCACACCTGGAACTATTAGGGCGTCTATGTGCTTCAGGATAATGGCTTCCGCTGGTTCACCAGGATGGCACACGACCAGAGTTCAGCGGAATCTGTGAAGAAAGTGACACCAGTAAGGACAGACTGTGCTCTATCGCTTTTTTTCAGGACATTGCTATCTCTGTTGTTTTATTCTGACTGGATGACGTCTTTGTTCTCATCAATGGCGGCATATAGTACCTGTGGTTTCCATGCGGGATCCTGCGCGGCATTCTTTCCAACCTGGGCATTGCAAGTGTCGTCGTGGCCGAGACGTCCTCTCTGCCCGCCTGTACCTTCCAGATCAAGATTGCGAAGACAGCATAAGACTAAAAAGAATAAACTCAACATGATACCACACATACCTCCATCACTACAAGCTCGTCTTGTGACTGATTTCGTTGCATTTGACCTGGCGACCAACACGTTTTTGCTCGCTTCCTCTTTGTTCTCTACCCACCTCACCATCTCTCCTCACCGCGTTCACCCTTCCTCTTTCTCGCCCACAATACACATACTTTTTTTCCCGTACCCCATGTCATCTACCACCCCACGCCAGACCGGAAAGGTCAAGTTCTTCAACACTCAAAAGGGCTTTGGATTTATCATCCCTTCTAAGAGTACCGAAGCTGAACCTGTCGACGAGGGTAGGTCTCACACCTCACACTTTGTCTTCGCTTTGTTCTCTTTTACTCCGTTATGTCTGTACTACGTTGTCGACTGTTCACAAGAAAACGGTTGTATGACTCTATTTTTTTTTTGTTTCTCTCTACTCGTTTCTCACTTTTCTGGTAGTCTTTGTCCACCACACAGCGATCCAGAACGATGGAGGGTTCAAGTCTTTAGCCGAGGGAGAAGAGGTTCGTCTATACTTTGTACTGTCCTTCCGACCTTTTCTCATATGACATGTCCACGCAATAATGCCAAGTTACTGATGAGTTGGGGATATGCCATAAGAAGCTGATCAGACTATCGCTGATACATTATATATTGACTCTTTTCTCTTCTCGCACTCACACTTGTCACATTTGCACATACACGCGTTTGTAGGTCGAGTTTGATCTAGTTCAAGGCACCAAAGGCGTGCAGGCGTCCAACGTCACCGGTCCAAAGGGAGCTTCTGTCATCGGTGACCAAAGCTACAATCAAATTGGATTCAAGTAAGTCAATACAACAGTCCAGCATAGGGCAAAGAAGAAAGCAAAACAATAGTACCAATAGTACTACTGTCCTCTTTGGCAACCAGCAACGCAATGATGCGACTAGAGTGTTAACACAAACCTTTCTTTTTTTGTTCGTGTACAATTCGAATAGCAGCAACAATAGCAGCAACTCGACCTTCGGAAACACCAACACCCAGGCGCGATTTGGTGGGAGAAACGCCAGTGGTGGATATGGCATCGGCTTTGGTGGATTTGGCGGACAGAACTGTAAGTTAGCCGAGCATGTTTTTTTTGTACGTTTAGGCCACGGAACCAAAGGGAGGAAAAAATGGCGGGAAAAATGGCAATCCTAATCGGGCACAACAAGCGCCGCTAACACCATTTGTTTGCGTCTATTCTTAGCATATGGAGGTGGATATGCGAACATTGGCAACACGCCCTATGGTAGCCAAGGATTGGGTGGTCAACAGGGCTATGGCCAAGGCTACGGTCAGGGATACGACCAGCAGCAGCAGTATGGGTATGGGGTAAGCGCTGGATATCCTCCTGCGCAGCAAACCAGCCAGTATCGATTTGGATCTGGATACTTGCAGGGCTACAACGGCGGAGCAGGAGGTGCAGCAGAAGGAGGAGGAGGCACTCATGGCAGTGGACTCCAGGGTCAGGCGGGCGGTCACTCGACATCTCCGGGACAGACCTCTTCCACTGGTCAGCGCGGAAAATGGAATGGCGCCTCTGGAGCCTCTCTCCGCTAAAGTATTGAGAGGCGATGGCTGGTGACCTACTCTCTGCGCCTGTTCTTTTTTTTTGATTCTTGCAGGTTGAACCTTTTGAATAAAAGATTGTGACTGCGTTTTGACCATTCAAAACAACAGCGACCAAAATGTGGTGGCAAAAAAAATATGCGAAGGTGGTCTTCTGGCTAAGTTGTCTGAGGAAGGGCAGGCAAAGCTAAAGAATGGAGAAAACTATCGTGGGAGAGAATGGCTAGCGGGTCAAGGTCCTCTGTCGATCGAGGAAGCTTGGGGGATGAGGTAAGACGACGTCCTTCTTCTTACTCGTCCAGTCTGAGTTGATACTCTCTTTCCTAATTCTACGCAGCTCTTCCACCTGCTTTGTTGCTGTTGTTGTTGTTGTTGTTTTATGCTCTTTGTTGTCTGATTCGTTTTTTCTTTTTTTTTTTCTTTCTGCCTCATCCACTCTCCTCCTTCCTTCTTTCTTTTCCCCTCCTTCACATTCATCCGTCCCCACACCCTGTACAAAGCACACACTTCCATACTCCTATAGTATTCTAGACGCCTCTCTTTCTTTTTCTTTTTTCCTTTTTTCTTTTTTCTTTTGCCACCACGTTTTTTATGCCTCTTAATCCTCGTTCGCTGTAATTACTCTTCACCTGGCCACGACTGACTTGCCGCCAACTATAACAACAACAACAAAGACAAACATCACTGCCGAATCAACCAAGCCGCACCCCCTCCTCCTGCCTTCCAAAAAGGTAATAAAACAACCCTCGGAATCTACTTCTGCTGGCCCCCATGCTCTCTGTCTTCATACCTCCCTTCTGAAGGGAGAGAACGCACTTTTTTTTCTCCTTTTGTTTGAACCTGTAGTATTTCACAGGACAAGGCATGCAACGCAAACGCTTATCACTGGACTTGAGCCTGAGTCTCTTGCTGCCTTTCTTCGCAGCACCCAGCAGGAGACCTACCATGGAATCAATGCAGGCTTCACACAAAGGCTTTGTTTATTGTTGTTGTTGCCAAGAGGACACAAGGAGCAAGGATCAATTCAGACCAATCCCTGTTGACAACCTTTTGTTGTCTTGGCAGATCTGTTCGGACTGCTGCTGGATGCATGCAGACTCATCAGAGAAAGGCTCCAGGACTTGTCTATATACCATTCTCAGAGCGCGCTGGGGCGGGATGAACAAGGAACCTTACATTACATCATACTGCACGGGACTCTTGGCTCACCACGGCACTTTTTTGATGCAGAGCGGGGACTGATCACGAAACAGCAACTTACTGTTTGCAAAACAAGGACGCAGTGCACTTTCCTAACCACTTGGACATATCATGTTTGTATCTTTTTGTTTGATAGACATAACTCCAACAGCGCAAACCGGATATTTCATACACTTCGACTCTGGATTCCCTGCACTTCACCCAGGCTCCCGTCCTTGACCTGCCACCACTAGTTCATATGCTGCCCAGCCTCCACAAGGACGACTCTATGATGGAAAGCGGAATGGTGCCTCAGCGTCGTGCGTCCGGATCAGCTGACAGCTCTGCTGGGCCTTCGTCAATAAATAGTTCTACGTCCACGTCGCCATCCTCTTCCATAAGTGATGCCATGATGACGATCGAGCACGCCAAGGAGACAGGATTCAGCAGTATTATCCCAGAGCTAAAGCAGGATGAGCCAGGTAAGTAACTCAAATTACCTTACCTATCATTTTGTCGGCAATAGGACATATGAACTTGTTGTTACAATGTTTGGCTAATGCAGTATTACTGACTTTTTAGAAATATGTGCCTCCCTGGCATCTCTTCATGCACCATTCTCTGAGCCAGGAACTCCAACAAACGCCACCTTCCCGTCCAATTCGCTGCCTCAAGCCGCTTCTCATTCCCCAAAGCTGGAAAAACTGGAAATCTCAAGTCCCATCCCACTCTCACGACTCTTTGATTTTGACAAGGAGGACCAGTCGTCCGACAAGATCGTCCTCAACGAGTCCGAGCGTCAATATCAGCAGAAGCTTAAGGATGAGTTCGATGCTGGTTTCAGGGACATCCAAGGCGAGGACAGGAATGGATTTGAGTCTTCGGATCGTGCCGATAGCTTCACCCGTCCACGGAGCCGACGCATAGTCTATGACTCGGATGACGAGGAGGTCCATGTCGACGATGATGAAGAGGAGAATGATCGCCGATTATACCGGAGTAAGCACTCTGTGCCCCCTCCACCACCACCACCACCACTCGGACCTCCACCCATCAAAAGCCTGCCCTCTGCCATAAACGAAGCCCAAAGTACCTACCAGCAGATCGAGCTCAACATTTATCGCGGCGCCAACACAGGGAACTCTCCCGTGGACGACTGCCTCCCTTGCCAGTGCAAATTCAACCCTAGTAAGTCAGGATGACGAAGCTTAATTGAAGTGTCCGTATATGAATGGTTCGCTTTGTAAGAGTAATACCAATGCTTATGTGCATTTTTTCATTGTTTGCATATTAGGTCGTGACCCAAGGTGGAAGGCATGTGGTCCAGACTGCATCAACAGGAATCTGCTCGTGGAATGTATCGAAGACGACTGTCCTTGTGGCTCTTACTGCTTGAACAGGAGGTACATAATGTGGTGTATTACCAATTGGATGCTAGTCATGGTTTGACATTCGACAAGTATATAGGAAACTAACACGCTGTCTTTCTCTGACCATTCCATAGGTTTCAAATGAAGCAGAATGCAGACGTGGATGTTGTCAAGACCGAGAAGAAAGGATTTGGTCTCCGTGCTATGGAAGGATTACCAGCGTAAGTCCACAGCTTGTTGCGTAGCAGAGAAGACGCTTTTTTTACTTTCGGCAATAGGTGCTTGGATATATGTGCTAACACATTCACTACACCTTTCAACTGAAATAGTGGCTCTTTTGTTATGGAGTACATCGGAGAAGTGTTGCCTCACGCAAGCTTTGTCAAGAGGACAAGGGAGTACTCTTTGGCTGGGGTGGAGCACTTTTACTTCATGTCCTTGCAATCGGACGAGGTTATCGACGCGACCAAGAAGGGATGTCTTGCAAGATTCATCAACCACTCCTGCAACCCCAACTGTCATTTAGAAAAGTGGGTCGTCGGCTCCAAACTCAGGATCGGTATCTTTACCATCAAGCGAGTCGCAGAAGGAGAGGAGTTGACATTTGACTACCAGTTTGAGCGCTATGGGTAAGTTCAATGCATGGCGAATTTGGATCGACTGTATTCGGTGACACCATATTTGCTTCGTGGTTCAAAACTAACATCATATTCCCTTGTACTGATGGCCTTTCATAGCGCTGAGGCACAAAAGTGCTACTGCGGGGAGGCCAACTGTTCAGGATTCATTGGTGGTAACAAGAGGTCGTCCGCGACGAGATTGGACGACTACAACCATCTAGATGAAGTAGAGGACGAGGATGAGATTGACCTCGAAAACCAGATCAGCCTGCGACACCCAAAGAAGGACAAGAATCACGATGGCGATTACGAGGAAAAGATCGAGGAGCAGAGGGTCACACGCGGTATTGAAGATCCGATTCTGATGGAGAAACTTGCCCGTATCATGTTTATGAAGCCCAAGGTAGAGAAGAGCAAGCGCCTGCTGGCAAAACTTATGGCCACAACTGAGCGGGCTTGTTTGCGGCGGTTCCTGGTCCTTCACGGACTGGTCATTCTGAAGGCGTGGCTAAAACACTACAAGGAAGAGCCCGATATCATCATGGGCATCATGTTTGTCCTGCCTAGCATTCCCCTTCTCTCCCGTAACGCCATCGAGGATTCACTAATCGAGGAAGCTGTTCAGGAGGTCGCCGATGGACCCGAGTGTCCTTCTAAGGGTATGGCTCAAGAAGTCTTGGAGCAGTGGAAGCAACTCAAGCCAACCTACAGAATTCCTAAGGCCAAGAAACAGGTTCGTTGCCTGTTGCATTTTTTAGTCGAGGTTCTCGTTGACGTTAGCTTTGCACTCCGTCATATACCATTACTAACCAAGCATTGCGTATTTTGATGTTTTCTAGGCTGTCACTGCATCTACTACCAACACTACCATGGACGCAGCAAGCACCCCTGTCGACGAACCCTCCACTTTTATGTCACCAGCCGAGTCTAATGGATCCGGATCAGGTGAAGGACTGGGAAAACGCCAATACGACGATGAAGAACGTGCATCTACACCTGCTGGTATGGAGAAGCGCGGCAGGTTCGACGGTGACTCTGACCAAACTCCAGCAGAGGAGACAGACGCATCCGCATCTGCATCTACAACACCGCAAGACCTAGCCTCCAGGTACCACAGCCACCCTTTCGACTCTCCGGAATATTCTTCCAGGTCCGAATCACACCGCGGACCCGAGCACTATGGCAGGATGGCGGATAGCTATGGTCGGCTGGACATGTACGGACGGATGGAGCCTCACAGCCGAGAGGGATCGTATGGTCGCTCTGGCGATTCTGGCTACAGCCGCTCCGAATCGTATGGCCGTATCGACCCCTATGGCTTGTCCAAAAATGGCTACGAACGTGGACGCTACGAGCACTACCGGAGCGATCGTGACCGCGAACGGGAGCGCTATTACGAGTACTATCGTGAGCGAGATTATGATCGGGAGTTCAGAAGCCACCGGGAACCACGCGAACGTATTTACAATCAGCCCCCACCTTCGCCACGCCGCAGATCTCGCGATGGTTCACCAGCAGCTCCTCCCCGCCGCGAGCTTTCACTATCCCCTGCCACCCGACAGGGTATCTGGTCCAAGGAGGCCCCTCGACCAATGTCGCCCGCCAAGGAAGGAGTAGCTCAACAACCCGACTCTGGAATTGCTGCTCAGGCTAATGCATCCGAGGCCATTCCTTTAGGACCTCGTGTACCTGAGACTTTGTCAGAACAGGCGGCTATCTCAGGAACAGGAACCGTCTCCACCTCAACGATTCCTCCAGTGTCAGCGGCAGTTGCGGCAGTTCAGTCATTGGTACTTAGGGAGGACGTGGTCGTTCGGTCACCCTCGGCAGCTGCTTCGAGGAACAACACCCCTCCGACACAGGCCGCCCCGACCCCTCTCAGGAACTACTCTTTGCCAGCGGACTTGCAGAGCACCAGCCCCGCATCAGTGCCAGCGTCAGCTGATCAGTCCACGCCTGTTGTTGCCTTGGGTCCCCCATCGTCACAGCAGAATAATGGGTACCACTACCGGACCAACAGTGGTCACGGCGACTACCTTCATTCTCGCTATGGCAGCCACAGTGGAAGCTACCCCAATTCGCCGTACTATCGAAATTCTTCCAACTACCCGTCATACCCGAAGCCTCACTACTACAGGAGCTCGTCTTCGCGCGCCTATTCTTCCTCAGCCCCCTATCCTCCTTCGATCGAACTTCCCCCCAACTGGTCCAAGGCGAGTGATCCCGAAGGTCGCATCTATTACTACAATGAGATCACACGCGCGACTCAATGGGACCCCCCAAGAGTCGAATCGCCAGCTGAAGTCCTGCCAGAACCTACTCCCGCCGCACCCCTTTCACACTACGGACCGACCGCCTCCGCACACTCTTACCACCGGACACCTCAGTCTCTTCATCAGCAGCCAATCTCTACGGCAAGGGTACCGTCGCCAGAGCCACCCAAACCTGTCAATATCGATGGCTTCACTCAGGAGCAGCTCCAGGAAGTCATTGGGCGCGCCTATGACAAGCAGAAGCAAAAGCATTTGGCTAATGGATCAGGAAGCGCTGGAGCGAGTGTCCACGATGTGGATTCGCCTAGTGCTCGTCTCACGAATCCTCACTCGCCCTCTGCGATGCGGTTGAGCAGCAGCGGCAAGCCCTTGAAGCCCATGAACGAGAAAGACTTGAAGGCAGCTGTAAGTTGTTGTTTTTTGCTGTATTTGTGCTCTCAGGTCGTACAAACCAATCTATATTGACAACTCCGTTTTTCTGCTTTTTGCCCTATTGAATTTAGCTTTCCGCAAATGTTGTCAAGAATATGGCCAAGTACAAGGCCAAGCTCGGATCCAGCGAGGCGTTCAAGAAGCATGCCCGCAGGGTAAGTCTAGTTGAACGATGGCTTTACACGTACATGTTTTGGTGGCGGTGAAGGCGTTCGTGGTATGATTTATATTCATGTATGCTAACATTCCCCTTGTTGCCTTCATTAGATTACGCACTTGATTGCGGATAAGGAGATGCGCTCCAAGTCATTCAAGGCTGGCGAGTTGACGGAGGTGACGCAGGGAATGAAGAACAAGATTCGACGGTTCATCAAGGATTACATGACCAAGTTGTTCAAGAAGCTTCCTAAAGAAGAGCGGTCCTCGTCTGGTTCTGCCGCCGCCTCATTCGTGAATGGATCCAAGCCAACGCAGTCTCATGCTTCGGGACAAGGACAAGATAACTTGCCAGCGGTGTACCATGGATCGATTGTTCCAAGCAAGGAACAGGTGTCGACTCTGACAGGAAAGAAGCATATCAAGGCAGGAGGTGATAAGAAGTCGATGGGCTATGGCGATGTTGAGGTCGACGATGACGACGATGTGACGTATGGCGAGGGTGATGACGAGGATGGGGAGGGCGATCTCGAAGCCGAGGAAGACGACGACGGCGGTGTTGCTGCGGTCCCATCGGCATCTGTGGAGCTCCCACTTTGACGCAACAGCTATTCAGATTTTAGCACTTCTTTTTGTTTTCTTGTTATGTTGCATTTATTTTCATTTATTTTTTTGTTCTTTTGTTATTAGCATTCACAGTTCTCAATCGCATTGTTTTTTTTTTCTTTCTCTACTTTGATACCCTTGCTCGTTTCAATGATTCGCGGTTCTCCTCTGCTACGACCTCATTTTCACCTCACATCAAAAAAAAATCACCCCCTTCTTTTTGCGTCTTCTGTCACTTTCTCGTTTCACTTTTGCTTCTTTCGTTGCGCCAGTTTCATTTTTCTTTCCCGTGTTCGTTTTTTCGCTTTTCGCAACCACAAAACCTGTATTTTATCTAGCATCCTTGCAAAAGTCCACTTCTAATAAAAAAAAAAAGTTGAGAATGTCAGTTCAATAGTGCAATTGGACTCTCTCTCTCTCTCTCTCTCTCTCTCTTCCTTACAGCCCCTCCAGTCTTGCTTACCAACCCTCTCTGCCTTCCATCGACGTTCTATGTTATGAGGGAATAAAGGATACCATTGCGCCCACATCCATATCCTCGACCAAACAATTATTGACGTGACTGCTGCAGATCTGAAATAATGTGATGCCATGGGAAAAAAGGAAGGCAAGACGGAGGTGACTCATCCTCTTCTTTCTTTTTTTCCTTCTTTACATTAAACCTGAATGAGCAATTCGGCCGTGGCGAAATGGCTCGAGGAGATTGCTGCCGCCAAGGCCAAAGCCCAAGCCAAGGAACAGCAACAACCGCAGCAGCAGCAGCAGCAGCAACAACAGGAACAATCCTATACATCCGTTGACGGGCCTCCACAACCACAACCACGACCACAACTGGCAGCAACAGCAACACATACAGCACAATACGGGATCATCACATCCTATAACCTTCGCACCCGGAAGAAGCAACTCCGGCTCGTCTTACCCCCAGAACCGCGCAAACCGGGGCCCGGAGAGTGCTGCGGGAACGACTGTGAGCCCTGTGTGAATACCATCTACTGGGAGGATATGGCAGCCCATCGGGAGAAGTGTCGCAAGTTAAAGGTGCAGTTTGAGGATGCATGTCGGGCTTTGGAGGATTCTGAAGGTACTGGCCGCGAGGACGGGAGCGGGAATGTCGATGTTCGCAAGGTGGAGGAAGGAACCGAAGAAGGTGCGGAGGATGATGATGATGATGATGATGACGACGATGGAAAGATGCTGAGTATTCGATCGTATCGACCGTTCAAGGTCCTCGAGAAACGGTACCTCTCCGAGAATACACTCCTGGCTTTCTGCGACTTGCCGTACTACTCCAAGAAGAAGAAAGATGATCCTAGCATGACAATGTTTCATCTCCTTATTCGGTTCCAACAAGCCGATGGACAGTACCTGACAAAGGCGTTTACACCTGTCGACATGTCGCGTCTTCATACAGCGTCGGGATCTGTTCCAAGAGGCGAAAACCTGGAGGGAGATGTTGGACAGGGATTAGAGGATCGGATGGCGTTCTTGGTCAAGCTTTATCCTTCCCCGCACGCGACGTCTGATATGTTCCGAGCCCTGGAGGCCGATACCGAAGGTAGTAGCAACGGTGGTGTTGACGAGGATGACGGCGAAAGGAGCAAGAAGGGGGTGTTATTTCTTCGAGGTCCTATCCAGACTGGTCGAGACCGTCAACAGAACCAACAGCAGCAACGACTACAACAAGAACAACAGCACCAGGATGATAACCTGAACCTGACAACTGCAGAAACAGGAACGAGAAGACACAGGAAGCGGATAGTGATGATTGCAGCCGGGTCAGGGATCACGCCCATGTACCAGGTCCTACGCGCCCTTCACTCCCAACAACACCATCAACACCAACCTTCATCAGAGGAGGTAAAGGAAGGGAGGGAGAGGGGGGAGGAGGAGGGAGGACAGTTCTGGGAGGCGGATGAAGTGGATTTGGTATATTGTAATCGGACGACCGACGATATTTGGTTGCATCAGGAGCTTCAGTCCTTTAGGCTGTCTCGTACAGAGGATCAGAAGCAGGAGGACGGAGGGGCGAGGGATCAGAGGAGTGAGGAAGAGATCTCAAATATGACCGCTGGACTGTCGCTGTCGTTGGTAAGACGGACGACGGTGCGAATTCAGCACGTCCTGTCGTCGTCTTCTTCGGTCAACCAGGCCCCGAAACAAGAAGGGAACGGGGACCACCAGTTCCATGCGGGACGGATAACCCTCGACCTACTCCGTAATACCCTCCAGCCGAGCCACGCTTCCCATGGCCATCAAAAGGATAACAAGGAGCAGTTACAGATCTTGGTCTGTGGACCTCCACTGTTCAACAAGGATGTCTCTATCATGTTGACGTCGCTAGAGTACCATGATTCAGAGTTTTGTGAAATACACATTCTTGAATAGAATGAGACCAAAGCACACGATATGTTTTGAGGATGGGGGTATACAAGTGTGTTTATTATGAGGGTTTTTTTGGTCTTTTTTGTTTAGGGAGTACCCTAAACGAAGCGAGAGGGCGGAAGGGGACATGGGTGTGTTGGAACAAGAGGGATGCATAAAGTGTATGTTGTATGATACAGAGAAAAATATAAGACTGAACAAAAAAAAAAATGCTGGAAGAAAAACTATGATACAAAAAGGATATGCGGTGCAAAATAACATGGAAAAGACAAAAGGAGAAAACATAAAGAGGAGGGAGGAGGGGGTGGAACCCAAAGCTCAGTCGCTTTAGGCTTGGTGGGTGTAGTAAGAGTGGTGATCATTCTGAACAGTGGCAGTCTCATCCCAGGGCCGCTTCTCCTCAGGAGGAGACAACAAGCTCCCAGCTTGCTGCTGCTGCTTCAACTCCAAGGCCTGTGCCTGTGCCTGCGCCTGGATCTGGGACTGCAACTGTGCCTGGAACTGCAACTGCTGTTGCATGGCCATCATGGTCATGGTCTGAGGCTGCTGGAATAGTTGTTGTTGTTGTTGAACAACTACTTGCTGAAGGAGGGTGAAGGAGGGAAGCATATGGCGGTCTCGGAACTGGAGCAACGAGTTACCGACCCGTTGGAGCTCATCAACCTTGACGTTCAGTTCAAACTTGGAAGTGAACAGAAACTCGAGTTCGAGCTGGTTCAGTTCTGGAAGTGCAAGACCTCCTACCTATTTGACCAGATAGAAAAAAGAGAATAGAAGAGGAGGGTTAGAATACCGTATTTTGTTTTTGGTAGTTTCGTAGTTACAATAATAGTAATTGCATAGATGGAAGAAGCGATGGAGATGAATGTGATAATAAAAAATAAAACGCGGGGGGTTTCTGCGAACGAGGGAAGAATGAACGAATGAACAAGAGGGAAGGTAACAGATGAGAACCGTTCGAATTGCATTTGTTCATCCAGAGAGAGAGAACACGTTCTCTGCGTAAACCGCATGGACTCGATGAGACAGATATTGAAAGGGGGAAATGAAAAGAAAAACAATATTTTGTGCTTCGCTCTCTTGTACTCCCATTGAAAGAAGAATGTGTCTTAATCGATTGCGGGGGAGAGGGGATGAAGGGAGAGAAGAAGAACGTGCACTGACAATGCTCTCTGGTTCATACTTTGGTTGGTTGACTGGGGGTGTGCATGAGTGCGTTGGTATGGACAGATAGCGCGTTCAGGAATGGAAGAAAAGGGGCGAAGGAAAGGGTAAAGTGGATGAGCGATGAGACGGATTATCGATATTTACCTTGGCGTAACGGGCATTGGAATAGAAGAGGTCAGAAGTGAACTTTGCAGCAATCATCAAAGAGGTAATCAACAGGCGATGGATGTTGAAGCTGTTGATACGAAAGCCATTGCCTGTTGCAGGCTGGACTGGCTCTGGGACGGGCGATGCAACAGCGGCAGCCAATGGAGGGGAGGGCATGCTGCTGGGAGTAGAAGGAGCAGCCTCGTACTTGGTCCGCTTATTGCCGGCTGTGGTCGTCGTCTCAGTCTCCGCCTCTCTGCCACGTTTTTGGATCATTGGAAGAGTGCTGTCGGAGTTGTCGGTCGTCATAGTCGAATTGTAGGTAGCTCTTGTCGTGGTAGTGCTATTGTTGGAAGAAGAGGACAGACGGGGAGCGGGAGCGGATGACGAAGATGCCGAAAGGGATGATGCTGAGTTGCAGGAGATTTCAGGGTCCTCTGCTGTTCCTCGAGAGTTGTCGTTGATGTTGTAGTTGTTGTTCGCAGCCACGGGCACAAAAGAAGATTGAGGGGAGGATACTGGAGCAAGTCCTGATGTCGAGTACAAGGCATTGGATTGGCTGCAAGTGGCCGAGGATGTTGTGGTAGAGGTAGAGGGAGTGGTCAAGAGACCATCCTGTTGCATCTGCATCCCCTCCAATCCTCCAATCCGATCCAGAAACACTAACACGTTCAGGAGGACCTCGTTGGTAAATGGGATGTACTGCAGGATCCGGGTCAGGTAGGCCTCGATGGAAATGCGGGGCACTGCCCGTGAGTGGAAGAGGGTGATGGGATCCCTCAGGGGGTTGTAGCGACTGTCGTTCTTGTGTACCAGCTTTGAGAGAAGGCAAGAGACAATCAGGAGAGTGTCCTTGACGGGGTGGTTGATCACATCAAAGGTTGGGGCAGTGCTGTTGAGGACGACCATGTTGGTGGCAGTGGTGGTTGAAGAGAGGACTGTGGATGGCAGTGGTGAGAAGGCGGCTATGCTGGTGGGGGCGGTGGTGTGGGTATCCTGGCAGGGCTGTGGTGTTGTTGGTGGAGTCGTTTCTGAGGAAGAAGAGGGCTTTGAAGTGGAAATGGTGGTGGTGGTGATGGGGATTGAGAGGGAGTTGGCTGGAGAGGTGGAGGGAGGGGTATGGTAGGAGGAGGAGTGGTTGGTGGATGGTTGGTGTTGATATGCGTAGTGTTGCTGCATTTGTGGAGAGAGAGCTAGTGAAGGGGGAGAGGGGGATCGTCGGTCAGGGAAGGATTTTTTAGGAGAGAAGGAATAAATTGGTGTGCAAGTGGATAACAAGGAAGAGGAGTGATATACAAAGAGAGAAAAACAGAGGCGAACAAGAGTGGTATATGATAGTATAAGATATGAATGCGGAAAGAAAAAAGAAGGGAAATGGTGGGTGTGTGGACAAAAGGAAGGCCCTTTTATGAAAAGCCGGACGAAGAGCGACGATGATGTGTTGCACAATACAAAAGGAATAAAGTGGCTGCAGCATTGAAAGGATATACTTTAATGTCTCATCCCTCTTTCTTTTCGTTGTTTCTCATTCAGTTATGCGGTACTCAATTGAATTACGGAACAAACAAATCGATTCACGTTCTCGGTCAATGTCTCCTCTCACCTCTTTTCTTCTCGACGCACCTGCCAACAAGCGAGAAAATCCTTCGCAAGCTACAACCCTCGGCTTCCCATTTGTCGGCCTTCTTGTTGTCATTCTCTCACTTTTCACAGAAAGTATTTGGTATGCAAACAAACAAATTGAGCATTTTTTTCTTCATTACCCACCCTTGCCTCGTCCTTCTCTCACTCCGTCCCCTTCGCTCGTTCTCTCTCTCATTTCTCCAAAAATCCCTTTGGCCTGCACACTCCCGACCACCGTCCTATCAAATCACAAGATTGAAGAACGTGTCAGTCTCAAATTTCCATCCTGATTGGTCAAGTCTCTCGTTCCTGAACGTTGGCCCTTTTTTTTCTCGCTCTTTCTTTCTCATCTTCCAACCATTCGAAAATGCTACCACAGAGAAAAAGAACCTTCGCTTCGCGCTTCTCGTCTTTCCTTTTTGTGTGGCAACCTAAAATACAATCTCTGCCTCGTCCAAAATACCGGCTTCCGTACTCATGGCAAAGGGCTGGCTTTCATTATCATGGATCGGACCGATCTGGCTCCTTCTGCTTTTGTAAAGAGTGTCAGTCAGTCCAGGACAGGGAGGGATATTCTTGTCGCCAAAAAGGGTTTCTAGACCAAACCCACAGAACATCAAATCTTTTTCGTGGTGCTGAACGAATGTGAACAAGCAAAATAATATATTTCCAAAAGACCCCGTCGATCAGAAACAAAAAGGTCGTCAAAGAAGGAAGAAATTGCAATATCGTGAGCGAGTGAGTCGCCAACCTCTACTGTTATCACGATGGAGGTATCAACTAGATCCGTTTGTGTGCAAGAAGAAGGAAGAGGGAGCATGATGTGTGCGTCAATGGTGCCCCGTCATTGGCGATGAGTACTTCACCACATGGTCTGCCAAGTTCGTCCAGTCCCCTGGAGGTAACGGAGTGGGCTATATTTTAATGAATTAGCCCATCATATTTTTTTTACGTTCATTTCCACAGCATCATCCTGCAGGAATCTGTCTATGACCCACTCATCCCTTACACAAGCAGGAAAGCAACAATGCAAGAGAGTTGTGTCCAACCTTGAGAAATGCCTCGATTTGGGCTCTGACCATGCAATTGTTTGTCTGGATTATGTGGACTGTGGGGCAAAAATAGCAGGCTGCCAATGGTTGGCTGGCCTCGGTAGCCAATCACTTTCTCCCCTGGACACATCGTGGTTTGCGGTTGGACCCTTATTCTTTTGCTCTCTTCTTTTCCTTTCCAACCTGCCTGCTTGCCTGCCAGTCCACTTACCCTACTGGGCAAACAAACGCCGATTAACAGGTGCACAAATCGACACGATAGGCGTTCTTCACCCTTCCTCGCTCACCAAGGGTTATCCTCCGGTGCTCTTCTTTGACTTGATTCGCTATCGTCGCAGCCAATGGTCATTCGACTTTTTGTTGTGTCTTTTGCTTTCTTACCTTCATGGGTGCATACTCCTTCTTATTGCATCTTCCTCTTTTCCTTGCCTACACTCACTTCTTCCCGCCTTCTTTATTTGGTTCCAACGCAAAAATAATAATCTTTCTCACCCATTTGGCACAACTTCAAATGTCGTTGAATTGCTCCACCACGTTCGTTGTTCTTCTCCTCCTGGGTTGCACCGACCTTGTTATTTTTTTTTGTTGCTGTCTACAAAATGAAATTGAGTCTGAACCGTTGCAGAGGAGAGGAAGGAGCCTCCTTTTTCCATCGATGAGGGGGCGATGAAGATTCGAAACATAATGGATTGACTCTAGTGGCGCTGCATAGAAGCGTCTCTCTTCCCCACATGTCCCACATGTGTCAAAGGCGCTGTCCTAGAGGTTTAGGAAGAAGGGCTCAATGAGGTCATTGTGTGAAAAGGAAGGTGAACCCACGCACATTACTGTCGTTGTGCCATCCTGCAGCTTGCGGTGTGAAAAGACAACACATATCCAATTGATTTGCCACCAATTTTTTTTTGTTACCCAAGCGCCCAATTATCAGCCACATTGCTTCTCCTTCATTCCCTTCCTTGACGATCTGTTCATGAACAGCCAATGAGTTCTTTGTGGTGCCCTGGGCAACCACTTGTTGAGGACCTCGTTTTTTTGCGTGTTCCTAGCAGTGTCGTCCCATTGATTATCACCATGCTCATTTATCTCATATATTGCTGGGGTGAGGATGCAAAAGGCACATGCTCAAAGAATACAAAAAACTCTTTCAACCAGAGCCGACTGCCTCGAAAATCTTATTCCCCAATTGAAGGCGGATGGAAGCGTTTTCCTGCTGAGTTACACAATGGTCACTCGAGACTCGATCATGTTGTCAGAATCGTGATCATATCTACTCGTGGCAATTCAAGTCACGAGGAGCATAAATAATAGTCGACTTACATATGCATCCCAACAACCCGTTCGCACAAACCATGTTGTACCCTTTTTCTTTATTTTCTTTTTCTTTGTCGGTTTTTTGCTGTAGGATATAGTCTACAGGAGCTAAAGAAGATGTCAACATCCAAGGGGTCTGTGCCTTTGAGTAGGTGTGATCATCACAAGGTGAATCTAGAGGAGGCGTGATGGTTGTGGCGTTGAAAGGGTGCACAGTTGGTGCATTGTCGTTCACGCGACCACTTTGAAAGCTATGTTTTGTTTATTCATCTACTTCGTGGGCGTTGATGGCGTTGCATCTTTAAACCCTTCGATAATTCTTTACTGATGTAGCATAAGGCAAAAAGTCAAAACTCAAGAGAGATCCATCGTGGGCGCGACTGCTATGTGGGAGGGTCAAGAAGAAGGTGCGACCAATTTGCTCAATTTTCTTCTTGCTCAAACGCGCGACAAGGACACAGCTTCTTCGATCGATGCATGAATTGGAACTGTCATAACCTCTTACCGCGTACGACGATGATAATATGATCGAAAAGTAGACATCCGTCCTTTTTACTCGCCATGGTTTGCTTCGCTATGTGCCTGGATAATACAAGTCCAAAGTGTAGAATTCCAATCTTGATCACCGAACATTATTTTCCCAGGCGGTAAAAGAGTTTCATAGTGGTCGCTTGTGTGCCTTGAACAAATGGAAGAAAGGACCAAGAAAATGAGAGAACGCGAAACAAAGAAGAGTGAGATGGACAGTGAGAGAGATATCTTTTTGACTTTCTGGTTCTGGCCCATGAAAGGTCAATGTTCCAGAGGTCGTTGGTCATTGGACAAATGAATGAATGGAGATTAAACCTTGCTCAAAATATCTTTTCTAGCTATTGTTTATGTACTTGGCTGGTTGTTCCGTAGGTTCCTTCTCGACCCCTCTTTGTTGCGTCCGGCTACATCTAAAACACATGAAGATTCTATAGCGTACACTTGAGTGCTGCCGTCGTGAACCCCGTTGCTTTTCATTTGTTGCCCACATCCTTACTCCTCATTTTCATTCTCAGTCATTCGCCTCCTTTTTGGTCGTGTGCTGCTCATCAATGTTAGAGGAATCGCTAGAACACTTCATTTATCGTCTCGCCTCTCCCTATGTGTGTGCTAACATGGAGACTTTTTCTAGAGGCCAAGAGGGAGACCAAAAGAGGAGGCAGGAAGAGGGGCTAAACACGGCCTCTTGGTACCGACAATGCACCTAAAACTAATAGCAAACATTTTATTGCGTCTTGAGAGCTGGACACTCTTTTTTTGTCTCATTTTGACAAGTGTATGGCGCTAGACTAGGGGAAAGTCCTCCTTGCCCATTTCTCTCTCCTTCACTCCTTTAACTACAACAATTGATCTCTCTTTCTCGCCTCTCGAGGAGCTATTGGCGCATTCCTTACTTTCTTCTTGGTTACGAACATTGGCCATGTAATGGTTTATTAGACACCTCGCGAGTCTGTCAATTATCAGTTTCAATCGCGACGATGATGAGGATGGTTGGATGATGATGGGATGCTCATTTTTATGATCGACCTGGCGTCGGTCCCGTCTGTTATCAAACAAGGATAAATGAACAATAAGGACTCTCGGGGTAAAATGTGTGAGCATTCATTTTCTTTTGAAATTATTACCATCCAGAAAACGATCATCCCACGCGCGGAGGTGGTGAAGGAGAGGAAGGAGTTGTGTGTCGAGCCAGGCGCGATGTTGCATGGTAACCTTCTTTTATGTGATGATGGGAAGAGAGCAAATGTACCAGCAAGGAAAGTCAACTTGTCAGCAAAGAGGCACTTGCAGTACGGCCAAGTGTAAAATAGAAGTGAGCAGCAACGAAGATAGTTCAATTGTAGGGTGTATATGTGTCTTATTTTTATCACAGTTGAAATTGCTTTCAGTTATCGTTGAGAGCACATCGAAAAAATCAAAATAAATCCAAGCGTGCCCAGTGGTAAAGCGAAGAAGAAGGTGTGAAAGTATGAAGGGATGTTGAAAGAGAGCAGCAAGAACGAATCCTAGTGGTGCCACCTTTTTGTCCCCTCCGCCTTTCACGCCTCACAGGCAAGGAGAGGCATCGCTCTTTTTCCTTCAACATCAGTACCGAGTCTAAGGGCATGTCTCAGTTGGTGATATTATTGTTGTCTGTGTCTTCTTGTACTGTACAGCTCTGTTCCTGGACTGATGGCAGATTCATCCCACTGATGGTACCTGAGCAAAACGAACTCAGTGTGTCAGACATATCTTCTTCCAGACCCCTGATCACCCACTCCGCCTACAACCTTGGCTCACTTCCACGTCCATCCCATTGCACCTTCATCCTTTGGGCCATCATCTTTCCCTTTCTTCCTTTCATCTCTCTCTCTTTCTCTCTCTTTTTCCATCTCCCTCTCCCTTTTTCCATCTTTTCCTCTTTCTCTCCTCCCTTGGCCATTCCTCACCCTCCTTCCATTCCGCTACCTTCCTTCCCGCCTCTTTCTTCATTCAAACTCGTGTCTCACCTCTCCTCCATCCCCCTCATTTACACTTCCTTCACCCCTCCTCCTCCTTTTACTCTTTGGTTGCCACCCTATCACACGACGTTCTTCTTTCTTGCCTTATTTTGTACCTCTCTTAAGTTGTTCAGCCTTCCTCCTTCTTCCTGGTTCATTATTCTCTCTTGCTGGTTCAAGGGAGCTCTTTTTTCCGGACCTTTTTTTTTCTTTTGTTATCTCATATTACCCGGCGGCAGATTTGGTAAGAGTTTCTTTTCTCTTTCAACAACAACTCGATAGCTCCACCTTTGGAGATCCTACTATTCGACAAACATTTCCAACGACATTCTTGCATTCTCTCCTCTATCCATTAACGCCTGTCAATCATCTATTTCAAGTAGTGGTATCCGTGCTAACCATTTTACCTGCTCGTTTGTATATTTGATACTTTCAGATCACCGAGAAGAATTCATAATATAGTCAGTACGGTTACACAGCAACTTTTTACTAGTCGATCCCCCACAACACAACCTCAGCACATCATGGCAAGCACCGCAGAAAGCAGATACCAGCAGCCACGGTACGGCAATAACCAGGCAAATGGAGGCGGCAGCGGTCAGGGTCAGTCCTATGTCCTCTACCCAGACGCCCCCCAGGTTCCTCAGCCCACGCCTCGCAAGAAGCCACAACAGCAGGATCACCAGCAACAGCAACAACCGCAGCGATCGCACGGTGATCTAACCCCTCAGTCGTCCTATTCTTCGACCTCGTCCTCACACCACAACCGGTCCCCTACACCATCTCGCGGCAACAGCGGAAGCAACGGAATCAACATTGCAGGAGCCAGCCCAAAGATTAAGCAGAGTCAACTGAACTATCTCAACTCGCCTGCCGTCTTCTCGACCTCTCCCTCAGCGGCCGCCCCACCTTCACCTATTTCGCCCTCCAGCCCTTCGCCCATCGAGATCATGACGGGTCAGTTGGGTCGCACCCACTTGGAGGAGCCTGTCCTGGACCGTCTCCAGTTTGAAAGCTATGACCAGAAACAGTACCAGCAACCACGAAAGAACTCTGGCAACAGCTCGACTCAGCAGCAGCACCAGCAACAGAGACACCAACAGCTCGCACTGGAGAACGAGAGCTACAACTCCGGTGGTTTGAAGCAGTCAGGGTCGACTGGCTCTGCCCGCTCGATGGGGTCCCAGGGTCGTGACCAGAACGGTGCCCTGCGCCAGTCGCCCTCCTCCGGATCTGCCTACTCTGTGGGCAGCAGCGGTCAAACCCCTAGCCAGCGTCAGCAGCAACGTGCCATGAACGGAGAGTTGAACAAGTCTGGGTCTTCAGCCTCAGCCCACTCGGTCGCTTCCTCCAGAAGTCATAACTTGAGTCCTAGCCACAGCACGGGTTCTGCTACATCCAACTCTCCTTCATCTCCTATGCGCCAACAGCAGTCTTCGTCAACTCGTGGAGCACCCACTTCGACACCATCACCTCTTGCATACGACCATGACCAAGGCGATGACAAGGAACGGGGCGACAATGAGGATCACCAAAAGCAGGCCTTCCAATACCAACAAAAGCTCCAGCAGAAGCCTCCCTCCACACATGGCGGAGAGGACGACAGCGACGATTCGGACTCCGGCTCAATGCTCTCATACAGACGTTCCATTTCCAGACTGTCCATGTCTTATAAGCGGACTCAAGGAGGCGCGCCCAACATCAGTCTCTTTGCACCCAAGCAAAGAGCTGCTATGCTCCAGGGAAGCCAGTCCTCAGAGCTGTCGAGTTCTCAAAAGATGATTCAGGACCAGAGAGACGAACGTCTTCGTCAACAAAAGCTGCAGCAGTACAGCAACAACAACAGCCAGGGCGGTAATAACTCGTCCATGGCTTCGATCGATCAATACCCACGTCAGGATGAAGGACGGCCATCGATGAACCGCAATCACTCTGGCGGCAACAACAACCAACAGCAGTACCAGGGAGGATCGCCTCAAATCCCAGACAGGAGCACCTCCACCGAACATTTGAGCGGCGGTAATGGCCGACCAAGGCAGCAACAGCAGCAGCAACAGCAATCATATCCAGGAAATGGCCGTGGACATCCTTCATCTCCCATCATCGCTGAGCGACAGCTTTCCAACCAACAGCACTCACAACAACAATACAGCCAGCAGCCTCGCCCCAGCCATGATCAAGGACAGAGCCAGTCCTCTCAGAGGTCTCGCCCCAACCAGCTCAACCTCGGGCAAGGCGGCCATCAACAGGACCAGCGTTCTCGGTCACCGATGCCATCAGGAGCACGTACACCTGGATTGCCCGGTCAAGGGTCAACACTGAGCAACAATGGCGGTGGAAATGGAGGTGTCTACCGTCAAAACGGCCCTCCCGGCAGCGGTGGCGGATTCTCCAACTCGTCCACAAGCCTCCCTCTCCCACCCTCCCGAAGCAACAACAACAGCGGCGGCCCCAACCTCCACCCAGCACATCACCTAGCCTCTGGCGGATACGTCCGTCCCGAAGAAGCCATGGGACCTTCCAACCCCATGCCCGAAAAGGCCGAAGACTTTGTCCGCCAGGGCATCGAGTACCACGAAGTCGGCGATATCGCCAAGGCAACACACTTCTTCCGGACAGCTGCAGAGATGGGCGACCCCGTCGGTATGTTGATGTATGGTCTAAGTGTCCGCCACGGATGGGGTTGTTCCTCCAACCGCCAGTTGGCCTTCCAGTACCTCCAAAAGTCGGCTGAGCATGCGGTCGGTGATCTGAAGTCGAGGGATTCTTTTGCATCCACGGCGGCCAAGGGCGAGCTGGTTCTTGCTATTTACGAGCTTGGAATCTGTTTCCGACATGGATGGGGTGCTGACAAGAACAAGAAGACTGCCGCTTACTACTTCGAGATCGCTGCCAACCTTGTAAGTTACTCCTTCACTTTTGTCATCATTTTCTCTCTGTTTATTTTCGAATGCTCGTCTTGGATATAAATATTAACCATTCAGTACTTTACCTTACTTTTGTATCAATCTAATAGGGAGATCCAGATGCACAGAACGATCTGGCATGGTGCTACTACCACGGCGTGGGAGTCAAGAAGGACATGTTCAAGGCCGCAAAGTACTACCGTCTGGCGGCAGCGCAGGGACTCGAAACTGTAGGCAACTCGTGGATCTGGAAGGACAAGTATGGAGGAATGCCATCCAGCCCTACCGGCGATAGCAAGGCGCCCTTCTAGACTACTCTTTGCTTCCTTTTTTTGTTAATTCTCATAGAAAAAAAATATTTTGTAATGAAGATATCAAATTCGTGATAGCATTCTTTTCTTGTAGAAACTAAAGGTGTTCAAGAACTGCTTTTGTCGGGTTTGATGGCGATGATTTGCTCCAATGACGTAAAAAAATTATTGCCCTTCGTGACACAGGGGGTTGGGTTAACTCATTCACATTGCGGATCAAAATCCCGTTTGAGATTGTGGTAATGTACATTGTTGCTGCTCTGCTCTTTATTATTTTTTTCGCGTGTTTCCTGCTACCACTATGGCCGTGCTTTGAATGACTGGTCCTGTCGCAAAAAGGCAAGCTCCAGGTGCTTGAAAGTCGCAAAAAGAAAGTCCTAGAGCCATTTGGGATGGTCCATGGGGACGCGTACAAGATCTGTATCAAACAACTCAATGAACTGTTCATTCAGCACTCGCACTTTCGGACCCGCGTACCGCCGATACTCTTCAAAAATCGATGTTAGATTCCACCTCTGTAGTTTCCTTAAACAACCCACAATCGTTCCTAAAAATCCGCGTCAGGTATGTCAAATGATCAAAAGATTAATAAAAGAGGCACGCTTTTTTTTTTTTTTTGGTCGTTTCGGCACATCTTTATCCTTATTTTTATGCGATGTTTTGTTGCAGTTTTGGGGAGGTAGTTACCTGTGCGATGTCGGCCGAGGTTACACATAACGATCATGGGGTAGTTTTTTGGGGTGAGGATTAGTTCTGAGGCTTCGAGGACGACTTCTTCGGTGATGGGGTCCCATGCGTTCATGGACGATACGACTCCCAAATGATGCAGTTGGATATCCTGATCATCCACGAAATCCAGGCTATTCAGAGGTTTCATTTTTGTAGATGGAGAAAGAGACGTGTAAGTCATCCTGGATAATAAGATTCTGAACACCTTTATAGCCTGATGGGACGCGAGAAGAAAAAAGAAGGATGAGCCTTACAAGCGTTGGTTGGGTTCTTCGGGGGCGAGCCATACGACGGTTTTGAGGCCAAGTTTTTCGAGGAAGGGGAAGTTGAGTTCGTTGGGTTGTCCTGACCGATACAAATCCTCCTCGATCATTCCGTAGTTCTAGATTGGTTGTTGTGATTCAAGTTCTCCCTGGTTAGTTCCTGTTCACTGCAGTTGTGTGTTTGATGGCCTCGCATATTACGTCAATGGAGAAGGAGATATGACAGAGGTGTGGCGGCTTTACCAATGGTGGGATGAGATGTTGTGAAGTCATGGGCAAGTTGCTTGAAGTAGATGTAAGTGAGGTGGCTCTTGAGGGTGCGACTGAGTGTAATGAGAAGAGCTGTCGTTTTGTTGTCCTTGTGTATATTCTTGTGTCCTTCCTTCTTGAGTCCTGGTTCCTGTCGTTCCTGTGTGAGATGTAGTTGAAAAGAGATGCGTAAATGCAAGTGGGCTTGGTCCTTTTTGTCTGAACAATTGGCCAGTTCGGAAGGAAAATTGATCGCATGCATAAGCCACTCTGATCCACCCACCCACACGATCAAAGATCTCATGCTTCCTCCACAACCTTCGTGCCAAGGTTAAGAAGGCCTTTCTTTCCTTTGGCTTACGCTCACGTTCCTTAACTTTCTTATTCAGAAGGCGAACTAGTAAAAGACCTTGCGCGACCAACGCTACTCTAATTCTAATATGGCGCGTTCTTTTTGTCCGTCTTCTTCGTCTTTACGAGTCTACAAAAAGTCAGAGTCTGGCTAGTGCTTCCAACTTTTATACCTGACTTTTATCACTACCAGATTGTTGTTTCTGCTTCGCCCATCTGCCATTTGCTTCATCCTTCTCAAGTCTCTGTCAAAGGCTGATCAATCGCGTCCCGTCCCTTACTGAACTGCGTGATAAAAAGTGATCGCCGAGCTAGTCAACTGATCGACCAATCTATGGCAACTGAAACACACGGTCAAAGCACTCTTGCCAACTGAACAGCCTTCCGACCATTGCATTGCGCCCATGGCCCATGGATATGGAATGTTTGCATGGTTGGGTTGTAATAGGACTCAAAAGAAACCCTGCCCGTTTTTATGTACCACGGACAATCAATCAGACAGAAGGTGTGACTACTGACTACCTGAAAAAATATTTTGACTCGGTGGAAGCTGATGAGATGTGTTTTTGCTTCCACCGAGTCAAAAACTTTAATTTTGTTCCTTCATCGCGCACACACCAACCAAAAAGGTCTTGCTTCATTTTTTTTTCGATTCGTTACTCGGTGGAATGGGAAAAATAATGGCTGTCGAGTTGGGGTGGACGCATAATTATTTTTTTTGTTTGTGGGCTCGGTGATGAGGATGGTAAGCGATGGCGTATCAAACAAAAGACTCTTCGCTTTGCCGACCACAGGAGTGTAGTCTCTTGTTTCTGCAGAACAGACAGGAGACGAGTGAGGATGAGAATGATGGAAAGGTGCACAGAAGTAGACATAAAGGACAAAGGCAAGGATCAGAGCTGCAGTGAGAATGAAAGCTCCTCCCTGTTTGAACAGAAGGAAATAGGAGGGGAGGATGGATGATGAGAAAGAAAAAGAGAGAGCCAGGATGGCTCCTTTTTCCTTAACTTTTTCGCTCCCCCTTATTAAAAGAACGGTTTAGACTATTGTGGAGCCACTTTGGATAAACTCATATCATGCACATCCAGGAGCTCTTTTCTCTTCTTCTTTTGACGTCTTCCCCCTTTCTCTCTTCTTTACAACTTCTCACCCTCGTTTCCAGCTTTTTGCTATAGCTCTACTCTCTCTCTCTCCCTGATCTGAATTAGATTCGTTTCTATACCTTTTTCCTTTCTCTTTGTGATTGCTCAACTAAGCGGGACGGTTACAAAGCGACAAGAAAGACACAGCAAGAAGAGAATGAGTAAACGTAACGATCAACACGATGAAAAGTGGAGATAGAAAGAAGAAAAAGAAGAGTTCGTTGCATCTGACGATTTCGATTGAGCACTCCCTTAAAGAGAGGCAAAGGTGAAAGAGAGGGAGAAGAAAGAAAGGGATAGGACGATGATCAGTGGATGGTAGAGAGGCAATGAAGACGAGTACTATTTATCCGCTTCATTCTTTTGCGCCCTTTCTCTCAATGCGATCCGTTGGTGTTGCTTTTGTTGGTGATTGAGCTTGGAGGAAGGAAAAAAATATATGAATGGCGAGCCACAAAGGAAGGAAGGGTTCGGAAGAGGAACACAGCTCCATCGAAAAACGACTTGTAGAAATGCGGCCAAGTTGTTTGTAGGGTGGGTATAAAGTGAAGATCGATGCCAGTTGCCATCATGGGGTTGAAGGAGACAAGCTGCATCCCTACTTCGCGTGTCTTTCCGGAAACCCTCTTTTGCCTTTCTTCATTGAGAAGCAATGTGAAAAAAGAATAGAGTTCCCCTTCCCTTGACTCAACCCAACATCCAAACAAAAAAAATAATTTGTTCGGTTGAAAAAGTACCGTCCGCATATAAAGGCAATTCGATTCCCCTTTCTTTTTACTTTTCTTCTTTTCTTTGTTCATTCCTCCACCTCCACCTCCACGTCTACCTTCACTCATCACTTCCATCCCCATTCCACTTCCCTTCTTCACTTCCCTCCTTCTTCCCTTCACACACACAACATACACATAATGCTTCGCTCTCTTTCCTCCACTGCCGCCGTTTTCGCCAAGCGTGCTGCTGCCCCCTCTATCGCCACCCGCGTCCTCTCGGTAAGCGCGATTTTTCACATTACATCCTCATGTTTGGCGCCCTTGTCACTTCTCTTTCCCGTCCGACGGAAGGACGGTCCCGATCCTCTCCACACGCACCATTCGACGATTCTTCACAACCGTACGAAACAGACAGGAGCGAACAGAGTGGAAATACAGTATCATGGATCATAGATGCTCGTATCACTTGCCAATGGAGGTGTAAAGAGTTTATTCAGGATGGACAAACGACGAAATCCAGGAACCCAACGCACCCCACCAGGAAGGAGGTCCAAATAGATCAGAAAACGTTCCTCTCAAAAAAGGCGTCTTTACTAACGACATGCGACCTTGTTCATTTTATTCTTGAAATAGCGCGGTATGGCCTTCCCTGCTGGTCAGAAGGAGGTAAGAAAGTCGATCAATGGCTGTCAATCAAGCCAAGGATGCACCTGAAACGATGATCAGTTGAATGTACTCGACTCTTGGCCTGTGTTTGTATTAATAACACCTCTCTTTCTCCTTGTTTTTCTATTTGTTAATTGAACAAACTAGCTCCTCAACCGCAGCCTCAAGGAGCAGGACCCCGAGATGTTCGATATCATTGAGCGCGAGAAGAGGAGACAGCGCGAGTCCATCGTCTTGATCGCCTCCGAGGTATGTCACCTAATAATAACAACACTTTCAAGGATTTCATGCGTGGGAATCACACATTTCATATGCTTACCTCCTCCGTCTAACTCACACATGTCTGTCTCTCTCTCTCACTGCATGACACCAATTAGAACTTCACCTCCCGCTCGGTCATGGGTGCCTTGGGATCTATCCTCCAGAACAAGTACTCTGAGGGTTACCCCGGTGCTAGGTAAACAGCAACTATCATGGATATTAGCAGAATCAGGATGACAACGATATCAGGACAGACAAGACGACAGCAACACCCGATGCACGGAAGTACTCACCTAGGGTGACTTTTTTTTGTTCTCTCAATGCCATGTAGATACTATGGTGGTAACGAGCAGATCGATATGTCTGAGCGTCTCTGCCAGAAGCGTGCCCTCGAGGCCTTCAACTTGGATCCCAAGGAGTGGGGCGTCAACGTCCAGCCCTTGTCCGGTGCTCCCGCCAACCTCTACGTCTACGGTGCCCTCATGAAGCCCCACGACCGCCTCATGGGTCTTGACCTCCCCCATGGTGGACAGTAAGTCATATTTTATAACAATTTTTTACCTGTCGCTGGGCAAGTGGAGTGAGCACAGGGTCGATCCATGGCTGACTCCGAATTTCATTTTTCAACCATGTTAGTTTGTCCCACGGTTACCAGACCGACACCAAGAAGATCTCGATGGTCTCCTCCTACTTCGAGACCTTCCCCTACCAGATTAACCAGTCGACCGGTGTCATTGACTACGACGCCCTCGAGAAGAACTCTAAGCTCTACCGCCCCAAGATCATCATTGCCGGTGCCTCGGCCTATCCTCGCGAGATCGACTATGTTCGCATGCGCAAGATTGCCGATGACTGCGGTGCCTACTTGATGTCCGATATGGCTCATATCTCTGGCTTGGTCGCTGCCGATGTCTTGAAGTCGCCCTTCCCTTACTCTGACATTGTCACAACTACCACCCACAAGTCCCTCCGTGGCCCCCGCGGTGCCTTGATCTTCTTCCGCAAGGGTGTCCGCAAGACCGACAAGAAGGGCAACCAGATCATGTACGACTTGGAGAACCCCATCAACGCCTCTGTCTTCCCCGGTCACCAGGGAGGCCCCCACAACCACACCATCGCCGCCTTGGCCGTTGCCCTCAAGCAGACCAAGGATTCCACCTTCAAGGAGTACCAGCAGCAGGTTTTGAAGAACAGCAAGGCCTTTGCCACTGCCTTCACCAAGCTCGGTTACGAGATGTCCTCGGGCGGTACCGACACCCATTTGATCTTGGTCGACCTCCGCTCCAAGGGCATTGACGGTGCCCGTGTCGAGCGTGTCCTCGAGTTGGTCAACATTGCCTCGAACAAGAACACCGTTGCCGGTGACAAGTCTGCCATGGTCCCCGGAGGTATCCGTGTCGGAACCCCCGCCATGACCTCCCGTGGTTTGAACGAGAAGGACTTTGAGCAGGTTGCTGGCTTCATCGATCGCGCTGTCATCATTGCCAAGGAGGCCAACAGCAAGGTTGGCTCCAAGAAGGTCAAGGACTTCAAGGAATATGTTGCCGACGGCAAGAACATCCCCGAGATCGAAACTCTCCGCAAGGAGGTCGAGGCCTTTGCTCGCAAGTTCCCTACCGCTGGCTTCAGCGAAGACGAGATGTTGCCCCAGTACCGCAACTAAGCGTTTTGCTGGTTTGAACACCTCTCTTCCTTCCCTTCATCTTTCCAACTGTACAAAAAAAAAGAAACACATTTTACATTTCTTCTCCACTCCATTGCATATCCTTTACCCACCCTCTTTTCTTTTCTTCGATCATGACTTGATGAAATTGACGACATTCACGACATAGACAGCAGTATCTTTTATATCTCTTTTGGTTTTCTCCTTATCACTCTCTCTGTGCATTTCGTTCTTCAATTTCTATCATTCTTTTTTTTTCATAATAAACCATCTTAACTGAACTTTTTCGTGTGCCCCACCTTGTCATGGGAGTTACTGGAAGAATGATACTTTAATTGTCTTTGTAAAAAGAAGGGTCTAGCCGGCTAATACTTTGACGACCCCCCAGTCCATTGACCAAATGCGCTCGAAAGAAAGGCACAGACTCTTTCATATTCAATACCCGTCATTATCTCCCAAGACTTGGAATCTTGAGTATCTAGAGGGCGTTGATGACGGCGGGGAGGAAGACCATAAGCGCCAAGACAAGAGAAACCTTCTTCTGAGTATAAGTCGACGACGCGGAGGAAGGCTTTGCGGTAGGAGTTGGAGCGGCGGATGATCCTGATCCTCCAGGGCTGGTGGTGCCAGTGATAAATGGAGGGATGTTACTACTCGAGACGATGGACGTGGGTTGGGCGGAGCTGAGGCTGGAAGTGATGACTGGGCCGGGTGCCAGAGTGTGAGAGTGGGACGCTGCTGTTGTGTGGGTGCTAATTGACGACATTGTTCTTGTGGAGGCGAGGGAGGGGCGAGGGGGGCGGTGAGGAATTGGTGAGGGAGTGGATGGTTTTGGAAGAAAGAAGAAGGGGTGAAAGAAGCGAGTATTTATGAGAAATGGCTCAATTGAGGCGTAAAGCACATGAGCGATCGATGAAGTATATCCACGGCTTGGCCTGGGTTCTTCCCGTCCTCGTCGTTGGTCTCTTGTCCGTTATGCTTGTTGACAGTGAAGACATGTTTAATTGGACTAAGGCTAGTGTGATGAAGGCCAGGGGCCTGTCCACATGCTGCGTCCTTTCCTTACTGGGAGTTGGTGATGAGAAGTTGACCAGAAATAAACAAAGAGAGCCCCCATATTTTTTGCTTTTGCATCACGCCGTTTGTTTTGTTTGGAGCGAGTGTCCGTGTCCGTGTCCGTGTCCGTATCCGTGTGGGAAGGTTGCAGTTGCCCTGCCTCACCTTGCCCTGCTCTTTTCGTTCCATCCTTCTGACCGAAGCGAACGAAGGAATCGAAGTAACGTAACTGCCATTCTCGATTGCGTCAATTAGAAGACTTCATATCTCTTGGCATCAGTCTCAGTGGATTTTGCCACCAATACTAACTCGACAGGGCCTGTAGGTCAATGGTGCCTCCCTGACAAGGAACCAAGAGACCTCTTGTCACCCGAGTCTGAGTAGGTGGACTGGTGGTCCCCTTAATGGCTAATTGTGTCGCCAATAATAACTAACTAAGTAAACTAACGACTGGCTTTGCGCCATTCTACGATTGGCTAGGTGTAGACCCGCACTCGACTTCTTGTTGGGGCCAATTGAGGGCCGTTGAGAAAGGCATACCAACCACCATAACGGCCCTTCCCTTTTTCCATACACAGTACCCAGGCCAGGCCAGTCCAGTCGAGCCCAGTCCTATCCAGGCTAGAGAGGTGCGAATGAGTGTAATGGTGACTTCTGTTTCTAAGCGACCCTTCTGGTTCTGGGTGCAAGTGTTTTCATTTGTTGATTGTTCAAAGGAGTAACGTCCTCCCCTGTGATGAACGATCTTCCATCGAACGTTTTTCTTTTCTTTCTCTTTTCTCCGTTCCGGCCTTTCTTCATCAGCTATCAACGCTTCCTCTCCTTCAACTTCTGCCCGTCCTCTTTCTTCCTCTTCCTTCCTCTTCCCTCCTCTTCCTTCCTCTTCCCTCCTCTTCCTTCCTCTTCCTTCACCCTTTACTCCTCCATCAACTGCGCTCCTAACGACCAAGCACTTATACCATTCTCTCTTTGCCCACCGTTCTCGATAACGATATACTCCTTTTACAGCTTTACGACAAGCTCTTTCTCTTACCTCACTACCCATCCTGAGCATCTCCTACACTACTTTTCCATCCACCTCATCAACCCCTTTGTAACGACTGCACCGACCATCTTATTTCTATCCCATCGAAATTCGGGCTCTCATCCTCTCCCTTTCAATCAGTAAACTCCTTCTCACCAACTCATACACACAAAGCAATAAATATGTCAGAGTTAGGGATGTACTTTGGGATCGCCATCGCCTGTCTCACTCTGCTGGGAGTCTGCGGCGGGATCCTGTACAGCAAATACCGTCAGGATATGCGAGCCAAAGTCGCCCAGGAGCTACAGATCCAGGAACGACTCCAACAAGTCGCAGGTACATTCGAAAAAACGATCGCTGTTAGCCGACAACGTGGGAATTATTTTGCACCGACTAATACCCCTTTTTCTTTGGTTAATAGATTTGAACCTGCCGCCGTTCTATGTCGACCATGAGTTGGACCCGGTCTGCATCTATGAACATGAACTGCCGCCAGATGTGTTGCCTCCAGAGCAGCCCATCTTTGTTCACTCTGCCTTCTCGGATGAGGGCATGTTGATTCCACTCGAGGACGATCCCCTTTTCGCTCAGGGCAACGGCAGTACTGCTCGATCACCCGAGAGCCCATCTGCCAACAACCAACATGCTATGCTTTTCTCTCCAGCTATCATGTCTACTGCAGGAACTACAGGTGAAGGAGTGACAAGCCCAGGAGTAGAAGAGTACATTGGCCTTGCAATCAGGCCCGCGCCACTAGCCGCCGCCGCCATGTCACCATCTCCTCGCCCCACATCACCCTCCTCAACCTTCTCAGTCTCGTCAGGCCCAGTCCCTCGCCGCATCAACCAAGAGATGCTGAACCTCGCCCGAGTCCGTGCGCCACCCTCCTACGACGTCCCCAACGTCGTCGTCGACAGATCGCCACTCTACCACCCTTCCACTCATTCTCCCCACTCTGCCTTTTCGCCTTCTACTCAGTACTCTGAGGATGGCCAACATCAAGGGCAGCACGAATACTTTGGAAATGTCCGACTCCGCGCCCATACAATTTCTCATCCTTCTTCGTCAGCTCCGCTGAACCAGTCGTTCATGCAGCAGCTTCAAAGGGAACATCAACAACACCAGCAACACCAGCAACATACAGAAGGAGGAGGAGAGGAAGGCGAGGAAGATCTGCCATCGACACCTCGGTACTCACTCGAGTTCTCGTCAGATGTTCCACACGAACACCATCTGGAACACCACCAACGCTCCCGAGCCGATTACGACAACTTTGTGTTAGGATCCCCTCCATCCTCCCACTCCCTTTCCCCTTTACCCCAAGCTCTCAGCCCCGCTTCCTTCTCTCCACGATCCTCCTGGGACTACAGCGAACGGGACAGCAACAACGCCATCAGGCTAAACGATAGTACACCTTCAATTTCCTCCCTCCCGGGCAGCCATTCTTCCTCCCCACTCCTGATGTTCGAAATTACCACGACTACAAGGACACCAAGACGCTCACCAGGACTACGCGCAAGGGCGTCGACGTTGGGCGAGTCGTCTAAGGCGCTGATGCTGAGGATGCATTCGCTCTTGAGGAATTCTACTTCTTATTCTGGGTCGAGGGATTCTACACCTGCCACCAGTCCCCGTCTTGGTCCTGCTGACAGTTCGGTATCTTCTTCTTCTGCGCAAGGTGCTGCTATGCCGATGGTGGGGTTGGGATTAGAATATGGCGGGCATGTCGCACCTGAACCGCTGCAGCTGGATCAGACAGAGACACAGGAACAGGAACAGGAACAGGAACAGGTGCATGACCAAGTTATTGTAGTAGTCGACGAGCCTGAAGAAGACACCAGCGATATCGCTCTTCCTCCTTCTACTGCACCCTCAAGACCGACCTCCCGATACACTCTCCCTTCAACCGTCCCCGTCACCAGCGACAGCGAACAAGAGCAAGAATCGGCAGTCGAGGAAGAGGTTGCAGGGGAAGAAGAGAAAGCAGAGGAAGATGAAGAAGATGAGAGTGTTTCAAGAACACAGCGTCAACTCACTCCTCCTGAGCCCATGCAGCCCATCCCTATGCCCCTTGCCGTCTCCTAGTCCTTTTCCCCCTGACAATACATTTGTACAAACAGCCAAATATACCTTTCTTCCCCAATGGTTCAAAATGTAATGTACAAAAAAATGTGTGTGGTTATCTAAAGTAAATAAATACGAGAAAACTACACAAGGATACGAAAGGTGTTGTAGAGGAGGTCGGCATAAGCATCCAAGGGTCCAGGGGCACAGAACCGGGCGCAGTCACCGTCGCCCATCCGTCCATCCGGTCGTTTCGCAAACATGTCCTCCGTATCCAAATAGATCCCTCCCGCAGCCTCAACAATCGCCTTGGCCATCCGGTTCTGTCGTTGCACATCTGCAAGCGTTGGCCGAAATTCTGTCGTCTGCGTCGCCCTTGATTCTGAGGAAGAAGAAAAGCCGTATGCTTGTCGTCGTCCTGGAGCGGCGGTTAGGGGGCGTTGGAGTAGCGTCCCCTCAAAGATAGAATCCCGTCCGTCTGGTCCAGCGAGCGCACCATCCTCATTCTGCTCCTTGAGGACCGTACAATTAAAGACCGGGTGCGTCGCCCTGTAAATGATCATAGTCTTCGAATGGAACTTCCAGATATACTTGATCGTAAACACCAGCTCCATCAAGAACTCATCATCGTTCCTCCAGAACAAGCCCCGGTTCAACAACAGAATCTTGTACTCTGTAAACATCTCCGGTGTCGCCCAAGGCTGTTCAATCGTCGATCCATACGGGAACTCGTTCAAGTCAGGGTCCACCGCCCAAGGGACCGAGATGATATCGTTCCGGACAAACTTGAGATAGGGCGCCTTGATCAGTTCGCCGTCAGTCTCGCTCACATCATTGACCTCGATCTCCTGGTCCTGGTTCTGATTACATAAGGGGTGTGGTCGTCGATGGAGACATCCCATCTCGCCATGGCAATTAAACTCCGTATTGGTCGCAGAGAGGATCACGTCATGGAGCTGGTACTGTGTCAAGTCGCCCACGACAAGGATGTTGCGATCCTGAAGCGACTCGCAGAACTTGTCCATGTTAAACGACTGATAGATTGACCTTTCGTCTCCGAATCCCAGTGTTGTCGATGGTGATGGTGGTGTTGCTCCTCCCTCTCCTCCTTGTCCTCCTTCTTGTCCTCCTTCTTGTCCTTGTCCTTCTCCTCCGGTCCTGACGGGCCCACAGATACTCTCGTCGGGGACCCACTTCCATTTGACGGCCTCCCGAACGATATACCGATCATTCATCTGATCATAATCGCCCAGATAAAAGTCCCCCTTCAAGGCTGAATCTCCTCCTCCCTCAGCCGCCTTCCTTGCATCCTTGTCCAACGACTCCATCAATTTGGCATCACACTGCCCAAACCTTGCATCGCCTCTATGCCTCCTTGCCGCCCATGGTCCTGGTCCCGTCGTCACCCCATTGTTGTTGTTGCCACTGCTATTACTCGTCTGACTCTGACCCTGACCGTCCAGACGAACCCAAGACCCATACTGTGTCCAACAATGAATCTGCTCCCGAATCAACCTCACCTGCTCCACCGCCAGCTCACCCTGGGCACCCTCTCCACCTCTCCACCTCGTCCCCTGGATATGCCCGACCCTCGATTTACTAAACACCCTATCGGCCTCAATCTCGACAATGTATTCCATCAGCTTGTCCAGTTCTCCGAAGGCCTCTAATGATAACTTCTTCGCGTCCGGGTGGTGCCCTGCTCCTATTGGGCCTGTTGAGGTGGAATATGAGGAGGTGGGGAGGGGAGAGGGTGAGAGGTAAGAGAATGCGGATTGAATGACGGAGATGGGATTGTGGAAGGAGAGGAAGAAGACTTGGATGAGAATGAAGCTGGCCATGAGGACTGTCCAGAGACGACGACGACGTCCGTCTGGGTGGCGTTCTGTTGTTCGCGACATTCGTAATGTATTCTGATCGTGGGGGTTTGTAGTTGGGTGCTGTGCTGTGCTCTGCTGTGCTGTGGAGTCGTGGAGTAATGAGAGGAAAGTGGAGACACAGAATAGAAGAGGAAAGAGCCGTGAAAGTAAAGGAGGAAGAGGGAGGACAGCAGTGAGAAGAAAGAAAAAGAGAGAGGTGTGGCCCAAGGAAGCGAGAAAGGGGCCATAAAAGAATGAACAAAAGGAAAAGGGAAAGGAGTAATAATGACAAAAGGAAAGAAAAAGGCAGGAAGCGCGCTATTTGATGTTTCCTGCACTGCCACCCTGTATGATGCACCATAACCCTGGTGACACTCCTACATATCCTATCTATCCTTCCCATTGCACCCTCTACGCCGACTGGAGCCTAGCGCCAAGCTATGGAATTGCAATATATTCAGGGTTAATATTCGCGTGAATAAACTCACTCCTCTGTCTGAAAACGAACCAAAGAACCATTGTGAGCCCTCTTCATCCTTCTTTTTTCCGTAGACGACATTCAACGCCGTTGCATGCAGTGCAGGGAATAGGGATGGTCATGGAGAATCACTATTGAAGATATGGTGGTTGACCACCAAAAGAAGTGTGAACAAGAGAAGGAATGAATGAATGAATGGATAAAACCATCCCCTGCTCCGCCATAACTTTGGGAGACAGCTGCCACCTTTCATTTAAAAGACTTGACCTTGACCCCGACTTGTCCAGGTGGGCGTAAAGTGTTGTCTTTTGGTCCTTTCTTTCCCGCAATTAAAGCGAAAGCAAGTTAGGCGTTCAAGTAATTGACACGCCCTGGTATTTCTGGTTCTTGACTCTCGCCTTTTCCTTTGTCGTCATCAAAACAATACCCGCGCCTTGCTGTGTCCAACAAATCCGCGCCCTCAAAAAGGTGGATCGAATGAGTAAGCAACAATAAAAACCATAACAACAAGTATCTCAGGGCGCTCAAGGTAACAGCAGTACCGCTACTTGCACCTTCTTTTCCTTTTCAGCGGGATAAAGCCAAGGTACAGGACGGAAAAAAGAGCGAGCATCGTTTCTACCAGACCAACCACGATACTGTAGCGAAGCACACGCGAGTAAAAGGCTCTTACGTTTTTGTTTTTCAGTAGTAGCTGTTTCTGGCTCCTTGCTCAGAGCGGCACCTCTCACAGCTGATCTATCGCACTCTGTTATCTCTTGGTCAGTCGGCCAGTCGGTTATTCGGTAAGTCCGGTCTCTGTATACAGGTTTAGAATGTCATGGCACACCGTTAGGCAAAGGGTAATTGATACTGACCGTCCACCTTGACCGCCATCCTGATGTCGTACATTTTTGTTATCTCTGCTCTGCTCTACTCGATGAACCATGCCCGAAAGAAGAAATGGAGAGAAAGAACTGAATGTTGATGTTAGTGTGAATGTGCTCGTGCTCGCCAAGATGAGACCGACCTTGTTTGTATAGCTACCTCCCACCCAACGCAATCATGAGCTCATTGTCATGTTCCCATTCCTTATCTTTTTGGTTGTTTGTGGTGGCGGCTGCGGTGGCAGCATACATGTTTATGGTCGAGTTTTAGAGTCCATCTGGACTTGGACCCTCCAGTGTTTTTTCACAAACAATTGGAATGTCGCCATGCACAATAGTAAAAAAACAACAAAACAAAAGAACATTGTCTAAGAAAGGGTATGTCGTCAGTCTCCGTCCGTTCAGGTACAAGACGGTCAATAAGCTAAAGGTGTTAGAGATAAACACAAAAAGTAAACAGGTTGATGCACAATGATGTCGACGATAATAATAAAAGCAAGGTCTGGCTTGGCCTGAACCCGGGATCAGTTTACCTATTTTCAATTCCACTCAACCAACCGTGCAACAGAGTGTAACGTTTATCTGCGTTATGATTCGAGGCGAGATGCTATCGAAGAGACAGTTTCTCGGGTTTGAGGTTGTGGGGGATGTGGGAATGGGTGCTAGCTGAAAGAAAGGGTGGAATTGACTTCTTTTGGACTTTTGGCCATAAGAATATTTCTGGTTGCGCCAAATTGGGCTTCCCTTCCGAGTGCGGAGGAGGTATTTTTGCTACAGAGTGGGTGGCACTGGAGAGATACCACAGGTTCGAATGTAGAGGGGGGAGGCGGAGAATGAAGAGAGATAAAAAAAAGAATATCGACACAGAAGTAGAGTTGCGGACAGACACCAATGAGGGTCCTTCCCTGATCCTTCTCACTGAAGGAAAAAGGCGAAGGGCAGGAAGAAGGGGGAGGAGGGTTTGTGCGCCCCAGTGTGGGCAAAGTTATGCAATTGGTCAGATCATGTTTGGACTAGATAAATGTCAACTCCACTCAATTGCCCAGCCAGGTCTTGTCATTTGCCATCGTAGATGAAGAGCTTTTCCAGGGGAGCAGGGAGATACTGATCAGCTCATAACTCGGATTCATCATTGCTGTTCGTTCTTTCATCCTTTGCACTTCTAGCAACGGTTCTTTTTGTTCAATTGTCGGTATCAATGCGATGCAATGCCGAAGGACGATTGAGTGTGAAAAGAGAGCGCCCAAAGAGACCGCATCTAGACCCTGGTGCACAAAAGCCGCATTAGTGCGATCGGATCGATAAGCACTTCTCCCAACAGTACCTGTAAACACAACTACGCCCTAACTGCATTCATTGTGTATGTCATGTTTGTGAAGAAATAAAAAACGGACGAATGAAAAGGGGGCCCAATGGCAGAGTAGCGGTCTATCTGAGACAACGACAATCATGCAAGAAAATGAAAAAAGAAAACTGAGCGAACAAATTGTCCCAAAAGGGGATTTTGCATTACTCTGCTACGCAAATCCACAAACCAAGTCCCTTTCTTTCTGTACTTTGTCCTCTCCAATTAATCGGGCCAACGATCGAGAAGGGGCGGGGATGACAAAAGGCCTAACATGTCTGGTCTGGCTGAAAAAAAAACAAAAAAATATCGGATTGAACAGGACAGGCCAGGTTGAGGTTGGGGGTAGTGGACTTGTACGGAAGTGGCCCGAGTGTGTTCAACACTGGCTGACTGGTTGTGCTCCTCTATTTGGGCATACTGCCTTAACAAGGGTGTGGGTCCACATCCGATCTCTCACCTTATATAAATGACCACGACCATGGCCCCCAATCCTTTCTTTTCTTCTCCATATCATCTTCATTATCAACTCATCCTCACATCTTCTCTTCTATCTTCCTCTCTTACCATCACCTTCAATCTCATTTGGCCCTCCTTCTACGCCTCACTCACCTTCACTCCTAACAGCAACAAAACCACCGTCGCCTCCTCACTACAATGACCGATCAACTCAGCACAAAATTGACCCACCTCCCTACCTACAACACCAACAATTCCGAGCCGCCTCAACAACCCTCGGCTGTCCGCATCATCCAGCCCGCCAACGGCAACCCCGGTCCTCTCGGTCTCTTTGCCTTCGCTGTCACCACTCGTACGTTCATCCCCTCTTAGCATTTTTCAATAGTCTCCTCGCAGAAAAGCGTTCTCTTGGAATTGATTCTCACCCTTCCCTCTTTCCCTTCTTTTTCTTCACAAACAGTCATCTCAAACATCTACAATATCGGTGCCGGTGTCCCCGCCGGTGGCGGAGGATCCCTACTCATGGGCTTTGGTCTCTGGTACGGTGGTATTGTTCAGATCCTGGCCGGTATGTGGGCCATGAAGGTCGGCAACACCTTCGAAGCCACAGCCTTCTCGTCTTTCGGCGCCTACTGGGCCGCCTACGGTTACATGTTCATGCCCGGCACAATGATCAAGGAGTCCTACGCTAACTCTCCCCCCGAGACCTTCCAAAACGCCACTGGTATCTTTCTCCTTGTCTGGGCCCTCCTCGCCATCATCCTCTCTGTCGGCACCACCCGATCCACAGTCGCCACGGCCGCCATGTTTGTCGTCTTGGATATTCATCTCTTGTTCATGGCCGCAAACGAGTTTGGTCACTACCCCGAGTCTGCCTGGCCCAAGAAGATCGGCTCTGTTTGTGGAATCATTACCGCCCTCCTTGCCTTCTACAACGGTGCTGCTGCCCTTTGGTTGCCCTCCAACTCTCATATTATCTTGCCCGTTGGTCCCTTTAAGAACAATGACATCCACATCGTGTAAAATATGACGCACACCTGTTCCTTTTTCCTCTTTGCATCTCCACCACCTATAATTATAGCATCCTCCTCCCCCCCCCCCCGACCCCCAAGAATATAGACTGACAGACCTTTACATATAATATTCCCACCTGTGCATCTTTTTCAATACAGTACAACAAGTTCGATTTTGCTCAACAAAAAATAATGTCTTTGAGGGTTTCAACAACCCGATTCTCACTTCACTTCACAAACAGTTTCAATAGGTCATTCGCTCCTTACTCCTTTCTTCACAAACAGGAACAAAGACATGAAAAAAAATCGTCGATGTGTGTGGGACCTTGTGAGAAACATGAGCTATGGAGTCTTTTTTTTATTGTTACCTTTTTTGTTGATTCAGAAGAAACGCCTATTCAGATACGGTTGTAAACAGTGTACTCGTATTGGTAGCTACCCTCCTCAATGACACCGCCCTCCACCGACTCTTGAAGATAATTCTCCAGGAACGCATGCGAATCTGTTGAGGGCAACAACTGGTACTCGGAGTGACTGATCTCGGGGAAAAAAGTGTCACAGTCGACGGTGGCATCAATCCGTGTCAGGAAGATGTGTGTGCAGTCCTTGGAGCGCACGCCATCATTGTACAGTTGCGCGCCGCCGATCAGAAAAGTGCGCGCGACTTGGACCGAAGAAGTGGAGGGAGACGAAGAGGAAGAATGGAGGGATTCGACGAGATCCAATGCGGCTTCAAAGGAGGTGGCCAGTGCTACCAATGGGTTGCCCTTCTCTGGCTTGTCGCTGATAGAAGTAGTAGTAAAAGGGCAGGTAGTTGATCAGTCAATTGGGTAAAGTGAGCCATCAGTCGGTGTCTGTAAAAAATAAAATAAGATTGGTGGCAAAACCCTCACGTTGACGCGTCCTTCTAAAGCAAACACGCGCGCAACAAAACGCCGCCCCCACACCGGAATAGGGCAAGAAAAAAAACAAACTTACTCGAGATAGTGTGGGTCGCGGGAGACAATGACGTTGAACCGGTCGGTGAGGGGTCGGAACTTTTTGGGAATCGACTCCCAGGTCTTTCTGCCCATAATACAGGCGTTCACTCTTCTCTGATGAGTTGACTCGTCAGTTGTTGTTGCATCCTGAGCACCTTGGACGACCTTGGAGGTGATCCTTGCAAAGAAGGCCATGTCCTTGCGGAGACGCCAGGGAAGGCCTCCGTTCTTGCCGATGCCCATGGCGCGGTCTGCCGCGACGACGATGCTGAATGACCTCATGTTGTTTCGAGTCACTGTAGAGTGGAGTGGATGGTCCAAGTTGATTCGCTTCTTTCGTTCACCCTCGTCGCTCGTTCGAGCTCGAGAGCTCTGTGGGAAAAAACAAGTCCCACTAAAAGCCGCACAAATCACATGACTTTTGGGCACAGACGTTGATTTTTTGTGCGCCTAAAGCACGTTGTTGGTGCATGTTTATTCGTTCGTTTCTCTCTGTGTTCCCTTCGATCTGCCTGCACTTCTTTCGCCATTTCCCTATCTATCTCAATCGCTTTTTCTACCATCCTTTTGAACATGTGGATGAAAGCCATGGACAGGGGACAAGCTGTGACGAACGAAGGGGAAGGGGTAAAAAGGTACTTCAGAAGCCAACAAGGTTTGGAAACATACGTATGTGACGCTAATGTTTTTTGTGTACTGAGAGCAAGAACGAAATTGGTCCTCCGGCGAGACCCAGCCCATGGCCTGGCCAGGACCTGAACAAGGACCTGACCTTGATCTGACTTTCACTTAGATACACCGCTCGAAACCCTAATCGATCACAAAAGCCACAAAAACAGAAAAAAAAACACGGACGGAAACGATGTGAGTGAGCGACGGGCATGGTGCAAGAGAGAGGAAGGGCGTGAGGCTGGCGGGAGGACGGATTATTCAAAAGAGCGATTTTTACGAAATTGTTACAGGTTACCCTTTCCCGTTCAAGAAGATTGTACGTAGTCCATAGCTATCTGTGCCTTGTTCTGTGCCTGTATTGTCATCAGTACCCCCCTCCATCCATCGATGAGTTGTGGCAAGGATGTCCATCCATTGAAACCATCCTTTCCTGGCGCCCCATCCACTCTCGATCCCCTCACCGTCATTATCGCCATTATCTCCTCCATCGATTAGTCCTCTCGGCCTTAATTTTTTCAGTTACTATCACTCCTCTGCGATCATATCAGTTCAGATCTATTAGTCTCCTCTCAGTGTTTACCTTTTCCCCTCCCCTTTAACACACAATCACTTCAACCAACCCTTGCAACACTACATTCCACAACGCTTTCTCTCAATTCCTCTCGTCTCCCCTTCTCTTCCTGAACCCTTTCTCTGATCGTTTTTATTCCTTTGTACCTTTTTGTGGCAGTTATGCGAGCGTGGTTCCTTGATAATTTCCGGTTTTGCTATCAGTGCACGCAATCGACACACAGACTTCTTTGTGATTATATTCACTGCATGGGGAGGACTGATATGTCTTGGACAAAAAGAGCGGAAAAGGGGAATGGGAGTGAAGGTCCGTTACACCTGTCTGTCTGTCTGTCAGTCAGTCTCTCCGTCTGTGCATTTGTTGTTCAAATTGCACATGCAACGTGCGTCGCCATGCGTCTTGCATTGGATCTCTCTTACTCTGACTTACCCGTTCTTTTTTTACTCCTGGACCTTGTTCCTCATAACTGTACCCCTTTGTGCAGTCTCTATCTTCTCTATTACAAATGCTGGACTGCCGTAGTTGCCAGTGTTGGTAATAGCATTGATGAGCGTGAATGGAACTTGTTTCTTTTGGTATTGGGTGCCGTGATCTGCGCGCCTCGCCGCTCTATCACTCTCCCCTCCATGCTCTCTCACTCTCTTTCACTGTGCCCCATCCCTTCCTCGTCTTTCCCCTTGGTCTTTTTTTCTTTTGAGTTTTTTCTTTTGGCATTTTTTTTTCAAGGACAGCCGATGTGATATTACAAAACATAAAAAGCAAAAAAAAAAAATGTTACGCAGTGTATGTTTGGCTTCCTATTCCGGGTCGGGGCTCCGCTAAAAGAAAACTGTCTGTCTGCCTTGCTGACTGGAGTTGGAGTCTGTTTGATGCTTCTGCGGCAGCGGTCGCTGATTTTTTTTTGTTACGCAGCCGAGACTGCTTATCATATAAAAAGTGCATGAAACTAACCTCTCTTTTTTTTCTCTTCTTTTTTTCTTCTCTACCCTTCACCCTCTCCCTCCCGCACCCCTCGCACCTGCCTTTCCTTACCGCCTCCCGTAGAAAGTTGAAAGAAAATGGTTAACTTCACTATCGACCAAATCCGTGAATTGGTAAGTCAACTGTCTTATTCTTTCCTCCCTTCGTCTTTTGATGTGTCGTTGTACCTTCGCACCATTGCATTGTGTTTTGAAAATTTTTCTTACTGGCTGGGCTTTCTTGTGCTCCTGGCCACTGCCACGATACTTCCGACCGTGCGTGCGTGTGCAGGTAGCCAGCCAGCTACCAGTTGGCCGTTTTTGTGTTTGTTTACTATTCGAAGGAAAATATTTTTTTTTGCCCTTGTTGCTTTATTTTGATTTGTGCAATCAGATTTTTTCAGCAGACGAGGCTGACTCCTACTCGCTGGGAAGTCTTAGAAAATCAAAGAGGGCTAAAAAAAATAAACTAGATCAGCCCCCAACTTCGCGACCATCACTCACCGACATCGTCGACATCACTCTCCCATCAGCACACACAACTACAACAACGACACTCGACAGCCTTTACGACAAGAGCTCAGCTACAATGGACAGATAAGAGGGTGTTGGTTTCTTTTCTCTTTCTTTCTTTTGAAGGACGCAAAGCATTTTTGTGTTCCTTGTTTTAGTAGTGATAACTTCAAGCGTGGGCAACAAGAGAGCGAATTAGCGACCATGGCACTGCCTATAGTATTTTATTTTGAAGAGGGGCGAATAACTGTCTACAGCACCCTATTGTTCCTTTTCTGTCCTTGTCATGGTCAATCAGCGAAAAAGAATCAGCAAACTAACGATAACTTTCCATTATCTCATGGTTTTCAACAACAGATGGACAAGGTTACGAACGTTCGTAACATGTCCGTTATTGCTCACGTCGATCACGGAAAGTCCACCTTGACCGATTCCCTGGTCTCCATGGCCGGTATCATCTCCTCCGCCCGTGCTGGAGATGCCCGTTTCATGGATACCCGTCAGGATGAGCAGGACCGTGGTATTACCATCAAGTCCACCGCCATCTCCCTGTACTTCGCCATGACCGAGGAGGATCTCCCCGATATCAAGCAGAAGTCCGACGGTACCGGTTTCGTCATTAACTTGATCGATTCCCCCGGGCACGTTGACTTCTCGTCTGAGGTTACCGCCGCTCTCCGTGTCACCGATGGTGCCCTCGTCGTCGTCGACTGCGTTGACGGTGTCTGTGTCCAGACCGAGACTGTCTTGCGTCAGGCCCTTGGTGAGCGCATCAAGCCCGTTGTTGTCATCAACAAGGTCGATCGTGCTCTCCTCGAGTTGCAGGTCACCAAGGAGGATCTCTACACCTCCTTCCAGCGTACCATCGAGTCCGTCAACGTCATCATTGCCACCTACAACGACAAGGTTATCGGTGATGTCATGGTCTACCCCGAGCAGGGTACCGTTGCCTTCGCTTCCGGTCTCCACGGATGGGCTTTCACCATCCGTCAGTTCGCCGTCCGCTACGCCAAGAAGTTCGGTGTCGACCGCTCCAAGATGATGGAGAAGCTCTGGGGTGAGAACTACTTCAACCCCGCCACCAAGAAGTGGACCACCAAGTCCGCCGATGCTGCCGGCAAGCCCCTCGAGCGTGCCTTCAACATGTTCGTCTTGGACCCCATCTTCAAGTTGTTCGATTCCATCATGAACTTCAAGAAGGATGTCGCCTTCAAGATGCTCGAGAAGCTCGAGATCACCCTCAAGAACGACGAGAAGGAGATGGAGGGAAAGCTCCTCCTCAAGACTGTCATGAAGAAGTTCTTGCCCGCTGGTGAGGCTCTCTTGGAGATGATCGTTATCCACTTGCCCTCCCCCGTCACCGCCCAGAAGTACCGTGTTGAGAACTTGTACGAGGGTCCCATGGACGATGAGTGCGCCAAGGGTATCGCTAACTGCGACCCCAACGGTCCCCTCATGTTGTACGTCTCCAAGATGGTCCCCACCTCCGACAAGGGTCGTTTCTACGCTTTCGGTCGTGTCTTCTCCGGTACCGTCCGTGCCGGTCTTAAGGTCCGCATCCAGGGCCCCAACTACATCCCTGGCTCCAAGACCGACTTGTTCGTCAAGTCTGTTCAGCGTATCGTTTTGATGATGGGTCGCGGTGTCGAGCCCATTGAGGACTGCCCCGCCGGTAACATTGTCGGTCTTGTCGGTATTGACCAGTTCTTGCTCAAGTCTGGTACCATTACCACTTCCGAGACTGCCCACAACTTGAAGGTCATGAAGTTCTCTGTCTCGCCCGTCGTCCAGGTCGCCGTCGAGTGCAAGAACCCCGCTGATCTCCCCAAGCTCGTCGAGGGTCTCAAGCGTCTCTCCAAGTCCGACCCCTGTGTCCTCTGCTTCACCTCGGATACCGGTGAGCACATTGTTGCCGGTTCCGGAGAGCTCCATCTCGAGATTTGCTTGAAGGATCTCGAGGAGGATCACGCCCAGGTCCCTATCCGCAAGTCTGACCCCGTCGTCCAGTACAAGGAGACCATCCAGGCCGAGTCTTCCGTCACTGCTCTTGCCAAGTCCCCCAACAAGCACAACCGTATCTTCATGAAGGCTATTCCTCTCGGTGAGGACCTTACCCTCGCCATCGAGACTGGTAAGGTCGGTCCCCGTGACGAGTTCAAGGCCCGTGCCCGTATCCTCTCCGACGAGTTCGAGTGGGACAACCAGGAGGCCCGTAAGATCTGGGCTTTCGGTCCCGATGCCAACGGTGCTAACCTTATGGTTGACTTGACCAAGGGAGTTGCCTACTTGAACGAGATCAAGGATTCCTGCGTTGCCGCCTTCCAGTGGGCCACCCGCGAGGGTGTCTTCACCGAGGAGCAGATGCGCGGATGCCGTTTCAACATCCTCGATGTCGTCCTCCACGCCGATGCTATCCATCGTGGAGGTGGACAGATCATCCCCGCCTGCCGCAGCGCCATCTACGGTGCCGCCTACGTCGCCCAGCCCGGTCTCATGGAGCCCATCTACTTGGTCGAGATTACCTGCCCTGAGACTGCCATGGGTGGTATCTACTCTGTCTTGAACAAGCGTCGCGGACACACCATCGGTGAGGAGCAGCGCCCCGGTACCCCCATGTACACCGTCAAGGCTCACTTGCCCATTGCTGAGTCCTTCGGTTTCACCGCCGATCTTCGTCAGGCCACCGGTGGTCAGGCTTTCCCCCAGTGCGTCTTCGACCACTGGCAATTGATGAACGGTGTCTCCAACGAGGACCCCAAGTTGATTGAGAAGGTTCTCTCCATCCGTAAGCGCAAGGGTCTCAAGGAGGAGATTCCCCCTCTCGACCGCTTCTTGGACCGTCTGTAAATGGTTTACAACAGTTCTTTCGCACCTTCCCCCCTTCACAATGGTTTTATTCATTTTTCGTCCCTTTTATCAATAATATCATTCCATCTGTACCATTTACAACCTTCCATGTCCCTTTTTTTTCTTGAGCCGGTGCTCCCTACGGTTTTAAAGGAAAGAAGGAGTGTTCGTTTTTTTTTGCAATTTTCCTTTTGTTCTTTGCATGTTTCTCCTCCCCAATCTCTTTCATCTTTGTTTGTTTACACTTTTTTTCCTTAGAGATTAAAACGCGACTTCTTTAGACCGCAAAAAAACCCCCACTTGGTCATTGCTTGCTTGTTGATTGTACATGAGTGAGATTGAGAAATGCTTTTTGCTCCTTGGCGCTGTTTCTTTTCTTTGAGGTGTGGTGCATGAGGCCGTGGTTATTAAGAAAACAAAAATATTCAAATATGAAGGATTTTTTTTTGTCACTGTCTGCAAACAAAGGGGTGAAGAGACTTTTAAAAAAAAACCAGATTTTGGTGGCGTCAGTCGTTGCACAGGCATACCTTTTTTTTTTTCCTGCGTTTTTCATATGCCCCACCACGGCTGCCCATATCAAAGGAGAGAAACCAACAATTGAAAAGAGCACACCAACGGTTGAATGCAAAAATGAATGGTGACTTTTATTAATGGTACAAAGGTGGGGGGAGGGAGGGAGTGCTCGTGCTGTTTTAATCCTCCATGCTCTCGGGTCCAGTGCTGGTGGTGGTGTTGGGCTCTGGGGGCGCCATCTCCATGGTATTCTTGACGTGCTGCTGGATCGTCAACAGGGGGTTGCTCTTGAACGAAGGGTGTGCCATCACGTTCTGGAACCGCAAAATCTCCTGCATGCTATTTTCATATTTTGCCCCCCCAAGCGATGGAAAAAAAGTCAAAAAGTGCGCGTTAGAAAAATAGCTTCCTGATCTGTGATTTGCTTCTAGAGACCAATGATGCCAAAAATAAAAAAAAAACCGGCAGACAAGAGTACTTACGCAGCCTTCTTCTTGGCCTTCTTGGTCTGCAAGGGCTTTGACGACTCTGAGTGGATAGTAAACTGTTGGTGATCCAGAACGGGTGTTGCTACTACTGGCGCTGCTGCTGCCTGATTTCCTCCTGCCGCTTTTGATTTGGATCCCTTGATGACTGCTGCTGGCGAGACCTGAGTAGCCATGGTGGGGTCTATTGTTGAGAGGACGTCGTGGAAGGATCCAAAGTCGACCGAGAGCGTCTGGTTCTGTCCTGCCTTCTTCTTTTTCTTTTGGGGGTTGTATGTCGCCTCCAGTTCTATTATTCGTTCAAAAGAAAAAACGAGGGATAATTAAATACTTGTCTCGAGCGCCTCTCGAATGGAGTAACTGGGGCAATGATACCCATTGTGCATATTTTTTTCCTTGAAATCCTGCAACTGAACAGGAAAAACAAATAAAATAATAAAAGACTTACTCGACATCCACTTGTCGTGCCTCAGTTTACGCTTATCCTTCTTGTCAACCCTGTCGTCCTCAAACTCTAGTCCAAACTGCTCCTTCATGGACTGCATCGACTCTGCTGAGGGTGTTTGCTTTGGTGCCTCGATGACGGGATGGACATAGGCGGCCTTGCCTCCGACGGCCTTGTGGTGGACTCTGCTTTTGGATGCTTTTACTTTGGGCATTGTTGGTGATCGTGTTCTGTTTTGAATGGAGGGAGCGGTAAATGGTGCTGCCCATCCTTATGCTTCAAAAAGAAAAAAGAAAAAAAGGAGCGTCCAAAACACAAGCCACCCACCGCCAATTCCACATTTTTGGGTTGTCGCCTGAAAGAACAGGGCAGCAACACTTTCCCCAACACCTCCGCCCTTCAAACACCAGCACAGACACACAGAACAGTAAAAAAAACCATGGAGAATGCATCAGCAACAAGGCTTCGCTTCAAAGGTTCAGCAACATCCTCCTCCAAGAAACGGAAACACTCCTCAGACAAGCGCCACCCTCACTTTGACTCTCACACTTCTTCACGCAGGTCGCGGTCTCGGTCTCGGTCTCCGAGGCGGCGGCAGCGGCGGTCGTCCAACCAGGAAGACGACGACAGGCGGCGAGACAGGAAACACAAATCTAGAGCCCATTCACGCTCCCGCTCCCGCTCCCCTTCCTCCTTCTCGCAATCACAAAGGAACCGGTCTTCGAAATACAAAGTCACTCCCGCAGGATACGCCCCGGACTCGCTCGACAGCTACTGTTTTGATTATGACGACGTCGACCCCGAGGCGGCCTACATGATGAAGATGTTACAGGAGGAGCAGGAACGCGAATTGGAACGACAGCTGGCAGGGGAGACGGACGACCCTTGGTTGAGCCATCTCTTTGACGAATCGATTAATGACGACCCGTACGAGTACCATTCCGGTCGCTTCGCCACTCAGACACCTTCTGGGCCTGGATCCAGGAGAAGGCGGCAGCAAGACAACATCCAGTCAATGTCAGACGACGCTTATACATCCTACATGCGGAAGGGAATGGGCCGCAATCAAGTCCAGAAGGAGACACAGGAGTGGGTGGAGTGGGTCGAGGAGCAGGAACGGATAAAGTACAAGGAAGCCAGGAGAGAACAGAAGCAAAAAGATGAAGAACGGAGTCGACGTCGACAGGAGAGACGGGAGAGAGAGGGCCTTGATCAAGAAACAGAGGCCTCTGCTCAAGCGGGGATTGGATCTCATCAGAGGGAGGACGACACCCCTGCCAACCAACTTCGGAAGCGAGCCCTTGTGCATCATGCCAGGACGGTCTACGAACAAGGTTGGAGAGCTTTGCTCACGGTTGAGGATGGCGGTCAGGGCGCTACGACGACGGCTTTGCCACTATTGTCGATGAAGAGCGTCCCATGGCCACCACTCTATGGTACCTCTGAATCCCCAGATGATGTCTCGGACACGACGACCTCAAAGGTGTCGCTGTTTGATTTCTTGTTCTTTGGGACGACTGCGGACCAGACGGATGTCAGGAAACAACTCCTTCGACGCGAACAACTCAAGTTTCATCCGGACAAGTTCAAGCAAAGGTTTGGAGTGAGACTTCCTCCTTCACCTTCCTCCGTAGCCACCGTGGAAATCGTACCAGGTGAGAGAGAACGTATTCTTGAGCAGGTTGATAAGGTAGCGAGGGCATTGAATGAACTTGGCGAGATGTTTTGAAAACCGCGGTAGTTGTTTTGCCTGCCTGGCTGTTTTATTTGTCACATTGATTGCTAGATAATAAACGAATAAAACCAAAAGCAAGAAGAACGGAGTGTGAGAAAGTACTTGATGTGGAATACGTTTCTCTTTTCCTTCGACTTCATGTGTGTGCTTGCCGAGCGAGAAAGTGAAGAAAGGAAGGTGCTAGTTTTCCGATGTGTTTGTATTCCGTGTCGTATCAAGTGGTTGTGTGTTTTGGCTCTCAAAAATGAAGAGGAGGGCGTGTTTTCCCATCAAATCACTCGGACAGACAGCTAGCCCCGATGTTTTCCTCTTTGGCACCTTGTGTTACGTTAGAGACGGAAGCGCACTCCATGCATGAATGGGACGAAAGGAAGAAAGAAAAAAAAAGTGGAGACAGGGAACACAGAAGGGAATGAACAATTGCACTGGTTGGCTGTGGATGTTATTCCTCTTCCCCCGCATTTTTCTCCTCTCGGTGGGTGGAGGGTCAAACTCGGTTGTCCGAGCAAATAATCCAATCGAAGTCGGAGCTGTTTGATTCGACGACCTTTTGTCCGTTCATTCTTCTTTTTGCAGCGAAGCTAAAAAGGCAAGCCCCTAGGTTGGAACACAAGACCTTCTCTCTGTCTCCTTGTTCTGTTGTTTTCTTCTTCTTCTCTTCTCTTCCCACACAACTCTCTCACTCTCCATTCCCACAACATACTCACCATGGTCCACACCGAACACCAACCCCAGGCCACCACCGACCTCTTGCCCATCATCGACCTCGGACTCTACCTCCAGAACCCCGACGCCCCCGAGGCCATCGCCGAGAGCAAGCGTGTAAGTCGAATGTCAACTTGACAGATGACCATAAAAAAAAAGGAATGAGTAAAAAAAAGTTGTATGCGTGTCTCCTCCGTGGGAAGAAATAGGGTTTCTTGCCTGTTTCGGCATTGCTTGGGTTACCTTTACTTACAATCGTCTCCCTTTTTTTTCCTGATGTTGACTTACTCTCTAGGCTGCTGATGCCATCCGCGATTATGGTGCCTTGATTGTCAAGGACCCCCGTGTCACTGGTACGATGATGTCTTGTTTCTTTACCTGCGCAAATTGACATGGTTTATGTGCCCATCAATATCATTGGACTAACACATCTATCATCTATCTTCATTTTGTTGACATTGGTGAAATAGAGCAGGACAACAACAACTTTATCGACTTGATGGAGGACTACTTCAACCAGGACTTTGATGTCAAGCTCAAGGATGCCAGACCCGACTACGGATACCAGGTACCGTATTGTTCTTTATCTTCACTCGATCCTTCGTGGAACTCGTTTTCACATGCGGACGACAATAAGAAGCGTCGACGAACGTCCTGTTTGTTATTTTCCCCAGCAATAGTCGGAGACCGAACTAGGACATGGCGGAGGATGGATAGTGGGGAAGGGTTTTTTTTTCTTTTCAATTGCAAAATTACTAACGAAGTTTCCTTTTTTGTGTTGTTCTGATTGTGGGTTACCAGGTCGGTGTCACCCCCGAGCTGACCGAGGACCCCAAGTGCCCCAAGGACCCCCACTGCCTCGATATCATCGATCACGTATGTTTCCAAATGACGTTTGTTTTTTGTTGTGTTTCTTTCTGCGCGAAGTAGAATCAATGAACTGACGAACGATGACGGTTCAACTTGATATGTACTAGATTCCCGAGGCCAACAGACCTTTGAAGTTCCATGGCGCTGATCCCAAGTGGCGCTTCTTCTGGCGCATTGGTGAGCAGCCCCCAGCTACCAAGTTCCCCCGCCTCAACGCCGAGCCCGTTGTCCCTGAAGGTATTGGTGGCATCTTTGACAGTCGCATCTACAACGTCAATTGAAAGTCTATTTAGACATTTAATTAATTAATGATTCCTTTCTCTTGCGCATATAGCTTTCAAGGATGTCTGGTCGGAGACGATGGACGTGTGGGGCAACACTCTTCACTTGGCTGTCTTGGGACTTGCCGAGATGATTGCTGTTGGTTTCGACTTGCCTAAGAAGACCTTTGTCGATATGGCCCAGTACGGACCCCACTTGCTTGCCCCTACTGCCAGCGACTTGAACAAGTACGGCAAGGTCGGCACCGTTCTCGCCGGATTTCACTACGATCTCAACTTTTTGTAAGTTTTTTCTCGTACTTGTTCCTCAAATCCTGTTATGGCCATCCGAGCGTAAGTTCGCGGTGAATTATCGAAGTTAACGATCAATCGGTACCGTGTTTCGTAATTGTAGGACCATTCACGGCAAGTCGCGTTACCCTGGATTGAACATCTGGCCCCGTAACGAGTCTGAGAAGTTGGCCGTCCGTGTCCCCGACGGTTGCTTGTTGGTACGTTGACTATTTCATGTTCTCAGCTTTCGAAAGACGTTTGTACTGGCCCTGACTAATACTAATATCACACCTCACTAACTATCGTGAATGGAAATTGAATTAAATAGGTCCAGGCAGGAAAGCAGTTGGAGTGGTTGACGGGTGGAGTTGTTCAGGCCGGATACCATGAGGTGATTGTGAACGAGGCGACCGTGAAGGTGATTGAGAACAAGACCAACGACCGCCCCTTGTGGAGAATCTCGTCGACGTTCTTCTTGCACATTGCCTCGGACAACATTCTGCGCCCTCTCGAAGGTGTCTTTGACACGGAGGAGAAGCGTGCTGCCAAATACCCCAAGATCCATACTGGCGACCAGGTCCGCAAGGAGCTCGGTTTGATTGCTCTTTTGGAGAAGTAGATTCCTTTTTTTTCATTGTCATACGAACACATAAATGTACATTTTTCCGCGTTTCTTTGTTGTTGGTTGCTGTTGCTGGTAGTTGTTGTTATTGCGACTGGCGTGTGAGGTATGGATTATCTGCGTTATCATATTGTTGTGTATGGTGTTTGTTGACGTTTGGTCTTTTCTTTGTCTCTCGTATGCGGTGCAGCTATTTCCGAGCATCCTCTTTTTTTTTTTTTTTTTTTTTTTTACACGTACGACCGACCGTGTCCACAACCGTAAGCTACATCTGTAACGAGAAATATTTATAATTTTGCGTCCGGACAAAACAAATAGAAAAAAAGCCGAAGCCGAACGGGCAGAGGGAACAGGGTCACTGTTCTTTTATTTGTATTTCGCTTCTCCACAAAATTTGTGTCCGATATTTTGTGAGCAATTTTTTCGTGTTGTCTTTCTTATTGTTGATTCTTTGTGCCCATAGTCTGTTTCTTTTTTTTTCTTTTTCTTCTGAGACATTGTATAGGGTGAGAGAGTGTAGAGAGAGGGACGGAGAGTAAGGAAGTAGCGATCGGGTTGTCATCAGGCATGCACAAGGTAAGACCTATCCGTCTACACGCATAGGGCGAATCGTGAAGGGAACCGGCATCCATCTATTGTCCTCAACGGACTTTCTTTTGAACACTGAAAATGGGCGAGAAAGGATTAAACGGTTCAAATTATTCCGAACATTTCTCGGCTTTTTTTTTGAACAAGTCGTTCCATGTCCATTTTTCACACTTCCAGTGCTCCTTCATGCTTCACCCCTGAGTAAACGGCGCTCTCCTTTATGTTGTGAAGGGTATGTTCTTGTTTGATTGCTTTTCTGTGGAGGACAAACACAAAACAACAAAGGGAAGAAGGGGAGGAGGGGGGGTAAGAAAGGAGAGGAGGGAATGGAGAGAGGCGAGATGGAAAGGGGGGGAGGGGCCTTCTTCTTCACCAGTGAGCGAAGAACAAACATGTGTCAAGGGAAAGAAAGAAAATCAATGCATAATGGAAAGGGAATCTGGGACCCACAACCACTGCACTGATGTCCTTGTGGTTTGCACTTTGCAGAAGTTGTTCGATTGCTTGGTGTGCTACTACCTTGTCTATGGTAATGGTTGTTGCCAGTTTGTCCGAATCTCGGAGATGTTCCCACCGAGAGAGAGAGAGAGCGAGTGGAGTGGAGTAGAAGAGGGATAGAGCATGTGGCCATACTGGGATGAAGGATAATGGGACGTGGGCCTAGAGACAATGAATGGAATAAACAAATCAGAAGAAGAGCAGGTGTGTTTTTCCCTGCCCCTGGTTCTTGTTTGTGTATTGATTGACACATGAGAGACATGGAGTGAGAGAGTAAGGGTGCTTGCTAGTGCGAGAGGAGGGTATTCTTCATATGATGTTGCACTCAATGCGTTGTTTTTCTTTTGTCGACTGTGCAACCATCTCTCTTCTTTGTTTGTTTGTTTGTTTGTTTGTTTGTTTGTTTGTTTGCGTTGTTTCTCCAGTCGAGCGTTGTACTGCCCTTCTACACGGGTGCAATATTGCCATGGCAATGTCGATTGTCCGATGGAATAGAAAAGTGGACTGATCTCGCTGTCGTCTAGAACGGATTCAAGCGAGCAAAGCAAGGTAAACAAAGCACGTTGAGGAGTAGAGTGGAGTAGTAGCAGCAACAGTAGTGGTAGCTAGTAGTAGTAGTAGTAGCTAGTAATAGGCGAGACAAGGGCAAGAAAAGCGATCGAAGCGTGCCCTCCTTCCCCCCTCCCTCTTTCGGATTTCCTCTTTCTCTTTGTCACCCTCTCCACATTCATATTCGAATATTCAAAGCCATCGTCCATCAACGCGAGTTCAACTCCTTTAAATCCCTTCGCTCCCCCTCTTTCTTCTCCTACTTCTCTCTTCATCTCCCCTCCTGCCCACTGCTCCTCTTCCATTCTTTCTTTATCCCTCTCCCTTTCTCTCACTCCTCACTCTTCTCTCCAAACCCCATACCTGTACATACACACTACATCTCACAACAACATGTCCGGATACTTTTCCGTCAGCCAGGTCGCCAGCCATAACTCCGAGGTACCCTTCAACAACCACCATCTCTCTTCTCCTTCTCCGTTCTGTTATTCAAGTCTCGTCGTCGTGTCTATGCCACGCGGTCAATGATCGGATCATGAAAGACAAAGTGTCATACCCGTATTAATATCGACCATCTTCTCTTCCCCTAGAACGACTGCTGGGTCATCATCCATGACAAAGTCTACGATGTCTCTAACTTCTTGAACGACCACCCCGGTGGAAAGGTAACCCTTGAAGAAAAGATGCTCGTTTTTGTTTCTTATATTTTCATGTCCCGCGCGTATTCGTGTGCGCGTGTGTGTGTGTCTTACCTTTTGTCTTGGGCGCAAGAAGCAGGGCTGAGAGCTGAGAAGTCATCACACATGCAGTTGGAAGCAAACTACACGCACAGAAAAAAAAAAAGAAAAGGAATGGGCAGGCAGCATGGAGGCTATAGCTGATGTCGGGAATCGTTCGTTCATTCGTTCTCGGAAAAAGTGAAAAAAGTGATGCCTTGACCACTCTTGGACGGTTTCTATCCTTTGGCGGAGTTGAAGAGGACATACGCACACGCGGAGCATATTTCCGAAGACATACCTTTTCTCTCCCTTCTCTCCTTTTCCGAGTGTGGGGGAGGGACTCTATTTAACTCCTTGCAACAATATTCACACGCACATCTTTTCTTACTCTCTCTACAACTTACTACCACTTATAACAACAGAAAATCATCTTGAAGAACGCCGGAACTGATGCCACCAAGCAGTTCGATGCCTTCCACAACCCTGGTATGTTGTTCTTCTCTTTTACTTGCTCTTGTGTCTTTGTCTATCTGACTCTTTGTTTGTTTGTTTTCAGTGTCTGTGTCACAGCTCATCGAGATCTTGTCTGTTATTACGCCGACCATTACAACAATCATCAATCATCGCGTTGTTTTTCATTCTTGAATTCATTCATCTCTGCTAACGCATGGGTCCCCTTCTTCGTATCACACACACTCACACAATCAACCACTGGCCAACTATAGGTGTCCTTGAGAAGTATGGCGCCCTCTGCATCGGAAGCATTGGTGAACCACCCAAGGCTGGCACTGAGGAGGACTCCTCCGCTGCCGTCTCTGTCGAGGATGACGAGTTCCAGTTCGGCGAGATGATTCCCTATGGCGATCCATCCTGGTACGTCACTCATTCCTGCTCTTTTGCTTGTTCATTACTGCAAGTCATCAATGAACGACCTTGGAAACATCGACTGATATCTTTCACCCGTATACATTACCTCAATTAAAATAGGTACCAGCAGTGGGGAAGCCCTTACTACAAGGATTCGCATCGTCGTATTCGTCGCTATGTCCGCAAATTTGTCGACACCGATATCATGCCCTTCGCTCACGAGTGGGACGAGGCCAAGCAGGTCCCCATGTTCCTCTTCAAGAAGTGCGCCGAGATGGGTATCCTCGCTGCCGTTGCTGGCAACGGCACCCTCCCCACCGAGTACTTCAACCTCGAGGACACCACCTTGTTCCGCGGCGGTGACAATGCCATCGTACCCCCACAAGAGTTCGATGCCTTCCACGGCTTCATCATCTTTGACGAGCTCTCCCGCTGTGGTTCCGGAGGAGTTCTCTGGGGTATCCTCGGAGGTCTTGGAATCGGTCTCCCTCCCATCATCAAGTACGGTAGCGAAGAGCTCAAGCGCCGCATCGTCCCCGAGGTCTTGGCGGGTCGCAAGACCATCTGCTTGGCCATTACTGAGCCCCAGGCTGGATCTGATGTCGCCAACTTGACCGCTGTCGCCAACGAGATGGGCGATGGCTTTATCGTCAACGGTGAGAAGAAGTGGATCACTAACGGAACCTTTGCCGACTACTTCACAACCGCCGTCCGCACTGGAGGCGATGGTATGGGCGGTGTCAGCTTGTTGGTCATTGAGCGCGGCATGCCCGGTGTTACCACCCGTCAAATGAAGTGCTCTGGTGTCTGGTCCTCTGGAACTGCCTACATCAACTTCGATGACGTCAAGGTCCCCCGTGCCAACATTGTCGGAAAGGAGAACCGCGGATTCAAGTACATCATGAACAACTTCAACCACGAGCGCATGGGAATCGTCATCCAGGCTAACCGTCTCGCTCGTGTCTGTCTCGAGGAGGCCATCAAGTACGGAAGCAAGCGCAAGACCTTTGGTGTCAAGCTGGTCAACCACCCCGTCCTCCGTAACAAATTGGCTCACATGGCCCGCCAAATCGAGGCAACCCATGCATGGACCGAGAACGTCATCTTCCAGACCATCAACATGCCCGAGGAGCTTCAACCCATCAAGTTGGGAGGCCCCATTGCTTTGCTCAAGGCCCAAGCGACCCAGACGCTGGAATACTGTGCTCGTGAGGCATCTCAGATCTTTGGAGGACTCGCCTACACTCGTGGAGGACAGGGAGAGAAGGTCGAGCGTATCTACCGTGAGGTGCGTGCCTATGCCATCCCTGGTGGTTCTGAGGAGATCATGTTGGATCTCGGTATGCGCCAGTCTATCAAGGTTGCCACGTCGTTGTACGGAGCCAAGCTTTAAACAACTGAACCCAAGACGATACGCCAATTGCATGATCTCTTTCATGAAAAATAAAAGCTCAAATTGTATATAAGCTTCACGCGTTTCTGATTGACCTCTCCTTGTGTCTCGCGACAACAGTCACCTGTCTATTTCTTTGTTTTCTTTTCGCTGACCTTGTATTTCTCGTTCTGAGCGCTTCAACGTTGGTCACCATTGTTCGTTTGTTGCATCGCTCCTCATGCTCCCCGCCCTCATTACATCTCTTTGACAGCAGAAGGAACGATTTACGCCTCAACAACCATCGGGAAAAACAAGGTGATAGCGACCAACTAGCACCCTCGTAGAAGTAACGACAATAAACAACGACCTACGAACAAGTGTCGAATGAGAGCCGTCTTCTGTCGAGTGTCTATTGTTCGTCCCTTGTGCCTTGCCGCCACCAACACCAGAATCATCGCAACCACGAGCACCCGTCAATTGACCCGATTCGATACTATTCCCAGGAGCACAGTTTGTAAAGCCCTCAGCAGTTACCTTTCTGCGACACCTTCAAGTCGGCATTTTTTCTCTGCGAGCGTTCAGCACCGCCTGGTCCACACTAGTACTTTTATTTCGAACCGCTCAAGGATATTCGCATTGGAAGGTCACGCCAACACCTCGACACCCAACGCCGGCGCGGCACAAAAGCCATCGGAGGGCACCATGACAGCCAGTATGAGTACCAGCAATACCCCGTTGGTTTATTGCTCACCAAAGCGGAGGGCGTCGTGCGAGCTAGTACCAATTGGATCAGAGCATGCACCAAAACAGCGGATCGTGCCTGTCAGTTACGGAACCAGTGTGTTTTTCAATCGAGCACTGTCCACCTCTGCCGGACCCCGTTCTCAGGAGACTTTACCTATTGGGACCCAGGAGGCATCGCCATCGTCGCCTTTTGCAGGATCGACAGATACGAGCTCGACGGCGGCGACAGCGGAGCAGCCAAGGGCCATGGTGATCCAATTGACGGATCAAGAGGCCGAGATCTGTGAGATTCTGGATCAAGTTGCCAAGAACTACAAGGCCAAGGAGGGCAAGAAGGTCGAGCTTCGAATTGCTGGAGGATGGGTCCGTGACAAGGTAATACAAATGGGCGCATTCTAGAGATCAATTTGAGAAACACACGATCAAGGGTTCAATGGTATGATGGAACTAACAAGATGCTTCTTATGTCGGTCGTTTTCGCCCTAGCTACTCGGTCTTTCATGTCACGACCTGGATGTTGGACTGGACACAATGATGGGCTACGAGTTTGCGGTGCGGGTGAACGAGTACATGGAGTCACTCGGGAAGAAAAAGCGGACCATCGCCAAGATCGCTACCAACCCCGAAAAGTCCAAGCATTTGGAAACGGCGACAATGATGGTTCTCGGTATGCCACTGGACTTTGTCAACCTCCGATCCGAGGTCTACGACGATAGTAGCCGCATCCCCAGCGAGATTGTAAGTTTTATTGGGACATAGCATTGTTTTTTTTTTTCTTCGCAGGTCATGCATGGGGGCATGCAACTATAGTTTTGAACCTTGGATCTAACATTGCAAAATTAATTTCATCGGTCAATTAGATGTTTGGGACGCCCAAGGAGGATGCTGAGCGACGTGATATCACCATCAACGCGCTCTTTTACAACATTCATACCCACAAAGTCGAGGACCACACCGGGATGGGGCTCAAGGACTTGCAGGACGGGATCATCAGGACCCCTTTGGAGGCATACGAAACCTTTTGGCAGGATCCACTCCGTGTCTTGCGCTGCATCCGATTCGCGTCCCGGTTCCAGTTCACGATTGCTGAAGATGCGAAAAAGGCGATACTGGATTCCAGGATCAAGGAAGTGCTCAAGACCAAGATCTCCAAGGAGCGCATTGGATCGGAGCTGGACAAGATGATCGATGACGGCGCTGGCAGAAGTACTGCGATCCGCCTGTTGCAGGAGCTTGGACTGTACGATGTCGTATTTGCGCCACCAGAGGTCAATACCATCGCAAAGGGCACTACGGCGGTTGAAGGATCCATCTGTGAGGTGCAGGACGCCTTCAAGCTGGTCTGGATCATGGAGTGGATCCTAAAGATTCATCCGGGCCTTGCGGGCGAGGACGAGGATGGAACTTTCTCCCAGCCAGAGCGGGATGTTGGTCAGGAATCGTTGTTGAAACAAACCCAAGGCACCCCAATGACCAGTCATCTCTACCCTATCGTCACCTCAGAGCCAGTGCCAGGAATCCCATACATCGCCCCAATGGAAGAGCCCTTCCCCGAGCGACTGGCTAAACGGACCATGATCTTGTCATCCATGTTGTACCCCTACAGAGAGATGACTGCGACCGTTAACAAGAAGACCATCCCTGCTGGATCATGGATTCTGCGGTACGGTCTCAAGGGGAGGAACGTCGAAATTGATATCGTGACCAAGGTGATGGAGAGCATCAAGGCGGTCCAGGGAAAAGTCGCCTCGATTTCTTTAGATATCCCCCAAGACCAGGAGTTGTTGAGGAAAGAGCGAGTGGAAATGGGGATGTTGATTCGGGATATCGGATTCATCACGGTCATAGGAAAGAAGTGGCGGTGTGCGTTGCTCATCGGCCTGGGAGTTGAACTGATCGAAAAGTTTGACCTTCTTAAGCAAGGCATCCTTGGTAAGTGGCGTTTGGAAGATATTGACGACGCGCTTGATTTGATTTCATTCATGGATGCACGTTTATGCTTGTGTGTGTGTTTTCTTTTGGGCTGTGCTAACGTCTGTCTTTCTTTCTCGTGACTGATCATAGATGATGAAACGAAGGTCAAGATTTCAAAATACAACGCGTTCCTGTCCAAGGCAGAGGCGTACCAAATCGACCACTGCTTCTCATGGAAATACATAGTCGACGTATGTATCTCGTCTCGCTTGAATGTCTTTTCTTGACTTTTGATCATGATGTCAATTCCAATACTAAACGCGCGTTCTCTTTCTTTTTGCGGGATCGATAGGGCAAAGAAGTCACTCAATTGCTTAAAGTCAAACCAGGACCAAAGGTCACAGGATACCTTCAAAAGATCATGCAATGGCAACTTCAACATCCTCATTCGTCAAAAGAAGAGTGTCAGGAATGGATTCGGGAACACCCAGAGCAGTTTAAATAAAACAACGCGGATCTTTTTTCAAACTTTTCAATTTCAAATTTCCTGGGTATGAGGGCGTACGGACATATTGCCTCCACCTGTGGGGTGCCCTGAGAGGGTCCCCCCCCCTCGATTTGGACGGAGAGTCGGGAGAACGGACGACCAACTTTTTTTTTCTAGTGTGCTGGTTGAGGCTTCTCTTGTTTGACTAACCCCTGATGAGAGGCAATGTGCAGTTTCAAAAGAACACAGTCAATGATGCCCCGTCACTCCACCTCTATTATGGACTTGGACATGCAAGGCCGCGCTTCATCTACGTCCTCAACGGAACCGCATATATCAGCGACGACCGATATCCTCCTCTTAACCGAGTAGAGAACTAGCACCGTTAGAATCCAGACAAAGAATGAGGAAGCGCATTTTGCGATGATAGCGGGAGAGCCCGTGGTTCAGATTGGGATGTTTATGATGAATGCTTAAGAGGAAGTTTATGAGGCCTATTGGGGATTATCGCGATGGGGTGAATAGGTTTGAGAGGGGGAGGACGTGGAACTCGAATGGTGCTTCAAAGTAGTATGTTGTTCTCCTTTACTCCTTGTACCAAACGTATCTCAGCACCACTATCAGCTATCAGCACCACAATGAATAAAAAGCATGCGCAGCATTCAATGATCAAAAATAAGACTTGCTATTAATTGGCGCCATTGGCCTTCAGTAACAATTGAAAGGCTACCATGCTTAATGTTTCTCTACATGATTTTTTTTTGTTATGGACTATGTTATTTAAGCATCACTACCCTTGCAACGTTGAGTGAGCAATCGCTGATTGGCTGAGGAGAGACCAATAGCATCGGCAAAAACGGCGTCCGAGGTAACTAGAACAGGATTTCCAGCGCTCCAAACCAACTGGACCAACCATGCATCCGACGACGCCGACGTCTCCACCAGTCTCCACACTTGAAGAGACCCATTCTCGCATCCGATGCTAAACTCTAGCGTGTCAGGTTTCCAAGCAATGCTGTTGATCTTTCCAAAGATATCTCGGATACGCACCGAACACCTCCACTCTCCTCCTCCTCCTCCTCCTCCTCCTTCCGCCGACGTGTAAGCGACGAAATTCCAGAGACAAATCGAGCGAGGCAAGCCTACACTCATCCATTGGCCACAGGACGAAAACGCAAAACAGTGACGTTCTTCGTTGTCCTCTAGCGGTTGTTGAAGTTGCCCGCCCTCCGCGTTCCAAAGCTTAACAGCACCACTGAAAAAGTCTTTAGAAGCAACCCTCAAGCCATTAGGTGAAGTCGATATTGCCCAAAGTTCTATATCACCGCCAGCATCCACAACGACTCTACACTCACGACTGTCCAAATCCCACGCTCGAATTGTTCCATCCCTACTCCCCGACAATATTCCATGGCTGTTCGGCGAGAATACCAAACAAACAGCAGAACCGGTATGGCCTTCAAGCACGCGGTCCAGTATCCCTGAACGAGCGTCCCAAAGTCGCACTGTCTTGTCCTCACTGCCCGTGGCGATCCAGCGGCTGTCAGTTGAGAAGGCCATAGCGGTCACCTTTTCTGTGTGACTGAGCAAGACAACGTCGGCCTGACCTGTTCCAATGTCCCGCACAGTGACGACTCTGTCGTCCATTCCAACTGACGCGATTCGGAGACGATCCGGGGAGACCGCTAGGCACTTGACAGGCTTGTTTCCGCAAAAAAAGAAAGGACCAGACTCTCCAGATCCTGCATCATACTGCCGCACTGCTCCCGACTCGGTACCACAGAAGAGAACTCGACCGTCTGGAGAAAAAAGTAAGCTCGTCAACGGGTCGGATCCGCCCTCCATGTCCATGCCTGTACCCAACGAGCTCATGTCCCAGAGTCGAATGGTTTCGTCAAGACTACATGAGGCAAGCTGGAGTCCGTTTGGCGAGAAGACTACTTGGATCACTCGATAACTATGGCCGACAAAGACAGATAGGAGCGATCCTGTTGCTGCACTCCAGACCTTCACCGTGCCGTCCCAACTGCATGTGGCGACCCATTGGCTGGTCGGCGAAAAGCTCACACACGCGATACCGTTGCGATGAGCCTTCCAGCTCCTCGTTGGCTTGCCGGTAGCTGCATTGTAGAGCTGTAACTCCCCATTAGCATGCCCTACGGCAATCTCTAGGCCTCCAGGAGAGAATGCGACGCTTTTCATCTCTCCACTTTGACTCTCCCAGACTTCCCCTGGCTGTTCAGTCTGTGTGTCAAAGAACCGGATCATCTTATCGTCGCCAACAGACACAACCGCATGTCCATCGGGTGAGTAGGAAATGCTACGAATCCAATCAGTATGACCGGTCAAGTTGAATAGATTAGCGCCTGTCTGAACATCCCATAGCCTCACGGTCTTGTCCTCCCCAGCCGAAGCGACCTGCTTGCCAGAGGGTGAAAACGCCACAGTCAACACACAGTCGGTATGCCCCTCTAGAACAAAAATGCATGAGCTACTCTCGCAGTCCCACAATCGTACTGTCTTGTCGTAGCTGCCTGAAACAAGTTGGTGACTGGTTGGCGAATAAGCAATGCTCATAATACGGTCTCGATGCCCTCTAAAAGTGTGAGTCCTTGTCCATGTGAAGGTTTCGTAAATGTTGATGCCTCCTCCATAGAGACCTACAGCGAGAGATGATCCGTCAGGCGAATAGGCACACGAGTATACCTCATCATCCTCCTTCAGGTACGGCAACTCTCCAAACTGAACTCCCTCCATCCACGCCCTGGTGAAGTTCGCCTGACGAATCCAGATTTTGGTGACGTTGACACCCGTCAAGTCAGTCTCCTGCAGTTGTGCCAAGTCGAACTGGCCGCCAGACATGTCGGCTGCGGGAACTCGAACACCCCGAAGATCAGCTCCGTTGAATCGCACTCCTGCCTTGACCAAGATCGTGATGGCGTTCGCCGCGGCTCGAGCTGCTTGGCTGTCGGTCTTGGACTGCTCAATGATGGCGAGGAGCTCGTCCTTGAATCTAGAGTCCAACTGCACTCGCTCGGCCAGAAACTGGATGATCGAAGGCTCTACGACAAGGTTCCTATGAGACAGCGGGTGGGCGCTAATGGTGGGTGAGGTGGGTGAGGTGGCGGGGGTTTCGGAATGGACAGGCGGATCAAATTCATCATGCTCTTTGGTGGGCCCACAAATGGTGCAGGCGAAAAAGTACTCCAGGATGGAGCGATGGACAAAGCGGTACTGCGTGCCGACTCGACTGAGAAGGCTGGCACCACGGAGAAGACTCGTCTCGCAGTCCATGCTGAAAAAGGCCGCTTTCCAGGAAGATTTGTCACGTTTGTTGATGTAGTCGACAACAGGGCTGCCGTCCTGATGTACAAAAATCGCAGCTGCCAGATCCTGTTGAAACTTGACCCCACTCTGCTCGAATCCGGCCTCCAACAACTCCTCGAAAGCCATCTGGTTCTCCCTGTCCAGTCTTTGATCCTCCAGACGGCGCTTGTTGACAGCCATCCATTGTCTCACAAAAGTGTCGTACAGCTCAGCACGAGTGACCCGAGGCTTAAAGAGGTCGGTTTTCCCTTGCATGACCGTAGGAAGGGCCTCCAGTGACAGGGTAAGGAGGAACGGGTTTCTGACTAGATCCATCAGATTGGGGATAGCCTCTAGCTTGTCCATGTAGTCCTTCTTGACCCAGGTGCGCGGCTCAAGAGGAACATAGTGCTCTACATAGTCCTCGATTTGCTCTCTGGTGAATGGGGCGATGACGGCTTGCTGGAAAAGATCGTTGGCGACACGAGTGTACTGGTCAACCGCCTTGGGCTCAAAGCGACTCCGATAATCCGGTTCGAGATACTGCGTGCGACAAGTAATTAGTAACTTGACGTCCCACTGCCCAGATCGGTTGAAGAGGTTGGTGGTATGCAGATTGGATGTAAGCTGGCTCTCGTCGTATCCATCACAGATCAACATAAACTGGCGGTCCAGCTTCAACTCACGGATCTGGTCCTCCAAAAGGTTATGGGTCCTCAATTGCTCCGCAACCAGATCCTCCTCTGGTCGCTTGAGGGACGGCAAGTTGATGAAAAGCGGGATACGGCCTCCTGCCTTATACTCTTGCCAGAGCTCGTGTTCCAGGTGTCGATTGAATGTGGATTTTCCCACTTCTGAATCTCCCAGAATCAGCATCACCTGAGCGTCGCCGGCCATAAAATGTCTAACCTTGTCCATGAGAGGGAACAGATTGTCATCCGTGTCCTGGAGGCTGAGTTTGGCCATGGGGTCGATGTAAACTGCCTGCTTGTAGTTGGCAATCCTCATCGACCTCAATACGTGCAGGTCGTACTCGAGTTTTGGGATTTCTTGGACCTTAGCAAGAAGCGGGGAGGTTGAAGGCAGAGGGAGGCGTCTGCTCAGCGAAAAAAAACCAGGACACTCGGTGACACCGCCCTTCTTCAGGTCTAGTAATAAAGCAACAGCGCGATTCTTGATAGAGTCATCCGACATCCCCGAGATCTGGACAAGGATGGTCAAGATCCAGCGCTTGACATCGACATGCGGTTTCCAGTCAGCACCACTCCTGAACAACTCGCCTAGAAAGTCGACGGCCTGTTGACGGACAAGAACATCCCAGAGCGGGTCGACTGCAATCTCTCCGATCTGGCGGCAGACTCCCCACTGAAAGTTGGGGTTGTTGCGACAAGGCGCCTGGCTGACGACTATGTTAAAGTCTGAAAGTCGTCCCTGGCGGATGAAGAGAGCCGTTCCTTGAAGGGCGAGGTACCACGAACGCTTCTTCATATAGTCGAACTTGTTCTCCGACGCCCGGTCGGCCCCACCAGCACCAACACGAAGGGTCTCCACCATCTCCATTCCAGTGCTAATAGCTCCCACAACCCCTGCACCGATCTCCTGAAGACTCTCGATACCTTTGAGGAGCCCCTCTGGATCCAACTTGAAAACACTCGACACTGTGCCTGCGCCTGCCGCTGCAACCTTGGCATATCTCCACAGTACCTGGAGCGGAGTCTCGTCGTCGGGTGCATACTGGAGGGCCTGGTAGGCATACATTGCCTCGTACCTCTGGACGACATTGTCGCTGTTCCACAGACCGTCCAGGAGCTGCAGCATCGGCTGATGGTCTCGTTCACGGTTCAGGTCCTTGACCTTTCCAGTCACCATCACATCAAGAACTCGAGCGAGTGACAATGTCAGGTCCAAGGAGTGGTCATTCGTGCCAATGTGGGTGATCGAGAGCTCCTTGGAGAGAACAGTGGCGATTCTAGCCAGATCATCGTCGACGAGGTATCCAGCGGAGGCGCACTCAACCAATTGCACAAGACCTAGGAGCAGAATGACATCCAGCGCTGTTGTCTGCTCAAACTTGGAAATGAAGCATGAGAGCAGGCTGCGGTATGTGTCGCGGTCAAGGACGGGACCAACAAGAACGATCTCGGTGACCACATCAAATGCCTTGAGTGGGTTGTCAGCGAACGCTCTGACCAATTGCTCAACAAGCCATTGATATCGGCCATGCGAAACGAGACCGATGTCCTGAACCCATTCCTTCTCCTTGTCGCCGAGGGGCGAATCTTGGGAGACATCGCTGTCCGAGGTTAATGGTAACGGTCCTGGAGCCTTGGAGAGGAGACTGCAGCAGTAGACAAGCTGCTGGGTCTTGTCAACAAGTGAATGGGGCTTAGGCAAGTCGGTTTTGTAGATGGGTTTGATAACGTTTTCGGGGAAAATGTCTACGGGGAGGGCTCCATTCGCAGCAGGGCTCGGCTGCGGCTGGGTAGCTGGGACAATGAGTGGCGTGGACGACATTTCAGCGAAATGTGCTGGTGAGAGCCGTATCGACGAGACAGGTACGGCGTCACTGTCAGGCGCACCAGACTGGATGCGCTGCCTATCGACAGTTATGTCTGGATGCCCTAGAGGAGCGGAGGAAGGTGCGGGAGGAGGCGAAGGCGAATTGCCTTGGGGTGAAGAGGAGGACATGGTTGCAGCTACAAACATCAAGTATGAAGGGCGTTGGTTAGCTTTGTGTGTCACGCCCGACGACTTGTTGGGAAGGACATACCTCTGCGAGGTTGAAACGAACCTTTTTCTGTTTGGAGGGTTTTCTTGTTTTTGTTGGGTTGTGGTTGAGGATGAGGATGAGGTTGAGGTTCTTTACAAAGGATTACGAAGACGGGAAGGTATGTGTCTGTGTCGATGGTAGTGGAGTTATGAGGTGGTGAATGAACAAAGGCAAGGTGAATGCACATGCGAACAACGTCGAACCGAGAATTGTGAATAACGAAAGACAAAGAGAGAGAGAGAGAGAAAGAGAGACGACGGTGGTGGAGGATTGCGGATGGTAGCAGGGGAGGAGGATGACAAGGGGTGAGCCAAAGAGAAAAGAACGTTATCTCTTCGCCTTTTTGCCTATATCCTCTTCTTGCTTTGCCATGGTTAGGACCATTCATGCATGCACGCCACTCCAACTTGACTTTTCTTCCCTTCGATTTTTAGTTTGCATTATCGAGCACAAACAAGAGAACCCAAACGTCAAAGAAATCTGGAGCACAAGAGGGTCAGGGTGTAAAATACGTATTTCGGTGGCAGCAGCTTGGCCATGTACAAGTATCCACAGCGCGCGTCTTCTTTTCAGGCACAGCGTTGGCTGCTCATCGAGCTTGGTGACGATGAAATGTTGCTCAGCAGCAGGGAGAGAGAAATCTTGTCGTCTCTTTATCACGTAATGTGCCGTCGTCAATGGTGACCTGTATTTCAAGCGCTATGATTGCTCAGGACTTTCGACCATTTGTGCCTGGGACCTGTCCTTCTGTTTGTTGGTCAAACAGAAAAATATTTAAGCAGCCGATTCCCGCAAAACTCCCCTCTTCATCTCTCATTTCAACCATTTCCCTTTCTCTTCTGTTCCTTTGTGCCCTCTCATTCACCTTCTCTCAGTGCGGCCGCAGAAAGGAAATTGCTATGATGTCGACTCTCCTTCCTCTATCCACATGATCGTATCGCCTCACAGTGGGTTTATTACAATGGATACAAATGAACTCCCACATTCCATTCAAAACAAAAAATATTTTGAAGGACTGGCGGAAGAAACTAGCATGCACCTCGTGGTTCTGCTCCATAGCCTCTAAAATACTTGTTTTAGCGTCCCTGTCCGTTTGTAGGGCATCACTAAGAAGACATGACTTTCTGAGAGGCGGGGAGATGCCAGACTGGCAAAACTCGGCTCGTTGCCTTTTTGTGGTCTTGTCTGAATGGGTCGGGAGTTTCTTGGAGGTGGGCTACTATCTGTAGCGGCAGGAACCTCTCCGTACATGCCTTAGTCGACATATATTGGGCGTGTATTCTTAATAGCACTCTTGAATGTTGAGGCCACGGATCGGAGCCATGTGGGATGTGGGATGGATGGATGGATGGATGGGCCTTGATTAGCTATGCCTTTTTTGTTCAATGCACTGGTGCTAGCTATTGCTTCGGAGAACCGCGATCCTCTTGTAAGCGTGTTTATAAAGTCTTCCCAGGGTTCTTCTGGCTCTTGGCACCACTAAGTTTCCATATTTTGTTTTCGTGTCTCGAACTTGAACCGTCATCCGTGTGGTCTTGCCTTTCTCCTCTTAAGATAAATGAAGGCTGTTTGTTTCTTTGATTCCACATCAACACCACAGACATCCTAGGGGCGTCCAGATGTAAAAGGGACAGTGCAATGAATGCGGATATATTGGAATGCGTGTCTTGTGTGCTATGTATAATGTCGGTTGTGGAGAATGATCTTTTGTATATGTTTATGCTTGTGCTGGCAATGGGGTTTGCTGCGGAAAAGTTTAGCGTTGAAAGATTAGGCGTCGACGGGCTCCACACGCTCGGCAGCAGGGTATCGAACAGCGCCCATTAGCGAGTTCCACAAGTTGGATGGTGCCAAAGAAGCCAACAACCCAGCCGAAGCACTGCCACTGGCGCTGTCCTGTTCCTGCTCTTGTTGCTTCTTGGCGGCAGCAAGTTCAGCCTTCTCCTTCTCTAAGATAGCCAAGTTCTCGAGCTGCTCCTTCTTGGTCAAGGGCAGACCCTCCAACTGCGAATCAAACTCTGCAAAGATCTCAATGTTGCGCATAAACGTATCCTTGGCCTCCTCAACGATCAGCTCCCGAACCTCATCCTCCACCTCGATTTGGTTCAACCGCTTCCGGAACATCTCCTTGAACTGGTCGTTATCCTCAATCAGCGCAAAGTGGTAGAAGGAAACACCCTTGTCTTCAGGCAAGTCGTTGTATTTCTGGAGTCGTTTGGCCAGGACCTGTCCTCCTGAGAGGTCTCCCAAGTAGCGGACATAGGAGTGAGCGACCAGACGTTCGGGGTGCTTAGAGGAAGCGCAGTTCTGGATGGCAGAGATGTAGGACTGTTGGGCGGGACTGATGGGGGTGAGGAGTTGACGCCAGTCGGGGCCGTTGAAAAATTCCAGGTCTTCCTCGAGGGGCTTCTTGCGCGAGAGTTCCTCTGGGAAGTAGATGAGTGCCAGTTGGGGGTTGTCCTTGTGGTCGTCTAGTGCCTTTTCCAATGCGCTATTTTTTCCAGAAGTGATTTGTAAAAGGAATAACGGTTGGTCAGGTACGGTACGGGAGAGAGCGGAAGAGGTTGGAAGTGGAGGGAGGATGTCCATGTAAGAGAGAGCGGGTGAGAAGGAAGGGGAGTGGCGTGCTTTCTTTTGGTGGGAGCGTGGGTATATATGTTGTTGAACTCGGTCATTTGACGTCTGTGCGAGCAGCGGGAGTGAAAAAGTGAGCAGGAAAAAGGAGAGGAAGGGCGTTCATCTGTCCAAACCAGCCTTCTAAAGAAACGTTCTGCGGTAACTTGTGTTTGTTTCTTTTTATCAGATTTTTGCACCGCCTTTGGATGTTATCAGATCCTTTTTTGTTGCAATTGGTCTCTTGCCCTCCCTTCCCCCTTTTCTTGTGCCTTGGATGGTCAAACAAAGAAAACTTACTTGTAGATTTGGTAGAGGGAGACAAGGAAACGACCGTAAGTTGCAGGAGAGACTTCACCCTTGAAGAAGTACCTATTTCAAGTGCAACGAGATAACAGTGATGGTTAGTCGTCAGGTGCCGGGGGGTGATAGTATAAACGTAGCTTCCCTGTGGTCAGGGGGGCTAACGGATGGGTTGGGGGTGATGAAACAAAAAGTGGAGTCTGGCTGCTTGTCTGGCCAACATACTTCATGAACTTGGAGCGACCGGCCTCGGCGTGGAGGTACTTTGTGCTTTCTTTGAGCTCGACAGCGAGGAGAGTCATTGTTTCTGAGTTGTGGTTGTTGTTATGGGTGAGTGGTGGGTTGCTAAGGGAACAGAGAGAGGGAGAGAGAGAAAGAATAACGATGGCGTAAGGGCGTGCATGCGGTGGCGTTATCTGTTTACAAGTCACCACCCTTAATGAAAAATCGAGATAATTGGACGTTGAGCAGAGGGGAGGGCGACATGATTTCTTACCTAGGGTCGACAAAGTTTCCTGGACTGATGTGGGTGAGTGTGAGAAGAGTGGAGTAGAGTGGAGTGGAGTTGGGGGAGATTGAAGAGAAGTTTTGAAAGAAAGAAAGAAAGAAAAGGTTGGGGGAGTGAAGGGTTTATATGAGCGAGAGAGATCGACAGGACAAAGAGTTGTCAGTGCAGAATGCACAAAGCACGTTAGCCTGGAAATGAGAAATGAGGAGTGTTAGTGACTGACTCCAAAAAAAGGAGAAGAGAGACGAGAAAAGATATGAAGAAAAGTTGCTGTAAATTCTCCGATTGGTTGGTTTTGCAAGGCCTTTCACTTATGTTTTCTTTTGATGCATACGTGCGAAATGGTATGGATGGGCAAGCATCATCATCATCATTTGTCGTAGCTATTTTCTCACGTCTTGGCGTAGATTGCTCATACGTCGAGACCTGCGGGGTCCTGACCAAGGCATGACCCCTCTTTTTTTTTTCTCACCCTATGTTCGTTCCATTCCTTGGAAGGTCTGGGTCCTCCACCTGCATGTTCTATGATAGTTGACTAGAAAGAGCAATGGGTCGCGTACAAGACAACTTTTAGGTGAAGGCGATGCCATAAAGCAGATATCGGTTTCTACGGCTCTTCCTACCAACTTCAGGTCAATGATAGCTGAGCACGTCCAACCAAGTGTCCGCGTTTGAATTAAACCGTTGCTGTTGGGAGCCTTTGGGCAATTATTTTGTATGCCGCTCAATTAGAGAATACACAGTCACTTTCCCACCAGTCTGCGCTGAAGTATGTGTTCCGGTTACTGAATTTTCCCTCCAAACCTCACTTTTCCACACACACACACCTCCTCCTCCTCTCCTCCCAAACCATTCGGGATGATTCGCCTCTCATTGCTCACCCGCGGACAGCCTCTCAACCAGGCACGCTGCTCAATCCCCACACCCTCCACCCGCCGCACATTCACCCCATCTCTCCTCAACAACAACAACAACAACATCCGCTCATTCTCGACTGCTTGGACCTTGCACAATGCTTCGACAGAGACGGTTGCGGCTCCAGCAAAGCCCTTCAAGGTTGCTGTTATTGGAAGTGGACCTGGAGGATTCTATGCCGCCCACAGGATCTTGAAGCACGTCCCTCAGTCTTCAATTGATATGTTTGAGGCCCTCCCTGTTCCTCATGGTCTTGTTCGGTTTGGTGTCGCGCCTGATCACCCTGAAGTCAAGGTACGAAAATATCCATAGATCAGGTCTGCGCAGTTGACCCTATGCTATTTTTTGTCCTCCGAATTTTTCCACTCACTTGCAACACATTATCTCTCTCTTTCTGTCGTGTTTTGCAAAACAATGATAGAATGTCATGCACACATTCGATGAGGTCGCCGAGAACCCCAACTTTACGTTTATCGGCAACACAAGCGTCGGTACCTATGTCACCCCTGGATCGAAGAAGGCAGATCTGGAAATCTCGGATCTTCGCCCTCATTATGACGCTATCCTATTGGCCTATGGAGCTCATGAGGATCGATTGCTGGGCATTCCCAACGAGCAGTCCTTGAAAGGTGTCATGGCAGCGCGTTCATTCGTCGGATTCTATAACGGCCTTCCTTGTGAGCAGGATCTGGAGATGGATTTGAGCAAGGCAGAGACTGCAGTTGTCATTGGACAGGGAAATGTTGCGTTGGACGTTGCTAGGATCTTGCTGACGCCTTTGGAGGAGCTCAAGAAGACTGATTTGACGGAGAGGATGATCAAGATTCTGGAAAAGAGCCGTGTCAAGCACGTCCATATCGTCGGTCGCCGTGGTCCCCTCGAGGTAATTTGACGCTATAGTACTTTTGCTTTCATTCGTGAGGGGTTGTATGGTGCAGGGGCGTAGTGGTGGAATGGCAGAAGACTAACACTCGAATTCGCTCCGATGATTCAATTAATTGTAGGTGGCATTTACGGCCAAGGAGTTGAGAGAGATGCTGCAGCTTCCCGACACAACCTTCCACATGGACCAAGAATTGCTCGCCTCAGAGATGGAGCGCGCCGGCAAGACGCTGGAAAGACCTCGAAAGAGACTGATGGGTCTGCTCGAAAAGGGAATCAAGGAATCAAAGCCCGACCAACCCAAATCATGGACCCTCCAATTTCTGCGCAGCCCACTAGGTTTCTATAACGACAGCGATAACCAGTTGAAGGCGATTGAGCTTGGAATCAACCGATTGGAGGGCGAGAACTCGAACAGGAAGGCGGTCGCGACGGGCGAAAAGGAGACCTTGGCCTGTGATTTGGCGTTTAGGAGTATTGGATACAAGAGTGTAGGGATTCAGGGGATTCCTTTTGATGAGCGGAAGGGTGTTGTGCCCAACATGGACGGCAAGGTTGTGGATGCGGAGCAAAATATTGTAAGATATCACTTGTTGTTCTTCGTATTAATGAGCCCTCACTCTTCGCGGGCGCTGGTGGAATGGTCTAGTAATCCGCAGTCGGTGACTCATAATGTGTTGTTTTTTTTGTCGTTTGTATTTCGAACTAGGTGCCCGGATTTTATGCATCAGGATGGTTGAAGCGTGGACCCATTGGAGTCATCGCCACCACAATGGCCGACGCATACCAGACTGCAGACACCATCATCTCGGACTGGACATCTGGTAAAGCCATGTTGAACAATGATACCTCGAGCAGGGAAGGTGGCAAGCCAGTGTTGAAGTTGTTGAAGTCCAAGGGTCACAAGGCGGTCTCCTACAAGGACTGGAAGAAGATCGAGCAAAAGGAGTTTGAGTTGGGTGCCAAGGTTGGCAAGCCAAGAGAGAAGTTCTTGACAGTTGAGGAGATGCTCAAGGTGGTGGATTAATTATGCAGACCATATATAGAGATGCCAGGGCGCAACAAAAAATAGATCATAAAACCATAGACGTTGTTGCTTGTGAAGTCTCTATTAGCATGCTATTTATTGTATGTATGTATGTTGAAGGTGTTTACAAGAACTCTGTCGGGTCTAATGAGATGGTGCGAGAGGCGGCTTTGCGGAGACGGTTCATGACAGCCAGACCCTCGTCCTCCTCGCTGATACCCTCGACAAAGATGCAGTCGACCTTTTGGTCATCCAAGTACCGCAATCCTCTGAAGAGCTCGCGTGCAACATCCTCTGGTTTGGATCCTTGACCTAATGGGAACTCGATCACGCCTTCATCTTCCCGGTCGTCCTGCAAATGTGTCGTTCCGTTCTGGTGAGTGGTTACTGCTACTGTTGCTGATGGGGTGGCTGTAGTGAACGAGGTGCGGAGGATGCCGAAACGCTTCTTGCCCTCCTGCTTCAACATTTCAATCTCCTTCAAGATCCGTCCGTACTGTCCCGTGGGAACCGATCCGTTCAACACAGGTGAATCCTCAGTCTTGATGTACTCGACAAGGACAACCTCGGCCTCTGGCGAGTAATGGCGGTATTTCATTCCTGGGGTGGTGGGTGCCTGTTCCATTGCCGCGTCCGTGAAATGCTTCTTGTAGACCTGAACCTTATCCATCCCCTTGACCTGTCGGATCTGCTCAAAGGTGACACCACCCGGACGAAGGATGGCCGGTGGGACTCTCAATCCGTCGACGACTGTGGATTCGATTCCAAAGCTGCATTGGCCACCATCGATGACCATGGGTATCTTGCCTGAGAGGTCGTCCATCACATGCGAAGCTAGCGTTGGCGAAGGTTTGCCAGAAGAGTTGGCAGAGGGTGCAGCCAGGGGTCGATCACAAGCAGAGATCAAGGCGCGTGTGATCGGGTGCGAAGGGAAACGAACAGCCACCGTGGCTTGTCCGCATGTAATCTCATTCGGGATCAAGCTGGATCGAGGGAAAAGTAGCGTCAAGGGTCCTGGCCAATAGGCCCTGATCAGATCATCATAAACGTCCGGGATGGTGTTATCCTTGAGCATGGAGCGAAGCATTTTGAGGGACGAGACATGGACGATGAGAGGGTTATCCTGGGGCCTGTTTTTGGCCTTGAAGATGCGCTGCGCAGCGATAGAGTCGAGCGCATTCGAAGCCAAGCCGTAGACGGTTTCGGTGGGCATGCCGACTACCTGGCCGGCACGAAGGATCTGGGCGGCTTGGTCGAGAACACGGCGGGTATGCGACTGGGAGATTTCGGGGACGGGGTCTTCCAAGTCTGTGGAGGTGTATGTGATTGTTGCGGGGTCGATGGTCTCCAGGATGGTCTTGAACGCTGTTGCTGTTGGTGCTGCGGCAGTGGAGCCGTTACCTGCTGCGACAGCGGCGGCAGCAGGCAGAGTGGAGTTGGTGGCGGGAGTCAAGGTGTTGGTTGTTGTTGATGGTGCAGAGGGAGAAGGATGTGTCATTGCTGTGAAGGTTGATATTAAGAGGCGTTGTCTGGTGATGGCAATAAGAGATGAGGTCTTTTGCGGGAGTCGAAGGGCGACTCGATTAAACATGCACGACTTGCGGGAAGGAGCTGAGAAAGAAAAGAATGAGTGAACAATGACTCAAAAGACAAGACAGACGTTGGCTTACATATGAATGATTCGTGCAGAAGGTGGTCACAAAAAATAAAAAAGAAAAAGGCGTCCTTTGCTCAGCCACCGATAACAGTCCAACTGATAAGGTCGCTTTACATGTAAACGATCAGCTTTTCCACGCTCACTGACTGATCCACAATCAAAATTCACACACACATTTCCTATCCACGAAGGACGTTAGTCTACTACATATTCAACGCGACGTGAAAACTAGAGTCAGCCAATGCATTGACCTAGTTAACACCAAAAAGTACACACTCGTTCTACTGAGACCATGGGGAATGGAGGGCAAACTTATGCTTTGTTACTCTTTTCCAATCAACTCATCGAACCGACACACGTCCTCCAGGGGTTGTCCGATATCTGGTGTGTCTCTGAACTTGAGACAATCAAAAAGACAGTTCGCAACGGACGTTGGAAAATAAGAAAAAAAGAAAGAAAAAAAAATGCTATGAGTAGTTGAAGACTGACCTTGTCAAGATATCTTGAGTAAGAGGAGAATGGAGGTGTGAGTGAGAAAACTTTGATCGTGCGTATCCCCTTTCGCTGCAGCGCTGTGATCAGGGTGACAAAAGAGAAGAGAGAAGAGAGGGAGTATCTTGTAAAGAGAAAGGGGTAGTGGATTTGGATGAGGGTGTTCTCTAGACAGAAAAGAAAGACAGGCGCACGGAAACGGATCATAGTTTTGAATAAACTGTGTGGGGGAGGGAGGATGTGCAAGGGCCGATCGACGTCATATTTAGCGAGAGGGGTAGCGTGCTAGAAAGGGGTATGACGGAAATGGCCTTTTGATAAGAGAAAAAAATACCCAACTGGATGTGAATGTTATGTTAGCGAATGTCGCTTATTCATTTGATGAGGTGTCAAAAAAATGATCAGCATAGCGCATAATTCCTGTGGAGGAGTTTGGATGTGCTCATAAACGGTTAACCCTGGCAAATGATTGAGTGCACAAGGACAGACAAAGGCTAATGGGACCGGACGTAGTGTGAGCGAGGAGCGAATTGTTTGTGGTAGCCAGCGAAGACCGATTGGCCACGACGGGCATTTTTTTCCGTCTTTCTTGTTTGTTCGCAGCTCAGCAGACAGACACACACTCCAAAGGTATTTCAATCTTGACTATGAATGAATAATGAGGAAAACCTTTAGCAAGGTTCAGCATCCTCATATATACCTCACCTTTTTGTTTTCCTTCCTTCTCTTTCCTCTTCTTGTTTGTATCACTACCCTTTTTTGTCCCCACATACCCTTTTCTTACACCTGTCTCGTTCTTCACAGATCGCGATCTACGCTCTACCCTCACTACACACAGACGCACGTACAATTTTTTTTCTCTACCATTCACATCACTCCTTTTTTTCTTTTTCGCCGCCTTATTACTTACCAGCCCTGCGTCAGCCAGGCTTACTCCCCATTATTCCCCCTTCATTACCCCTCACACTTGGTATTCCATAACTACACCGCTATCATGGTCAAGTTTAGTCACAGTTTGCAGTTCAACACTGGTACGTGAAAACCAAACGCATTACCGTCTCCTTTTACAGCCTGTACCTTCTCCTCTTGGAGCCCCTTTTGCCTACATATGTCGCACTGCTTTCCTTGCATTCCTTCCTTCAGCCTACACCCACTCCTTTTTCATCTCTCAATATCATCCTGGGTATCAGTTGAAGCGTAGTACTTGGTGCAAATAAGACATAGGTTCTTAGGGGACCAGTTGAGGAAAGAGCCAACACTACCACCTTCGATGAAGACCTTCTACTGCTATTTTATACCCGGCCAGAAAGCATGGCTCGATCTCCACCAACACACGACGAACGCACGGAAGATAAAAATTTTACATCCGCCTGGGAGTTTTCATCATCTCAGGACTTCCTTTTCTAGAACCCATTCGGCCGCACAGGACACACAGGAGACAGACATGGATGGATGAGGAGAGAGAACTACCAGACAGAAGGCAGAGGGGTATATAGGCAAGATTATGACCGATTACTACTGCTCGCTTGTTCATACAGGAGAATCGAACACGGAGACATGAATGCAAAAGAAAATATTGTTCAAAGGGGGCCAGGCTGGATTCAAGGGGCGAGTGATAGTAAAGAATCATTGGGGCAGAAGGCACTGGCGCTTAGCTTGGACTATTGACTGTCTCCTGCGAATAATAATGAGAGTGAGAGAAAGGACACACACGGCAAAGCATGACAAGCATTGCGTTACAAAGAGACAATATTTTCAGTCGCTGTGTTTTCCTTCCGTGCTACAGCCATTGCTTGCTTGCGGTTTTCTCAGTTCACCTTTTCTTCCTTATTTGCTCTCATATCCATTTTCTACCGCCATCTTTCTCCCTTCTTCCTCGTTTTCCTTTTCTCTCTCGCTCCTCTTTCGCTTGCTCCTGCTTTTGCTCTTCCCTCTTTCCCTCCTCCCCTCTCCTTCTCTTCTCAGCTCCTTCAAATGGTTCCACACTGTCCGACAAAAAAAGACCTCATCTGTCAAAATGCTAATAAGGGTCCTCGTTGTCATCAACCTTCCTTCTTGGCCTTGAACCGATTCTTAGTACCTGACTGGGCCAACGAGTACATCGCCTATACCAACCTCAAGAAGACCCTCTATGCCATCGAAAAGTACAATGTCCAGAATGCGATTGAAGGAGAAACAGCGGTCCCTCCTCCTCGGCTGTCGGATCTTGAACATGGCCAAGGAGGATCATCGTCATCGGAAAAACGGTCAGGATTCAGACGCTTTATCGGGAACAAGGAAATCAAGAAAGAGGCAGTTGCTGCTGCCGCCCAGGAGGCTGCTCTTCATGGCGAGAGCGAGATCTTTCCAGTAGAGAGCGCTGCATTCGAACAGGAGCTGACCAAGGAGCTCGCCAAGATCACGGCGTTTTATATTCGCAAAGACCGTGAACTGGCTGCAGAACTCGATGCGGTGGATCGTCAATGGCAGTTGGAAGAATTAAAATCGGCACCCCAGCAGGACCACGTCGATATGGAACGCCGCAAGTCTATTAACATTTTCGACGAGAAGCGCTTGAACAATCAGGAGAAGACGCAATTGAGCAACATGATGGGATGGGAGAGAGATGGGCTTCAGGACAGGGACGAGGCTGACAGTCACGAAGGTGCATTGCACCCCGTATCCCATGGCGGCGCCCAGACTGTCAATGGCACTACAATTGGCGACGGAAGCGTCCACGAGGGTCAAGGCAGCTCTATTAGCCCAGGAACCGCCATTGCCATATCCGAGGCCGACGGAAGCGAATACCACCATCCCGGGTCTCATGGCCGCATGAGCTCTGTTGGAGACTTGACCGAGATTGTCTGGAGACGCAAGAACTTGATCGAGTCAGACGACGACGACAGCACCAAGGACAAGGCCAAGAAGACCTCATTATCTTCAGGAAAGGTTCACCCCATGGACGGATCACTTGAAGCAGGCCCATCCGATTACTCCCAACAATACCAGCAGCAACCAGATCAGCAGCAACATCGGAGCTCACAATACCTCCAGGCACCCTCCTCCAAACCAGGCACTCGCCGCCAAAGCTTTGACGATTTGAAGGAGCCCCGTGTTGACTTAAGTCTTCAACGATCCACATCCCAAGTCAGCCACCGGCGCAGTTTCTCGGTGGACCCACGACGTTCATTTTCGGCTGTTCGCGACATTGTCACTGGCGGAGGCACCATCACCCGCGAGAACCCTAACCTGCGTCCATCAGCCTATGCACCTCTCACCGCTGAGGCCCTACTCCGCCGACGCCTCATCGACACCTACATGCTTCTCTCGGAGTTGAAGTCGTATGTCGCCCTAAACTATCTCGGATTCCAAAAGATTATCAAGAAGCATGACAAACTGGCCCACACCAACACTTTGGGCAATTACATGTCGACGGTCGTTAACCAGGCCCCGCCTTTCAAGGTGGAGTCTCGCCATAATTTGGACTCACAGATCCTTCGACTTCAGGCAATCTACGCTCGCACTTGCACCAACGGAAGCATGTCTCAGGCCGCCAAGGAGCTCCGCGCCCATCTGCGAGAGTACATTGTCTGGGAGCGCAACACTGTCTGGCGAGACATGGTTCAACAAGAACGCAAGGCCGAGGGAGCTCGCGCGGTCGATCCCAAGGAACAAGAGCCGTGGATAGTCTTTGGCCATGCCATCCATTTCATGAATGCCGCCGATTTTCGCCGGCTCGTCCTCGGTATTATTGGCTGCGGCATCTTTGCCCTGCTGATGAGTGTCTCTATCTTTGACACGCGCGAGCAGAACCGGTGTTTTGCGATCTTGATCACGGTGGCCTATCTTTGGGCGACCGAAGTCTTTCCTTTGTTTGCCACAGCGTTTTTGGTCCCACTGCTAGCTGTTCTCTGTCAAGTCATGCGCGACCCGACGACCAAGGAGACTCTTTCAACGTCAGCTGCGACCAAGGTTGTCTTTGGATACATGTTTTCGTCTACGATCATGTTGCTGCTCGGTGGTTTTTCTATCGCCTCGGCCCTCTCCAAGTTTGGCATTGCCAAGGCCATTGCTAGTACTGTTCTGAGCAAGGCTGGTACGGATCCAAAGTGGGTTCTTCTCGCCAACATGTTTGTCGCCACTATCTCCTCCATGTTTATCAGTAACGTCGCCGCTCCTGTCCTCTGCTTTTCTCTCATCCAGGTAACAAAAAAATAGTAGCACTGCAAACTTTGAATTGCTTACAGTTTGATCAGTTGGACCCAGGATCTAATCTATCATATCTATTACTGCTGTGTAGTCGATTCTTCGCAATTTGCCTCACAAGTCGACCTTTGGACCCTGCTTGATCATGGGAATCGCACTCGCCGCGAACGTCGGAGGAATGGCGTCGCCCATCTCATCCCCTCAGAATCTCATTACCATCCAGAACATGACCCCCGCACCCTCCTGGGGCAACTGGTTTGCAGTCTCGATCCCCCTCTGCATCATTATCGATCTCATCATCTGGGCCTGGCTAATCCTCCTCTGGCGTCCTCAGCGCGACACTCCCACCATTCCAGTCATGCGCGCAACCAATGAACCCATGACCTTCCAGAAGGTGTTCATCTGTCTCGTCACCATCGGCACCATCGTCCTCTGGTGTATTGAAAACACCTTCCAGGCTCAGCTCGGAGACATGGGTGTCATTGCCATCCTCCCAGTCGTCGCCTTTTTCGGAACAGGACTCTTGACAAAGGAAGATTTCAACAATTTTCTCTGGACCGTCATCGTGCTGGCCATGGGAGGAATCGCGCTCGGAAAGGCCGTCGACTCCTCGGGACTCTTGGACACGATCGCCCATCATATCCAAACTGCCGTCTCTGGTTTCTCAATGTGGGTCGTCTTGTTGATCTTTTCTTGTCTGACCTTGGTCTTTGCCACGTTTGTGTCACATACCGTCGCCGCCGTTATTATCTTGCCAATTATTCAACAAGTCGGCATGACATTTGCCGATCCACATCCAAGAGTCCTCGTCATGGGTGCCGGTCTTGTTTGCAGTGCTGCTATGGGCCTTCCGGTATGTCTTTTTTTTTCGCCTAACGTGACTAGAATGGTATTGACTTGTTTACCAGGTTACTTGTTTACCAGGGCGATTGCTAACGCCATCTGTCTCTTTTTCGTTCACCTTTCTTCTTTACGGTTTGTAAAAAAGGTTTCTGGGTATCCCAACATGCTTGCCATAGCGCAAGTTGACGACTTGGGCATGCATTACTTGTCAACCATGGATTTCGTCAAGAGTGGCGTCCCCTTGTCCGTCTTGGCCACTTTGTGTTGCATTACCATCGGATATGGAATCATGCTCGCAATGGGGTTCTAGGCCGCTTATCCGATGTCCTTTTTACGTTGTATTTTGTTCTTTGCATTTTGTTTTCGCTCTTCTAATGGTTCTTTCAATGTACATTACCCATTTTGCTATTTTCATAATAAAAAAGCTGTCAAAACTACACTGATATACGTATTAACCATCATGACCTTTTTTTTATATCTGAGACTGGACGCGTTTGATCAGGTGGTGAGGCACGGGTTGGTTCCTGAATGGTGTCGTACTGTCTGAGAATATTGTCGGTCGGTTGAATCAAACCTATTCAATCGTGATCTACCGCGCCTTTTTTTTTTTTCTTTTCTAGCACCATCTAGTTCACAAGTGCTGCCTATCTCTCATAGAGACCAAAGCTCAAACAAGCCACGCACTTTTTCACGCTAATAAAAAAGGAATTCCACAGCTCATTCCTTTCGTTCCACTCCTTCCCTCTTTTTTTTTCCTCCCATTCATCTCCTCTCGTTCACAAAGACATGCATTCATTCGAAAGAATAACAGTGTTTGAGATCCCCCTCTTGTTGAACATAATCTGCCAACACCTAACACCATCCGACATCCAAAACTGCTCCCGAGTCAACAGAGTCCTCTACCATGCCTTCCAGCCATACCTCTGGAGGACACTCCGCCTTCTTGGAGAATGGTACCCAGACCTTGACGACACAACTACGACGTCAAAGGAGGAGAGTGAAGGTGTGATTTTGGCTCAACAGAAACTGTTTCTGGGGAAATCGGAGTGGATTAGGAATTTGGAGTATGACCAGTGGCGGCTGGCGAGTGAATTGAACCCTGGGGTACTGTTTGCGTTTCGGGAGGAGTCTCGGTGTAGTGGTCTTTTGGAGTTGGCGACTACTTTTGTTGATGAGGAAGGAGAGGAAGACGGTGTGGACTCGCTGTTTGTCGAAGCGCCTGAGACCAACGAGGTGATCAAAGAGAGGAATGTGTTTGCGGCTGAGGCATTGGGGGCACTGGTAGGTCGGAATGTGAGGTTGCGCAAGTGTGATGTCAATCTGGGCTCGATCGATGCCTGGATCCTGCCGGTGTTGATGGAGCCATTGAAGAGTCACCCTTTCCTCCGAGAACTGCGGATTGCCAAATGGTCCCATTTCCGCGGACCGGTTCTGGAGATACTGCTGAAGCATTTGCCACCGACGTTGGAGGTCCTGTGGTTGAACTGGGAAAAGGTGCCCTTGGCTGGTCAGGACCAAGTCGAGGATGATGAGGATGAGATTTCATTCGGGCTTGAAGCCTATGTAGAGGACGAGAGTGAGTATTCGTGGCCAGAGACCTTCCCGGCCATGCGGGAGGTCCATCTGATGGGAGTCTACTCTGGTCTGAGAGGCCCGCATATCCTACGATTCCTGCAGCGGTGCCTGCACCTCCACACGTTGACCTGGCCAGGCTGGCCCATCTACCGTCCATCCAGTATGGACCCCTTCTCGTTCATCTTCAACATGTCCCATCTCCACCACCACCAAGGAGGATCTCGTATCAAGCATCTAACCTTCAACATGGGAGCCTTTGACGACAGACTCAGGACTGTCCTACCCGGACCAAGCGAAGCTGTCGAGTCCTTAAGACTGACAAGAACGGAACTCGTGTCAAAATCTGGGTTTCTGCGAGAACTCACCTTACGTTGGTGCGACACCCTGACAGTTCTCGAATTCGGACGCGAGGCGTGCGTGTGGTACATGGATACCGTTGCCATCCTCAAGACCTGTCCTCATCTGCATGTCTTTAGAGTCGAATGTGCTCGCAAACCGGCTTGTCTCTCTGCGGGGTTGTTTAATGGCCCCAATGCGGATACGTGGATATGTCGTGATCTAAAGGTCCTGGAGATCTCTTTTATTGACTATCCATACCGTTACGAAGTCGCTATTGAGGATGAGTTTTTACTTGACCCGGATGACCTGGCTTTCTTCCAACAACAGGCGTCTTCACGATCAACAACAATGACGGCTTCAGAGAAACTTCTGAGTAGACGAATGATCCGCAACATCTACCGTCAACTGGGCTCACTGACCCGTCTCCAGTCCCTAACCCTCAGTTCCCAAGGCCCCTACAGCGATTCCCAAAGCGCTCACAGCGATTCCCAAAACCCTTACGACGACTCGATAACCGTATTTGATTTCCGCAAACGACCCCTTACCAGTTTGGACATGTCCCTCGAGAGTGGGCTCTACCATCTCAAGAACCTTGTCGATCTTCGAGTGCTGAATGTCAAGGGTGTCAAATGCTTGAACATGGGTGCGGACGAAATCCGGTGGATGCAGCAGTGTTGGCCAAAACTGCGGGAGATTTGTGGATTGAAGGGTGACTTGATAGAGGGGCTGCAAGGTGTTGTTGAGGAAGGGTCTGGGTTGGTGCTGAAGTAGGAAGAATTATTATGCTTGATGTTTTTATTATTAAAGTAAGTTCTATTGTGATGCAGAGTGCGTGCGTGTTTGTGTGGGTAACAAAAGAAGAGGTATCTACAAGAAAGTGTGTTTTGAAGGAGTCGTCAACTCGGAGGGGTAGGTGGATGGGGTCATGAAAAAAGTCATCAGATAAGCGATCGTTATAAACATTATGGACATTATGTACAAAAGGGATTTGGATGGGAAGGGGTCGTTGCAGTCATAAAACAAAAGAAGAAAAAAAGGGAATCAAAGGATGCAGCGGAGGGTGACCTTGTGGTTTCGGGAGGCATGAATGGCGCGGTGGAGGTCTTCGTCAGTCTTGAGCATAACACCTTGGTCCAAGGCAGCACTAGCCTGGTTAATCGACATGGCCGACATCCCAGAAGTAGGAGTCGAAGGTGAGGGCGACGCCAAGGTCATAGAGTTTGTCGTCACAGTCCAGAGCAGATCAAACTTGTCTGGTAGCTGAATGTTAGACTTTGTCAGCTTGGCCTTGACACGGGACCGCAATTCGGGCATGGTCAAGACAAAGCTGCTGTCTTCAAGGACTTGGAGCGCAACAATGGTGTCGGCGTCCATCACAATCTTGAACGTCGTCGCCAAAGTCCCAGTGCCATGCGTCCCTCCTCCTCCTCCTCCTCCTCCCCCTCCAACCGCCGTAGTTGGAGTCGAGGGCGAGGAAGAAGACGTCAATGTCGAACAAGCTGAAGCAATGGCTGTAGGGGAAGACTGGACCGGGAACATGACCGCGCCAGGAACTGTCAGACTCGCCTTGCGGGTACCCCTCTGCGCGTTCTTCAAGATACCCACGGGCTGCTTGGTGGGAAGACAGGGTGAGTGCAGACTAACACGCTTCCTGGTCGCCGCTGCTTTGACAGACTGTCCCGAAACATCCTCCGCCATCGACGCAGACGCACTTCCGGTAGAAGAGTCGGGTGCAGAAACAGTCATGATGGGTAGGAACCCGCCAGGCGCAGAGACCGAATGGGTCATCCCCGGCTTCCTCGCTCGACCACCACCACTGCCACATTTCATCGTAGATCCACTCACAGACGACAATGACGTTGCATCCTGGTTCTTGTTACGAGCCTCAGGTGGCTGAGTCAACACGGGCACAGCACGGTCATTGGTTCCTCTATTCGAAGGCGACCTTTGACTTTGACTCTCCTTCTTATGGAAAGATCGACCCAACTCGACAGGGACAAAAGGCGAGTTCAGGGGTGACTGCAAGGACGGTGAAGGCTGACCCGACATCTTGATCAGCGAGTGCAAGTGCGTGTTGGTATCGCCGTTGCCATTTGCTCGATTCCAGGGTGCAACCAAGGTGGCGGGGGTCATACCAGTCGAGATAGACATGGACCGTGTGCTGGTGATGCTGCCGTTCCTGGTGTTGGCGGTGTTGCTACTCGACACAGACGACGATGACAATCCCGCAAGAGATCCTGGTGCCAGAATAGAGTGGTCGACGCTGTTGTTGTTGTTCCCGAACGGCCAACTAGGAGTGGTAGAGATGGATGACATGGTCTTGGAGTGCGACATTGTCAACTTTCTGGGCTGATAGTGTTGTTGCTGCCCGTCCATGTCCGAGGATGATGGGGAAGGTGTTTGCGCCTGATCGCTCGCAACAGTGTTGGGTGTGGAGCCCCCAGAGGATCCAGACATGGCCGTCGCAGATTGAGGTGTTGTCGGACTAATCGGTGAGATGGGCGTAGCACCAGAGTTGTTGCTGCTGTTGTTATTGGCAAAGGAAGGGATCCGGTTCCATGGAGGAATCACATTCTTGGATGAAAGAGGTTGCATTGTCACTTCTGGACGAAAAACGATCGTTTTGGACCGTTTCATGATCTTGGACTTTGGCTGGGTTACAGTAGTGGTCAAAGGCACCGCAGCACCGCCTCCAGAAGGCCCAGACACAGAGCCCGATCGACCTGTCGGCCCAGGGTTCGAGTCCTCTTGAACATTAGAGTCTTGTTGTTGCTGCTGTCGACTGTGGCTGGAGGAGGTGTGAGAGCGGCGAAGAGACTTGAACTTCTTGATCGTTCGAGTTGTAAGATCGCTGAGAATCTCGGTCTCAGTGCCCGTTCCCGATTCATAGCCATCTGCGGCGGGTTCAAGGTGGGAGTGACCAAGGGGAAGAGGAAACGGCGCTGTAGGCTCGGTAGGCGATACCATCACAGCATCCACATCAGTTCCTGTCTCAGTGGTCAGAGGAAGGAGTGTCGACAGACTGGGCGTCCACCCCACATCTTGAAGATCATAAGCAGTAGAACTGGGCGAAAGAGACGGAGAGGCGAGATAGGTCGATGTCGTGTTCGTCATTGTTGTAGCTGAACTCAAAGCTTGGGAATTCGTGGAGAAAGAAGTGGGATCAACCGTCGACGAAGAGGAATAATTATAGGTTGAGTGAGCATCCAGGATGTCGGCAAAAACGGGGGAGGGAATGAGTGGTGAAGGAGATGTTGCTGTTAGCGCAGATAGAGAGGAATCCATCATTGTCGTTTCCGTAACAGGTTCTCCCGTTGATGTCGGTCGGTCCTGCAACGCTTCGCGTTTAGCCGCATCTTCTCCGTTCTCTGCCTCCTCGGATTCGTGCTCAAGATCCATGTTGCTATCCTTCTCATTGTCGAACACAGTCGTTATCGCCGCGACAGAATGCAAGGCGAGTGGGTCTCGGTCCTCCTGACTAAGATGTACCTCCATATCCGTCTTCCAGATCCCAAAGAACTCGGCCACAAGACGCGAATGCGCAATGATGGGTCCGAGGGCAAAGAGCTCCTGCAGATATCGATCCAGCTCCTCCTTGCGCTGAAGACAGACGGCCTTGGTGACAAAGAGGACCAGGCGCGATTTGAGGCGAGGCAGGGTGACGGCGTTGTTGTTGGTATTTGTTGCGCTCGCGCCCCCATCCATCATCCCCTTCTCCGTGAAAGCAATTGAGCCCGAGCCAGGCATGTTGCCCTATTACAGAAATAAACCAAATATGCATTAGATGCATGAACGGCGTTATTAGTCTAGCATCTGTTAGATACCCCGTCTTCTCTGCCTTCATCAAATTCACCCCCACATAAGCTGGATGAGCATTGTGAAAAAAGAGAAAGCAAGATACGAAAAAAAATAGAAAAAAATGACTCCAGAAAATTAGCGTAACCGCGTCAATTGCATTATCCTTTCACTTTAAGTTTCCATTTGAGATACTGGCGAGTCGGAAAAAAGGGATGTGAAAAAAAAACGAGGGGACTGAGCAGAGCATTTCTTTTTTGAGGTCGTTTGGTAAGGATGTGCTTAGGTTCTTTTTTGTTTTGTTTTGTTTGTTTATAGTTGTGTTCTTTAGAGAGAGTTTCTCCGTCTCTCGTTTCATCCAGTGTGTTTGTTGTGTGTTCAGTAAGAGAAAGAAGAGAGAGAGAGAGGAAGGGAGAGTTTGACAGAAGAAAAGAGGGAGGGTGAAAGAGTGAGAGAACCAGGAGAAATGATACGAGTGAGGAATGGACCCAGAGTCTCCCTTTGTTGATACTTCCGCGCGCACACACTATGTCAACACAACAACACCCTTTTTCAAAACAGCAATTGATGGTTGCACCAAGTCGAATTGTGTAATCCTTTACTTGCGAGCACGCTCACAGCTCTCTCTTTCTTACTGCCTCTTTGATGAGTAATGAACCACAGAGATCAAGATTCTTTAGACCTCATCCGAAAGAAAAAATGATATCGCTGAAAGAGATTTGTGGATGGAGCAAGAGGCGCTTGAAGAGTACACAAAGAAGAATAAGGGCGATAGGTGATGTTGGTGGAGGCGGATGGCGAAGAGGAGGAAGGCCATTCTCAAATTCAATCTCGAAACTCACTTTTGTCATTACATACAAGACCTTGAGGAGGTGCTGATCAAAGAACATAAACAACAACAACAACAAAAAGGCTGGAGGATGCAAGTGGTCCGTTTGTTTTTGCTTTGTGTACACCGGTAAGGAAGCGCTCTTACGAGATTCATAACACACTTGCAAATAAGCAAAAGGCCGAGATCGGGGATTGTGACAAAGCGCTCACTCTCAATGGTATGTCACTCATAATAAAACCTGAAAAGGAGAAGTGGGGCGACTGCATGCAATATAATCGCAACTTACGTTAACGCAGTAGCTACTGGAGCCAAATCCTCCTCCTGAAGTCGAAGTCGCTGTTGAGGCTACATTTGGATAATCCTTTGTGTCATGCTGCAGGTCGATCCCGGCGGACGGGGCAACCATCCTTCCTGTGAACTCCTCCTCGAGCTGATCGGCAAAATCAGCTACATCCTCATAGCGCCGATAAATCTTGTACGACTTTCGAGGGATGGATGTCACGGTCCCTCCAGATCCTCCAGAACACCCTCCAGAGCTGGTGCCCATTGCTGGCCCAGCTGAAGACGACGCTGATGTGGATGCTGATGTTGACGCTGGAGTTATAATAGTCAGGTCACAGGGGCACACCTGGATCGTGTACCAGACCTTTTGGTCGGATGCCCTTCGCTCCAATTGCTCGACCGATGCGCTCAGAACAGGAGGCGCCAGCTTGACGCCAGAGTAAAATGTGGTCGTAGTGGAGGAGTTGGAGGAGGCGTGGGTACTGGTGTTGTTGTGATGGTGAGACTGAAGATGAAGACCTCCTTGAGGTAACACCACGGTGGAGTTGGAGGGCCCAGACACGTTCGAAAGCCCAACTATAGTTGAGGTGATGATGACATTATTGTTGGAGTTGCTGAACTTGGAGGCATACTGAAGTGCACCCGGGCCAATAGCACTCGTCATGTTGGAATGTGTCCTTTCACGTTGCCGTCCAATCGCGGCCTTCGCTGTCGTCGTTGTCGTCATCCGTTTCTGTTTGGGAGAGGGTGAAGTGGAAGAGGGGACGAACTTGTTATATGGAGATTGATGTTGATGTTGGTAGGGTTGCGTTTGGGATTGGGACGGGTGAGGGTGCGGTGAGGGACGAGGTGTGCTACTGTTGATTCTGTAGCTCTGGTCGCCTGTGTAAAGTCCCTGCGCCGCTCCCAAGTCCGATTGACTGGCAGTCAATGGCATGGTCGCAGAAGGGCAAAGCGTTAGAAGTGTCGATTGTGGTGGTGTAGTCTCAATGGTTGTTTGTCGTTAATACGAGGGCGGTAGGTGAAGGGAGGTCGGAACCGGTGTAAGGGTATGGCTCCCTAGGCTGAAAAATGTTTGGAAAAAAACGCGTCGCGTTATTGGGTTGTCGCAGCAGAGGATAGTATTGAACACAAAAGGAGGAATCGAGGTTGTTGAATGCTGAAAGTGTGTGTTTGTGTGTTGATGAAAAAGAGGAGCAATCAGAAAGACAGCATTCGACATGCACGTACAAGAAAAAAAAAGACGACGAAAGTGAATTGTCACGGAGAAGCAATGAGCGAAGGGATTGAGTTGAAGAGTAAGTAAGGGAGAGTGTGTGTGTTAGAGAGACAGACACAGAGAGGGAACGATGGGGTGAAAAAGGGAGGAAAGGAGAAATAAAATAAAGGGCGCAAGAAAAGGAGCAAGAAGAGCAAGAAGAAGAAAAGGAAGAGAAGGAAGGAAGGAGAGAAAGGGCGTTCAATTGCTGGTTTTGCAGGAAACGAAACAAAACCGATATGGACGAATGAAAGGAATAACAAGAAGAAAAGGAAGTACATGGACATGCACAAGCAAATAAACAATGGACAAAGGGATGGTGGTCATAAGCAAAGATAACCTTCTTCTCTTGCACTCTTCCATTGTTTGACTGCAGAAGCGGCCCATAGGTGGATGGAGGGATGGCGGGCCAGCACGAGCTGGAACATAGAGGGAGAGACAGAGTACAAATCCCATTGTCCTCCTCACCCCGATATCCCTATCCCACCAACGCAGGCCATAACCCACCCCATCCAACATCATCGGTCACACTCTCTTCTTCTAACACGTACAAACTGTCCAATTCAAGAGAGAGAGTGCAACAACAAACAACAACAACAACAACAACAACAACAGCAACAACAACAACAACAACAGCAACAACAACAACAACAGCAACAACCTCAAACTGTTTGTCTTTTGACCGAATGAAGTGGGCACGGATGTCCGCTTCTGTCACACTCTCGCCCAATAAAGGTTTGTTACCTTTAATCCCCTCCTCTCACCATCTTACCCCTGTCCAATACTAGTCGCCCCTGGAAGTCGTTCAACACGCTTTACTCTTGCTCGTTAAACGCACCTCTTTATTAGGATGCTCACTTTGTTTCTCCGTCTTGCATGGTTGTGTCTCTCTTTTTTCACAACATTAGTCTGCTAACCCCCTGGAGGCACACTTCTGTCCGTTCGATTGGAGGACTGAGAAAGAAAAGAAAGGAGGCACTCCTTTCTAGAGATGGGCGTGCCTGCGCACGATCTTCACCCATGCCTTCCAATTATCCATCGCATGGCGTGCCTGCTTCTTCTATCGTCGTCGTCGCTCATATTTTTGGGCCATCCATCCCGCTTTTTCTGGTGTCTAGATCCAACTCGATTGCGTGCCCTGTCCTGCTTGGTTCGTTTGCTCAATCACACACGTTTTGTACATATACAAGTGAATTCTATGCGTTACAGCATAGATGACGCTAATGTAGGGTAGATGGAACAAGACACACAAAGGGATAGTTCTTTTTGCTCTTGCGATAACAATTCTGAGCGAATAAAGGATAGCCTTAAATTCACCTTTCTTGAGTTCCATTCCCAATCGATGTAAGAGCCAGTGGTGAGGGAAGCAGATAGCACGACATGGTACGATGAATATAAAAAAACAAGGGCAGATGGCGATCTTTTTTTTTTCTTCTCTTTATCCATTAAAAAAATCATGCAGTGGTCAAAATAATCCTATCCACCATCCCCACAATATCCAACCCAAATTACAAGAAAGGAGAGCATGAGAGTCCTAGGTAGACTCACAAACTCCCCGAGCAACGACATTCCGATCTCCATTTTGTGTCTGCCTGCCTATCCGCCTTCTTTGGTCCTCTTAGTACAGTCGCACAGCAGTACAACGGATCAAAGCGGCGAAAAGAAAAAATCGTGTGGGACGAAAGATAGAAACAAAGAGACTCGTACAACCTCACCAGCCTAAACAAGTTAGGTTGCTCAACAAAGAGCAACATCGATGATAACGGGAAGAACATAAGCTACCGTGATGTGTACATGGTTAAAGAGAACTACTCGTTTTATTATGTTTCCTGGAATCGCAATGTGAAAGGTAGAGTGAGAGGGTTAGTGAAGAGAGGAGTTAGTGCGTGGCATGAAAGAGAGGAAAGGTATAGAAGCGTGAATGAGAGAAAGGAGTGGAGGAAAAAGATTGGAGGTGGGTTTGGTGGCAAAGAAAAGAAGCAACGAGAAGAGTCAATTTTTTTGGTGACTCCAGAGTTGCTCTTTTCCTTCTTTCCTACACACTGTCAGTTTCACATAATCTGTTATAAACTAACTCGAAGATCTTTAATTACACTCTCCAAGCTTTTTACAACATGACCAGTCCAACCTTCTCGCTTGAGATTTCCCTACACCTCCAGTTGTACAAGTAAAAGTGCAAGTAACCGTCTCCAGGCCCGAATCGGAGATCCTCCGTGAAGAGCGCATTATCCATCAAGTTCAACGCGTTAAAGACATCAAAGTCGTTCTGGCGGGCCAAGATCAACGCATCCTGCATCAATGCCGTCAGGCGTCCCTTGATTCCCTCTGCCCTGGCCTTCTCACGTTCGGCACCATCCTCAATCTTGCTCAATGCCTCGTCAGGGGTCTGAACTGCATAGTAGAACGAGTAGGCGGCGTTCAAGGTCGAGTGCTTGGGGTTGTTGATGACTGTCGAGGGTAATGAGTAGAACGAAAAAAAGTCCGTGATCTCCTTTGACTCGGGGTCCTATTTTGTTCAAACGCGGGGTAAATTACAAATGTTAGTTTTTTGTCACGATTGACCAATGGTCCAGACAGCAGGCATACCTCTCACTTGCAAGCAACAAAAGAGCCTAATCCATGCGTGCATCATTTACCTCAACGACGTAGCCCCAGACAACTCCTGGACGGCTAATTAACCAATGACGAACATCGGCTTCCTGGAAATGAGGAGCAACGTTAAAGTGGGCCGAGTACTTGTTCATCAGGGCTGCAACAGCTGCAACATCCTTTTCCTCCATGGCTCTCAATCCTGGTGTGCTGGTGTGATCATTCATCTTGTTCAACTTGATCAGACGGGCCATGGTCATGTTGCGTGCCAAATGAGAGAATCCAGTCTCGACCAACTTCTTGGGGTTCAAGGAACGATGGAAGTAGCGGCAGGTGGCCATGGGCTTGGGAAGAACAACTCCAGCAGTGTAGACTGCCTGGAAGATTCCCTCGAGATGCGTCCTGCGGGTGACCTCCTTGATCAAAACTGGAGCCAAACGCTTGCTCCTGAGCTTCTTGTGCACACACAAAAAGTTAATCTCCACCATGCGCTTGATACTATCAGGATTATATGTATAATAGTGTTGTTAGTTTGTATCACAAAGATCGGGAGCCAGCAATACGAAAAAGGATAGCAATAGGGTTACATACGTGGTATGGACACGAACATCCTGGGGGATACCACTAATGAAGGCGACGAGCTTCTTGTTAGAGGCAACACGGACTCCAATGTGCCAGGCCTTCTTCCAACCAGGAGGCAAAAGAGCCCACTTCAAGAACGCGGCCGAGTAATCAAAACGGAACATGGCATCGTCGTCCTCGACATAGTTCAATGTCAACAACTCGTACAACTCTTTGATCTCATTGTCGTTCTCAACATCCACCAACGACCACTCGAATTCCTTGGGCAAGGGGTAAGGGGTTGCGCGGACCTGATCCAGAGGGACATCGTCTTCAATGGGACCGTCAACCTCAACAACCTCGTCTATTGTTATGAAATAAAGAGAAGGTGCGTGTTAACAGAGCTTGGCCTCACACTTTGCCAACGGGGCCCTTGGTGAAGTTACCCCGCAAAAATATCACCCAAGCAACCAACAACATATTGCCATTGAGCTGATAAGTTACCATGCTTGACGACAGGCTGGGTCTTCCAGAACTTGTGCTCGTCCATTGACTTGGGTTCCTTGCCACTGCCGACGGCAGCAGCGCCGGCAGCACCACCGGCACCAAGGGCCAACTGCTGAAGGAGGGCGCGGAGTTTGTCCTGAACATCAGCGGGTGCATTAGCCAACTCTTGCTCAAATCTCTGTGCGGTAATGGCGGGCTTGTTGCCGGCCGGACGCGAGACCTCCTTGCTGTTCTTGTTGTTCTTGTTGTTGTTGTTCTTGCCGGGTCCTGACATGGCGTGTGTGCTGTTGGGTTGTAGTGATGGGAGGCGAATGTAGTAGGAAAAGAAAAAAAGGAACAGGATGGAAGAAGATGGGCGAACAGGAACGGGGCGTGAAATTATAGGTGGCTTGTCTCCAATTGAGTTCAACGTGGATGAATCTTGACAATCGGCTACTGGCTCCATATGTAACATAGCATACATCCTCAACTACATGGCTCGAGCCAGAACTATGGGCTTTCTCAACAATTGGTCATATAACCTAGAAACGATATGTGCCGCAATGTGTGCGTCTAGATGCGTGCTTTAATTTTGTTTGTACGAATATTCCAGGGTTATCAATTGGCCTTACCCAGGTTGATCTTGCGCCACTGCTGAAACTGGTTCCATTCCCATTCGTACACGTTGTCCATCTGTTCCCGATCAACGATATGCGCCCACTGTGCAAACGAGTTGTCCAGCATCCAGTCCTGCATGCCCCGGGAACGCAAGAACCGGTTAACAAAGAAATAGTACCCTACTGCAAACAGACATCCGCAGATCGATCCTGCTACCACTTGCTGCCACGTGTGATAATACAGATGGACACTAAGAGTGTGATGATGGATAAAAAGATAGAGAAATTATGTTAGAGATATTTCCATCTTCCCTCTGTTATTGTGCTTCCTTTGTTCTTCTTTCTTTCCCTATCAGTTCCTGGTAGAGCTGTAGTCCCTGGACGTTGTGTGGGTTACAATGCCTCTCTGTCTTGAAATGCTTTCCACGGAACAAAGTGAACAATCCATACCGAGAGTAGATGACAAGCGAGGACCAGATCAGAACCAAGACCGTAACAACATGGGGACTGACAGCTCCATCTGATACACCCCTACAAGCGTTAAAGAAGCAAAGATGGAAATGTTGTGAGTTCTCCGTGTTTTATCATGCCGAGGGAGGAAGGGGCAATTGAGTCGACATAGGTGCATGATCGCTTGTTGGTGCTTCCTGCAACTTACGATCGGTACATAAGGATGATCATGTAGGTGGCAAAGTACGCCATGAACTGTGAGTGACTGGAAGGCATTCCGTATCCATCTCCAAGGTATTCTATCAAGTACATCATGTCATGATAAGTAAGTGGACAGGTGAGTGTTGGCGAATGACCAGACAGACCGATCGTATGCAAATTCCTCTCTCTCTTTCCCGTTCAGCGCAACGGTTTTTTTTTGTTTGTTTGCTAGCCGATGTCCGTGATAGCCTTACCTGTGGGCCTAGCTTGTTTGACAAACCGTTTGAGAACAAAGTTGACGCATTCGTTCAACAATTGACCGACGAGCATAAGGATGACGGTGAGATCTCTTGTGGTGAGCATGACGGCGACATAACTGCAAGTGATGGCCAAGGGCGATAGAGTAAGGTGGGCAAAGATCTTTGAGTATATATCGCTGCCGTGGAGGACGTGTGTGAGAGAGAGGGATGTGAGGGTATGATGAGGGGGGAAGTTGGACTTTGTTGGTAGGATATCATGCATGACGGTATATATGTGTTGTGAAGGTCAAGATATTGAGAGTGGTTGAAGGAGCTGGGCGAAGAGACAGTTGTTGTTGTGCGTAACGGTTGAATGTCGACAGCAGAGGGGAGTGAGTTTGTTGTTGATGTTTGCGTGCAAGAAGAGGAGGAGTGAGGAATGAATGAATGAATAAATGAATGAATGTGCAAAAGAAAGAAAAGTAGAGAAAAGCTAAAAAAGTGAAGAGGCTCAGAAATAGAAAAAAAGACCAAAGAAGAAACTATTTTTGTGTGTTCTGGCTCTGGACTGAACCATGGACCTGCAATCAAGGGGAGGCCGAACACAACTAGAAAGAAAATAATTTCGATCATCATGACAACAAAGGATTTTGTCCCGCCGTGGTAGGCCAATGCGCGCGGGCGAAGAGTGATGGGACAAGACATACACGGACATTCGTCTTTCTTCTTGGCATGGTGTTTATTTTACTTTGCCACAGCCTCTGATCGATCTTTGGCCAAGACCTTTGCGACAATCTCGGGTTGGAGCTCGCTATCCTCCAAAAGCCTCCAGTTGGGCGATTGTTGTTGTCGCAGCCAGTTAAAGTCCTTTACCTTATCGTACAAGTTCACTCCCTGGTTCAGCTGAGCAGCCTATACATTTTTTGTTTTGTCGAAGAAAGCGAACTGTGTTAGTTGCCATCCATTTAATTCTTTCAATTGCCCTTTTCTTGTTCTTCAAGGTACGCCAAATACATGCTCGTTACCTCGAAGAGACGGTCGAGTTCCTCAGAGGGCAAGATTTGTCCATAGGGCGCAAATCGCATGTCGGTGCAGTCCTCAATAATGGGCTCGCTTGTCACGTGGATATAGATGTTCATGTTTGTCGATGTATGCATCCGAGACTACCAGCAAGAAGTTCAATTGAACATGTAAAAGTTAGTTACTTGGAAAACTCCCTTGGTCAATTAAACAAATAGACAGCCAAGGGATTGAAGTACCTGGTGACAGGCACCGATCAAGGTGCATCCTTCACAGTCGTGCAACAAAATACTTCCAGACACAGGTGGGAAGACAAGTGTACAGCGCTTCAAGTTCTTGACATGGATAGCACCGAGAGGAATATCATGGACCAAATTAATGGTGCAATCCGTCAAGTTGGTAAGAGCCACGTCCTTTGCTGCCCTTGATTCTGTCTCTGACACCGAAAGGGATCCGATGAACAAGTGCTCCCCTGTCCGGTCTTCAAACTTTAAGAACTGACTTTGATCTATGGTTGGTGTTGATACAGTCGGTTTTGGTGAAGCGGCGGGCTTGGGTGTGCTAGCTGGTGATGGTGTGGCCCCTGCTGTTTTCCTGGACTTGAACGAGAACTTTGCCTTGGGGACGAGTTTCGCCCGTAACTGAGCCAGTTTCTCCGACATAGACTTGATTGCCTATTAATACGCAAGTAGGGGAGTCAGTTAGTGCCTTCCATCCATTATACTGCTGGGTCTCTGCCAATGCTTTGTCCAGGCGGTGATGCTGTCTAACTTACCTCCATACACATCCTAGCGTCAAAGGCGGGCAGGATGCTGATCTTTGCAGTCACTGTCTTTTCTAGAGCATTAATCCGCTGGACAATGCTGTCGATGTTGGCCTGAAGCTCGTCTTTGGGCACCTTGTCCAATCCTTCCAGAGCCTCCTCAATGCCTACGTCAAATAACAAGGAAGTAACAGCATAGTTAGTGGCGTCTCTCTGATCTTTTCTTTTAAGATACACGGCACTTTTTATCGATTGCATGGTCTTGGTATTGTCCTGCATACTCTGTTTCTCTGGATCGAATGTGGCGCGAAAGTCTTTTGATGCTTCGGACATGACAGTGGGAGATGGGTGAGATGGTTGATGTGAGGGAGGTGTGAAAATTGAAATAACTTGTTCAGGGGCGGTGACCAAGTTTATTTTTTAGTTTTGCATTTTTTTATTTTTACCAATGGATTCCCTTTCTTCTTCCTCGTCTTCATCCTCATCCAGCAACCAACATCGACAAGCATGCAAGCAGTACCACTACGTGTCCAACCAGCGAGCCGTCACCGTCAAGGTTCTTGAGGTACTGCATTCCATCCTCAGCAATAGTGAACAAAAACCAGCCAGACACCTTCGTTGAATCTGTCATGAACCTGCTACCCATTCAGTGACTGACGCCTGTTATGATCCTCTTTCATCGGCTGTAGCTACTCGACGCAGACTTTGGTCTCTATGTCTGGCCGTCCGCACTAGTTCTAGCAGAGTTCATATTCCATCGCCTCGATATGTTCACAGGAACCACCGAAAACCCAAAGATCATCCTTGAACTTGGAGCAGGCACCGCACTACCCTCCCTCTTGCTCGCCAAGACTACGACTCCAGGATCTACGGTTCTCATCACTACAGACCGACCCAATGCGCCGCATATTCTGGATAACATTCAGCGAGCTTACCAGGAGAACCATATATCATGGTCAATGGATCAGCCACAGCAACAGCAATACAGGATTATGGTGCGGTCTCTAGGCTGGGGTGACTTTACGCTGGCGAGCCCTCGTAACCCTGATGGTGGTCTACTACAGCTTCTCAAGGACGTCTCTCCAATTGTTCAAGTCAAGGGAGGGACCAGTAATGCAGGAAATATTGATCTAATCCTTGGGAGCGACACCTTCTACAACCCACCAGGTACCTTCTTTTGGAACTCCTGATGGACGTCCGCACTCTGTTTTATCAATTCACCATTTATTTGCAAAGTCAATTAACACCTGCCAATTGCTTTTGCTTGCGTGTTAGATTTTGAGCCATTGCTTGCGACAGTCTCGTTTATCATCAACCGCCACAACCCAGACTGTGTCTTTTTGACGACGTATCAGAACAGGAGTGCAAAACGGAATATCGACCACCTGCTGGAAAAGTGGGGACTTGAAGGGCGAGTCATTGAATGGGAGGCATTCGATTTCGACATGAGCAAGTTTGTCTCCGGAGGGGATGCCAAGGATGAAGGTGATATAAGCATTGAAGAAAAGGAAGGCCAAGGGTCGGAAGACGAGGAAGGCCAAGAGTCGGAAGACGAGGATAGATGGTTGAGACTGGCCAAGGAGGAGATTGACCGCGCTATGAGTACACCTGAGGCCGGATCGACGAAAAAGCCAGGTCTCCTTGCCCTGGTGGACTACTCGTCTGGATCCGACTCTGAGGAGGAAGATAAGGACACGTGTGCATCAGAGGCGTCAGTTGTGGACCCAGTGAGTGAGTCTGAGGATGAGCAGGACGATACTCACAAGATGGGTGACGGCGGGTCGTTGAGCAGTGTGCATTTTTTGTGGATTTGCAAGCGTGGCCGTGGTGACGACGCGTTTGCAGCCTGGATCGGGAGCCGGCCCCAGGCAGACAGCCAATAATAAGGAACCCCCAATTAAATTAGCAGTCGCCTCTTCGTTTTGTTTCATTGTCGCACACAGAGAAACGTTCCAATGTGGGTCAGCCCAACCATCTCTTCTATTGCTCCTTCTTTTTTTCTGTTTTTCTTCCCGTTCGCATCATCATCCTCGCCGCATCATCTTTTCTTGGCCTTTTCTTTCTCCGATCGGAACATACATATACACGTAACATACTCTGCCGAACCACACCGCAACCACACCGTCGACAGAAGAACAAGAAAAGTAACAATACCGACAAGCACCATGAACTCCGATGCACCTGAAGAAGGCAATGCCTTCTGGGCCCAAAAGTCGGCCCTTGAACAGGTATGTCCTTCATCATCTCGTCAACTACATGCACATTTGACCATCAGGATGCATACAACGTTGCTTGTGTTTGTTGTCCAGTTGTCATCTGGAAGGACCGCACGTATAGGAAGGATTGATTACAGTCAAGGAAGCGTGAACTAGGAGGGCAGATGCATCTGAGTGCTGATCAGGATGTCGGGACCATCATCAGGTTAAACATTGCAAGATGACGAGCACAGCTCAGGAGACATACCGCCAGACTGGTACAGAGCACCGATTGCTTTTGTATTCGCGTACCACAGGACGGACGGACGTGGTTGCCATGTGAGAGTTACCTTATTAGACCATTGATCAGGAGGATCGATGATCGCAGATCCGTCAGTTGAGAACCAAGGAGCGGGAGCCAGGAAATGTCGACTGTACTTCCAAGAAGCTGTCAATTGAGCCTCCTAACATGACTCTGGTGCATCTTTGTCGTCATTATTTTCAATCACGATATTAGCGCTACCAAGCGATCCTCGACAAAGCCACACCTCACACCAGAGAGCGCTGGGCATTCACGGCAGTGGTCCTTGTGATCTACTTTATCAGGGTGTTCATTGCTCAAGGATGGTATATCGTCACCTACGCCCTGGGCATCTATCTTCTCAATCTCTTCCTGGCCTTCTTGCAGCCCAAGATTGATCCCTCGCTCGAGATGGACATGGAAGCCGATTCCGTCGAAGAAGGAGGACCCGTGCTGCCCACAAGATCCGACGACGAGTTCCGTCCCTTTGTTCGGAGGCTACCCGAGTTCAAGTTCTGGTGAGTCTCCTTTTGCTTTGCAGGCTGGTTACAGGAGCCCTATTCAAATCATGGATCTTAATCAATGGACAAGGAGAAATGACAACGTGCATACTGGATAGGATGACAGGATCGGATGATTGGTATGACGAGGAGGGGATGGCATGATCTTTCAAAATGGAACTCGTTTTTGTGCTCCCTCTTCCTCTCGCCTATCACGCTTTTGGGCAACTTTACCACGCTCCGACACGGCAACTGAGACAAGACTTTCATTTTCTTTCACAGCACTCCCCGCAAGGGAACATTCTTTGCTCATTTATTAACCGCTTATTTTTGTTTTTCATATGATTTGTCTCGTGTAGGCATTCTGCGACACGCTCGATAGTGATCGCTTTCTTTTGCACCCTGTTCCGCATCTTTGACATCCCTGTGTTCTGGCCCATCCTTCTGGTGTATTTCTGCGTCCTCTTCACTTTGACTATGAAGCGCCAGATCAAGCACATGATTAAGTACCGCTATATCCCCTTCAACATTGGCAAGAAGTCATATGGCGGAGGCAACAAGAGCTTCTCCTAGGGCAACACAGAGCACGCGATTGCTGGACTGAGGGACTAGGAAGAGTAGGAGGAGGAGGAGGAGGTTTGGATAAGAAAGGAGGTGGGAGGTAGCCTGTGACCTCTGAACCTCTTGACTAATAGACCCCAGCAACAACAATAGTAGCCAGCCCGCAAGCCAGCCCAATAACGACACAAACGGAGAAGGGCCAGAACAAACACGACGCATCAAAAAGTAGAGTTTTGATAGAGAACAATAACCATAATACAAACACTTTTTGAAGGATACGCAAATCGAACGGCGACATGGTGTAAATATGTGGTGTGTGTGTGTGTGTGTGTGTGTGTGTGTATCATAAGAAAAAGATTATCATGAGAACCACCAACCACTCGCTCACTCTTTTTCTTTATGGCTGGTTGACGGGGAAAGTGGAAATAGACAAACCTGAAATAGCAAAAATGAAAGTCGCTTCTCGTTTCACCTCCCTATTTTCAGAATCCTCCCAATTGCATTTCTACTCAGAGTGAGCAAATGTCCCATTTCAAAGCATATTCATGCGAGGGTGTGTGTGGGGCGGCAGAGTGGCAGATGACTAACCGAGCGCGAGAGATGGGGAGTGAGGGATAATGAGATGGAAAGGTTGAGGTAGAAGTAAGGGGGCAGCAGGTTGGTACATTAGAGACGCGAGCACTGGCCGTAGGACCTGACCTATTTTTCTTTACATAATTGTCACAACACAGGCCACAGGCTGCTATCCGCGACAAGCACAATCGTAAATTGGACCTAAATGGACGCGTTTGGTTCACTTTTTTTCTCGTAAATGAACAGGGACCTGGAAGGATCGATTTTGAAAGCTTGTTTTGTTGGTTGTGCCATGACGGTCCTTTGAGCGTGTGTGTGTTTTATGGAAAGGCGTAGATTGACGACGCCTTTGATGAAGGTTTTGGGTTCGAGTCTGCGCCATCATTTGTTTTCAGTCGTTTCTTTTGGTGTTCAGGGTCTCCTCGTGCTCCTCCGCCCGCCTTCTTTTTCGTGACTTGTTTCAGTGACCCATGAAGACCCTCCGTAGCGATCGGAGGACGTGTCTTTTTAGAAGTTGACTGATCCAAGCCCGATCCGCCCCTTTTCTGTTCCTCCGAGGGAATGATGGAGTGCCACGTCCACGAGTGTCTTGTTAACATAAACGTCGAGAGAGGGCTGAGGTCAGGGCTTTTTGTTTCAACGGATGATGAAAGCATGGAGAATATGAAAATGCGACGCGCAGACACGCTAATCGATGTATCTGTGGGATGGAAAAATGAAAACGAATCGTTCCTAGGAGAAAATATTGGTAGGCTAGAGTCGTTCAAGTAGGAGAAAATTGGGCACTGAGCTTGTGACGAGACAGAACCAAAACAATTGAGCGCCCACGCGCACACACCAGTCCTCTCTCTTTTATATGGTGTGCTTGGAGAATTGTTCAGGTAATAGACATATGACACGGAAAGAATGAGCACACACCCTCAAACAAACACAAACACAAACACAAACGCAAAGGCATACATCAAACCAGTGTTTTGTGTATGAGCTTGCGCTTTTTTTTTTTTTTTTTTTTTTTTTTTTTGGTGGCCCAACTTACCATCTGAGCATCTGGCTTTTTTTTTTTTTCTTGCGACATTTCTTGTATTACCATTGCCGATGGATTGGCCTCGCATTTTTCCAACCATCGCTTTTTTCCATCTAGATTTCTGGAGTGTGGGAACACAAATGCTGCAAGTGGGAGAACGCACCTGCACTGCCAAGGAAATAATAAGGCTGTGTCAATTTTCTGTCAGGGAGATGTAATGCATCGGCTGAGGGCACTTACACAAACACAAGCACACACCCCCTCACGCTAAATTTCAATTGATACATGTAGCATTCTGCTCCTTCCTCCACAAACACAGACCCGTTGCGGACCACACGCACGAACCAAGCGAGCCACACCAACGGAAAAAAGTGCAAATCATAAATTTCACCTTGCAGAGGACCACTGGGTCCTTGGTGAGCAAGAAGACATGGGGCCTCCCTTAAGTGGTAGTCTAGGCCAGCCTCAAAAACCTCACTTGGCCAAGGATGAGTTTCCTGATCAATTAATTGACTTCCAAAGGCGCCCACCTTCAACCGTCGCCTCCTCCCCTGCCCTAGACTACCCTCTAACGAGATGAGGTAACAGGAAGTAAACTCTCAGCTCATTGTTTTCTCTTTTTGTGCAGATTCATGCAAACCTTCATTTTCCAACGGCTCCTGCTACTTTTTTTTCCATCTTCTCGATTTTTTTTTGATATGCTTACTTCCCTATTTCTCCTATTTGTTTGTTTGTTTAGTTTGCTTGGCCCTTGCTCACGGTATTCGCCACCGAGCTCCTAACTGTACAAGGTGGAGGAAGAGAAAAAAAGGCCCGTTCCCTTGTGCTTACATATGCGACAAACCCCTCTTCTCCTTTTCCTCTAACCCTTGTCCCAATCCATTCCATCTTGGTTTTGGTTATGGCCCTTTGACAAAACCTGAAAGCTGAGATGTGGTAAGCAAAAGGTGCATGAACTCGACAAATCACAGATGGCACTGGGCGACGTAACGACGAAAAAAAAATTCGACCCTTACTCCCATTCGTCCGTCCGCTCTCACCCCGTTTTGAACTACCATCCTGTGCAGTACTTTACATCCTGCGTGAAAGCATAAGCGTACAAACAGGGATATCTAACAGCAATTACCGAAACTAGCGCTAGTTTGCAACGACTTTTTTTTTTGTAGTTAAGCCTTCTAGGCGACGAGATGAAAAAAAAAAAATACTTGAGGAAATAAAAAATCGACTTCACCAAAGCAGCCCATGTCCACCGGCTTATCAAACGAGCAACCGTTTTTGTTTGTCGTCAGAGCCGAATTGAGAGAAAGAAAGGGTATGAGAAGGTAAGAATGGAAGAAGGGTCAAGAAAGTGAATGCATGTAGGGTTTGAGGATAAAGAGATAACAGGGGTTGACCTCTTTTTTTTCTCCTGCATCCAACTTGCAAGGCGGACGGATGCCCTGTTGTTATTCATCCCTTTTTGGATACTGACATGATGAGAGGAAGACGGGAAAAAGAACTAGTCCCTGTTTGGTCAAAGGAAATGATGGACTGAACGATTGGCACTCATATATACGATTGGTCCACCAATTGAACATCGAACAGAGCAAGTCCGAGCTCACACTCTGAAGAACGGGAGGAAGACATGAAATGCGTTCATGTGTCCAAATCAATAAAGGGCATCCGTGTTCATAACCACCTTCACCCCCTCATCTCCTCCTCGACTTCTCACAATGTCCTCTTGTTTTTACTGTTGTTTATTGTTTGATGTCTGGTGTTTACTATTTGGATCGGGAACCATACATTGCCCTGAACTTTTGCGTTCGAGTAGGTCGTCTGTCATGGCCAAACGTGTCAACAATGACATCATAGAAATGATACCCCCCAAATATGCACCAGTCTTCACATGTATTCAAATGATCGTAGAGAGAGAAGGCGAAGACGAGCAAAAGCGGTGATCGTTTTCTTCCTAGCTAGTGAATGAAGCAGTTGATCCTACATCACAGCAAGACCTCATGACGAGACTATTCCAAGAATGAAATAGAAGTGTGCATTTTTTAAATCTGGTGACAATGTGGATCACAATCTAATAACCACAAGCCATCATCTTTAGACCGCGAAAGAACACTTCAGACAAACTTACCTACATGCAAAGGTGTGCCCACATTATGTTTTTTCTACTCGTCGAGATGAACAGGATTGATTACGACGATTGTCTGATTTGGGATGAGACTGATAAAGCTGGAAACGATGGCGATGATCAATATGATGAAAGCGATGATTGCAAATGGTGATGCGGTTTGTCGCAGTGATCGCTTCGCGGACGCGTGGAGCGGTTTTCATTCTTTTCTCTCTGACTTGCTAATTCCCTAGTCACCCTTTTGTTGTGCGTTGACTACGGCAACAAACACCCCTTGGTCCCGTCCCGACAAAACTCCAATAACAACTGCCGAAGAATAGAAAAAGAAAGGGGAGGGGGAAGAGTAGAAGTTTTTCTTGAAACGCGTCATCGGGCTCGACTTTTGAGCGAAAGAGCGAGGGTCTAGGGAGAGAGTTGAGGGGAAAGAAGAAGATAGGAGAAAAAAACAGGTGAACAAAAATGGGGCACCCTTGAAACGACCTGCGATGAATGAGTAATAGGAGAGAAAGGTGGGGGAAGAAAGGGAACCACACAATGGGCTGGAGGAGTGGGTTTTTTGAGAAAAAAAAGAAAGGGGAAGAAAGAGACAGAAAAAAAGCGTGAATCGAACCTCCTTCATCGAAGAAAAGAGGAAGGAGGGTGAAATGGATAGGGTAGAGAAGGTGTTGGATGCAATTGACTGAAAAAATAAAGTAGGAGAGAACCGCAGAATCGCTGGATGGAGAGAAAGGAGAGAAAGGAGAACAGAAAATACTAGAATTGGCAACCACTATTTCTGCTAGAAACGTGAAGGAAGAGATTAGGGTAGGACAGAAGGGATGCGTGGTGCTATGGATACCAGACCTACTCTTGCGAGACCGTTGATTTGTTGTGTAGTTTGTTGAATAAGACTCGTCACCGGTTTCCAATCGACGGTTTCAAGAAGAACAATTGCATGTGGTCAGCGCCCGGCTTTTTAATATAATACATGATGGGTATCTTTTAGATCTGGAGTCATTGAATACTTTCCCGATGTTGCCCGATCCTCGATGATGTCGGCAGATGTGTAATACTCTACATGTGGTCACTCCTCGAGGGTTGATTACGACCCCATGCAAGGGCCATGGCCACGGCAGCGTGTGTGCGTGTGTTAGTCTACGAGACTGTTCCGGCCAGCAGGTACCTCAGCAAAAACGGCGCTAGTCTCTCATTTCATTGTTCACTCTCTATGTGTGCTGTTGTTGTTTGTCCCTTTCGCTGTCGCCTTTTTCATTGATTGTCCATTCATTCATGTATTCATTCATTACAGAGGCTCGTCGTTTGTTTGTTTGTTTGCTTCTTCTGTTCGTCTCTCCCTCTCCTTTTTTCTTCTTTTTGGACCTTTTTGTTATTCGTGTCCTCCACTTAATATTCCTTATCCCTTCCTTCCTTCTTTTCCTTCCTTTTCCCTTCCTCATCTCGTTGTCCTTTTCCCTCGGTCGTCAGTGACTCCTTCCTGTCGGCTCTCGTTGCTTGCTTTTACACGTCAAGACAATACTCGCCTTCTTCGCACTATATCTTCTTTCCTTCCAATGGATTTCTTCTTTCAATTCATATATATTGTTCTCACTTCCTCTTTTACGTACTCCTCTCAACCCTCGTTGTCTTCCAGCTGACTGTTTGTTCATAGACGCTTACCCCTGAAATTGCTGTTTGTCCTTTGCTATTGCTGGTGGTGTTGGCTTGTTTGTTTGTTTGTCCACCACCCTGCTCTCAAATCTAATGTGGATCGATTGAATAACAAGCACACTGACCTCGTCTCATCCTCTCTTCATCGTCACTCCAATCCTTCTTATCCTTATAAAGTATGTCCGCCTTTTCCATGTTGTTATTTCTTCTACGTTTCCCATTTTTTACACCTTGTTCTCTGTTTTGTCTTTTCTAGTTCTTCCTCTCTCACTCATAATAAAACCAGTTTGTGCCAGTCGAACTCGCCTCGCCGTCCTTAACTCTTCCAGTATTTTCACTTTTCCACTGTCGCTTTCGCAACTCCTTCTCCATTCGATCCAACTACTACCGCTCCGCCGTTATTACGATCCCGCCCACATCCGCCCAGCATAATCAACAACGTCCTTTGAACACACAAACAACAAATAGACAAAACAAACAAAACAAACAAACGAATAAACGACAACTGACAACAGACACCCCTTATTCCGAAAAAAGGATATGCATACCGCCATCACCGCCATCCCGTCACCACCACCTCGCTCCTTCTCACTCTTGGCGCTTGAACAACAAATCCCTTTATCGTCATCCACTTACACTTTCATATGCTCCTCCTCTTCTTCTTCTTTCAATTCTTTCTCTTCATTTTCTTTGCTTTCTTCATTTTCTTCATCTTCTTCATCACATTTGTTTTCTACTCAGCCCTCCCACCCTCTCACCAGCATCAACAGTAACAAGCGCAAAATTTCATTCCACTTCAGCCTCTGCCCGAACTGTAAACACCCAAGACCAACCATCATGGTCATTGCCGAGTTCTCACACATCTCGCCCCACGGTCCTGTCGACCACCCTCATTGGAGTCAACACCAGCATCACCACCGCCCATCTTCCATCCTGTCAACACTACCACCACAGCAACAACAAGAGCAACACTGGCCAATGCTCACATCACTACACCTCCTACCGAATCCTTACGCTACATACGATTTCATCTCTGAACCACACCAAGCCGCAGGTGGGTCAATTCTGCAACCATGCAAGGGGGTTCCACAGATCGCCTTTGAGACAGACTATCGTCTTTTGGACTCTCCTCGCGCGGTGGCTATGATAGTCGCAGCAATGTCGTTCTCCTCGGTCAAGACAGCCAATGTCGGCAATCCGATCGACGGTCCGGTCTCGATCTATGATCTCACTCAATCCGGAAGGCGGTTCTACCTCCACTCTTCATTCTCTCCCTCTCCTTCCCCCTCTCCTTCTTCCTTCCCATCGACTCACCCTTGCATTCGTCACAACAACAACAACAGCAACAACAAACGCTACAATTTGATGCATGCCCACAATTGCTCGTTAGATTATGTGAAAAGCAAGGCAAGACGATGTCAAGTCGACTGTCTTTGGCTGAACCCAAACACACCACAAGAACAACAGCCTCTGATGGACTATCCCTCCGGTGACTGCCAGTCGATGGAGTCGATAATAGAGAATGTTGAAGAAGTAGAGGAAGAGGTGTTGAATTGGAAGTTTGCCCTGGAGGAGATGGAGATGACACTGAACAAGACATTGTTCCCTAGGTCGAGGTCAGGGATTGGTTGGTGCCTGAGCAGTGGCACCACCGAGACAATCGAACGTGCTTACCGCACTGCAGCTGCTATTGCGTCTGATGTTACACCTGACCACGCCGCCGCCGTTGCTCTATTTAAACATGACGACAACGACAACAGCAAAGACGGGTCTGTCTTTGTTTTAGGGGTTCCTTCTTTGACCTCGTCCTCGTTGCCCTCTGTCTCTTCTCAACCCCCTTGCTGTCACACCTGCACTGCCACGCCGACGGCCACTCTCTCCCCTTTACCGTACGCATCTACCATCACCCCTAGTACGCCTTTGCCGCCATTGTCCTTTCCATCCGCTACGCTGTTTTTGGACCTCTCGTTGTCGTCGTCGTCGTCGCTCTTGTCAGTCACTACAAGCTGTGACGCAAATTTGCGAAGTCCTTCTCCTGAACAGCCCAACCGCTCGACAACAATAGACGAGGCTTCATCCTCTTCTCTCTTCTGCTCCCCGTCCCTGTCTCCCTCTTTCATTCTTCCGCCCCCTACCTTGACTGTCTTGACCTCTGGGTCGTCGTTGCCAACACCCTCCACCACAACAACCACAACAACCAACACGATAACGGTAGCGACAGGAGGATTTAATTTAAATGGCTTCAAGGGCTCTCTCGACGCACTTGCCAGCTCTGTTCCTACTTCTTCCATTGCTCTCAATTATTCTTCTTCCTTCACAAATTCCACCACGTTTTCGAACACTATCCTCACTCCTGCTGTAGAGCAACTTTTGACCGATCCTGAGCATTTTCGTCTGCGTTGCCATCCCAGCATTCCCTCATCCATGGATCACTTCAATTCTGCCAGCAGCACTCCCGAACCCCTATCTTCGTCGTCTTCCGTATCATCTGCAGCTATGTCAGGTCCAACCTCCTCCAGCCCTGGCCGGAACTTTCCCAACCAGAACGGTGGGCCTACCGGTGATTGTCACTATGTAAGCAGTAGAGTCGCTACTGATTGTGATCATGACCACTCGGACTCGGACTCTGGCATTGACCTGGACCTTTCCAACCGAAATGGTAACCTTGATACCCCTCACCGTCACCGCCAACACCAAGAGCTAGTTGATAACAGCGACATGGTCTCAACAGACGAGATGCGACTGCGGGAAGAGATCATGGCGAGAATCAGCCCCAGGGCCACTATGATGAGCAGGACTCCACCAACCCTGCCTGGGGTTCCTGTTTGGGACGAGCCCGTTGCCCATCAGATCCGTCGAGTTCAGTCCGCACACATGGCCGAGCTCCATCGCCAATGGGAAGACCAGCAGCAGCAACGGAGGCAGGCTCAGGTTCAGGAGCAACAACAACAGCCATTGCACCAGCATCTGAGACACAACTCGTATCCTCCAATCCAGCGGTCGGTATCGATGTCGCGGTATGTCCCAGTCGCCATGGAGAGGACTCCTCCCACCCCCATGCACAGATCGACGGCGTCGTTTAATACTGCTGCCACGGAAGCACAGCTATGGGCCGATGAGGAGATGCACCTGCGGACGCTGGCTCGAGGATCCAACTCGCTGTACCTGAACTACGAGGGCGGTATCCTGCGATCGGAGGAGCAGTGGCGTCGCGGTGAGGACGATATGGTTGGACGATGATTTTCTTTCCCTCCTTTGTATACCTATTTCATGTTTGGTTTGTACTCCATTGTTTCTGTTCATTCCTGTACCCTTTTTTTGTATAGCGCACAAGTAGACATTTGCTTTTTCATCATTGTTGTAGCCCCCTCCCAAATATACCAGATCCTCTTTTTTTCTTTACTTTTTTTACCGCGTAATCACTTTAACGATTCCTTTCTCAACTTATACAAACATACTCTTTAATACGTTAATCCATTTGACAACCCTTCCGCTCATTCTCATCTGTTAACCCGGGTTGCCATATACCAGGAGACTAGATGCTGTATGTGATATGTGGCGAATGATTGTCTCTTTGTTGTGGATAGATACGATTCCCAAACGAGCCGCTTCCCTTTTTTTTCTTGCTACGACACTTCTATTATTGATGAATGTTCCTGCATCTCATGTATCGATGCGTCAGTCCTCTGTTAAGGAAAAAAAAATATTTTGCGTGGAAGCTAGGCGCCTCGCACACTTGCTAGGACAATTTGCCTACTGCGGATAGCGCGTTGTTACAGATCCTCCATGACGATAAAAAAGCGCTGTCGATAGTGGAAAGACTGATGATAATCTCCAATTTGTCTTCTTCCGTCCGGCTCCGGGGGTGGAGGGGGATGGATGGCAATTATTGCGCGGAACTGACTGTGTCTCCTGGAGGGATGTCAATAATGGTATGTACGTTGTTCAGCGGATAGGCGGATAGAGAACATTTTGTACTATTTTTTGCATGGCGTAGAGCCAACGTACTGAAAGTTCACCTCGTCCCACTTTCAGTACAGTACTGAAAATCATGAAGAAATCAGATACCCTTCAAATACTCTTTTTTCACTTTGTAGGAATCATAGGTAATCACATGTACGATGAACCTCTAACCTGACGCACAACCTTACTTCTCGGTATTGCCTCACAGAGCATGTTGACAGGAGAACTGGCGGACTCGGAACAGGATATATCACAAAGACCAAGTTAAAGCCCAGGACAGAGACCCCCTTCGAAAGCTACGCCCCATACTCTCATGGCACAGAGGGTATTTTATCACTGCAACTACGAGAGTTCGGTACTAACAACCTACTGGGACACCGACTCACCATAATTGTGTTTTAAACTGGAATTCAATAGAGTCGTTCATTACACAGCAGGCTTACAGTGGAGTGCGTCAGGCTTTTTACATACGCAAGAATACCCCCTCCTTCTGACTTAAATGAACTCAACGAGTGTTACATCTGCATGGTCGGCACTACAAGACCACTCGATCCAGTGAAATATCCGGCGGTAGAGAAGAAAGATACGAGTGTTTATCAGATAGTCGGAAGAAACAGCAATTATTCGGTAAGAGCAAGAACCAAGGAACGTCACCATGTCACTTTCTAACATCACCAGCGAGAAAACATTTGCTCTAACCTTCCTCTCTCTCTCTCTCTTCATCCCTCTGTTTTATCATAGTGGAGTGTCTTCTCGATTCCCGGGAACAGGATTTGTTGGAGCGTCAAACTCCAATTGCTAACTGTCGAGGAGGCGACCCAGCACAAGTTCAGGAACTCGGAATGGGGATCCGACACAAGCGACCCCGTGATCAAGGAAGTGAGGGACTTTCTGATCCCTATGGGCGGCACCTTAGGGGACTTAATTGATTCCTCCCCACGAGACACGATTTCGCGTGTCTTCTTGGAGGACAAGTTGTTCAAGACGTGGAACCATGGCCGAACTGTTCTCATTGGCGATGGTATGTTTACTTTTGGTGTTCGCTTTTTTGGTTTGACCGAATGCTCCTACACAATCAACTATCTACATGCTCTCTCAAAAAAAATTCTCTTCCCTCTGTTCGTTGCTCTCATGCATTGTATCCACAGCTTGCCATAAGCTCCTACCAAGCGTAGGCTTGGGTGCGGTGACAGCAATGCAGGACGCTGTAGTTCTTGCGAACTACTTGTACGAAATGAAAGGTCTCGCGTTCTCGGACATCAGCGCAACACTGGACCAGTTTAAGAACGAGCGCTACAGCAAAGTCAAAGTACAGGTATCCTTTATTCATCAGATCCCTGTTCGTGGGAGTGGACCTGTACTTCCCCAAAGACCTTCTCAAAGATACTTGGATGAACAGGTAAAAACGGATGGTGGGGAGCATGCACCTGTTGTAGTTTGAGTTCTGCGAGAGAAAAATAAAGTGAATCGATAGTTCCCTTTGCTGGTGTTTTGAAGTGTGTCCAATTGGTTTTTCCCCATCCGTTCATCTCGGAAATCGTATGCTTGGCACTGCTCTCATATGGTTTCCTTGTGCCCACACACACAAACACTTTCACATACCACTCTTTCTATTTTTTTGTGTTTCTTATCGCTTCACTTTAGCTTGTCACAAGCTCTCTGCTGAGTGGTGGATTGGGTGTAACTGACATGCAGGATGCTGTTGTCCTCGTGAACTGTTTGTACGAGATGATAGGTATCGCACTAGCGGATATTCAGCAAATATTCGACAGTTTCCATGAGGAGCGCTACTCTTGAATCAAGGAGCAGTTCGATGCCTGCAAAATGAGTTGCCAAGTTGATTTATGGCGAGGTAAAGAACGGTACTTTATCTTATTCCTTCTTTGTGTAATGTTACGCCTGCATGCTGTCAAGAACCACAAACCAACCTCACACTTTTTTTCCTCCTTTCGACTAGACGCTGTTTCTTCCTGAATCGGAATCGTGTGCAGCCCGTGCTTTGAAGAGAGAATGAGGCGGTTAAAATTTCAAACACGCACGTTTTTGTTGCGAGGACTCAAACTACCGTTGCTGCCTGCATTTCCCTCTGGTATCTCTCCGAGACCCTCTGAGGAAGAATGGGTGCCGTTCCTCTGTTAGGAACCTGCGGCAAGAAGACCGCTTGCGGTCTGTATTCCATCCCCTTGTACGCGCCCTTGGACTGAACTGACCTGGGCGTAAAGTTGAACACGGCATATCGGAGGAGTTTCTCAAACCATGTCTACGTAACAGCATGGGTAAGAAAAGGAAGAATGAGAAGAACCCCTTGCGTTAGGCAATTTGTTCTTTTCGATGTTCGGGGGTTATTTTAATCAAATAGCTGAACGTGAATGCGTCTGTGATATAGTGATGGTTTTTACCTTTCCATAGAGGAGTTTGGCGTTGAGTTTGCTGGCTTCGTATTGATCTTTGACCTTGGAGTACCGCTCGTCTCGGAACTCCTGGAGAGCTTCCTTGACTCCCTGGTATGATTGAGACTTGATATCATAAAGACTGTTGGCAAGTGCAATGGCATCTTGAATGGCTGTCACCGCGCCTAGACCTGCACTAGGGAGGAGCTATTAGGGAGGAATGAAAATATGTTAATGTTAATAACGTGCCTTCCTCTTGCTACACTCAAAGGGGTTCATTGTCGTCCAGCACTCCTGAGTTACCTTGTGGCAAGCTAGCAGTGGAAGAGATCAAAAGCAAGAAGGGTCTTGTTAGTCAAGGCGGTCGAGGCTGAGAAGTACAAAAGAGCAGAACAAACCCATCATGATATTGTCAGTTGCCTACCATCTCCAATGAGAGCAACGCGACCATGGTTCCACGTCTCAAACATCTTGTCTTCCAAGTAAACGCGCGAGACGATATCTCTAGGTGTCGCATTAATAAGGTCGCCAAGAGTTCCACCTAGTGGAATCAAAAAGTCCTTGACCTCGGCAATCATAGCATCATTTGACTCGGAGCTCCATTCTGCATTCTTGAGCTTTTTCTTCTCTTCCTCTCCGAGTGAGTCCAGCTGCGAGATGACATTCCAGCAGATCCGGTTTCCTGGTACAGTGAACGCGCTCCACTAGTGATCAATAAAACGCGAAAGAGGTTTCAGATTAATAAAAGTCGTTTTGTCACTCCCAGGAACGGTTTTTTCATCATATCAGTAGCTACAATGGTCTCACCGAGTAGGCGTTTCCTTGACCGAGGATCTGGTTGATGCTAGCCTCCTTACTGTCAATACCCGGATAGTCTGCAAGGGACAACTCTTTCGTGGTTCCAACCATGCAAATAAATCCCTTGTTCAAGTCCTGAGCATCCAGAGGAGGGAGAGCCTTTTCCTCCTGCAGTTGCTTGTATAGCCCCTGACGAACAGCGCTGTACGCACCATCCGCCCCAACGAGAACGTCGCCACTGTAAGATGTTCCATCACTGCATGTGATCTTGGCCTCCTTCTCGTTCTGCTCGGTCGAAATAACTTTTTTGTTGAAGTGGATCTTTCCGGGTGGGATGCGGGCGATGAGGAGGTCGTAAAAGTCTGGACGTGCGAAGGCGATGTGATCGTACCCCACGCTAATAAAATGGAATCAACAAAACAAAATTAACGTTCCGTTTCTCACACTCACATTAAAAGAGTACAAATTAAGCGCATTGATCATAGCGGGACAGAGTGGATGATCATAATTGCGCCTTACAATTCTGCAACGGAACTCCTTAAGGTGATGACCTTTGTCATATCTCCGTTGTAGATGTTGAATCCTCCTGTAATTGGCAACGACACCTTTTGCAAGGGCTCGTATATCCCGAGCTGCTCCAATGCCGGGAACACTCCCGCATTCAGGGACATAACGGCGCCTATGGATAGTAATTATGGAACGAAAAATCGGGAAAAATAGTGAGAGAGTCGTACCAGTGAGAGTGCGGGAGTAAGAGGTCAAGCTTTGACACCAAGAGTGACGGACACGAGCAGGCCCAGCGGTTTATTGTTTAGTTATTTTGCATACCCAGAGGCTTGACACTCTTTGCTCGCTCGTAGACGGAAAAGTCAATACCGGCTTTGTCGAGGAGGATTGCTAGCATGAGTCCACCCACTCCTGCACCGGAGATGAGGACGTGGAAAGGCTTTGGCTGTTCAGTGGCCATAGAGGAAGTGGAGTGAGGTTGATTGGCGAGTGGTGGTAAGGATAGAGGGTGAAAAGTGATGAAAAATAAAAGAAGAGGTGAGAAGGGAGAGAAAGAGCGAGAAGAGGGCAATGGGGTGAAAGAAGAAAAAAGGTGACACAAACAAGATGAAAGCAGGCGAGATGGAATGGCACCTCTCTGAATTCCTTTGCTCTCAAAATCACATTCATCGCCAACACAGGCAAACAAACGACCATTGGTTGCATCCTTTTCTTTCTCTCTTCGCAGGAGGAAGAAACAAGTGGAAGTGAGCAGCGCATTTCAAACAACCGGTTCGGATCAAAAGCATACTTGAGTGATAAGAGATTAGTGGCCACAATCTGTGCATTTTATAGCAATCCGTTTCTGATTGACCTTTCACACTACTGCTGCACCTTCTTTCTTTTTGTTTGCAACAGTTTTTCCGAGCTTGGCTTGCTCTTCCTGGTATCGCTTGGAGACTCTCTGGGGAAGAACAGGGGTAGTCCCCCTATTGGGCACTTGAGGGAGAAAGATGGCTTGAGGACGAAAGTCCATTCCTTTGTAAGCACCCTTGTCAAGCATCTTTTGGGGGATGAAGTTAAACGCGACGTAGCGCATGACTTGATCAATGAATTTCTTTGGGAGGATGATACCGAGAGAAAAGTTCCCATTGTTAGTCGCTTATTCACACGCTCCAACATCCACTTGACGTCTTGATGGCACGAAAATAGTCCATGCTTACATGTCCATAGATGAGCTTGGCGTTGGTCTTGCTGGCTGAGAACTGGTCCTTGACTTTAGAGTATCGCTCTGCCTTGTACATCTCGAATGCCTCCTTGACGTCCAATGGAGAAAGACTTTTTATATCATAGAGACAATTGGCGAGAGTCACGGCGTCCTGCATTGCTGTCACTGCACCCAGACCAGCACTCGGAAGAAGCTTATGGCAAGCTGCGTCGACGCAACCGAACGAAAAGAATGAGACGAGAGATAAAGAATCGACGATAGGGAGTAAGCATAAATGCAGGGACACATGTAAGAGTCTGAGAGCACAATTTATCGTTTGTGATCAACAAAAGACAACCGAGTACACAAACCATCGCCAACAAGGACCGTTCGACCATAATGCCAAGTCTCGAACAACTTGTCTTCCAGGAAAACACGGGAGATGTTGTTCCGTGGAGTGGCATCAATAAGGTCTCCCAAAGTGCCACCAAAGGGGATGAGAAAATCCCTGACCTCCTTTATCATCGGCTCGCTTGTCTCTGGGCCCCACTCTGAATTCTTGAATTTGTGCTCGGACGCTTCCTTGACAGTCGATAACTGGAGAATGGCGTTCCAGCAAATTCTGTTTCCGGGGACAGAGAAGGCGCTCCACTATATAGCAAAAGAGCAGTGGTAAAGAAGATCAGACATGGACACAAGAGCCAATTGGCGATAGTGTGCAGAACAACCAGATGTGATCGAGAAAAACAAAACAGCTCTTACAGAGTAGAGGTTGTTGCCAATGATTTGGTTGATATTGGCGGTCTCGGAATCCAGTCCAGGATACTTGGCAGGATCAAGCGGGTCAGTGGTGCCGACCATGCAGATAAACCCCTTGTTCAGTTCGTTCCCATCCGAAAGGGGGAGCTTCCCATGCTTCTCCAGTCGTTTGTAAAGAGACTGACGAACACCACTGTAGGCGCCATCGGCACCGACGAGGATGTCACCATGGTAAGTTGTTCCGTCAGCACAACGAATCATCACGCCTTCCTTATTTTGTTCCAGAGACATCACTTTCTTGCTGAAGTGTATCTTTTCACGGGGTACTCGAGACAACAAGAGGTTGTAAAACTCAGGCCGAGGGAACACTATGTGAGGGTACCCAATGCTAATTGAAATAAGAAAAATATGTCAGGAAGATATCTCAATAAGGCCCTTCTTTATCATCCTGTTACTTTGAACGACATACTACTGGGCGACATTGCTCTTGAGGGAAGTGACTCTTGTCAAGTCGCCGTTGTATATGGCAAGTCCCCCTGTCGCTGGCAACGATAACTTCATCAATTCGTCGTACAGCCCGAGTTGTTCCAGAGCAGGAAAGACCCCCGCGTTCAGGGACATAACGGCGCCTATTGTGAGTGATATACTAGGTCGATATTAGCAATCAAGGACGAGGTGAAAGAGAAACAAGGTCATGTCTGCCAATTGGTGCCTACCCAGGGGCTTGACCTCCTTGGCACGTTCATAAATTTCGTAGGGAATGCCTGCCTTATCCAACAGGATGCCGAGAAGGAGACCAGCAAGCCCAGCTCCGACAATCATGACATGAGGATTCTTGCCGTCGCTCAGAGGAGGAGCCTGGGAAGGGTATTTGATTGAAGGTTCATTGTCTAGTGCCATTAAGGTTTGAGCAGAGCTGAAACGACGGAGAGGGGGTGATGAATGAATTTGGAAATGGAATGAGAGAGAGAGAGCAGATGATGAGTAAAGAAGAGATGAAGAGGATGATGGGGTTGACTGACATTCGACATCGTCTGAATGGTGTGTACCATTTTCTTTATTTTCCTTGTTTGTTTGACTCTTTGAGGAGGAGGACGCCGATTCTTATGAAGTTGATGGTACGATGGGTCAACATCACAGGCCCATGTTCTTGTGAGAATGAATTAAACAAGGCATTAGAATATTAATAATCACGGGCTGCCGAAAGGATGGTACTGTACCATGCGTCAATATGAGAAGAAGCTAGCTTTTCATTTTTCTTGGTTGTGGCTTCGGGCAGGGGCCACTATCAACGATATCGGAGGGGATCTGAGATAAGAGAGCTATCTATGTCGTGGGGGGGATTGAAACCCTGGGGTACATTTCAGTCGACTTTCTGTACTCGACCACCTTGCTATCCAGCATGCGCCCACAACATTAACATTCATCACCTATTGAAAAATTCATTGTAGCATTACCGACCTCAAATCATAAAAGGTGCTTGCTCCTCTGCCTTCAATTTAGCTTGCTTGGCTTGGTATCTCCAGTTCCTCGATTAGGAGCCGAAGGAGGAAAGTTGCGTGGGGTCGAAATTCCACACCCTCAATCCCCCTTCAGCTAGACCGATTCAGGAAACCAACTGAAGACTACGATGTGCGGGAATATCTTCAGCATCTAGTCGAAAGGAGGAAAAAAAGTGTCGTAACATTACACAGAGAAGAAATTAGATAAAGTACCGTTCTTTACCTCGCCATAAATCAACTTGGCAACTCATTTTGCAGGCATCGAACTGCTCCTTGATTCAAGAGTAGCGCTCCTCATGGAAACTGTCGAATATTTGCTGAATATCCGCTAGTGCGATACCTATCATCTCGTACAAACAGTTCACGAGGACAACAGCATCCTGCATGTCAGTTACACCCAATCCACCACTCAGCAGAGAGCTTGTGACAAGCTAAAGTGAAGCGATAAGAAACACAAAAAAATAGAAAGAGTGGTATGTGAAAGTGTTTGTGTGTGTGGGCACAAGGAAACCATATGAGAGCAGTGCCAAGCATACGATTTCCGAGATGAACGGATGGGGAAAAACCAATTGGACACACTTCAAAACACCAGCAAAGGGAACTATCGATTCACTTTATTTTTCTCTCGCAGAACTCAAACTACAACAGGTGCATGCTCCCCACCATCCGTTTTTACCTGTTCATCCAAGTATCTTTGAGAAGGTCTTTGGGGAAGTACAGGTCCACTCCCACGAACAGGGATCTGATGAATAAAGGATACCTGTACTTTGACTTTGCTGTAGCGCTCGTTCTTAAACTGGTCCAGTGTTGCGCTGATGTCCGAGAACGCGAGACCTTTCATTTCGTACAAGTAGTTCGCAAGAACTACAGCGTCCTGCATTGCTGTCACCGCACCCAAGCCTACGCTTGGTAGGAGCTTATGGCAAGCTGTGGATACAATGCATGAGAGCAACGAACAGAGGGAAGAGAATTTTTTTTGAGAGAGCATGTAGATAGTTGATTGTGTAGGAGCATTCGGTCAAACCAAAAAAGCGAACACCAAAAGTAAACATACCATCGCCAATGAGAACAGTTCGGCCATGGTTCCACGTCTTGAACAACTTGTCCTCCAAGAAGACACGCGAAATCGTGTCTCGTGGGGAGGAATCAATTAAGTCCCCTAAGGTGCCGCCCATAGGGATCAGAAAGTCCCTCACTTCCTTGATCACGGGGTCGCTTGTGTCGGATCCCCATTCCGAGTTCCTGAACTTGTGCTGGGTCGCCTCCTCGACAGTTAGCAATTGGAGTTTGACGCTCCAACAAATCCTGTTCCCGGGAATCGAGAAGACACTCCACTATGATAAAACAGAGGGATGAAGAGAGAGAGAGAGAGGAAGGTTAGAGCAAATGTTTTCTCGCTGGTGATGTTAGAAAGTGACATGGTGACGTTCCTTGGTTCTTGCTCTTACCGAATAATTGCTGTTTCTTCCGACTATCTGATAAACACTCGTATCCTTCTTCTCTACCGCCGGATATTTCACTGGATCGAGTGGTCTTGTAGTGCCGACCATGCAGATGTAACACTCGTTGAGTTCTTCTAAGTAAGAAGGAAGGAGTATTCTTGCCTTGTCCATGCGTTTGTAAAGAGCCTGACAGATTCCGCTGTAGGCACCATCTGCTCCATGAGAATGTCGCCGTGGTAAGTAGTCCCGTCCGAGCCGCGGATCAAGGCACCCTCTTTGTTCTGCTCCATGGACATGACTTTCTTGTTGAAATGGATCTTCTCGCGAGGCACTCGGGAGAGCACCAGATCATAGAATTCCGGTCGCGGGAAGACGATATGGTCGTAGCCGATGCTAAACAAGAAGAAGGAGAACGTTTCGGAGTAACATATACTGTGTTAGTCCCATTGTTGTCCTTTTCTATACAAGAGTGCGCCAATTAACAATTTCGAACCCGCGTCCTTACACGTCCGCGAGCTTATTTTAAGTGTGATGATCTCGGTCATGTCGCCATGGTAAACGGATGTCCATGTAACCGGTAGCGAGAGCTTGACGAATTCCTCGTAGAACCCGAATTGTTCCAGTGCCGGGAAGTCTCCAGCGTTCAAAGTCATGACAGCCCCTATTGTGAGATTGAGACCAGGCGGTATTAGTAGGCGAGGAAGGTTGAAAGAGAAACAAGGTCGTGTCAGCCAATTGATACCTACCCAGGGGCTTGACCTCTTTCGCTCGTTCGTAGATCTCGTACGGGATGCCGGCCTTGTCCAAGGGAATGGCGAGAAGGAGTCCACCTAGCCCAGCTCCGACAATCATGACATGGTGGTTCCTGCCATCGCTGATAGGAGGGGACTGGGAGGGATACTTGACTGACGGTTCATCGTCTAACGCCATTTAAGTTTGCTGTGTGCGTTAGAGAGGAGTTGGCGGAAAGAGGAGAAAGTATGAAGTCAGAAGTTCGCGAGAAATGAGAAGGGAGAAAAAGAGATGATGAACACGAAGTGGTGAAAATGATGAGAGATGAGAGATGAGAGATGAGAGATGAGAGATGAGAGATGGGTTGACATTCGACATGGTTGAGTTGTACACATATTTTCTTTTTTTGTTGTCTTTCTCAAGAAAATGAACGTGCAAGCTGGGCGAACAGGATAGTGGCACGAAACGATTCCGTCCATCGAGACTGCGCGCTGTTGTTGATAACAAATGTGCAAAGGCACGCGGCATGGTAGCTGAGGCGATTATGTCTTGGATCGATTATGTCTCCTCGAACTATTCAGGGTCAACACGGCCTGCCAACTGATCAAAAAGTGAGACTAATAAACACTTGGTTCCTGAATGATAGATGGCGAACAGTCTCTCCTCCAACACTTCTATTGATCAAAATGCGTGTAGCCAATTTTTAATTTCTCTTACATCCGTCTCGTCATAGCCTGACGGACGTCACTGTACGCTCCGTCTGCTCGACGACGATGTCACCCCTGTAAGAGGTTCCATCGGCACAATGGTTCGTAACACCATTGTCATCCTGCTCCATGGTCGTGAGCATCTTGTTGAATTGGATCTTCTCTGCAGGCACCCTGGATAGCAAAGGTCGTAAAATTCCGGCCGTGCGAAAACAATATGACTGTACCCGACACTAAAGTGGAGATTGTTCCAACGACCATTAGCCCTTGACCATCGTTGTCATGGCGACTAAGTCCTGGGATGCTAGTTGTTGTAGTTAATGGCAGAGACTTACACGTACTAGATATCGGGTTTGAGGCGGTAGAGCAGGGAGAGATCGCTCCAGTAGATCTTAAATCCACCAGTTAAACGAAGATATACCTTCAGCAGCTCCTCACATAGACCCCAATTGCTCGACGACTGGGAACACTCCAGCGTTCAGGGACATAACGGTCTCCTGTAAGCGAGAAAAAAAGTAAAACAGAGTACTGTGTATGGACGAAGATTTGGTGGCAAAACGACCATAGGTATTGGATGCACAAACCAGTGCTGTTTGCTTACCTAGGCGCTTGGAACCCTTGGCGCGTTCATAAACCTGATAAGGAATACGAGCTCGCTCCAGGAGGATCACCAGAAAGAGACCAGTCACACCAGCACCCACAATTAAAACGTGAGGGGTCTTGTGTTTGCTGGGAGAAGGTTGCGAGGGTTTAAGTGTTGGGGTTTCGGTGGCCGTTGTATCGAGAGGGAGGGAGAAACGAGAAGGTGGGAATGAAAAAGATGAAAGATGATCTGAGGCAGAAAAAGAGTGAAGATACCATCGTCTTTTGTGGGGCCCTTTACTTTTTCTTTTATTTGAGCCATGGTGTCAATGTAGGTCTACGAAATATGTATTGTGTTCATGGGAGGGACGATGTTCTATCTTTTGCTATTCGCCGATTCACAAGGGCACGGTGTAAGAGTATCACAAGTAGCAATGTCCCTGCCCTGGCACACCTGAATCGTTTGCATGGGTAAAGAAATGGCATCAACGAACAGGATTTGGGATCCATGGTTTAATCGACGTTTGATCGAGAAATATGAGCCTGCAGGTTTTGTTTGATCCTTGGCCTTGAGTGGCATTCATACCGAAGGAATGAAGGGTCCTGTTCTCAATTGATACGCCAATTCATCGACGTCGTCGTATCTTGCCATGTTGCTATGGTGGTTGCGAATGAGTACGTTGAAGGTAGTATGAGGGAAATGAAGGAGCAAAAAAGGGAAAAAATATGCTCAGGCCATTGCTCCCATGCCGTATCATGGGCCTACCTTGTGCCTGAGTTGTATTGTCAGCTTGGTGGGCGATCGGGCGTAGAAAAGTATTTTCCGCGCGGAGAAAGAGGAAAGGGGCAGACCCATGGCTGTCTTCCCGATTGGGAAATGATGCACATCCATACTCTCCCAATTGCCAAGAGAAGAGTCGGATCGAAGGGAAAGGAAAAGAACGAAGCAGTATGAGATGAAGCAGAATGATACAAAGACAACAAACTGAACAAAGACATAAAAGGCATTCTTTTACCCGTTTGGAAAACTCGCGGGAAGTTCCTTTTTCCCTTTCCTGTGTCTGTGGTCTCCTGGGAGGATGTGAACACCGCCATGTCTCTGACGACAGACAGTATACATTCTAGACATTCACACAATCCTTCCTTCGTAGTTGTTCCTTTGTTGTTTGTAACGTTGCCCTTACAATACAGTCAGAGGAAGAGAGAAGTTCGTTTTGAAGGACAGAATGAATAAACCGATGACGCCTGTAACAAAAGGAGGGACTGATTTGAATTGATGGATGCCCTGGGGTTCAGAGAGGTAGCAGCTGGTCATTGGCTCTTGATTTTATCTATTTTTTTGTTCCTGGAAAAAAGAAAAGGGATGCCCTGGATGGTGGCCAATCAACCGCCCTTTTGGTCCTCCCCTTCCCTCCCTTGTTGGTGTCAGCCACTTCCCTTTCTTTCTCCCGCCTTACCCCAACTAGTCGAGCGCACTTGTATGTAGTTTACATGTGTGCGATGTGTGATAAACAGCATACGATCGAATCCTTTGCTCAAGGGTAACAAACAACAGCCCTCTTTTTTTCCCTTTCTTTTTTGCCCATTGACTGAGCATGCTCCCACACCGGCACTAACAATCCATCCCTCTCCCTCCCACCACTCTCCTTTCCTTTCCCTTTCTTCTCGAACACTTCTTATTTCTCCTCACTCTCACCCTTATTCATACTCCTCCCACCTTTTCCCAACCCTACTTTTGATCCCAACACTCACTCTCAAACAGATTCAACACAGATCATAAACAACTCTTTACTCCATTCACTTGCCATTCACTACCTCATCCCCCCTCTCCTGCAAGTCAAAAAAAAATAGCCCGCTTCTTTGGCCATGGCAACCAACAGGAGCCACCTCAGCCTGGCCTCTTCAGGCAATGCAACAATAGCCGCCAACAGCAACAGCAACAGCAGCAACGGCAACTACGACAACGGCAACAACAACAGCAGGCAGTCGTCAGCTTCTCCTTCTCTTCCTCTTCCTTCTTCTGTTCCTTTGTCACCCTCCCTACGAGCTTCTCGGTCACCCACACAACGACCTCCCTCAACAGTACTATCACCGACCCTTGCCCCTTCCTCTCCCGTCCTCTCCTCTTGCTCCTCTCCTCCACCAGAACCTCCTCGCTCTCTCAATCCACACTCCCTCCTACCAACGAACGAGGATACAGCTCGACTCTCTGAGCCGTATAACAGACAAGCACCTGCAGCCAGGAGCAGGAACAGCAGGGGCCACGCCAGAGCCAGCAGCTGGGCCCCTTCAACACCCCCACCCCCATCTGCAACAATAGCATATCCTTCACACCCTCCACCAACACAGTTTGTCGATGAAAAGGCTGCTATTCGTTTCTACGAGGAGAGAGCAGCGTCTCCAAGGCTTGGATCCAATCGAGTCTCAATTGCACCTTCGACCAACTCTTTTGCTGAAGCTGCTCCCTTGTACGACGCTGCCTTCGCCCATCACCCTGCCAGCTTACCCAGTAAACGCACCGGCAGTCATCGCTACGCCCACTCCTACGATTTCCCACAAGGCACTAACTTCTTGCACCCAACACATCGACCCACCTGCCCTTCGTCGCACTCTTCACGCCCTGTGCCAAGCGACTTGGAGATGCAGAGACACGCCCACCACGAACCATACAGCACTTCATCCAACGCCGACACATCGACCCGCAGTAGGACCTCACCGAGGAGCAAACTCCTTACTGCTTCTGAAAGGAGTGGCCGCCGCAGTGGCGAGACCCGCAGGAAAAGGAGTGGCAACACTCGACAAACCCGTTTGAGCGACGCCTCGACTTTGGAAGGCACCTGGGACGGGGACCTTCGAGGACCCAAATCACCCAACCTTTCAAGTCTCTCATCTAGTCGACAATCGCCTTCAGTAGCGGCTGCCCGCCCTTATCCCGCCGATCATCATCATTTTTCACACTCTCACTCGGCGGCGACACCTGCAGGAACACCGCAGCAGCACTTTCTGGAGCCGCCTCCTGTATCTCGAAATCCTTTTTCCCTGTTCCGGCGAGTCTCCGTATCACAGGAGGTGACGCTCAATAATGTACATCCTGGCGACAACCACCATGTTTCTTGGAAGAGAGGAAGCACATCGCTTCCTACTAGGCGCGGTGAATGGGGCAATGCTGGCAAGGAGCAGTATACCAGGAACAAGATCATGGAGAAGGTTCCTTATGGGGGCCGTGGCGGTCGGCAGTTCCGCAAGTCGGGCTACCCTGGGAGAGAGGGAGAAGAGCCTGAGACGGATCTGTTCAACTTTGTCGACGTCATCCTCAACATGCCCGATGCTCCCAGCTTGAAGTTCATTGCTGCCAAGATGGCCAAGGTCCTCTTTGTTATGACGATCACGTACTTTTCCCTGATGGCCTTGTACTTTGCGGCGGAGGTAAAAATGCAGCATTTAATATCATGTCATAGTGCTCTCTCCGCGGGTTCTGTTCTGATGCGATGGTTCTAAATTAACTGGCTCTTTCCTATACAACATGTAGTTCCAGTCGGAGGATCGGTTAAAGAACTTTGATGTTCTGGTGGTAGACCTGGACAAATCCATGATCGCCAACAGCTTTATCAACTTCACTCAACGCGACAGCGCCATTCCCAAACAAATCAATTGGTCGATTCAATCGGGATACCGGGACGTCCAGGGCGTAATCAACGACGTCGAAAACGGCAACTACTGGGGCGCTATTGTGGTGATGCCCAACGCTTCAACAGCTCTCAACAAGGCAGTCGCAGGCCCGGATCCAAACTACGACCCCAGCAAGGCGTTTTTGTTCATTTACGACAGCGGCAGGAACCCACTCGTTGTCAAGCCCTATATCGTCGCCAGCATGTACACCCAATTTCTTCAATTCACCGCCAACTTCAATCCGTCTTGGATCTACTTTGTCCTGACCTTTGCCGGCTCAGCAAACACGACCTTGACTCCCTTGGCCAATGCTCCTCAAGTCTTGGGCATGCCTGTCGCGTTCCACGAACTGGATCTTCACCCTCCAACGGCGACGATCATCACCTCGGCAACCTCTGTGGCGTACATTTGGATCTTCCTTGTTGCAGGCGGAAGCACGTACTTTGTCGCGAATATAGTGCAGCCAGTTGCCCGAAACGCCAGTGTGCAAAAGACAATGATCCTCCTTGTGGGTCCCCTCTTTGTCTTCCTGAGCTCACTCTCTATGGCATACACGGTCTTGCTTTATATCTTTGGAGTTCCGTTCGAGTCTGCCGGCCATTTCTTTACGCTCTTCCTGGGGATGTTACTCGTTCAAGGTGCCGTCGCGTCGTTGGTCCTCTTCCTCATTTTTATGATCCCCGTGGTCTTCATTCCGCCCATCACAGTCACCTTCGTCGTCATGAACGTCATTGCGGTCTTCAACCCAGTTGAGCTGATGCCGCCGTTCTACCGGTGGGTCTATGCGATGCCCTTCCTGAACGGAGTCCAGATCTCGCGGTACATTCTTATGGGGTCCTACAACAGACTGAGCTACAACTTGCCGATTCTCTTTGCCTGGATTCTTGTCCCGACCACCTTCTTGCCCTTTGCGATCGCCCGCCAGAAGCGACTGTTGATGGATGCCATTGCGGCCGATATGCGCCTTCGACAGCCATACCACCATACTGCTGCTCACTACTCGGACTCTGACGACCATTACTACCACGATGGACAGGAGCACCACCAGGACGAGTTTGGAGATGTCTACGATGCTGAACCTGGGAAACATGGTAGACAAAGCCAAGGGGCCAAGCAACCGCGATCGGCTCGCAGCCGACACTACGATGAAGAAACGGACCTAGAGTTTAGTGATGGTACGGATGACGATCGGGACAAGGATGATGAATCTGAGAGTGAGAGCGCGTCTTCCTCAGAGGGCGAAGAGGGAGATAGAAACAAGGAGGGTTTCCACTCCAGCAGGAACACAGTCCAGTTGATGGGATCTCTCAACCCTCGTCCCCTTGGCAATGGGCCCTCACCCAGCGCACCACCCGAATCCCAAGTCTTTGATACCCCGCACCACACCGAAAGACAAGTAGTGGACCAGGACCGGTCAGTGATTGAGATGCCCAAGTTGAACCGCCAACCGTACGCTTCTGAACTGGTGCGGCCCCAAACACCAGACGAAGTGAAGTGAAGAAGAGAGTGCAACACATCGATACCCTTTTTACTCCCTTACTAAAAGCATTCGTTCATCCTTCAACATGATAATAAGTTAACTGAATGCTCATTTTTTGCACCTGGTTCGGATAAAAAATTGGATAGCAAAGAACGATGGGCTAAAGGGTGAGATTCCGGATGGTTTATTTTTGGTTGTTTCTCATCGTTGGTGGGTTTTAGCGCACGTCTGTCCCCCTCTCCCATCCTCTGGCGGGGGAGAGAGAAAGAGCAGAAGACGGAGAGGGGGAGAAAAAAAGGAAGGAAGGAAGGTCCGGGCCAGAACAAAGGACGCGTCTAAAATCGGCCACAAGGGATAGGCTGCTCATGGGATTGGATAAGACTTTGCTGCTTCTTTTGTTTCCCACTTCACTCTTCACTCTTCGCTCATTCTCCCTCTGCCAGCACTTTCACTCCTCCTCCTCCTCCCCCTTCCTCTCCCAACCAACGCCTCCTATTCTCATTCAGTCACAACACCAGCAACAAGCACAACAGCATGGCATCCACCTCCACCTCACACACTAATTCATTGTCCCCTCTCGACCTGCCAGAGATCCGCACACACATTGCCCAATACCTAGACAGCAGCAAACACGACCTATGCTCATGCATCCTCGTCTCAAGGACATGGCGGATCGACTTTATGCCTCAGCTCTGGCACACCATTCACTTTGACAGCTCACTCTCATACTACCTCAGCCAACATAACTTTCGCCAGCACGAGCACCTAGTTCGAGAGTTGGTCATACACGACCCAGTCTTCTTCCTAGAACGGTGGCCCGGGCCCTCTTGTCAACATATCAACCGCCTAGAATACCGTCCTTATATTGCCCAACGGCAATGGATCGCTCCCAACTATGCTTCATCAGGAGAACAAACCTCTTCTGACGAATCTTATCAAGGAAACTACGACGACGACGACGACGACCTGGACAGTACCTTTGACGATGATCTCAAGAACGACACCAACAACAGCGCCAGCAACACCAACAACCCATCAAGCAGTCCGAGGAAGATAGGCAGCACATCAGTATCTATTCGGGGGTTCCTTCGACTTGTTCGACAGCAGACTTCCCTTTCGCACCTGAACGAGGATTGGAGTCTCCACTCCAAGGAGCACACGCTACGGTTTGCTAGGGGCTTCATCCGGTGTCAGCATCAGAACCTTGTTTCACTGCATATCACCAAGTGGAAGATTTCTGTCCCAGAGATGAACATGTTGATCAGGAACTGTCCTCGTCTGGAGCAGTTATTCCTACGGTCTGTTGAGATTGTACCCGTCAATTCAGACTTTAACACCGCTGCATTTCCTGACCTTCAAGACGAGGAGAAGGAGGAGGAGGTGGGGAAGGAACAGGTCGAGGAGGGGCAGGTGGATGAGGAGGGGCAGACTATTACGACGACAGACTCGACATCAGTGTTGGACTTTCGTCAAATCAAGAGAATCCATATTGATCAGATTGTCCTCCACACCAACCGGCTCTCGTTTCGTGGCCAAGGTCTGGAGTCGATTGGGTTTGAGGCCTACACCTTCTTCACACGCTACGCCATCTTCAACAGCCCGAGGCCCTTCACATGGAGCTTTCCCAACACCAAGAGTCTGACCTATATTGGCAAAGGCCGCGACATTCACGACACCGAGGTTGGCAATGCGATCCAGGACATCTTGACCTCTTGCTCTCCCGACCTGATAGCACCGCGTCCACCACGACTGTCACAGCAACAGCAACAGCAACAGCAGTTACAACAACAGAAGCAACGTCGACTCTCGGCAGACGAGGCGCTCCTCAAGTCACGACAGCTCAAGGAGGTCACCATCAGTAACTGTTCCATCCGCAGGTCACTCGTATCGTCAATTGTCGGTACATTTGGGGAGGGGCTGGAAGTGTTGGATCTGGTCGGCTGTGGAGGTCTGTCGAGACTCAACCTTCACCAGATCTTGGTTCGGTGTGGGAACTTGAGGGTGTTTCGAGGACCAGAGTCGTTTCTGTGGACGAGGGATATGGTGCTCTCTGAGCAACCCTGGTCGTCACGGCACTTGAAGGAGCTTGTAGTCTTGATTGGAATTGGGATGACGCTGGACAAGGATGCCACCGATCTTGCAGAGATGGCAGACACTACGAGTGTCAAGGCGGTGTTGGCGCAGGAGATGACTCGGAGGTCGATTGATGTTGTTCTTGACCAGATTGCGCAACTGGAGGACCTTGAGGTTCTTGACCTGAGTGGCGATTTGGACTACCACCTGGCAGAGGACTGTCGCAAGGGGATCCCCTTGGTGCTCAGTGCTGGCCTGGACAAGTTGAGAGGTCTGAGCAAGTTGAGAAGGGTGTATATATCTGGATGGGAGGATGAGATGAGTGCGAAGGAGGCAGAGTGGATGAATATGCACTGGCCTCGGTTGGAGTACATCCATAGCCGAGAAGGCGGAGCCAGTTCTGCCTGGCGCGAGTTCTTGACTACGCTCAATCACCCCCTCCAGCACGGCTATTTCGCATCCAAGCTCTTCTAGGTAATCTCTTTTTTTTCCCCCTCGTCCTTCGACCCGAAGAAATAAATTGTGGCTTTCTTACTTTCTTTTCCACCTCCTGTGTCATCCACACGCCACCATTTTTCCTTTATCCCCTCCACCTTGTCCGGCAATGGACTTCTTCTTGGATCCAAACCCAAGAACCATTCCTTCCAGTCCAGGAATATACGATCGCAAAGGCGACGGAGACAAATATGAACTGGATTACATCCCTTTTGCAAAGTAAGGTACGTCTGTTTCTTCGTTTGTATGCTTTATGATCCTTTGCAGGTACGTACAGGAACAACCTGAAAATTAACTTTATACCCCTCTCTGCATGTGCTTGTCGTTTTTTGAGTCTAGGAGTTCCAGCACAATCGTGAAGCAGGCAGGGTTGTTCGACACGACCGGCGCCAACTCCTTAAAGATGGCGCGGCAGCAACCTATCGATGACCGATGGAGCCCTGGGTTCCCAGATGGTAATACACTCATATACTTCTCTTTACCACATGTTTACGCACACGTTGATAAGAAAGATCGCATTCTCATGAGCCTACTCGTCCCTTTATACGTGTAGATGCGAAAGTCCCTAGACTGGGTGGATCGGACCATGGGGATTCTCCTTCGACCGACATGACTGGACATACTTCCTTGTCACAGGCTCATGAAAACAATATGGACCCTGCCCTCGACCTTGGCCTTGGCGCCACCAACAGTCTCGCCGGGGTCGGTATGCTCAGCAGTGATGGCGGTGACATCTCGTTAGGTCCGTACCAGTCTCTAGGTCCACCTCTGTCTATGACTATGCCAATGTCCTCTCAGATGATCCAGCCACAAGAGTCATTTTTTGGGGCGGTGGTCAAGATGCCTTCGCCGTTGGCGAATCCGAGGATTAAGAAGGTGAATCGGTCTTCGAGGTTGAATGACAAGTATGCTCGCATGAAGGTACGAGTCTTGTTTTATTATAATAATGGAAGATGTTCATGAACACCGTGATGTCCTTCATGGCTTCGGTCACGACCGTGTCGGTCATGGCGTTGATCAGAGCATGTTTTCTTAGTGTCTGCCCAAGAATGAGGTATTAACCCCAAAGAAATCGATTTGAACGTTGTAGAGTGATATGGAGCATGTTGTTCAGCTACCGTATTCATACACTCGAGTCGTGCGACACCAGGACGGCCATTCGACTAAATCTGCCCCATGGAATGCTGCCGCTGCGTTTATTCAGCGACCACATGGTCTTCCGCATGCTGGTGTTCAATTTGCTCAAGCCCCCACCTACCCCTCCTCCTCTCAACGCGCACCGATCCAACAGACCTATGGGCAATTATCACAGGTTGGCGGTAGCACTTACGGCACAAGCACAAAACCGCATCAGTTGGACAGCATCAATTCGAGAACTTTGCCTGCGCAACCTCCTCCCATTAAGCGGGTCAGGATCGAAGAGAACCCGCCATCTAACAACAGGGGGGCCACTACAAGAGGAAGAGGAGGTGTTGGTGGCGGTGTGTTTTCAACTCCGCACTTCAGGATGTCGACACCAGCTCGGACGACAGGTGTCTCCAATCCGAGTTCACATGTGCTCTTACCAACAACGACCAGTCACGAAGCGAGAAGGACAGATGAGGCCGTGACGGTGATGGGTCAAGTGGGGGGGGATGGGTTTGATGATTGGGGTTTGGAGGACTTCTTGCCTGATCCTGAGCCCATGGTTGTCCCTACGCCCAACTCGGCTCCTGTCGCACAAGGTTATGACAATGGCCGGTTTGCATCAACAGCAACAGTTAAACCAACACAGACCAACAACATCAACAACAGTATCGGTACCAGCAGCCAGTTTCGCTATTCTCCAAGGTTGCAGAAGTCAGAAAAGGAGTCCTCTGCGCTGGACGAGCGACCGATGACATGGCTTGATCGGATTCACAAGCTTGGATCAGAGATACGAGCGTCTGCAGCGGCGACTGTCCCTCGGTTTGGTTACATTCCTGTTGCTGCCGAGAGAGGACGAACAACAAAGGAGGAGCGTGCAAGTCAAGTGCAGGATCAGGACCAGGATCAGCAGCAACCGCTCCAGCAGCAACAACAGGGAGCGAGGCAGTTTTCAAATACCGAGATTTCATTCACGCTTCGAGCGAGGTCGTTGTCGAATGTGACTGGCATGGTGAAAAGGATGAGCGAGGCCACTGCAAACGGCGCCGATTTCACCAATGCGAAATCTTTGGCAAATGACCCTGCCCCTGTGCCCCGGGGGACGCGTCTCCAAGGACGAACCTCTCAATTGTTGCAGCAACAGCAGCATGCCCCAGGATCCGAGAGGGACGAATGCTCGGGAGAGGCTGTCGAGCGTTTGGCCCCGGATTTGGGATTCCTTGATGATATTGAGAAAGAAATCCAGGGACTAACTGGCATTTGAGCGAAATCATTACTGTCAGCGTATTGCTTTTTCTTATGTATGTGGGAGTCAATTGATTTTGTCGGGGACAGAAAAATAAACCTTTTAAACACCTTTTGTTCCCTGACCTTTCTTGCCTTTCATTGCCACCATTCCCTGCTCACTCTTACACACTCCCTCACCGACGCCTCACATGACAAACGGACAGAACAACATACAGGAAACAAACATGGACGACGGCGAGAAGGCAGTTGCCATATTGAGGATTTCCCAGTTCCACAACACGCCAGAAAGGATTTTTTACTTATACAAAGGCATCAACTATGTCGGACGGGATCCCACCATGTGCAACGTCTGGTTGACGGACGACTTTATCTGCCGTGTACACATGTACATCAGTAAGAACCTTGAAGCAGCTGACATGCCATGAAGCTTATGAAATGTGCAAGACGCAATCAAATGACGATCGAGGAGAACTGCTGACATTTCTTTTTTTCTTGTGATTTGTTAGACGTTCAGGATATGTTCATATTCATTCGGGATGAAGCGAAGCGCCCAGTAAGTCATCCACCTTCCAGCCATATACCAGAGTGATACCCCATGGGAATAGGCTTGAGGAGGGACAGGAAAGAAAAAAGAGTTTTCGCAGCGAAAGTAAGAGAGGTATGGGTTTCCTCTGACGACGCTTGTTGTTTGCTGAATGTTTATTTTGTTTAAAATAGGGCGAAAGGTCGACCACGTTCTGCATTAGCCAGGTCATGGAGCTCAATACCTGGTACCCTTGCACTCCAGATATGGTAAAACCAATGATATTCACGTATTACGCGTGCGTTTATAGCGGCAATGAACACGGTTACTGGTACCGAGTTGAAAGCCGAGACTGATACCACATGGGGGTTTTTTCATGCCCTTTTTTTCCTCATAGAGATACAAACTCGCAGGGGTGTTGACGTTGTCTGACGTGAGAAGGTTGACCGAGGCTGAACAGGAAGTGGCGCCGCGCAAGGTAATAATGCAGGAAACAACGCAAGGTTACTTTTCGTTTGGTGGCAAATTAAAGAACACGATCAAATTTCCTCTTGGTAAATATTTAGCCCAACTTGTTGCACTTATTTTTGTTAATAGGGCCACATCACTCCAGAACAGCAGGCGGCAATTGACAACAGGACATATATGGAAGAAACTTTTGTGGGTGATGGCCCCCCCGAGCTCAACACCCAGCCCAGCGCACCTTCCATTGTGATGCCTAGCTACTACAACCTCAACCCCAGCAGCAGAGGCAGCTCATATAACTCAAGATCGGCGAGCGCTCCTAGGTACGAGCGCGAAGACGACCATATCCGTGCACCCAGTGACCATTCCTTCGACTCTACTCAGAAGTTAGAGGACCTCACGCAGGTTGTGCGCGAGGAAAGGCGCAACTCGAATCGAAGTATCTCTCTCCCACCCGCCCTTATCGTCCCAGGTGCGCCGGCGGATGTCACCCTCCCACGACCAAATGTTAGAGGAGGCCCTGGCTGCTTCAACCCCCCCTCAAAACTCCCCGATCACATACTCCACAACCCTCGCGAGTATTTCGACAAAATACACACGTCCAGCCAACTCAACGATATTCACCACGAGGCAACCCTGGTCATCAGCGATGACCTAGATGACGCGTCGCAATCGAGTGTGATCCTTCCCGAAACCCAGCCGACGCAATTGTTGGCTCCAACTTCTCAGGACGTTGCCCCGAGTTCACTTCCCGAGGACATTGTTGTCAGTGGTAGACGACCAAGCGTGGAGAGACAGCGGGAGGATGCTGGTGATGTTGATGACCGCGCGCACGGTTCGCGGTCCGGATCTGTTGTCCCTGAGTCACCCGTGCCATCTCAACAAGATTACATCCCCTCAACGCCAGCCGATCTCATTGGTCTGTCAAGGACAGCTATCAGGGACACGCAGGAGCAGCGCCGCGGAGAAGATGAAGAGGACGAAGACAGAGTCCCACAGACACCAGTCGAAGAGCAGCAGGACGGGCAGAAGCAACATACGGCCATGTCCGACGTGTCAACCTTGGAGGCGAACCAACTCTCGACATCTATACCCGATTCGCAAGCGACACAGGAAGCGATTCGACTGAGTCTGTCGTCTGACGACCAACCTCAGCACCATCAGCAGGAGGATATCACTGTCAAAACCGAAGAGGTCGAGTCGGAGCGTCTTCTACTTCACAGTGTGGATTCGCAGAACGTCAGTCTGTCTAGTCCAGGAGCAGTCAAGGCAGAAGATGATGACGACGAAGGCACAAAGGCGGACGAGGACTCGAAGCCGCGGTGGCGATTCGGCAAGGAGGTCTGTCCGGATTCGCAGCACTCAACACAGTCGTCATCCCGGGACAGATCGAGGGAAGAACCCCATGGTACCAGTACCAGTACTACCACCATCACCACCACCAATATCACCTTTACTTCCACTGCTACTACTGCTACTACGACATATCCCCTACAACCGGAATCGGCAGGACCACAGGCATCTGAGCAGATGTTGAACGCGGAACCCTATCACTCGAGTCAAGACTCAGACCGGACCGCCTCCAGAGAGGGATCTCCAAAGCACAGTCTCGAGACTGACGCTGCGCCCGAGGAGCCACCCAAGCCCGCAAAGCAGATCAAGATTGACAGCACGGACGATGTCTCTAAAGCCACGACGGTCCGGCTTACACGGGGAGCTTCAGCGGCGAAGCTAAAGAAGTCAGGGAGTGTTGACCCGCCACCCTTCTTTGGACATACACCGACCTTGAGATCTACTCGCAGCACTGCCCGAGATCACCACTCCATTATGATCAGTAGTCCTGGCTGGGTAAGGCGACATATGAAGGTCTTCGATGTGTGGGGTCGCATACTTTGTAACTTTGAGCGCTAACGCATTACGTCGTGCAATTTCATTCTCACATTTCCTTGAGTAGGATGAATGGAAGAAGAAGGATGCGTTGTCTAAAAAACACGTAGGGGTATATAACAATGAGGCTCACATGGATATGACTGTTCTCGTTTTTAATCCCATCAACGGCATACGAACGTGCAAGTTGATGTGTGCGATCGCTCGTGGTGTTCCTATTGTAACCGATGACTGGCTCAAGGACTCCATCTCGGACGGTCAATGTCGTCCCAGTAAGTGTCTAATGTTATGAGCGCGTTTTTTCTTCTAGGTAAGATGCCAGTTGGTGAATAACACTATATTATCCGTCTTGCATATACAATAGCGGACGATTACTTGTTCGAAGACGAGCAGATGGAGGAAGAGTACAATTTTTCATTCAAGGACGTATGTGCCAAGGGCAGGAGCAATGTCGAAAACGGGATCCAGATCTTCAAAAATTACGAGTTCTATTGCGTGACAACCACCAAGAAGCAGCCTCACGGTGAACCTTCTTTGACAGAACATGGTTACCTGGTAAAAGACACCGTCAGAGCAAACGTTCTACCGATGATTAGGATATGTGGAGGAAAGGTGTTGACCCGGTCAGCAAAACCGGATCCGACAAGGAAAGAGACGACGATCATTATTGGACAGAATGTTGAGGACTGTTCGGACACCCAGAAGTACATCGCAGATGGATTCAAGGTGATGGACAGGGAGTTTATCCTGTCGTCTATTCTTCGTCAGTCGCCAGAGCTGGATTTCGAAACGTACGTGTTTTGCTTGTTCCATGTTTCTGTGGAAGATTGTTCATTCACAGTGTTATTAGGCTGTACTTCATGTTAACCGTAATTTTTCCATATCTACTCTTCAGGCACGCGATACCCGTACGGGAGGTGGTTGAAGCGGCGAATGTAGAAGAGGAAGGTGACGATGCAGGAGAACACAGCGACTCGACAACAGCATCAAACACAAAGACTGCCAGGAGCAGGAGCAGGAGTACTTCAGCTGTGCCGTCGATGTCACGCAGCTCGAGCAGTGTCAGGCCCCAGAGGAGCAGCAGCACCCTCAGTACTTCTTCCACTTCCTCCGCCGTTACCTCCACATCTCCCAAGGATACTGCGACCACGGGCAAGAAGAGGGCTACCAAGAAAAAATAGTATTTTTTTTATCGTTTGATGGTTCAGGTCGTCAACTCTATTCTCCAACACTCTTTGCTTGTACTTTTCCCCCTTTGTATTTTACTCCTCAAAGTTCCACCAGAATTAAAGCCTCTCTTCCTCTCCTCGGCTACTATTTGCTACAAGACAAAAAAAAATTCAAAACGCATGGACTCATGGACTCATAATAGAAGGGTTCGACAATCTGGTATTGTGCTTGGCATCTGACCTCAACCCCTTCATAAACCACATGCGGTGGCTCTTCTTACAATCAGGCATCACCTTATGATGGAAACCGCGTATGATCCGCTATAAAAATAAAAAAATAAAAAAGGGTACTGTACGCTCTTCTTTTTGACGAATATAGCGCGTCCTGATAAGTGTGTGGTGGGTTCATAGAAAAATCCCCCTTCGCCCACAGGTACGGTTGGGCTCATTGATCAGTGATCGTAACAGATTAACGCGTCATGGTCTAATTTTCGCGTTTTTGTGCCATCTTCCTTCCCCAAGTGTCCCCTTGCGGCACTCTGGTCGTCATTCCTCAGTTGGGCTCGCAGCGTTATCAGGAAGAGCAGGCCCATTTGCATAGTGCCAGTCCTTCTCTTACTACTACTGACCCTTCTGCTGCCGCTGTTTAGAAAGAGTTGCGTTTTCTCACACAGCACGTTCAGAAGTGAGTTCTAATCTTTAGAAAGAAGGGGGGGTTGGGGGAATCCATTTATTTTTTGTTGTACGTGTGTGGGTGGATGGTGCTCCAAGTTCTCGTTTCCACGAGCGGTTCACTTTCACAGAAAGTTGTGCAAAACAAGAACGAAAAACATCAATTTCTCCGTCTGTCTGTCACAGCCATTCCCTTCCAGCGATGATATAAACCCTGTATGCCATGTCCTGCTGTCCTGCTGTCCTACTATCCTGCTCGTTTACAGGATACTGTACTCGACTGGCGTCAGGATACTCTGCTTCGAAAACGTAACCTCGGATCCATCCGCCACCTGAGTAACGCTCAGAACCTAAAGAAAACAGGGTCAAACATGACACAAAAGTTAGTTTTTTTCGCTTTCACTTATCATCCTCTATGTTTTTCTACGACCCAAAAAAAACAAGCTTGACTTACATCAACATCACAAATGAGACGCTCGCACTCAAACTGAACAGTGACAGGGAAGAAGGCATCGGCATCCTCGCCTTCGCAGTTGAATTCCAGACTTCCTGAAGGGTTGGATGAATCAATCGTAGGTAACTGCCAAACCAACCCGCCTAGTTGATGATCCACCGTGTACTCGCCATCTACATCGCCTACAAGAAGCTGTGCTCCTTCTCTATTATATCGATCCCAGAAACCCAAGTGACAAAAGGTATTGTCAGCAACTGTCATATTACCGGAGTAATCTGGTCATGAGTAAGAAATATGGTGGCAACTTACGGGTAGGGGATGATAATGTTCACATTCTTGAGCTCCATCTCTTCATTCTCCAACTGGTACTCAATGTTGACATCGCTCGTTCCATCACCACTAGGAGAAGGCCAGCAGTTGACTAAACAAAGACAAAAGTTGAATCAGCACAGTTAATGCACAGTCTGACCAAGTGGTCCTGATGTCCGCTCCGACAACGAACACAAACATTAGAAAGTACAAATCCTTACTCGAAAGTGGGATGTAGCTCTCGTCCTTGGTGGTGAATCTCCAACGTAATACTCCTGTGGGCGTGTTGAGTGGGAATTCCTTTGAAGAATCTCTGAAAGCAATAACCTTGTCGCTGTTGAACAAAACTTTGTTGACGTTGGGGTGTGTCTATCATGTCGAAAGCATGCGGAGCAAAATAAAAACCATACTTGTCAGTGTTTACCTCACATAGAACAAGAGTTCCAAAGTCAAAGGCTAATTCACCAGTTCCATAGTAAATAGTCTCTCACCTTGAACTGGATGTTGGGGTCGTCCAAATGACGAACGGCAAGACTAATCTTGGCCTTGGAAGGATCCGAGACGCGAAGCATCAAGTCTCCCTTGACCTCCATGTTCTCCAGACCACCATCCCTCGTAGCGACCATAGTAATCTTTTCCTCGATGTGGGCATGCACGCTCTCCATGTGGATGTCCGGCTGGGCTGAGGCAGAGTAGGCGGACTGAACAGGTGTATGCTGCTGCTGCTGCTGCTGCTGTTGATGAATTGGTGGCGACTCGACTTCTGAGCGCAATGACTCGAACAAGTCGTTGTTGTTTTGCTTGCGTCCCAATTGCATGCCTCTTGCTTTTGTTGCCGGTGCCTTTGGTGCAGGGTTGCTAATAAAAACAAGAACACAAGATGTTAGATGATCTCTCTGGGTACAATTTCTTTGTTGTTGTTCCTTGAAAAGTGACACGTAGCAAATTTCTGCAGGCATACTTGAACTTTGAGGCACTGTCATCAATGGATGGTGACTCGTATCCCTGGCTGCTGCCCATACCCATGCCTCCCATGCCTCCCATACCCCCCATGCCGGAGCCACTGCTCTGACCACCGTAGCCACCGCCACCTCCCATGCCCTGGCTGAATCCGCCGCCTCCCCCCATCCCGCCCATGTTTTTTCTCTGCTCCTTGCGTTGAAGGTCCAAGATCTTTGCCCTGCGTTTCAATTCCTCCTTTGCCTCGCGCTCCTTGTTCTATATTAAGAAAAGAGTGTATCAGTCGAAAGTTAGTAAACATATCGAAAGAAATCGAAAAAAGTAATAATCCGAGTGCCGGATGCCGACTACGATGTTACCTTTTCGATCATCTCTTGGATCTTTTCTTCGTGACTCTCCATCTCGGAGATGCTTCCGACCTGGGCGAGGTTGACGTTCTCACGGTAGCCCAATGAGATGATCTCGTCGAATGAACTCAACAGCTCAAACGCGTTCCTGTCAATTTCGCGCGCATCCGTCGGTCTGCAGGTCGACGACACCACCCTCGACACCAATTGCAGTGTATCGATATCTATAAAGGTATATATAAAACAATCAATATCACATCCGGTAAGAAGATCCTAAAACAGAATAAGTCTCCGATGGGCAAAATGTTACCTTGGAGAATATTGGACTGCTTGTTGGTGATAAGGACGATGAAGAGCTCTTCGAGCGGCTGGTATACATAGCGAACATGATCTGTCTCGATGGTCGTGTGCTGCTGTTCGTTGCTGGTCAACTTGGGGAACGAAGCAATCAACCCCTCAATCCTGGCTCGCGTCATCTCCCGGAACTGACGCGAGATGAGTGCTAGACAATTGATTCCCAGAATAACGAGATGGAAAGTTTTAGTTTCTTGCTTTGGTCGCCTAATCCAAGAGCACTCAGGGTCTGAGTGCTCCCTTTCTTCTTTAGTTTACCTTTGCCACTCTTGGTGCAAACAGAGATTGCGAGAACAACCTATATATAGCGACATGGAAGAGATGGCGTGTCGTCGTCAGCATATGGTGCCATGCTACCCTCTGCTTCCTCCTCCTTGTGTGCGGCAACAACTACATGTCCTGCTGAACAATATATCGTCCTTGCAGGCTAATGTTTGTTCCTCTCCGTGATAGGTGTTGTCGTGGTCGCGGCTTCTTTCCATTACCATGTCGAACGTGTAGGTGGTAGTAAGGTTGATGAGTGTGCCTGCTTGAAAAGTACTTGGCCTTCTTGGCCAGTCCAAAATGACGTCACACACTTCCGCCCAAGCGCGAACCGGGCTCATTGGGCGCGGCGAATTTGTCGTGTTGGTTGACAAATCCACTACATACACTCAGCGCAGTATACTTTTTGGTGCATTTGCTTGTCCGCATGATTGCATCCCGCACTCACATAAACCAGATTATCAATCAGCCCCACGTCTCTTTTTCTTTGACCATTGCCTCTTTGCTTCCTATGCTGCCCATTCGTCGTTTATTGCCGTTATTGCTAAAACCACGTACTCGTAGCTTGCTAAGTTGTTCTAGACCTATGGCGATATCGCCGCATGAGGATGGCGGAATGGAACACTCCTGCTGTCGAATGTTGTCTCTCTCAAGTCACCAGCGCTGATATAAAAGGACCGCCTTTCGCCTTCATCCTCACCTTCAGCATTCTCAAGCTTCGCTCTCAAGCAACCACAACAACTCGAATCCACCAAACCCCAACTCCAAAAACACAAACACACATCCCACAATGGTCAAGGTCCTCGTCATCGGTGCCGCCGGCTACATCGGTCTCCGCGTCTCCCAGCAGCTCCGCCAAGCAAACCATATCGTCTACGGAACCACCCGCTCGTCTGCCAACGAATCCACCCTCTTCTTCAACGAAGTTATCCCCATCGTCGGCCCTGTCGAGCCCGAATCCTCAGACTCCCACTCCATCCTCCGCCCTTCAGCCACCCTCCCCTGGCTCGAAACCGTCAAGTCTGAAAACATCGACGTTGTCATCGACCTCTCGGCTTCCGAGAACGGCGCCAAGACCATCCTCGAGCCCCTCATCCGTCTCTCAAAGGACCGTCAAGCCAACCGCCAGCCCCGCATCGGATACATTTATGGCTCTGGTATGTGGCTTCACGGATCTGGTGACAACGTCTCCTCAGACCTCGTCCCCGTCGGCACCAAGACCTCCCTCCACCAACCCCCTACCCTCGTCGCCTGGCGCCCTGAGTTGGAGCGCGAGGTCCTGGGATCCTACGAACACCTCTACGCTGCCATCATCCGCCCTTCCCTCGTCTACGGCGGCGATGGCAAGATCTGGGACGTCTACTTTGAACCGATCTATAAGGCCATCCAAAACAACACCCCCATCACCCTCCCCGCTGACCCCGAAGCAGGCATCTCCCTCGTCCACGTCGACGACACCGCCTCAGCCTTCGTCGCAGCCGTCGAAAGACTCGAGTCCATCTCGGGCAACAAGGCCTCCTACCCCGTCTATGATGTCACCACCTCCCACGAGAGCCTCGCCTACATCCTTACAAAGTTTGCAAAGGAGCTCGGATACAAGGGCCCCCAGATTCAATTGACCGGTGTTCCTGAGGGCAAGGGTTTCCCAGAGACCTTTATCCAGGCTTTCAACACCAAGAATTCGTCTGGAAGCACTCGTGCCAAGACTGTGTTGGGTTGGAGGCCTACCAAGATTGGATATGCAGTTGGTTTGAATGTCTATGCCCGCTCTTGGTTGGCTGGCTACAAGCAGCGCTCCTCTGCTTAAGAGTGGAAAAGGACAAGTTTGGATGTGGATCTCACTCCTTTTTCTCACACCCTCTGCCCCATTGTTATTTTTTTTCAGCGCTTTCACGTTCTTATACTTGCACGTTGATTTGTATGCTTTGCGCATGACGCATGAGCCGTCAAGAATTATCAATGAGCCCTCTAACCCCAGTATGAAATAAAACAACAATATTCATGATACATTTGTTTGAATGATGCAATGAGAATGAGGAATGCCGTCAAAAATGATCAAAGAATAGGACGTGAGTACTTTTTCGCCTGGAACTCGACATGCTTGCTTCTCGTCAAAGTATCAAAATATCCGCAGCGTGTAAACTTCATCCAAGAGAGAGAGAGAGAGAGAGAGAGAGAAAAAAGACATTCATGCGCATTGCTCAAGTCAACAATGCGGGGGGCATGAATGATTGCCATGGTTGCCATGAAAATATACGCAAAACAGTTTCAAGTTTATGCTTGATTAGGTTCTCAAGTCTATGATTTTACTTTTGTCTTTTTGGGTTAGCATAAAATAATAAAGGAAGAACGGATAAACGGAAAAATCGCGCGCCTGTAGACGACAAGAAAAAGAAAGAAACTACGTACATTCAGCAGAGGGCTCAGACGCCTCCGCCGGCAAATTCGACAGCGCAGCAGCCAATGTAACCAATGATCCGTAAACAGCAATCACGGTCAAGATAACAGCCAATCGCATATTTGTCTCCTCCTTGCTCAACTCCTCCAATGCGTCATCCACAAGAACAACATCACCTTCCGCCAAAGAACTCAGACTCGACGCGACGGGCTTGCTCTCTGCAACTGGCAACAGATCCGCTTGCATGACAACAAAGGATTTGAGTGTGGGCGCCAACACTTGGCGCAGCATATCCACCTCTGGCGCTGCAAGGCCGAAGCGTGCCAAGATCCTGTCAATGTCGCATTCGTGGTCTGTCGCGACTGCCGCAGTATTCTCGGGAGCACTGACATCTTCCTGGTTGCCGTTGGTGTTGTTGCGAGGGGAAAGGATCGAGCTCAGGCGAGTGCCAATGCCTCGGAAAAACGACGATATTCCACGACCCCTTGAACCCGACATCGAATGAGAATGGCCTGTTGCGCCATTACCATTACTGATCAGTCCACCATTGGCCTCGAACCCAACAGCACTTGCGGCCCAAAGAGCGCAGTTGCCATGCTCGACCCACTCCGCGGTCGATGTCTCTCCCAACCAAGGGCTAGGTCTGGGGCAACTGGAGCCATCGTCATCCTGCCCCGCGGCCGCGTCATCCTTGCGCGCAATGCCGGTGTCTAGAGGAGAGAGCTCGGTCGTGGTGGGTCTCCTAGATCGTCTCAGCTTGAAATATCGTTTTTTAAGACGACGATTCTCAGCCTCCATCGTAACTGGGATCGAGCTGACGGATGGAGACTGGATCTGATGCGGTGGTTGTTGTTGATCGAGGTTCTGCTGTTGCCGTCGCTGTCTCTGAATCTGAGACTGCTGAAGCTGGTGTTGGTAGTAATGATCCGGATCATCAAAATGCAAGCCCTCCAGCTTCTTACACAACGGGACAATGACATCCCTCAGAAGCGCCTCCTTAAAGTGCCGAGGCTCCAGCACCAAGAACCTTAATGTCCGATTGACACCCCTGACAATCTCTGCAATCCCCGTACTAGTCAACTGCGTCGACCCGAGCTCCAATCTCTCCAGAGGCGAGACAATCTGTTTCCGTGATGGACTCGGAAGGGTATCTGGCAAGATGGCACCCAGCGGACTGGTGGGGCTAGGCAAGCTGTCAGAATCGACCCCAAGACCTTCAAGAAGCTCGACATCCCGAGCCAGTGACTTATGAACCGCCAGAACTCTGAGCTTGGGACACTCTGTCAGCAAGCTCGCAAGGGCACCGCCTCCGACATCGACACAGCTAGTCACCGTGAACACCTCGAGACAATGGCTTGCTGCGACAATCAGCTTTGCAATGGCGCTATCCGTGACAGATCCTGGGCCGAGAAAGACCTGCGAGAGTCGGCATGGCGGGGTCATGTGGAGAGGCATAGAAAGTCCTGTCTGCTGCTGCTGTTGCTGCTCTTGCTGGAGACGTCTTTCCTGACTTGCTGTTGCCTCAGAGCTAGGTGGGAGGCTGGTGGCGGAAATGATACCCTTGGTGAGAGCACCAAGCAACTGATTGTCAACGAATCCGCCTTGGAGCCGAAGATATTGGAGTCGCGAGAATCCTGATCCAAAGAGTCGCTCGAGCTCACTGGGCGTTTCGAGGCCGGCAGCCTGCATCTTTTCATTAGCACGCAGGTCCAGTGCCTTGACTTGATCTCGGCAGCGGGATCCGATGCACTCGAGGACGCTCACAAGCAAGTGAGGGGACGCCTGTGGGTGAGAAAAGTTCAGTACGATGTTCCTGGGCATCTGCCGGTATGACCACCGAGGCATCAGAACGGGCGATTGCAGATTTGAAGGCGAATGTGATTGCGATGCAGGCGACCTTGCCGATTCGACGCCAGTGGTACTGTGACGACGGAGAACTCCGGATCGGTCTTGGGGTGAGGGCATCCGCGCTTGCTCTCGTTGTTGTTGTTGACCATCACTTAGGGCAGCAGTGGTCTGCGCTGGGTACCGAACTCCGTTGAACCGCTTGACGGATTGCTGAACAGAGTCGACCAAGGTGGACCGAACCTGGGTGGGCTCGTTCTCATCGAGGACAGAGAGAAGTGCCGGGGCTGACTTGACTGGGTTATTGTCCTTGACGGTATCGAGACCAAGGCAGCTTGCATCCGTCTGAGAAACAACAGGCTGACTGCTGGTTGAGGTTTCACCGTCGCCGCGCAATGTTGAAAGGAGAGCCTGGACTTGAAATGAATCATGTCCATGAAAGACAATACCTTTCCAAAGCGACCGCACGGCAATGTCTGCAAACCTCCTGTTGACAAGCAAGAGTTGGAAGGGTGCCGAGAGCTCAATGCTGTCGGTGTACTCGTCGTCGATCCGTTCGCTGCCGCTGCTAATTGTCCTGCCCCGAGTCTCGACCGTGTTTGTATTATTAGCAATAGCGGATGGTGATGATGATGCAATTTGAGGGGTTGCAGATGGAATGAGTCCGTCCATGTACGTTTTAGACGGAAAAGAGACATTTCGTCCTTCCAGGGTCACGCTTGAGTTCAGGGTCATACTCCTGGCTCGTCGTCGATTAGCATGTGAGACGACAGCATGCATACTCTGAAGCTCCTGTGCTAGACTCTCAAAGTGGCCCGTGCCTTGGTCCCAAGATTGTGCTCGAGTGAACGCATGATGGGGGCTTGTCCTCGAAAGGGGTTTCAGCTCAGGCAAGGGACTTTCTTCTGCACTAATAGACGATCCTCCTGCAGCCACAAAAAAAAGGGGAGAAATGAGGAGAAGGAGAAGGAGGAGAAGGAGAAGGAAAGGTAAAGAGAAAAAATGAAGTAACGAAATTGTTAGAGCATGAAAGGAATGGTAAAAACAGTGCAGGCAGGAAAGAAGAGGGGTTTTGCTAGAAAAGGACGCGTCTGCAAAACTCTTTCGCGCCAATGCGTACACAGCAAACGAAAACAGGTAGAATGATGGGTAAACGAATCTCAAAAATAAAAGAGATGTGGTCAAGGAGATGGAAATAGCAATAAGGAGTGACAAAAGGCGGCGCCCAAGAATTGCTGTGGATATGCACATGCGGCCGGGATAGAGATGGTTGCACGAAAAGATAAGGCTCCTTCTCTTCTCTCCCCTTCCCTCTTGTACGCCTTTTCATGTGCAGTACAGTGCATGTACTTGTTCTTTACCTGGTATTACTGTCGCCTTTGACTCGCTACCTCCTTCAATGAGCCCCTGTCCTTGGTTCTGGGCTCGACGCGATATGAATGAAAATGCAGCTGAAGCAAACGAGGCTGACGGTGTTGAAGGAAGGATCGATTGGTTGGGCTGTAGAGGAGGATGATGGTGTAGAGATGTGGTTCGTCTTGGAAGATGCCGTGACCAGAAAGATGAAGAGTCTTGGTAATGAGAGGAGGGTTGGCGTCGTTGGTGTGGCCCGGGATGATCGCTCCACTGTTGTTGAACACTGTGAGGACATAATTGAGAGCCTTTGCGACCGAGACCGAGTCTAAAGAAGTTGAACGCTCTGTCGTGTGCAGTGAAATTAAGTTGGTCTTCTCTTTCCTCCGCCGCTACAAGTCTCCTCCTCCTCTTCCTCACAATGGACTCGCTCGTGCTACTGTTGCCACTGCCATTATCTGCCACACGATTACTGTTGGTGTTTCCGCCATCGGCAGTGCTCATGTTGTTGTAATCGGATAGTCTATTGGTGCTACTGCTGAACACAAAGGCTCGAAGTCGTTTCGACCGTGTGTTGTGCGAAGCAGACGCGGCAGTGCCAAGTTGTTTTGTTTGGGGAAGTGGACCATGACAGAGGGAGCAATGGTAACAGTCATGGCAGAACTGGCCATCGGCTGTAATCAAGGGACAGGACCAGAGGAGAATGTCGAGGTCCTGACTGCAGTAGGCCAGGATCAAGCACAGAATTTCATCGGGCAGGTCGAGGAGTTGGCGCGGGCGAGGGCGAGGTCGGGGTCGAGGTCGAGATGGTATTGTCACACTCCTGGCGTTGTTGCTGTCATTGTGGGTGGCGTATGTATTGCTGAGTGTCGGTATGCTCATGCTTGTTGACATTGGGATAAGGAAGAAAGGGTCAAGAGACAGAGCGGGAGAGAGATAAGGAGAGAGAGAGGACAGGCGGCACCGCGACAGCGTAGGAGACAACAAATATGGACAGTAAACCTGCGGCAAAGAGGGGAAGGACGAGACCGAAAGAAGAAAAGAAAAGAGAAAAAAAAAGTTAGGGCTTGCTAGGGGAAGGAGGGACAGGGAAGAAAACGACTAAGTGCGTACAGACGGGTAGTGGGAAAGTGATGCGACAAACAGACACCCTATATACGCAATGTGCGGTTTGTTGAGGGCTAGGAGACAGAAACAGAGAGAATGAATGAAAACAAGAGGGAGAGGGGTGGGCAGGGATTGCAGGATGCATAATCATAGAAAAGGGGACAGATCGATCACCGAGACACAGGGCATTCGCTTTTGTTTTCTTTTGTTGGTGCTGTCTTCATTGTGGTTGTTGTTGTTGTTGTTGTTGATTGCGAATGGTCACACTGCACTGCACTTTTGGTCACACACAGCAAGGTTGTTGTATATGCACAATGCTCCAATGAGGTGTAGTAGAAAGAGTACAACAGTCGAGACGCACATGCAAGCAGACAGAAAGCGATGTGGCCTCGTAGTGGCAGTTGTTTAGGGGTCTTGTTGATGCGTTGTTGATGTTGTGAAGGCGAATGTGGATGCCAGGGTGGAGTTGTACTTTGCGCACTGGCCAGAAAAAGGCATTATAAGGGAAGTGATAAAAAAAGACGAGAGTGAGACTTACAAGGCAGGTGATATGGTGATGGATGATGGCTGGGAACTGATGGTGCCTGAGTTTGATGATAATTTAAATTACGAGGTGAGAAGAAGAAGAGGAAAGAGACCCTGAAGAACGGGAAGACGTCTATATGTGTATAATTGACAAAGAGTGAACGAGAGAAAGGAAGGGAAGGAAAGGAGAAAGAAGGTTGAAGGGGAGAGAGGAAGAGAGGGTGAAGGAGGAGATGAAGAGAGGGTGAAGGAGGAGAGGAAGAAAAAAAAGTTACAAGGTGATAAGGAACAAACGAGTGGATAAAAGAACGATTGGAGAGAGGGAGGAAGAGAATAGTAAGAGTGAGGATGAGAATGAGATTGAGAGCGAGAAAGAGAGGGCAAGAAAAGAAAGAGTGAGCGAGAGAAAGAAAGAAAGAAAGAGAAGACGAGAAGGGAGGAGTGAGAGAGTGAGAGGGTAAGGAGTAAGAGGGATAAAGACAATGAGCAAAAAGAACGAGAGAGAGGAGACAGAATGAGGGAGAAAAGGAGAAAACGACCCGTTGTTACGGTCAAGTCCAAACGGATGCGATATGGCACATCATCGTACATTTGTTTCCTTTCCTCTTCCCCATCTTGCAATCCCGCACTGACTGCACCTTTGCTGTATTGTCCAGCCTCCAATGGTCGGGCCTTTTCTTTCTCATTTGCGGTAAAAAAAAATGACAAAGGGCAATCAATTACTACGCGGACGAACTGCAAGACTGTCATCTTTTCCATATAGCTGAACACTAAATGCGAGTAAGCAGAACATCTCTCCCTTCACATTCATCTTCATCTTTATCCTCTTCTGCACAGTGACAAAAAGAAGACAAGATCTTGTCTGAGCGTGGTTGACTCTTTCCCCCCATCCCCCATCCCACTCAAACGATGCAACTCCTGTCCGTCTGTCCGTCCGTCCTCTTCCCTCGCCACATACCCCATGTGTGCAGAATGGAGTTCTGCCTTGCCCTGTCTGCCCGCCCGTTTTTTTTTCTCGCTCTGTCAACCCGCAGGATAGCAACAACAATCAACAAACAAGCAAACACAAACATAAAAGGAGCATGTAACATTTTATGCTCTTGGGCTGCGAATGAGGTGCCACAAGAAATAAATCACATCTCGTGTTTTCTTCTCTTTCGCCCCAAACATCTTTTTTCTCCCTTCCCTCCTCTTTGAGAAAAGAGAAGAAAGCAGCATATGTCTGCTGCATAATGAGCTCATGTGCTGTGATGTGTGGGGAGTAGAGTAGGGTGCACCATTTCCGCAATTCTCCCAAGCGATCCCTCTACTATCATTCACGGTTTTTTTTCCTCCTCGGACTGGAAAGACGAAATGCAAAGAAGAGATAGATGTAGCCGAAAATTGAGAGAAGGAAATGCACAAGAATTGAAACCTTCCAATTTACAAGACGCCGCTAAAACAGACAGAAGAGATGGCGAGAAGTGGGAGGCGGGACAATCTTAAAACAAGAATCGCGAAGAGACAGGAAGAGACAAGAAGAGAGAAAGGACGAAGGATGACTGGTTAGATTCACATTGTTTTACTTCGGGTTGGACATTTTCCGCGATTGGTTTCTTTGGGCGTTTGAGCGCGACAAGAAAGGATGAGAAGGCGCGGATGTGGATCTGGGACACGGGACATGGTGACCTGCCTTTGTACACACAGACGGATAGATAGGTAGGACAAACACACAGGCGGACGTAGGTTAATGTATCGCCGGTCAGGTACCCTCATTCCCTCTTCTTCCTACCTTACCTCCTCTTCTCTTCTCTTCGCCATCCAAAGCTATGGAACAGACGATGAAACATGCATGTCATTGTCCGCTTGGAAACACCGTCGTGCATAGAAATATGTATGTACCACCTACACCTACTCGTACCATACAACACAACAACACACGTCAAGCTACTCACCCACACACGCACACGCACACACAACAATCAACTTGGTCCAGATCCGATTGTCAAGGAGAAAAATAAAAAAAGAAAAAGGGTAGACACCAGCTTGCACACGACGACCCGACGGGAAAAACAGGAAAAAAATGTAAATACCATACACGCTGCATTCTATCCCCTTGTTTCTTTTCTCACAGGTCCAAGTCTCAACTCTCCACTCTCGAAAGTCCCGTGAAGTTGGTACTTTGGTACATATTACGAGAATAAGAGTACAACACCATTTTGTGTGAATGTACATCAATTGATGCTAGCTAAGATGGAGGTACAAGTGTATCCAATTGGTCTGCGAAATAACATACACACTCAGGTCGCTCCCGTCTCCTTCCATTATTACGGCATCACTGCGATCACACAAGGCTACATCCTCCTTTTCTCACTCTTGCACGAGGCTAGGAGACCGGTTAGACCAAAGACTAGGAATAAAATGTGCGATTCGCAAAAGCGGACAGCTTGAACGACAAAGGAGTATGAGAAAGGCGCTTGGATAATCGAACCCTTTTTTTTTCGTTCTTTTGTGACCCCATGTCCTATGGACCCTGATTCTTTTTCTGGACTTGTCTCATGCATCCGTCGTATTTTTGCTTTTCTGCAAGATGGTGGTACAAGAAAAGAAAGGGGAAATAGGAAAAAGAAAGGAGAAATCCAAGAGGGAGCCGTTACCCGTCCCTCTATCTCATTCTCTCTCCCTCCTTCTCTCGCTCAATGGTACCCCGTCCGTCCGTCCATCGAAAGAAAAAGGGCAAGGAGCTCGGGAAGAAAAAAAAAGTTCGAGCAATCGTCTGACTACCAACGCGAAGTGGGACCTGGACCACATTAATATTGCAACACGAGATTACAAAAGTCAAAAGTCGAACGACCCAAGTATCCCCGACTCCTTCACACTGGAAGCAAAAGACCAAGTACGTCCTTCTAGGTTTACTCCTACTTTTATTTGCCACCTTGTCTTCCTTCATGACTGCCACGACTATCACCCATCATGTCCAATTGTAGTTATTTCGCTAGTCGGGTTTGCCTTTACCCTGCCCTTGCCCTAGCTTACCCTTGGCGCGCATTTTGTTTATGCTTCCTCAGCCACCTCCATTGCTCACAGTTTCGAACTATTACCCCTGCTTTGCTTCAAACAAGACCAATCTTCGACCATCGATTTGGAAGAGAAAGAAGAAAAAAATGCAGGGGAAGAAAGAACAGTCAGAGGATAATGACTGAAACGGCGTAGTCCCATACCAGTACCATTCTATTCTTCCCAACACACTTTCTTCCCACCATACAGTCGCAACAACAATAAACAAACGCAAATGCGCCTAGCATGGGCTGACTAACGTGACAAACACAAACAACAACAATGGCGTCGGGTCAATCTTCGTCATAGCCTTGGTGTCCGTTAAGGTGCGTGCAACTAGGTGTTTAAGTCTGTTACACCATCTGGGCATGGCGAGTGCTTGCCTATGCCTTGTTTTGTCTGTGCAGAGTACTAGATCTGTCTCATTCTCATTTCGCTTGTGATCGATTGCTACGAGAGCTAAAACTCAAGCATGGGTCAAAGTGTATACATAAGTTGAATAAGAATCCACTTTTGGAAAGCACAGAGTCAAGTCGTTTGTATATTCTCTCTCTGTCAGATCATCCTTGCCTGATATGCTATGCCTGAGTTCAAGCAGCGATGAAAGTGACATCTCGAGACGCATCAAAGGTTTGACACACAATATGTGAGGGGTACTTTGTCTGCCTGCCGTCAAGGTAAAAAAAGAGAATGACTGAACGCTGGCAAAGAATGTCATATTCAACGCTAGTGCTTCAATGATCGCCTTTAAGGACAGACCAATAGTGCTTAAAGGAGAACAAGTCGCCCCAACGAGTTTTTCCTCTTTTCTTCATGTTTCTATCTCAAAAACAGAAAAAGTGTGTTACATGGATTTAGTGCGGAAAGCTGAGGGCTACAGCGGCAAGAAAAAAATAACTCAATCAGAAATGATCAAAAAAGAATGCCCACTGCAGGGATCGAACCTGCTACCTTCTGCTTACTAGGCAGACGCTCTACCAATGAGCTAAGCGGGCCAATTAAGCTCTTCTGCACTTATTGATGGTCTCCGAGATTTTTGTAAATTTTATTTGAGAAGTACTTTCTGTCACGTGCTGAAATGGTTAAAGCTTAATTGTCACGTGGGAAATGGGTTTAACGTTGCTAATCTTCTTTGATCTGTTTGTAAGGAAACATATGCCCCTGTGGTGACTGGAGCCAAGGACATGGTTACATCAACCGTGATGGTTTCTGCCAGTGTGGCGCTTCGCTAGCCACACATGATGAAGGAAGGTGCCCTGGAGCGACCAAGGACCCACGCGCTGCTGATGAGCGGTTGTTGGAGAGTTTGTTAGGAAGGAGGAGGTTGTCAATGATGGAGAGGATGGGAAGAATCTCCTTCATTCGTATCTAGTTTTAATTTCTTCCGTTTAAGCTGTGAAGAGCAGCGGTAATTGTTGTGCAGAGCCAGGTTTCGGACCGGACTGCAACTGGTGGATGGTGCACTGAAGGGTTTGGTCTGTAGTCCCTTTTTACTTCCAAATGGCTTTTCTATGCTGCTTGTTAGAAAATAAAATTGTGTACGAAAAAAATGGTAGGTCAATTGAAAGTTGATGAACTGTGACATTTGGACGCGTTTTGTTTGATTTTCCAGTTCCTTCTATCTTCTTTCAGTCATGGTGGTCGACCCGATTGGTGGCGTATGGATTGTGAAACATTGAGACAAGTCATGTCGACGACCTGATTGAAGGTGCGAGTGCGATTAGTTTCGTTTGGTCATATCAAGGGACAGCAATTAGTAGAATAACATGACACAGCACAATACAATCATACGTTTCCAGAAAACCATATAGATCTCGATAGTTAAGATGCAAAGCTCTGGTACTTGTGTACCGAGTAAGCGTCCTTGTTCGAAGACTTTCTTTCTCCACAAAAAAAAAAGAGCACAAGCCATCGGTGTGGGAACAGGGTTTAACCTGGCTGACATGATGGTCGCACATTTTTTTTTTTTTTTTTTTTGAAGGAGGGGTAAACAAGGGGGTGGGTGTTTGTGCTTGTGTTTGTGCTTGTGCTTTGTCTTTAGTTTTTTGTTTTGAGAAAGGAAAAGAGGAACGGAGATCACAAGCGCATCAAACAAGGGGCGAGCGTCTGCGTTTTTTTGTTGAGTGGGGTAGAGTCATCGAAAGGACGGAAGGAAATAAAGTAGATAAAGTCAGTCAGTCGACCAGTCAGTTGTCCTCTTGCCCTGCCTGCTTGCGAACCTGTGGGAAGAAGGTCAATCTCCTCTGGAAAGGCAAATAAAGATGGTTTGCGGGGAAGAAGATGGTTTGTTGTTTTGTGGAGTACATGTCAGGCGAGAAGAAAAAAAGGCACAAGGTGCGCGAGTGGTCCAAATTTGATTTGGTGGCAACCAAACAAGAAAAACCTTGTTCTTGACAAAGAAAAAAAAGATTGTGCCTGACAACGAGAGAGTATGAGAGGGTATCAATTGAGCATGTTCATCGATTGCTCAAGAGGGACGCTGATATCGATGTCGATGGATGCAGAGAAGAACCCTTGGTGATGCAAGGTAGCTTCCTATCGAACTGCAAGGCGGCAGTGAGCAGAGAAGAAAAGAAAAAAGCTTGGCTAGTTGGTTAGTGAAGTGATTGAGTTAGTGTGCGCAATAGTAGTAAAATGTACCCCCCTTTTCCCCTTGCACCATCATTTTCCTAACCCCTTTGTCCTTTTTTTTTGGACTGAAAGGCCAACTCTATATCATGTCCCATATACAATATGCCCCCCTAATTCTCATTTCCTGCCTCACTCTGACCTTCTCGATACTCATCACAGAAGATAACGACAGCAGCGACGAGCACCTTTTAGGTGCTTGAACAAACAAACCGCAGGCCAGCAAGCAATATCAACCAGCGAGGTTATTTTGTTTGCAGCATGCCCCATTGTGTTGGATCACTCTCTCTCTTTTTCTCTGATCTTTTCTGCACTTCCTTCTTTCCTCCCTTCCTTCCTTCCTCTCTTTCCTTTCTTTCTTCCGTTCTTCTTTTCCTTCCCTTCTCTTCCCGTTTCTTCCCCATTTCCTCCCTCCCTCTCTCCTGCTTCTTTTCTCTCTCACTCCCATTCACCCATCGACATCCATCACCACTCCCCACTCTCTTTCTGATTCTCGATTCATTCCAGTCTTCTTCCATTTCTCCACCACAGCAGCACCACCCTCCAGCCTGGACACAACCCTTGTCTCACCATAACTTCGCCCGACCTGCAATCACTCAAAACTCTCGGACTTTTGCCTCTTTTACGTCCCGCTCCTACTTTCCTATCCTTCCAGCGCCAAGATTCCCATGGATACATCGTCATCACATTCTACAGGCGAATCGTCGCCTACGTTGTCAACTACAACGTTATACAAAGACAACAGCAACTCGCTATCAACAGCCTCATCCGATACTCCCTGGACCTCCACGTCTGCTTCGTCATCATTATCTTCATTCTTCTCGCAAACACAAAGCAACAACAGCAGCAGCAATAATAGCAGCAAAAATAATAAGGAGGCACACGACGACGACCACGACAGCAGGGACACCGACTCTGATACAGACAGCGCTCCTACTCCTACTCTTTTGCCCACCTCCTTATTCCTCGTCAAAAGCAACAACACCACCACCACCAATGAGTACTCTAAAGGCAACTGTTCACCCATGGACGACGATGATTGTAAATCCATCACTACTATCAACAATAGCAGTACACGATATACACCAACACTGCCCTCGGAGCTGATCCTGTTCATGTTCAGGTTTTTGGCGGCAGCGCACGACCTTCGGTCCGCAATCTTGGTCTGCAAACTGTGGTGTAGCTGTGGGATGGATCTCTTGTGGTCCAAGCCCGCCTTCTTGACCATCCCCGTCGCGGAACGGATGGCCCAGACGTTGTCGTTACCAAGCACCATATTCCCCTACGCCAACTACATCCGTCGACTCAACCTATCGTTTATAGCACCGGATGTGACCGATTCAATATTGATCCAGTTTGCGCCCTGTGTTCGTCTTGAGCGACTTCTTCTCGCAGGGGGCAACAAAACAACGATGGTGGGGCTGCAGCATGTACTCTCTGGATGTCCAGGACTGTATTCGCTCGACCTTTCTGATATTCCTGCAGTGACGGATGCATTGATCGAGTATGTGGCGGAAAAGTGCCCCCGACTGCACACACTCTATATTGGGTCCTGTTCTTCCCTTACCGACGACTCTATTGTCAAGCTCGCCACAAGCTGTCCTCAACTCAAGCGGGTATGTTTTATTCAATTGGATGCATGTTGATATGTAGACACGTTGGTTCTGGTTTTTTTTTTTTGGTCAGGGTGCATGATGCTCGTACGATCTGCGATGATGGTATTTGGATGGGAATGGACATTTTTTGGGTTATTGTTTTTTGTTGAGACAGTGAGAGAGAGAGAGAGAGAGAGAGGGAGAGATCTGCTATGTTTGTTTGTTGGGTGGGAGGGATGTTTGTCCCGCAATCGATATTGCTTTTCTCTTTTCCCTCATTGCTTCCATTGTTGCAACAACAAGAGTGTATCGGGCTTGGACTGTGAAGGTGGAGAGCAATGGGAGGATGACCAGAGTGAACTAACCTGATGACCTTTACTTTTTCCTTTGTTGTTACAAATAGATCAAGCTGAGCCAGTGTTCTCTGTTGACCGATCGTGCAGTCCTTGCCTTGACTGAGCATTGCCCTCACCTGATCGAGATCGATCTGACCAACTGCAGCCTAATGACTGATACCGCCATCCACTCTATCTTTGAATCCCTGCCCCAGATCCGCGACATCAACATGACCCTCCTCTCCCACCTCACCAACGCTGCCTTTTCATCCATCAGTCCTAAGACTCACCGCTTCGAACAGCTTCGAGTCCTCAACCTTACCTCCTGTGCCAACATCACCGACGAGACTCTTCTTAAAATCATTCCCGCTGCCCCACGATTGCGAAGTCTGGCTCTCACAAAGTGCGACAAGATCACCGACGCTGGCGCAAGTGCCATCAAGACGCTGGGCAAGCACCTTCACTACCTCCATCTAGGTCATTGCGCAAAGATCACGGATCGACTTATCGTGGGGCTCTCTCAAGTCTGCACCCGGATCCGGTACCTGGATTTGGCTTGCTGCACAAAAATCACCGACACGTCCATCTTTGCGCTGGCGCAACTCCCCAAGCTGCGTCGAATTGGACTCGTCAAGTGCTCAAACATCACCGACTATGGTATCTATGCCATGCTGGTCTCCCAGATCCTGCCCCAGACTCTTGAACGTGTTCATTTGTCGTATTGTGTCAACCTCTCGGATACCGCGATTGCTTCCTTGGTCACCCAGTGCCGCAAATTGACCCACCTGTCTCTCACTGGAGTCCCAGCCTTTACCTGGCCGCGTTATCAGATGTTCTGCCGAGCCCCACCACCCGAGTTTACGGCGCACCAGCGGGAAGTGTTTTGCGTGTTCTCGGGAAAGGGCGTTCGGGATCTGAGAAAGTACATGCACGAGAACGTGACGATTGCAGCGGCGCCAGCCAACTTGGCCAACATCCGGGCTAGTTACAGGATGATGAGCTCAGCAGTGTCGTCGATGTTGGCCGAATCAGAAGGAGTGGAAGGACCTGAACCTGCGGTATCATTACCGCCTTTCCCCGAAGGATCGGCGCTTTGGGCGCAGATGGGCGCAGCTGTTGAGGTGGCACCGAGCGAGCCTGCTATGGTTATGGACATTGTGACACCATTGTTGACGGATGAGCAGGAAGGGGTTGAGGAGGGAGGACCTACGCCATTAGCCTTGCAGGGCTTCCAAGAGCTGGACAACATGAGTCAGAGTTCACAGGACGATATGGAAGGCGTCGTTATGAGCGAACAGGATCCCCTTCCAGGACCAGCAACAACAATACTGGTGGTACAATCATCATCGTCCTCAGAATCGTCGGGCCTGCTGGTATTTCGGAGCGGTGGAGGACAAAGCTCTGTGTTTCGGGATGGTGTTATACCGCCTGACGATGACAATGGATTTCCTTCTCTTCAGCATCCAAGTCATAACCACCATTGCCTTCAAGGTCATCGAGAGCTGGAACTGGGCGGCAGATCGAGCCTTATGGAATTGGATGATCCTGGACAGGAGACCATCGGTGATGACTGTTTGCGAGTATCTAGTCCCGGCACATTAGCTAGGTCGCTGAATCGAGAGGGTGAGGGAAGTGGAGCAGGGAGCACTAGCCCTGCGGAAGAAGAGGAGGAAGAGGATGGCGATGATGATGACGACGACGACTTTTGAGTAGGTCTAGGTTTAGTTCGAAGGAGGGTGCAGGCAGTTAATTGGTCGATAAAAGACACGTATTTCATGCGAGCTCCCTTCTCCTTTGGCGTTGATGTCATTACTACAGCCACATCCACCCTGGGCTTAGACATCTTTTCTCACACAAAAAGTTCACACGAATGCTCTCTCTGGTTTACTTCATTCTTGTTTCTTCCATTCTGATTCCACAGCTACATTCACCTTCACCACCACCACCACTCCCTCTAACACCAATAACACAAAACAAGGACTCACACGTCAAAGGTTCGCGCTCTAATCAGCTTGAATCGAGAAGTGACCAGCACTCGTTTACAACCTCCATTCACATAACTAAATGTAAAAAAAAACGCAACCTTCGTAGATACAATGGCTATCGTGTACGCAGATGAACTGCACATCGCCCACCTAGACGACGGGTCAGGGCCCAAAGCCCCCGTAAAGATCTCGACATTCGAAAAATCCCACTGGAAGATCGTGCCCCACCCGGTTCAACCCCACGTCGGTCCAAAAGTCGCAGAACTCACCTCTGTCTGGTGGCTCGACGTTACCGCTATATTCTCGCAGGCGACGTCTAATGCGCCAACCAGGGCTGGGAGGCATAAAGTCGAGTGGAAGATGAATCTGAATGTTGCCGAGACGGATAATGTGGTCGTTGGGACCGAGTTCCGTGCTATTACTTTCCGCAAGGATGAGGTTTGTTCTTTTGTCTTTTTTTTTTTTTTTTTTTTTTTTTTTAAAAGGATTTGTCCGTGGGACTTTGCTGAGCTCGAGGGCTTTGTTTTTACTCACACCCTTTTTTTGTGTGTTCTTTCTTTCTTTCCTAAAAAAACAGGACCCGAATTCGTCGGTAGTCCAGGAGAGAGAACCAGCGATACGGTTCAAACCCCAGACGCTCCAAGAATTCATGTCCCACACCGATCGCCCAAACTCAATTCCGGCACTCCCGAAATCCCTCCAGCAGGTCAATGACCTCAATGCGCGACCTGGGAATTATGATCCGGATCAGCAGGGGTTCTTTACGTTGACGTTGCCTGGGGAGGTTGTTGTGCAGGAGGATCCTGGGGAGGGTGGGGGCAGCGAAGGGAATGTTTTGGTGCAGATGAGGAACCATGACAAGTAAGTTGCACTGTTGGATTGGTTTTTGGAGGGGAAGGATTGGATGACGAGGAAGTGAGCCGGCATGGGGAAGGGGGATGAAAAAAACCCCCCGAGGGACTGTGCGGTTGTGTGGGAAAGGAAAAAATGGTACGGATTATCATTGCGGATGCTGACTTTCCTTCTCTTTTGCTTTGCTTGAATAGGACTGTGAAGATGGGGATGCAGATCGAGTACGTCAAGTTGGTTCACATCGAGTAAACCGAGCAAGGCATTTGTTTTCTCACCTCTGTCCTCTCTCACCGATTGCACGAGATGGTACTTCGGAAACAGTTGCAACGATCATATGATCATATGAGTTTGTATTCTTTTTTTTTTCTTGAATAAACATATTCCAAAATGCACTTCGGATATTATTTTTATTCATATTGCTTTTGAAGTTGCATCCCTATTATTCAGAGGGTGCGGACAGGGGTAGGCTTGTATCGTTGACGACGCGAGGATCCTTGAGAGTTCATATTCATGTGCATGTTAATCGCCGCTAGCTCGAGAGGGTCTTGGTTCTGGAAGAAGTATGACTGCTCACCAAGACCGACGGCTTGTTGTTGTAAAGACAGAGGCGGACACTGCTGTTGCTGTCGTTGTTGTTGGAATTGACCTATCAGACTGGTGTAAGCTGGTGGTGACAGCGGGGACCTAGACCCTGTAGAGGATGAAGGCGATGCGGAGGACAGGGACGAGGGTGGGGAGGAAGACAGGCTGTTGATTAAGGCAGGGAGGTTGTTGACGCTGCTGCTGTTGCTGCTGTGTGTGGGGCTTGCGGGTCCGGTTGACATGGCGACTGTCATTGCTGCGTATTCCATGAGCTCGTGGGTCAACGGGATAGCAATCGGCGATGTGACAAACCCCGCACTGCCGTTACCCAAAGGGCTCTGATAACCCAAGTGCTGCTGTTGTTGCTGTTGCTGTTGCTGGTAGGCCTGTTGGACATGCTGGTACAATTGTCGTTGGTAGGCGGTCAATTGCTGCATGGCCTGCTGCTGTTGTTGGAAAGTCTTGCCTCGACGGAGGACAGGCATGGATGCAGACCGTGACTGACCATTGACACCGCCCGGACGACCATTCCTACCACCATGTCGACTTCCTTTTCCATTACTAGCTCCTCCTCCTGCGCCTCCTCCTGTTCCGATAGTTCCAAGACTTGCACGACGGTCAATCAACTGTGAAAATGAACCACCATACTGCTGTCGAAGTTGCTGGAGGTGTTGCTGCTGCTGATCACGGTGGAACCGTTCTCCGTGACTGGACCGGGCCTGAACCTGGTTCCCAAACAGCTGTGCCAACTCGAGCAGTCCCATCTTGGTCCCTCGACTTTCCCTATGTTCCTGAACTCGGCCCCAGTAGTCCTGGCTCGCACCCACACCCGTGTGACTGTATCGTCTCTGCTGCTGCTGATGCCCTTGTTGGAAAGGACCACCGACACCACCGTTTTTGAGAAAACTGTTCTGGTTATTCTGCTGCTCCTCCTGAGCAGCAGCAGAGGCAAGCTCATTCTCCATCCGCCTCATAAACTCAGTTAACTGCGCAAACTGGACTGGGCACTCCTTCGCAAACCCGGCCATCAACTGGACAAAACACTGTTCATCCCTCGCCCTCAACTCCTGTAACCGTGTCAGGAACTCCATCTGCGTCTGTCGTTGCGCCCGTTGCGCCTCAGCAGCTTGAAAGAAAGCCCAAGGCCCCGGAAGGAAGTGTGCGGGGGAAGGGGTGGGTGCAAAGAGGGTAGTGGGCGGGTCGAGTTCCATCATCGATGGTTCACGACAGAGGGCGCGGATGGAGGGGAGGTCGATGTCCATGAAGGATTTGTGGCCACGGGTTGTTGTTGACTGGCGACGGAGGAGAGGCGGTGGGCGGCTATGGGTATGGTTATGACCATGGTTGTGGGCGTGGATGTGATGAAGGGGACTGGTTCCTGGAGGTTGTGCGGTTGGGAAGGGAGAGTAGTCGTTGGAGAGGCCGCCGAGGCCGAGGAGGGTGCCGTGGCGGTTGCGGAGGTCGATGGAGCGGCGTTTCCGGTAAACTGTTGGGGCGTGTTTGAGGATTGCTAGTTTTGACTGACCGAGTTGGGGTTTCATTTTTGTTGAAAGGAGGGTGTGAGTTGAGAAGTATGAAGAGTGAATGAGGAAGCAAAGAGTTGAAGGAAGGTATGAAGAAAATAAATACGGTTCGAGCGAAAAAAATGAGGGAGTTAGAGTAGACGTTGTGGAGAGAAGTGTGGAAAGGTGAGTGAGGAAAGTGCCAAAAAAAGATAGGGGAAAAGAGACGAAGGATGATAGGGAGAGGAAAGGCGAAAGACGGGAACGAGGAAGAGAAAGGAAGAGGGGGTCAAAAAGAAAAGCAAGCGAACAGGACGAGTTGCATGAATAGGGCGTCAATGCAAAAGAAAAAAGGGAGGAAAGGGACGAGGGAACTCACTCTATCCTGCCTGTACCATCTCTTTGTATCTTTGTGTACCCTGTCCTGTTCTCGCATATCTGTCTGGACATGGGGCATGGACTGGATTTGATCGGTGATGTCATGCGGAGCATTCTTGTATGGTAAGGGGTAAGGTATGGCAAGTCTCAATCGGGCAATTGGTTGCGTTTGCCCTTTGCCACCATTTTGACACTAGAAGATGGATGGTGTGGCGCATTTCGCAGATGCTGCGTGTTCTTAATCGGCGCACGAACACGCGAAGCGCCCAACTGGAGATAACATCATCAAGCGGATTAAGGGTCATCTATTTAATTTCGCCTCAGTGTTCACGCTTGCTGTCTTGACCCTCTCACCTGCCTTTACTTTCCTCCCCTCTCCTCCTTCCTCTCCACTTTCACTCTCACACAAGGTACGCGTGCCTCCCCCTCCCTCTCCCTTACTGCCCGTTGTCCACCTCCTTGTTTGCCCATCGACATATAAACACTCAAGCAACACACACGAGAACGATTCGAATGGAAAAGACTAACAAGACTAACAACACTCTTCGTTTTCTGAATTCAACAACTAGATCTACACGCACAATGCATTCCTTCACAGGTAAGGAATCTCAAGACGCAAGGATGAGCGGCATGGAGGCAAAAGAATCAACAAAGGAAGAGACATACATGCAAGCCGACACACACGATTCTGTGGAAATGAGGGCGTCTTGGAAAAGAAGGACAGAGAGCCTGCGACCACAACGGACGACTGCATACGCGAACATCTCTTCCCCACAGGACTCTCGAACAAACAGAGGGACGCGTCTCGGGAATTGGAGCGGTCGTGAAACAATGGAACGAACAGGCGAACAAACGAACATGGTGTAAGGAGGCGATAGGGAGAGCAACAACAACACCAACAGCAACAGAAGTAAGACGGAAGGAGTGGACATACCCGACAGCAAAATATCCTGAACTAATTAATCCATTCGTTGTTTTTCTACTACCTTATCCCGATAGAACAAAGCATGCGCAACAGAGACAGGATTCCCGCCCCTCCCATCAACTTGCCCAGTAGGCGCTTCTGCTTCATCCACCTCAGCACGCGGGTCAGGACCATTCGCACGCCCATCGTCCCCTGTCAGTGTTCAAGGGTGAGCTCCAGTCCAAAGGGCTACTTGACGAGCCTGGAGAGTCGTCGCCCGTATCGACCAGACGTCCGACAGCATTGTTGCTGGTTACCCAACATTGGGAGAGGCCTACAAGAAAGTGGAGGAGCATTAAGGTTATGACTCGTTTTGTCTCGTTAATTGAATCATAGAGCAAGTGGGGTGACATGTCTCTCAGATAAGCTCTACTTTAACTAACTCACCCAACTGCTTTCCTTGCTTTGTATAGGCGAGCGCGACCAAGGAGACGGAGCTTTGAACAGATGCCCACCGAGCGGCTCGAAGCAAGAAGCTACGTCTCAACGAAGCGGGGTAGAGGATATACGTCTCGAATTGGATACTAGCCGCTACCGCCACCACTACCACGCTCCCTACTACTGGTGGTAACTACATCACCGACCCACACAACATGGGAATGCTGAGTGTCGGACCCAAGCTGCACGCATTCGATCACAACCATGCGAGCCCCTGATCGACATTATCTAGGTCACTCCCAGGGACACTCACCAGAATCTCGGTGCATCACCTCCAGCACAACTATTCCACTTACCATGAAGCAGGAGCAGATTCAGGAGCTACTCCCGTCAACAACACTAGCGCACGGGCTCGATCACCCTCGACCACCGTGATCAGCGGACACACCCAGTATATCCAGCAGGACGATACAAGTAGCCAGGATGTCGTCCCTTCAGGCAGCTCGGCCTTGGGATTGCACCACTGGCTCCCCAGTTATCGGTTGCTGGCGACGCTCCTCATCACCAAACAAGCATCCACTGTGGCCAACAAAAACTCAGGACGACTACACACATCGAGTGCAGCTTGCGGGAAAGATCAGGATCCCAGACCAATGCAAATGGCTTCAACGCAAATGGCTTCAACGCACATGCGACACTCATATCTGTAATGTCGACCTCAACCAACCCTGCTAGCAGCAACAGTTGCATTCGTGAACTTGGACTGACACATTACTGGACGCCCGGAGCAAGATTCATGGGAAATATGGGCAGAGCTGGAGGAACTTTTACCAACCGGCGGCACTTGTAGGGGTACCTTCTTCGCAGTCTTAAGACCACCTTTGTCAGCAGAACGGACGGCAGCACTGTGGATACGCCTTCTGCCAACACATTCCCTTATTAACTAAGTCCCGCTATCAACCTAGGGTTTCTGGCCGTTGTGATCTTGCTGTTTTTTTTTTTTCCCTTCCAAGTATTGACCATTTTACTAACCGCTTGAGACTTCGTCCGCTGAAAGTCTAAGCTGTGGAGTTTTCGAAGTTGTGGTTCGGTTGGCACATGAGTAAATTATGTGGGTTCTAGAGGAGATGCTTGACTGCTCAAGTTGGTTGAAGGATGTTGATCAGTTCAGGACTTGTGGCATTTGAGTTTTGAAGTGAGCATAGTGACAGGAGTATGATATACTATCGTATAGTTTGCGGGAGCTGCACAGACGTGTCATATAAGGAGGAGAAAACATCCGTTCGTTTATTGTACCACAAGCATTAGCAAATGTGAATAAAGAAAAGGAAGAAAAATAGTGGTCTATGGGCGCCAAAAAAAAAGAACAGGCAGCTTACACCTCCTTAAAGGCAGGAAAACGATCGCTTGCCAGCACCACAAGTACCTCTCTCCTCCCCATTAGTATAACAGTAGTTTCCGGTGCAACCATACCCGTCATAGGCATAGCAAGTGCTACCCTCAGCCCACATGGCCAGATTGCAATTGTAATAGCTGTCACGTTCAAAACAACGCTTGTCACCCTGGTCGGGGTATGCTCTGGAGAAGTCGGTTCCTTCGCACTTTAGGTGGAGGATGGTCGCGCTGCAGAGATGCAGAAGGAAGAGGGTGAAGAGGAGGACGGACAGGTAGATCGAGTTGGAGGTGGAAAGCATTTTGGATGGATAAGGGACGGCTGCTGGAGGAAGTGATAGTAGTAGGAAGGAAGGGAAATTGTCAGTTACAAAGTGCTACCGCCGCAAGCCCTTGCGTGTGATGACAGAAGTTCAGTCGTATGGCCTTACGAGAGTATGGTGTGGGATGTCTTTGAATGACGGTGCTTGTGAGAGTTGGGATTGCTGTTGCGGTTTTCTTGTCTTGAGGCAGGTAGGATCAGAAGTGTATTGTTGAAGGATGCCGGGTGGGCGCGACCTCTTTATATACGCGAAAGGGTCGAGGACACACAACCGCTCAGGGGCTTGGCCTATTGAAGATAAGAAATTGGTCAAAAAGATCAAGGATATACGAGAAAGTAACAAAGAGAAAATTCAAGAGATAGTACCGAAAGCGAAACGACCATGGCCACAATAATGCACAACGACCAAAAAGGCTGAGAAGAGTAAAGGGATGAGGAAAGCCGATGAGACGGGAAGTGGGAAAGTTAAGGGAACGCGAGAAGCTGAAGCAAGAGAGGTGGCGAAATGATCAAGGGACCGTCACCTTGGGCTCTTAGGAAGGAAACGGATAAAAACATGAAGAAGGGGCTTTGGTGGTGTCCTTTTAAGTTCTCCAGCATCCATCGATTCTCAGCCACTCGCGTGCCCTTGATTGTTTTGACATCCCTCCTATCCTCAGTGGGCTATGCGTTTGATCTTTCACAGGAGAGAGTTATGGCTTTGTTCTTGGTCTATTACTGTCTTTCATTGTAGGCATCCTTCCAACTACTCTTTTGGCCACGTTGATCATCCTTCCTCTCATGGATCTGAAGAGGCACTTTGGAAATACCTTATACCTGCTCGAAGAGTGCAGTTTTTTCGACCTTTTCGCGTATATAAAGAGGTCCCACACAACCGGTATCCTCCACTAACACACATCTGATCCTACCCACCCTAAGCCTCGAAAGCCGCAACAGCAACCCCAACACTCACAAGAATCTTTACAAGTATCGTCAGTCAAAGGACCTGCACAGCACACCCACGCCAGGCCATACTCTTGTAAGTCTCCTGAATGAAAATCTGATATTCAGATATTACGCTCAAGGGTTAGCAACAGTTCTTCAAACCTAACAATTCCCTTCCCTTTTTTTCTCCCGCCACCTCCAAAAGTCACCCTCCCCATCCAAAATGCTTCCCACTTCCAACTCGGTCTACCTGTCCATCCTGCTCGTCGCCTTTCTTCAAAGCGACCACTCTTTTCCTGCAGTGTGGGGGAACCGTGTTCAAAACAGGGCATCTCGACCAGGGCAACAAGCATTGTTTCAACACGGAGGAATACTTTGCATGCGACCTGTATATGCAGGGAATAGGAAGCAGTTGCTATGCCTTTGACGATGCTGATTGCAAAGGAAACACTTGTTACACTATTGGAGATAAAGTCAGTGCCTGCGGGGACGAGAAGCGGTCGTTTTACTGCGCGTGATTGCATTGAGGAGAACATCAATCGCGTTTTAGTATTTGTTCTTGTTTTGGGCTAAAGGTCACCATTTTTTTCTACTTTTTTCTCTTACCGAAGCACTGTTCAATAAACGGATATGTATTGCACCATGCGAGCTTGTATTTCTTTTTGCTGTTGGTACTACTGAAAGTCTGTTATGGTCATGGCTCATGCTCTGTGTGAAAGAGAGAAAGCCTCAAACACCCTTCCCCTTTTTTCGGTTCATGAAATAATAAAAATATATTAACGATTCAGAAAAAGAACAATGATTCAGGCACGGTGAGTGAGCGGATGGGCAACTTTCTATTTATTTTTTTTTCATTCACACAATGATTTGGCGGAGAGGGGGGAGGAGGAAGAGAGAAGGAGAGAAGAAATGAGAAGAGGCGTCAGCAGCGTCCGGGTAAACAACAAAGGGCGCTCCCTCGGATACCATTTCGCGAACAAAAGGCTAGAGCAAAAAGACTAGCCTTCCTTTTTTTTTTTTTTTTGCCTTTGTACTACAGTAGATTTAATCATGAACGATGATATCAACAATGGTGCATGTGCCGTTTTTGTTTTTCAGTGTTCTCTTGTAGACGCCTACCCATTGGCCAGAGTATATTTCGTATGACTACCATGAGTAAAAATGCCTTGAATCACGAATGATGATTGGGTGTTATTTTGTGTAGAAAGGAGGGAAAGGGGTGAAGAGGATGGATGGGTTCGAGTAAGAAACAAATCATCAAAACAAAAAACAAGTCGATAAAACAGTCGACCACCAATAGAGGGAGTAGACCCAAACTTCGGAATGAACTTCCGTTGTTGTTTTGTGAGATGGAATACGACAAAACATGCAACAAAAAAAAAAGAGATAGGAGCGGTTGAGGGTGGGGAGGAATCATCATGGGATTAACACTCAAAGCTCCTATTTGAAGCTAGGTAGTGTACCGATGTTGTTCATGCAAACGGAATACTTTGGTCAACGATTGTCATGTCTAAGGTGTGTTATATTTCACTTTGGATAGCATCTAGATTGGTCCGATAGAGCAGAGAGAACAGAGGCGTGAAATCAAGAAGGTTAATGACAAAACACGGGTGGGCGTTCCGTGTGATGAGACGGAATAGACGGATGGATATTCGTTGTTTTCGTATCAAGGTTGATTGTCTCGGGGTGAAGGGAAAACTTTGTTAAGAGGAATGGCGACAGTGGCAAGTCAAAAGAAGGTAGCACTATCCTATCACCTTTTGACTAGCCTTGAGAAGAACATACCAAAACAAACACAAGTCAACAGCATTCATGTTTGCTGTTCTGCAACAAAAAGGAGAGGGCATGGCGTAAGAGAAGTGACAGCAGAGACGGCGTGGATGAGGATTACCAAAAAGATGTTTTTTGAGGGCAGAGAACCCTCGGAGTTGGATACCGAGGCGCATTAACTTCTCTCTTCTCGGAAAACCTTAATGGACTTGTGTACACTTGTGGATGTACTTGCAGCAATCACGCAACTGCCTTTTGCGACGTGTTGGGTGGGTAACTGAGTGGAAGACATCCGAAAGGGTGAATGGGGGTGTCCAAAGGGTCTAAGGAGGAGCGTCTGCTTTTGGATAGAGAGCCTGCAGAAAGACTGATAGAGAAGTGTCCATTCGCTCAGCTTTTTTCTTTTTGGTCGTCCTGGTAGATATTGAGCGAACCTCATTGGTTTAATGGCTATTGTCTGTTCACACTCATTCACTTCTTTTATTCAGGGCGAATCGCAAGGCACCCACAAACACACAAGCACAACAAAGGCTCACGGTGTTTATTCCTACCTTGCCTTTTCTTCTTCCTATCACAGCGCATCTATATCATTTGGGCTTCAATCCTGTCAGTCTAAAGAACCATTAGGGCGTGCAGGTGGACCTTTTTTCTTTGTTCGAATTCAACGAGCACATCAATATATTTAAGAACGACCGAGAATAAAGTGAGAATGAAAAGATGAGAACAGGACAAAAGAGTGATGAAAAAGGACTGATAGTATGTCTGGAGTAGTCTCTCAAGGATATCAATAACGATAATGATAGCGAAGAAAAGAGGGTCAATCAGAATGCATAAAAAAACTAGGGGTATCGACAGCAGGTCTTTCCCTTGTGTTCAGGACAGATGCAAGAGCGCAATAGAGGCACCTGACTCTGCGTGGGAACGAGTGAAGTTGTACAAGTGTTAGAAAAGAAAGATGATTCATTTCTGGCCACGCAATTCGATCCAAGGGTGGTAACTTGTTCAGAACAACGACGGTTGAATGCGATGCAGACGCTGTTCCTTTTGAGAGCTGAGAAAAGAGAGATACGAACACTAAAAAGCGACAAAGCTGAAGAGGGCTAGTTCATCCGGAGGAGTACAAAACTTGGAGTGGGCAATGGTTGGCTCATCGTTTAATCGCACCGATTGTTTTGTTATTGATACTATCTGCAAATTACATCTTATGGAGAAAACAAACAGCTGAACAAAAGAACAAGCACATACAATCCCTATCTCCAGAGACATGGCGGACTTCACTGACCACGCACTAGGCCTAGAGTAGATAGACCTTTTTCACTCCCTCGCTCTCTTTTACCAAGGTTCTGTCACCCTTGTCTACCCTTCTTCTGCTACCCTGGGACAAGGGCTCCTAGTAGTACTCTAACCTTTGTCTGTTTCGTATAAAACCCCTTGCGTTCCCTCTTCTTGTTCCTTGTCTTTCTTTCCAACTGCGAGCTCAGACCTACCTTTCCCCTCTCCTCCCCTCGACTCCACCCCCTTTCTTCAATCCGTTACCACTCGCTTTTGTCCTTCTTTCATAATGGACGAGAAACACGAAATCGATCCTGAAAAGAATATCAACAACCTCGAAAAGGCCTATGCCGGCGACAGTGTCTCCCTCGAAGAAGCCGAGGTCGAGAACTCCAGGATTGAGGCTGTCCGTCTTGGTACGTTTTCTATCATGATAAATTGATATATCGCATGACTTCATTTTTAAACCTGACTCAGCCTCCCTAACACGAGCATTTTCTTTTCCTTCATCACAGTCGTCCCCATCACCGACGATGTCACTTTGGTCGCCTTGACCTTCCGTTTCTGGGTCTTGTCGCTCTTCTTCTCCGTCATCGGCTCGGTCATTCAACAATACTATCTGTTCCGTGTCTCTAGTGGTTCCTTCTCTATCTACTTCGTCAACTTGGCTTCCTATGGCATGGGTACCGCCATGGCTCGCGTACTCCCTACTAGCAAGTGGACCGTTGGTGGCTTCTCCTTCTCCTTTAACCCCGGTCCCTTCAATATCAAGGAGCACGCCCTCGTCGGTATTGCTGTCTCAACCGCCGCCACCTCTGCCTACGCCATCGAAATTCTGTCCTCTATGGATCTCTTCCTCCACCACCAGATCAACGCCTTTGGCGCCATCGTCCTCATCGTTACCACTCAGTGCTTGGGTTACGGTATGGCCGGTGTCCTCCGCAAGTACCTCGTCTACCCCGCCGAGATGGTCTGGTGGGGCAACTTGGTCCAAGTCGTCTTCTACAACGCCATGCATAACACCGACGAGTTCAAGGCCAAGAGGATGTTCCGCGGCTGGTCGTACATGAAGTACTTCTGGATCGTCTGCGGTGCCATGTTCATCTATGAGTTCATCCCTCAGTACATTGCTCCTCTGCTGGTCTTTTTCGATTGGGTGTGCTGGATCAAGCCGTTCGACTACGACTTCTGGGCCCTCTTCTCGTCCAACGGTGGTGGTGGAGCCGGTATCCTCTCTCTCTCTTTCGATTGGACTGCCATTGGGGGAGCCACCATGTGGATGCCTCTTTCGACCCAATTGTCCCAGTATAGCGGTATAGTTCTCTCCTACTGGATCATCTTCCCCATCATCTGGTTGAACAACGTTCTCAACGCCAAGCTCTATGGACGCCCCTTGACCTCTGGATTATACACCTTGGACGGCGGTCGCTTCAGCATCGACTCAGTGTTGAACGACGACTACTCTGTCAACGAGGAGAAGTACTTGGCTGGCAAGACCGCCACCATGACACCCATGTACGCCTTGGTCTTTATGTACTCCTTCATTGCCCTTGCCGGATGCATGTCTCACATCCTCTGCTTCCACGGTGCTGACATCTGGAAGACCTGGAAGCAGTCTCGCGACAGCGCTGACGAAGATATCCACGTCAAAATGATGAAGGCTTACCCCGAGGTTCCTCAGTTCTGGTACGCCGCTTTCTATGTTGTCATGGTCGGTCTCTCTTGCATGGTCTGCGAGGTTTATGGTCTCCAGCTGCCCTGGTGGGGTCTCCTTGTCGCTCTTGCTCTCTCTTGGGTTCTCACTCTCCCCATCGGAGCCATGGTTGCCATCTCCGGTAACGGTCCAGGCCTCAACGTCATTACCGAGTTGGTCTGCGGTTTCATGTTCCCTGGCAAGCCCATCGCCAACATGGCCTTCAAGTGCTACGGATACATGGCCATGTACCAGTGCCACACTCTTCTCTCTGATCTTAAGCTCGGTGTCTACATGAAGATCGCACCCCGCTCGATGTTCACCGCCCAGGTTTGGGGAGCTTTTATCGGATCCATTTTCAACTACCTCACTATGCACGTTATCATCAATGCCCGTCGTAGTTACTTGGACGGTTCTGAGGAGGATCCCACTGGTCTCTGGACCGGAGTCAATACCCAGGTCTTCTGGGGTTCCGCCCTCATCTATGGAGCCCTTGGACCCATCAAGATGTTCGGTCCCTCATCAAACTACGGCTTTATCTACTGGGGCTTCCTCATCGGCGCCGTGATCCCCGTTATCCTGTGGGGCCTCTCCAAGAAGTACACCAACATCAAGTGGTCGCGCCTCAACATTGCTCTCGTTGCCGGCGGTATGTCTGCCTACCCCGGTGGTCAGCCCATCGGTGTCCTCCCCTCGATCATCCTCTGCCTCGTTTGGCAGTTCTGGGTCTTCCGCTACAAGAAGGATTTCTGGTCAAAGTATACCTTCATCCTCTCGGCTGCCCTCGACACCGGCGCAGCTTTTACGGGACTCTTTTTGTTCGTCTTCCTCCAGGGTGGTATCTCGCCCAAGCTCAACTTTTCCTTCCCCTCGTGGTTCCTTAACCATTATGATGAGGAAGGTAACGCGCCTTACAAGTCTGTTGACAGGTGCGGTGCCGCTTTAAACAAGTGGGAGTCTGGCATGTTGCCCACTCCTCCCTAGTAACCTTTCTCTCTTTAATCATACCCAAACTGGTTTTTCATCCAGTCTAATAAAATGTCGTTGAAATTGAAGGTTGGGAGGCAAAGGTGATATGAATGATGAAAAACACTTGAGCTTGAATGCGAACGCGTTTCTGAATCACGCGTTTCTTCTCATTTTCTGTGTGATTTCGTATTTCATTCTTTTCGTCGGATGAACATGCTCGATCTAAACAGTCTTTCAAATCTTCTCTGAGGTTCCTCGTCGAGATGTTCTTCATCGAGTTGTGCCCCGTTTTTGTATTTATTTCTTGTACGGTGGGTTGACTGGGGGCAATATGGTATTCCAGAGCTTGTTGCACTGATGAAAATCAATATCCAGATATCTAGAGGTGGATTCTGCAATACGAGGATGCCAAGGTGTGAAAGGAAGGAGTAGGGGAGAAGACCCCACAAAAAATGAAAGAAATAAACTACGGCGATCGATGTGTCATTGCTCACTTTTACTTTTCCTCAAACATTTTTGTCGGTACTATCATCCAAACCTTATTGGTCACATTGGACCTGAGATAGTGATAGCCTTGGTCATTCATTCCAATCAAGAAAGAAAGAGAGAGAGAGAGGTAGTGAAGAACAGAGGGGACATAGTTAGGTATGAAGGAGATGGGAGAGGGCTGGCCAAGCATGTTGTACTTGATTCAATCGGATGTCACCCTGAGCGTGAGGTGGATCTAGTGTTGTTACCCAATAAGGTGCAGCAAAAAAGTACGGCGTTGGCGGTCATGACACTAATGCCGATGGAAAAAAGAGAGTACAAGATAGCTGCGGAGATTATTTGTTGTCATCTCCTAACTGACATGGCTCACAATTGGACCCTTTCGCGGCGTGTCTAGGGACACATGAGGAACACAAAAATAATGGATGATCCAAGCCTGAAAAAGGAGAGGGACGGAAGGACTATCCGATGCTCAAAGAGAGGGAGAGAGAGCAGATGCGTATCCCCTACCCTACCATCACTGCAGAGACGATGTTCTTGAAGAATACTGTCCATCTGCGGATATATTCAGAAGGTGGAAACGGTCCCGTGTCTACTTCCTAGCAAAAGGTCAAATAGACAAAGGAGAGAAGTAACTTATCAGATAGTAGTGCAAACGCAACCATAAATGAAAGCATCCTTGCCAACATATAAGTGGGCTAGGGTTGTGCCTTTTTTTATTGTTGTCACCCACGTCATCTTTCCATTTTCCTTCCTTTGCATATTTTTGTTCCCCGGTAACCCTACTTATCTTCCTCCGTCTCGTATCGACTCGATCCCCCAATGGACAAGAAATAAGCATACAAAAGCAGCCAGGACGAGCAGATAGAGACAGAGGACTATGGACTTGAGAGTGCTAAAAAGGGCGACACTCTTTCCTTGAAGGAGTCCGACCTGAGAACTCGACTGTTGAGGCCGTTCGACTAGGTTCGTTTTATCGTCTCTCGTATAAGCATTTTTTTTACGTTAAACCACGGTCGCCAACGGCAATGACATTCGTTATTATTATTTCTGAATGACCCATTAGTTGTGCTACTCACAGACGATTTTACCCTCGTCGCCTTGACGTTCCGCTTCTGGGCACTGTACTTCTTTGCCGCAATTGCATCGATCGTCAACCAATACTACTACTTCCGAACCTCCCGCGGCGGGTTCCCAATCTACTTTATCAACCTGACTTCGTACGTCCTCGGAGTCGCCCTAGCCAAGATCCTTCCTCGCGAAAGCATCACCATCGGTGGGCACAGCATGTCTCTCAACCCCGGTCCCTTCAACATCAAGGAACATGCCCTCATTGGTATCGCCGTCTCTACCGCTTCTACTGCCTATGCGATCGATATTCGTATGGGTGCACTCGATGCTATTGTGCTCATTATTACGACCCAATGCTTGGGGGTATGGTATGGCTGGTGTTCTGAGAAAGTACTTGGTTAACCCTACTGAGATGGTCTGGTGGGGCAACTTGGTGCATGTTGTATTTTACAACGCTATCCATAACACCGACGAGTTCTCCATCGACAAGACAGAGCGGACTCAGGCGACTGTCGGCCATGGTGTTGCGAAGCATCAAGAAAAGACGAAAGAAAGATGGTGAAGGATCTAAAGAAGGTGAGGAATGAAAAGAAACAAAGAGGGAAGAGAAAAAGAAAAAAGAAGGCGAGGAATGAAGCAAGGAAGTGGCGGCGAAGGTGATGAAGAAAAGGCGTGAGAGTGGTGGCAATGAAAAATAGATGGTGGTAGAAATTAAGTTGGTCGCTTCTTTTGCCACCAGTCAAACGATCTATGCCCGTTTTTTGCCACGTCATGGAGGAATATTGAGTTTTCATTCTCGTGAGGAGGGCCAACGACTTGGCCCTTTCTTCTGTAAATTCTAAATTCTCGCCTTGCCTCCTCCCCCCGCTTTCGCTTCTTCGCATCCCCCTTTGCGCATACCGAAGTGCTCCCTCCTGTCATTCGAGTTGCATCAACACTGGTCTCGGTCACATCACTTTGTTCGAGCTGCATCAACACTGGTCTCAGTTGCATCGACAAAACTCCGTCCCAATTTGCGTCACGGGCAGGATTCGCATCACTCGCATCACCAAGTGACAACACGTCGGCCAATTCATCAACTCCATCACAATGGACGATCAAACATGGGGTTGCTCGAAGTGTATTCCTGAACGAACCTTTGGGTCTTTGGAGCAACAACGATCTCATGCCCTTCAATACCATGCTCAGTCTTTCAGCGTCACTTTTCCCGGCTCATCGCAACCGGTCACCATCAGGCAGACCGATAATGTCTACATCTGTCCACGATGCCAAGCCACTTTCACAACCAAAGGAGGAACCCGCAAACACATCCATAAATCAGCCTGTGCCTCAACGGAACAAGAGGACAACGTACCGGAGCAGCAACTGCCAGTCATTGCGGTGCCAAGCCATCTACCCATTCCAGAGTCAGCTGCGGTGGGCCCAATGCCGACAGTGCGGCAGCATGACGATGCAGTGCTCTTCAGCTGCAATCAGACGCACGCTTCTGAAACTGAAAGGCAAAGGACATTGGCCATAGTCAGTGCACTAGAATTGCAGCCTTTCGCGATGAAAGACGCTTACGGAGCAGAACAAAATGCTCTGGCCCACGCATCCGTCATCGCCAAACTGTCGGTTGGCCAGGTCAACGTGAGCCCAAACACGCCTGCCCCCAAGAAAAGGAAGCTTCCAGAGAATGACCCCTGCCTCAGATGCTCCCCGGGTCTTGTGCCTGGGCTGGAGTTCCTTTATTCGATTTCCCCTTATTCAACATTGCTCCAGAGTCGACAGTTTATTGAGCTCGATGATGTCATCTGCGAGCTCCTGAATCGTGACTGGGAATTCTCCCCTCAGCTTCGCTTCGCCTGTTCCAAGATTCTCTCAGGATGCATACTACTCAACAACAACAATGGCCAAGCTGTTATCCTCAACACCATCGAGGTCTATGGCCGCACGAAAATCGTGGACTCTCACCGGGAATCATTCGCTGTACGCAAGGATCGGCCAGTCGCAAACTCACTACCACCATCCATTCAAACGCCATATAAGAGGGTGTGGCCCTTGACGATTATGGCGCCAGAAGGAGAACGACTCACGATAGGCACTACTTCGTTCGACGCCCTCGCCACCTCTTCCCTTCGTCTCGACATCAGCATGAGGCCATCCGTCGGCTGTACGACACCGTCGTTTCTACTGTCTAGCACGACCCATTCACTGGCAACACGAATTTTCTTGGATGCGGAATCCTTGGATAGCGGGCTAAAGATAGCAGCGCGCCGGGACTCATGGTCGGTGTCGAGCGGCAACCTGATGTGGCAACTAAGACAAACAAAAACAAAGTTTCACGACCCTTCCACCTATTACCTTTGCCGTTCCAGCAGCCACTTTGCTAGCAACCATCCCTGTCAACCTTACACCATCTACACTCTGGCCGCCTATGATCAATCTCACAATGGATATGGACCCGCGCTTTCAAGCCTCTTTCACGCTGTATCAAGTGCCGTCATTCGAGACGGTTCAGACGCTTTGCTGGATAAACAGACGGTGGAAAAGTCGCGCAATCGATGCACCAAAGAGGGGCGCGCAACGCAAGGACTGGAGGGTATACTTTCACTTTACACTGGCACCAAAACCTCAATCAAGATCCTCTGGAACCGCGACCTCAACGAATACCTGGAAACCTTGGCTCAGATCCTCTCAACATACATCGCAACAGCCAATGCCGCCGTTGTGCCGTTTGTCTGGAAGGAATTTACGTCACCAACTCAGTAGAGTTCCAAAAGTCCAGAACAAGTATTATTTCTCTTATTCCTCCAACCACGAAAACACAAACAAAATAAAGAAACTCTCCCCCAGTTGCATCACCCTCTCTGTCAGTTGCATCACTCTTTCTGTCACTTGCATTACTCTTTCCCCCAGTTGCATCACCCTTTCTGTCAGTTGCATCACCCTTTCTGTCAGTTGCATCACTCTTTCTGTCAGTTGCATTACCCTTTCCCCCAGTTGCATCACTCTTTCCCCCAGTTGCATCACCTTTTCCCCCAGTTGCATCACTCTTTCCCCCAGTTGCATCACCCTCTCTGTCAGTTGCATCACTCTTTCTGTCAGTTGCATCACCCTTTCCCCCAGTTGCATCACTCTTTCCCCCAGTTGCATCACCCTCTCTGTCAGTTGCATCACCCTTTCTGTCAGTTGCATCACCCTTTCCCCCAGTTGCATTACTCTTTCCCCCAGTTGCATTACCCTTTCCCCCAGTTGCATCACCCTTTCTGTCAGTTGCATCACCCTTTCTGTCAGTTGCATCACCCTTTCTGTCAGTTGCATCACCCTTTCTGTCAGTTGCATCACCCTTTCCCCCAGTTGCATTACTCTTTCCCCCAGTTGCATCACTCTTTCCCCCAGTTGCATCACCCTCTCTGTCAGTTGCATCACCCTCTCTGTCAGTTGCATCACCCTTTCTGTCAGTTGCATCACCCTTTCCCCCAGTTGCATTACTCTTTCCCCCAGTTGCATTACTCTTTCCCCCAGTTGCATTACCCTTTCCCCCAGTTGCATCACCCTCTCTGTCAGTTGCATCACTCTTTCTGTCACTTGCATCACCCTTTCCCCCAGTTGCATTACTCTTTCCCCCAGTTGCATCACTCTTTCCCCCAGTTGCATCACCCTCTCTGTCAGTTGCATCACCCTTTCTGTCAGTTGCATCACCCTCTCTGTCAGTTGCATCACCCTTTCCCCCAGTTGCATCACTCTTTCCCCCAGTTGCATCACTCTCTCCCCCAGTTGCATCACCCTCTCTGTCAGTTGCATCACTCTTTCCCCGAGTTGCATCACTCTTTCCCCCAGTTGCATCACTCTTTCCCCCAGTTGCATCACCCTTTCCCCCAGTTGCATCACTCTCTCTCCCAGTTGCATCACTCTTTCTGTCAGTTGCATTACTCTTTCCTCCAGTTGCATCACCCTTTCCCCCAGTTGCATCACCCTCTCTGTCAGTTGCATCACCCTTTCCCCCAGTTGCATCACTCTCTCCCCCAGTTGCATCACCCTTTCTGTCAGTTGCATCACCCTTTCTGTCAGTTGCATCACCCTTTCTGTCAGTTGCATCACCCTTTCTGTCAGTTGCATCACCCTTTCCCCCAGTTGCATTACTCTTTCTGTCAGTTGCATTACCCTTTCCCCCAGTTGCATCACCCTTTCCCCCAGTTGCATCACCCTCTCTGTCAGTTGCATCACTCTTTCCCCCAGTTGCATCACCTTTTCCCCCAGTTGCATTACTCTTTCCCCCAGTTGCATCACTCTCTCTCCCAGTTGCATCACTCTTTCTGTCAGTTGCATTACCCTTTCCCCCAGTTGCATCACTCTTTCCCCCAGTTGCATCACCTTTTCCCCCAGTTGCATCACTCTTTCCCCCAGTTGCATCACCCTCTCTGTCAGTTGCATCACTCTTTCCTCCTGTTGCATCACCCTTTCCCCCAGTTGCATCACTCTTTCCCCCAGTTGCATCACCCTCTCTGTCAGTTGCATCACTCTTTCTGTCAGTTGCATCACCCTTTCCCCCAGTTGCATCACTCTTTCCCCCAGTTGCATCACCCTCTCTGTCAGTTGCATCACCCTTTCCCCCAGTTGCATCACTCTCTCCCCCAGTTGCATCACCTTTTCCCCCAGTTGCATCACTCTTTCCTCCAGTTGCATCACCCTTTCCCCCAGTTGCATTACTCTCTCCCCCAGTTGCATCACTCTGTCCCCCAGTTGCATCACCCTCTCTGTCAGTTGTATCACTGGAAGACGACGAGGAGACGGACGAGGAGGACGAGGAGGACGAGAGGAAGAACGAGGGAGACAAGGGAATGAAGGGAACGAGGAAATAGCTACATTGTGATATCTTGTTTAATAAAAGTGAGTTAATAACTGAGGAACTAGACTACGTATGAACTACCTATTTGTGTGTGTTCAAGGGATCTGAAGGAGCCCATAGTTCTTTTTAGGTCTTTCTGTAGAACTGTATCGGTTGACTGGTCAAAAGGGTGATTAGTCAGCGAAAGCCATTCAGCGATCAGTTGATCCCGTAGTCAGTGGCGCTGGAAAGATCTGGAAGTTGGTGGCGTTGGTCATGTGCCAGTTATCAGAGTAAAACTCTGACAGTTGTGATCACCGCAGATAGTACGGTCACCTATGCCAACATACTGCTGACGCTCGATGAGCACTTCGACTACACCTTCGAATGATCACGTAAAGTCTACGAACGACAACTTACACCCATTCTCCTGGACCTTTTATAAAATTGGTTAGCCTTGCCGAATGAAATGACGGCTAAAGTCTATTATTCGACAATGCCAGCCATTATTCTTCCTAACCAGGGACTCTATCTGTGGATCCAGAGTCAGGAAAGAATGGCTGCGGTGAAGTTGGTTGCTAGGGACCGCGAGAACTTGCAGAACGCTTCAACGATAGCTGGGGATGACCAATTGCCATGTGTGACAATGGGATTCCCTTCACCAGTGCGGCGGTAGTGCCCACTGCTCGGGCCTTGTATGGTGGCTGGGTCTCGTCTCGTGGCATCAGCTGCAGGAAATATTGGATGTAGCTACTACTTAATCTAGTCATCCATCTCTGACTCTTTACTGCCACATCCTAGAAACCTAGTCAACGCTTGTACTGTACAAGTTTCATGGATACGCCAAGACTGTTGGCAGGATTGCATATGTTCCACAGCAGAGCTGGATCCTGAACGCCACTCTCTGTGACAACATCTTGTTTGACTTAGAGTATGACCAGGAACGGTACGATCGGATCATTGCTGCGAGTGGATTGGAGCCCGATCTAGCGATTCTCCCAGCAGGCGACCAGACAGAAGTCGGTGAGCGCGGTATCAATCTCTCGGGAGGTCAGAAGCAGCGAGTCTCTCTTGCTCGAGCCGCCTACAACGACGCTGATATCTACCTGCTGGACGACCCTCAGAGTGCCGTGGATGCGCATGTGGATCAACACCTTTGGAGCAAGCTGCCTGGACCGCAGGGTTTGCTCCGCAACAGGACGAAGGTGCTGGTGATACACGGGATTAACCATCTTCAAGAAGTCGATCAGATTATTCTGTTGAAGGGTGGGTGCATTGCTGAGACGGGACACTTTGATGACTTAATGGCTGCCGGACAGACCTTCTGCCAATTGATCAGTGAGTATGCGGTTACTCATCGATACCAAGATGGTTTCGGCACCCCTTCAGGAGCAGAGTCAGAGAGTGAAGAGACGCAAAGTCAAGCAACAGTAGAAGTGGGTACAAGTGGCGACTCGGCAGCAGCAGCTACGACATCAAAGAAGGGAGTTCCCATCGGCGCCACGGACACCAACAGGAATACCAAGAAGGACAAGAAGGCTGGCATCATTCAGGCGGAGAATATCTTGGGCGGAGGTCTCACCGCAAGCATCTTTCTTGGCTATTTGCGTGCCATGTAGGTACTTTGTTGTCAATCAAGAGAGCCTTTGCTTTCTGGATATGGAGAAGCTATCTACTAGTTGATCTCGCTCGATCCCTGAAACCTCCTTAGCACGTACAAGTATGCCTTGCTTATCATGATCTTCCAAGTGCTGATGCAGGTGTGCTATGTCGGCACCAGCCTGTGACTCAAGCACTGGATCGTATAGAACGAGGACACTGACCAGTGTCGTGATGTGGGTCTATAACAAAGAATACTATCTGTTAACGAACAAGAACTAACCTCTATGATACTATAAACTACAGACATATAACCGTTGAAAAGATGGATCTAAGTCCGTACCTGGTGAGGATCAGGTGGACTTGGGACCCAGAAAGGTACGCAAGGGAAAGGCCCGAATAAGTCTACAGAACAGAAGGTGGTAGAAGAGGAGTGCTGACAGTGAAGTAGACCCCGTATGTTGTTGCTGCCGATGGGAATTTGATCCGCAAATCAATCCGTTCTGAACTGTTACACCGTTAGACGATCTGTCGGCTTGTGGTCGGGTGTTGGGCTGCAACAGCGGAGGTCTTGCGGACTCGTGGACAAGGTGTGCTCTGGATGGTTGGTATGCATCTCTTGGCGGTGCAGAACGTGGCGAAAGGAGGATCTGAACGGAATCCTGACTTGTTGTTGGTGGATGTGTGCAGAGGCGCATCCACGTCTGGAAGGCGATGGTATACCCGAGTATTGCCGTGGACTTCCAGTTCAGTATGAAGAACAAAAGTCAAAAGTCGGTAAAATAAATCAGAAAAAGCAAGAGGAGCCAAGTTGCCGTTTTTATTACTAGCTAAGTACCCCTTAACCCACATGTTCTTAATTCGAACAAAATCGTGAGTGAGAGAACGATTCCCGTTCACATCACCACACCAGGACTCTCGCCCTTCCTTCAGCATCTTCCTTCTGGTGTTTTCAGGCTTGACGTTGGTGTATGTCTTGATCGGTATTGCGCCTTTCTGGATTGCCTTTGGTGTCGCTCGTATCTGCGCATCAGAGTACGTACTTGCACCGGATCTTTATGAGCAGAATCATGCGCCTGCCCCCTGCATTCTTTGACACTACTCTGTAAGTACATTGGATTACCTTTTCTTGTTAGCTGAATTATGGCTTCGCTATTGTTCTAACCAAGGGTTTTCTTAACTATGTTTGTCTTGGTCGAATTATCAGCTGCGTGTCGAGCGACTTTGCATTTATCGACGACCGCATTCCCTGGAAGTTATTCGAAGCCATAGGTCACGCAGTCAGCCTCGTTGCGTCCCTCACAGTTGTGGTCTTTACAACACCCTTGTTCCTGGTCGCCTCCCCTTTCATCGCCCTTATTTACTACTATGTCCAAAAGTACTACCTCCGAGCCTCCCAGGCAGTGAAACGTATCTGTCGCGCAACCCAATCGCCCATCTACCAGCACTTTCAGGAGACATTGGCAGGCGTTCCAACTATCCGCGCTATGGACCTCCAGGATTCTTTCATCACCGCAAGCGCCAAACGAAGTGACCTGTACTCAAACTCGTTTATCGCGATGGCGTATCGTATTCGCTGGATGGAGTTACTAGTCCAGATGGTCAATGCTGTCATCACGCTGTTGGCTTGTCTCTGGTTCGTTACCGCAGGGGTCGGTCAATGCTGCGACTGCAGGATTGGCGCTCAGATTTGCCATGTCCAATTCGCAGTCCTTGACCTGATTTGTATGTGCATATGGTCGCTGTGGAACGTGTGCAGGAGTATACAGAGTTGAAGACAGAGGCACCACTATTGACGGCACTAGATTCTGAAGCAGGGCGCGCTCTGGAGCATCACTGGCCACAGGAAGGCAAGATTGAGTTTGCTGACTACTCGACGCGGTATTAGGATGGTATGGATCTGGTCTTAAAGAGTATTTCGTTCACGGTCGAAGGTGGTCAGAAGATTGGCATTGTTGGACGGACGGGTGCCGACGAGTCGAGTTTGACATTGGCGCTTTTCAGAATGATCGAGGCTGATAACAGTGAGTGGGCAAAAGCGACCAGCAACAATAGCAACCAGGAATCTGAGGACCATGGCAACGAGGAAGACCAAATGGACGGCGGCAAGATCGTGATCGACAATATTGACATTTCCAACTTCGGACTAACCGACTTGCGCAAGAATCAGTCGATCATTCCACAAGATCCTGTCCTTTTTGCTGGAGCTGTGCGCGAGAACCTTGACCCATTCGAGGAGCTGGAGGATGTGGTGCTTTGGGAAGCATTGGAGCGATCGTACCTCCAGGATGTAATCGCTGCATTGCCAGGTGGGCTGCTGTTCCAGGTGGCTCAGAACGGCGAGAACTTTTCAGTCGGCCAGCGATCCTTGATATGCCTTGCAAGAGCGCTACTGAGAAAGATCAAGATCCTAATGTTGGACGAGGCGACGTCAGCGGTGGATATTGAGACGGACGAGTTGATACAAAAGACGATCCGGACCACGTTCAAGGAATGAACGATCTTGACGATTGCGCATCGTATCAAGACTGTGATGGATTCCGACAAGATACTAGTGCTGGGCCATGGCCGTGTTGTTGAGTATGATGCGCCCAAGGTGTTGCTTCAGGATGAGGGCTCGTTGTTCTACAAGCTGGCGAAGCAGGCTGGCGAGGTGTAGTTCCACGAGCGAGATAGTTAGAGTGATAGACTGTGGCGCAGTTGGCATTCAATTTGTTGACAAATATGACTGTGTTTTTTTTTAGAAATGAGCCAGGAGCGCCCCTTTTTTTCAATTGATAGTGTGTGCCAGCCAAGGGGGCGCTTGTTGTTTTTCAGCTTCCCTTTCCTTCACTCTTCGGTCGTTCCTTGTTCGGTGAGTCATGCGAGTCAGCACCTGGAGGAACTGCGGTTCAATGACACCATTGACAACAAAAGACCTTATCAACCAGGATGCCACTCACAGCTGCCTATAAAAGGGATAACCATGGCCACTTTCCCACGCTCTTATTCAACTAACCACTCTCTTACTCCAATTACCTACACACACTTCACACGCTCACCATCCATTCATTCCTACGCGACTCAACCCACACTCTTTAACACACTAGATACTCTCACACATATTCAACATGGCCGACAACAACGCTACCACCCCCGTCCCCCCTCCCGCCGCAGCCGGCGCCGAGACCTCCGTTGAAAAGTCCAAGAACGCGGACAAGAACGAGGCCAAGCGCCTGGCAAAGTTGGAGAAGTTCTTGGCCAAGCAGAAGGTATGTGAATGTGCACCCTCATTCCAAACTGTGGTGTTGCATGCACTCACAAGCTTTTTCTGGCGGCATATGAGAAAGTACTGACTGATGATAATAACAATGTTTGTTTGGATGCGACACATATAGGCTGCTGCTGAAAAGACTAAGGCCGCCCCTGTTGCTAAGGAGGAGAAGAAGGCCAAGCCCGAGAAGGCTGCTGCCGCTGCCCCCGAGCCCGAGTTTGTCAACACCACCCCCAAGGGCGAGAAGAAGGACATGTCCGAGCCCATGGCTGCTACTTACAACCCTAAGGCCGTCGAGGCTGCATGGAACGACTGGTGGGAGAAGGAGGGCTTCTTTGAGCCCGAGTTGACCGCTGATGGACAGGTCAAGTCCGAGGGTCTCTTTGTCATTGCTGCACCCCCACCAAACATCACTGGATCTCTTCATACCGGACACGCTCTTGCCGTCTCTATCGAGGATGGACTTGCCCGCTGGTATGCATCCTCTAGTTATCTCCGGGAATTCACTTGTCAATTGCTGTCGTTGTTTCATGCATACTTACATGAATATTATTTACGCGGATACTTCATAGGAACCGCATGTTGGGAAAGACCGTGTTGTTCAACCCCGGTACTGATCACGCCGGTATCTCTGCCCAGGCTGTCGTCGAGAAGCAGTTGTGGAAGGAGAGCAAGCAGACCCGCCACGACATTGGACGCGAGGCTTTCGTCGAGAAGATCTGGGACTGGAAGGACGTTTTCCAGGCGCGCATCAACAACCAGGTCAGACGTCTTGGTGCTTCCTACGACTGGACCCGTGAGGCGTTCACCCTTAGCGCACCCCTCTCTAAGGCCGTCACGGAGACTTTCTGCAGATTCCACGAGGAGGGTATCATCTACCGTGCTACACGTCTTGTCAACTGGTGCTCTGAGCTCAACACTGCCCTTTCTAACCTCGAGGTCGATAACAAGGAGTTGACTGGACGCACCCTCTTGAGCGTTCCTGGATATGATGCCAAGGAGAAGTTTGAGTTTGGTGTCTTGATCTCGTTCGCCTACCCCGTCGAGGGCTCCGATGAGAAGATCGTTGTCGCCACCACCCGTATCGAGACCATGATCGGAGATACCGCCATCGCCATTCACCCCAAGGATGAACGTTACAAGGTACCCTTTTATTTTCATTTGCCGTTGTTTTATTTTTCTTGAAGGGCAGAAGTACTAACTCTTTATTCAACTTGTGAAATCAATGGTAAAATAGCACCTCCACGGCAAGTTCGTTATTCACCCCTTCTCTGGACGCAGGATCCCAATTATTCTGGACGACATTGTTGTCGATATGGCTTTCGGTACTGGAGCTGTCAAGATGACCCCCGCCCACGACGTCAACGATTATGAGGTCGGAAAGCGCCACAGCCTCGAGTTTATCAACATCTTGAACGACAACGGCACTTTGAACAACAACTGCGGTGAATTCTCTGGAATGAAGCGCTTCCACGCCCGTGTTGCCGTCTTGAAGGCTCTCAAGGAGAAGGGTCTCTACGTCGAGACTGTTGACAACGCCATGACTGTCCCTATCTGCTCCAAGACCGGTGACATCATTGAGCCCTTGATGAAGCCCCAGTGGTGGGTCAATTGCAAGGACATGGCTCACGATGCCCTCCAGGCTGTCAAGGACGGCAAGTTGACCATCAAGCCCCAGACCTCCGAGAAGGAGTACTATCGCTGGATGGAGAACATCAACGACTGGTGCATCTCCCGTCAGATTTGGTGGGGTCACCGTATCCCTGCTTACTTTGTCCGTTTGGCTGGCGAGGAGCAGGATTTCGCTGATGGTCAGTTCTGGGTCTCTGGACGCACTGAGGAGGCTGCCCTCGAGAGCGCTCAGAAGAAGTTCCCCGGCAAGACTTTTACCTTGGAGCAGGATCCCGATGTCTTGGATACCTGGTTCTCGTCTGGTCTTTGGCCCTTCTCTATCATGGGCTGGCCCGAGAAGACTGCCGATTTTGAGAAGTTCTACCCTACCTCGTTGCTCGAGACCGGTTGGGACATCTTGTTCTTCTGGGTCGCCCGTATGGTCATGTTGGGTATCAAGTTGACCGGTCAGGTTCCCTTCTCTGAGGTCTACTGCCACGCCTTGGTCCGTGATGCTCAGGGTCGCAAGATGTCCAAGTCTTTAGGAAACGTTATCGATCCCGTCGACGTCATCGAGGGTATTTCTCTCCAGGCCCTCCACGACAAGTTACGTATCGGAAACTTGGACCCCCGCGAGATCGTCAAGGCCGAGCAGGGTCAGAAGATGGACTTCCCCAACGGTATCCCCGAGTGCGGTACTGATGCCCTTCGTTTCTGCTTGGGTGCCTACTCTGCCTTTGGCAAGGACATCAACTTGGATATTATGCGTGTCGACGGTTACCGCAAGTTCTGCAACAAGCTCTGGAACGCCACCCGTTTCGCTCTCTTGAAGTTAGAAGATGGCTTCTTGCCCAATGCCACTGCCGCCAAGTCTGGCCGCGAGAGCTTGGCCGAGCGCTGGATCCTTAGCAAGCTCAACGTTGCTGCCGTCGAGTTGAACGACCAGTTGGGTCAGCGCAACTTCATGAAGGCCACCGATGCCATCTACAAGTTCTGGTTGTACGAGCTCTGCGATGTCTACATTGAGATCATCAAGCCTATTACCGAGGGCTCTGACTTGGTTGCCAAGCGTTCTGCCCAGGATACCCTCTATACCTGCTTGGAAGCTGCCCTCAGGATGTTGCACCCCTTCATGCCCTTCTTGACCGAGGAGTTGTACCAGCGTCTGCCCCGCCGTGACGGTGACAAGATCACCACCATCGTCAAGTCGCCCTTCCCCGTCAACAACCCAACCTACATTGACGAGCAGGCCGATGCCAATTTCGAGTTGGTCTTTGCCGTTGTCCGCAGCGGCCGTTCGCTCATGGCCGACTACAACATGACCAAGGGAGGCCAGATCTACCTCTTGGGCTCGACCGAGATTGCCAAGTTGTTGAAGTCTGAGGAGGCCGGTATTGCGACCTTGACCAAGGGAACCAAGTCCTGCACTGTCGTCACGGATGTTGCCGATATCCCCGAGGGATGTGCCTCGCAGACTGTCCAGGAGGGTTGCACTGTCTACCTGTTGGTCAAGGGTATGGTTGACGTCGATGCCGAGGTCCAGAAGATCGAGAAGAAGTTGGCCAAGGTCCAAAAGGCCAAGGATGATCTTGAGAAGAAGACCCAGGATGCTACTTACTTGACCAAGGTCAAGCCTGAGATTCGTGAGATGAACGAGGTCAAGCTTAAGGACTATGAGGCCGAGATTGCTACCTTGACAAGCGGCATTGAGATCTTCATGAAATTGAAGTAAACTCAGTGCGTGTCTGTTAAGGGAAGAAGAGGTGGTGGTGGTGGGAGGCGTCGGTTTAGATAGTCGTGAATATATTTTTTCTTTTAACCGAAACTATTGATCCTTTTTGATTGTAAGAGAGCAGTGGGATCCCTTTGCTTCGTAAGAACGTTCAAAATCTGGCACTCCAGCCAATTGAGCTGATACGCTCTGCCCACCACCATTCCCCGCGAAAGACAGTAATCTTTTCCCTTTGTTGATATGGTCACTCGAGGGAACTGCGAGTGAAATGCGATGAAAAGTAACGAAAACAGCATACCAAACCGTCTTCAGCGCCCTACTAGGCCATTATCGTTCATTCCTTGCTTAGAACTCGCTGCGGTGCCAGGCGTCCAAATATTTGTCTGTCTTGTGTTACCTACACACAAAATACCTAGTCTATCCCAGCCATCCACCTTGCATAGAAAGGAATTCTCTTTTGGTTGTCATTTACTGGGTAGTATGCTCTATGGTTTTTAATACCCTGTCAAAGGGTTGATAATGATATCTATACAACACTGACATCTTCACGACTGAGCTTCATGAATCGTAGGCAAGACGCCAAAAGCCGTTGGTTATCGAGTCCACGGCCAATAAAGACGATCTTTCCTGCATTCTCCAGATCTTCCTGTCCAGCACCAGAAAAGACCGCCTCCTTGATATCGTACAGCTCCTGAACACCCTGGATCACAAGCTTGGTTCCTGCTGGCCGATCCAGGGGCTTGAAAATTCCTTTGACGCGGAGGATATCCAGTTTTGGATACTGTTGCGATGGTGTTGACTCGGTTCGCTCATCGACTATGATATCTACTTCGGGAATCTGATGCTCCCATAGCAAAATCTGAATCCAGTGCTCAAACAGCTTTTGATCCAATGCTGGGGTGTTGAATGTCAATGTCGTCGTCTTGATGGACTATTTTCAAATATGACGCGCAATTGTATTGAGAGGAGAGACATCATAACGTCAGTGGATGGAACTAACACAGTCCGCGACTTGCAACTTTCAAGCTCCGATTTCGAAGAGAAAGAAAGATTTACCTGGTCAAGATGCTTCGAAAGCGCAGTCGTTGTGTCGTCCTCGTTATGGTCATGATCACACTCCTCGCCATGGACATGGTTAGGATCATCATGGTCGTTGGCATCCTGTTGCTTCTTCAATGCGGCCTCAGCTTGCTCCAGCTCCTTGGCACGAACAGCATCAAACGCAGCGATATCAAGAACAAAGTTCAAATCGACGCGTGAGTGCTGAGTCCTGACAATCTGCGCAACACCGTTCATGGCTCTGCAATCTTCTTCCAATAGGTCGGCTTCCTGTGATGTAATGAGATCGGTCTTGTTGAGGATGAGTCGGTCTGCCATCGCGATCTGTTTCGCGGTCTCATTCAGACTTCCGTCTTCCTTCTTCATCGCCATTTCCTAGTAGCCACAGAGCATGTAATTGGATCAGTAAAGAAGAGCGTAAAGGGAATCAAGGCTTGAACAACATATACACGATCAACGATGAAGTTAATGGTGCCGCGGTATGTTACCTTGCGGACATTACGAGAGTCGACCAAGGTGACGATACCGTCCAGATAGATATCACTCCCAAGATCGTCGTCCATCCAAAAAATCGAAGCAATTGGACCTGGGTCTGCCAACCCTGTCGTCTCCAACAAGATGTAATCAAACTTGCCCTTCTTCTTCATCAAGTTCTCAATCGCCAGCACTCCATTGTCCCTATGAACAAGCCAAAAAAAAAGAGTTGTCAGAAATCGTGATGCAAATAAAGAACTAAAAATCAAATGCATACACGAAGGAACTGAAGTTGAAGTAACATACTTGACGGTACAGCAGAGACATCCGTTCTTCAACTCGAGCCACTCTTCAACAACCTCGCCTCCCATGCCAACATTCATCGCCTGATCAATCCCACCGGTATCACCAAACTCGTTCAGGATAACGGCGACCTTGAAGTTGTGCTTCTCTGTCAGGATATGGTCTAGGAGGGTCGATTTCCCAGAGCCCAAGAAGCCTGTAATGATTGTGATGGGGATCTTTTTCGTTGGTGCAGCGTCGTCGTTGGCGTTTTCAGAAAAGGTGGGTGTTGTTGTTGTTGGGTCGACCAAGGTCTCGACGAGATCAGGCATCTCTTCGTCGTCATTGTCATTGGCATGGCCACCAGCGAGCGGGGTGGCAAGTGGTGGGCAGTCGTCGTCAGAGGAGCTCATGGTTGTGTATGTTTGTGTTTTTTTCGCCGGCGGGAAGTGGCGATTACGGTCAATTGTTTCGAGGTGGTGGACAAAGGAAAGGTGCGAGTAAGGCGTGAGAATGCAAAGTGAGATCTCTCCATTTCATTTTGGCGGCGCAATGGTTGACTGCTTACACCCCTTAACTTCAACGGAACATTTGCTTGCAAATCTCATGCTCCTTTTCCTTTTCTTCTTACCCAAACCCACTCTCAGGGACAGCACAGGACGATATCGATGACTGCGGACACCCAACTCACCGACACACCACAGGCACTCATGCTGCCAGAGCTGCTCACCCATATCGCATCCCACCTGGACGCACCCGACATATTTCAATGCGTCCAGGTCTGCCACACTTGGAACAGGCTGCTTATCCCGTATCTATGGCGCACCCTTGACGACCAGTGCTTCCAATGGCCCTCTATCCTACATCAACATGACTCGGAAACACCCCCAGGAGGCAAGGACAGGGATTGGATCTTTGCGCTCTTTGCTAAGTACGGTCACCATATCCGACATCTGCACATCCGCTGGAAAGTCGTCTTGAGCGCTGCTGGTTCCGGAAACAATTGCACTCAGCTCCGGAGTCTCTGCATCTACGATATGACTAATGTTCGGACATCAGTCGAGGCGGCCGAGGACGCCCGACTTTGGACTCTTCCTCCACAGAGCAACGGACGAGCAGCGTTTGACCGGGCCCGTCAAGGAGCAGTAGGACCTCTCCTTTCCCCAGCCTTTGAAGGCGTCTTCCAGCCTGCCCCAGTTCGTCTCAGGAGTTTGCCGCAGCAGGAGCAGGATTGGATCACCCACCAGAGGTTCTGGCTCCTCGTTCGTCAGAATCCAGGATTGCGGGTGCTTCGGTCGCACTGGAGTCTTTTTCAACTCTCTCGGATAAAGCTCATGGAGTTCTTTTACGAGACGCTGGCGATGTTACCCAACCTTCGCAACATTGACAACCAAATCCTTTGCGTCGACTTTGGACATCTTTTGGCACGAGTGCCGAATCTCCAACATTATACAGCGGCGTTTTTGTACATGGACAGCATACCCCTGACCAAGCTGTTTCAAGGGCTTCAAACCCTCCGGATACCTGGTCGCCTTCCAATTCGGATTTTCTTCAACCTGCTGAACCACTTACCTGGTCTTGAACACATCTACTTTGGATGCTTCGAACTTGGCGAGGATTCGGACGTCTCCAGTGGTCTGACCAACACACCATGTCCGCTCAAGGGTATCCACTTTCTCGACAGCAATACAGGAGACGAAGAGCAGATGCCGATGCAGGTCCTTCCATGGCTCCCGAACCTGACTGGGTACTCCGCAGCTCGTCTCACCGCAACTGCAGCGATGGCTCTGGCACGATTTTGCCCCAAACTCAAAGTCTTTGAGCAGGGATTCAGCGGAGATACGACACACAGTGAGGCACGGATGGTCACAGACGACAATACCATCGGTCTTTTACTCGGGACCTGTCCCAACCTCAAGAAGATCGACGCTCCTCACCACAGGATCGATGTCGGCTACATGAACCATTTCAACTGGGTCTGCCATGGACTGGAATCACTGCGTTGTCAGCTCGTTGGATTTTCGCGCCTGGACAGTGCTGAGCAAGAATTGTATCAGAGGATCATTGGAAGCGACCCGGATCTCATCGACATTGCAGAGATGCATGAGGAGCACCAGGGTCTTCTGGACAAGGCTTTGCTTTGCAAGCTACAACATACTCAGGTCTACAAGCAATTGGCCCTCATGACTCGACTGCGGGTTCTAGATCTCGGATACGAGTTTAGGAACGTCTACTTGGGCACGCGCACCAACTTTCGCAATCAGACCGCACTCATCAACATCGCGGTCACCAACTTCTTGCGCGCCCACCTCCCACCCGAGCAGACGGATGGAGATGGTTACATTGACTATGGCGGGCCACACCGTGAGACGATGAGGCTTACGTTGAATTCGGGGCTTGCTCGGCTAGGAACTCTGGTCAATCTGGAGGTGTTTGGGTTCGAGGGTGTGGATCATCAGATAGCGGAGGCAGAGCTGGAGTGGATGGCTAGCGCTTGGCCCAAGTTGAAGGTGATGCGTGGATTGCAGGAGGATACGTTACCGCGGATCCGCCCAGGTGAGAGGAAGGCTGGACTGAGAGCGTTTATGTACCGGCTGCGCCCGGAAGTGAAGCATGAGGGAGGAGCTCCTGATTACGGTCCTTATCTGAGTGAATAGATTTTGATCAAAATAAATGAGACAAGTTTCTATTCTCTCCTTGTCTTACCAGTTACAGACACACACATCATCTCACCATGCAGCCGGCACAACATACCGCCTTGAATCTAGCTGAGATCATCACAGCAATTGGATCCTTCCTTCCTCGCAGTTCCATCGTCGCCTGTCTACAGCTCAACTCCTCATTTCACTCCCTCCTCGCACCATTCATCTACAACCACCTCAAACTATTCTCACGCCGTAGCGTCGCAAAGTTACCCACTACTCAGACACTGGTCCGCTACGCACACCTCGTCCACGACCTCAGCATCAACTCCTTTGTATCGTTAGCATATCTCACAGCAGGATACAAGAACCTGCGGTCCATCTCCTTCTCGAGCCACAAGGGAAACCAAGCTGCCCAACTCGGGACCGATGACGAAATCTTGGACGCCCTGTTGCAACTTTTACAGGACAACCCCAGATTGAAGGGCTGGACGCTGGACGACCCATGGCCTCAGATTCCGGCTGTTGTCTGGAAGGCAGTTGCAGAGTCGACGACAGAACTGAATGTGCTGTGTCTCTACAACACGATCGTCAGCGATGAAGCGAGGCCGTGGTTCCTGAAGGCTTGTCGGAAGACGCGACAGCTCGTCTTGCAGAACGTGACCATTCAGGGATCCGAATCAAGCAACAATTTTACAGGACACGCCGACACTCCTTCTTTCTCTCCACAGAGTATTCAATTCAATAATGTGTCGGGCTTACCCATGCTGGATCAATTGGAATTCCTTTGTCGGTGTCTGCATCTGCAGGATGTCTTCTGGGAACCCGTCTCACAGGATATCCACCAACAACTACAACAGGCTACCGAGCAGGAAGTTATGTCCATGCGAGAAGAGATTCGACGTTTTTTCCAACGTACGACTTGGCCCCGTCTGAAATATGTTACTTTCCGGAAGTACGGTGACTATTCCGACAGTTCTCTGGCATCGATCCTGATGATCGAGATCCTGAACCACATTCTGGAGAGCATTCAAGCTGGACTACTGGAGCAACTCGTCTGTATGGGCTCAGTTCTCGGCACGGCGGGTTTGAGATCCCTGTCAAGGCAGTTCTCGAACCTCAGTATCCTGACTGCGAGAGGGTGTGCAGCGATTTCGAGTCCAGTGGTTCAACATTTATTGGAGTCGTGCCCACAGCTGACAACGATTGACGTGACCGAGCTGCATATCCGGGATATTCGTAGGGGTGGGCCTTGGGTCTGCACACGGATGGTGGTCCTCCACTTCAGTTTCAACCTATGGCTCGAGAAAGACGATGTCGGCTGGCGAGACTTTGCTTGCTCTCCTTTGGCGGACACGGACCAGGATGAATTGGAAACAGCGCGGTTTATTCAAGACCAACACTACGTGTTCGATCAACTTTCAAGATTAACAGCGTTGGAGCACTTGGATGTTCAGGTGTTTCCGCTTCGGTTCAACGGCGTAGCAAGGTCAGGAGGTTCGGAGATGCTTCACTATGGGGAACTCGACTTTCGGTCCTCGCATGGGTTGGAAATGCTCTCGACGCTGAAGGAGCTTCGATGCCTCAACTTTTCTGGGACGTTCCAGAGGCTGGAGTGGGAAGATGTGCGGATGATGGTTGCGCAGTGGCCCTTGCTTTATTGCCTGAGTGGAAGATTGTCTTCTGACGAAGGGCTCGATACCGGCCTTTGGGGGTTCCTTGAGGAGTACGACATTGACAGGGGACTATTGGAGTAATGGCAGTCGAGACTATACAGTAGATAGTATCTTGATGAGCAATATAAAGAAAAGAAAAGAGGCTTGTGGGTGCAATGCTTGAGGCGGCGTCCCTTCCCTCTCGACAGTTCTATGAAGAGCTGGAAGCAGATGGTCAAAAAGGATACGTGGCCTAATATCCGAGTCATCAAGCTAGGCGAGCAGAAGGACATGCGAAGGAGATTCCTTGACATGGATGACGCGACGGACGAGGCGATCTCTTACCTCCTGGATTTTGTCCCCATCAACCAGTTGACGGAGTTCGACGGTGTAGCCCCTGGAATTTGGCCGCAAGTGCGTCCTGTTATTGGGACATCAACACTCGTCTCTGTCGACCCTGGATCTCTCTCTCTGCCCGGGGGTGCCAAGTTTGGCGATTCAATCAATTTTGAAATCCTTCCCACAGATGGTCCGTCTTGAGGTGGATCATCTGAATGTCCAGGATATCCGAAATGGCCGGCCTTGGGTGTGCTCTCGCCTTGAGAGTTTTTCAGTGAAGCTGGACCTGAGGCGCATTGAGACTGATGAGGAGGCAGGGGGTCAGACGTAGCATCAACGGCTGTAGGAGGAGACGAGAAGGCGATCGAGAAGACGTTTGTTCAGGATCAGCGACTTGTCTTTGGGAGGTTGTCTGGGTTGACGTCGCTAGAGACCTTGACGTTGCCACGAACGCGTCCAATTGAGTTTGACGACACAGTTTGTGATGGTGGACTCGAGTTTCGACTTGGGCTTGGGTTGGATTGTCTAGTGACGCTGACGAGGCTTGTGAGGCTGGACTTTGGTGGTTCGTTCACGGGACTTGAGATAGAGGATGTCGAGTGGATGCTGGGGAATTGGCCCAAGCTAGATGAGTTACATGCGGGGCATTGTTCCAATACGTACTCTTCTTTTTGAATATATGCCGATGAATTTGGTGGCGTTGAAAGAAACCGTTGTATCTGTCTGTCTGTCTGTCTGCCTCAGCCTGTGGACCGTTTTTTCTTTCTTTTTTTCACACAAAGGTATTGTGCTTCTTACTTTTCTTGTTTTCTTTTCTCTTCTTCTCTCTCCTTTCATACACTCATCACACTCCTCTTCCCTCCATCCATTCCCACCTACAATCTAAAATGGCTCACTCTATTACCACCACGGACCTCCAGGCCGCCCTCTCCCTCCTCACCATCGGCGACCGCGCCCTCCCCGCCAACCTCGCCAAGCCTAAGGTCGGCATCGTCTGCGGATCCGGTCTCGGTGGTCTCGTCAACATCCTCCGCAGCAAGATCGAGTTTGCCTACACCGACATTCCCGGCTTCGTCAACTCCACCGGTAAGCAATTTCAATTACTGCTCTCTTCTGGAATGGGTTGTCAAAAAGGAATGCCATACAACAGGTGGCTGCTTAGTGGCTTTTGCTAGTTTTGCTAGTATTTTTATGGGTGAATTTGTCTCTGTTGTTTCAAACAACACTGTAGATGAGGAAGGAACAAACACAATCCATGTTTGCATGAGGCAGACCTATGATCAAGATCTCAATGGAAATAAAAAGAGGGCTCAACCCACAGAGTGCACGCCGTGCGAAGAACAGCGCATTCTCGCATTCTTGTCCACGAGTATAGGATAACGAAATTGTCCATGAACTTTCTTTTGGCTGTAATCTTTTCACGCCTTTCTAACATTCTCACACACTCTCTCTCCACATTGGAAACTTTCTATTCTTCCTTTTTACCTTCCTCATAGTTGCTGGACACGCTGGAAAACTTGTTTTCGGTCTCTTGGGTGACAATGATGTCCCCACCGTCTGCATGGTCGGTCGCTTCCACTTCTACGAGGGCTTTGCTCTTACCCAGACCACCTACCCCGTCCGCCTCATGTCCCTCCTTGGAGTCGAGACCCTTATCGGTAAGCAAGCCAACAACCAACTTTGATAACGCATTTGTGTTCCCTGTTACTTTCCCACCCACCTGTTTTCGTTTGGTTTTTTTTTGACCCCTCTTTTTCCTTTTGCCTTTGCCATGTTTGCCTGCAATTGGATCGACATGTTTGTTTGCCCCGCAATTTTTTTTATTTTCCACAACAGAACCCAGTTTTTTCTCTACTTTTTATTTTTCATTTCTTTCGGGCATCACAAAGTACATGGATAGGATACCACAATGTGGGGAAGGACATCTCGTCCTTCCTGGGTATCACCCTCTTTTTCTTTTTTTTGCCCTTTATTTGTTCCTGCACCAGGATTCCGTTTTGACAAATATACATACAACTCTACGGATACTACGGATGTCGCCAAAAAGGCCAACAAACACAGGAGCAGGAAGATCTTAGCGTCTGGGCGTGGACTCAATTGAAACAACGGCACAACCCAAAAGGACATGTCAAAGACACAGGAATCAGGCCACGGATCCCAATCTCAGTCAATGGCTTACCTACAAAACCATAGCGGGGAACAGAGCTCGTACCAAAACAAATACACCTTTGTATCGTTGCACTGGATCCACCCACCAACTTACATACATGCAAACAGAATCAAGCACACACTCTCAGCTCATACATTGCTAACATTGTTCAACGTTCCCTTCTCAAATAGTCACAAACGCTGCTGGTGGCTTGAACCCTGCCTACCAGATTGGCGATGTCTGCGTCATTGAGGATCACATCAACTTGCCCGGTATGACCGGCAACAACCCCTTGATCGGACCCAACATGGCTGAGTTCGGTCCCCGCTTCCCTCCCATGTCTGATGCCTACTGCCCCCGTCTCCGCCGTCTCGTGTTCGAGGCCGCCAAGAAGTTGAGCGTCCCCAAGTTCTTGCATGAGGGTATCTACGTCTTTGTCTCTGGCCCCTCTTACGAGTCCAAGGCCGAGTGCCGCTTCTTGAAGACCATTGGCGCCGATGTTGTCGGTATGTCGACTGTTCCTGAGGTCGTCGTTGCCAGACACTGCGGTATCAAGGTTGTCGGCCTCTCCTTGGTCACCAACCGCGTCGTCGTCCACCGTGAGCAGCGATCTGACCCCGATGCACCTGCTGAGGTCAGACCCCAGGAGGAGAAGATGGCCAGCCACGAGGAGGTTTTGGAGGCTGCTGATGCCCGTGCCAAGGATCTCCAGGTAAATACCAGCGCGCGTTATTGTCGTTTCCTTGTGTACTGCTGTGTTTTATATGTCATGGACTCTAACATCAAATTCGTGCCTCTTGTAACTCTCTTGTAACTCTCTTGTAGACCCTTGTCAAGCATCTGGTCGAGATGATCTAAAGTTAGGCGATTGACATTGCGAGGTGGTATTTAATGGACGGTGAAGCCCATTCTCCACCGATCCCCTTTACATATTTTCCTTTATTCCCCACCCGATAGACAATAAACATAGATGTACAGTACATATACTCTGCTTTGCCTGGCGCGTGTTGCTCTCTTTCTTTGAGTTGGTGGCTACGATTCAAAGCGATCAATGCGTCGACCAGTTGGTCCGTTGCTTTGCCATCAGATATTTCATCTCCTCCTTTTATCCATTCCCACTCCTTCCCACAAAATACATACCCATGAAAAGTCGTTGGACATCCCAGAGCTGGTCCCCTCTTGACCGCCTACCTCAGCTCCCACGACCTCCTGACCTGCGTATAAGTCAATCATCTCTGGGACACAACAATTATCCTAATCCTTTGGCACACCATCCACGATTCAACACCATCATGGGAGTATATCCTTCGAGGATGTACACCGGACCTCAAGACGGTGCAGCATGCGTTTTAGAAAGCGAATACTGTACGCAAGAAGAAGGAAGTGGACAAGGACAATGGGAAGGGGAAGGGGAAAGGATCGGGAGTGGTGTTTTTGCAAGTATGAGTGGTTTACCAGGAAATTGTCTATCAGTTGGGCCTGTGGTTCTGGAGGCTGTCAGTATGGCGAGCGGCAGCAGATAAAAGAGGTGGAGGTGGAGGCAGCGACGGTGGATGGAGCAGTATCGAGTCGTTGGGCAACTTGCGATCAGCGAAGCCCATGTTCCTCAGGAGGTCGATTCATGATGGGGACACCGTTCCACAACAAAACAGGTACAGGGGCGGAGGAGGAGGAGGGTCGATGTCGGAGCCACTGTTCCTGGGATACCTAACTGTAGGCAATTTCTCGCCACCTTCATTAGACCCTAGACAGACAGCCAAGATCATACAGGACAGACCGGAGTAAGGGTGGATTTTGGGACAGCATTAATGGCACACGATTCTCAGGAACCGCCGGACGACTTGGTTTGGCAAAGCTTCCTGTGCCGCAGTGGGGACTCAAGTCCAAGGATGTCTACTATAGGGTGATTGGGCAGCCGAAGGTGCTGAAGGATTTGATGGAGTGGAAGAGTTATGTGTTTGGATCTGAGGGCCTTCTTGGCAATCTGTGAATATTTTGGAGGATGCTGAGGGCGTATCCGCAGATCGAGTCGCTTGACGTTAGTGGGCAAGGGTAAGTCCAAGCTTTGGCGTTGCCGAAGGAGGAGGCGGTTGTGAATATGACATTGCGGAGGTTGTCTGTTAATATTGAGACAAGCGGTCTTGCTCGATCTCTTTCCGAACCTGTCGACGCGATTCTTGGCCCTATTAAAGAGTACCGCATTAATCCTTCCTTTGAACGCCCAACAACCACCTCGTCAACTGGTGTGTGAACCACCGGATTGGAAGGGAGGAGTTGGAGTGGATGGCGGAGAGGTGGATTTGAGAATGGCGTTGATTGAGAGGAGGTTGGTGGCGCGCGAGGGGGTTGTGCAGTGAAATCTACTGTAATGCTGTTTATTTTTTGTATGACACAAATGCAAGAAATGAGATGGAATGAGAGGGAGGGATTATATATGGGTGTGTGAAGGATCTACCGGTTGGCTTTCCGGCTGATCTGGACCTTCTTGGCCGTGACCTCGGCCTTGGACATGGGCACCAGACGGGCTCCCTCGCGCCGCTGCCAGATCTCGATCGGAGGCAAAGGCCAGTAGTGGGGTCCGTATGTGATGTCCGTGATCGCCTTTTGTGTCTTGTCATCGATTTTACTATTTGCCGCCAACGAAAAAGGGAGAGAAAAGTAAGTAATCAGGTTAAGTTGAAGACAATGTACCAAAACCAGCAATGAATATTCATAAAGACGCGAAAGACGTACATGATGCGCTCCTTGGAGGCGCGGACAAGTCCGGTGCCGTTAGCAAGGGTGGCCATCCACTTGGGGTCAACAACTGTCAAGCCCTTGAGGTAGATCTTTGAAGGTTTGGACTCGATCTCGACCGCCTTGACAGTCCTCTGAAGATCCTGATATACAACCATCGCCGGCGCCTTGTCCATGCTGAACCCAAACAGTCCCGAGCTCGGGTGGATATAGACCTTTTCCTTGGACCACATCGTGACATAGGGGACGGCCTTGGCCTTCTTGGAATAATTGGCCTCCACAGCTCCGACAAGATCCTTCCTGATCGCAACCTGGTCCATGAAGGCACATGCAACAATCTGGCGGATGGCCGTCAACTGGCGCGTCGTGGGCTTGTCCATGTACGGGTCAAACACCAGATCCGAAATAGTGGCACTGTTGGCAAAGCTATCCTGAACCATCCTCGTAAGCTGTCCACGAAGCATGTGAATTTCCTGCATGGCCTTGTAGCGAACAAAGTTCTCCGTACAGAACTTCTCCTTGTTAGTCTCACGGGCATAGGCTCCAACGACGTTCAGGACCTTGGCCATATCGTTCAAGGGGTCAAGAGCCTCATGGACAGTCTGGGCCTTGTAGAACTTCCGCCGGGTGAGCTTCCTCTTCTCCTTCTTGAGGACTTTCTCATTGGTGATGTGTCGGAGCTCCATCTCGTCCATGTCGTCCAGAAGGTAACGCTTGTTTGATACGTCGTCGTCGTCCTCGCTCTCGTCGTCGGTCTCTCCGGGACGAGAGATATCCAGCTGGAACTCCTTGACAAACACCTCGCCGACCGACAGGGCTGCGACAATGGCGATGACATAGGGGAAGCAGTTCTCCTGATGTGCAAGCGTGAGCCTATAATGTGAATAGAGCAATGCGAAAAGTTAGAAGGAAGTTTTGGTACAAAACGTATATGCACGAAAAATAAAATCAAGTCCAGCCTTGTGCATACATTTTAGCGAGACGAGGAACGAGAGGGAAGATGGACATGGTCTTGCCCAGCTCCGTGATACTCTTCTTGTTCGAGTTCTCCAATGCGTTCAAGTAAACAAGACGCTGTTCCGACTGCTTTAAATCCTCACGGTTTGGTGGCGTAGGGAAGGGGAAGTTGACGACATTGTCGATGTACATGCTCTTCATCTGCAGGACAACACCATCAATAGGCATCTTTTGGATCTCAGCCTCCGACGCTGTAACAAATTCGTTCTCGTAGACTGCAGAACTGTACAGACGGTAACAGTGGCCATGGCCCGTACGACCAGCACGACCAGCGCGCTGGATAGCACTCGCCTTAGATGTCCAGCCAACCTGGAAGGTCTGGATTCCTGTCTCCTTGTCGTAGTGGCGCTCCTTGGACTTTCCGCTGTCGACCACATACTTGACGTTGGGGATGGTGATGGATGTCTCGGCAACATTGGTCGCAACGACACACAGTCTGGAGCCTGGTGGTGGAGGCTGGAAGACACGCATCTGCTCCTCGGTCTTCAAGAGCGAGTACAGAGGTAAGACGTGAAGTGGTGCCATTCCTGCATCGGGGATCTCCTCCAAGATCTCAGCATCGGCATCAAGCTCCTCCTCAGAATCCGATCCGTCCAAGTCAAAGGCCTCGTCGTCCTCCTCCATACCTTCCACCTGAGCGACAACTTCAGAATCACCAATGGCCATATCTTCCAACTCGACATCCTCGTTGCGGGGGTCCAGCTCCTGGTTCGTCTCGGTTCCAGCAGTCTCCTGAGCTGCCGACTTGTCCTCTGCCACAGGCTTGCCGCTCTGCGACTTCTTGGTATCATCCGCCTTGTTGCTGTTGTTGAGATGAGGGGTGTTGGGGTTGTTGAAAGGGAACTTCTTCCTCAGCTTCTTGACCAACTCCGTGATCTCAGCCTGTCCAGACAAGAAGACCAAAATGGCACCCTCAGGAAGTTTCGAGTGGATTTTGGAGACCTTCTTGAACGCCTCCGTGACATAGTCGACCTCGGGTGTCCTCTTGTTGAAATGCATCGTAAGTCCGTAGATCTTCTTGACATCCACGCTAACAACAGGCACGAGCTCCTTGGGCGCCTTCTCCTCGTCGTCATCAACCTCCACCCCGCCCTCCGCTGCCTCTGCATCCTTGACCGCCTTCGAGCTGCTCTTCTTCTGGTTTCCAAAGAGTCTCTCGTTCTTGGTAAACTCCTCGATGACAAGAGTGGCAGACATGATGATCAGCTTGAGCGGCTTGGTGTTCTCGCGATCCTTCTTGCTCTCCTCCCTACGCAGACGTACAATACGACTCAGAGCTCCGATCAAGATATCCGTGTTCAAACTGCGTTCGTGAGCCTCATCGATAATAATGGCAGAGTACTTGCGAAGAAGGAAATCCGAGTTCAGCTCTCTGAGCAACACACCATCAGTCATAAACTTCATCACAGTGTCGGGCGAAGTCGTAGCATCATATCGAATCTGATGCGAGACCTTGGATGCTGGGAGGTTGAGTTCCTTGGCGACGCGGTCGGCCATCGAGACAGCAGCAACACGACGAGGCTGGGTGATTCCGATCATGCCAGGGTTGGGGCTGTTGGGGTTTCCGTATCCTGCCTCGTACAAGAACTGGGGGACCTGAGTTGTCTTTCCTGAACCGGTCTCTCCCTTGATGATGACAATGTCGTTGTAGATGATCTTCTCCATGATGTGCTGCTCCTCGGTGCAGACGGGCAGTTTCAAACGCATCTCTTGAATCTCTGGATCTCTGTCAACGTGCACATGGAACGCCTATAGACATAATTACCAGCACCTTATAGTTAGCATATGAGTGTGTGATGCCATGCACTCGAGTAATTTACTCGCAGCAAATGAAATCTTACCTCAGCGATATCGCCTTCCTCCAGCTGACCGACCTTCTCGATCCTGTTGCCCAAAAGATCCCTCTCCGGCTCCACGCGACTCGATACATACTCGCCAGTCCTCTCGGGAAGGGCATCAATGCTGGAGATGATACGCTCCTCCACGCCCTCTGCACTGGTGGCAACTCCTCCAAGATCTGTCATCCAACCACGTCTCTTCTTCTTTGCTGGCTCTCCTGCGTCTCCGCTCTCGTCTTCGCTGCCGCCGCGCTTGCCATCCTTCTTGTCGTCCTCTTCCTCGTCATCTGATGAAGAATCGTACTCAGAGTTGGAACTGTCGAATGAGCTCTCACGTTCCTTCTGCTTGGCCGCCTCCTTTTGTGCACGAATCATAGCTAACCGAGACTGGAGATTGTGATACACGTTAGTATTGCTTAGTTGCTTTGATTGGTTAACAAAAACCAACTACAACGAAGAGCAAGGTAACTTACAGGCTTCTTGGTTGTGGATTTCCGGACAAGGATAGATGATCCGACCTTCAACGCACTTCCAGCAGCCACAGGCTTGGTAACCACCGGCGTAACAGGTGGAGCCGGTCCCATATCCTGATCGCCATCACCATCCTCATCGCTACCATCATCATCGTCGCCGTTATCATCATCATAGTCGTCCTTGGGCTTGGCATACAATTGAACATTCTTATCAGACTGCTCTAATCCCTGACGCTGCTCGTTGAGTGCTCTCCTGAGTTTCTGCTTCATGGTCTCCTTATTCTGTCCCAGGGTTCGACTAGACTTCATCAGATCTGACGACCATGCCTGCTCTTCGATCTTCTTGAATAGATCGCCTCTCGCCTCCTTTTTCAGCTTTTTCTCCTATTATGTCGAATGGTTCGGAAGGTATGAAGATGTCAGGGTATGCTTCGCAAAGTCATGCTTCCAGGTATTAATGTTACATAATCGAACGGTTGAATGACAATGGGTGCACGTACGATGTACTTTTCCAATTTCTTCTTCTTCTTGCCGCTCATCTGTGGTTGGGCAGCCTATTTAGTCACAGAGATCAAGAAGGGATGGTACAGTTAGTCGTCTCATACATGACTTGAGCACCTTGTTCCTGATTTTCTTCTTGTCATCCATTCAAGGCTTGGCTTACCTCCTCGTTGAACTCAATCGCTTCCGCGTCAACCTGTCCAGGCGCAATAATGTCGGCATTGGAGTCAGTTCTATTTACATCGATTTTGAAAACAACGTCAAGGCAATTTTTAGAAGGTGAAAGCAGAAGAAAGAACAACAAGGCCTCGAATGAACCCCTTGCTTCAATGAAACATCTTGTTAAACAACATATCACATACGTCTCCAAGAGAGTAGGCTTGGTAGCTTTCCGTCCTCCATCTCTGGCATTGGGATGTGGACGAGAGGATCTGTTGCTTGAAGATCTGGCCCTCTCGTTGTAACGTGGGCGATTCTTTCCCATGATGTATTATGTTTGAGCTGATATCAAAATTGAGAGAGAGAGAAGGGTGGGAGAGAAAAGTGAGATAAGAAGTTGAGTTCGTGAGAAGTAGGGGTTGGTGCTTGAAATTTGAGAGAGCACCAGTGGAAGTGTAAGGAGTTGGTTCGTTCACTTGCGAGGAATGAATGAATGGTAAGGTAAGGTAGGGAGTGAAGACAAGGACGATGGCAAGGACAAGAACAAGGCACAAGGAAATGATACGTGTGTTGCACACGCCAACAAAAAAAAAAAGAAAAAGGAAAAATCAACAGTGACTGTTTATCTAATTCTATCATTCCGAGTCAATTGTAGTTTAGTTGGGCGGAGCCTCGCGTTCACACCAAATGTACATCACCAGCCTATGAACGCGGCACAAGAGAGAGGCATGACAAGAAGTGAAATACTCTTATTGTGATTCAGTTGCTGTTTTCAAAGGGTCTTAACCTCAGGTGACCTTGCCGATGCCGCCTTCCACATTGGGTGCATCCCTAAAATCGAGCCAGGGTTGTCGAGGACCGACTGCCAACAAAGTCGCGATTGGTGTAGGACGGCATGCCAATCTTGCTGTTGCTGTTGGCCGAACGCTGACTCGGGGATGGCAAGACAGATCTGAGTGAGCGAGTATTTCCTGCGCTAGGAGCTGTAGTTCCCATCCAAAAACGGACTTGACAATCAACGAAGCGAGGTCTGTCAGGCGCACGACGAGGGCGAAGAGTATCAGCTTTCGTTAGCGAATGACAGACTCGGATAAGGTGGCGGTACTTCTGAAGTGAGTCGAAGAGTAGGCCGTGCTCGAAACACCGCTGCCAAAAGCCTCCCTGTCATAAAGTCTGCGCCAAGCGTAAGACGTGAAGAAGGCGCTCCAGGAGCGACAGACGTGACGACAAGCGAAAAAGGACGGCGCGTCGAGGTGGGCTGCAACAATATGCAGCAGCTCGGAAGGAGTGCCTGCCATGTCTGGCTACTTCATGGAATGAGTGGTAGGAAGTCGCGACTCAACTTTGAAAATGAGAAGGAAGAGCAGCGTGGAGTGGGTTGAATGAGAAGAGGGCAACAGGCAAGCCACAGGAAGCGTCACAGGCGTGGCTGTGGCAGCATTGGAGGGGTCAAAGTGACCAAGAAACAAAGGTTAAAGAAAACTAGTCTATACAGCTCTCTTTTTATTCGTTCCATTATTTACTTCACTACCCATAATATCTATTATCGAAATAGGTCGATATGTCTTTGTTCGCGAATTGCGCTTATGTTTTCTTCGGTTATTTGTGTCCTAGGTGTGTCGACAGAAGGGTTTCCAGAAGGGAGAGTTGTCGTCTATTTTTTGCCAGATGAGACATGAAGAGTGATTTTGTGTCGAGGTGCGCAGCAATGAGGTGAAGTATCTTCAGGGGTAGTTCCTGTGCGAGTCTTGAATGCGCGTTGTCCATGGCAGTTCTCCTGTGTGTGTGTGTGTGTGTGAGAAGAAAAGAGCAAAAAGAAGCGAAGTGGCGGGATGTCTTCCTTTTCTGGGCTGAACCATTGTCACGTTTCGTTAGACTGGACCTTATATCCACATTATCGATTCTCCTTCCTCCTCATGATAACAAAGTCTCTCTTTTCTTCTTCTTCTTCTCTTTCTCACCTTCCCTCCTTCTCTCCTCGCACCCATCAGCTCCATCCGAGCACACTTCTCACAATGACAAACGCCTTCAAGGTCATCCGCTCCGAATACCTTTTCAACAAAATCACCTCCCATCTCAGCCACTCTGACTTTCCCCACTGCGCCCTCGTTAACCGCTACTGGAACTCACTCTTTAGATCTCTGGTCTGGCACACTCTCACCTTCAGTGAGGATTTACACTCTGAGGACCCCTTTCACAAGAAACATCGCGCCATCCTCAACCAGTTAGGCCTCTTTATCCGCAAATTGTATTCACACGACTGTCGATCGCTCGTTTTCTTCAACGGCCCCCAATCTCGCTGTCGTTACCTTGTGGAACTCGAATTCACTGCCTGTCTGGCCCACGAGAGCACCACCCAGGCTGTTCAATTGATCCGCGATAACTTGCAGCTCGAACGGTTGACTATCCAGGGAGACTTTACTCTGACCCAGAACAGCGAGGCACCCCAGAACTTGTTCTCTGCTCTACTCCAGCACCCAGCTCTAACACACCTTCAACTCGACAACATTGACACCACGATTGACTACCTGTTTGTGCGGGCCTTACTTGCCCACCTTCCTGCGACTCTCCAGTCGCTTGTCATGAGCTGGACCTCCATCACGAACCTTGACCCTGATCAGGTCAATGCCTCCGACCCTTCCTGGCCAATCGCATATCCTCATCTTCGATACCTCTCGATCGACACCAAGTTCATGGATCAAACACGCGAGTATCTGCTTTTCCCCCTTTTGCGCCGTTGCCCCGAACTCATGGAATTGTCTATCACTCACATGGACGAAGGGATTACATCCTCCTCTTCCCTACCCTCTCGTCCTGCCCACAATCTGGCTGTTCTCATTCGCAACCACTGTCCCAACGTTCGTCGATTGTCTGTCGACCATTGTCAAGAAAGCGAGTCGTTGGCTCTGAACCTTATTGGAATAGAATCCTTCCAGATTGGCAACTCTCCATCGCTCAGTCAATTATGCACAGCCATCGTTCCGAATTGGTCTTCTTCTCTGAAAGAACTCTGTTTCCTTCGAGGAACCAGTGTCCAGAGTACTGATATCCAGCTCCTTCTCACATCTTGCCCTCTTCTGACAAAGTTCGTCATCCGGCCCGACAAGATCCGGTATGATATCAACGGTGTACTCTCACAAGGCTGTTCTGGTCTGAAGCTGACTGAGATGACAAGGTCAAGCTGGGTCTGTTTAGGTCTTGAGCAACTTGGGTTGAGAATCTTGGATGACCGATCCGTCGACGAGAGCATTACTGCCAAAGAACAAAACCAGGCGACGGTGATGATGAGACGGGCGCTAGCGCAGATAGGAGACCTTGCTCTCCTTCAACAGCTGGGGCTCGAGTGGACTCCTGTCACCAGGGCCGATCCAAGGACGACGCAAGTTCCAAAGGACTTTGTCCAGATGGACTTTTCTCTCTTGTGCGGTCTCAACCTGTTGAGTGGACTAAAGAAGCTGAGGAAGCTGCAGGTCTCAGTGTCAGGGCTGGCGATGGGTCAAGCGGAGATGGAGTGGATTATCGACAATTGGCCCAAGCTGAACGTTATTGCTGGACTCTCTCGATCACTGTCCTCTCGTTCAAAGTCTACCACGGAAAAGGAGCCGGCGCATATTGGGTGGTTGCGCGAGCATCGATCCAGTCTCAGCGTGTTTTGAGTAGAGGCGATCAAAATAAAACATCGAAAGTGACGATCGAGGTTGAACAGCCTATAGAAAAAAAAAATCTTGTCTTGGACGCGTTGATCGAATACGCCAAACGCACCGCCCCCCTGAACCCTCTTCCACAACCTCCAAGGCACCAGCGAAGAACTAGTCGTCAACGATTTTTACCCATACTTTGACATCCTGGAAGAAGCCAAAGCAGCCTTCGCAATGTTTGACAAGGACGCCAACAGCGATATCTCCAAGCGAGAGATGAAGGAGAAGATCTTTTACATCTACAAGGAGCGCAAGGATCTACATACGGCGCGTTGAGAGATTTTGTCGCAGGCTGTGGGAAAGTTGGATATGATCTTCTTGTCAGTCGCGTTTGTGATCTGGCTCGGGAGACTTTATATCCAACCCTTCAATCAGGCATTCTTCGCCCCACAGTCCAAGGAGATTCGAACAGCCACCCCCGAGAAGCGTCGTCACCACCAACAACAACACGGAAAACAGTGACTTTAGGGACAATAGGGATAGCAACAGTAATAATAACAACGCGAATAATGGGGATACGCTGCGGGGTCCTGACACGATGATGCGATCGTTTGTGAATGAACTACAGGCAGTGCGACAACAGCAACAACAATCGTCGTCGTCGTCGTCGACGCGGCGGTATAAATCCACTCGTCGGCCCCAGGGCGGTGATGACGACGAGCGAGGAACACGAAGGCGCCGATGGAGGCGATTGGATAATAAACGGTTGTATACAATTGTTCATACTTTCAAATGTCGTCTTTGAACAAGCTGTCGTGATATCAGCCAACACAACATATACATGTGCAGTCATCCATGCTGGCGCACGTTGGTTGTTGAATCCACAGGTGGCGCTCCTATAGTACCTGCCCGCGTTCCTACGGCAATAGGATGTTGAAATAGCAGGAATGGGATGGTGTTGCAAAAATGAGAGGTCGGATTACGTTATATCATTTAAGCTAATGCACATTGCTGTAAGGTCTGCTCGCACAACTTTTTTTTTTTATATTGTGCTTCAACTAAACAGCTGCTGAATGTTGAGAATCCCAGTAGCAAGCATGACAGAGTAACGACGACTCAGTATGTTGTTGTGAGCGTGGGTGGCTATTAATCAAAGGCGACGACGAAGACCCGTCCTGTTTGTGCTCCTCCTGGCTCTCGACTTTGATACGTGTGTTCCTGTCCAAAGGAGGCTGCGAAGGTGGCGGCGTGTATGGCGGTCCCGAATGTCCATTGGCATGCTGACCCTCCTCCACTTTGTCCTCCCACCAAATCGGAGAAGTGGTTGCAGCACACCGTCTACAGTTCTCCTCCACAGACTGGTATGAAGATGTCCTGACCTTGACGCCATATCCTCCATGAGACGTCCTCCTTCCGTTCAACCCATGACTCTGCTGCCACGTTGAAGGGGAAGACGCTCCAATACCTGGGTTCAGCGCCATCAACAGTCTGCTCTTCCTCATCGCGCTCGCGATAGTGGTATCACACTGCTTGTAATAATGGACATAGGTCTGGAGAGCGTTTCGGTCCGTCAACGCGTCCGGCTGGTCCCGAATCTGGATCACCTTACGAGATGTCAAGTCATGATTGGGACACCAGACCATTGGCACCATCAGTCCGCCCTTGACATTCTTGGTGGGCTGCATCTCAAATGCAATCTTGTACCCCGCATCACGAGCGCAGGTGACATGGAACGCCTTCTTGCAACCCTCACCACACGTGATGCAAGCACCGGCCTTTTGCTTACAGATCGAACAGGTTTGTCTCCACCGCTCATGGCGAATCCGGCCGACCGACTCGATAGGCGAGAGTGCTTCCACATTAACAAAGTTGATTTCGGGGATCCAGACGGCGCAAAGAATATGAGCCCAATTGTGTCCCGTTGTCTGTTTGAGCGCCTGTGGTTGGTTGTCGGATGTCTTTGTACACAGCACGCAGTTATACGTCTAATGCAAGTAAAGACAAAGATAGCTGTTAGTTTTGAAGAACAAAAAAGGGTATGCACCCCTTGGAGTTACTCGATGCACTGGAATTTACCGTTGAGCAGGTTGGGTTCTGATTGTTGAGGCACGTATCGCAGTTCCATTTCCGTGTCGGGACAGTTGACGCTTCACCATAGCAATCTATTGTAGTGGACGATGGGGGTTCGAAGTTAACGAGCCGTTCTTCTTAGTACACATTTTGTAGTCGTGGTGTTGAGGCAGACGTGAAAATAGAAAACTTCGCGTTACCTGGATGGACAGCAAGATGGCAGGTCGAACAGTTCAGCATTTGACTGCTTGGAGTCGCCAGGTGGTCACAAACGGCACATGGCACCTCCGGATCTGGCGAAGGAGATCTGGTAGGCTCCCGTGACTAAAATGGTGGCGCAAGAACAAAAGGTACCCGTATGATGAGTCAGTTAATCCGGATCCTGGAGTGGTTTCTTCGTACAGCCTAAGCGATTGCAAAATAGCCGTACCTGTTCCTTGATCCTCTTTGTGGTGGCGCTCTTGGGTTCGCTCCGTTTGCGCTTCACACCAGGAGCACTTGGCTCTGACACTATCACTACTGGCGACGGCTTGCCATTTCCATTGGCTTGTCCTTTCACTATAGAGATGATGTTAGTGGTAAAGTTATACGAGTTAGGTTTCAATCCAAGTCTTGCGCGGACATTAATAACCTATTTATCGAAAAGTATCCATACCTGTGACGTCCTTGTCTTTGTCTTTCTCTTTGTCCTTCTCCTTTTCCTTCTCTTTATTCCTGTTCTTTTTGCTTTCCTTGATCGAGTCTGTCAAAGGCGGCAGAGTCACATATCGAACCCAGTCATTGCCACAGTCGTTGCAGTAGACTCGAGGAAACTTCTTTTGCCGATCGACCTCTCCAGGTGTCTTGCGCCACATTGTCGTGCTGGTGGTGGCGCAGTGGATGCACTCAAACTTGTTCACATTCTCAGCCGTTGGGAGGATAATACAGTCGCGATCCAGAACGTTGTCGGGAGGTGTTTCTCCATTCGCCTTTGAACGACTTCCCAGCTCGACCACCGGTGACATGACGGCAGCTCGTCCAACAGACTTGAATTTTTTGCTACAGAAGGTCAAAGTTACAAAATGTTAACAAAGCATTAAGCAACAGACTGGCACCTCCCTAAGTGAACAAGCTGCAAATCTTACTTTGGCTTGTTGATCTTTGTAAAGACCGAATAGACGGGTTGGTAGCGCTCGGTCTTTTTCCACTTGTAAAAGAAACGGACAATGTCTTTCATAGATCGGGTCTCGACCTTCTTCTTGATCGCGAACAGCTCATGGCCATAGAGCCGGATCCCTTCCTCAAAGGCCTCGATCTCCTTGGGTGTCCAATCCACAATGTCGAAATCCAGTTTTTGCACCGTGGCTATCTCCTTGAGGGCCATGTCGGCATCAAATCCTGATTTCTGCAAGGCAGACAATGCCCGGTCAATCAGGTCAGCCGAGTGTGCAGGCAGGGGTAGAGATAGTTCCTTGACCCGACTCATGTAGTCAGCCACTATTGAACAACATAGGAAAAAAATTATAAAGTGTGAGATCGATGCGGCGGAGCTTCAAATAATGGACCTGCCTTTTCTACTCAATCCACTCATTCTATTCATGGAGAACAGAAAAAATGCTTCTTACCATATTCGTCCGTGATGTGGCTCGGCTTAGAGTACTGCAACGTGGCCGTGTCCTCGCCGCCACGCTCCAGGTGCACCGATCCATCGTCGATCCCCAATCCTGACCTCGCTGGCGACGACGGTGCCTGTGGCGTATCCAGACCATCCGCCGTGCCTTCCAACGATGCTGAATGTGCCCTTGATTGTGTGTCGAATTGTTCTAAATGTGTGGACATGATCAAAACAAGGAGAGCTTGGTTTGAGATAAAGTTTCTTTGTGTGTTACACATGCGCCATGTTATTTTCAGGTGGACGTTTTCTACTTTACCTTCTGGGACCCTCAACTTGTTCGATGGAGGTCTTCCACCGCGACCTCCCTTCTTTGTCTTGCTCTTTAAAAGATTGTATTGTGGGTCGTCAAAGATAGTCGATGTCACCAAGATCTGTCCAGGTCCATCCCACTTGACAACCACCGCCTGATACCTTGCTCCAACTCGACTCGAGGCACGTGGGTACACTCGGTCATCAGGGTCTACGCAAAAGTGAAAATGAATGAAACATACGATTAGTCTTGACGAGCCACTTCAGAGCGAAAAACAATAAACGTGGCAACAACGAACTCGCACGTTTGAACGATGCGTATACCAAAGATATCCTGAATGTCGGCATGAGTGCCAAAGTAACGAAAGGGCCACATGTGGGACATTTTCTGATCCTGGGATGTCGAGGGCGCAGAGGCAAGCAACGATTTGGCATCGTTCCGGGTATTGCTGTTCCTAGTCGCGGGTACCACTGTCAAGGTAGCGACAGACTTTTGTTTGGGTGATCCACGGGGAGAGTTCTGTCCTGAAGAACCCGCAGAGTTGTTGACAATTGAGGATTGTTTCAGTGCTGTAGGAGAGGATGAGGCAGAGTCCATGGCGAGCTTGGTGCATAGAGCACATTGGAAGGCGAATCCCTTGGAGGGTTTTCGTAACATAGGAGGGTTGATGCAGAGCATGTGGTGAAAACCTTGGCACATGATGCACTTTAGTGCCTCACCACTAAAGGGGACAAAGAGAAACCACTTTTTCGTGTTAGGGAGAGCGTGTATCATCAATCCTTCCAAGCAGGCAAGGAATGTAGGTGGTATGAGTGTGTGAACATTGCGTGGTGCTGTGGAGGAGGGGAGAGAGAAAGGAGGTCAGAACGGCGTTGTGGTGGAGAGTTGCGCGAGTGTTGGTCACGACGGTGATAGGTCCAAACCATGGCATTTCCAACGGGAAAAGGGCTGTGAGAGAATGGCGATGGATGGGATTGAGAGCACAAAATATTGAGCAAATTTCGCCTCCTTTGCCAGCCATGTCCATTAGGCGGACAAAGTCCGAGAAACAACACTGGAGCAGTGACCAAAGATCAGTTGTCGACCCCAGACGTGAGAATACCCAATGCCATCAAACGCACTTAAACGAAGACTTGAGGAGGAGCGAAAGACACCGTAAAAGCGATGATAGGGCGTGCCGTGATCCTTTAGAAGATCCGTAAGACGGCACCATATGCCGCTGAACTCCGATAAAGAGAATGACTGTTGCCGTTTTCTTTTGTTGCGATTCTTACCTGGCACACCATCGTTTGCAGATCAGACACACCCTGTGGGCATCAGTGTATTCAGAGGCTGTTCCCGCCTCGACCACAATGTACTGGTATCTCCTGGTGAGCTCTTCTGCGACATCTGGCGGCAGATTGCGGACAGAGTCGACTGGCAAGACATCGTAGAAACGGTGGATGTAACGATCAAAAAGTTGGTTGTAGTAAAAGTGATCAGGCTTCTTTTTGTAGGCGTCCAGGTCCTTGATGTAGGCTTGATGGGTGACGGTACAGCGACCACGGATACTCGTCAGCGGGTTCATATCTGAGTGCATTGTTGCGACCAAGAGACGAGGGTCGTGATTCCTGCGAGCCATGACATCCTTTGGGCGGTAAAACCAGCCGATCCTAACCTGAAGTGATTTCCCTTTGATCTGCTTCCCGAACTCCATGACACGGCCGATATAATAGGACTCCCCGATGAACTCTGATGCCATGTAAACATGATCTAGAAGGAGAAGGAGGTCAATTGAACCCACATCCGAACCAGACGGATCCGTAGCAGAAAGGAAAATTGAGTGAGGATAAACGAAACGAAGGCGAGATATGATTAGTCAAACTGTCGGCGACGAGAGGAAAGAAGGGAAGACGGAAGAGGAGGAGCGAAGTCCTTGGGACATTGACGGAGCAAAAGCACTCGTGTGAGTGAGAGAGAGCGAGGGTGCGTCGTGGGTGTGGAGAAGGCAATAAGGATCGAGAATTCTATCAACATTGACGATTGAACAAGAAACTGGATGTACCATTGACGGATATGACGGTTCCATCAGCCAAGGAGGCTGAAGTTGTCCTGTGGGATTGAGTGTGGCCAGTCATGGTTGTGTTGGTCGGGTGGGTTGTCCGCGGAGGAGATATGAGGGGCAGGCTTGTGGTTCACTCTTCAGGCCGTGGAGAGTGGGGGATGCCTGAAGGGGGGAAGGGCGGCGGGACGAGGCGAAGGTGATATTTCGTTGCGACGACGACAAGCAGGTAGAGTTGCTGCTGGTTGTCAGTGATGAGGAAGGAGTTGCGGTATTATTGGTTGTTGTTGGTGTTTTTGAAGTTGAGGATCGTCCTGGTTGGTGATGAAGAGACGTTTTGTTTTTATAATGGAACAAGATTAAGTACGGACCGAGATGGACACAACAATGGAGGAGGAAGAAAAGTTAAAGAAAAGAAGAGGAAAAAGTGAAGAGTATGTAATACCAAGAAAGAGAAAGAGAAAAAGAGAGGGAAAAAAAAAATCACAAAAAAAGGAAAAACAAGGGAGAGGGAGGGCAGTCTGGCTGAGAGACACAGACAGGACAAGAAGGCCACTCGAAACAAACAAAAATCTTTCCCTTCACTCTTACTTGTATTGTATCCTTACAGGCACACACTTTCCTTGGCTCTTTCATCTTGCTTATTGCTTGCTGCTTGTTCCTTGTTGCCTCCTGTAACCTGCCTCTTGCACTTACATTCATTTTCACTCGCATCGATATCTTGATGAACTGCGAGCATCATTTGGTATGTGGATATTCAAAAGGGAAGACATGAATACTGATCACGAAATCAATAGGGCTTGTAGTCAAGAAAAATCCTTTTTTTTTGTGCGCCACCAAGATTAAACACTTGAAAAAAAAAAGGAACGACCGACCAAGGGGAGAACGAAGACAACACAAAAACCCGAAATGTTGAAGGAGTTAAATGAGTGTATGTATTTTTGTATTTAAGAATCGTTGGAGGGAGGAGAAGGTACAGGTGCGTCTGTGCATACCCGCATTATTGTTGCTGAATGACACTGGGAGCCGAGAATACTGCCTTCGTTTGAGGCTGATGGCTGTGGTCAAGCCAACGTCAAGTATCTCTTCGATCGAACAAAGGCAGAGGTATGGCAATGGCAACAACAGCATCAACAAGGTTGCTCTATTAAGGCATCATGTATGCACATTCAACAAGGTTCGACGCTGGAGAAAGAGACACTCGAGACAAAAGGAAGGGTGATTGCTTGGACGTGCAAAGGAAGTAAAGGACGACTTAACTCAGGACTGGAGTGGATTGCGACAAGCCACCCCACCCAAGAAGAGGGACAGCCTTGCCATCATTCAGGGGCGGGACAAGGAGAGAGAAAAAAAAAAGGCCCTCCCGCACCACAAAACACAAACAATAACCCAACATGCGGCGGGAGTGAGGATAGACGGGATGAACGCAAAGCGTACAGGCACTCAAATACACAAATAAAAAACACAACAGAAAGAGAAGACAGAGGCTCCCTCTTCCCATTTCTTCTCAATCCTCACGCTCTCACTCGTCCATTGTTAGTTGGCTGGCGGTCCGTCTTTCTGCTTACCACAGCTTCTACTGCATATATGAATGATGAATGAAGAGTGGGGTGGGTGTGTGTCCAGATGCGTGTGTCCAGATGTGTGTGAGAAAAGAGACAAAAATAATAGTTTATGAAGCATTGGCTCGACATGACTGATATGCCATGCAGCCAATGCTCTGTATATCCGGTTAAAGACATGGTTCCCATCATCCCAAGGTGTCGAGAGTGGGTGACGATGACATGAGGATGATGTGATGACGCTATTTAGTGCCGGGCAGGACAGATTAGAGTTTGATTGGAAGTGGCATAATAGAAAGAGGGAGAACGAGTGCGTCTCTCTCTGTCGTTTTTTCTTTCTTTCTGCGAGTGTATGTAGCTCGCTCAATGTTTTTTCAGAGTGTCGATGACATCTCTCGTCAATGTGAACATGGATAAATAACAAGGCGGACAAGCAAGATACATGGATTAATTGGCTGTACGCAAGAAAGGAAAAGTGTCAAGAAAAGAATAGTGTCAAGAAAAGAATAGGTGTCAGAATTGGGTCCCAGACAAAGGGCCGAGACATGAAAAAGAGGTGGCGGATTGACTGTGGGAGTAGGAGAGTATGGACCCACATACATCAAAACACACATACAATTTTTTTATTTCGTTTCTTTTGAGTGGACGGCGGATCTTCTTTTTTTTCCTCCCTTCTCTCCTTTTTTTTTTCATTCCCTTTTCTTTCTTTTTCCCTTTTCTTTTTTTCTCTCTCCTCACTGCCCTTCCGTTGATTACTCTCACCGGCCTTGCAAGCTACCGTCCGATCTCCCTTCTCAACAACTCGACTCGACTCGACATCCTCACGGACACAAAGCAATCAGTCGGACACTAGAATCACTCTCTCTCACTCAGACAGAAACTAAAAACAGGAATCACTCCCATACGCCCCCTGTCCGCATACTCAGCTGGTACACAAACAAACAACACCACCGACGCAGGATCTTGCCTTTTTTCACAGTCGAAAAAAACCCTCAGATTCACTCTCTCTCACCACCCACAACCACCAGCAGGAATGACAGACAACCCATACCCAGTCGGAACCACCGTCTTTGCCAAGCTCAAGGGCTTCCCCTGGTGGCCTGCTCGTGTAAGGAACAGACTCTCTCTTCTTCTCGTACTCGCTTCCCACCCCAGAAAAAAAAACAAGAAATTCGCAATCAACGATGGGCGAGTTTGTTCGTTCACCTCAAACAAGAGAGAAAAACCGCGTCAAGCTCTTTGTTATTCTCTCCTCAAGAAGCCGTTCCTGACACATCCCTTTCTTATCTGTCTCTAGATTGAAAACGAAGCCGAACTTCCTATCAACGTCAGCAGCAAAAAGCCAAAGCAAAGACCAATCTGGCCTGTATTCTTCTTCGACTCTCACGACTAGTAAGTGTCTCGCTTCGACTGCCAAACACAACCCTTCTTTTGAGTTCGGGAGCTTTGTTTCTTTGGGGGAGGGAGCGATAAACAGTGCGCGCCCACACATACCACCATCATTCGCGCACACCCATACGCCGCGTCTTCAGGAATTCTCATTTGACGGCTCTCTTCTGTTGCCCTCGTCTCGGGGATCTGCAAGTGTTAACAGGAGCGCATAATACTCAAGGACCATGGGAAAAAAAGAGAATCAAAGGAAACCCGCACGGGCTGTGACGACAGCGACGCAGTCCATTCGTTCGCTCTACTGGAAATGGCCTTCTCGTGCTTGTTCTGTCCGCAAAAGCAAGGGCACGTATCTCAGTTGATAACACTACGGGAAAGTTGCCAGCACTATAAGGAAACAAGAGGGAAACAGTTGCATTGGCCTCAAAGCAACAACGCCCAGAAGTGACAAACGGGAACCATTTGCCACTACCACAATCACTATTGTCAGTTTGCTCAGGAAGAGTCTTTATCGGAGGGTGTCAGGAACAAACTCATGGACCTTGACGTGTCTGTTTTGTTGGAAGGCCCTATTGTCTTGAGGAAGAGAAAGGGGCATTAAGAGGGACAGAATAAGAGAAAACTGTTGACTTTCGCACACTCTCACCGACCGGTTGTCAGGAACTGTCGTTCGTTTTGTGACAAACAAACAGAAGACTGAGTGCATGAGAGGTTTGGGAATACTTTGCAGGAATGGCGATGCATTTTTTTGTTGCGTTAGTGAGCAAAAAAGGTTATCGATTGCCACCGTTTCTTTCGAGTATGCAAAGGAAAAAGTGTTTGTGTCGTATTTTTGGGTGGGTGTTCCCCAGTCAGGTTTTTTTTATATATATGGTTCCTATTGGGTTCCTGCACTCAATAGCGCAATTGTTTAATTTTCTTTTTAATTCCTTATCAAGCGCTCCTTCCCCCGACGATTTGTGCGCTGGACTAACTCATGATTACGATGTGTCATCTCCACTCTCTTTCTCACTTGCGTTCCCTCCCTCAATAGTGGTTGGTTTGGTACGACCGAATTGAAGGCCTTCGACCCCGTCGCCGCTGAAAAGGCAAGGTCCTCATTGCGCACTGCTAGCCACTTGAGAAACGCCCTCAGCGAAGCTTTGGATCCTAATCTTCTTGCCGGCAGACTTTCCGAGGCTGGTCAGGATGACTATGATGACGACGAGGAAGAGGAGTCATTGGAGCAGGAAGTCGCCCCAGCGCGCAAGAAGGCTGCCCCCAAGGCAAAGAAGGCCGCAAAGGCCGAGCCAGTAGAGAAGAAGAGGAGAGCCAGTGCTTCAGACGACCTGCCTGCCAAGGGCAAGCCTTCCAAGAGAGCTATCCCTGCCGACGATGACGAGGATGAGGATGAGGCTCCCAAGGTAAGAACCGCCACGGTTACAAACGGACACTATCGACAGTAACACCTAGAGGCAAGTATGTTAACGTCCTTTATTCTTTCACTGCGTGTTTGACAACTAGACCAAGAAGCGCGCTGGAGCTGCCGGACGTAACCGCATGGAGTCTGACAAGAGAAGCGTTGACGATGATATTAGCGCCCCCGAGGCCAGCAATGGTCGCACCCGGAAATCAGAGGAGGATGCTGGCGATTCTGGCGACCATGGACGCGCCAAGAAGAAGCTTCGAAGTATGTCTATGCCCAACAAACAGGAAAACGTGCGCTCGTTGAACTTCTTGATTAGGATACTAACGAAGATACCATTTTCCTGCTCTGTTCGAATTCATTAGGCGGCTCGCCCAATGAGCGTTTGTTGAAGTTGCGCCACAAGCTTCAGAAGTTGTTGTTGGTCGAGGGACTTTCAGACGAGGTTCTTGTTCAGGTACAGTCAATTGATCTCCACTTGCCTCTTTACGTTCGGCGCTGCTGTTGGAATTCTCCTGGAAATGCGAGCGTACCAATGATCACCATTAACAGCCTTACCTCTGCCCTTTCAACCTATAGAATCTCGAGCGCGCGGATCCTATTCTCGCAGAGGTCGAGGCATTTGAGATCGATCTTCATATGCTCAAGGTACGTCAATGGAAACAACACAGCCTGAATATTTTCACACGGAGCAAGACTTGCATGGAAAGGCATTTGGATCTTTTGATTATGAACCCGGTAGTTGTTAACGCGTGTTGTTGGAATACTCTCTGTTTGCACTTGAATAGGAGACCAAGATTGGCCGTTTGATGAAAAAGATTTCCGCACTCCAGTTCAGCCGGGATCCCCACCAGATCGTGGACCGGTCAGTCAAGCTGATCAAGCAGTACAAGAGCATGATGGAGAAGGCACAGGAAAACGGAGAGGCAGCCAGCCCGGCGGAAAAGACCGTCGAGACGCCTGTGGCGGCTGCGACACCTGTGGATAAGGCCGCCATTGCCGCACAGAAGCCCGTAGGCGTCGAGGGAGTTGTATCGGACGGAGTCAAGCCCCAGGCGCCTATTGTCTCGAGTCACATTTTGGACGTTCCACCTGCACCTGAGGCCGTTGTCGCCGCAGTTGCTGCCATTGTTGGGACCAATACCCTTATTCCAACAGCAGTTACCGAGTCAAAAGTGACAGAGGTGTCGACGACTACGGCAACGGAAGTGACGACGGAGGTTGTTTCGGAGCCAACAACCACCCTGTAAACAGCACACATTTGGACAGGAACAACAACGCGACAGGAACAGCAGCAACAACAGTAGTGAATGGTCAAGGAACAGAGTAGTAGAAGGAGCAATGTCTTTTGTGTGCGTGAAGCAACAGCCGAACCGCGACCCCGACCTTTGTCAACAGGGAAAAAATAAGAAAAGAACGAAACACAACAAAACGTACAGTCCTTAGCAACCAGAACAGTACAACGACTCCATTCTTTTTTCTTGGGCTCATCTGGATCTCGACTTTTTTTCCTCTCATGTTTGGCATTTTGTAAAGCATAATGGGGCGCAGGACGTTGGACACAACGGCAGGGTTGAGGATATGGGGGAGCATGGTGGGAAGGCAACCGACAGGAAATAAAACACATCACATCAAATATTCTTCGTGTGCGTGTGGGAGATATGAGCTGAACATTATCTCTCTTTTTTTTTTTGGCCAATGTTCACGACTAATGAATGGGGGCACAATGGCTCTATCTACAGAATGCGTGCTTTGTGTGCACTCTGCCAATGTTTGAATGTGATTGTCATGCCATATCATGATATATGCGTTGTTCTGGAGGAATGATTTTGAACCGCCACTGAATAGCCAGAAATTTAATGAATTGGTGGTCCCAGACCAGCCAGTTCTTATTCGACGCGGACAGCAAAATTGTGTGGACTTCCCTTTTTCTCTTTCCAACAAAATGCCTCGTTTCCTTAAGCCATCGAAGGCACGTGACTCAACGGTTTACATGGGTGTAGAACCACTACCATGGATGGGCCATGGATGGGGGTGGATACGCATACCATACTGCCTCTGGGATCTATCTATCCATCGATCGACACACCCACGGAAACTAGCTATCTAACCATATGTCTTCACGATCCTATCATCAACACCATTCTCAACAACTTATAGGTCGTCGTTATCCTTAACGGTCGTTATGCCGGCAAGAAGGCTGTCATCGTGAAAAATAGCAATCCAACAACTTGCTCCACATTCCGTTTTTTGTTCTATTGTTTCTGGGGATTCGGTGGTAGCGGCGGTGGTGGTCATCAACGGAGGATGGAGATCCAGTCTCGACAAAGGGAGGAACCCTTCAACATAGGAAGCACGCACAACTCGGGAAATCAGGACTCTGGAGGAGAAAGTAAACAAAAAGGTCATGTGGAGGGTTTGATCCCATGCAGTCCATGAGGCTGGTGTGCTTGTGCAGCGTGGACAGGAGCAGGATCCGACTTGTCAAACAGCGATCTGCTAGGGGATCACCAACATCAGTCCCTCTACACACAACTCCCTTATACGCCAACAAACAAAAACTCCCTATGTCGTTTTTACGACTTGCTCCGACCTCTCAGTAACCTCCCTATCCTCTTCGTCAGCACTTCTAAGCAAGCGGCGCTCGGATCATTATCCAGTTCTTGCAGCACCTTTCCACAACTGTCCTCCAACTGTCTGCGATACTAGGGAACGACGCTTCAACAGACCAGCAGCTTTCAAACGGCTGATCTGGAGATACGCTGCAGAAACGGACAGGACGTCAGTTGCAGACGGAAGCGAACGCCAAAAGCTATCGCTAACCCGTTCAACAAACGACGACGATCCACATCAAACCACGCAGCAAACGGCACTCGACAAAGCGCAGCAAACAACCACAGCACGGGAAGGCACGACACATACAGCAAATAAGAGTGGAATCATGGCTAGGAAGAGTGGTCGTTCGGGACAAGAGGAAGAGGGGTGTTTTTCTTTTTCACCTTTGGCGTAACGCCTACTTTTTTCATGTTGTATTGCTCAGTTTTAAACACTGTTCTTTCCTCGCATTGGAAAGGCTTTGTAAGATTCGTATGACCTATGCTCGTCTCTGTTTCTTCTCTGTCTTCTTTTTCTCCTGCTCTCTATGATTGCCGTTTATTACATGTCGATGACGGTTCCAAGGAGCGCGGTTACGGCCACGCCATTGTCGCTGGTGTCGAGCGTTACCCCCTCAAGATCACCAAGAACATGGGCAAGAAGCGCATTGCCAAGCGCTCCAAGGTCAAGCCTTTCATCAAGATCGTCAACTACAACCACATCATGCCCACCCGGTAAGCCTTGATTGCCTCGCTACGTTATTTGCTGGCATGCTGATATGTTCTTTGCTCTTGTTTGAAATTGGCGAGCAGCAGTGTATGGCAGGATCACGGATATTGGGCATCTTGATCACCGACCATAACGGTTGTTGACGGTTTGCATGGAGATATACAGAGCGGCGAAACGGACAGAAGCGAACCAAAACGCGGAAAGGAGTAACCGGAAAGCGAGAAGAGAACGTGTTGAACTAACATGACATACCTTCGTTTTGCTGCGTGTTACTAGTTACGGTTTGGAGTTGGAGTCCTTGAAGTCTGCCGTCACCCTTGACTCGTTCAAGGAGCCTTCCCAACGCGAGGAGGCCAAGAAGGCCATCAAGAAGCTCTTCGAGGAGAGGTAGGCCATTTTCTCCTTGCTCGATTTATTATTTTCCTATCGCAGGATCGAAGAATATTGATGATCTACCTTTGGGCGAAACATTGGTCGGTTCTAACATGCATTTATTTTTTCTTCCCATGTTTTCCTCGCAATTTTACAGATACAACAGCGGCAAGAACAAGTGGTTCTTCACCAAGCTCCGCTTCTAAAGCAGATGCCCTCCCCCTATACTCTTGCTTTTGACCTTTTTGATCACGCAACAAACATAAAAAAAAGAGAATAAAATCTGTCCCCCCCAGGATTGCCAATCCTTTTTTTTCGGATCATATACGTCTCAAAGGAACCGCGCCACCAAAACACATTCGACTTGATCCGTGCATTGTGGAAATAGACAGGATTTGACGCGTCTTTTTCTTTCTTTCGAGACGTTTACATGGCGAGGATCTTCGGGATGACTATTATCAATGAAGGCGCTTTTGGTGCAAGAGGAAGCTACAAAGAAAAAAAAGAAGGTGGAAGCCGATCGCTACGTTCACCTCCAAGTCCAACCTCTTTCACGAGCGTCCTTCTCACGCATCGCTGGACTTCCAACTGAACGACCAGCCAACCAACCCCTTTCACCCCGTCGCCGCAGAAGCACTCTTCAACCTCCACACTCCCTTCTCCTCCCTTTTCTCATCTCCAATACCACCACCGCCGCCAGTAACAGTAGCTGCAACACCCCCGCCCAAGTTCAGCCCACTGCCCCAACGCCAACCAATCCCTAACCTCCTCTACCCTCCTTGCCCCCTCCAGTGAATCCATCTTATTCGCATAAACCAACAGCGGGATCTTATACCAGCCATATCCATTCTTTAAGGATCGCCCGCAGGAACCGCCGGGATTCTTGGAATGTTGCGGGTGGGGGGGGGGGGGGGGGGGGAGGCGGTGGCGTCGAGGATGTAGATGAGGGCTTCAGTTTTTTGTTTTATGAGAGAGCTGGATGCTGGATCTGTAGCGTGGGGAGGCCGAAGAAGACGAGGGTCTATTTCGTTTGTTGCTTTTCGTCCGGACTGTTAAAACGAGGATTGAAGAGAGAGGGTCGAAGCATTCCAATTATTGATTTATTAATGGACACGGCGTCACTTGTGCCTGGCATTCTTTACTACCCTAAGGCATTCATCAATTTTCCGCGCACAAAAGGGGGTGATAGTAACTACTACAGTGGTCAGTCAAAGGTGGAAAAAAAAATTAAAAGATACGTGGCAATTGTCTAAGAGCCATGCCGAAACTCCTCAACCATCGACTCTACAATCCAGGATTGGCCCGGCGGTCTTGCATCTGTGCCAACAACCACGCAAACCCGATTGTGATTCCTTCCCCCCGAAGAGCGCTCGCCTCCTGCACAAACCATCGTCGACCACTTGTGGAAAAGGTATCTTTCAGATGAAGATGCTCAATCACCTCCTCTGCAGTCATCGAATCAGGTCGATCCTGCTTGTTCACAAACACAAGCAGCGGCTGGTCTTGGTCATGGTTTACCAATTCGTGAATCACCCTCCTCAAAGACTTGCTCGCCTCATCCACATACTCTTCGCGGGTCTGGCCTTCCTGAGGAGAAGAATCGATCACGAATATGATCCCATGGGTGTGTCGCAAGAAGCTGTTGTTGTAGACTCTTAATCGTTCGCTGTCAGAGGTATCAAAAAACATAAGAACTTGTCTCTTCTGGGCACTGCTTCTGCCGTCCTGGATAGAGGAGGAGGAGGAGGGGAGGAGGATGGGGGATCGAATGATGTGCATTTCGCAGGTGATATTCGGAGTGTAGCTGGCTGGGTCGATTATGGCGCTGGGGTCTTCGATCTTTTGGATTATCGAGGTCTTGCCGGCTCTGGTGGGGCCCATGATCTTGGTCAGATATATGTCAGATTCGAGTGGCTGCTGCGCCGGTGGCGATATGAGCGCCGGTGGTGATATGAAGTTCGAAAGAGTATTGCCCATTCTGTGGAGATGTTGACAAGTGGAACTAAGTGTATAGGAGAGAGAAAGCGAGAAGTGTTTTGTTGTTGTCTTCTTTTGTCGGTTTTGTGATCGAGCACCGCGCTGCCTCAAACGAAAAGACACGTTTATTTTATTCTTTTGTCATCACCTTCGTTGAGGTGATCGTTACTGTGGTTATTGCTGCTGAAAGTTGAGTGTCTAACCAGATGAAGCGTTCTCGGATGCCACTACCAAAGCACGTCTCGGTCCCTTTGATATGCAACCGCATGCTCTTTGACGCCTGTCCTTCCAAGTCCAGACTATCTTTGACATCCGGAATCGACATGGCCCCCTACCAATCTTGCTTATTCGCAAACACCAAGAACACCAATGATCCTGCTTGCCTTTGTTCTTGCTCCTGCTCCTTGGCTAATACCTCATACGTCTCACAGATCGTCCACAACACCTCGTTAGCTTCATAAAGCGTCTCTGGCTTAATCGAATCCACCACAAACACAATCGCCGCCAGAAGAGGCTTGTGATGTCGAAGCTGCTGTAGATACTGCAGCGTGTACCCATGGTGGACCGAAAGGCCCGTCAGGATGGTGACATCGAAATCTGCAGTGATGTCGGTTATGGCGTTGCGGACTGTGGTGGTTTTCGTTGCGGGTACCGAGAGGAGTGGTTGTGTTTACAGTTTTATTGTATTTTAGTTTGTGTCTTGCCGACGGCGTCGAGTCCTGCCATGAGCACTGAATGAGATTCTCGTCTCTTCTTGTTGTTGGTGGTGAAAGTCGTGTTCTGTGGTGACATGAACTTGCTTATGCTCTTGAACATGTTGAAAGTAATGCGTGCGAGTGAGGAATGAAGAGAATGAAGAAGAATAAAAACTGGCCATGCAGTGGGGCTGTTCATCTTGTAATAGTTGGTGGCGCTTCTGAGACATTCTTTGCCACGACTCATCAAATATCAATCCGTCACTTCTTTGCCGGCCTCTACTCCTGGCTGCGGACGCCCTCCTCGGAGTTGCACATCCAGCCAGAGCAGACCCTCAACAAGCCCTTCGCCCGTGGTAGCATCAGTCCCCCGGATATGCCATCTTCGTCCTCCTTGCCATCCAAGCGCTCGTGCAGCCAGACCTTCAAGATCCAACCCACACATCACCTCCATCACCGTCATTGCATCCCCCCGATCCTGCTTATTCGCAAACACCAACAGCACCAACTCCCTTCCTGCTTCCGCGTCATCATAATGTCCAAACAACCGCCAGAGCGCGTTCTTGGTGTAGAGTAATCGCTGCCGGTCAGTCGAGTCGACCACAAATATCACCGCCTTTGCCTTGATCTCATCCACATATAAATGCCATAATGGGATGATGCCCACCTGGCCTGCTACATCCCATAATCTGAACCTGAGCTCCTTTCGGTAGTCTCGTCCTTCTCCTCCTTCCCCTGGACGATAGTAATAATAATTGGGTACAGAGACGGTCTCAACCCGAAAGTTGTGGTCGGGGAGGGCGAGGACATGCTCAGAGTAGAAGAGGCGGTAGAGGAGGGTTGATTTCCCGGCAGCGTCGAGACCAAAGATTGGGAACTGGTGGTCGTATTCTGGGATGCTTCGTAGTGTGTCCCATTTATTCGATACATAGCCGCCAAGTCTCCGAAGCATTTCTTCTTGTCGTTGTTGTTTTGTATTGAGAAGCAATGGAGGGGAAGAGTTGAAAAGGAGAAAAATGGGTTTCTGTTTCCTGCGTTTTGAGATGAATGAAGAAATGTGTGTGAGGAATCCAGAGGAGATGAGAGAGGAAGGATGGAGAATTTAGTTTCAAAAGAAAACGAAGTCGGCGCTTTATTTCCATTATCTCAAAATACTGTACTACTTGTGCTTTAGAACAGGCAAAGCAGGACCCTGAAGCTGCGTCTCCAACCACTCCAGCCCCTCCAAAAGCCCCTCTCCCGTCACCCCAGAAACCCCTCGAATATGCCACCTCATCCCATACTTCCAGAACCTATCCAACTCCAGCACATCTCTAATCTCCTCCACCGATGCCGCGTCCGGCATGTCCTGTTTACTACAAAGCACCAACACAATCCCAAACAACGGCTGATAACCCTCCGTCATTGCGTTCCTCAACGCATCCCTAGCCTCTCTAAACCACAACCGCTCCACAGAGTCCACAACAAAGATCACTGGTTCGCGCTCTTCGAGTAATCGGTACCAGAATCCCATGTTACCTGGGGAGCCCGAATAATCCCAGATTGTGAATTGGGATCCGGATTGGAGTTGGATGGTTTCGTTGTTGAAGCTGTTGGTGTGGATGGTGGTGATGGCTTCGTTTAGCTTTAGTTGGTAGAGGATTGTGGTCTTGCCGGCGTTGGGGAGGCCGAGCATTACGATGTGTGTTCCGGGTCCTCGTGTTGAATGGACTGGAGAGGTGGACTTTTTTGAGAGGAGGGTGCTTAGTGAGCTGAGCATTGTGGTAAAAAGGGATAGCGAGGAAGAGGCAGCCGTTGTTGTTACATGTGTGCTTTATGACCTTCATGACGAGGACAAGGCAACGTGGCAGAAAAGGAGGAAGAGTGAGAAGTACCACCAAAGACAAGCCACGTCTGTTCTATCGTGTATTTGAATGTTGGACCGCCATCCACTCTATCCCCTCGCTGGTCGTCGTAACACGCCCCTGAACATGCCACCGCTGCCCCCCTGTACCCGAGTCTCAAGCCTCATCCGGCTCTTCACCTCTATGACAGTCAATGCGTTCAACCGATCTGGCCCTGTCAGCAAACACCAACAACACCACATCCCTCAACTCCTCAGCCTTCTCAAAAAGTCTCCACAGAGCAATCTTTGCCTCCTCCATGAAGTCCTCCTCCGAAGAATCCACCACATAAACAATCCCGATTGCATCCAGTCTGCCGTTCAGGTCCCAGATCGCAAATTTCGTCTGCTGGAAGGTGATATGCTCGACGTTGAAACCCATCGTCAGGACAGAGTGACAGTTTCGTTAAGGTTGAGGTAGTACATGAGTTCGGTCTTGCCGCTGAAAGGCTCATCATGAGTAGCTTATGTTCTGTTGGTTATCCTGTACCCGATATCCGCTTCTGGATTGCAGAGACGGCGTTATTGATTGATGCAAGCATCTGCGGTTTTGGGCGAGTCGTGTGAGTGAACAAAAAGTAAGAAAAAAGTAAAAAGGGATGCACACCCAAATTGCTTTTGGTAACAGTTATTTATCTCTGCCGTATCAATGTGTTTCTCTTTCTGGACTGGGTCGCCAACCACTCCATCCCCTCCAAAAGCCCCTCCCCTGTCGTGGCAACACACCCCTGTATATGCCACCTCCGCCTGCCAGATCTCGTCTCAAGTTCCAACCGGTCCCTGATCTCTGCTACACTCAAAGCACCCAAACAATCCTGCTTGTTCGCAAATACCAACAACGCCGATCCTCTCAACTGTTCTTCATACTCCTCAAACATCCTCCACAGCGTACTTCTCGATTCCTCAATGTGTTCCACATCCGAAGAGTTGACAACACAAATAACGGCATCGGTTCCTTGGATATAATGGCGCCAAAGTCCCTCTCGATGAGTCCAATACCCGCCCACCTCCCAAATGGTGAACTCTACACCCAGGGTAGGTGTGAGGGTCTCGACATTGAATCCGGTCGTGGGGATGGTGGTGACGGTTTCGCCAAGCTTGAGTTGGTATAGTATTGTGGTCTTGCCTCCTGCTGCGGATCCTACCATGAGCACCCGGCGTTGTGGCCACAGCGACCCTGAGATTTGTTTCTGGAGGGTGGAGAAGTACTCGCTTACTGGTTTGAGCATAATGTGAGTGTGTCGATGGAGAAGGGGAGGGAAAGGTGAAAGAGTGCGAAGAAAAGAAAAGAAAGGAAAAAGGAAGGAGAAAAAAATCTTTCGGCGGTGGAGAAGTGGCGACGTGTGCTTTAATTTTGTGGAAAATGATTGACATGATCTAGATTTGCCTGGCCATCCAGTCCAGCCCTTCCTTGATTCCAAGGCCAGACACAGCATTAGTCCCCTGGATATGCCACCGCCGTCCCTTGAACCGCGTCTCAAGCTCCAGCCTCTCCTTCACCTCCGTCACCGACAAGGCGTCCAGCCGATCCTGCTTATTAGCCATCACCAACAATACTGCCTTCCTCAACAACTTCTCATACCTTTCAAAGAACCTCCCCAACGTAACCTTTGTTAACTCAATCTTGGCCTCGTCCGAAGAGTCGACCACACAGACAACGCTGGCGGTTCCAGAGTTGCCGTGCCATATCATAGAATGGTTCCCTCCGTATACCGAGAGCGAGAGGGTGATGTTGTCCTGGTCGATGATGTCGCATCCGAACGAAGAGGTGGTGAGGATGGATTTTGTGGTGATCCCGCCACCGCCAGGGAGGTTCAGCTGTTGCTCGAATGTGTATCTTCCTGATCCTTCAATTCCAACGACGAGGACTTGAGGTTCTAAGCTAGCATCGATTATCTTTTGTAATATCCATTCGATCATTGTGTTTTGCTGAGAATGGACAGGGATGGGAAAGAGGAGAGAAGAGAGGTTTGTCTGTGTGAAGAGGAAATGAGGTGTGCGAATGATAGGTGGGCTGAGGGAAAGTAAGGACAGAAAGTAGGAATAGAGAGGGTAAAATAAACAAGGACGACGAAACAAAAATACTTAGTTTATTATTACGCCACTGGTATTGGATGCGCACCATTAACCTGGGCAACTACCTTTCTCAATCCTTACATCACCCCTTCGGCAGTCATAGCAACAGACCCTCGGATATACCACCACCGCCCCTCAGCTCGCGTTTCAAGCTCCAAATAATCCTTTATGTCGACCACATTCATCGCACCTTGACAATCCTGCTTGTTCGCAAACACCAACACCGCCTTGTATCATAATCCCTATAATACATCCACATTGCCGTCTTTGTTTGCTCGATCTGGAACGCGTCCGTAGAATCAACCACAAAGACCATGACAGCAATCCTGTCAGTGGAATGGCTCCAGAGGTCAACACGGGGGAACCAACTCCCGGCGAGATCCCAGAGTGAATTTTGTACCTTCGATGGTGATGGTTTCCATGTTGAAGTCGAGGGGATGGTGCTAACGACTTCGCCGAGATGGAGTTTATACAAGATGGTGGTTTTGCCGCTCCTTGTGGGTCCTACCATGAGGATTCGAGTTGGGGGTGATATTCTATTTCTTAGCGCTGCGAGCCAACCGTTTATGGACTCGAGCATTGGTTTGTTTCACACGAGGGAAAGGAAGGAGAGTGATGTGAAGGAGTAAAAAAAATGAGGTGAATGAAAAGAAGGGTCGAGGATGATGGAATGAAGAGCACGACGATGGCAAACAGTGTTGGTGGCGATTAAGGAAGCTCTAAATTGGGAATAAGAATTGCCCGCGCTTCTCGATGGATGGAGTCTTTCAGTTATTTCCTATCCAGCAATGAAATAAAGACATTTTAATATTTAATCGCTCTGAGTCTCTCTCTTTAGACACAGACACCTTCACCTTCACACACACAGACACAGACACAGACACAGACACACGCACGCTACGACGTTTCAAACCTTGACATGTCCACATTCAAATCGAAGCGTATTTCGAAACACATCAGCCATAGAGGAAACGTATTTCCATGGCGGATTTCCTTGACGGCGCATTTGGTTACACGCCGTCAAATGTCAAGGTTTGAAACCCCTAAATGTTCTGTTAATTGCCTCTGGAGATTAGGATCATTACTTTATGTTGACTTTCAGGCGGACTTGGATGCAGGCAGGAGAGAGCTTTTTCTCCTTTCGATTGGCGTGTAGAGCTTTCAACATTCATTACTCCTAGCGTGTCTGTGGGGGTGGGATGCTCAGTTTTATAATTGTGCATTCATACGGGTGCGGATTTTCAGCCACTGTCCAGGGGGCCTCTGCATCTGGTTATGCTCACTGTCGCTCATCTGATGCCTCACAGATGCAGGCAGAGAGGGAGGTTTTTTTTTTTTTTTTTTTTTTACTTCCTTCGATTGGCGTGTACGATTTTCAATATCATTACTCTTGGCGTGTCTGTGACGTGCACAACTGATGGTGTAGATATTCAATCACTGCATGGCGACGCATTAATATGTCATTAATATGGGATTTTTGGATTTCATAGGATGTTGGTCTTTTCGGAATATGCCGCAGCGGATGAGCATGAACATCCCACCTTTGATAAGCTGTAAGCTTGCTTTGTTCAATACATTGGCCGTCAACGGAGTCGTGGTAACGGGTCGGCCTCGCAGGACATTCTCAATTTGGAACAATGTCGGAAGGATTATGACACATTGGAACTAAAAGGGTCCTCCAGGCTTGTGCGTAAATCAACAAAGACGATCATTGATTCTGGCCTTCAAAAGTATACCAAAGGTAAGGGCGGAATTAATAGACTGAATGGCCCTGCAAATAAGGCTTTTAACCGATTTTTTTTCGGTCAAACTGTATCGGTTAATCGGTCAAAAAGTCAAGTCAATTTTTTGGTTAATTTTTTGGTTATTGGGTTAATCGGTTGATCGGTCACTCAGCCTTGCGGTAGAAAAAGGATTGTAGTAAAAAGTTATAACAGTATGATCGCTTATTGCTTTATTTCATTTTTGCTTGCTTTCTGCAGGGTCTTTAGTTCATTGTTGCTGAAAACAAGGTCGCTGACACCCTCGTCGTTCAATCGGTTACGTTTGTCTGTGACAAAGTTTCCTGCAATGCTGAACATTATCTCGGACGCGACTGATGCTGCAGGGATCGATAGATACTTTCGAGCCAACTGTGCCATGACGGGAAAGACTGTATCATGTTGCCTCCACTAATTCAAGGGTTGATTCTGAAATCCTGGCATTGAACGCACTGGAAATATCGGTCGAGTTCATCTCCTGGCGCGTCATTGTTTTGTCCTGCGCTGATTGCCGGGTTTTGCATATCATAAAGCCGTTGCATCGCCCTCGCCAATTTGTGAATAGTTGTCGGCTTGTCTCCTGCTGGTGGTTGGACAGGAACGTTGATGGGTGGCGCGATATCCTGCATCTCTCTGCACAGTAGGTCTTGAGGGCGTCGAAGCTCTCCTCGTTACATTGTTTGTAGAGCAAGTTGTATGTTGGGTGAAAGAACGAGGCCTTGATCAAGATGTCAGATTCCTTGACACGGTTTTCTATCTCACCCCGAAGGTTGTTTCGAAGGCCCTCCACTTCCTCGATTCCAGAAAGATTCTCCTCCATCGCAAACAACAACATGGTCATCCAAGGGAAGATGGATGCGGCGAGTCCATAATCGGAAGAGCTGAATAGCAGAGTGGCATCCTCAAAGACGCTTAGAGCATCAATGACCAAATCCGCCGTTCTCCATTCGTTGTCCCTCGAGTAAACGTCATTCAGGATTGCGAGGTTCTCGTGTTCGTCCGGTATCTGGCGTAACACCGTGCGAACCGCTGCCATTGGTGCCTTGAGTTCAACCATCCGTCGTAACATGGCCAGGGAACTGTTCCACCGAGTTTCCACGTCCATGACAACCTTGAGTTGCGGTGTCCTGTTCAAACGAACCTGCTCAAGCTCAAGAGCCTGCGCCATTTTGGGACTGCGATGAAAGAACGAGGCGAGTTGGTGAAGCTTGATCATAACGTTGTTCAGTTGTTCTTGCTTCTCGAGTGCAGCCTTGACCGAGTTGTGCAAGATGTGACAAGCACAGGGCAGTCGTTCCAATCCTACCCTTCCCGCAGCATTGATCATTACTGAGGCATTATCGGTCGTCAGCGCTGCAACCGAACACTGACCTTCCAATGCTCGCTTGTCTCTCCTATATCGCCCGAAGTTAAAAAAAAATGGTCAATATTCCATTTCTTCCAATGTGAATGCATAAATAATACAAGCACACACCCCTCACTTACTAATCAACTTGGCAATCGACTCTCCATTATGAGGGTATGGGTGAGGGATAAGATACAATGTACATTTGTATCCTCTGAACTCGCTGTCAAGCCAATGCAAGGTTAATCCCATGGATGAGACACAGCTTTCATGTGTAAATTCAATGGTACCTGCTGGAGGCGATGCAAGCTGTTTTTGAATTCTGTGGGAGGTGGCGGAAAGTCGATGCTTAGAAGCACCATTGGTTCCCGCCTGCAAACCTTGATATTTCTCTCACGGCTCATATAATGATACTGCTTTCATGTACACTGAATGCTGGGGGCGATGCAAGCTGTCTTTGAATTTTGAGAGCGGTGGCGGAAAGTCGGCAGTATAAGACTCCAGCAAAAAAGCTCTGCCTTCTCCATTGTTACCTCACTCTCGCTTATATCGCTCGCTGTTGCCACCACTCCTACTCCCTTCTCGTCATCTTCACACACTTTATCATCAACACCCTCTCTCTTTCCTCATCTTCGCCTCACCTTCATCTCACCCTTATTCAGTCATTTTCACCTCATACTCTCACATTGTTGCATCTTCTAACCTCCACCTCCGTTTGTTAGCTGTATGCCACGGTAAGCTGATGTCTCGAAAAGGAGGTAGCTTCTTCGTGACGATTCTGCAATGCTTTGGTCGAGTTCATTGACGTAGATTATAATACCCTAAATGGAAGAATGGGGCTTCGTCAAAGATGCTGAATTGTATGAAGTGCATGAACTAAGTGTCATGCTTGCCCACTCGAGAGCTCTTGATGCATAAAATTAGTATCTGTCATCCTTCTCATCGTTATTCGCGTCATAGATTACTTAATAACCTCACTGTCGATTTACTCATCCTCTTCATTTCGTTCTTTCTTCCTAACCTCGTTGTTCCCCCCATTCCTCCTTTGTTATTAGCACCTTGTGATCCCATCATTACCATCCTCGTCATCATCCCCACCACGCTTGTCACATTCTTCATCTTTTATGTCTAAATGTCCCAGACACATCCCCTCGATTTACATGAGATTCGCTCAAGAATTTCCAGCAGTCTTGACCTTAAAGACCTCGCAACCTGTGCGCGTGTGAGTCAGGATTGGAACGACTCTTTTCACACCTTCACTCTACAACTCTGTCGTCTTGTGGAAACATGGTCCCAGCATGGCATCTGTCGAGAGAAACAAGTATCTTATACGACGCCTGACAATTCAGAACTCTGCCTAGGAGACCATTCAGATCCAAAATATAGCGTAACATTTCTCTCATCTCTGTCCGTCGCGGTAAGATCAACCATGACCATCAGATATGAGTATTTGTATAACGGCAATCACGTACGCTAACCACTGTAATATTCCGGGCGTAATAATCCTACCAATCACCGCCAACTTTTCCAAACAGAAATGTACCATAGTTTTTTGCATAGATCTCTCCTGAATGTACATGTCCATCACCAGATCGCATCCTTCGCATCGAAATTAAGGGCAGTAATTCTTGGCGAAGATAGTCCAAAACTTGTTCTTACTATGTTGCATCTTTGCCATAAAATGCAGATAAGAGACTAGTTTTTAAAAAAACGCATCTTGCTTGGTGCCTATTTATATTGTATCTCTCTTGCAAATTCGGATTGTATACGTCAACTCGAATGGTACACAGGTCGTTGACAGAGAGTTGGATGTTTTAAAAAACCATTTCCGTACGACGTGTACGTGAAAAATCGCCCTATGAAAAGCTATCATCAACATCTGAACGAGACGAAATGGTTTCTGGCGTTATGGCCAACTCGATCCTGATTACATTGGAATTTGGGCACGACTCGATCGGAGACAGCGGAGTTCAGACACTGTCAAACGCACTCAAAACCAACTCGACTTTGACCACTTTGATCCTGGCTGAGAACTCAATCGGATCCAACGGAGCTCAGGCGCTGGCTGAGGCGCTCAAGACCAACTCGACTCTGACCACTCTTTTCTTGAGGGACAGCTCGATCGGAGACAACGGAGTTCAGGCGCTGTCCGTGGCACTTATGATCAACTCGACTCTGACTACTTTGAACATTTCGGGAAACTCGATCGGAGACAACGGAGCTCAGGCGCTGTCCGAGGCACTCAAGACCAACTCGACTCTGATCACTTTGAACTTGTACAACAACTCAATCAGACCCAACGGAGTTCAGGCGCTATCTGAAGCACTCAAGACCAACTCGACTTTGACCACTTTGACCCTAGGTGGGAACTTGATCGGATCCAACGGAGTTGAGGCACTGTCTGAGGCGCTCAAGACCAACTCGACTCTGACCGCTTTGAACTTGAATAGCAACTCGGTCGGACCCAACGAAGCTCTGGCTCTGTCTGAGGCGCTCAAGATCAACTCAACTCTGACAACTTTGGACTTACACCACAACTCGATCGGATCCAACGGAGCTCAGGCGCTGGCTGATGCACTCAAGACCAACTCGACTCTTACTACTTTGGAATTGTTGGACAACTCGATCGGAGACAACGGAGCTCAGGCGCTGTCTGAGGCACTTAAGATCAACTCGAATCTGACCAATTTGGACTTGATGTGCAACTGGATCGGAGACAATGGAGCTCAGGCACTGTCTGAGGCACTCAGGGCCAACTCAAGTCTGACCACTTTGGACTTGCAGGGCAACTTGATCGGAGACAATGGAGCTCAGGCGCTGTCTGAGGTACTCAAGACCAATTCGACTGTGACCATTACGGGCATCGTGTTTTAGTGACCGTTCATGCCTATTAAGTTTAACGGAGAGAGAGTATATATTTTATAGGGATATCATCATTGCAGGTCTGGAAGAACTGAGGGGTGGTCCTCTCTCCCCATTTCTTCCTTTTTTTTTTTTTTTTTTTTTTCTGGGACGAAATAAATGGCATGCCATCCCAGACACTATGTGCTGCATCAGGATGATCATCATCTTCCTTTCTACCTCTCAACAAACCGCTATCAGCTCACGTTTTCGATTTCTTTGCACGGCGTTCGTTTTTGTATGGCAATCTTATCTCTGCCCATTGATCATCAGGAGCGATGTCACGATATCTTCAAGGTGTACACCAGACCGATTCAGCTCATGGTCGTCAAGCATATCGGTCGGGGCGAGGATTGTATTCTTATTGCCGGATGTGGTTAGGGCAAGTCGCTCGTTTACTTCCTTCCACTGTCTCTGTGGAAAGACCGGACTATTTTCGTTATATCTCCATTGTTGGCACTGATGCGCGAGCAGCAAGAAAAACTCCAAGTCAGCGGTTTTAAGGCCATCTGTCTTGACAGCTCGCAGGCAATCGATGTCGGACTATTACGTCGGTTGGATAAAGGGGAGTTCCGTTGTGTTTTCATGACGCCGGAGAGCATCCTGAGTGTTGGCAAAAGTAGCGGTTGGGGGAAAACTCGTATGGACAGTCTCTGGGGCATGCCTGGATGGCGAGAGAGTCAGCAGGCAATCGTGATTGATGAGTCAGTTCATGGGGCAAGGACTCTCGCAAGGCCTATGCTCGTCTCGGAGAGTTCCGCGGAATAGCCCCAGCCCATGTCGCGTTTGTAGCCATGTCAGCTACTCTCCCTGGTCCGATTCTGCGGGAGATGAAACAGAGCATTGGGTTCTACAACAACATCCCAGTTTACAACGTCGGCAACAACCGTCCAAATGTCAGGCTTGAGGTTCGATTCCTTCCACACAAGAACATATTCCAGGCGTTCGATTTCCTCTTGGACGACATCCAAAAAAAAAGCATCATTATTTCGACAGCCGAAACGACTCACAGGAAGTGCGGAATTACTTGTGGAACCTGAGGAGCAGGGTCGCCGACGACGAGCAGGACATCATCAAATCCTTTCATTCGCTTTATTCCGATGAGTACAAGTCTACAAGTCTACAACACTTCCGGGAAGGCAGGATCAAAATCTTGCTATCGACTGAGACTGCAGGGATGGAATGCGACATTAATAATGTTGTCCGTGTCATCCAGTTCAAGGAGCCGTCTACTATATCGTGTCTTGTCCAGCGTTTTGACCGAGCTGCGCGCGATGTGTCCATGCAAGGTCATGCGATTCTCCTGGCGAGTCACAGGAATAAGGCTAGACGTAGGACCGACAAGGCCAATCGCGGGAATAACAACATGGACTTCCAAAGGCGACCCGGATATCAAAACGTTTATCGAGACTACAGCTTGTCGACGGCAGGTCCTTAACAATGTTTTTGGCAATATACAGACAGGGAATTAAAATTGCCTATGATCTCCAGATCCACTTCCTCTTGCCTTGCAGCATTGTAAACCGCCAACGCCTAGGATTGTAGCCCCAACTCCCGCGCATGTAGCCATTACCAAAAGACTGATACTGTCTTGGAGGACTGCTGTATACGCGAGGTACTACATGAATTGGGACCCTCAAATGATCGAAGATGTTCTCATGGATGACAATACTGTTGCCAAGCTTGTTAAGAAATGCAATCATGTCACAGGACGGGAATGTCTTCGATCGAAAATGGAGACTTCACAACAAGCACGACAGTCTACTAGCTAAACTTCTGATCAAGCTCAACGAGGAACCAACGGATGTCTTCCTCATAAAAGCATTGGAAGCCATAGAAAGAAGAAGAAAAAAAAGCAAAATGCATTCTCTATTTATTCCTCAGAGTTACGAAAATGTTTGCAGTTTTTATGGTCGATGAAGGGGTCTTTCAAGTCTTCGCAACTGCAAGTAATAGCTCTGTCGTCGTCCTCGTCTTCGTCGACCTCAGCAATGTAGTGTCGAGTTGCTTGCCCGAGAATTTCTTCTATTGCTTTTTTATCGCTTGCCTTGGAGTTGATGTCGACTTTTCTCATCTCTCGAGCAATATCCACCGTATCATCGCATTCACCTGCGTAATCTCCAACTCATCTGAGCTGACCTCACTATCCCTACTTCCTTCATCGGAATCCGTATCGTGGTCTGTCTCGCTCTCAGTGAACTCGCCCAGCTCCTCGTTGTCATCCAGCTCCTCGTCCACTTCCTGAACAAATCTAAAATTGAGATCCCCCAAAATGGAACTGTCATCGTACTCACTGCTCGAGCCTTGGTATTCACTACTCGAGCCTTGGTATTCACTACTCGAGTCTTGGTATTGATCGTTGCGGTAGAATCTCCCTATGATTCGATGGAATGATTCCAAGTCTCCCTGGATCATATTTTTCTGCCCAAGGAAGAACAAGTCCTCTTCAGGTGTTATGGTGTGATCCTTCACTGGTCGAGTGTTGATTCCAAGAACGCCTCGTTCCTCCAAAGACCCGACCAAAGCACATGTGAGTGTGAGAGAGATGAAGGGGAAAGGTTTATTGCAATGCGGAGGAAGAAGATGATCATCCTGATGCAGCACATGGAGTCTGGGATGGCATGCCATCAATGCAGCATCACCGTGACAAAAAAAAAGGAAGGAATGGGAAGAGAAGACCACCCCTTGAGACACCCCTTCAGTTTTCCAGACCTTCTATGATGAAGATACTCAGTACTCGAAATCTGTGTAAAGGATTGGGTCGAGACTAGAGGAGGGTGGTCTTACCGCTTCCTTCGACGCTGACTGAGAAATGAGAGGAAGCAAGATTCATATGCATGAAAAACGACACTCTTTTCTTGCCACCAATTAGTTCAATTCATCTGAGTGGTCATCCAAACCATCCCCTCTAAAAGTCCGTCGCCAGTGGTGGCAATCGACCCTTGAACATACCACCGCCCTCCTTCAGCCTGTATCGTCTCAAGCCCCATCCCAATCCGGTCCTTCACCTCTGCCACCGACAAGGCATCCAACTGATCCTGCTTATTCGCAAACACCAACAACACCGACCTCTTCAACTGCGCTTCACAATCTCTATAGAGCCCGCACAGCGCAGTCTTTGCTGCATCAATCTGGGACTCGTCCGAAGAGTCGACCACAAAGATGATACCATCGGCTCCTGGTATGAAATGGCGCCAAAGTCCATGACGATAGTTCCAATCGCCGCCAACGTCCAAAATGTTGATTTCTTTGCCATTGATGGTGAGTGTCTCGACATTGTAGCCTAGTGTGGGGACAGTCGTGATGGCCATACCGAGCTGCAGCTGGTATAGGAGCGCGGTTTTGCCGCACCCTGCAACGCCCACCATGAGGACTCGGCGTTGAGGAGGTCGTATGCTGTCTGATATTCGTTTCCATGCGGTAGTGAAAGAGTTGCTTAATGAGTCGAGCATTCCTTTACAGGGGAGTGTATGAATGTTAGGGCAAAGAGGGGAAGGAAGAGGCGGAGGAAGACGAAGGAAAGTGAAGAAGGATGAATGAGAAAAGCGAAATGAGAATGGCGATGGCAGAACTACGATGGACTAAAATACTCTTTCGTCCCACTTTTCGTTGGCGGTAATGTGATTCATTTTTAATTACTTCTTGGATGTCCCTTTGAGTTGAGTGGCCATCCTTTCCATCCCTCCCTTCAGCCCATTTCCAGTCGTAGCAATAGACCCCCGGATATGTCACCTCCTACCTTGCGACCGTGTCTCCAACTCCAACTTGTCCTTCATCTCTACTACACTCAAAGCACCCAAACAATCCTGCTTATTCACAAACACCAACAACGGGCACTCCTCCTGCACATCATAGTGTTCAAACATCCCCACAAATACCTTTTTGTCTCCTCGACCTAGTCCAAATATGTCGAATCAATGACACAAATGATACCAGCAGCCTTATGCAACATGGTACCAGAGCGATCGGTCGCCCCCAAGTTCCTGCCACATTCCAGACGACAAAATCTATTCCCATGGTGGTGAGATATTCGGCTTTTAAGCCGACTGTGGGGTGGTGGGGACGACTGCGCCGAGTTGGATTATGTACAAGAGGGTGGTTTTGCCGCGATTTGAGGCTCTGATAATGACAAGGCTAGTCGGGGGAGCTGTTGTCGTTGCTAATGATGTTGTTTGTTTCTTTAGTGTTGCTAGAGGGTCGGTCATTGACTTTAGCATTCTTTTACGCGTGTGGGAGAGAAAGAAAGAGAGGGAATGTTGTTGAGTGATTCCTTGTCGGTGAAGGATGAGGAAAGGAATGAAGACATGGGATATGGACAAAAAGAGAGAAATGATCCGACTCACACTTTGTTAATTTTTGACGTTTTTAGTGCAACACAACTTGACTTGTCCTCCATGTCAACATTGCCATTTTTCAGGCGTGCATGAGACTTTGGTCAATGTTGAAAAAGTGTGTTCAATTGAGCATTGAAAGACCCAGGCTTTAAACAGACCCATACAAAGAAACACAGGTCATTTTTACCAACTAAAAGGAGAGAAAGTCCACCGCAGCAAACAACAAGGATAAGCAAATTAAATCGTGGCATGCAAAGAATGCAAGGAGGAATAAACGAAACGCACCGCCACGAGCGACACCAAAAGGGAAGAAAAACCAAGTGTCATCATCCTTTATCGCTTGCACCAGTAATCAATCGAGCTTGGATCTGAGCACACAGCCATTCAATCCCCTCCCAGACACCATCATCCAACAACGTACTCGACCCCTAAACGTGCCGCCTCCGACCAGCAGCACCAACAGCGACGCTTGTAGTCCTTATCAGGTTCTCAATATCCAATGCGTCCATAACCTCCCTTAACGTCATCGCATTCGGCCGATCCTACTTATTGGCATACACTAACAACAACCCCGTTTCCGCCATATCGTCATGCTGCAAAACCTCCCCACAACGCCTCCTTGGCTTCCCCGATCCTAGCATAATCCGTCGAATCGACCATAAAACCAATACCCCGTTGTGTAGAAGGTAATGTCTCCAGAGCTGGATCGAATATCCCGAGATGTCCCATAGTACGAGGCGTTCCCCACTGAAGGCGGGTAAATGGTTTCGACATTGAATCCGATGGTGTGATGGATTAGCCAAAGGTGTTACGGTGGAGGCGATAGAGGAGGGAGGTCTTTTCAGACGAGTCGACGCCGAGGAAGAGGACTTTGCGGTCTCGGTGGCAGCTATGGGGTGGGAGTCTGTAACTTGGAGTATAATCCCCATTGCTGTCGTCTTTTTATCGGTGGCGAAAAAAGGTGGAGAGGAGTGAGAGAGCTGAAGAAGAGAAGCGAGAGAAGGAAGCGAATCTGAGGGTGTGAGGACGGGAAAGATTTCTTTCTTTTTTTCGTGCACAATTCTATTTCTCTAACGAACAACATAGAGAAGTTATTTGGAAGTAAAAGGGGGCTACAGACCAAACCTTTCAGTGCACCATCCACCAGTCGCAGTCCAGTCCAGAACCTGGCTCTGCGCAACAATTGTCGCTGCTCGTCACAGCTTAAACGGAAGAAAATAAAACTAGATACGAATGAAGGGGATTCTTCCCATCCTCTCCATCATTGACAACCTCCTCCTTCCTAACAAACTCTCCAACAACCGCTCGTCAGCAGCGCGTGGGTCCTTGGTCGCCCCAGGGCACCTTCCTTCACAATGTGTGGCTAGCGAAGCGCCACACGGACAGAAACCATCGTGCGTGATGTAACCGTATCCTTGACTCCAGTCACCTCGGGGGCCTGTGTATTTGGATGTCTTGTCCTTGGCAGAGATGCCCTGGCTTTGTTCCCACGCGATCGTCGCGGAGCACCGAGGTTTCCAGATCAGCTCCGAGGCCTGCGCCTCCAGGTAGCCAACAAACTTGTGAAGGACTGTCTTGGCGATGGACATTGGGGTCCGGAAGACCGCGGACCATTCAGTCAACATGCTCAAGGGGGTGATGCCGCGGAGGAGATCCGACACATTCCACATCGGTTTCTCGTCTCGATCGGGAGCTGGACTACCGCTGTGCACGGCTCGAGCTCCACCGATGGAGGAAAATCCTCGTACATGATCCGCATCCGAAGGGGGCCACCAGCTAGCGAAGCGTCACTTTTTTTTTTTTTTTTTTTTTTTTTTTTTGGGTGCGGTGAATATTAGTGGCGTAGTAATCACGTGATGTGCTGCTCGTCATGAACAAATACACAAAACGTTTGTCTCAAGTATCCAGTTGGAGAGATGGCCGAGTTGGTCTAAGGCGCCGCGTTAAGGCCGCGGTCTATTCGTAGGCGTGGGTTCAAATCCCACTCTCTTCACTATTCTTTTGCTCTATTTTCGAACTTGGGCAGGAAGGTTTGAAGCGCATTTTTCTTGTCATGGAGAGTTGGAACTGCGATCCGACGATGCTTTATTTTTGCGGGCTTTCTTTCTATGTTGCCTGCCTACAGTACTTCTGGGTACGGTAGCTATTAGTTGGGTACTCTAGGCGTAGACGACTGTGTGTGTAGTCTGCGCATTGGGAGTGACAGGTTGCCTGAAAAGGTGTCCAACTGGTAGCAAGAAACACCGACAAAAGAAAAATAAGAAAACGGCGGAACTAAGGGATCGTCTAGCTGGCTGGCCGGCTGGCGGCAAATAGCCCGTTTGGCCCTTTTTTTAGTTGCAGCAGTCCAGGTCTTACCCTATCCAGGGACTGGACCTTTTGTGTTGGTTTTCGTCTGATGTCTGTCTTTTGTTTTATATATCCAGCGAGGTACATTCTCCCTTTGTTGCTTAGTGCATTGGGCCACAAAAAGAGTTGGAGCAAACAAGCAAGCAAGGGCTGGCAAAAGATATTTCTCCGATCAGCCAGCGCCCATCTGTCAGCAGTCTTTCTCTTTGCCTTTGCCTGTGGCACCCTCTTTTCCTTCTTGTGTCTCTCCCCCACTTGGTTTCCAACCTCAAGACTTGAACATATGTTTGAGTACAGGAGGTGATATATTACATGACTCTTTCTTGTCACCCGAGCACATTCTTGTTACGAAAAAGGTTCAGCGCAGAAAAAGACATTATTTTTTCAGGCACCGTTGAAAGGTGCAGGAGGCTGCTGCCAAACAAACAATTGAAACCAGGCTGGTAGTTTAGCAGGCTTCTTCCAAGCACATCATATCCCCGTTGAAGAGAAAAGCAAGCCCAACAAGAGAGAGATCGCCACTGGGTCACTCTACAGAGCCAGCCGATGCACTATGGTACATAGAGTCGGTCTATTCAATCGCAGGACCCAGTTCAAATGGTGCAAAATGAAGAATGAGCTGATTGGTGCATCTGGACAGTCACCTTCAATCCATCGTTGTACCTCATCTCTGATGAACTCTATTTTGATGCGCCCCTCAAGTGTAAATACTGAAAAAAAAAGGTGTGAATCATCAATTTTTTTTGTTGTGGCTGCTGCAATAAAAAGGATTTGACTCTTCCGCGGTGCCCTCCTTTCTTTTTCTACTTCTCTTCTCTCTTTCCTTGCTTTACTCCTTACCCCTTCCACCCAACAAACACCCTTACACACACTCTCTTTAACAACGCTTCTTAATAGAACCCTGCCTCACCTTTGAACCTTTTATTCAAACAAACTTTCTCTTTTTCCTGCCTTTTTTTGTGGACGTACTCTCCACCCTTTTATAACTCCCTTTTTACCTTTACCTTCCAGCACTTTTGCTCTTTGCCCAAGATGGCCAACTTCTCCGCTTAAACACTTAGTACCCTTCGTACAATTTCAACACACATACAACAGATCACTTCAACAATAACTTTTTTCAACAACATACAACAACACAACAACCTTCACCTTTACACCTTTACACCTTTACAACACAACTTTCAAACAACCTTACGGTTTTCAACAACACATACACCCTTCAAAATGGTTTCCCCAATTATCAACCCTAGCTCAATTATTGACATCCCAGCAAGACCCATTATCACCCTCGTAGAACCCATCGTACCAGCCTTACCCTTACAGTCCTAAACGACCCCTCTATCTTGAACTTGACCTTTATCCCAAAAAAAAGTCCATCCTATCCCCCAACTCTAGTCTCTATCCCTAGAAACACCCCCTTTCTCTTCCCTTTTGAAATATCTTCCAAATATCCAAGAAAATGGTCCTCGCCGTCGATTTCTCCATGTTCGATACGACGAACGCCAAGCTGTCAAAGTCGGCCGACTCCTTAGAGTCCGCTCTTGCCCATTGTAAGTATTCTTGTTTTTGTTGCGCAGTTCCCCTTTCTACCACAGGAGAGAAGCCATTTGACGTCAGATGTGATAAATATATCACATCGAAAATGTGTTCCGGCTGTGTGACTAATTTTACTGATTGATTGATTGACTGATTGACTAACCTACTTTGTTTTTTCTCACTGCTTAATCTCATAGTCGGCAAGAACGCGTCTGGCCTCGTTGACAGCGTCAACGACATGTTCGTCGCTCCCGCCGCCAACGCCGTCAACGGCTTTGACGAGTGGCTCGCCGCCGACCTGTCCTTCGCCGCCCTCTCCAGTGACGAGTCCTCCATCTCCTCGAGCCCCTTTTCTACCCTCGAGGACTCCCCAGTCCTCGGCTTTGATTCCTTCGGCTCTGCCATGGGTCCCTCGCTCTTCGACATGTCCATGGCCTTCCCCGCCATCGACTCGACTGCTTCGCCCGTCGCTGCTGTTGCTGCCTCCCCCGTGATGCCCGTCTTGACGTCCACGGCTGTTCAGCAAGCCGCTGCAGCCCTCAACATCCCCTGGTCGGCCGAGCTTGAGTCCGCCGTCATGGCCCAGGCTGCTCTCGGTGCCGCCTCCCCATTGGCTGTCGCGGCTCAGCCCGCTGCCTCGCCCGAGGTCGAAGCTGTTGAGGCAGAGTTCTCCTCTTCGACCGTGTCGACGCCCGCTGTCTCTCGTGAGGTCTCGGTGGCTCCCGAGGTTGCCGCCGTCGTTGGCGCTCCCGCACCTGTTGCTCCCAAGCCCAAATCCAAGAAGCGTCGTCTGACGCCTGAGGAGGAGGCCGCGGAGGTGGTTGCCAAGCGCGCCAAGAACACGGATGCTGCTCGCCGCTCTCGCATGAAGAAGCTGATCAAGCTGGAGGGTCTCGAAGCCAAGGTCTTTGACCTTGAGTCTGCTAACAGTGACCTTAACATGCGCATTGCGATCCTCGAGACTGAGAAGAGCGGTTTCCTTGCTAAGGAAGCCGAGCAGGCCGCTCGCATTGCCCAACTTGAGGCCCAGCTTGCCGAGGCCCATACTACCCTCTCGAGCCGTGCTTAATTGCACCTTGCTCGTTCCTTTTTTTCCTTTCTCTCTATCTTTACTTTCAATGCCAGCAATACTCGATAGCTCAATATTTCTTCCATAATACTCTCGTCAATTAAAAACAAACACCTCAAAAGCAAACCTTGCATTGTGCGCCCTTTGTATCTCTATGTGGTGAGTGGGGTGATTCATCGTCATTTAAGCGGAGGAGAGAGGGATGGGTAATGAGCAATAAGGGAGGGTTACGGATTCAATGCGATAGGCGATCTCATCCACGCGGTGTCCTTTTCGCATTAAATAGCGCATGATGGATGTTTTCTTCACCAAAATTCTTTTCTTTCTCCACTCCAACTCCCACATCCTCACTCTTACTTTGCATCCACATCCACATAGTCCTTTGCATTTGTTCATTCTCATTCTTTCACTTCTCTCCTCTCTATTACACTTTACTCGTCGTTACACTCTACACTACACTACTCTGCACTCCACTCCACTCCACTTCGCTCCATCATTCTTCTCATTTTTCCTCCTTTCCCTACAACAAAGATGCAGACCGCACTAGACCTCCCAGAAATACGCTCCACGATCGCCTCTCACCTCCACTCAACCTCCCCACACTCCCTCCTCTCATGCATGCTCGTCTCCAAAACCTGGTACGACTCATTCCACCCCTTCCGCTGGAAAACCGTCCATCTCTATGGAGTTCATTCAGTAAAAGCTGATGTCACCCTGCGACGCCATGCGGCTCATGTCCGGGAGTTAGGGTTTTTGGGTGTTGAGTCGTTGAAGCACTTTTCGGATATCGAGTTGTATAGTAGGGTGAGAAGGATGAGGGTTTTTGGAGCGGGAGAGGAGGGAAGAGTTGTTTGGGAGAAGCTTGCGGGGTTAGTTGGTGCAGGAGGGGGAGGAAGGTTGAGGTGGTTGAGTGTGGAGGATTCGGTGCCGTTGCCGGTGTTCTTGGTTGCTTTAGGTGGTGGATATGGGAAAAGGAAGGGGGATCGTCTTCGCCTGTCGGAGCAGCAGCAGCGACAGCAGGAGTATGGAAGCGAGGATAGCGAGGAGAGCGAAGGCGAGGATGAAAGCGAGCAAGGAAGACAAGGGGGAGGGCCAGGGGTTGGAACTCTGCCAGGGACAGCAGCAACATCGACAATAAGTGTCAACACCACCATCGACTCTGTCGCCACCACACTGACACCATTGTCGTCCTTCTCATCATCAACAACAACAAGGTCAGGGGGAGAACGACGATTGGACACACTGGTCTGGAAACGGGTCCGAATCCCTGCGGCAAACATGGATCATCTCTGGCGAGCCAGTCGAGGCGCAACAAACCTCGTCCTCGAATGCCTCACCATCACAGGCATGCAACAGACCGGCAACACCAGCACGACCCTTCCAACAGCACCAACTTTAGTCCTAACCGAACACGGCGCAACCTACCCTCTCCGCCCCCTCATCACCAACCCGCCCCTTCCGAGTACAGAAATCCAAGAACTCCGCGTCTCATGGATTCTTGGTCTGTCAGTCGAATGGCAGCTCGAGCTTTGGATCCGACCATGTCGAGAGCTGCGGAGTCTAGTCTGGGAGGCCCCCAGTTTTCCCGATCCGCTGCTCTTGCAATTTGTGCGGTGTATCGAGGACGGTACATGGGCTTGGCTAACTAGTTTGGAGATCTCAGCCTGTGTGTCGCCTTTCCCTTCGGATGCTGTTATTGCTCGGATTCTTTCTGCGTCTTCTTCTTCGTCGTTCTATTCTTCTTCTTCTTCTTCTTCTTCTTCTCCTTCTTCTTCTTCTTCTTCTTCTTCTTCTTCTTCTCCTTCTTCTTACGAATGTCCATCGTATCCTCCTTCGCCTCCTCGCTCAACATCGTCCAACTCTTCCTCTTCGTCGTCATATTCTTTTGACAGTCGTCGCAGTAGCAATGAGAGCACCAGACGACCGCACCATCGCCGAAGCCATGTTCACCTGCACCGATGGGAGCGACTCATCTTCAGGACAGCCGGGTTCGGGCCGTTGGCATTCGAGGCTCTGCGACGACACTTTGGGACACTCAAGACTGTTAAGTGGATCGGATATGCTGGCAGTGTCACTAACGACATGGCGAGGGAAGTCTTAGAGGGGTGCCCGCTTCTGGAGGAGTTCCATGCGCCCTTTTTGTGGGTGGATGATTTTGTTGGGTCGCAAGGGCGGATTGATCAGGCTGGCGAGGGACAGGGACAGGAGAAGAAGGATGGCGGTGTAGATCAAGGACAAGGACCACTCTCTTACTTTTCAACAGCGACAGCAGGACCACTGCCATCACCACCACTCTCACCAACACCGGCACCTGCTCTCATACCCGACCAGCAACGACAGCAACAGCAACAACAACTACAGTTGAAGCCATGGCCTTGCGAAGGACTGAAATCCCTCTTTATCAGCGCAACATCACCCAACTTTTTCGCCCCACCGCTGTCAAAACCGGAGGAGGAGGTCGTCAGGACTCGACTGGCGACGTTGAAAGAGTTGACGTATTATTGTGTTGGATCGACTATCTTCTCGACCAACTTCCGGCATGAGTATTAGATGTGGTAGCGAAAATGAATGAATAAATGAATGCATTGAGAAAAATTGTTTATTGAGCCGTTTGCAGCTTGTGTGTGTGTGTATGTGTGCGTTTTTCTGTTTTTTTTTGCTTTGTTTACTTTTTTTCATTTCACATGTTGTATACCGGTAATGCATGCAAGGTCTCATATTTCACAACTGAAAAAAAAAAAAAGGGAAACCATTAACCAACAAACCAAAAACAAACAAAAAAGAAAAAAAGCCTCACACAACCATCAAGTCTTCAAAACTATCACAGAACCGAAAGACCCCCACCTCACACCCAGGCACCAACTCTTTCAACCTTCTCCCCAACTTATCTGCCTTTTCATCACACAGAAGCCCATCCACATACGCATCCAGACCATACGCAGTCCTCAACTGTCTCCAATGCCTCGACATCCATTGCAGCTCCTCCTCTCCGATTTGATGGTTCACAGCTTTGAACCCAAATGTGTCCAGTCGATGTAGAGTCGCTAGTTCGTCGAGTCCAGAGGCGAGCGAGAAAGAGAGGGTGTCAGGTATCGGGGTGTTGTAGCATCGAGTTCGGACGGGGTCTCCTGTTCCTGTGATGCGTGTGATGGTATATGTGGGTGGGTACTGCCGATACCGGCGTTGTGGGAATCCGATGTCTAGGTATCGAAGATCAGTGAGTCGGGCCAGTTGCTGATAGACTTGTCGCTGGACCAAAAGAGACTGTCGGTGCAGCTCCAGGAGCTGTTCCTGGTCATCGTCCTTGTAGTGGTCATCATAAAGTTGCGCTTCCTGGTCAGGATCGATTCGAGGGACACCATGGATCTCACAATGAAACTTTTGTAGTCTCAAACAAGTCCACCTCGGCTCTGCAATCATATCCTCCGCCCGGACCGCAATCCCCAACCCCTGAATTGACTTCAAGTTCGGACACACTACCAACAACCGATTCGTCTCCTCATAACAAGGCTGTCGAAGGTTAAACCGAACATGCTCCAGAAACCGATATCTCCCAGGCGTCGCAAGAAGAGCCAAAGAATCAGACGTTAGGGACCGCAGCTCAATGCGAACCAAGAACGGCATCTTTGCCAACATCCTAGTCATAGTCCGTGGTCGGAACTGGTTCAAGCGAAGGATCAACGTCTTGAGCTTCCAATCAGGCTCCTTCTCAATCGAGAGCCTCGAATCCCGATCACTGTCCTGACCCTTGAAATGAAACGCCTGCAGATCCTCGAGCGCAGGGAAGGACCGAAGGATGAGGAGGAGCTGGCGGAGGTCGACAATGTTGACAATCGGGCCCAAGGTTTTGACGTTTGGGAAGAGCACCTGTGCTCGGAGGAGGTCATACACTTCCGAGATTTGGATACGTTCCATTCCTGTGTGGACAATGACCTCCATTGGACTGCTGCCGCTGTTACTGTGTGTGTTGGGGTTATAGTGCAATAGACGGGCGTCCTTCGAGTCTGCACGACAGGTCCACATCTCCAACCTCTTGAGTCCAGGAAAGGTAGAGGCGATGGATCGCAGATGACGGAGACGAATCGGGAGCAAGATCTGGAGAGATTCGAGGGTTGTGCAAGGAGACGACGGTGAGGGAGGGGCGAGGTTGTCGAGGCTGGCCATGTCGCTGTTGGATAAGACGTAGGACCGAATTGTTGGGAGGAGGGAATTGGCCAGTGCTGGGAGTAGCCATTCGGTGGGGGAGGGTGCCAAGCGTAGGTGGGATAGCCTGGGCATTTTCGACACAACGTTGATGAGGTACTGTGTAGGCGTCGAGAGCAAGTTGTCATCATCATCGCTGACGATGGTGTCATCCTCGCCACTATAAGTGTTTCTAGAATGAGGGGTGTCAAAGAAAGATATCGACTGCACAGTCGAGTACATGAACCGAACACTAGTGAGGCCATGGTTGTTGACAATCAACTGCCAGCAGGCCTGAGCAAGTGCGACGGACGAAGAGTCATTCACAATCCTCTTGAACAAGCGAGCAGGCACATCCTTCACGAGCTCCGTCAAAACATCGACCGAAAGTCCAGCATGTGCCGGATGACGGTATCCAAAGATGACCAATGACTTTAACTGCGTCACCACCCTGGCCTGGAGGAGGAGACCAACGGACCAGCTATCATAAATAGTAATATGCCGAATGAGGTGTCCATACTTCTGAAGCTGTCGTATCCGAAACTCTCGCTCTTCCTCTGGCTCAACATCATCATCCTTGCCCTTGTCCTTGTCATCGTGTGAGGAGGAGTAGTTGTGAGTGTAAAGGTTCTGGCAATTGGCTGGTTTGAAGATCCGGCGCCATGGGTTCGTGTCGTCGCTCGAGATAGTATGCCAAAGGGACGTTGTAAAGACCTCGTTCCAGAGTCGGTTGACTAGTAGGGAGGATAGACGGGACCGGTTGTCGAGATGGAAACCGATCTGCTGGAGAATCTCTGGAGGCAGTTGCGACATTCGACAGAATGCAGAGCGGGGCGAACGGAATGGGGAGTAGAAGGTTGATCACGATTCCAGAATGGGATGAGTGAAAAAGGGGTTGTCGATTCTGACGAGGGAAGGTGGGAGTCTTTTTGGCTGGGGTGTGACACTCCACAGGAAGCCCTGCATCAGGGTTGGTGGCGTATACTTGTTACCCTGGCTTTTTTTCTCTTTCTCGTTCCACTCCTTCCAACCTCAAATTCAACCCACACCCGCATCGAGAATTCACCGACCGTGCTAGGATGAAGGAAACGCAAGGGTCACAAAAAGGGAACCGAGGGACAGAGAAAGACGCGGCACGCACCCGCCTACAAGGATAGCTGCCTGACTTACTTACTATCAGCCAAAACACCCCTCTCCTTATTTTGCCGTCACCTTTTACTATTCCTCGTATCCAACCGGCCCTCCTTTCACTTACTCCTCCTCCTGGGTTCCCTAGACACACACAGAAAAAGGCGAGGGTTGCGCGCCTGCTGGTTCCTTGCTATCCTCCCTCTCCTTCGCATCCCACCAACCCTCTTGTCAGAAGAAAAGGCTCCTATCCCTTACACAGCTGCTAATGAAGAAATACACCTCCTTGTCTGAGTAAATTTATCGGAACACTAGATTACGGGGAAGGAAAGGGGAACCTAGTTGGCAGAGCATCAAAGGATCAAAATCGGAAACTCCATCAACGCACGAACGAACGCCCTCAACCCCTTTGCCTGTTTCCTTTGTCTGGTCTGGTCTGGCGTCTTTCATGCATGCTGCGGTGTAGTGGTCCAAGATCTTTTACTTTTGTATCTGCCGTTGCGAAAAAAAGTGGCAAAGTGTGAGAGCGAATTGCAATTTTGTGAGAGGGGGGAGTAAGAGAAAGAGGAAGAGGAAGAGTTGCAGTAGAAGGATAGACATCAACAGTCAAAGTGGACTATGGGTTGGGGTAGCATATAATATTTGAAACATTCATCCGATTCGATTCAATAGAGGCCATGGGCAAACATGGGTGGACATGCATGGGTTCTTGAACAGCCTTTGAGCAAAAAGCGTGGGGTTGAAAATAGAAAACAAAAAGAGAGACCAAGACCAAAAAGAAGATATGAAGTTGAGAGAGAGATAGATAGAGCATTGCAAGAAAAACATACATCTATGATTGAATGAGGAGAGAAAGAGCTCCAAACGCTCCTCTATATTATTTCATAGTCCATGGTCTATTGAGAGTGGGAAGACAATAACTGCTCTGTTCTTGAGAGTGAGCGAGTGCAGACAGAGTAGCCCCAGGTCTGGTTCGACTCCTGAGGAAGAGCCATAGGCGCGGGGACGAACATTATTTTCCTATTTATGTATCAAAAAGTGATTCATGGACTATTGTACAGTATTGCGGTCCATTCAATGGTCGTTTTGTCTGTGAGCTTTGGACATTGCACATACACATGCCAGCTACATTGTCGTCAAAATCGGCCTTGTTCTTCCTTCAATGGTCCTGCTTCCCGCCAGTAATATACCCGATGGATGTCCTTCCCCCTCTTTTTTTTACTCTTTGTGCTCCTTCATCCTTCCTCCTTGCTCCTCCTTCCTCCTTCCCCCCTTTTACCCTCTTTTCCTATCGCCTTTTTACAAAAAGTGGACCCTCGTTTCCACTTCTGTAACACCTACTCTCACTCTTTCTCTCCCTCGTATTTGCAAATTGTAGTTTATCTACCCGAACTCTCTTTTTTTTTTTCCTTTCTCTTTCTCTTTCTTACATTCCTCATTCAGTTTGCTCGAACTTCCTTTCGTTTGCATTCATCCTCCCTTCTTTTCTCCACTCTCTCACCCTCACTCCTCTAGTTCAGGACTGACTGACCTGTGTCTGCCTTCCGGGTCATTCCTTTTCTTTTTTCACGCATTTGAATTCCTCCCCTCTTCCCCCCAACCCTCAATGCATCCACCAGGTACTGCAACCAACCATAGTCAGTCACCCACCCACCCACCACTACCAATTGGGTTCAGGGACGGTTTCACCAACTGATACAACCCCAGCCGCGCATCGACCAATCCCCACTCCCTTTGCTTTCCATACAACCATCGCCTCAAGCGAAACGCGTTCACACTCTCCCCTCCCTCGCCTTTCCTTTCCATTCCTTTCCTCCTTTCCTTCCTTCGACAACTCACATCTACTCTCACAGAAAACTAACACAGGACATTGCCTCTTCTCTCCTAATTTTCTTGGCTGCATGATTATCATGCCATATCGCAGCAGGCATCCAAGACCAGTCCTCCTCCTACCACAGCATCTGCAACATCCTCATCCTCCACACTCGCCTACAAGAGCGATAGGATACCCCTTACCCATTACCTCCCATTCATCCATCCGATACCTATCTACCCTATTGGTAAAGGCAGTAACAAAAAGCGAAGGATCACATCGGAGATACCACCATCACCACCTTCACCGCGACCACGATCCAACCACAAGACATTCACGACTACCGATAACGACCTACCCTCCTTCCTTCCCTGCCTCTTTTCTTCTCCCCTTCATTCACCTCAACCACCACCAGGACCACCATCAACAAAAACAAAACACACAGACAGAACAACACCATGATGCGTGCAAAGGTTGCTCCTACTCACACTCACAAGACCCAGCATCCCAGAATGTTCTCTTCCTCCTCCTTGTCATCCATATCGTCATCCTCCTCCTCCTGCTCGCTATCTCCTGGCCCTCCTCAAGAGACATCAACAACCACAACAACAACAATCACAGCACGGAAGCGATCTAGTTGGATGTTATCTCATCATGAGAAACCGGGCTGGGAAGACACCACCACCGCTGCACCGTTCGAGGGACCACAGCAGCACCAAAGTCACAAAGAGCATAAGGACCATGACTCTCCTACTCGTCAACATACCCACAAGCAGAGACACCAAACGTCCGACTCCTGCGACCAAGTAGTCCCCACGACCAGCCCACACTCACCTCCTTCTTCCCCTCTCCCTCTTGGTCTTCAAAAACAGAACGGAACAACAGACGTTGATACAACAACATTAGCAAGAGAGGTGACGGATATGGACTCGGAGGATGATCAGCGTCGGAGATATAAACAACATCCAACGGGCCGAGTCGTCCAAGGGAGGTCGAGTTCTGCGAGCGACTATGGTTCAGGACACCACTCTGCACGGAGCGCGATGCAAGCAACGGCAGAGTCAGCAACAGCAGCACGATCAAGGCGTAAAGAAACGGGTGGTAGCACAAGAACAACTACGACGACGACACCCAGCAAACCACGGTTCTCGCTCTCGACGGTCGTCAACCCACGCGCTCAAGTGCACTCTGCTGGAACAGCGACTCGCGAGGCGGCGGTCGCCGTTCCTAAGGATGTTTCGACAAAGACAACAACTGCACGGTCGTCTAGGACGGCCAAGGAAAGTGTCGCTACTCCACGAGCGACAAAGTCAACCACATCGAGCCTAGGAGGACATGTACAGCCAACTACCAAATCGGTCTCAACTACACGGATATCGAAATCGAGGTCACCTACAACTATTACCACAACCACCACCACGACTACTCGCAGGGTCGCATTGACCACCATCACTATGGGACCACACCATGATCGAGAACATCGCAAATTGGCAACTGCTAATGCCTCTGCTGCTGCTGCCAGTGCTCTCTCAGCAAAGACGTCAAGCAGCAGCAGGAAGGAGCGGACTACAAGAGCCAGCAATTTGGCGCCGGGAACAGCAGGAGTAGGAAGAGCCACAATGAGTCGGGGGGGAGGACGTCAGACTGGAGTGGAACCAACTGTTGAGCACACCAATGCCATTACCATTCCTACGACTGCTGGACATAACGACGACAAGAATGCGACGACGCAGCAACCAACAACGACCACCACCACCACCCTTCTCCCTGCGCTGCAAATGAAAGGAGAGGAGGAGTCTGTCCAGGACATAACCTCCACACCTATAAGAGTCGCAATCAACAGCCTATCCGCAAAACCATCGTCTCCCTCTTCACCCCCGCAAGCAGCGTCAACGGAGATCCCGCATACTCTCAGCTCACCCATCAGCTCACCCATCAGCTCACCCACTATCGCCGCATCACGCCCAAAAACCCCACCACCGCCATATCAGGCCGCCATCCTCCACAACACGCCATCTTCAGACATTGTTTGCCAGACCCCGGACATGCCCTCCATCACCGCTTGCAGTCCTACTAAGGAATCGGCACCCATTATTCAGGAACGGGACGAGCACACGGAGGTATATCTTGCAATGCCTCCAGCTGTCATGGCGACTCCTTTGTCTAAGACTGAGGCGTGTCCCGTTGCCGGCAGCGCGCAGAGTCCAAGGATCGCGAAATCTATGACTGCGACTACAGTCGTCTCTGCGCCCCCGACTTTTCTGTCAGGGACCCCAAGGATCTTCAGAGTCATGCGTGAGACGAGTAGTCCACGAGTGTTGGGCGTCCAGCAGCAGCAGCCAAGATTGACTTCTCAGAGCGAGATCAAAGCAGGACGAGACCAGGAGCGACCAGCCGAAGTTCCAACAACACCTGTTCCTACAACCATGGACAGAACCAAGTCCGAAGACCTCGCCGCTGAGGAACCAACGGAGATATGTTCCACTCTGCTCACCACCTTAACTCCTACCACTATTTCCGACCTTGTGGGCGTCGGGGAGGCCCCAAAACCGCAACCTCAACCGTTCAGGAAGAACATCTGGAATGGCCGGATGGACAAGTTCACCAAAACGTGGAGCATACCACTCTCCCACGAGGAATCCATTCCAACAGCACAGGGGAACGCACCAGCCAGGACCGGGATTTTGGCCGCCATGGGGGCCAGCGTCTCGAGGGCATCCCTGACGAAGGTCAAGGACCCTGCGGTCATGCGCGACTTGATGGTGCTTGCCAAGGAGCGGAGAGCTTCGCGGACTCTTTGTGATGGTGTGGCAGAGGATGGAGCGTCTGGATTTCGATCTGCTAATAGTGATGGGAACCAGTTCCGGGATAGGAGTAGGATGCAGTTTGAGCATGGGAACGATAATGATAATGACACACCTACCACCACCACCAACTTTACGACCAACCACAACAACACCTGCAACTCACTCTCCACCTCAGCGCCCTCGGGAAAGATCACATTCGAGGACAAGAAGGCGTTCCTCAAGACCCAAGAGATGCGCAGGCGAAGCAACCTGCACAGAAGCCGTTCCTTCAACACCGTCGATCTACCCTATTGCCCTTTTCCTTCTTCACCATCCCCAGCACCAGCGCAGGATTCACTCTCGATCGACACACGCCCAGGATTCCCTTGGAAGGGTCGTGCAGCCACAGCCACCCCACCCATCCCGGCAATGTCAGTCACCATCCCCCTCAAAGTCGCGACAGTCCTCCAGGGGATGGGGTACCCCATCAACAACACCAAAAATACATCGGCATTATCGCCACTCTGCTCCTCCCCCTCCCCATCGCCATCTCCTACATGGTCCACACCCTCGACTCCACGCATCATCCCTTCCTCTCACTCCCTTTCTTCCATCTCTTCATTCTCGTCCGCTTCCACTGCCTCTTCTTCGGTGTCTTCGATGTCTTCAGCGAGCTCGGCGAGTTCAAAGACGTTACCGTTATCGTTCCCAGATCGGTTGTTCCAAGCTCGGTCTCCTTCTTCTTCTGCAGGTGGAGCCCCTGTAGCGACGATGCCGCGGTCGTTCTCGCCGCGCCCTGTCAGAGCGACTTCTATCACTGGAGCATCAGGACCTTCTTCTTACTACTCCACTCAGACCTACAACAATCACCAAACACCACCACAATCGTCGACAATGTTACCTTCCCTCCCCTCGCCTGCATTGTCACTCGCAGTTCAAGAACGACAGCATGTCTCGAACCGATCTGTGGAGGGGTACTTCAAACCACGCCTATTCTCGGGAAGTCGATCTGAAGATGAGCAGCAGGTGCGGCAGCATGCCCTACGACCTTTCGAAAGGGCACTCGTTCAACAACAACAACAACAACAACAAAACAAACTGACCCCACCCCAACGCGCGGCGGCAGCAGGAGTGCATGCACTATGGTCAAGCTCAGCCATCAAATCCAACAGCATGCCACAACTCCTCCCTCCACCACTATCCCCTTCACTTTCCTCCCCATCATCTCTCTCGATCACAGACCAGGAAGACAACACCACCGACTCGGACCGCGAAAGAAGAGTTCGCGAACGAAGTGCCTCCACAACTTCAATCGACCGACCGTTTTTCACAGAACAAGTCTACAGCAGCCAATACTCTCAGGAAGACCAACATTCTTGTTTGACGACGACTCTGCCAGTGACACAAGATATCTCCTTCTTGACAAAACGACTCGCGAACCTCCAGCTCATGGACTCCCTCTGTCCTGTCTCCACTCCAACCCCCACACAGCACCTCCTACCCCAGCAGCAGCAGCAACAGCAACAGCAGCAGCGGCAAGGAGGCATGGATGCGACATGGGCAATGCAGATCCAACTATTGCTCACCCATCTCGCAGAACAAACTGACCTTGAACAAGAATCCAGACTGCGCCCACTCCCACCACCACCACGCCCCCACTCTCTCCTCCTTCCCGAAGAAGAACCCGAAGCTGGCCAAAAGAAGAAGGTTAACAGTGTGGGCGTGTACAAGCAAGTGTTGACAGACTGGCTCCTCCGCCTGGACCAACTCTCTACGATCACATCTCCATCCACGGGGAGTTCGTTGTACAATGACCATCTAGGACTGAAGCGCGAGGTCGAAAAGATCCGTTGGCAGCATAACGTCCCCTCAAAGCCCAACAACAGATCAAAATAAAAAGAAAAAATCATAAAGCACTACACCCATTTTGTTACACTGTTTTTTTTAGTTTATTAGTCTTGTTGGTATGCTTTTTTTTTTTTGCGTTTTTTTTTTGTTGCGACCTCTGGCGGACCACTTCCACCATGGCCATTAAGAACCCTGTCCAGACTTTCTCAAATGAAAAAAGTTACATGTCGCCGGTAGCATTTCCATCGTTAAGCGGTGACCGTGGCGCCTCAGGGAGATGAACCGTCGTAACAGGCGTCGTAGTTGCAGTAGCAGTGGCTCCCGAAGAAGAAGAAGGTCCACCCGCAGAAGAAACCCCTCCTCCCGAAATATTGTTCTCTGGCGCGGTCCCAACAGCCCCAGCAGCTGCCGTCGCATTCTCAACCACCTGCACCTGACCCTCCGAGACCCGCTTGAACGTCTCCAGAACCTTCGTGTTGTATCCCTTGCACTTTTCGCACTTGTGATACAAGAAATGGTATGGTGCCTCGGACTTGATCTCGCAGTCGTTGCAGAGGACATTCGAAAAGAAGTTGGCATATTCTGGGGGCATCTTTTGTTCTGACAAGAGATTGTCGATCTTGGCATAGTACGCCGTCATGTCGCCGAGGGCCTTCCAGCATGTCGGGCATTGGTACGACGTCTTGACATAGTCCGAGTGACACTTGGAGTGAATACAGTGTCCACATGGCTATGATTCATGAGAGTCAAGCAAATAGTGGCAGGTCAGTAATAGATCCAAAACTGAGCAAAAAACGAGATTAAGTTTGGCCACTCAGTGTTCGATGGTTACCATAAAGATGACAGTGGTGGTACTGGTGAACATGTACTCTCCACAGATGGGGCAGTCGCACTCAAGGTTACGTTCAATGCATCTGTGGTTATCCTTGAGCTGAATGTTCATGCAGATGTTGCACTTCTTGCAGTGGAAAAAGTCCTGGTCCAGTCCGTTGCCAATCCTGCAGATCCCACAGTCCGCGCAATGGTAAATCGGCTTGGCGGGGTCGTCATCCCAGAGCTTGCAGATGTCACAGTAATAGTTTGCAAGCTGGGCGCTGCAAGAGTCGCAGCTTTGGGCAGCAGGTTGAATTGCCTTGCAATGCATACAGAGCATCATCTTTGTCTCGTTCCTACAAAAAAAGTATCCAACAAATCATGGTCAGCATTTTGATTCTCTTTCCTGAACATGAAACGAAACGTAGTAGTACATATGCATCTTGATTCGAGGTACAAAAAAGAGAACCTACCTGACAATGGTGTGATTGCATACATCATCGTGACAGAACCTGCAGTTGAACCATTTGCCACAGCAGTTGGCCTTCAGCTTGCATCCTCTCCTGTAGTGCTTGCATCCCAGATAGTTCCTGTCGGTATTCTGAGATAAAGAAAGAAAAGATGAAGATGAACGTAAGCATATGGATGCATCTAATATTAATAGCGCACATCTCTTTCAGAGAAGAGCTGAAGCATGCAGCTCAAAAGCTCATGCAGAGGAGTATGAAAAAAGGAGGTGATCTTACATTGTAGGTCGTTTTCAAGTCCTCTTCTGTTGCCTCTGTCCCTTCTGTAGAATCATCGGCCGTTTGTGATGCTAAGCTCGACTGTGCTCCCTGCCACTTGGACGACATCAATTTCTAACAATGATATGAACAAGAAAAAGTGCCGATTGTACAAATGTTAATATCGCACTTTGGCCGTTTTTTTTTGGTATTCCTCTCCCGCTTTTATCTTCGATAGAAGTAAACAAAAAACAAGGGGATGTTCTGTCTCACCTGAATCATGGACGCTTTGTCAGCAAAGCTGATGGTTGGATCTCTTTGGATATCCATGATCTTCCTCCTCAACTCGGCTTGGTCCTTTTCGTCAACAAGAGGGACAGTGTTCGACCTTGCCGCAGGTTGTTGTGCCGCTTGTTGCCCCGATGCTGGTCGAGAACCGGAGGAAGACGTAGGTCGACCTACCCGAGAAGAAGATCCAGAGGAAGAAGTCATACGCTGATGCTGCCGTCGAAGGCGGTTGGAGAGTGAAGATGATCGACTACGGACCCGAGGAATAGATGTCGCCCTCTGTAATCCGGTTGCTGGATCGACCTGCATCACCATCTCTTCATCGTCATCATCATCCTCGTCCTCCTCGGTCGAGGCAGCGTTGGGGGTTCGGCCACGTTGACTCCGTCCTCGGTCCCCGGACATGTGGACGTCCACTTGATCGTCATCGCCGCCTTCGCTCTCCTCGTCCTCGTCCTCGTCCTCGTCATCCTCGTCCTCGTCCTCTTCGCCGTCGCTGTCGCCAGCGGGCAAAGGTGTATGAGCAGAGGGTTCGGGAGCGGGGGAGCGGACTTGTGAGGTGGCCGTCAATCCATGGTGTGAAGTCGCTGCAGTGGCGGTAGAAGTAGCAACTGTCTCGTCGGTATGGTCGACGGGGAATTCTGGTGCATCGACGTAGACGCTGTTTGTCCTGGAATCATTTCTTGGGGACGACATGGTGTTGTAACTCGGTTGTGTTGATGACTCTTTCTTGTCGGAGAGGTGGTGCTGAAGTATATCGCAGGTCAGGTCAAAGTCCTTGGTTGGTTGGTATGAGCTGTAGTAACGAGTCCTGAGTTTGCCTCTGGGGAGTTGTTGAAATAACTTGAGAAATGGAAAACAAGGGTCGATCCTGAGGTGAGTTAAGTGTCGAGAATGGAAAGGGGGTGTGTGGAAGCGAGACGAACGCAAAGAATAAAAAAATGAAACTTTAGTAACGACGACGATTGGGGCGGTCAAGAGATCACATGATACCCCGTGCAATTACAAATCGGTGTTTTCTTAATTGACAAGACCAATGTTGCCACCAACCGGTGAAATTTACTCACAGACAACAACGTTGCATCGGCGCAAAGCAAACACGCAGCAGATGTGTGATAAAAATAGTTGTCACTAGCTTGGAAAAGGACAACAGGGAAAAGGGTCCCATTCTCCTCTCTTCCCTCCTTTTCTTCCTCTTCTTCCTTACCAATTCCTCTTCCTCTTCTTGCTTGTTTTCTTATCTATTGATACCCCCATTCCTGCGCTCCTCACAGACAGGAAAACCAACGCACACCGGCATATCAGATTGCTTCAGAGAACAACAGCGACAAACATCAAACAATGGAGCTCCAACAGACCTCACATTCCAATTACCCTGTCGCTCCACCTCTGCTGAGTAAAGACGCTGAGTATTGGTTCTGTGGATCTGAAGGCTGGGTAAGAGACCAATTGCTATCCACGAATGACAAACAATACCACATTTGACAGGGCAAGGGCATTAAACTTCTCGATTACCCATGATTTGATGTGCAAAAAGGGACCACTCAGCAAATCCAGGTTCGGTCTCACTCCTTGCTTCGAGTACAGGTATGGCAGTAATTGATCTACAATAATCTTGTTTATGAGGGAGGAGAAGTACAACGGCCATTCACACTTTCCTACCTTCCATATCAATCTCTAGCATTCTCCTGGGAGCACTGTCAACTCTGGCGATCGCCTCATTTTTCGGCCGATACATGGCCCTCCGGAAATACTCCAAACCTCACGGATTTGGGCGTACAGCATGGATCTACTGGCCTACGCAGACATGCATGTCCCTCACAGGAATGATGGCTGTCGTTGTTCTCGTCCACCTCCTTAATCTGGAGAATGGCGCAGTGCCTGCTGCTATCTTTGGATACGCCGCTCTTGCAGCCGCATGGGTAAGCTTATACTTTTTTTTTTTTTTTTTTGCGAAGCATTTAGCTGTAATGACTCATATTAAAACTTAATACCCCTTTTTCTTTCTTGATAGTTGCTGGCAGTCCCCCTCAACTATTACGAGCATGTATACTCGATCCGATCCTCAGACGTCATATTCTCATTTTATGCCTTTTCTATCGTGGCGCTCATGATCCAAGCCAGGACGCTCCGCCTCTTGTCGGACCGCTCAGTGGGCGACTCCGTCCAACTCGCCGCTACTTTTTTCATGATCCCGACACTCCTGATCGGGTTCATCGTAGAGGCGTGGCCTCGTGGCGCCACCAAAGTCCAGCGATCCAGCTCCGCGCCCATCTACGACAAGGCGAACCTGTTCTCACAGATGACCTTTTTCTTCTTCCTACCGATTATCCGACTCGGGAATACAAAGTCTCTGATGGCTGAGGATTTCGCAAATCAGCTGCCGGAGTGTGTCTACACTGCAGCCTCTCAACCCCTGCTGGATATATACTGGAAAGCAAATCAGGACAGAGCGACGAAACGGGGCAGGGAGCCGTCTTTATTTCAGGCAGTGCTGCGGTCCCAACTCATTCATGCTCCTGGACTGATTGCAATTCGTGTCGTCCGCGTACTGACGAATTTTGCGGTCCCAGCGGTCTTCAGTCTTTTGCTGGCGTATTTCCAGGACATCCAGGACCTGACACCATCACAGGAATCGACTGCGCAATCATCTGACAACGGCAGCAGTGGTCGTACCACGGGGAACACTAGTTTGGAGTACGGTATCTTCTTGGTTTTCAGTATGTCCTTTGCTGGTCTGTGCAATGTCATCCTTCTGGCAGTGAGTCGCCAGTACTGCGTTGTTCGTGGGCTTGAGGTTCGATCAGCTCTGATGTCCATGGTATATCGCAAGGCTCTAAACCTATCGCCGGGTTCAAGGCAACTCTCCACCACCGGCCAGATCCTCAACTACGTCTCCATCGACGCGGATGGATGGGCGGAAGGCGGGTTAGTCTTGACCATGTGGATTTCAATCCCTCTAGAGTTCATTTCCGCGTTGTATCTTTGTAAGTATTTTAATTAGGGTCACTAATTTTAATGAATAGAGGACACTCGAGCAAGCATGACAGTTGAGGTTGACGCGTCTGAAGCTCATTTACTTACTTTTTACCTATACCTCATCGAACATGTAGTGCACAAAACGCTCGGATGGAGTGCATGGGTTGGACTGCTGACGATGATTAGCTTGACACCGATGCAGATCTGGCGAGTAAAAATATTCAACAAGCTGCAGCGGGAGTTGTCTGAGCTCGCTGATGAACGTATCCGGGTCATGACGGAGACTTTGTCCGCTATCAAAGTCGTCAAACTCTACGCCTGGTAAGCGGTCGAAATACTCATGGAATGTTTAGTTATTCGTCTCCATTGAGCCGTCTTTTGTCAATCGATGCTAACTGTTAACCGAAATAGGGAGAGCCCATTTTTGAAGCGGATTTTGAACGTCCGTAACCGCGAGCTGGGGGCCAAGCGTCGGATGGGAGCCCTAGATGCCATAATGTCGATTGTCTTTTCCTCCTCGCCACTCATCATTTCCCTCGTCACGCTGTCGGTCTACGCAACATGGGGAGGCCCAGGTTTCACTCCAGGAACATTGACCCCTCAAGTGGTCTTTGTTAGTATAACCGTATTCAACATGCTCAAGAACCCCATCACCACATTGAGCGAGACTACTTCGACAACTGTACGACTTGTTGTCAGCACCTCCCGCATCCAACAATTCTTGCTTCGGGAGGAGATTAATTTTGATGCGATCGTTCGGGAGCATGACGGATCCAAGAAGCCATCTGGAGAGCCAGCGGTGGTGGTTCAGGATGCAACCTTTTCTTGGTCCAAGGAGGCGGTGATGGTTGAGAATGATAGCCTGGAAAATCAGGACGATGCGGACGAAACTCAGGCTTTACTTCATGGATTACATGACGACGAATCAACCGACATTCAGCGCCCAACCTTGCAGCATATCAACCTCTCAGTCAAGGGTGGCTCGCTGGTGGCCATTGTCGGACGAGTTGGTCAAGGCAAATCGTCCTTGCTGAGCGCCCTCATAGGAGAGATGTACAAGCTTCATGGATACGTCAAGACCGTCGGCAGGATTGCCTATGTCCCACAGCAGAGCTGGATCCTGAACGCCACTCTCCGCGACAACATCTTGTTTGGCCTAGAGTATGACCAGGAACGGTACGATCGGATCATTGCTGCGAGTGGATTGGAGCCTGATCTTGCTATGCTTCCAGCAGGCGACCAGACAGAGATTGGTGAGCGCGGTATCAATCTCTCGGGAGGTCAGAAGCAGCGAGTCTCTCTTGCTCGAGCTGCCTACAACGACGCTGACATCTACCTGTTGGACGACCCTCTGAGTGCCGTCGATGCGCATGTGGATCAGCATCTCTGGAACGAACTGATAGGACCGCAGGGTTTGCTCCGCAACAAGACCAGACTGTTGGTGACGCACGGTATCCATCATCTCCAGGAAGTCGATCAAATCGTTCTGCTGAAGGATGGCTGCGTTGCAGAGTCAGGACACTTTGAGGATCTCATGGCCGCCGGACAAACCTTTTGCCAGCTGATCAGCGAGTATGCGATTACTCATCGCGACCAAGGTGGTTCTGGCACCTCTTCAAGAGAAGAGTCGGACATTGCAGACACGCAAAGTCAAGAGACGGTCGGGTCGGGCACGAGCGGCGACTCAACAGTAGCGACGACGCCGAAGTATGATAATGCCAGGAACAGCGAAATTAAGAAGGATACCAAGAGGGACAAGAAGGCTGGCATCATCAAAACAGAGACTTACAAGGACGGAGAGCTCAATTTGTCAGTGTTTTTAACCTACCTGCAAGCCATGTAAGTGATCATTCCACATCGTATTTTCCATCCTCGTAAACTGGATAATATGATTCATTGCGCGCGCCAATTTACTAATTGTTCGTGTTTTCCTTGCGACCACATAACCGCCTAATAGGACGTACAAGTACACGGCTCTGACTGTATTCTGTCATGTCCTCATGCAGGTGTGTTATGTCAGCACCACTTTGTGGCTCAAGTACTGGATCGGTCAATCCAAGGAGACCGATGATCAAGGAAACCCACCCTCGCTCAAGTATTTCCTGTCGGTGTTTGCCCTCTTGACCCTGGTCTACACCCTGACCGGAATGGTTCTCAATTGGGTCTCGTTCGGTGTTGCACTTGTTCGCGCATCAGAGTACCTCCACCGAAAGTTCATCAGCAGGATCATGCTCCTCCCTCCCTCCTTCTTTGACACCACTCCGTAAGATATTCTCAAACTGGTGCCCTTTCTTTTTTTTTTTTTTTTTTTTTTTGACTTGCAACGCGTTTTTTGAGTTGTTTTGCTAACTTGCAGCTTATGTTATTATTGTAGACTGGGGCGGATCATCAATATTGCGTCAAACGACTTTTTATCCATCGACGAGCGGATCCCCCTAAAGCTATATGAGATCACCCTCCAAGGTGTCGCCATCATCGCCTCCCTCACTGTCGTGGCATTCACAACCCCCCTATTCCTCTTTGCATCCCCCTTCATCGCTCTCATCTACTATTACGTCCAAAAGTACTACATCCACGCCTCCCAAGCCGCCAAACGCGTCTTCCGCATCACAAAGTCACCCGTCTATCAGAGTTTCCAGGAAACCCTTGCGGGAGTCTCGACTATCCGAGCCATGGGACTTCAGGAGCGGTTTATCAAGGCCAACTCGAGGTGGTGTGATATTCATGCGAATGCGTTTGTGGCATATGGGTACTGTATTCGGTGGATGGAGATTCAAGTCCAGATGGTCAATGTGTTGATTACGCTGTTGGCGGGGCTTTGGTTTGTCTTGTTGCCGCAGGGGTCCGTTAATGCGGCGACTGCCGGATTGGCACTCAGTTTCGCAATGTCGAATGCGCAGGCGCTGATTTGGTTCACGAGACATTATTGTGATATGTACATGCATCTGATTGCTACCGAGCGGGTTGAGGAGTATTCAGAGATGAGGACTGAGGCGCCACGACTGACGGCGCCCGATTCTGAGGCGGGTCGTGCATTGGAGCAACATTGGCCGCAGGAGGGCAGAATTGAGTTTGTCGACTACTCGACGCGGTATCGGGAGGGTATGGATCTGGTCTTGAAGGGTATCTCGTTCAGGGTTGAAGGAGGGCAGAAGATTGGTATCGTTGGACGGACGGGTGCTGGCAAGTCGAGTTTGACGTTGGCGTTGTTCAGGATGATCGAAGCCGCCAACAGTGAGTGGGCAAGAGCAACCAGCAGCAACAGCAACCAGGAGCCTGATGATCCGCACAACGAAGACCAATTGGACGGCGGCAAGATCGTGATCGACAATATCGACGTTTCCACTCTCGGACTGACCGACCTGCGCAAGAACCTATCGATCATCCCTCAGGAGCCTGTCCTCTTTGCCGGAACTGTACGAGAGAACCTTGATCCATTCGTGGAAATGGAGGATGTAGTACTGTGGGAAGCACTGGAGAGATCATACCTCAAGTCTGTCATCGCTGCATTACCTGGCGGGCTGCTGTTCCAGGTAGCCCAGAACGGCGAGAACTTTTCAGTCGGCCAACGGTCCTTAATCTGCCTCGCACGAGCACTCCTAAGAAAGAGCAAGATCCTGGTGTTGGACGAAGCGACTTCGGCCGTGGATATCGAGACAGACGAGTTGATCCAAAAGACGATCCGGACCGAGTTCAAGGAGAGGACAGTTTTGACGATTGCGCATCGTATCAAGACTGTGATGGATTCCGACAAGATACTAGTGCTGGACCATGGTCGCGTTGTGGAGTTTGACGCGCCCAAGGTTTTGCTTCAGGATGAGAGCTCGTTGTTTTATAAGCTGGCGAAGCAGGCTGGCGAAGCCTGATAGACACATTTTTTTTATTGCTTATTACACTTAAAACACGACGCGTTTGATTAGCAGGACGCGTTTGAGACAATGGATATGACCTTTTTCTGCTATGGTAAACGTTGATTTATCTTTTCGACATGCAAAAGTTTACATAGAATGAAGCCCATGCGAAATATCATCCTCCTCCCCATCGCCCACTAACCGTCCATAACACCCAACAGGCCGCCTCATAATCACACCCATCGATCCTCCAATAATCCCCGCCACTCCCTTTCCAACCGGACACTGCATCTCCCCACCACCAATTCCACCTTCAAACCCCTCCACCCCCTCAACATTTTCATCAACCTCCAACCACGACAGCAACCCATCCCCCACCTGTCGCTGCTGGGGCCCACCAAACTCCATCGAGGGGCTGGTCGAGATCATGACCCGGTCTCCGAGTCGTCCATCTTCTTCTTTGTCTTGGCCCCAGATCACGTGACGGGAGTCGAGCCAGACGGTAAGGCCGACAATGCGGAGGTCGCGGATCTCTTGGTCTGCTAATGCTACGGCGTCGGCTACGGCTTTTAAGACCTCTTGATAGATTAGGCATGTGCATTCATGATGCTGTTGTTGCTGTTGGCGAGAATGGCGATTATCTGATGCGTTTTGCGTCTGTGTGAGGGAGGTTGAGAGCCCGAATGTTGAGCGGTCTTGAACTGGGGCTGTGGCAGAGTGGGATCCGTCAGCTGCTGTTGGAGACGACGGTCCATTGCTTGCGCCTGGAGCTTCAGAGATGGCCAAATCGTTCACCTCATTGTCTTCACGGACCCGAAGCGCCGCATGACGCTTGCAATGTCCAAAAGACGACAAAGTCCTCGCCGAGAACGACCCAGCAGGCTGCTGCCGGTGATGATGTTGACTATTTCCATGTCCATGGATCCCGCTCCAGGAAGAAGGCGAAGCGCCCCAGAACGACTGCTCAGTCTGACTCGGCAGCCAAACAATAACCTTCGTCTTGGCCTCCTGTAAGACAGGGTTCAAGTACAACCCCTGGATCCGACTCCGTTCCTCGGCAGCGACGACCGACTCGCGATGGATCAGGAGCATCGGCAACGAAGGTGCACCTCGACCAGTATGACGGCCAGAGTTGGAGACCCTGGACGACATTGAAACACTTGACAGAGCATCGTCAATGCCGCGTTGGTGGAGCAGGTAAGGGTTGTTGGCGTAGTGCAAGGGTCGTGAGTTGAGCAAGGCGGGGAGTGATGCTCGGTAAAGTGGCTTATTGTTGGTGCCGTTGGCTCTTTTGTTGAATTGACCTGTCGTCTTGGTCTCGTTCACAGCTTCAAGGGAAGATGATGCAAATCCGGGAGCACCAGCCATCCTAACACGACGTTGCTGACTTCCTGCTCCTGATGCGGCATTGTTGTTGCTGGTGACAAAAGGCGCGTCCAGTTGCTTGCGAGAGGCGACGGTGCTTGCACGACGAAGAGCCTTGACGATCTCCCTGTACTTTGCCTCCTTCTCAACCTCCTCCTCCTCGGCCTTGGACAAAGCAGATCCTGCAACCCCAGCTCCATGACTCATACTGGAGTAACTTGGGAACAAGTCATGTATCTCAGAGTCCTCAGTGCCATCGGCAAAACTGAAAGTAGGTTCAAAGCCAGTCGAAGAAGAAGCTGTCCGACCATGAGCAGAAGCATGACCAACAGTCTGTGCCCTCACAAGACTCGATTGCCGAGAATGAATCGGACCCTGGGAAGGAGAAGCCGCGACTGCCTGAATCGACGACCCTTGTTGAGAACCAGCAGGCTCAGCATCAAGGTCATACGCAATCCCCAAGATCTCCTTTTCGTATCGTTCAAGATCAAACACAGACACACTCTTGGGACGAGTGCCTCCAGAGATGGTGGAGACAAACGAGTTGCGGTAATGTCCAATGATCGTCGTGGGCCGCTGGATCATCCTCTTGATCATCCTCCGGCGCGGAGAAGTCGTCTCCTTCGCGTGCTCATCCAAATCGGAAGGAGACTGTCCCTCTCCATCGCTATCAGACAAAAACCCGCGAGCATCTGAAGCAGCAGATCCGGCTTCATGACCGAGAGAACTAGGGCTCAAGTGCCCCAAGTGAACAATCGCATCCTGACCTCCACCTCTAACTGCCCTCGCCTTTCCTTCAGGTTTTCCACCCGCACCAGATGCCTTCCCAGAATGAAGCAGCACGACCTCCGGCTGCAAATAATATGCCTCCACCTTCTCCAACATCATCTCCTCCCGCTTCCCAAACTGAACCCCAACAACCACCCGCGCAACCAAAACCGCCGCCAACAGACCCGCCGAGAACCCAGCCTGGATCCAAGCCTGCCGGATACCCAGATACACCGCCAACAGCAATGGCGGGCAAGCCAACGTTGGGAAAAGGACGAACTTGATCGCTTGGAGGTAGTGTAGTCCTCCAGACTGACTCTTGGCCGTCACAACTTGAAGGACCAGGTATCGGTAACAAAGGTTCATAGTCATCAGAACCACGATCCAGAACAAGAACAGCAGTGGTGCTAGAGGGAGCAACGCCAACGAAATGGTGAACATCAGGACCAGATGTGGATACAAGTTCTGGAGGTTGAAGAATGGTGGTTGACGCGTTTGGAAGGCTTGACGAGGAGTCTGAGTGGGTGCTGGCGAGAAGTTGTCTTCGAGCGACGCCGAGTTGCTCGAGGTTGACGATTCAGTGGAACCGGTTGATGCGACATCAGTGGTCCTCCTAGCAGCATCATCGATGGCCGAACTTGTACCAGTATGATCGCGATGGCTCTTGGACTTGTGCAGACGGTTTGACTTGCGCCAGGAGAGAGGACCTAGCGCGGACCAGAGGGTGATAGCAGGGAGAGTTGCCCAGAGCCGAGAGAATTGGAGGATATGGTGGAGAGGCAACATCAGGCCTGCAGTGAGGATGTAAGAGAATGCGAAGGAGCAGTAGGAGGGAATGGCGTGGATCAGAAAATTCGACAAGCTGTCGACTTCAGTGAAGGCGGACTCATGCCATGACAGGGAGAGTGACACAATGGGATGCACCAAGATCATATTGACCAACTAATAAAAAGAATTAGAAACGATGCATCAATATTTGTGAAGACTTGAAGCAACGTGGGATGAGTGAGCACCGACGACAAGAAATCAAAAGTACTTACCAGGAAGTAAAAGTAGCATCTCTGGGTCAACAAGTCTGTCTGTATCTTTGAAACGCGTCCCCAGTACTGGCACAACTCTATTCCCATAGGACATGACAAACAAAAGAAAGCGTTAGCAACAAACAAAAAAAAGTGTTCACAGAATATCAAAATACCGAACGAGACAACGTTACCATTGAGGATCCAAGATCCAGCAAACATCAAAAGGCCAAGCAACAAAGGGGCAAGAACACCCTGTCGCAAATAAACAACAGGGCCCGCCAGGACCTCCGCCTCTTCCTCAATAACCCTTTCCCACCCCTTGAAGACCGCCATCGACGCCATCGCAGAGACAACCAGTCCACATCCAACCACCAACAGGAACCCGACAGAGATGATCATAGCGCGTCTGAGTAGCTTCGAAAGAGGCGATGTTGCCTGACCGAGGACGCGCCATTCGATGTCGCGTGGAGGGATGCCCAGTGTGCGAGATTTTATGGGGATCTGGTCTTGTCCAATCGTTCCAAATGCAATGGCCTTGGCGCCTGCGCGGGTTCTCATCAAGATAAACGCGGCGGGGAGAGTGTCGACTTGGTTTGGTGGAGCACTCTTCGTGGGAGAGGCGCCCTTCTCGGTCTCGGATGCAGTGGCCACATCGTCCAAGATCACGACGTTCTCGTGGCCATTGACAGATCCAGCTTGACTGGGTGTGCTTTTTGCGTCAGGATGAAGACCCTTTCTTGCTCGGCTCTGAGGGCGGTGGGCATGAGGCTGTCGGATCCCCTGGCGATCGTCTGCCATGGCTTTAGCTTGCTGCAAATACTCTTGCTCAATCACCTTGTTCAGACGACAGAGTTCTCCTCGGTAGTATCGAATAGAGTCCTGTTGCTTGCTGAGCAAAGGAATACCGGCATAGTGTCTTGGTCGTCTTGGTTTTTGGTACCACTTCAAAACCGCCAGTCCACCCGAGCTGGAGACGTTCGAGAGCGTGGTGCCTTGTTGTTGGAGAGTCTGCGAAGACCGTCTCTCACTGGTGCTGGGCATACTGTTGATAGCAGTAGAGCTGGACAGGTCCGCGAGCGAAAGCTTGGGCACATCACTGAGCTGGTATAACTTGAGATGTCCAACATAATCCTCGTCATCCAGACTCTGACCACCGCTTCCACCAACGCTCGAACCCTCAAGCCCAAAACAAGTCTTGACCCTATCAACACACCGACCAAGCCAGGACCGAGACCTCATATTCAAAGTCGTAAAAGAAACCATAGCCGACGCTCTCGCAATAGCATTCATATAATTTGACTCTGTTTCCTCCAACTTGTCCAGAACCACCTGCCGCTGCTTGACCGCCTTTTCGAGCCGCGAGACATCCCTGACGAGATAGACATGTTCGACCCCTCCACCGGGAGCAGTAGCAAAGACCTGTTTGAGAGATTCGACGGTCCGCAAGTCTTCGGGGAGGTTCTGCAAGAGGACGACGCGGGAGGAGTAACGGGAGGCGGACCGGAAGAGAAACTCTTGCCGGAGTTTCAGAAACAGCATGAGCTCGGACCAGGACCAGACAAGGATTAGACCTAGGAGAGTGAGAAGGAAAGAAGAAAGGGGCATGATTGGTGGGAGGATGGATGGTGTGTGTGGGAAGATTAGATAGTTGGAATAACGCTAAACAAAAAACAATAACGCGTCGCATCGTTGATATTTCGAAAGTTACCAGAGACGAGAGCGACAGCCAGGACAGCAGCCCAGAGGCGCTCATCATCGATCACATTTCCGATCTGCAAAATTTCGACGCGTCTCATTGGGTGTGATCCAGCGCCCAAAAGGTCGCCACTGCCTTGAAGGTCTTCGCCTGTCTGGCGAATCATATATAGCGGCACCAGTGAAGAGATCGCCACAAGACCCAGGATCACAGAGACGGCGAACAGCATCTTCAGGAACCGGATCAGCAAGTAGTGGTCCAGCCCAATTTTGGCAATAATCTCCTGCCGCGCCAAAGTCGACGCCTTCTCTGAGGACGGTGACGATGCTGATGTTGAGGGGCCGTTGAGTGCAGGTCGCGAAGTCGTTGGTTGCTGTGTATGTTGTTGACTTGAAGTGGTAGAGTTGACAGACACGGTCGACCGAGCCTGTTGCTGAGGAGGCTTGAGCGTGGAGGATACGATTGCGCTAGATTCCTCATTGGTGGCCTCAACTTCCTCCTTTGTCTCCTTCATAGCTACTGTAGTGTTCGCAGAAGTGTTGTTGGGTTCGATGATGCTGACCGCGCTAGCCTTGCCAGCAACCAAGAGCCCCATGAGACGGTTCCAAATCCCAGGCACCTTGTTGCTGTTAAAAGGACGTGAAGAGTTGTTATTGCCAGACCCTTGCCCCTCTCCTTCTCCCATCTTTGAATCCTTTTCAGCCAGGGAGTGCAGCTGTGAGACTTGATCGGTACTACTATTCCCCTCTCCTGCTCTTCCTCCCGTCGTTGTAGTCGTTATCAATGGTAAAGTCCCACTCGCCTCCGTTTCTGCCCCTGCCTCCAACCTCCTTGCAATCCTCCTTTCCAAAAAGAACAACCCCGGAGCCCACCCCAAGAAACTTTCCGACAAGGCCTCAGCCCGATGTTCCTCCCTCACAAAGAACTGCCGGGATCCATAGATGGAACTCCGTCTTGTTCTTACCCAGGAGAACAAGGCTAAGCCGACGATCGTGCCCAAGAAGGTGAATACGATGGTGCTGTAGAGGATGGAGGATGTTGTCTGTTGGAAGTAGAGGTGTGGATGACTGGTATTGATCCCTTGTGAGTTGACAGATGGAGAAAGAGGGTGGACAATGATGGGAGGTTGGTCCTGTGGTGATAGTGGTGTGAAGGACATGATTGTAGTATTATGGCCGTGAATGGGTAGATATGTGATACGATAGATGGACAGTCGTCGAAGGTGAACGAGAATGGAGTGTGAAATGTGTTTTGAGTTGTTATGGTAGCGGTGTATAGGCGGGTCGAGCTGGGGAGAGAAGAACGACCGGTGTAGGATGCAATGTGGAGAGAAAAGATATGCTAATCGATGCCATCCATTATATAACAGTGGATGAAGATGTGGGCAATTGAAGGTGCCTCGGAGATGGGTAAAGAGCGAGAGAGTGCTGCAGATGCGGGGGAATGTGAAGGAAGAAGGAGGAGAACTAGGAGGGAGTGGAGTGTACCAACGAGTTGCGATATGGCGGAAATGTAGAAAGACAAACGAAGAAAAGAAAAGAAAAAGTGAAGGGAAGGAAGACGAGAAAGAGAAAAGAAAGAGAGACGAAGGAAAGACAAAAAATTGATTGACGGGCTAGAAAAAGGGACAATAAAGAAAAAGAGGGTGCCGGTTGGAAGGACGACCATGCAATGGCCCACACGTTACAGCATCCCTTTCTGGCTTGCACTCCCGTATCATCGGTTACCGTTTATCATCCATCGCTCCCTTTTTTTTTGTCTCCTTCCCCTCTCCCACACAAGCAAACACACAAGCAGGCACGTTGGGCGTTGACAGCCTCATTTCCTCTTATCCGGTACCATCGTGTGTCGAGAAGAAGCAAAAGAGATGGCCCATTAGCACTTCAATAGCCAATACTAACAAAGTCTCCCCATCATCCGCGCTTCTTATCTCTCTCTCTCTCTTTCTCTCTCGTGTACCATCTCTTCCTTTCACTCTTACTACTACTCACTTGCCCCCGTTCTGGACCTCTCTTCTTCGTCTTTCTCTCCATCGTCCTATTATTGCCCCCTTGCACACATGCATCACCCCCTTAGGCCCACCCATTGCTCAACCCCCTTTCGCTCTTTCAACGCCGTCTCCGTACCCATACCTCCCTTCCCCCCCTTCCTTACCAATTCTTCTTTTGTCCTTCACGAAATAAAAATAAGGGGGCATGGGAGATTGGCAGGAACGTTAGCACATTAAAAGTTAGCTAGAAATGTTGAGTGAAGTTTTTTTTTTTTTTTTTTGCTATCCCACAAATTGCATCAAAAGATGAGCGAGCAGGCGGGGCTGGCTCTCTCCTCCTCCCCTTTTCTCAAAAGCCCACTTTTGCGTAAAAGACTATTCTGGCGCCCACTCGGCACCGGCCATCTTTCTTCACTCTCCCGCTCTCCCGCTCTCCCGCTCTCTCTTTCGGTCGTCTTCTCGCCAAATGCCCAATGCCTCCGTGCATTTGTCCACGTGATACAGTCAAGTAAACGAAGGGACCTCCTGCTTTGCTCCTTGCCGAAGGAGAATATTTCGATGTACAACATTACACATCCTTCAAGAAAAACAAAAAAGTAAGCGAGGTCTATGGGATCAGGGGTGCGTGTATTATTAAAAAAAAAGAGTCGATTCTTTTCTTTCTCTTCTGCGTTATCTAACATAATCGCGCATAGTGTTGCGTGAATAAAAAGCGTCCATCCTCACAATTGGCGCAGCTTCTGGGCTGGCTTGTTGGTTAACTAACCCTGAGATAAGATTCGGAGCGTGCTCTCCGCCTGCTGCTTTTTAAACAGGTGGAGGCGTGTTGTAGATGAAGTTGATGATTTGTTGCTTTGCCTCCTGAGGATCCGACGAGATGCTGAAGAAGAAATGGGAAAAGTACAAATAAAATAATGTGTCAATACGACGATACGCCAACTATCTAGCTACAATCATTCAACACCTTCATAGAAAACAGTAAAGCAAGGTGGATGCTTACTTCTTGAGCTTGATGTCAAAGTTGCCCATGCCGTCAGACTCAAAGTACCGGGGAACATGATGCAGTCTGCACTCTTCGCGATCCTTGGTACTTGCACGCTGGGCGTCCTCGACTTTGCTCTTTTCTATAGTCGCAAGATCCTGGTTGTTCACCTTCAATGCTGCTGTCAGTTTGCTCCACAGACGACGCGACTCGTTGGGCTCCTGCAGGTCCTCTGATGCGATGATTTTTGGGTTGATCCTGGCCGTCTTTGCGTCAAAGAGTACTTCTTTCTTGGTGCCCTATTGATGTGAACGAACGAATTGTAAACAAATATCAGCTCCATGCTCCAAAGTATGCTGTCAATGCATTCAAAAATGGCGACCATGTGTGATGAGCTGATAATTACCCTCTTGAGGATGATTTCGTCCGACCACTTTCCGGAAATTTCATACAGGGTCTCATTTGTCGAGTCACGCTTAATCTTTCCTACCAATCCGTTATATGATCCCGAGAAGAAGCCCTAGGGAAAAGAAAACGCACATGGGGGTCAGAAAGTGGATAAAGTCACTGTGTTGTCTTTATCAACAGAGAAACGAGTGTGTACTGTGTTCAAGAGGTTATGTACCTTGACTTTGAAATCCAGATTGCAGACAAGATCCAGCTTGGCGCACTTGACGGTGGCAATATCTCCCAGCTCCATCAGCATCGTCCCGAACAGGATTCCTCGCGCATAGACGTTGGGCATGGTGATGATGTAGTCCTCGCCAGGTCGGTTCGTGAATGAGACTTTGATCTCTCCCTGCATTAATGTCGCAGCACTGTTGCCCAGGAACTTGGATTTTGGCAAGAGGTCGCCCAAGACGCTGATATTGTTTTCCGGACTTGCATAGTAGTACACTGAGATGGGAGGATGATGTGAGACTTGTTCTGCGATGTAAAATGCTTCTGTGCCGTCCTCAAACTTCCATTGCGCACGGAACTGCTCGCCCAGAATTGGGTTGTAAGGCTTCTTCACACCCTATTTGTTGCAAATTTATGAAGAAAGACGTCAGTTGATTGCGGTCAAATAATCATTACATAAGCTCTTTTTGTTTTTGTTCCCTCTCCACCCTGGTGCAGGTCGGTTCCTCTACCTTTGGCCTGATGTGCCATCCTGACAGAAAGTACCGAGTCACTGCCACAAACCTCTCAACGGGATCCTGGATTTGGTTTGCCCTAAAGAATGATATAACGGAGAACAAGATCAATGGTCAGAATGAAAGTTAAATGTGTGGTTCGAATCCACACTAGCCGATACGTAAAAGGACCATGCCAATGGATGTTGAGGAAATGACAATGCCAATGATTCGATGTGCATATCATTACCCAAAAAGGTACACCTCAGCAAATAAACAACAACGACGTCAACAGCAACAGCAACCGGTAGTGGTAATAATGTGAATCTGTGTTGGGGATATTCGCTATTCTGGACAATGGCATCTTGTGTTTTCCTTTTCTCTGCGATCCCGGGAGAGCCGATTTCCACGCCATCCCATTCGTGCTTCCCTCACATGTCCTTCTTTTTTGTATCCGAAGCCGAGAGAGTCCAAGCACCACTAAGATTACTTCCACACAGACAAAAAACACAATCTTAGATACGCACACAGACGGACACAAAAGCAACAAGCAGCACGACAAGAAAAAAGAGACAATCATGGATCAACGTGACAACACAGGGCGGGTGGATTCATGACTATCACCCTATCTCTCCCCCCTGTGCTCACTCTCCTTTTTGATGCTGCCTTCTGGTGACAAGGGAAAGTACACTCTACTTTAGACGAATGGAATTCATCCGAGCAACCATTCGCTACCATATCTTTTACCGCACATGCCTTCACAAACACATACCCTCATTATTCTCTTGGTCCAAACACAACGCCAAGCCCAATTGTTTTGTGGAAATGAGAGTTTTTCTGCTCCAATGGCAATAGCCACAACAACCATTCTTGCGCCCCCAATAATCCTAAACCCGAATCCTAATGGGCAAGAAAGAGCCGTCTTTTTCGCGCGCGTGCAACAACGGAACAAAAGCACAAGAAAAAACAAGCTCCTTCTCCACAAACAAGAACCCTCTCGATCTATCCTGACTGGGCACCTTGCTTTCCGTGCCATCCTGAAATTGTTGTTCTCCCCTGTTTCTCTGTATGCGTGTCCTGTCCTGTACCTGTCCTTTCAGTCTGATAAAGTCCTTGACACCTGAAACGGTTACTCCAACCAATGTAGTATCGATCGTGTGTCGCTTTACGAAAATCCACCACCAACAAACAAAACGCCTCTGTTCCTTCTCCCTTCCCCTTCATTCGTTTCTTTAATCTCCTTGCATTATTTATCTCCTTGAACTTTTTTACGGTACAGTGCAGTGAAAAAAAAAAAAAAAACGGGACGACGTTTTTTGTAGGTGCTTACTTGACGATCAGTTCTGGGTGGGACATGAAGTCTGTGATTCGCTCAAGCATGCTGCGGGGTTCGAGCACGAAAGTTGGAAGGGTGACGCGGTGGAGGTCGGTGCTCTTGCCGAGCTGGGCAATGATTCCCATGAGAATGTTCTTGCCACCTTCGTCTAGGATTTCAGTGTCCTCGCCGTTGACAGGAACATTAGGGTCGGCCATGGTGTGTTGTGTTTGTTGAGAGGGGGTTGTTGAATGAGAAGAAAGGAGGGAGGGGTGTTGGCTGTAAGACGAGAGAGGAGGAAGGAGGAAGTGAGGGCTAAAAAGGCGATAAAAAAGAAAAAGGAAAGAAAGGAAAGAAGAAGGAGAGGAGAGAAAGAGATAGGGAAGAAAACAAGGTTGCTTATGTTTAGAGTGAATGTGTGTCCAAGGCATGACATGTATTGTCACATACCGCAAGTCATACCTTACACGCCCTGAATACCCCCCCTTTTCTTGATCACACAGTGACACATCGTGCGTACACAGACACAGACACTAACACAAAATTAGTACCCAGAGAACAACAGATCTGGGGCTGCTGGTCTGGGTCCATTTCACCATAGCACACATGTACCTTTGCAACGAGTACACAGAAGCGCATAAAAAAAAACAAGGGTGTGCTTGAAGAACGATTCATGCACAACATGGCATAGACATGTTATTATCATGCTAGTAGGACAGTTTACTGAGTCCACGAAGGTCTTCTTCAAGGTACCCTTCAATGTCCTCAATACCAGCCGCGAGGGCAGAACTGGAGGTAAGAGACGGCAGGGACGACGACACCACTCCTGAATCCGAATCCGCTACCATCTCCTCCAAGATCTGTCCTGCTGTCCGTCGCGCCATTGTCATCGGAGGTCGATACGCTTCTAGATTAAACGATTCGACAGATTCGACAGAAGACGAAGCCTGCTCTTCGTCACCGCCACCTCCCCTTCCACCGCCACCATCGTCACGAATAGCGGTCTCTGTACTACGTGAAACAAGTAGTCGCGGCCGTGTTGTCGTCAAGGGTGATTCTATTGTCGGCGTTGCCACTGTCCTTTTCCTCTTGCCGCTGTAGCGAGCCCCTTCCGCTTCTTTTGCTTGCGACATAGGGCGCGGTGAAGAACGGTGATGGTCGCCTTGTAATCTCTTTTCCCGAATGGCGCTGAATTGCTGTGATGGTCTTGTATCCTCGGGCAGAGGAGCAGCAGAAGGAAAGGGACCTGAGGCCGGTATCCGATTCCTGGCCAACTGTTGTCGACCGAAAGGTGCTGTAGACGACGTGCGGCTTGTGGTAGGGGCTCTCCCTGAACCCTCTGCTTTCGTACCGGTCCTGTTGGGTGGCACGAACCAGCTCTTGGTTGCTCCTGTTGGAGGATCCTCTGCTGGGTTGTCTGGCCACGGTGACACAAGTAACCGGCCTTGGATGATGGTCGATATCATTGTGATGAAGCCGCCGTGTCTGGGTCGTCGGGGTTTCCTGCTGAATGTGATAGATACGCGGGTTGATGTTGGTAGCGGTGGAGGCGATATTTCAGCTCGTTCTCGTCCTAGTTTCTTTGACAGCTTTGTGGCCCTGTGTGGTTTCGGGATAGTTGGCGTTGATAGGTGAGAGTTGTCCCGCGTTGATTCCTCTCCTCTAGTTGAATGACGAGTGACGATTGCGCCGGATTCCATGAATGTGTCCTGAAGTTGATGATCGTGAGAGGAGTTTCGGTTGTGAACAGGAACAAAGTTGCGATTAGAGAAGAGAGAGAGTAAAGCAACAAAGAGTCGAGTGATGGATGAGCTAGAAAAGAGTGTGAGAAAATGAGGAGCAAGGTTGGGCAAAGTCCGGCCGTTCTTTTTTCCCTTGATATGGAAGTCGTTTGCCACCAATTGTAAATTAGTGAATAGCGTTCTCTAATTGAACGCACAATAGACATGGTTTTTTTATGCAACCATGACCCCTTCTTTTCGCTTCATTCTTACTTCACTTCCACACCACTAAAACGCGAGATACTAACCATCACGGAGTAACACTGGACTGGGTCACAAAGAGGGGAATCGCCACCAGGCCGCATAAGAATGAAATCGCACCGTTGAACGGCATCCGCACAAGGGGCTCATTGAAAACCTCCAGTCGGTTTCATAAGGACAAAAGGGACCATTCTTGAACATGGTACGTTTGGAGTGTTACTTGTGCATATTGGGTTATTTCCATTGTAACTTCCACAGCACAGAGAGATGGCCTGTGATCAATGCTTCTACAAACAAAAAAAAATAGATACTTGAGCAGTTAGATGGGCGTCAGCCTGATAGTCAAATGGTGGTGCCATATTAGAGCCGCATTCCGCCTTAAATTCATGTCAAGACCAGGACGCGACAACCAAGGTTGGAAATTCGGTCTGCGAAAAAGCGACGTCGGCACCAAGAATTTGGTCCGCAATCAAGCCGAGCTCGCTGCATCTCACCGAGGTCCTCAATGGGGTGTAAGTAATTTGTTTTTTATTGAGCTTTTTGATAGCGACATGAGATGGGAGAGAAGTACTCTCTAACACACGCATGGGAGGATGTACTCAAGGACTAAATCGTTGCTTCGTATTCCCAATGAGCGACATATATTATCGGACACGGTCGTCCCTGCGCTAGAGGGAGGAAAAAACCTCATTTTCATCCCTCAAAGTGATCGTCATGTTCCTGGTACGCTTGCACGCGGAATCGTTGTCAGCGAAAGTGGGTATCAATTGCTATCGGTGGAGGCTGCACACATCGATTTCAGGTGCATCAACCTTCCATCGCCAATTATCGGACGTCTTCAAACATGGCCACGTTTGGATGCCAAGTCTACGGTGTATCGCCTTGGAGAGCCTCGGATGCCATTATCCCCTCGCCGAGGGGGGGGGGGGGGGGGGGGTTGCCTCGCGTCCCTGGTGGTGTTGATTTCTATCGTTAAATCCAATAATATTACATATATAGCCACCTTGAACTCAATCTCTGATAGCATCGAAAGGGCGCTCCTCATCATAACCGCCAGAAAACGAAAACGAAAACGAAAATGACAAAGAAAATGAAATCAAAAAGAAAAGAGTAATCGAGAAGTAAGGTATTTATTTGAAAGGCAGATCGCTAACAAATACGAACTTAAGCAAGGGTTCCAAAGCCAACACGGTTGTTGTCAAAGTCAAAGATCTGCAAATGGAAAGTGAAAAAGAAAAGCGGAAAGAATGATTAGCAATGGGCTCAACAGCCAAAACTAAAAGATAGCGAGCAAAGAAAAGTAATAGTCAAAGTTGTGCTTACCGAATAGACGCTTCTCAAGAAGACGTCGCCAAGGATCCAGGTAGTGCCATCGACCTCCTCGCCAGCAAAGCCACTCATGCATCGACCGGGAGCAATCTCTTGCAGGGTGTAGAGCGAAGGGGGGACCTCAAACATCTTGCCTCCCACTTGAACACGGAAAGTGGGCATGTTCTTGCCGTTGCAGGGGAGCGAGTAGATACCATCGTGGATGTGGCGAGCTCCGGGCAAGAGCTGAGCATGCAAGTGGCGGGCAAGGTCGACGGGCATGATGATCTGGGTGGTACCAGTGTCGATAAGGGCGTGGACGGGGGTATTGAGGAAATCGGTCTTGCCGGTCTTGACCTTGTCCATTTTGATCTCCCAATAACCCTTCTTCACAACATTGGACCACAGGATGTCATCGCCGTCTTGGATCTTTTCGCTGTCGTAGCCGCCGATCGAGAGCTCGCCAAAACCCTTGCCCATGAAGAAACCAAACATGCCGTGCTTGACTGTCTTTTGATCCATCATCGCCAGAAAGGGGGGTAAGTCACCAGAGCTGCTCATCTCCTGATAGGCCAGGCCAAAGACGCCATCAAAAACCGCACGACCAAAGAGGGAACTCGAGGTCAGACTCTCGGCAAAACGGATAGGCTTCTTGCTGGAGAGCTCGCCAAGGGTGATGATGTCCTCTGAGACCACACCGGCGACTTCACCGGTTCCGTACTCGATCTCAAAGGGCATCTCGGTGTTCTTGTAGGTCTCAGAGTGCACACCGTCGAAACGCTGGTGAGAGATGCAACCGTCCTCGATGCACCTGGAGGAAGGGATCCAGAGATCACTCGAGCCGGTGTCAAAGACAACATCAAAGGTCTGCTTAGGGTTGCCGATCTGGACCTGACCGTAGTAGCCACTGACTTGACCAATGGACTTAAGGGGGATACGAGTCTGAGGTTCGAAGTCGTTGTGCCTGTCCTTCTTGTCCGTAACGCTCTCCTTGGAGATCTTGTTCTTCTTGTCGTTGTTATGCTTCTTGTCGTTGTTGTGCTTCTTGCCGTTGTTGTGCTTCTTGTCGTTGCTGTGCTTGTGGTTGGTGTCGTTCTTCTTGGCCTTCTTGTTCTCGAGTCCTTCCACGTTCTCGTCACCGCGCTCCGGGTAGATGTTGGATCGCTCGAGGTGGGTGACTCCCTGATCCTTATGGAGCATAGCATGCTTGCCTCCGTAGTGAGCAGTGGACTTCTTGGTCTTGGATACAGAGGCAGACGAGATCACGATCGAGTCCAGTTCCTCCTCGCCACGCTCGGGATAGATGTTGGATCGCTCATGGAGAGAGTGCTTGTGGTCCGAGCTCTTTTTGTTGCCGGCCTTGCTGGTCTTTTTGCCGTGATGAGCTGACATCATTTCGCCATCACCGCGCTCAGGGTAGATGTTGGACCGTTCCTCCAGGGCGTACTTATGCTGAGACGTATTCTTGCCGTTGGCCTTGCTGGTCTTCTTGTCATGATGAACCAAGGTCGACTCGCCATCACCACGCTCAGGGTAGATGTTAGACCGTTCCTCAAAGGCGTGCTTATGTTGAGACGTCTCCTTGTCGTTGGGTTTGCTGGTTTTCTTGTCGTGATGAACCAAGGTCGACTCGCCATCACCACGCTCAGGGTAGATGTTGGACCGTTCCTCCAGGGCGTACTTATGCTGAGACGTCTCCTTGTCGTTGGGTTTGCTGGTTTTCTTGTCGTGATGAACCAAGGTCGACTCGCCATCACCGCGCTCAGGGTAGATGTTAGACCGTTCCTCCAGGGCGTACTTATGCTGAGACGTCTCCTTGTCGTTGGTTTTGCTGGTCTTCTTGTCGTGATGAACCAAGGTCGACTCGCCATCACCACGCTCAGGGTAGATGTTGGACCGTTCCTCTAGGGCATTCTTATGTTGAGACGTCTTCTTGCCGTTGGTTTTACTGGTCTTCTTGTCGTGATGAACCAAGGTCGACTCACCCTCGCCACGTTCAGGATAGATGTTGGACCTCTTCAAAAAATCTATCGCGCGCTCTTTAAGACTCTTTTCCTTGTGCGACGAAGAAGACTTCTTGTTTGATCCCTTGCTCTGGACCTTCTTGCTACCCATCAAAGCCGAGTCGATGTCACCACGCTCAGGGTAGATGTTGGAGCGCTTCAAGATTTTGACAGTGCGTTCGCGGACCTTGGAATCCTCCACATCGATTGAGCCATCATCCTCTGTCAGAACCGAATTTTCGACATCCCGTGGTCGAGTCGAGTAGCGTTTCTTGGAGATGGCGATCCTGGAGAGAGCATCGATCAAGTTCTGATCCTGGCAGGCGAGGTTGCATTCGGGGTTGTCGAGGAGTGTAACGTCGTTGGCGATCAAGAGTGAGCCGGTGGTATCTGGGGTAAGCTCGTCCTCTGCCAAATCGGTTGTTTGTTGATCAGGAGAGGTCTCAGTGATTTGGACAGGGGCGGCGATTTGAGGTGGAGGTTCGAAGCGGTTGTGATGTCCAGATTGGAATGTGGGGATGCCAGTGGCTGCAAAAGAGCGGCCGGGCTGAACAGAGTTCTTGGAAGCGGGTGAGGGAAGGGTGGCCCAAAAGATAAACATGGTGATGCCACCGACAGCAAAGACGATGGTGAGTGCACGGGCCAAGTTGACAACTGTCTCTGTGCGTCGAGGACGTGACAGGGAGGCAGGGGTAGGGGATTTGACGCATGGCGAGCGGAGGCCTGCGAGGGCGAGGTTGGGCGAGAGGGTGACGGTAAGTGGAATGAGTTTCATGTTGTGAGCTGAGAAGGAAAGGGTATGTGTGTATGGGTATGTGTGTATTGGTATGAGTGAAATGTAAGAGTTGTGGTCTTGGTATTTGGTATTGGTATAGGGTCTGCGTATAAGTTGACGAAGGGAAACTTCGTTGAGAGAGAGAAAGGGGTAAAGAGGAAGGGAATATTTGGATGATGAATGAAAGACAAAGAAAAAAAAGGTGGGCACCAGGGCCCATTAAAATAGTAAAGACAAACTGGGGGCGAGCAATGACGAGTAGCAACAAAGGGCCCCGAGAGAGGGCATGGGAGAGACGAGAGGGAGAGGGATTGATGGGGCAGACAATGTTCTGATTTGGCCGTAAACTTTGAAATCTTCCTTGGCCCGGTCGAGGGAACAGAGAGAGAGAGGAAGAGGCGTATGTTAGGGCGATCGTTTGTCTTCCTTTGTTTAACGGTCGGCTGATGGGACGGTCGAGGGATGGATTGGTTGCTAAATGGGCATCGAACGATCGTCGTTCATTGTTCTGTTTATTTCTTATTCGATCTCATCCTGACGTTGCATGCTCATCCTAACTACTAACAATGTAATTATTTTTCGATGGCAGCCGTCGAGAAGGCAGCAGGGATAGTTGGTGTCATTACTCCAGACTCGATTAGAATCAATCACTCTCCCCCGCTAAGTTGGCAATTGAATCGCTAGGGGCGAACGGTGTCGTTGTTGACGGCGTGTAAATGATGAACGCGTCCTTTGCAAGGAGAAGTAGTGAAGCGCGCACAAGCAAGCGAGATGTTCAGGTACAACTTGAAACAGATCGTGTTTTCATTACAGCAGGCATAAACCTTCCGTATTGCATAGCTCCGTCGATGGCGTCGGGGCCACTACCAAGCAGTCCTGTGGCGAGGCATAGGAAGCGAATAGAAAGCGCTTCCTCAGCATCCTTTGCGTCTTCCCTACCAGGGCCAGGATCTCTACTCCAAAGGTTAAGCGCGTCACTGACAAGATATGATTGCCGGGAATCCGTACAAGTGTCTCCAGCTAGTTTGGAGACCGGCGGCCTGGACGAATCTTGTACTCAAGGTGAATACCAAGACTGAACAACCTTCTGTATCCCTTGTTCTCGTCAAGTTAAAAAACGACTTTCACAAACCAAAAACGCGTCTGCCTTTTAGCCTTTGATCATTTCTTTATTCTGGTGTCAGACACAGTCACACCACTTCGTCCAATTCGGCTGACTGTCCATCCCCGCATTGCAGCTTGCCACCCTTTGCCACTTCTTTATTTCGTTTTTTCTTGACCTGCCTGACCTCGTTGTCCTTTTTCATTTTGTTCTCTTTTTTTCCGCTTCTAAGCTCTGCCCCGCTGATCCATTCCTTCCCTGCTTGTCCTCTCATTCATTTTTGACAAGTCATCAGCCCTCATCGCCCCTTGCCCTGGAAGTCAGCCACCTCTCCTTCACGCCCCTCTCTCACTCCCTCCACCATGGACCCATCCGCCGCAACCCCACAGCAGTCTGCAGCTGGAACAACACCCGCCTCGGGTGCCACTACTCCGGCCGCAACTACTCCCACCGCAACCACGACCAATAACACCACAGCACCAGCACTCGCTGCCGAGCCTGTCCCCATGGAGGATGTTGTCTCGACCAATGCCGTGACAGCAGAGGCAATCGCACGTCAAAACCAAACAGTGGTATGTGTCTGCTTATTAATAACCTCGACATGATAAGCGTAAACATGGAAAAATAAGGCATAGAGGAGCGCGGACCTTATTCTCACGACATCCTCTATTACCACTGTCAACATTTTGTAGGTCGAGGAGTTTCAATACCTGCTGGAAAAGAGCCAACAATTCTTTGCTGGCTTGAGGTAATTTTTGTTTACGAAGGCCAAGTAGCAGCCTTGGGCTCAACAATACTCCTGAGGAAGGTGATCAAGGGGGGAAAGAGCTTCCGCTTTGATTATTTTTTCAATCGGTATTGATGATGGTCCCTGTTATTTCTATCCATCGATAGAGAACTACCTCCAACTGGCGCAAAGCAGTGGCAGCCCTACTTTCAAAAGACGTTCGAGATCTTTTCCAAGGTAAACAAAAGAAGGAAATAAAAAAAGCCTCCCCACGGACGCTGGCCTAGTTCGTTCGGCTAAGATTCATGCAAATGGACAGTTTACCCGCCGACATATTCCTCTGACCGCGTTCTGTTTTATCTCCTTCAATATCCTCCTTCTAGCTATGGAAATTTCAACAACAGCACCGGTAAGGTCCATATTCCCACAGAGCGTGAAAGGGGGAGGGTAAAAAGGGCCTGGCGAATTAGCCACCTCGACCGCAATCCTGTGTTTTGAACTATTTCTTTATCTGCGGCTAAACTGTAAAGCTATCTCATTGTATCAACCCATAGGTTTGTGTTGGAGAACAGCTACGGATTGAAAAGATGGGAGGTCGGTGAGATCGCCTCCAAGATTGGACAGCTCTACTACCACTACTAGTAAGACTCAAGGAGTTTTCTAGGACAAACTACTACGTGGATGTTTGCAATGATCCCTCACCGGATACAGAACGGATGTGGCATTGACCCTCCGCATCGCCTTGTTTCTCCATCATAGTTTGCGAACGAGCGAGACAAACTACCTGCAGGAATCCTATGTCTTTTATGATGCCATCCGTGAGAGACGCTACTTCCACGAAATTTCCGAGATGAAAAAGTAAGGCTCTGTCGGCGTTGACTTGCGATCCACAACCTTCTTTCGTGCTATCCTCTACAGATGATTAACAAATTTCCTTATTGTTTGAATGTGTTAATAGTTCTGCCCTCATGATCAAGAAGCTTCGCTACTACGCCCGTTTCACAGTTGTTTGTCTTCTCCTCAACAACCGTGAGATCATCACAACGCTGAAGGAGGAGCTCGCATCACTGGTCAAGGAATACATCGACATCTACCGACCACCAGACGCAGCAGAATGGCAACTCGTACTTCAGGAAGTCTCGACTTTTACCAATGTAAGTTTACGTTTACATCATGAGTTCAGCCACGCTCTATGGAACTTAGACTGTCGCTGATAGCACTCAGTTATTTACCCACATATTTAGGCGGAGAAGAAACTGCACCCCACCAACTCATCAGGAAACTGCTTGCCACTGACAAGGCGCCTTCAGACAAGCAAAGTCATCTCTACTGCCCTGGACAAGGATGGCCCCACATCGACCAAGCTCAAGCTGCAGGAGGCAATTCTTGTTGGCAACGCTCACAACCAGATCAAGTTTTCAGAGCTGACGATCGACATGTACCGCATTCTCCAATCTCTTGGTAAGCGTCACGCTCATACATGGTTTCTATATTTTGTAAGCACCCAAAACGCCTCTAATACTGTAATTAATTGATAATGTCTTAGAGCGCGAGACTTCTTTGATCAAGGGAGCAACAGATGGAGCAGCCAAGGAAGCCGTGCCAAGTGCAGTAGCAGTTGCTGCCAGTGGAGTGAATGCGGCAGACAGCAGTGTCAGCGCCACTATCAAAGAAGAGCCAGCAGAGGAGACTATCGGCACCCAGCGCAGGACTACAGAGAAATCGCCAAAACGGTCAAATCCGCACAAGTATCTCCTCTACCGACCAACTCTCAGCCAACTCATGGTCTACCTCGCCACCGCATTCAAGGTACATCATGGTTCTCTCGTTATTTGCTAGAATGGACGAACTGCTGTAGGCAGGTTGGTTGATCCATGGGATGCTAACTCGTCTTCATTGCATTTATAGGAGGTTTCGAGTGACTCGGCTATGTTGATTTACCTTTCTGCGGATGGTTCTAAGCGGTCAAACCCTGATACTTCAGGCGCCAAAGGTAAATTGTCGCGTCCGATACTATCTTTTCTAATTTCTTTATTCTATGCGCTGTGCTCTCGGTATTAACCAACAATGCATGTTGACTTTCTTCAGGATATCACGGGGGTATTCTGACCAACGCTCGTAAGGTTTTGGAAGGCTCGGACGCAGAGCAGCAGAGCATCAGCCACTGTCTTCACCCAGGAGATCTGGTCCCGTTCACAAGAAAACCCATGTTCCTGATTGTCGATAGCAGCAACAGCGTGGCGTTCGCTGTAAGTTATTTCACGGAACGTGTTGCTCATGTTTTTGCGGTCTTAATGGGCCTAGATCCATATTAACACGTTTCTCATTTCTTGCTAATAGGATATGCCACGTGTGTTTAATCACCCTTTCATGAGCCTTTTGTCACCCACAGAGTACCCTGATTCTATTCCAGGTATGGTTGCCATTACAATATAACCGGTTGGTATGCACTCGAAACTTAGCTCGGCCTTTAACTTTCAATTACTGTTCTTGATAAATAGACACATCTCAAATTGGAGGACTCTTTACCTTGTTCTTGCACGCTCCTCTGCTTGCCTTCAGTTTCATTTGCGGGATCGCTCAAATCAGTCCAGACACATGGGAACAGTGCACTGGCTTGATCACACAGGCAGAAGGAAAGATCGCCGAACTTATGGCTGCCGCACCATTGGGTAGGAGGACTGGACTTTTTTGTACAGGTGTTTTTCTTCCAAACAATGAGATGAATACTCATCTTACGTTCTTTTTGCGCGTTTATATCATAGAAAAACCATTGCGACGATTCCTGCAGGATGAATTCTTGCGCCAGTTCATGATCCGCTTCGCGTTGTGCCACACCATCCTCAACGCGCATATCGCATTTACGGAACCCAAGGTAACGCTTTGATATACAGAGCCTGGGATTACTTCTTGTTGTTCGACAGAACGGTATTCCTAACAGGTTTCTGCCTTTTTTCATGCCTTTTAGCATTTGCCCACGTCCTACCCACCGCTGCCTGCCTCGGTGCTCGAGTCGCCTGAAGTCCTGTCCAAGATCAGGTCGCTTGCAGTACTTGCAAACGCGTCCTGCTTCTCATTCGAGGAGCCTGTCCGAACTGAGACGCCTGTTGAGTAACTGTGTATTCCACGTTCGTGCATTTTTTTGACTCATCATGTTGTTGTACGTCCACGTTGGCAACACCAATAAATTATCTGTCAAAAACGAAAGGGGCGTTTTATTTCTTCGACTCAGCTGATGGTGCGTTCTCGTGCTCAGCGCTGTTAACAGTGTTTTCGTCTCCTGGAGGCTTCGGGCAGTGCATGTCCAAGTATTCATCGGGTTGGCGAGTTCGACCCAAGGGGTTTGGTAATGCGTGTTTCCACCAGTTCCACTTGAGGGGCGGCTGGTTGTTCTTCCAACGAATCTTGACAGCCGACTTCTTCGCGACCTCAGAATCCTGTGTAGTTGATGGTGATGGCTGCAGTGAAGAGGTGGCTGTTGCCGTCGTTGCTGCCACTTGACCAAAGGGTCTCGCAGGTGTCGCATATCGACCTTTGTCCCGCGAGGCAGTGTCGGCATAGAGGTTGGGATCCATGAGGGTTTTGATCAACATCTTTTCCAGATCCATTTGCGACGTAGTGACACACTGTTGTTTTGCAAAGAACATGAACTCGTAGCCGGGGCGGGCGTACTCCCGAAAGACAGCCTCGACAGCCGCAGACAATTTCTTGCGGCAGAGGTTTCTGTGGATTGCCAGCTTGGAAACGACCTTCTTGGAGATCACGTAGACGACGCGGTAGGGCGGGTGTGGGGCGTCGATGGTTGCGGGGTAGTGGCGGAGGTTGCGGAGGCTGTATTGGCGGATGAAGGGTGAAGGTTTTGGTATTGGCAGTGGGGCCTCCGTAACTGTTGATGGGGTGATGGAGTCCGTGGTGGCGTCCTTTCCTGTTGACTTTTCTGTAGTCTTGTTCAGTTTGTGTTGGTTTAGTCGGTATGCTGCCATGGCCTGGTTGTACTCTTCCATAGCCTTTTCCACAAACTTGGGGACGTTTGCTATTGTCATTTGGTATAATGCAAGAAAAGCAGTTGAAGTCAAGTCAGTTGTGTGCGGACTAAATTACGATCGATGCTATGCAGGACGTTTCAATGACTTGTGAGCCAGCGGGACACTTACGAACTGGGGGTTCGAAAAACGTCATTCGTGCCGACTTGAGACTGAAAGCATCGGTTTGGACTGTTCGCGTTCCAGAGCGCTTTGTGAACAGCCGTTGCACACCCTCTTTGTCCGCTGATTCAATCTATTTTGATAAATAAACGTCAATAGGGGGGCTTCATGGATGCATATCGGTGTCGCACTGAATGCTAAAAAAGCAAGCGTCGGTCGGCTTACCCTTTCCGTGTCGGGTACGGTCCGAAAATTCGTGGGATAGAGGTGCTCAGCCGCCGGACTTGCTGAATTAGAACGTCTCGGCTCTTGCTTTCCAGATGTGTCGTCGCTGCTTCGCCGGGTCGTACTTCCAGGTCCTGCTGTGTGTGGTGAGGTTGAGGCCATCATGAAGTCTGCCCTCAGGATCCTGTCGGCGTGCTTCTCGGCGTTCTTGTATCCAGGCCTGTACAGCCGTTCTGTGGTAGCAGCAGTATGCTCCCGGGTTCTGTTGGCATGTGGCGGCGGCGCAACGGGGACTGATCGTGATGGTTCCCGGCTTGTTGTCTCTATCTGAGACTCTGGTAACGGTTCCTTGATACATTGATCCGCCACCATTTTTTGTTGGCTGCGGTTAACCTTTGGAGGGGTCGGAGGTGAACGCGCAGAGTCTTTTGTCGTGTCAGGTTGTTTTGGTTTTGTGGGCGAGTTGTGGGTGCGATGCTTGTTCTGAGGTGAGGGTTCACTCGTCTTATGCTGCCTGCTTGGTATGTGTTGCATCACATTGGTTCGTCCTGTCCTCGACAAGTTGTCACCGTTGCTGTGTCCGTTGTTCTTGGCATTGTCCCGCTCTGAGGCCGACGCGTGTTTGCGGGTGGAGTATGCTGCTTGTCGAATGAAAGTCGCAGGTGTGGTTGTTGTTGGGAGAAGTACATGGTGCAGGTTGAGAAGAGACCAGTGAGTGGATGCAGCGAGTCTTGTTGTTGCTCTGGTCATTGTTTAGAGATCAAGTACGAAGACAAGGGGAAGAGAGGAGAGTGGGAGTGACAATTTCCAAATCGGGACTGTTCGGTCGCATCCGACACGCGGAAAGAAAAACGACTGGGTTTCTGTTGTTGGTGAAGAGTAAGAAAGAGAGGTGGAAGACCATGTCGACAAACTCTTTTTTCTTTTCCTTCTCTGATCATCATCCTTCTTCTTCCTCACAAGGACAAGAAACCAAAAAAAAACAATAGAACAGATCAGGATCCGGCAATGTCACACTACAGCTACCCGCCCCCAGGAGGAGCACCCAACGCCAACAGCCCCAACCCTCTCCGCCCTTACTACTCGGCCTCGGACTCGCCCCTCCAGTCCTACTACAACAACACCCTCTCGTCCGCCACCCTCGAGGAAGAGCTCGCCGCCCAGAACGAACTCAACTCCCAGGCGGCTGCAAAGGAACTTGCCAGTTATGGTCTTATTAAGTTTATGACCCTAGCGATTGCTGCACCCTTTGAGGCTGGACAGACGCTGTTGCAGGTTCAGTACTTGCCTAATGACGATGGATTCAATGGAGACGACTTTGACATCGCCGAAAAGGTGAGCAGGCTAACCACGCAGTATTCGGAAGGAAGGAGAGAGGGGAGAGGGGTCATTGAAAGAAAGGCGTTGTCTTGACTATCTTGATCCAACGAGCATCCTACTAACACCTGCCCACTTTTTTTTTTTTGTTGTTGTTCAGCACCGACGCGAGCAGGATCACCAGAGGTCACTTGAGGCAGAAGCAGAGGCAGAAAGAACCCGCTACTACAATGAGCGAGCAGGCGCAGCGAATGCAGGAGGATACTACACCGGCAATGGCGGCCAATACAACGAATACAGCCGCGTCGAGCGCACCGATGTCCGTAGCCGATTTGAACAGGACCATCATCGCAGTTATGACTCTCAGGCGCCCATCAGTTCAGCGAGCAACCCCGAGTCAGGAGAGCTTTACCGACCTAGTGTTTACGATGAGGCGTCCAGGCCGGATTACCAGATGTCACCTATTGAAGGAGGGGTGTGGAAGGCGATGACGGATCTTGCCAATCACCCTACCGAAGGCTGGATGTCACTGTGGAAAGGTAATAGAGTGAGAATCTATCTTGCGATGCGTGTCCCGATTTGGTGATTCCTGACAGTAGGCCAATGCGACAGTGATCAAACACAAGAGACTGGTTGATCTTTCTAAACCACGTTGTTTGTCTGTGTGTGTGCATGCGTGCTTAGGTCAATATACCAACTGGATCTACGAAATGATGCACTTGTTTGCTCAGCCGACGCTGGAGGCGACCTTGAACGACACCTTCGACCTCTATGACGATACCATCCCCCTGGTACATCTGGACCGTGTCGGACCCAACATTGCCACCATGGTCACCAGTCATCTCGTCGTCGGCTTTCTCCTCTCGCCCCTCGAGCTCGTCCGCACAAGGTAAAAAAACAATCTCCAAGGCATGCATATTGGATGGCTATGACCCGCCTGGATCTGATGCTGATCTTATTTTCAATTGCTCCAACCAATTCATGTAGACTTGTGGTGCAGACTGCCAACCCCTTGCAGCGCAAGTACAGTGGCATGATCAACTGCTTCTCAACCATCATCCAGGAAGAGGGCTTCACAGCGCTTTGGGGCGGCATCAACCTCTTCCCTACCATTATTTACCACACCTTGACACCTCTCCTGTCAAACTCGATCCCCTTGATCATCGACCGGGTCTTCAAACTCTCAGCCGCAGACTCGCCATTTTTGTACTCCCTGGCAGAGTTAGGCCTCAACACGATCGAATTGCTGATCCGCTTGCCCATCGAAACCGTCAGGAAGCGTCTTCAGATCCAGGTCAAGACCGACCATGGTGACCGTCGTCTTGGATCCAAAAAGTACAGGACTGTGGTCGAGACTCGCAGGAGGCCCTACTATGGCATGGTCGACTGTGTCTACAGGATCATCAAGGAGGAGGGTGGGCATCATAAGCGAGTCTCTAGCAGTGGCAGCAAGGGTGGCATCGCTCAGCGTCCTTGGTACTCTGCTTGGGGTGTCCGTGGATTGTACACGGGGTTGGGTATGCATTTGACGAGCAATGTTACACTTTTTGCGGTTGGTGCTGTAACCAACTTGCAGGACGAGGGCGATGACTGGTAGAAGATGATATATTATTTTAAAAACAAAGCAGCTGCAATGGCTGACGATAGCAACATACACAATGAAAATAGAGACGTTTTAATTGATTGAGAGTTATTTCGTATGCTATGCACGCTTTCTTTGAAAAAAGCAGTCTTAGTAAAGGGTGGCTGGCTGGCACAGAAGCACGCTTGAAGAGGGGCCATCAACACTTTCGACTCCCTCTTCTCACTTCTCGGGATCACCGCACCAACTGACAAACCGCGACAGGAAGAGTCTAGTCGAGTTCCTCTGCTGAAATAGTCTACCAGGGAGCAGGACTCATCAAGCACATACATACACAAGAGGAGATGCAGGCATTCACAGCCCAGTTGGACGCGGTTCTTAATGAAATCGACGTCAAGGTACACTCACAGGAACAAAAGGCAATTACTACACAGTCAATTAGTTGTCAACCTTTGATGTCTCTAACAGCGCGTCGACCACTTTCATGTTGCTTTACAATAGGCACCAGTGGTTACAGGAGACAAGGACAATTTTTTCTGGCAAGTAGCGATAGGACGTCCTCAGAAAAAATGGCGACGACATGGAACGACATCAGCTCTCATCAAAAACTAACCCCTTTGGCGCTGCCACACTTGGACGCTTGGAACATAATAGCATCTTTCAGGCACCTGCACCCAAGAAGAGAAGACTGAACCCGACGACAACATGGGCAAAGTACCTTGCAGGTTCAGAAAACTCAAAGTGCTTATCAGCCTTGGCGGCAGAGTTCCTTAAAGTGTGCAAGTCCATGGACAGTGTGGTACGTTAATACGTCCATCGGCAAACAAACCGTAAACCATCCCATTTGGTGGCAATGTAACCGCAACCACAGCTGGCTAATTGTTATCGATGCTCCTGGTTAAACTAGAACGAACCACTGGCAACGCTTTTTCAGATCTACCATAACTCTTTGCAGTCGCCACCGAGGTCCGCTCTGCTTCTCGCCCTCCTGTACAACATCTTTCACCCAAGCTCGACACTCCCACTCTACGATCGCATCAAATCACCAATCTCTCTCAGCAAATCGTTCATCCAACTGACACAGTATCTGGATGTCTCCAACCAGTTTCAGTGGACAGGAACTATGGCGCTCATTCTGCGATGCCTACAGCAACCCGACTGTGAGACAATCCCCTCGGAGACCTCCGTCGCCATCATGATGTCGATCCTCAAGAAGATCAACGTCTTGCCACTGAACTGTAACCACGACCAGAAAGAGTGTGCGTCAAAGGGTCTTGAGGTCATTCAGGCATTCCTGGAGATCCCAAGTGCAGCCAAGACTGCGCACGCAACATATTACGACTTGCTCCGCGAGGTATGGGATTTGTGTTTTTGCAGAACTTCAATGGGTATTATCAAATAGGCACTCACTTACATATGTCTCTGCTTGCAACCATTAGATCTCTCAAGTGTTTCCACCGGGGGTGGTCATTCACTGGACTTTGGAGCGGCTCATGGATCACCTTCAGGAGCGGCGGCAGAATCTGGCGTTTTTAGTCATGCCTCCAGATGCCTCATGGCCCCTCATCTCGCAGATCAACCGCCAGCACGAGTTCACCAACCTCACTCAACGCCCCAGCCACCTTCTCTTTGCTCCAGACTATGTAAGTTGTTGAAAAGCTCTGGGTTGCATCTAGAAATGTATAACACTGTGTGGCACAGTTCTTAACAGCGGAATTTATGTCTTACAACCATTCAGGAAAAGGGCATCAAGGACGGGCAGATGACGACCTATGTCAGTCTGTTTGGCGATCTGCTGTACCAAAGGGCGCCATCGGACGAAATTTTCTTCATGATCCGCCAACTCCCTCATAACGCAAAAGGAGTCTCAGCATTGCGGGAATCTCTTGTCATCAAAACCCGCGACGTTGTCCGCTGCTGTCAACGCCACAGCCGATTCCACGAGCCTCGGCAAACGGACATGCACCCACCCGTCACCGCCAACCCGGACATGGTCATTCCTGACAATATCGATTTCATGGAGCTGTTGATCGAGTTGTCGGATCAGCTGTATGCCTTTGTCGGATCAGAGCTCTCTCAAATCTCCAACATCTACCCTACTGGATACTCAGTCCTTTACGAGGACTTGATTGTCGACTATCATGCGTTGATTACCCCAAGTGACAAGGGACCTGCAGAGCTCGAGAGGGACAACACGCTCATCTATCTTTTGCTCCAGCTCATCCACATTGAGAAAGTTGGTGGCAAAGACAAGCTTCTGGCGCAGGACTATGCTGGCGACGAACACCTCTTCCGACTTCTGATCGCCCTGTACAACGAGGACCAGGTGAATTCCAAGGACGGCTTCTATCTCCGCGACCTCGCTCTCCAGTGCGCCATCAGTCATCAACAAATCTACATCCGAGATCGATCTATGATGAAGTTGCGCCATCCCAAGCTCGCCGTCATCTGGCCCTACTACTCGCAGATTTGTTACAATGTCCAGTCGTACTTTTTGACAAAGTACAAGAACAACCTCCAGGACCTCACCTGCCTCACGAACCTTCCAACTCAGGAGAACGTCAAGGTCGCCATGGAGTCTCAGATTCGCCAACACATTGTCGCAGGAACTCTTTTCATCTACTTGGTGCCCAACTACCAAGGAAAGGAGCCAGAGCTTGACGCCTCGGGCATGTTCTTGAAGGGAGGCACCCTCAGTCACAAACTGCTCGATATGTTGAACATCGACACCAAGCACAGGTAACAAAACTGGTTCTGGTTCTTTGTTTTATATCTACATTTTGCTCACAGTTACTTTATCGTCGCTAACAGCCTAGCATTTGCCACTCATTCTTTTGTATTCGTTTAGACTTCTTGGTCTGATTTACAAGATGATGCTGGACGGCGAGCAAGGACCTCGTTTCCATGGAGACCCCCCACCGCAAGTCAAGTTCGTCTCGCCCTATGTGATTGACGTCGTCTACAAGCTACTGTCAAGCACGCCCTGCTCAGTGGAACCTGTCATCAAGGTCCTGTTCGACAAGCTGCGACGATACGACCGAAAGTCAATACAGGATGTGCCCATGGAGACGACCCGCTGGCAGTTCACCGTTTTGCAGCTTCTCAACTTCCGACTCATCCGACCCCTCAAGTTCACGGCGACCTGTGCTCACCTCCTTCACTATATGAAGTTTGCACTTTCAGGAACCAAGCACCGAGCGCTTCACAACCTGGTAGAGGCCTGTAACCACAGTGCCCTGAGCATCCAGACCAGTCACAAGTTCTTGCGATCGTTGGTGGACAACAAGCGGGAGCGACCCTTCTGGTTCGAAGAGTCGGAGGCTCTGGCGCGTCGGGCTGTCATGACCATTGCACGTGTGGTAAAGCTTCGAGGTCAGGGTGACGCACCTCAGGGAATCATTGCCGAGATCCTCCAGATTCTGCACAAGCACCCTATTGTCTGGACTGAGGAGATTATGGCCTTCTTCCCAGAGCCTGTCAGGGACTTTTACAGGAACCGGGATCAGTCAGGAGTTGCCAACGGGATCCCTGGAGCAGTGACAGAGGGCGAGGTCTCGACGCTTTTGGAGGGCACTTCGATTCACAACGTTCTCCTTGTGCCCAAAGGAACCGAGCCCAACACATATATTTTGAGCCACTACTCCGACATGGCGAATCACCCCTTCTTCCTGTGCGTCTTCTGGGAGATTATTATCATTCACCAGCAGATTTCGGAGACCATGCTAGAGGATGTCAGAGCGGTCATGCTCCAGTTCCCACCATCACACATGTCCACCTATACCCAGCAGCTGATCGACTATGCCCTGTGGAAGTTGGATCCTAAGAACCCCAGCGCCACGGATGCCTTTGACCTTGTCGTCCGTGTCTTTGAGGACCTCGTCTGGAAGTACCAGCTCCTTAGCATCGAGCACGTCCTGCAAGCGCTCATGACTGGCCACCCTGCTCGTTCCGGTGACCTTGGTCTCAAGATTGTCATCCAGATGACCATCCACTCTTCGGAGCTCTCTAACCGCATTGCTCATTGGAACTCGCTTGGTTTCAACCCCCGTTCCTGGGAGGAGGACGCATATTATGAGAAACTCCAGAGCTACCTTGCCCGCTACCCAGAGTACTTCAGTTTTGAGGCGCACGAGGTCAGGACAGGAAACACCAACATCGTCCCACCTGTAGAGACGCCACTCTTGGTCAGCTACAACAACGTTCTCATCCGTCTGGTCAACATCTTTGATATGATCATTGGCCGCTTTATCGAGTACCAGATGACCGATACCCTCATCACCTTCCTGGACCAGTTTGGGTCCATGTACTTGTATCACAGCACGCCCATGGGATTCGTCCGCGACACATTGCTCTATTACTACGAGTCACCGACACTCCGAGATCCACGGGTCATCAAGGCGCTGGTCAAGTTGCTGGACTTTAAGCAGGTCGAGCTCTCACCAGTTCTGATCGACTACATTCAGGATGCGAACCGGTCGGAGGAGCCCTTTGATGAGCACTATGTGCACGAAATCTGCCGCAAGTTGGCCGTCAGCATGGATCCCAAGGAGTGCGGCATGAAGACGGACTCCTCTATGCCCGAGCGTCAGTACCGCGAGATCTCCAACCCCGCCGCACAGGGCCTGTACATTGCAGTCATCGAGGCGCTGTCGGCGCCAATCCCCAGGGAGAGGTTCATGGAGCAGCTCTTAAGTCTGGTTCTTGCAAAGCGTCCAGGATCGGTCGCTTCGGCAGCGACGCCGTCTGCCGGTTCGGGAGTTGGATCTAATGGCGCCAACTCGACTTCAAGGGTTGTCCCAGAAGCTCGAGTTATTCATGCAGCAGGACTGCTGGTGTCGGCGTTGCCCAAGGAGTTTATGGACCAGTTCTTCGTCGAGGTGGACTCTTTCACGCGGACGGACGAGACGCTGTTACAAGCCTCAACGCCCTCGGAAAAGTCTACGGCTGCGTCAAGGCTTGCTTCTGCCACTGCTGCGTACAATGGAGCAAAGGAGGCAGGAGCACCGGGAGGATCAGGAGGCATTAAGGCAGAGAGCAACGGTCGCCACCATGACACCAGTGTCTCGTCGACAGGAAAGCGGACAACGGCCCAGGATATGCTGCTCTCCAGCCTGTTCAGCAGCTACACTTTCAATCGCCACAACTTCAGAAGCAACCTGCCCAACTCTTTCTTGACGTTTTTCCATGCCGTCGTCCATTACTCTTCGGCTGATATTTTACTCCGCGTGATGAAATGTCTCGAGAACTGGAGGCAGGGGACATGTCTGCCACCACCGGAGGGATCCAGTGTGCTGAACTACAACAACAAGCTGATCCGGATCAACAGTCAATACGATAGCCTGCGTGACGAGGAGATTGAAGAAGGAAACCATGGAGATGAAGGTGATGAGACGGGCGAAAACGGGGGAGCAACAGCTGCTCCGGTGACGGATCCGAACATGCTTAAGAAGATGGTCAAGAACAGGAGCATCAGGACGGACACGCAGCTGCTATTCATTTGTGCGCTGATTGGACCTTTGACGCACCGGTTCGAGAAGGTCCAAATTGGAGGCACGACAGGACACTTTTTCGTGGTCCTGGTTGAGTTGTTCACTATGGTGACCGACATGATCGAGGTCGCTGCGGCGCCTGGGCTCTGTACCCTGGAGAGAGTCATTGATTTCATGTACGTTTTTTGTTGTCGTTTGTTGGAGCTGTGTCCTTTTTCACCCCTGGCTGACTTTTTCTGTCGTCGAACCCTTGTCTAACCCTTCGTTTTATTTTTGCATTCATATCTCTTATAGCCACCATGTACGGGCTCACATCCCCAAGGATCCAGATACCAGTGCTCGATTGGCGCTTCTGCTCAAGGGCATGCGACCGTGGCTCCAAGGACGACTTGGCAGTATTGTCTGATAACGGGATCGATGTATATTGTTTTGTTATTCCATCTAGTCGCATCCATATTGTTTTTATTTTTTAGTAATGAAGAGGAAGGAAGAGCATTTATCTTTTTTGTGCACCTCTCTGTTTATTTTCGTTACTTCAATTATGGAGAAAGGGGGTCTAGTCGGGTGCAAAGAAGAAAAAGAGAACAGAAGAGAAGAGGGGTTTGGTCAAGATGTCGAAGAGTGGTTGGTGGCGTTATTGATCGAAGGGGAGAAACAAACAAAGTTTGTTTTCCTTATTTCATTTGTGCTTGCATCAGGGTAAGTGGAAAGAAATTCCCCATTCGTTTTTGTAGAAGCACAAAGTCATTGTTTGGAATGAATAAGCTAGCTAAGGTGAATACGCTAGCCTACTCATGTGCTTTTCTATCTAGAGGAACCAGGACATAACGGTTTGTTGGTTCTTGAAGATAGGTCGCTTCTTGGTGCAAGAGGCGGAACCGTGTTGAATCTGGTCATCCTCAGAAGGAACCTTGGGGGAAGCGAAAAAGTCGATGAAATCGCGGACCTTGTAAACAGGGATAGAGCTGGCAAACCTGTCTGCATTTGCAACCAAAACGTTCGTAAGGACTTTGTGGTCAGCGACAATGATCCGCGCAGTCTGCTCGGGGATGAAGGCTGTCTGAGTGTTGTCCGAGTGGATGATCAAAGACACGCGAGTCAGTCTGACATTGACAGTGTCGGAGTCTTCAGGCTTGGAGAGGACGATGAGGCTGAGGATCCATTCCTTCAACGACTCGTCTTGAATGTAACCAGGGACGAGGTCACGGAAAGCACGAGCGGTAAGAGGGTCATTGAGTTTCTCGCGGATGACCTTTTCAAACTGGGTGAGAGAGCCGTTAAGCGCGAGGTTTTGATCAGTGACCTGTGCTGTTAAGAATCCGGGGAAGGTTGAGGCTTTCGTCACAAACGGATCAAGGTTCTGACCGAGCGCCTTGGGCTCCTGCGACGCAGGATGAAAGTTAACAGCGTTGGCCGAGAAGATCAGGATCGATGCGGCGGCAGCGGCGTGGTTTTCGGGATTGCTATAGATGTCAACGGGGCTCGCAGATTGATCTGTGGTATCATATCCATCAAAGATCGCTCCAGAGACAACAGCGCTGGCAGCCATCGCAGCCGTGGCTATGTGATACAAAGGAACATCGGTGCTTGGTTAGTTTTATTTTGCTAAAGGTAAACTTAAATGTGCTTGGGCCAGCATCGGCATAGCCACATACCTGAGCAAAGAAGGGCAACAGTCTTGATGAGAAGCATGGTGGTTGTGGTTTGTTTGGCTGGAGCGAAGAGCGGATAATGAGCAGTTGGGAGGTCGACAAGGGGTCATATATATAGCAAAAAAGCCGATACTGAGCATTGAGTATTTTATTCATGGATAACAATGGCGTGCTGCGTAGGCTATGGTCGAGAAACAGCAACACGCCAACCGCATGCTTTATGACACTGGAGACACTTTTTTCCCACATACGTATGTTGGGTTATGCCTTGAGTTTCTATGCTTCAGAAAAGATGACTAAAAAAATGACGGGAAATGGGCAGGGAGTCGAAATAAGGGGTGAGAACTATGGATATTTCATGAACATGCAACTTCAACCACATCCGAAAGAGACGCATGATGGCGTAAGTCCATATTGTGGATGGATGTGAAAGGGAAGGGAGATGTTGGGATTTGTGCATAAAAAGCGCGATTTGGCCACTCAGCACTCCTTTCTTCAACGACACTACAGTCCAAGTATGAAAAAACCGCATACCAGCATAAGTGAACAGTTGGCATGAATGAACAAGAAAAGACTATTGGCATGAATGCAGGAGTCTCTTGGTTATCTCTGGGAAAATTTATTTGATCTGTCGGGCAATGAGGTAGACGGAAATAGTGTAGGAGGGTCTCAATGTTCGATGTTTTTTTTTCTTGACTTGTCAGCTACGCTTGCCTGTCTTAATGTAGTCTCTCTCGTCCCTTCCCAAAACGGCGACATCCCACCTGCAGAAAAAATGTCGCAATTTGCTAGGCGAGCGAACGATCTTTCGTGGAATATTTGTCCTTCCTCGTAGTCAATTGAGTCTGGGGGAGGACCCTTGAAAATCGCCTTTCTTCTTTATTTGTACAGGCCATACCAAACTTACTTCTCATAGATTGCCCGTGCACATTGAATGCCCCTGAGAATACCCTCGATCACAGATTACTTTTGTGACTCGTGAGAATGGGCTCAAGAAACAAATCAAGACGGTCTGTCATTTGCAACACGCTTACTTCCATTTCCTGGAGTACTCATCCGCTAGGAGGGTGGCAGAGTCGGCCATACAGGAGGTGTTGAGAGCCAGGTGGGTCGTTATGAGTGTTACTGAGAATATTCCAAAGTATAAACAAGGCGGGTAGGTGGTGGTTGGGCAGGGAAAAGTGGGAAATGAAAGAATAAGATGGAAGGGATGGAGAGGAATAGGGTCCGTGCTGTCGACGTAATCGAAATGTTTTTTTCTAACACACACAGACTTAGGTTCGATGCGCTTTTTCTTCTCGCACCTTTTCCTTTCCCCAGCTCATATCACCTCTACCTCACAAGCACGCACAACCTTGCACGTTCCTCAGGAGCCTGCGTGCTGGCGACTGAGGGGATACCCCTCTCGATCTCCACCATTGAGGCATTTAGGGTTAAAAAGTGTACAAGAGGGAAATATTATGGTAAGCGTGCTCTGCTAATCTTTATTTTATCTTTTTGACTGCAGAGAAAGAAGGGACGGAGTGCTACCCAGTTGGACCCCGACATTCAATTCTGACACACTTCTATGTTCTCCCTGCAAAGAAAAGGAGCACAGGTCAAACTTTATATATTTACTTCGAGAATGACATACATTATGCGACTGTGGGAAAAGTCTCAACTAACAACTTAAAAACTCGTCGCAGACTATAGCAAAGTTACTAACGGCGGGTCCTACGACTTGCCCAACTGACTCTCCAGGAGATTCACAGAGAATAAAGGTGCCTGTAGCGTAGGTTGTTGATGGTAGAACCCTTTCTAATGCTATGGGAAGGATTGTAAGGAAAAAGAAAAATGAAGCACGCTACTCTTTTTCGATTCTTGGAACACATAAAAACAATAAAAGAAGGTGGAAGAGGGCGTTCGGTCTAGAGTGAAAAGAAAGAAAAAGCGTCAATTAGCGCCTTGGGTGGGAATGTTTACCAAGGAACCGATCGAACGATGCACAAAAAAAAGGGGGTTGGGAGTCACACACTTGTACATGCTTTACTCGTTGGTCATGTAAGTAAAGTTCTATGCTCCCCCTTGACCTCTCTCTCCATCTCCCTTCATGCTACTTTCACGCTCTCTCTCTACCATACTGATCGCTACTGGGTTTCCCACTCACCATCCACGCTCACACCCAATTTTGTTTTCCCGGAAAAGAAATGACAGCTGATAGAAGTGAGGCCAAGGAAGGAATTTCTCATTCGTTTTTGTAGGAGCTCAAGGTCATGTTTAGAATGAATAAACTAGCTAAGGTGAACACGCTAGCCTACTCATGTGCTTCTCTATCTAGAGGAACCAGGACATAACGGTTTGTTGGTTCTTGAAGATAGGTCGCTTCTTGGTGCAAGAGGTAGAACCGTGTTGAATCTGGTCGTCCTCAGAAGGAACCTTGGGGGAAGCGAAAAAGTCGATGAAATCGCGGACCTGGTAAACCGGGATAGAGTTGGCAAACCTGTCTGCATTTGAAACCAAAACGTTCGTAAGGACTTTGTGGTCAGCGACAATGATCCGCGCAGTCTGCTCGGGGATGAAGGCTGTCTGAGTGTTGTCCGAGTGGATGATCAAAGACACGCGAGTCAGTCTGACATTGACAGTGTCGGAGCCTTCAGGCTTGGAGAGGACGATGAGGCTGAGAATCCATTCCTTCAACGACTTGTCTTGAATGTAACCAGGGACGAGGTCACGGAAAGCACGAGCGGTAAGAGGGTCATTGAGTTTCTCGCGGATGACCTTTTCAAACTGGGTGAGAGAGCCGTTAAGCGCGAGGTTTTGATCAATGATCTGTGTCGATAAGAATCCGGGGAAGGTTGAGGCTTTCGTCACAAACGGATCAAGGTTCTGACCGAGCGCCTTGGGCTCCTGCGACGCAGGATGAAAGTTAACAGCGTTGGCCGAGAAGATCAGGATCGATGCGGCGGCAGCGGCGTGGTTTTCGGGATTGCTATAGATGTCAACGGGGCTCGCAGATTGATCTGTGGTATCATATCCATCAAAGATCGCTCCAGAGACAACAGCGCTGGCAGCCATCGCAGCCGTGGCTATGTGATACAAAGGAACATCGGTGCTTGGTTAGTTTTATTTTGCTAAAGGTAAACTTAAATGTGCTTGGGCCAGCATCGGCATAGCCACATACCTGAGCAAAGAAGGGCAACAGTCTTGATGAGAAGCATGGTGGTTGTGGTTTGTTTGGCTGGAGCGAAGAGCGGATAATGAGCAGTTGGGAGGTCGACAAGGGGTCATATATATAGCAAAAAAGCCGATACTGAGCATTGAGTATTTTATTCATGGATAACAATGGCGTGCTGCGTAGGCTATGGTCGAGAAACAGCAACACGCCAACCGCATGCTTTATGACACTGGAGACACTTTTTCCCCACATACGTATGTTGGGTTATGCCTTGCGTTTCTATGCTTCAGAAACGATGGCCAAAAAAAAATGACGGGAAATGGGCAAGGAGTCGAAATAAGGGGTGAGAACTATGGATATTTCATGAACATGTACCTTCAAAAGAGAAATAATGGCGTATGTGACAGATGCAAAAGAAAGGGTGGATGTTGAAGGTTCTGTGTACACAGCGCTATGTGGGCATTCGGCACCCCTTTCGCATGATAACCAAGCTTAAGCAGTAAATGATAACAACCTGTATCAGTATAAGCAAACAGTTGGCGTGAGAACATACTTTAGCATGGTTGCGAGGGTGGTCCTGAGTCACTCGAAAATGATTTCTTGATTTGCATGCTTGGTAATGCGGTAGAAGGAGAGAAAGGGTGCAAGGTCTCAATGTTCGTTCTTTTGCTTTTCTTGACTTGGCAGATGCTCAAAGTTGCTCGCTTTCTGTCTTCAAGTCGCCTCTCCCGTCCTTCTCAGAACATCTAGCACACAGCATCAATGTCGCAATTGCTTAGGCGAGCGAGCGATTTTTCCTAGACCCAATTGAGTCTGAGGACCCATGAAATCGTCGCACCTTTTTTTTTGACATGTCTTGGTTCATATTTGTTGCCCGTGCACATACAAACTCGAACCCCTTGATCACCAAATATTTTTGAACTATAAACACATACTACTTTTCTGTCGTCTGCAAACACCTCCCTCAATAGGCAATAGGGGCGTGAGAACCAATTCCTTTTTTATTTATTTATTTTTTTATTTTTTTGGGTAAGCACTCTTCGTAGGAAGGTTTCGTGTGGTCAGGCTCCGACGTTGAACGGTTGGTATTTTTTTCATTCTATTTTTGTTTTTTTTCCTTGCATTGTAATGAGAAGAAGGAACGCTTTCTAACCGTCCCATTCTCACGCCCCTGACCATCCTTCTCTCGCCCCCCTTCTATGCGTTCAAGTAGTGAAGAATAGGTTGCAGGTCGGACTTCGTTTATTTACTAGGACGAAATGCATTATGCGAAAAAATACGATGACCTTGAGAAAAGTGTGGCCACTTAGGCGCGTGTTGTATAGCAGATTTGCTAGCTACCTTGCGCGTCTTACGGTTCACTCGCTTGGTTTCACTAGGCGATTCACAAAGGACAAACGTGTTCGTAGATCGGGGTAAGGATAGTAGGACCTTTTCTAGTCGATGGTAAAAGGTGAGAAGACATGAAAATGAGGGAGCGTGAAATTGGAAATATGGCTCTAGGGCTTTATGGCGTCAAGCTATATCCCCCCCCCCAAAAAAAAAAAAAAAAAAAAAAAAAGGCATGTCAATCCTGTCACTGCATTCATACACCTTCAAGACCACGTCATTTTCTGGTCCAGAAGGTGAGGAACGAAATGAAGAGAGAAGAAGGCGAAGGAGACAGATGGAAGGAAGTGGGGGAGAGACGGAAAGAGGGAGGTTCAAGAGGAGGGGAAGAAGAGAAGAGGAACATTGCAACTGAAAAATAAGAAAGTGAACTATAGTACTCTGGACTCTCACACACAAATATACCCCTTCTTTGGCCCAAAGATGGTTGACATTCAATACAATGCCCGGTCACCCCTTTCAAAAACAACGCCCTTCATCCTTGATCTTATCTCTTTCCTGCACTTGACTTGATCTCTCTCCCATCGTTGCAGAATAGGTATGACTAACAGTCGACAATAAAAAACGGATCGTTGAATATAAAAAACGGTCAATAACCCATACTTTCACTCTTTCGCTCTTGTGGCTGCTCCCAGAGACGACTCTGGAGAAGGCATCAAAGTAACATGTAGAGAAGATGAGCAAATAGCGAACCGGTTACGCCCACTTTCTCGAGATTCAAATAGGGCGGTAGATAACAAAGGGAGAGAGCAAGAGAGAGATAATCGGCAGGGGAGGGCGAGAGAGCGAAAATCAATAGGGGAGGGTGAGGAACCACGTTCATTCTTGCGCGAGTTAATTTTCATCGAAGAGAGGAGAAGGGAAGAAGGGGAGTAGGGGAGAAGGAATGCTCCTCAATCGAACCTATCATCTAATTCCCTCACAGTAGATCTCTTGATTAACCTACTCCCCACGTTCTTTGCTATGTAGTCGAGTAGCAAAGATCAGGTTGTTTGTCGAACCTTATTAACGGCGTGCATGGTATGCATTATGCTAAAAAAATATGAGCGACCACAACAACGGGAAAAACCACAGCGATTGGCCACGAAGGCGTACATTGAACAGCAGTGTTATGCTAACAGAATACCTTCATTCTTGGTATAATAAACCACTCACAAGGTTTTGACTCCTCTCTTGTCTCGATCACTGCATCCTCACCTCTGGCCCTATTTCTTTTCCCACATCCTTGACTATGGATCTCTCGCATGCAAAAACACATGATTCTGAGAGGAACAGGTTCGTATCCTAAACCACATACAGAGCGTAAGCGGGAAGTCTGCATTATGCACCAACCGAAAGAAAAACAAAAATAACAAATATGCACAGGTTGTCAGAAAGTACGTGGAAAAAAAAAAGCTGTGCATTACGAACGCGCCAAGCTGTGCATTACGACAGCAAGCTAAGTTCATAGGCGGCTTTGGAATTTTTTCCGCGGCGTAAAGAATGAAGGAGGGGGCGATCATTGAGAGCGCTAGGGTACTTGGATGCTAATACGTGTTCCTGCGAACAAACAGCAAGGTGTAGTAGCATGCCAACAATCCAAATTGAACACAGATTGATAACTGAAAATACATGTTCCAAGTTTGAATTTGGTGGAGAGTGCTGCACAATGAATCAAACAATGGACAAGGCCAGAACATATGTGAAATGATCCATCATCCCACTTACTACTACTGGTACCTTTTCTCGTGTATTGCTTTGTTATCTGAACGGTTGTTTTGGCTTGCACCAATCGATCTACAATCCATTAGCATGAGGCATCTTCGGCGCTTTGCGAGTCGGGGCATGCAAGTGAAGTTATTGTTCTCCATCCTTATCACCTAGGAAGTTCCTTGGGCCGAAAGAACGCCACTTGGTATGTACCATTCGATCTACCGTTCATGCTTGTTTTTTGAGTGGTATGAAGAGCCGCCAATGCTCCACGAGTCGGGGCATGCAAGGCGATTCACTGTCTTCATCATCTTTTCTCACCTCAGCAGCGTCCTTGCTCAGTCGAATACCAATTCAAAAGGCGTCTTTTTTTTTGGCTCAACGAGATGAATTTTTTGTATAAAAGGCAGCGGTTTCGCACGAATGGAAACATCAAGCCTCACAGCCTTTCTTCCCCTCAACTCCCCACCACGAAACAACCGAGTAAGGTCTACACATCCGCTCTTGTGCAAAAAGGCGATTATCGTCCCTGGAACATTTTTACTGACAGAGCGCCCTTCCCTATCCGCAACCTAGAACCATTATGTCTGACGATTTGGAGAACCTCAAGCGCTGGGTCGCTGGTCAACCCCCACTCGGAGCGCCTCGCACCCCTCTTCCAAAGGTGCCTGTAAGCGACAACACTGAAATGGTAGCCCAACCATTCTACTTCAACGTTAGCGCCACGGGAGCAAAAGGTGTTGAACTGTTTCGCAACCCTGCGAACCACGCCGATGCCGCTGCTACGGTTATGACTTACTCGGGTACCAAGGCCAAATTCATTCCTGCCCTCGGCCTCAAGGATCAAGCGGTCCATTTCAACGATTACCTCACTAGAATCGGCACCTTCCCCGGCTTCGTCACCGTGAAGAGCGAGGAGACTGGGCAGAACGTCACGTCCCAAGACGTCAACATTATGATCGATCAGATCAAGGCCGCGTACACTGGATTTGCCACGGCCGACCTCAACGGTATCGTCGATTCCGTCCAGAAAATGGCCAACAGTATCCTCAACAAGAGTTCGAAGGAGAGCGACAAGGCAGTTTTCTCGCAGGACACGATCTACAAGGAAGATAACAACAACTACATCACCATCTTCTATGCGCACCTCGACATGAAGGAGACCACGTCAGGCAAGAAGACCTACATCGAGCAGACGTACCGAATCTTCCGCACCGTGATTAGGGTCAACGCCACCTACCTGGTCACCTTTGCCGAAGAGCTCGCCACCATGCTGGGTGACGGTGGCCTTGGAGATTGGGATGCGCAATCCTCATCTCCCACCGGCGACAAGCTCTCCTGCTTCGAGACTAATTTCAAGAAGACTCCCAAGGAGGTTTGAACCCTCACTTTGAGTAGCAAGCCTCTCTTTCCTTTTGACGATTTCTTCCCTTTCCCCCCTTCCCCATCCCACTCTCCTTTTCACTTGACTTTGTAGTCTCGTCGTATCCCCCTTCCCCTTCCCCTTCCCCTTCCCCTTCCCCTCCCCCTTTCTCGCCATCGTATCTTCTACGGTGAATAAAAACAATCGTCAAATATTCTTTGTTCTTTCCATTTTTGATGTCTGTTTGGGGCAGGGTTGTTCGAACGATGGAAAATAGGGATGAACAACATTGCGCGTGGATAATGATCAGAGTTTCCTCAGAGGTGCAGTACCCGCTCTGGCTGTAAATTAGGTTATGAAAGAGACATGCTTGTGTGGACGTTGTGTGGCATTCTGCAGCGGTTGGGTTGATGATCTACCATTTTTGCACGTTGTCACTGTTGCACAGCCGAACTAAGAAAAACGGGAGCAAGGCAAGAGCGTGCTTTTTTTTATCTGCTCTTGTCAATGTTCAGAGAGGGCAAGGTCGAGAATGAGATGGGGCAGGGTGATAAGATCGAGTTGAATGGTATGATAAGAGTGAGTGGTAGGAAGGCGAAAGGAAGAGAGGTTTTTTCTGTTTGGCTTGGGTTTAACAAAAATGGTTTGCAATGATCAGGGAGAAGGTCGAGATTTACCGTGATAGAAATGTTGGAGTTGGGGCTACGGTCATCTGTGCACGAAATGTCATCGGTTAAGAGACGGGTCGAGTTCGGGAAGAGAAAAGTTGCTAGGCGTCATCTACTTTTTCTCGCTATCCGTCTGGCTCTTGTCAGCCTATCGTTTGAACCGCTTCTCAAAGCGGTCTTTTTGATTTTGGACCGCATCACAAAATTTAGTGACTTCTGGTCCATCCTTTTTAACACCCTACATCTGGCTCGCCCGTCGCCGTCTTCCTCTTCCTTTTGCCATTTTTCCAGCACACGACATCGACGTCGTTCTTCAAGGTTTTTCTACCGAGGTTCATCTAAAACATAACGCTGGATATTGGCTGGCAATGGAAAAGAGCTACTTGGATAGCACATGGTTGATTGGTAGATAAAAACACCTCGCCTCTTCGCTCCATCTCTAAAAAAAGGTGGGGGAGAGTATAATAACACAATGCCAGAGAAAGAGCGAGAGAGGGGGGTAGGGGTAGTGGTGCCAAAGACAGCCCTGGATGACCTGAGCTCCATATATGTTTGATGCGGGATAGCCTGTACTTAAGTCCTTTCATAGAGGTATGGCACCTTTGGCTCACGGGACCCTGAGTGCCTGGTCCTTCAAAGCTGTTGCAATACGGAAAAGTGAGCCCCGTTTGTGATAGAAGTGAGCTCAGGTATTTTTCCTAGCTGAGGTGCAAATCATCGATCCTGCGCCTCTTGGATTCTTCGTGACGGTCCACGTTAGAAATCAGGAGTCGAGTTACTGTGAAAATAAGGATGGAGAAATGGTCCAGACGTAGAGGAGTGGTTGGTAGCGTTTCAACTGTCGGGGGTGGGTGACAGAATAAGGTGTAGAGTTTTCATCGGCGCATAAAGTGCTGATATATACAAGGAAAGGCCAAAAGAGAAGAGTAAGCCGGTCCAACGACACACACAAAAGAAAGGGGATTTTACACGCGTGCACGTATTGGTCATGCAAGTAGAATTCCACGCTCCCACTCGATCTCTCTCTCTCTCTCTCTCTCTCTCCCCTCTATGGTACTTTCACGCGCCTGACCTACCGCGATGTTCGCTGCTGGGTTCTCCAATCACAATCCACGTTCACACTCAATGTTGTTTGCTAGGAAAAGAAACGGCCGTTAATTAAGGTGAGACCGAACAAGAGGCTATCTTAATCCATTTTTGTTGCATGTACCAGAGGTCCAGCGTACAACATGATGCTTAGAATAAATAAAATTGTTAACCTGCATACAAGCCTACTTGTGCATCTATCTACCAGAATGCAACGGTTTGACAGTTCTTGAACCAGGGGATAAAATCGCGCTAAACTTTATAACTCAGGAGAGGAACTTTCAGTGAGGCGAAGTAGTCCATGAAATAGCAGACGTTGACAACAGAAAGAGTGTTCGCCAGTTTATCTGCGTTAGAAGGTAAGACGGGTCCCGGACAGTGTGGTCAGTAACGATGAGCTGGGCCTTTTGCTTGGGGATGAAGGTCGTGTTGGTCTTGTCCGACGAGATGATTAAAGATACTCGAACCAATCTGACATAGATATCGTCGGAACCCTCAGGCTTGGTGATGATGACAAGGCTGAGAGTAAAGTCCGTCAACGACTGGACATGGGTGTGGCCGGGGATCAGGTCGCTGAGAGTGCGAGCCATGAGGGTTTTATCAAGTTGCTCGCGGGTGACCTTTTCAAACTAGGTGAAAGAACCATTGAGCGCGAGGCCTCCATCAATCGCGCATGTCGCCGAGAAACCGGAGAAGGCAGTGGCTTTCATCACAAACACATCGAGTTTCTAGATGAGAGAACTGCTCCACTTCTCATCTCCTCTTCCGCTGTTTCTAATCTGCTTCACGCTACTTCTCTACCATACTGTTCACTCCCAACTTTCTATTTGACATTCATGCTTCAGCTTAATGTTGCTTATCAAGGGTGAAGAGACGGCCGTTGATTGATATGGAACCAAAAAAGAGTTTTCTCGTTTCATTTTTGTGCGTACCGGGGTACTAGGTAATATCAAGGATAAATAAACTTGCCAAGACGCGCATATTGGCCTACTCATGTAGCTATCTATTTAGTGGAGCCAGGACAGAATGGCTTGTCGGTCCTTGAAAGTCATTCGGCTCCTAAGGCAAGAGGTGAAACCGCGCTGAGCCTGGTCACTGCGGAGGAAATCCTTGGGGGAGGTGAAGAATTTGATGAAATCAGAGACAGTGGTAACCCCAACTCTGTCTGCAAACCTGTCTGCGTTCGAGACGAACACGGATGTAATGACCTGGAAGTTAGAAATGGAGAGTCGCGCAGACTGTCGGGGGATGGTAGCCGTGTTACCGTCCGAGAGGATAATCAATGACACTTGAACCGATTGGATAGTGACGGTGTCGGAACCATCGGGTTTGGTGACGACGATGAGACTGAGAACCCAATCCGTCAACGACTGGTCCTCGAAGTTTTCAGGGATGAGATCGCGGAGAGCGCGAGCGGTGTTAGGGTCATCAAGTTGCTCATCGATGGTCTTTTCAAACTGAGTGAGAGATCCGTCGAGTTGGAGGGAGTACTGCTGGTTGTTTGTCAACGAGAAGCCGGGAAAGGTAGCGACCTTCCTCGTAAACCCATCAAGGTTCTGACCGAGTGCCTTGGGCTCCTGCGACGAAGGATGAAAGTCAACAGAGTTGGCCGCGAAGACCACGACCGAGGCGGCAGCGGCGGCGTGGTTGCTAGGATCCCAGTAGACGTCAACGGGGCTCGCAGAAGGATCCGAGGTGTCTTTTCCAACAAAGATCGCTCCAGATACAACGGCATTGGCAGCCATCACAGCCGTGGCTATGTGATATACATAGAGACAACACCTCTTGGTTAGTTTCGCTTTGATGGGGACGGACTTGAATGAGTTAGGGTCGGCATGAGCTTGGTCACATACCTGAGCAGAGAAGGGCGACAGTCTTGATGAGAAGCATTGGGGATGGTTTTTGTTGATTGGTGTGAAGAGCTGGTGATGAACATCTGGTAGGGGTGGACAGGGCCGTTTATATAGCAAGATGAGGAAATGAGCATGGACTCTTTCTTCAGGGACAAAAGGGGGATGCTGTTCGTGCTGCTGTCGAGAACCATCACAAGCCTACTGCTTGGTTGAAAGTAGAAACACTTTTCCCTCACACATATATCGTGTTAGCCTTGCGTTTCTGCTCCTTAGATAGCGGAAGGGAATGAATACAAAAAAAACAGGTCAGGGAATCGAAATAGGGGTGCGAAAATGCACACATATGCCTTTGCTCCATGCCATGGTAGGATCCCAGACACAGTGCATTGCGAACCATTGGCATTCCAGTCACAGTAGAATAATGGTCAATGGTCGCGTAATGGTGTGGTATAAACGGGGGAGCGGAATAAACGGCCATTCACAATCAGACTGGATCGCTCGAATGTTCGCCTCTTTTTCGCATCGATGGAAATTTCATGCGTCACAAACCACATCCAAAATACACGAATGATGCTGCATGCATAACAAGAGCAATAATGGTTTGCGCAAGATAGACGGATGTCGCGAGTTATACATGAACCGCGCGATTTGGTCACTCGGCACTCCTTTCTTCTACGACACTGCAGATCAAGCAAGAAAGAACAAGCGAGAAAAGAACTTGCCCCTGAATGAACAAAGGATTGGCATGAATGAGCAAGAAAGGTCTTTCGCGTGAATCCAGGGGTGGTTCTTACGGGAACACTTGGAAAGATATCTTGGTCTGCATGCTAGGCGGTGCGGTAGAGGGAGAGAGCGAGGGGGTCCCAATATTTGTTGCGTTGTTCCTGACTTGGTAGTGCTCATAGTTGTTCGTCGCTGACTTATATTCATCTCCCTCGTCCCATTCGCAATGCTGGCATCCGACAGATGACTCCATAGAACAGATATGTCGCAATTGCTTAAGCGAATGGTCTTTCCTAGACCAACTGAGTCCGAGGGTTCCCTTAAATCAATGTTCCTTTGCTTTTTTTCTTCGTCGCATAGAGCCACACGATCTTATTTTCCATAGATTGCCTGTGCACATTGATTAGCATAAGAACATTTTCACTTAATAACTTCGAGTGCTCAAACCTTGATAACCGATGAACAAGGTCTAGGCAGTCTGTCATTTGCTGAAGCACGAATTCTACTTAGTGGGTTGGCTGAGTCGACCAATGGTCCTTGGTGATGGGTGAGTGGAAACAGGCCTGTTTTTTATGGCGACGCTCAAAGTGAGTGCCTTAGCGAGTGGGTGGGGTGGTAGGGCAAGAAAACAAGGGAGAGGAAGAGGGAAGTATGATGTAGGGCCGTAGAGTAAGTTCATATTAGAGGTATGGGCGATGAATACTACTTTTATTACCACTGCTTGCAGTACATACGCACGAACACACACCATCATGTGAGTAACTCATCCTTCTCAACGATCGCCCCATCCTCCATTCTTCATGCCGCGGAAGAAAGAAGGGACGTTTCCACATCATATATCAAGTAAGCAAGGATCGAACAGCATTATCATTCTGACAACGCCTTTTGGTTTTGTGCAAAGGTATCTTGCCCACTGTATGTGAGTTTATCATGCAATCTTTTTTTCTCTACAGACGCATATGGTTTTGTGTGAGCCATGGGTCAAGAGCGTGAGAAATGAAAATAGGGCCAAGGGTGAGAATGTTTGCCATCGGCACATCGTTAATGACCTGTTTCTTGGCAAGGGTGAGTGCAGTGTTTTATCCATGTCTGTCCAGAAAAACCACGCACGCACCAAACGCTGCATTCATGTGAGGAAAGCTGAGGGTTGCGTATGCACACTTCTCCTCTTGCCTCGCTTAGTTACATCGTTAATCCCTCTATGACAACAAAAGGTACCTTTTCCAAATGAACAGAATAGCTGCAGATTGCTAATGTATTCTCAACAATTTGCGAGTCGGGGCATGCAAGGGGAGTCGCTGTCCTCACCACTCATCTCATCTCAGCGGCATCCTTGCTTAGTCGAATGTCAGTCCAATGTGGCGTTTTGTGTTTTTTGTTACCAACAGTGGCATAGCTTTCTTGGAATAAAAAGACAACGGATCCGTGTGAAATGAAAACGCCATGCTTCCCAGCTCCTTTTCCTCAACTTCCCACCAAGAAACAGCGAGTAAGTCCTACATACATCCTCTTGTGCAAAAAAGTTGATTATCTTCCCTGACTCGTTTTTCACTAACAGAGCGTCCTTTCCCCTATCCGCAAACATAGACCCACACCATGTCTGACGATTTGGAGAACCTCCGCCGCTGGGCCGACGGCAAACCCCTCCTCGGCCTGCCCCCCAGAGCCCTCCCAACCGTGTCCGCAGACATCAACACAGAGATGGTCGCCCAACCCTTCTACTTCAACGTCTCCCCCCGGGGCGCGACAGGCGCCGAGTTATTCCGTAACCCTGATAACCACGCCGATGCCGCCGCCGCTGTAATGACCTACGCTGGGATCCAGTCTGGCTTCCGTCCCGCCCTCGGCCTCAAGGGTCAAGCATCCCAGTTTAATGAATACGTCTGGAGGATCGCTACTTTCCCGGGGTTCTTCCTTGACCGGACCGAGGAGACTGTGGAGCAGCGAACCTCACAGAATATTGATTATATGATCAACCAGATCCGCAGCGCCTACGTCGGATTCGGCGACGCAGACATCAACGGGATTATCCAGTCTATACAGAGAATGGCCAACAGTATTCTGAACAAGAGTTCAAGGGAGAGCGACAAGGCCATCTTCTCACAGGACGCGATCCAAAGGTCCAGCTACACAACTTACATCACCCTCTTCTATGCGACCTTGTCAATGAAGCTGGACCAGCACGGAAAGAAGACTTATGTCGAGCAGACGTACCGGATCGCTCGTACCGTGATTAAGCTCAACACCACCTTTCTGATCGCCTACGCTGATGAGCTCGCTTCCATCCTGGGGAATGGTGGTCTTGACGAATGGGGTAGACAATACTCATCTCCTACTGGAGATAAGTTGTCCTGCTTCGAGACCCACTTCAACGTGGCTCCCAAGGAGGTCTGAACCCTCTCATTGAGCAACATTAGCCTCTACTCTTCCATTCTTTTCGACGATCTCTTTCCTATTTTCCTCCTTCCTCTTCTCCCTCTCCTTGTCACTTGACTTTGTAGTCTTGCTGTTCCTTCTTCTCCTTCTTCGCCATTGTATCTTGTACGATGAATAAAAAAACAATCATCTGAAATCTCCGTTGCTCTCTCTATTTATGATTTCGTTTAGGTGTAGAGTGGAGTTGGGCGCGTTTGAAGAGTGAGTCGAGCATGCGCGATAAAAAAGTGAGCGAGGGATGGATTAGGAGAAGAGAAGCGTATTATTTTTTTTGTTTGGTGTTAGCTATATGGTTTGTAAAAGATGTGGGAAGAGGTGTTTAAGAAATGGTCCGAGTTGGGTGCAGCACCAGACAAGCCAGAGGGGCGGAGAAGCCATTTGGTGCTTCATTGCTGTCGTCGGCGGTTGAAATAGTTCTGCTTGAGCGAAGAACTGACTCTATCCAACTCCCTCAGCTCAGGCCAATGCTCAACCACCCAATCGATCTCAGGGTCTTGGAGGAAATGGTTAAGCCCCTAGACCGACAACTCTGTCAGCTTGATAAGCGTCTCCAGCGCAGCAAGTCCCGATCGGAGGGTCATCTCCAAGGTGTTGATGTTGGATGGAGGCCGGTTCGGATAGCGGCGGGTCCAGTACTGAAGCTGCTCCTCTTCGTACTTGATAAGTTGTGGATCCTGATGACGCCGCTAGTGGTACTGTTGGTTGCGCTGTTTTCGACGGCTCTGGTTCTGTTGCTGGCGTTGGTCGAGGTTGCTGATGTTCTGGGGCATCTTGGTGTCGAGGATAAACTCTCTGAGCTCGCCCATTTATCGTTATTGCCTCCGGGACAGGTCTTGAGTTTGGGTCAGGCGGTCAGAATTCAGATAGCAAGGGCGGCGGGTGAACTGCTTGCTGGGATCCTTGGAACAGAGCCTAAAGTTCTCCAGGTGATGACGCGCGTTGCCGATTACGATGAGGATTTCTTTCGAGATGTCCTGGAGATGGACAAAGACGAGGATAGGCATCCTGGAAAAGAGATGGGTCCAAGCATTGGATCGGTACTTTCCGCCCTTGACGATGACAGTCGTGAGCGCCCGCTCGGTTGCCCACATCGCGATGGATCTGCTAATCGGCTGCACTTCAAGCTGGAAGAAGGTATCCGAGTTCTTGAGTATGTCGACCCCCAGAAACTTTAAGGTCGATAACGCGGTCAAGATGGCAACAAGCTCCTCATCACTCTTGACGCTACTGATGGAGCCGAATTGTTTGCTGTTTGACAATCGAATGTTGAGAAGAGGTGACGATCTGTTCAGTGATCTTTTCCAGGTGGTCGTGAACAACCTCGGGGCGCTTCTTCGCGACAGCTGGCACTTGGTCCTCCAAGTTCCCCATGCGCACCGGCAAAATCAGGTCTCGAAGTAACGGAAAGGCGCCAAGGACAATATGAAGAACGGTGGAGTCCCTCATGTTCTTGTCCAGCATCAGGCTCTAGAGAGTCGTGCAAGGTGTTGTCGTCGAGTCCTTCAAGCCCTTCAAAAACCTGCCGTAGATATCGTCGTACTCTCCTTCAAACCCCTCAGAATAGACGAACGAGGTAATGTGGGGCGCTATAGTGGTCAGGTTCTGGGGGATGTACGATGCAGCATAGGCTCTAATCTTGACATAACGAAGTTGCAACATATGTATCATGACGCCGGCTAGAAACTCCATTGTGCTTCTCCAGGGACCAAGCAGCTACAACGACCTTGCTCATACCCCATAAAGACGAAGCTCTCCAGGTTGTGGTTGTTGGCAATCAATTCCCAGATCTGGACCAAGCGCTCCCGGGCTTTGTGGGAGGAGTATTCTTCATAGTCATCACCCTCTTTATCGCTGTACAAACCAGCACAGGGCCTATCCATCTCTGTAAAGAATTTCTTTGAGACCTCTATCCGCTAGTTAACGGTCATGTTGAAAGCGTCTGTCGTAGTCAAAGAGCCCATGAACCTCCAAACTCGTCAAGTTCGAGACCAGTCGTCCATCCAACACCGCCTCCAGCATCCACAGCTCGGACAGAGCCAGCTCGTGGATAAAACTACCGTTCGTCTTGATCAACAACTGGGGTCGCTCCTCGAGCTCGATGGGTAGCATGACTCTCCCCCAAGGAGCCTCATAGTCGTTGACAGAGTGCCAAAAGTGACGCGTAAAAACAGAGTTCCAGAATCGGCAGACTTGACAACAGTAGAAGGAGGATGTCGAGAGATGGGTGGCAATGATGTCGAGCACCTCTGGAATGAGATACATTGGCCAGTCGCTTGGAGTGTCCGTCAAGGCCGGAATAAAGTGTTGTTGAGAATGAGTGTGCATGAATGCGGTATGTACGTATATGTGCTGTGTGTGTATGTGTTGGGAAACAAAAGGAAAGAGGAGAGAGGTGGGAGAAGAGATAACAATAGCTGAAAAGAAGTAAAGCAGAATCAGGCTAACTAGTCTGCGCAAGGCAGACGGTCGGGTCAGGGATGGCGACGTTTTTAGGGGAATCATTCAAACGCCTTTGTTTAATTTCAATAGAGAAACGAACCTACATGTGCAGATAGCTTGGTACTCAGAACCCAGTCCTCGAAGGCGACCGGCTGTTGTTATTGTTGGTCATCCCCGAGATCATCATGCTAATTTTGACCCGATCGAGAATATCCTCCGCCTCGAGCTGGTTGTCGGGATCCGCCCTCAGGTACTCCAGCCCGCTCACTTTCTTCAGTGGCCAATGCTGGCACATCCACTGCAGGTCCTTTGTCCCCATTCGATGACTTAGCCCACCCACTCCGAGTGTCTCCAGAAAACGGATACCTGCCAGCTCAGAAAGTCCCGATTCCAGAGTCAGCTCCAAACAGTCGGGAGCAGTATGATCGGCTCCAGTAGTTGTTGTCGTCCCAGACTGTACGCTATCAAGACCACCGAGGTTGAGGTGCCGCAAATGAACATACTTGGCCAAGTTCTTATAAGCCGACTTTTGATACTGACATGAGTAGCGTTGTTGGGTCGCTGCTGCTCGCTCCTCGTCCGTGCTTCCAGAGGTTCGGTGGTCTTGCTGCATCGCCTCCCAAACACGTTCCTGGGTCCTGCTCATCCGTGGGATGCCGACAATCTTAAGATCCAGCTCCTGAAGTCCAAAGCACGTCCAGTTGTGATTCTCAACAAAGTCGCCTCCAAGAATCTCGTGTCCCTTTCCTCTGCAAACCTTGAGTTTCGAACAAACCTCAAAGAGTTTGTTGAGCTCCTTATGCCCATTTCCTTGCTCGAGGTTGAACCGCAGATGCTCTAGGTTCCGACAGTTCTTTGCCATGACCTCAAGTGCCGAAGGTGGGATGAGTCCAAGTTCCAGATGTGTCAGCAAGGGCATGACTTCCAGCATTCCGCCGACTCCTAATCCGAACGCCGGGCCGTGAGAAAGTATAAAGGTTCTCAGACGCAGACTTGAAGTGGGCTTCAACGAGGCCGGGTCCAAAGCGTCTCCGTAGCGTCGATCTGCGGAAAAGGTCTCCATAGCATCCAGATGTTCCAAAGTCGGATAGGCCCTCAATACAATCCAGAGGTAAGCAAGCGTCCTGAACTTGATGGTGGGGTCAACCCTCTTCACAGCGGGGAGTCGGATTCCAGCTCGAGAAAGACTTGCAATATCAAAAATGTTGGCAGCAAAGAGGTACTCCAGTTTTGTGAACAATGGTGGTTCCTTGGACTGCCCACCAACACAGTTGTCATCGCTGTCGTCGGGAGAGTGCTGGAAATGAGGAGGAACATGGACGACCGACAAGTAAAGCTCACGGAGCTCGGGAAAGATTCTGCCTATTCTCACCAGATTTTCCGCATCGATTCGCCGTTGCAATTTGAGTCGTCGAAGGGTTGTAGAGGTGGCAGACTTGCTGAGGATCCCGTTCGCATAGTCTTCAGCGTTTAGGTGGACAAACGACGTGATGTTCCGATATCGAGTTCCCAGGTTCGCAAGGACAAATTCTGCCACTGGTTTTTCCATCGCCAGGTGATTCAGGTATGGTAGCCCGGCCAGAAGTTTTTCCACAAAGTCTCTGCTGGGTATTGATGTCGTAGTTGGTATCGGTGGAAAAGACTTGAATGGGAAGATGGTGTAGCTCGTCTGGTTCTTGAATTCCAGTCGACGCAGTCCAGGGTTCTTTGTGATCAATAGCCAGCATCCTTGGGTCCGACTCATGAGGCATTGTTTACGAAAGCTCGTGTCAAACAGGGTCATTGAAGGGAGGTCCGACCAGGAGTCAAGGGTTGCCTCGGCAGAGGTTGTCGCTGTTGTTGTTACCATCATCGTCGTCGTATGATCCAATGACTGCTCCTGCTGCCTCTTGACGGCCATAAAGGCAGACTCCTGACCATAGACGTATTCGTTGACGATTCCACAGATGGTAAGGGAGTCCAGACGGGAGAGGCGAGCCTTGATAGCTGCATCCAGTAAACCGTCGTCACGGATGGTGATGTCCCTGATATGTGAACCGTATCGTTGCAGCAGTGACCATACTCTCAGCATCTGAATCTCCCGTTCCTCTGGTGTCTGCATGGAGTTGGGCGACTTTAGGATCTGTTTCCAGGGTGAGCGCAGGCTGTCGACGGTATGCCAGCAGGAGGGGATGAATGCGTCGGCCCAGTAACAACAGACAGCGCGACATGCAAAGCAGGACTGGGTGTCGAGATGTGAGGCGATTTGGAGAAGAACCTCGAGGGGGATCCGGTTCATCATGGCTGATGATGTTGCCTGGTGTGACATCTGTTGATGTTTTTTTATTTGTGTGTGTTTGAGGGACAGTGAAAGGAGTGAAAGGAGTGAAAGGAGTGAAAGGAGTGAAAAGAACAAGATCGTCTTTCACCCAGTGAGTCACTGTGAATTTGGCGCGTTGCTCCTTCTGTTGGATATGATTTTTTGGTGATTGCAAAGGGGATAGGCCCAAGAGTCGCAAAAAAAGCGATCGGCAGCAGAAGCTCGGCTATGAGCATGTTTTTTTTTTTTTTTTACTGGCGAAGGCATCCTGGGAGGTGTTGAACAATTGAGTGCGACGTCTGTATAGGATATGGCCCAGCAAACCATGCAAACCATGCGGCAGAGACCGGTGACAAGCAATTTGAATATTGCGTTATCATAATAACTAGACAGCCGAAGGCACAAGCTTAAGAAAAGACTCCAGTCGTGGCTCCTGCTGTGGGTCTGGACCCCCCTGTCGAACATAATACCCCTCCATCCCCATTAACCTCTTCACCGGCCACCTCGCCACCATCCAAAGCATCTCTGGCAACCCTATGCGGTGATCAACGCCCTGGAACCCAATAGTCCTGAGTCGAGCAAGTGTCCCAAGTTCGAATAATCCAGATTCCAACGAAAGCTCCAGACATCCTGAAAAAGTACTGCTAGTCCGTCCTCGGTAGCGAAGTCCTCCGTCAAACTCACTCACGTAGCGCTCAAGAAAGTCCCCCCTCGAGAACTGACCAAACCCAATATCCAAGTACGTTAGCTCAGTCAACAGTGCCAGTCTTTGGTAAACTTGTCGCTGAACTGAAAGTGACTCTGTCCACCTATTGACGGCTTCTCGCTCCTCGTTCATCTCTGGCTCCGTCCTTGACTCGTGTCGCATCTTGTCCAAAACATGTTCCTGGCCAACCGTCAACCTGACCACCCCTCGAATGGCACAATGCAGTTCCTGAAGTCCAAGACATGCCCAGTAAGGCTCCTGAAGAACGTCGCTGCTCAGAACTTCATGACCTTCCCCCAAGCAATGTGTCAACCTAGGACACTCGACAAAGAGTTGATTCATCTCCTGGTAACATGGCTCTTGGAGATCAAAGTGCACCCACTCCAGGCTCCTGCACGTCCTGCCCAGCTCCGCAACAAGATCTCCCGTGGTGGCTCCAAGATGCAAGCGGACCAAATGCGGCATCGAGTGCACAAAGTGTGGTATGGTCGGGTTCCCGTGGCTTGTCGAACAGAAAAACGTCTGAAGCGGGTAGTCCTGCTTTGAAGCTCCCAATTCCGAAAGATCGCCTGCATAGCCTCTGTCATCATAACTTGATAGCAAGAGATACTCCAATGATGGCAGCGCGCTCAACGCTTCCTTGAGTTCTCGATGAGACAATCCTGGCACCGTCAACTTTTTCAGCCCCCTGAACCGGACCTTGCCAGCAACGAGGTCCGAGAAGCGAACGGTCACAAGCGTCTCCAGACTGGAATGCTCAATGATCTCATTCGACGCGACCGGGTTCAATCCCACGATAGTTCCTCCAAGTGTAAGGTGCTGGAGTCCCGAGAACGCCTTTAAAATGGATCGCAGGTGAGGGACTCTGATGGCGCAATGGAAGCGTAGAGTGCGAAGAGTGCTGCAGGAGTCGAAAGGAGTACGATCCATTTCCAGGAAACTCACGGTCGGACACACGTATGTTATAATGTGTGGGAAGAGACGTCCAAGTCGGGGAAGCACGAATTCGACAATGCCCTTCCCGAGTTCGAGGTGTCGCACCTGTGTCAACGCCGAGAATGCCTGAAGGAGGTACGCCTCTGTCGCCGCATCTTCGGTTGTCGATTTGAATCCCCAGAAGGTTGGTGTACTGGTGGCAGACTTGAACTCGATCGACCGGAGGTGAGGGTTGTTGAAGACCAGTTGCCAGCAGAGTTGTGACCGAAGTGTCATTATCCGTTTGTACAATTTGGAGAGCGACTTGTCGGATGGGATGTGGAATATGCTATCCGGTACCGTCACTTCGCTTGGGACCTCGTCAAGATGAAACACATTGCTGGGATATGTCCACTCGTTGAATCGCCCTCCAAAGACAAGTGATTCGAGGTTGGTAATGTTGGACAAGATGGCGGTGGACAAGAGCCAGCGTTCGGCGATCAGCAGATGTCGGATGTGGTGAGCATGAGCGAGAAGGGGTGGTGCTCTGAACTGTTTTGGGTTGCAATTAGGATGGGGTCGAAGGAGACGAGTCCATGGATTCCTGGAGTCGTCGACGGTGTTCCAGAAGTAGGGTGTGAATATGTCGCACCATTGTCGACATACTCGGGAGCAAGGCAGATAGGAGGAGGTGTCACAGAAGGAGGCGACTAATAACAGCACCTCTGGTATGAGCATCGACGGATGGAGGCAGGAAGGTCGCAGAGGTGGCGAGCAAGAAAGAAGAGAGGGAAAAGCAGAAAGAAAAGAGGGACAGCAAGATTCAGGGCCATCACCAATGAATGTGCGTGAAAGACAGGGTAATATCATGGCAACAGGCAAGCTGTGCTGAGTCCAGCCATGGAGCAGCTTTCACCAGCGCAGCTAAACCTGGATAAGGCGTCGTGCCTGTTATACTTTGGTCCCTCTTGGTTTCCCTTGGTCATGCCAAAGAACAAGTGCCAATTGCCCATTGTTTTTTTTTGGTTTGCTTTATGAGCCAGACCTTTGTCAGCAATCAGGTGCAACTTGGCCCATGTATGTTTGTGGGAGAAATTCCAGCCCCTGTCTTTTTTTTTTTCATCTGTTGGTTGCTGATTTTCTTCCTCCCCTTGTTAGCTACTTTCTCACCATACCATTTCATCAACTCGATTCTTTTTTTTTTTCTTTTCCTTTCTTTTCTTTCCACTTTTACTCTCTTCCTCACCCGACACATTCTCCTTCCTCACCCCAAAACGGCCCACAAGTTTGTTCAACATGACTTCATCCCCCAACGACCGCACCATCAGGTACTATCAACTTGGCGACTTTGAGCTCCAGTCTGGCGAGATCCTGACGGCGGCCTACATCGCCTACCTGACCTACGGTTCCCCCTCCAACCCCTGCGTCCTCTACCCTACCTGGTATTCTGGCACCATCGTCGCTGGAAACGAATGGCTCATCTCCACCCCCGAGCATCCTCGCCGTGCCCTTGACCCCGAAAGGTTTGTATAAAGTTCTCCGCCTTGGAACCTCGAACCGTTGGGTTGGAGCGGCAACCTTAAAAGGACCCCTAAATCTCACATGGGTCTCTTCTCCTTTTACCACTCTGAATATTTCTCTGTGATGTTCAACAAGGTACTTCATCGTCGTACCTGCTCTCTTTGGAAACGGTGAATCCACTTCACCCTCCAATACCACCGGTCCCAAAGGCGGGGTCAACATGCCAAAGACAACCTTCTACGACAACGTCAAGGCCCAACACCAGCTCTTGACTCAAGGTCTGGGGATCACCGACCAGATTGCCGTCCTGGGTTGGAGCATGGGAGCCGGACAGGCCTTCCAGTGGGCATCCCAGTACCCGGACATGGTCAAGCTCGCTGTGCCCTTTTGCGGTTCGGCTCGGACCTCATTCCATAACTGGGTATTCCTCGAGGCCGTCAAGGGTGCCATTCTTGCCGACACTGAGGGCTACTGTAAAGGTCGATATATGGAAGAGAAGGGCCAGCAGCCTCTTGTCGGATTGAAGACTCTGGGAAGAGTGTATGCCGGATGGGGATTCAGCCAGGCATTTTATCGCGAGAAGGGGTTCGAGAAGTATTATGGGATCGAGGGAGTCGAGAGGGTGATGGTCGAGTTCTGGGAGAAGTGGTCGACGAGCAAGGATGCTAACAATATGCTGCACATGCTCTGGACCTGGCAGCATGGGGATATCTCTGCCCAGCCCCTCTACGCCGGCAAGTCTGGTCTCGCAGAGGCTGACCGTCGTCTCTCTGACCGTGGTCTGGGCCGTCCCGGTGCAGGATCGCAACATGATGAAGATGCCTTTGAAAGAGCGCTGAAGGGTATTCAAGGCAAGGTCTTGATCATGCCCTGTGATAACGACCTGTATTTCCCTCCTGAGGACAGCCAAATTGAGAAGGATTACATTGGTGACAATGCTGAATTGAAGGTCATTAAGAGCATTTGGGGTCATTGGGCTGGAGGACCGGGTGACAGCAAAGAGGATGCCAAGTTCCTTGACGACTCAATCAATGTTAGTTCCTTTTTCAGCAAGAAAATATTTGTTGGTGCTATGGCAGGTCAATAATAATGTGCATGACTGACAACGTCTTTTTTTGTCTTTTCTCTAGACTTTCTTCAAGCAGAACGATTTCTAGGGCAATGCACCTGTGAATGATTTCGTTTCCTTTTTCCGTCCTATGGTTCACCAACCATGTTTGACGGTGGCTTATTTAAAAATTAAAATGGCAGTTGCATACCAATTGGCGTCGTTTTCTCATGTGCGAATGTATGTTGGTATATCTATTTCAGAGAAAAATGGCGGTAGTACAATGACCACTTGCGAATAGATACAAGGACCACTTGTGAAGGGATACAAAGACAGTTGTTGTCTATCGCTACAGCCACCTCTGGTTTTCTGTTACAATCACCTTTTCAAAGCCACCCAATGTTTAGTGAGTTCTCTGGAATGCCCGCCCCTGGCTCAACAGATATTTGATGACCATGACCTACCAGTTTATTTGAGTCTGTTGGACGCATCCAGGACGGCGCAGGAGTGTAAACGGTGTGAATTGGTGAGTCTTCATCGTCGTGGTGGATCAAAGGTTTGACCGATTTTGTTGGTCTGGAAGGAGCTTTTTGACATTGGCGTTGACCTACAATTGAAGCTATCGTCCTCGACACTCGCCATTGAATCTAATTTCTCAAAAACGATATCGCCATACGTGGGTCCGGAAACGTTAAAGGAGTAACCCCATGGCACCCCAAAGATCGATATGAAAAAAAGCCTATTCACCTGCTCGATAGCTGTGTGAATTCAAGAGGGCCTATCCGCTAGCTAAACCTAATTTGCAACAAGCACGCGCCACAATAAAATAAAATAAAATAAAATAAAATGTATTTATTTATTGTCTCCCAATGCAGAGGTGTGAGTACCACTACATCACGTCCTTCCATTCACCTCTTAAAGCCTGTACAACGTCTCATGAACAACATCCGGCCTCAACATCTGCATGTACTCCCGCAACTCTTTCCTCTTGGCGTCAGGCTCAACCCTCGGAAAGATATCCACATGAATTCCCCGCATGACTTTCAGCTTTGGCCAGTTGACTGCCATCCAGTCTAGCTCCACCTTATCCATCCGGTGGTCGACCCCCTCGAATCCAAACACCTCCAGGTCCTTCAACGTCATGAGTTGGTTGAACCCCGAGATCAATGTCAGGTCCAGTGTGCCGTCGATAGGTGATGCGTACTTGGCATAATACCCGTCATCGGGTTCGTCAAAGACGTCATCATACTCGTCGTCCTCGCCATCGGTTCGCATGTCAAGGTGCCCTGTGATCGACCGCCACTCCTGTCCAAGCTCCAGCTCCCTGAGCTTTGTCATCGTCGAAAACTGTTTGTACACCTTGCGATGCCGTTCCTGGTTCCGGTAGACCTCGTCAAGCAGCGCCATCTCCTCTGCCGGTGTTGTTGTTGCTGCCCGTCCTGCCGGTCCACCATCATCATCGTCATTGCTCTCAGAACTGACAGATAGCAACCGATTCAGCACACTAGAGTTCACCTCGTCCAGCCAATACATCCCAACAATCTGACACCGGAACGTCTCCAACTCTAGACAGACCATCTCACAGTTCATAAAACTGTCGCCTACAATCCTGTGCGCCGCCGTATCCAGAACCCTCAGAGACGGACATCCAGTCAACAGCGGTACCACAATATCAGTCGCCCGTGGAACCGCCCGAGGATCATTATCCATACCAAACGTATCCAGTTCGCGAACCACCTCCAAATTCCTGCAATGCTCCGCAAGGATCTGCGACGTCCGCAACTGCAAGCTCTCACACACAAACTCTCGCAGCTCGGGCACCCACGGAAGAATCGCCATCAAGTTCCGGTAGTCCATAAACCCCCTCCTGCGAAGACACAATCGCCGCAGAGACAGACTCGGCATGTTCTCCATCACAGCCTTGGCCTCTTCTGCCGCCGCATGATCGTTCTCAAAAGATTCTTGGTCGAACCCTCCCGAGAGCAGCAACGTCTCCAGATTCGGCAAGTGTCGCAACAGACTAAACACGCATCGCATCCCCGTCTCGTGAACGAGCTCCACTTCCCTGAGGCTTCCTCCTGTAAACGTCCTGTGAAGAAGCTGGCCATTATGACTCATCAGTTGGAACCTTCCCGGTGCGCGCAACATTTCCAACTGCGGTGCTGCTTCTAGGATCCTGTTAAAGTCTGCAGCTACGTCGTTGATCTCCAGTTCTGTGAGTCTCGACAGTTTGCCGAGGGTGTCGTACATGATGGACGTGATTGATGTTGGTTCGCAGGACGAGGCGATGGAGTTTCTGGGTCTTAGGGACTGGTCCATTCGCAGAGTTGTCAACGTGGTTTGATTTTGGAGTGCCAGTGTCAAGACCGACTCGACAAGCGTCTTGTAATTCTCACTGTCCGTCGATAGCGCAGCAGCCCGATAGCGGTCGGACACAGAGCGGTAAATACTGAGAGTGCAGAGTTGGCTTGAGACGGCCCCGGCGCTGGTTGCTGCGTTGATCATGTCCCCGTTTCGAAGATCGAGGTGTTGAATAAACCGCCCATATTTCTGGAAGATGTGTCGTATCAACGTATCGTCTTCCTTGTTAGTGCTATTGTTGTTACCCTGCTCCTTGAGGAACCCGCGAAAGATGTGTCGTATCAACGTCTCGTCTTCCTTGTTAGTGCTATTGCTGTTACTCCTCTGCTCTTCGAGGAACCTAGGCCAGGAGAAGGTGCTGTCATCGATGGAGCGCCAGAGATGCGGGATAAAGACTTGGTTCCAGAAGCGACAGACTTGGATGCATTGAAGGAGGTCGTGGTGTGTTAGACTGGGTACGAGGAAGGCCAGGAGCTCTGGCAAGGAGGCAAAGGTCCTCGAGGCTAGGGTTTGCTCTGCCGACATGAGCTCCGTTGTTGGTTTTTTTGTGGGTAAGGTGGATGAGGAATGGGATGGAATGAAAAGAGAAAGAAAAAATGATCAAGAAAGAAGAGAAGAGGAGTGCGAGTGGAATTGAAAGTGAATACAAGAAAGAGAAATAAAGAACACGAAGGTAGAAAAAGGCATGTCAGGTTGCTGGCGGTCATGGATGTGGTGAGCCTAATACCTTTTTTTTTTGTATTTGATTTGTTCCATTTTTTTTTCTCTTTCTCGCACTTTAACCTTTCACACTCCCGCCCCTCCTTCAACTCACAATATGACACCACCGCAACACCACCACCAACGTAAAGCTCTCCAGGACGCAACCCAAATCCCAGAACTCCTCCTCCTCATGGCCCCACATTGGGCACCCCAAGACCTCAACGTATGCATACAAGTCTGTCGAACCTGGCACCAGACCCTCGCCCCTTTCCTCTGGCACACCATCGACGACAGACTCCTAGCTTGGCCACGCATCCTCGCCTCCCACGATACCTTCACCCTCTCATCCTCCTCCCCGGGAGTCAAGGGGTACTTCTGGATCCAGTCGGGATTTACTCGTTATGGGCATCTTATTCGACACCTACGACTTAGTTGGAGGGTACTTGTTGATATCGCTTTTGAGACGGGTGTTTGTACGCGGCTTGAGTCCCTGGAGACATTCAATCTGGCGCTTCACAGGACCAGGAAGGAACAGGAGGAACTGCGTCGACTTTCGAACCTTTCAATTGCAGATGGGGGAATGACATACGACCAGCGCAGGAACGTGGCGGTCGAGGGACCGTTACTCTCGCCCGACTTTGAGGGTGTCTTTTCGCCGAGCGAGATTGAATGGAGGTCAGTCGAGGAGCAGAAGCGGGATTGGTCGACTGCTCAGAATTTCTGGTTGCTCGTCATGGTTAATAAGGCAACGCTCAGGACCCTGCGTCTAGATCGAAGTCTCGACTCGCTTGCTCATCTCGACACTAACTTTTTGTTGGACACTTTGGCAACCTTGCCGCATCTGACGGAACTTGACAACACATTACTCAAGATCGATATCAGAGATGTTCTGGACCGATTGCCCAGTCTCCGCAGCAATCGATCTTCAAACTATGAGCTCCCTTTCCAAGTCCTCACAAAGTCTTACGACCACCTCCGCGCCCTAGAGATCTACAACCCCCTCCCGAGCAAGACCTTCTTCAGTCTCCTTAGCTGTCTCCCCAACCTAGAAGACCTCCGGATAAGCGAATTCGTCCGGCGAGAATTCTTTGTCGACAACCCCGAGATAATGCTCAATAACACCCCAACCCGCCTCAAGGGCCTCCACATCATGTCGGGAGCCGCCCATCTTGGCCCACGACTCGCAGAACGCATCATCCCGTGGATCCCCCTCCTGACCTCCTTTACCATCGACCGCCTCCAGGACGAAACTGCAGAGGCCCTCTTCATCCACTGCAAGAACCTCGAAACTATCCGTCAATCAGACGACGGCTGCACACTGTACGATATCCAATACGACAGCCTTCGCCCCATTAATCCCGATAACATCCCACGCCCCACCAGCAAACTCTTCAAACTCCTCCAAGACTACCCCTCCCTCAAAATCCTCGATAGGATCGACCAACGCCTTGTCGCCGCCGACCTACTCGCCCAGACCTGGGCCCCTCTCACAAAACTCAAGGTCTTTCGCTGCCAAATCGTCAATGTCAACCGCCTCACACCTTCGGAAGAAACCATGCTCGCACACACTTCCCCATCATGGCTCCCCCGCCCCAACGAAGCCTTAACACTAATCACCAAACACACCCAATCCACCGCCCTCCAAAAGGCCATCCTTTCCCGCCTCGGAACCCTAACAAACCTCCGTGTCCTCGACCTGGGCTATGAATGGCGCGACGTCTGGGCAGACTCCCGCTCCCGCTCCGAGTGCCGACGGTACACATCCAACACTCAAGAATACATTAGATACGGCACACCCTACAAAAACACTCTCGAGCTAACCTTGTCCACAGGACTAACCCACCTCTCGGAACTCCGTCACCTACAAGTCTTTGGATTCGAAGGCGTCGATCACCGGATTGGGAAACAAGAACTGGAATGGATGGCCGTCCACTGGCCGAAACTGAAGATCATGCGCGGGTTACAGGAGGACGACCATCTTGTCCAAATCGAACCCGACCCGGTCAAGACCGAACTCAGGCGATATATGGAGATGCTTCGCCCAGATGTGAAACATGAGTCCCTAAGTCGCCAGGGGTCCCGCAAAATGTGAGCAAAGTGTTAGTTAGTTTTAGTTGCTTTTGTACGCACTTTTTTCATCTTCATAAAGCAGCACAGTGTTATAGATGTTTGGGTTGCTTGTTTGCTTTTTTATTTAGTTTTCGGTTTTGGGTAATAAAGATACAAGGTGTGTGTGTGTGTGTGTGTGTGCGCGAGAACTGGATGGTAATGTCAAAAAGAGGGATATAACAGAGAGAGTATAAACTTAGAAAGGTCGGGGAGAAAGTCCATCAATATCTGACGACGTAGCGCTTCCAGAGGCAGCGGGCGACAAGGCTGTGGTGTCTCCGTACTCGAGCTCACTTGGCAGATACACAAACGATGTGGGGTCGTTCCGTGGATGCTCCGCTGGCAAGTTGACGTGCATATAAAAGGTGTCGTGGATCATTTGGCCTGTGAACGACTGCAACACCGCCTCCTCCGTCATGACCTGGCTACCGGGGGAGCCGATCGTCGATGGCGATGAGGGTGCTCCCGAGGGTTCTGGAGTCACTCCAGAGACGCCGTTGGTATGTTGGTAGCCGTACTGATGTTGCTGTTGTTGATGTTGCTGCTGTGACAGAAGAGGCGATCCTTGTGCCAAGTTGTTGTGCGACTTCATGGCCTGCATCATCGGTGAGACTGACGAGGCTGCGATGGACCGCGGTGAGAATGTAGACGAGGTGTTGTTGACAGATCGGTGATTCTGTGGCGGTGAAACAGCCGTAGCCAAAGACGATGCAGGCGATGGCATAGAGTGTTGGCCACGAGGAGTCGATGTCAAGAACACATCATCAAGCAACCCAGACGGCGCCGTCACTGTTGACGATCCATTGCTGCGCTGAGAAGCATAACCACTGGAAGCCGCATTCGAGAAGAGTGCCTCCTGGCGTGGATCAAACGTCATCGACTGAATGTCAATCAGATCCTCTCCTGGAAGGTGGAAGAAGCCAGGGTTCATCAGCAGGTCTTGAGAATTGCTGCCCAAAGTCGGTGTCTGTTGGCCGTTGGGCATCCAGGCTGAAGATAGCACGGCCTGCTGTTGCTGCTGTTGTTGTGGATCGCTCGAGGAAGACATCTGTTGACCGAAAGAGTCGAAGGACGGACCCATCAGTGCTGAACCCTGCAAATATGATGGCTGCTGACCATGGAACAGGACAGAGGTTTGGAAAGGAATTCCCTGTTGCTGTTGTTGCTGGGCTTGTTGCATTTGAGGGCTCTGATGCTGCTGTTGTTGCTGTTGCTGTTGCTGTTGTTGACGCTGTTGACGTTGTTGTTGCTGTTGCTGCTGTTGTTGCTGTTGCTGCTGAAGAATTTGCTGGTGCTGTTGTTGACGAAGGAGATGCTGCTGCTGTTGCTGAAGATAAGCCTGCTTCATTTGTGAAGATTGGTTCATCTGCTGCTGCATGCGTTGCTGCTGTTGTTGTTGTTGATGTTGTTGTTGTTGTTGTTGTTGTTGTTGTTGTTGTTGTTGTTGTTGTTGTTGCAAGAGCATATGTTGCTGTTGCTGCTGATGCATCTGCTGAATCTGTTGTGTTGGTGCTTGCTGCTGCATGTGAGGCTGCTGTTGGAATTGTTGGTGCTGCTGTAATTGCTGCTGTTGCTGTAACTGTTGCTGTTGTTGGAGCTGTTGCTGACGTAATTGTTCCTTAGCAAGCAGCTTTGCCTGCAACAACTGTCGATGCTTTGCCCCCGCCGCTTCCTTGGCCAAATCCAAACTCGTCCGTTGCTGAGCCAAGGCAGCTCGGCAAGAGGCTAAAAGGTCGGCCACCTCGGACCTCTTGGAGCGGTGGATCCTGAAGAACTGCAGGTTTTCGACTTGCTCCACATAGTCCATCGACTTTTGAAGGTCCCGTCTTGACTCCTTGGCAAGGGTGGTGTCGACAGTGCATTTGGAGTTGCGGAGATGGATTCGGATCGCAAAGTTAAGGGCATACCGTGCAGGTGTGTTTTGCTCAAACGTCCTGGGTGCCTCGGTCAACAAAATGCCAGCAATCCTCGTGATCTCCTTGGCAGCTTGCGTGCAGTATCCTTGGGAATCTGGAGGACCACCTTCTTGTGGGGGCTGGAAGGCTTCTGGACTCTTGGGGTTGGGCAAGTAAGGGTGGTGGAGCAAGATGATGAGAGCGTAGCAAAGCAACTGAGCGCCAGCAGCCAGGGTCTTAATGTCGGATGTTATCGATCCCTTGCTAGGAAGGAAATCAAATGCGACAGGTAAATGTTCTTGCCACTCAACCAAAGCCTTGTCCAGACGATCCAAGTTGTCCAGGAGAACCTCCTGTGAGGGTGGTGGGCGACGAGTGACCAGCTTTGAGTTCTTGCGGATCCCGCGGCAAATCTTCCAACCGTGCACACAGTGAATCATGTACTGGTCCGAAAAGGTCTCTCCTTCAGGTCCCAGGTCACCGGCCTCAAATATGTCGACTGTGATTTCCTCGTCGTTGATCAAAGTGGGTTTCCCTCCAATGGCGGATGAGGTCGAGTCAAAGATGAAAGCACACCAGAAAACGCGTGATCTGTATGCTCGTACGAAGCGATTCACAGTGTCGTCCAGTTTGGTGTGAAGACTCATGTCGAGGGCCATGGTGATGGCCTGGCTGATGAATCCTGAACGCTGGGCGGGTGACTTGTGTCCAATCGCAAAGAGCAGCAATGCCTGAACAGTGCAGAGATGTGTTGTCAGGTACTTTTTCTCAAGAAGGGCTATAACAAGGTGTAAATAAGGAATTAGTTCTTAGTACAGTTCACAGAACATATCCGCTTCAACTGTAAATAAGATAATCAATTGCTCGTTTTCGTAAGTGGAAGAAGACATACCTTGTCCGCGCAAAAAAAAGTCTTCGCCAACAGTGCCTTCGTCCTCAGAGTCCTTTCTCAGAGGGATAGTGTTGGTCGAGAACATAGAGCCACAGTAGTAGACGGCGTTGCAGAGCAGCAGACAGTGGGGGATGTGGATGTTTTCCTCGCACACCCGGAGGACGTCGCGCTGCACCATTGGTAACAGCAAATAATGGTTCTAGAAGCAAACGAAAAAAATAGGTAAATAAATGGTTTGAATGAGAAACAGATGATTGGTCGAACCTACTTTGGCTAGATAGCGTATCGCTGACTATGGTACGGTCAGGAAGCACGTCGATTTGTCAGACAAAAGGGCAAAGGCCCAAGAGAGTGAATGGGGGGGTAAGAGAGAGAGGCGTACCTTGTAATACAGCTCAACAAGATGTTTTCGGGTGGCAGGGTCGGGAAGAATCTGCATGTCCAGGGGCACAACCTCGTCGTCCGCGTTGTTGGTCGAACGGATCTGACCCCAGAGATCTTCCTCGTCTAGGTCCCGCTCCACTGGTGCTCCTCCATCCGTGCCAAAGCTAGCCGATCCACTGAGTGTCGTCTCAGACAGCAATGCTGATAGGGCTTCCATTTCCTCCTGAGTCGTCACTTTCGAAGCTACTATTGAAGCAGAACCAGCAGCAACAGGAGCTGCCATGCCGTTGGCACCATAATTGTGGACGGCATTCTGTGGACTTGTGGAGGACTATTAACGCCGACAGAGTTTGATGACAACAATGTAGGTATGGTGAGCAGACGATGTAAAAAGAAAACTCTGTTAGGGCCTACGGTGGCATTGTCTCGGAGAATTCATTATTCATTTGAATGCAGCAAAAAATGAGAAGGATGAAGGCCAAATGTCGTTTTTGGTAATCAACGCTCTCTCCGTTGTTTGTGGAGGATGAGTGTCAAATAGAAAAGAGTAAAAAAAAAAAGCGTGGGGCGGGTAAGACAAAGAGGGCTATGTCCCGTGTCTCTTTGATATTTGTCTGTCCTGTCGGGGATATTGAGTGAGATTGTCGCCCACAGTCTTCTTCCACGCTCGGCCTTGTTGGCTCTAACAGGTTTCTATGTCAGTATCGGGTCTTCTTCTTCTTGCTCCTCAAGGAAACATCCACCTAAAAAAATGCCCTTCCTGGCTCAGGCCTGTCTCGTCTTCTCCTGCACTGTCCTCTCTGACACAATCCAATCGATATCATCCTGTCTTGCCCGGTAGAAAAAGGTCTCTCCAAGAAGAAAAAAAACAAAAAGGGGAGACTGCTCTACTCACCTCGGAGGAATATGCCCCATTGACCGTAGTGGGTGCTCCCACAAGGTCAGGGTGATATCGAGCATCCTGTGGCTGTTGTTGTTGTTGCTGCTGCTGCTGCTGTGGATATAGCGGTTGTTGATACGGTTGCTGTCCTCCAAAGGTATTACTGGCAACTCCATTGTTGCCACCAAGCATCGATTGATCGAGGTGGAGGAGCTGAGCTGGCAGTTGCTGATGTTGGATCGAGATGGGCTGTTTGTAGACAGGTCCAACCGTATTCCTGCCATTGACTCCCGCGTTGGTACTACTGTTGTTGTTGATCTGGTTGTTGGTGTTGAGGAGGGATATGTGCGGCTGTTGAGAACCAGCAAAAGGGGGTACGGCGACGACGGTGGAAGCTGCGGAGAAGGCGGTTGAACTTGGTTGCTTCCTCTTCTGTCCACCCTTGAACCTCTTCGCACCCTCCTGGTTCTGGGGGAAGGGCTCGTCCGAGGATTCAGTCATGACTGGTGGTTATGTTGTCACGGGAGGGGAAAGGGAGGAGGGTGAAGTGATGGTGGGAGATGATGTGGTGAGAGGAGTAGGGCTAATCTCTCACTCTGTCACTTGTCTTTTGGCGTTCTCGTATGTTCTCGTGTGTTCTCGTGTGTCTGTATCTGTTTATGTGTATGGTGCAGGTGTGGTGTAGGTGTGAGTGAGTGAGTGAGTTGAGGCGAAGGGGGATGAAGAGGAAAGGAGAGAAAAGGAAAAAGGAGAAAGAAAGAAAAAAAAATCAACAACAGACACGACGTTCAGAAAAAGAGTTTGTTTTTACGTGTTTCTGTTTGGTTTTTTTTTTGGTCCAAGGGAACGACACACATCTTCCCCTTGTTCTCAAAAAGAGAATTTTCTCCTGCATTCGTTGTTCTTTCAACTGATATCATTTTCTAGCCATCACCCTTACCACGTCATTGTCGTACGTCGTTGTCTTGGAGCACTGCATCACAGCTATTAGTGTGATCGGATATGAATGAACATATAAAGCAATTGAGAGTGTAGAAAAAAAACAAGGCGGAGGAGCAAAGGACAACATAAGGCGTAATTCCCGATTGTTGTTGTTGTTGTAGCTGTAGTTGTTGTTGTAGCTGCAGTTGTTGTTGTAGCTGTAGTTGTTCTTGTAGCTGTAGTTGTTGTTGTAGCTGTAGTTGTTCTTGTTGTTGTTGTGTCGTTGTTGTCAAAACAATTGGTTTCTTTCTCTTTTTCGTTTTCTTTGTCAGTCAGTCGGTCAATTGCTGTTGCTTTTGCACGCGTCCAAACGAGTCTCGGTGCTTTGTTTTCTTTGTTCCTCCTCTCGCCTCCACATCTCTCGACATACATCCAAACATCAACAAAAGGAGGTCCCTTTTCTCCAACTAGACTTGACAATCCAGACAACAGAAACACTGATCCACAAGTGCCCTACAGAGGACGGACTACAATGACAATAACAACCTGCATGACAGACAAAGACAGACCACAGACCAATTCTCGTCGCCTATCCACAATGCATGTCGATAGGAGAGAAAGGGAGAGACAAGTCGGAAGGGGAAGGAAGAAGAGGGAGAGAGGGGAATGGACATGTGCGTCTGTGTGTTAGCGGGTTGAGAAAGGGGAAGAAACGGGAAGAGTGGAAGAGTGGGTTCCAGGCGTCCCCTTTTTGTCTCTCGTCTTCCTTCAGCCGCGGCTCGCGAGGCGGAGGAGGGAAGGAAGCAGATGGAAAAGTGAACAGCCGAGAATCCGTTGCTGGGACAAAATGAATAAGCGCCCATGCATGTCTTCTTTCTTCTTACTTCATCTTTTTCAACATTCCCTTGTGCTTCATGCTCTTTCCTTTATCCTCCATGGGATACGATATCCTGGCAAGGAATGGTTCATTTGAGTTCAAGAGTTCATAAGTGGGAGAAACTTCCTGCCTCTTTCTCAATGCCAAATTTTGTTTTGCTCCTTCGCATGTCTGCAGCGAAGATATTGATCTGCTCTCTCTGTACAACCATCCCCTTCTATAGTTGCCACTTCCTCCGCGGAAGCACTATTTGTGGTTATTGATATTGTTGTTGCTATCCATGAAAAGAGTGTTGCTGTTCCCTCCCTTTTCCCTGCAATCTTCCATCGCCCTGTCTCTCTCTTACAACCCTGCCTCAAAAGAAAGGAGATACCCTACCCGCTGTGCTCTTTGCCCACTTTCTATGCATTTCATTACAGTTTGATGAACTACTGAAAAAAAGAATTGTCGGTTGTTGTTTTCCTTTTATCTTGTAGCAATACCGAGCAAATCTACCCCAGCCCACCCCTCGTCGACCCTTTCGTTCACTCACTCCATCTTCATACTCCTTCTCTTCTGTTTATCCTTGCACCCTTTCAGTCGCATATCTCTCAACGTTGAAAGAGAAACATTTCAGATTCGAACTCTTTTTGGTCGCATGGAAACAACGGAACTGTGGAGGGACACACTTTATGTTGTTCCTATCACCAAAACGGCGTTTCCTTCTTCATTCATTCGGCTCGGTTTTTCCGCTGCTATCTTGAACCTACACACCAAGCTATTCTTTTTTTTCACTAAGCGAGTACAGTATGACAAAGCGGTGTAAGCAGAATACATTAGCATCCCTCGCCTCCTCCCCACTCTAGACCCAAACACCCACACAACTCGCACATCAAATTGGCATGCACGATTGCCATCCCCTTGTCGTTTGCATAACGACGGAGGGGCGGACATTCTACTCTCACCCTCATCAATTTTCAAAGCCAGCAAGAAGAGCTCCTCCCTTACGTTTTTTTATCGTGTTGCATCGAAGCATATGAAGTACATGTAACACGTCAACAAAAAAAAATGCACAATTGGCCAAGCAGTATGGCCTTTTAGCTGTATGTTGTGACTTGTTTTGGCTGCTTGCTCGGACCATCCCTGTGAGAAAAGAATTGTTACAACTGCGGCTCAAATTTTCGCCTGAACCAAGCCCATGTGCCGTTTCGCTGCCTGCATGCTATACATGCGGACAAAAAACATTAAGAACCTACAGCAACAGCAACCGCAACAGTAAGAACAAGAACAATAGCAACAAACAGTGAAAAGAGGCGCGTATCAGAAAAAGAAAGGCCCAGTTTATTTGTTTTTGGAAAGTTGAGCTCAGCTCTGTGAGCCTAGCGAATACTGGAATTTTCCACTAGTTGGGTGGCGAAGGAAAACAAATAGCTTTTGTAGGCGAATAAGAGTGTGATTGATCAAGTTCTGGTTTGATTTCTTTTCCTTCATCGATTGGCTGGGGTTCGTCTACCTATCATTTTCTCGCTAAAGTCTAAAACTACCCTCTGGCTCGGATCATGAACTTTTCTACCAAGATGCGGAAGCATACGTTCTGTTCTCGATGAGTCATGTAGGTAAGTCTAAGAGTTCACGATGGGTCTCATTTGGCGTGGTACTTTGAGCCACTCTTTATTTTCTTTCAGCCGCCAAACTTCATGGTAATGAGCAAATAAGCGGAAATAAAGGCGCCAGGTGGAGAACAGGAAGCTGCTATAGAACATGAACATGTCCCGTGTGATGATATGTGGTGCCCCTATCATCCACAGCAGTAGCAGTAGTACGGCATGACCAATAATTGACATGATAGATGCCCAATAAACAAGAACACGTTACAGATGGTTCAAACCCTGCATCTCGTGATATGACCATGGGTTCTTTTCATCTTTGATGAGAATACACTCTTCCATAAAAACGAGACAGAGGACAATCAATGAACGAGGCCCTTCTTCTTATGGTTCGCAATATTCAACTTTTTGTTCATAATTCCTTCTTTGTCCCATCCATTGTTCTCTCAATCGATCCACCCGACTTTTTTCTTTCGACACAAATGACAGGAAAACATTGTCTTCCCTTTTTGTATACATTGTTCGCCCTCGCTTTCCCATGCTACAGACAAAGAAGCGTAGAAAGAAATGTGGGCGATTCTCTACCAATTGGAAACGAAGCTGAACCAGGTGCCATCTTGTTTCTTTGACGAGACTGTGGGACATTTTTTCCTTAAAAGATATTACAATGCCTCTGGCTCTGGCCGTGCAAATTGAGGGTGCCGTCCGCTCTTTGTCTCCACTTCGATTTCATTGCTTTGCAGTGGGGATCTCTCAGCCCCATAACCAACTGGCTCTCTTCTTAAAAGGAGGCGCTTTCTCCACGATCTTTGCCAGTTGCTCTTTCTTCTCTCTGTCTCTCTTCTCTTCGTCCTCTTCTGTCCATCCTTCCCTTTCTTCAAGTCCCTTCTCTTTCTACATACACCCTCCCAATACAAAAACAAGCCCCCGTACAGTCAGACAACAACCACCGCCCAAACTTTGCCAACTATACCCAGCAGCTATACCCCTCCCACCCAAGCTTCCTGCTTTGCCATTCCAACGAACCGATGGATTTATACGACCCATCAACCCCCACTTCCTACTGCCCGTCCATGGCCCCGCCGCCTCAAATCTACTCCCAGACACCAACTTTTAACTGGCACAACGCCGACACGCCCATCAAGATCGAGAATGAGCCCGTCATAAAGGACGACATCTTGGAACGCTGCATCGAGGATCGCTGTCTCCGCGCACCCTTTGTCGGCCAAGTCGAGGGCCATTCTCTTGGGTTGCAAGACGATGACGGCGAGTCTAGCCCTTGCTTTTCGAGTCAGTACCTACCAAGAGAGGTGTTCGAGACCTCCTCGTTCGCGACGCTGCTTTCGAATCCTCCACTGTACTCTGAGGAGCAGCAAGACGCCGGTTTCGGTAATCAAAATACCCCAATGGACGCCTCCCAGCCTACTCGCCAAGGCCTCCATGCTTTGGAGATGTATGACGATAGCGATGTGGCCAGCACAACAGCGTTCCGGCCTCGGACTCGTCGATCCACGCCAAGGTCTGCTCTGCGTCCGGCAACAAGATCCTCGTCCAGACTCCAGAACTTGCGCAACCAAGGTCTCGGTCACCAAAACGACTACGAAGATGATCAGCAGCGTGACTACCGAGAGTCAAGTGTGGCCTCGACAGTTATGCGTCGTTTCTCTGATTTGTCGTTGATGTCTGCTGCTTCATCTCCTTCGATCCAAACCTCGTCAGCGCCGTTTTCTACTCCTGCAGCAGCCCCCACTACAATTGCTGCCACGGCATCGTTCTCTGCCACGTCTGCCATCTACTTTCCACCAACCGCCTCTGCGCTGCACCAGAAGCGCCGCAAGGTCCTGAAGCAAGAGCTCCGAGTACCCCGTCCCAAAAACTGTTTCATGCTGTACCGATCCAAAGTCTTGCCTATGATCATGGCCGAGCTCGGAAACATCAACAACAAGATCATCTCCAAGATTGCAGCTGAGAGGTGGCGTGCAGAGTCTGAGCTCGTCAAGACTTGGTACCGCGACATGGCCAAATTTGGCAAGGATGAGCACGCGAGAAACAATCCCGGATACAAGTATGCGCCCTTGAACAAGATGCGGTCGATGGCCGTTACTGCTCTCAGCCACCTCACCCAGTCTCAGCATTCGAGCAACATGGTCACTAGCACTGCCGCTCGCGAATTCGAGGATGTGGATGTGAATGACAACAACAGTGGTGGTGATAAAGGCTATGTCGATGGATCTTCGCGCATCAGACGACGGTCGGCCCGTCAGCGCCAGCAGCCGGCCACCCGGTCCGGTCTCCGGTCTCAGGTCGGCAAGCGACGCAACTCCAATCTTGGTTCAGAGATCTCCTCGCCCTCCCGGAACAAGAAACCGAGGGACAGTATCGACAACCATATCGGTTACTCTCCCATGAACTTTCCGACGGATTCGTTCCCAAGCCTCGCTTCCACAGAGACGACTGGGCTCCCTTTGTTTGCGCAGCAGTATCAGCATCAGGAGTCAGCCTACCAGCCTCATCCTCTCGCTGGCCCTTCCCGTCCACTGCCGGTTTTCCCATATGATGCCCCACCATATACCACTACTTCAGCCATGACGTCGTCGATCTACGGCCTTGCTGGTGACAAGAACGCGAGTGAAGTCACTTTGGTGGATCCGATCGACCACTGGACGAACCACCAGTACCACGAAGCCCCCAGCTACTTTGATCAGGTCAACCTGTCTCCCGCATCAACAACCTTGCTGTCTTCACACTCGGTTGTCCAAAAGTCAAAGATGACCGCTGCTGCTTCTCTGATGTCACCGTCCAAGTTGATGATGATCGACCCCAAGATCCTGATGGAGAAGGAGCTCCCACCCCTGCCTCACGAGATGGCAACTCACAACAACGACAATAATTTATACGCCACCAATAAGTCGTCGCACCCATTTGACCACAACTACAGCGATCCAAACTCGATTTTGACGCAAATGTTCCTGGATTACAACCCGTCTTTCCAACAGAACGCCCAGCACCACCACCACCAACAACATCATCATCGTCAGCACTATCAGCAACAGCAACATCAACACCAACCCAGCGCAACCAGCATCTGTAGTGCTACCGCCGCCACCTTCAGACCTACCGAGTCGTCCTTTTTTGCCATGAAGGAGCCACAGGTCTCGACTGTCGGTGTCGAAATGATGAACATGGGCGCCCCCTCCTCAATTCGTGTCCAGAAGCAAGAGCATATTCAAGTCCAACAACAACAACAGCAACAACAACAACAACAACAACAACAACAACAGCAGCAACAACAACAGCAACAACAGCAGCAACAACAGCAACAACAGCAACAACAAGAAGAAGAACAACAACAACAACTACAACAACAACAACTACAACAACAACGTCAGCACACCCATGAACAGAATCCGTTCCAACAGGCGTTCCAACAGGCGTTCCAACAACATACCCAGCACCAGCAACAGCAACATGCGGTTCATAAACATGCCCAACAGCAGCAGCAACAACAGTTCCAACAATTCATACAGCAGCAACATCAGCTACAGCGCGGATGGTTTCTTCGCAAGCCGACCGGTCCTGCGGGACTCGTGTCGCTGACGAGTGTTTCTGCTCAAGGACCATCCATGCGTGTCGCCGACTTTTTCTCTTCATCCTCCTTGTTCAAATAAGTCGTTTGTCTCTCTAGAGTATTTTTTTTTCTTTTATTCCTTGATTTCCATCTCATTACCGTCAATAAAATCAACAATGAATAAACATCTGCATGGGTAACAACCAAGATGAACCAACCGCTCTCATGAAATGGCTGTTTATGCACAATGCATATCATTTGCCCGCATTGTCCCTCGAGGTTCTCAGGAGACACCCAAAAAAGCGCTTTCCCACGGGTTTGTATCTTTATCTACAAGTCCGCGATTTTTTTTTGTAATGTGAGTGGTCTGAGCTCTCTGTCGCTCCCTTATCTTTCGAACCCAGAACCATTTTTCCTTTTTTTCTCATTCCGTCCTGGACTGGCTGGCATTGGTCGGGATTTGGAGGTCTACTGTACCCAACCGGAACGTAATGAAGAAAGAAGGCCATCACTGCCGCTGAACTGGCCGAACTTTTTTTTTCTTTTTCTTTTTCTTTTTGGTTACTTCGGTTCGTTCACCTCATCCAAGGGTTCGCTTGTTTGTCAAGGGGTGGGTATGCAGCAGAAAGCTGAATTGAAAATGAAAAGATGAAAGAGCTGACCAATTGAAGGAAGAAAAGGAGCAATTGAAAAGCGGGGGTGAGTATCGAAGATAGAAAACGAGAAGGCGACGTCAGCATTGCCGATGATTTGCTAATGGGCGTGAGATTATCGCAACTTCCTTCATGTGTGTGTTTACGTAGGCATGCGGAAGGCAAGTAGAAGAAAAAGCAGAGAGGACGTACAGTACAGAAGGAGGAAGGGAAGAGGTATGAGAGCAACGTAACAAAGTGAGAGGAGGACTAGCATGTGGGGATGGCTATAGGGTGGGGTCGTTTCTGTCGGGGAATACAAAGCATATCGGATCGTCCAAGTTCATAACAACAACAAAGGAACGAGTGGAGAGCAGTGGCCAGGGACAGAAAAAGAAAGTAAAAAGGGAAGTGAAGAAGAGGTGAGTGAGTCATTGAAAGCGGAAGAGGAATTGATCGTATTTACTGCATGGTTTCTTCTTTTTCTTTCTATGAAAGCCATCTCACCCTGTCTTTACTGTTGTTCTTTGTCTGTTTTTGTTGTTTGTTATTGTTATTAAAGGAACAACAAGGGTGTCGCGTTTTTCTCTTCTTTGGTACGTTGTTGTGTTGTCATCAAATAATTCTTCATGGATATTTGTGGTTTGCGTGTGTCGTTTTGCCACCACTCTTTGTTTAAAGAAGCAGGTGGTGCCTGGGTTGGAGTGCCAATTGGTTTTCAGATTGGGTGTGAGACGCGTCTCTTGTCTTTTTTTTTGCCGTCTCTTTTCTTGCGCTGTCTTCTCTCTCTCTTCCTTCTCTTCCTTCTCTTCCTTCCTTCCTTCTTTCCTTCTTTCTATCCTTCTCTTTCAACAGCGAACTACATATAAGATATCATATCTTCTTCTATCGGAACTGATTCAACAACCCAGTCCTCCCAACATCATCCATATCACCATCATTCCTTCTATCAAATAATTTACTCTCTCGCTTATTCATACTCCTTCCCTCTCACTCTTTCTATTCCTCATCTCTCCTCCTCCCTTCACTCTTTAAGCTTCCTTCCGACACCTTCCCTCTTCTCTTCCTTCACCAATCAACTCTCCACTCACTCCATTCACTCCACTCCCTTCACTCACCTACACTCACCTACACTCACATACTCACAACTAACAATCACCACCATTCAACAACAACAGAAAAACCGTGAATGTGCTCGCTCTACAGCATCAACAACAACTCAAAGTTCTCCGGCCAGTCCTCCTTCCAGGTAGTCCTCTGCGCCAAAGACTCTTTTCCTTCTTCGCCACACCATTCCCCTGTTTCCTCTATATCTTCTTCAGCCCCTTGTTCCCCTTCCAGGCGGAAAAAGATGAAGGGTGGTGCTAAATCCCCGATCCTCATCCTCACTCACTCTTCGTCCTCAAATCAACAGCTGCAAGAGATCACCGCTCTCTTCAGCCCTCCATCCTTCCAATCGACATCCCAGTCGTCCTCGCCGGTCTCGACGTCCTCCTCTTCTCCTTCCCTTTCAAACAATAACCCCAGCTCCGCTGCACACTACCGAGCCAACAGCAACTCTTCCTCCACCAGCCCTCCTTCCCTTTCATACCAGCAGCAGCAGCAGCAGCGGCGGAGACAAGAGTCCAACTACGGCACGTCTCACTGGCATCAGTTCCATCAACATCAACATCACCATCACCACCACCACCAAAACTCGTTTGACGCGTCCTTTGAGAACGACCAGGAAAACCACCACCCCTACAGCACAACCTATGCACACAAGCGGGCTTCCTTCCCGATTGATCAACACAGCAACCACTCCTTTTACCACAACAAGAGGAGTAGTGCGAATAGCAATGGGATCCGTGGCAGGGACACTGGGAATGCTCGCTCCGCCCAGGTTCTGAATCCGACCAACTTGCAAATCCATTCCAAAACCTTTTTTCCATCGCAATCAACACCGACTCCAACACATTCCTCCTCCACAACTTTGCTTCTATCGGCACAACAGCAACAATACAACCACAATACCAGCATTAGCAACAGCCAACAACCACAACAGCAGCGTCGCCTTGTGGCCACACAATTGGCAGATCCAGCTGTGATTTCGTTTGCTGCAGCTGCAGCTGCCTCTGTATCAGGAGTAGGAGCAGGAGTAGGAGTAGGAGTAAGAGGAGGAACTTCTTCGAGAATGCCATCATCGCCATCCTCGTCTACCCTTTGTTCTCCTGAATCAACCTCGATCCGTCAAACATCTGTTCAGAGCGGATCGCACACCGCATGGGGCGATATAAAGTCATTTCCGAGCGACCGTACCATTGCAGCAGCTACGGCTACAACGTCATCGTCGTTGACTCTGTCGATATTACCAACTATGACCGGAACAGCTTCAACAACAACACCAGTTGCTACACCAGCGGCCGAGAAAGGGCAGAGTGCTCATGGGTATGTGCAATTGACGATATTGGCCAATGGGAAATGAGCGCACAGTGAAAGAGCAATGTCATCATGTTCATATCATTTTTTTTTTTAGTTTTTTAGTTTTATCTCTATGTCCGACCGATCTTACTGCTTACTCACACTTATTTTATTCTTCCTTCCTTCCCTGCGTTGAAAAGATCCCTGGCAAAGCCAAGGGACAGGTCGCCCTTGGCATCAAGTGTCGATAGCCATGGCCATTCCACCTTTGATAGCGACGAGATGGACCTCCAGCACCACCACTCAGACTCAAACATCGACTCTGACGCATCCATGACTGAGGCCGACACTCTCGACCTTGATCCTGCTACCTGTCAGTTAATGCAGGCTATCCATCCTCGTCATTGCTTTCAACAAAAACAACAACAATCCCACCACAAGACCATCAACTATCGCCATTCCCTTAGCCACCACTTCAACCAGCATTTCCCTCTGCTCTCATCTTCTTGTTCACCCTCCGCAGCCACCGCAGCCACCGCAGCCAATACTGCCGCCGTCGTAGCCACCACAGCCGCTGTGGCAGCAGCAGCAGCAACGTCAGCAATAGCCTCTTCCACCAGAGATGCCGAATCGCCTCTGGAGCGAAAATCGCACTTGAGGCGAAAGTGCGATCGGCTGCAGGTCAAGAATGCGGCCCTCAAGGCGACTGTCATCCAGGTCAAATCGGATTTAGCGCTTGAGCGCCAAAAGCGTTCGACAATGGACCAGATCTACCTCAACATCAGGAAAGATCTGAACCAACGACTCGAATCCGAGGAGGATAAGGTCTTGAGTCTGAAGGCCGATCTGGAACAGATGGCGGCCGAGATGAAAGAGCTCAAGGACCAACTCGCCTCTGCCAGAACCAGATCCACATCCTTCTCGCCCTCGGCTTCCATGTCTTCCCTCTCTGGCCTCAGCCCCAGATCAGCCAATGGATATCGAATCGGGTATGACAACAGCGCCTTCTCGCTCTCGAGGGGCCTCTCTACCTTTGGAGGAGTCCTCGTGCCACACAGCTCGAGCCTGATTGATGGACAGGATGACTCGGAAGAGTTTATGTTGTCGCACTCATACTTGCCCTCGACCAGACGCGCCTCCACCTCTCGACTCGCCAACAAGGATTCTACACTGATGAGCTGCAGTGACGACGAAGCCGACGACGATGATGAGGAGATGGAGGAGGAAGATGAAAGCGATGACGAGCCTTGTGCCGTCAAGAGCACCTTCCTGTTCAAGCAACCGTCCGTCAGCCGCAGAGGCAGCGGTGCTTCCTCCATGTCCTTGCGAACTCTGACCGAGGAAACCATTGAAGAGGAAGAAGAGGAAGACGATGATGATGAAGAACTGGATGAGGAGAATGAAGTCGACAGCGATCTGGAGGATCACGCGGCAGACAAGGATGACAATCACGACTCGGACGCGCCCCGTACGATGATGGAGATTATTCTTCAGCGCCAAAAGTCTCACTCGCCCGAGGATGACATGGAGGATCTACCGGCAGATGCCAACGAGACGTTTGATTCGATGGCTCAAAAGTCTCTCCTCCATGCAATCCACTCCGGTCTCACAGTTGCGCAGGCGCAGCTGCAAATCGAGGAGCTTGTTCTCAAGTACGATGTCCCCCTCGAAAAGACTGTCGAGGCCATTATCCAGGGGATGTTGCGATGGTGGGAGTCTGAGCGCATGGCGACTGGGGGACCTGCCTCGGGAGGGTTTGGGACCGACGCCGTTGTGATCAACAAGGAGACTGGAGAGCAGGCGATCCCCAAGGTGGCGATCGAAAAGCGGATTGAATCGTTCTTCGGGCCTTTGTTGCTCCAGTTTGTGGTGTCGATTGGCGAGCAAAAGATGCTGCTCGAGATGTTGGGCCAGCATGCCCAAGCGGAGCCAGAGGGTAGGTGGCTTAGAAATCACAATGGGATTTTGGTGGCGCTTTACAAGTACGATGTCCTCGACGGCGAAGCCGTCCTTGAATGGTGGCGTGCTCTCGAGGAACCCCAGGGCGTGTTTGGACATGGTGAGAATAACCTTCGCAGTCTGGTGAGTCACCTCTTAGTCACATCTCTTATCTTGTATGACTCGATCGAACTTGTTTTTTTTCATATGGATTGAAGATCTAACCATATTTGCCTTTGTTGATCGTGGCATATAGAACTCGCGATTTGCAGCATGGCTCGAAGACGAGGACGAAGACGAGGACTCTGAGAGCGAGGGTGATGAAGATGATGACACCGACGAGGGCAGTGATTCGGATTCCTCCTGTTCAGAGTTCGAGTCCGATTCTGAGGACGATGACAACGATGATGACGACTATGTGGAGGACGAGGAAGAGGGAAATGATGATGGATCGGCAGACGCCAAGGACGCCAAGGACGCCCTGGATCAGGATGCTGTCGTGGAGGCCATCTTAGATATCGCTTTCCCAGATACTCCATCGCCGTTAATCTCCATCGACCGCAAGGAGTCAGAGAACAGCAACACTACCGGCAACACGAACAGGAGGATCAGTTTTTGTACCAACAACAATTTGTATTATAGTCAGGACGGCAAAGTCCAGCAAAAGCCTGTGCGCAAAGCCAAGAACGTCAACAGCGGCGGTGACGGCATGGATGGAAACGATTGCGAGGCGGGTGAGGAGGAGGAGGAGGAGGAGGAAGAGGAGGAAGGCGATGATGATGCGGGGGACAGCGGTGTGGCCAAGAAGAAGTATGACCAGTGCCCACCGTTCAAGGGGATCATGGACAGAGATATCGAGATCGGATCCATGGCTTAAACCATGCTAATGGTTTCTGTATGCTCTCTCCTCTTTCTTCCTTTCACAACCTACCATCCCATTTTGTAACATCATTTTTGTACATTATTTTTTTTCTTTTTCGCTTTTTTTTCTTATTAAATGGAGTCAGCTTTGGGTTCCAAAAGACACTAGTAAGGATAGTGAACCATGTCCGGCCGCAACTGCTGAAAATACTCCTTCAACGCCGTCCTCTCCAAATCATACTCCATATCCCGTCAACCGCTCCTTAACTAACCCATACATCTTTTTTAACTTTGGCCAGCTCTTTATCATCCAATACAATTCCTTCCTTCCATCCAATACAATTCCTTCCTTCCATCCAATCCTATGGTTCAAGCACTCGAATCCAAATTCTCAAGAGCCGCCAAGCGGGCTCAGTCCAGACTCGAGCGAAAAACTCCAGAGTATCAAAAGTACTTCACGTATCTTCACTGTCATATATATGGTAGAATAAAACAGTGTAAACGCGTCATTATTATTTTATATCGAGAGTAAAAAAAAAAAAAGATGACAAACGAGAAGAGGACATGAGTCCAGCCTCATGCTTGATATCAGGCCTCAGCATCTGCATGTACTCCTGCAGAACAGACTACTCATCACGGCACCTCTCCCCCGGGATATCATTCTCCTGCAGCCCCCGCATCACCTTCAATTTGGGCCTGTAAACCGCCATCCACTCCAGCTCGGCTTTTCCAATCCGATGATCCACTCCTTCAAACCCAAAAACCTCCAGATCCTTCAGGGTCCCAAGACGTCCAAGCCCAGAGACGAGCGGCAGTTCCATGGTGCCTTCAATTGGTTGCCCAAAGGATGGGTACCATTGCAAAAACTCACGAGGTGAGCGGGTGGTTTGAAGCATGGACAGCTCTCGAAACTCGTACCCGAAATCAAGGACGCGTAAGTGGGGTGAATGTCGACAGGCGGTTGTAGACTGTTTTCTGTTGCTCTCGACCGAGTCGTTGACGCTCCTTTAAGTCCTCGTCCACATTTTTACCCTCTGCACTCTCCAGAATCGCTTCCTCAGAGACTGCCAGTCGAGAGATTCCAACAAACTGACAGCGGAGTTCCTCAAGATCAGAACACACCCATTCGTGGCTCTCAAGGTCTTCAAGATCAATCTTGTGGTGGACTCCATCCAGCAGGCGCAAGTCGAGACAGGTCTCCACCAGGTACCGAAAGACGTTTGGAACAGGATCAAACCCATACGGGTAATGGGTCGACTCTTGGATGGTCTCTTGCAAGAACGCCTGGAACCCCTTGCAATGACGGGCCAGACCCATAGTGACATATGGATCAAGCTCTGGGGAAGAGTACTCGATTAAGTCTGTCAACCACGGTAGAACCAACTTCCCCAACCACTCATTCCAATATTTGCTCATGCTTGGCAGATATAACAACTTGATCCCACTTTTCCGGTTCCCCAACAGATGACCAACATTTGTGCACCGCTCCGACTCGGACCGGTATCCTCGCAGGTGAAGATGAAGTAGGCCAGTCAGACTCTTGAGGAGGTGGAGTAACTCTTGACTGTCGACCAGTATGTCCAGCTCAAGAGTCTGTAACGACAACCACTCGTGTCCCACAAAACAGCGGAACCCCGAGGTCCTGTATGAGCGATACGTCTGCAGTCGAGGACAACTCTCCAACACCCGATCCAGCTCGACCGAATTCAGCCTGTTATCCAAAACCGTCAACTGAGGCAACGCCGCCAAAGCCGTGTAGACATACTCGGGCGACATGTCAAACAACTCGCACAGGTTCCATCCAAGCTCCAACGATCTCAGTCCAGGGTTCTCTCGAATAAGCATCCAAAAATACTGACTCGTATACCCAGTCCCCCTCCTGCTGCTCCAAAGTCCTCCACCCCGCAGCCATCGGCCTAAACATATTACCAACAAAATCAAGAGACAAAAAGTCCCCAGTCACCGCAGGTTCCATCCTCTCCTCATACGTCAGCTCGCCTTCCTCCTGGATCTGCTCATACTCTGCCATCTCCTTGGTGGTATACGAGCTCGCAAAGTTATTTGTCGTCAATGACCAGAGTTGTGTACAGGTTTGTCCGAGGTAGACCGCCTCGACTATGACTCGCCACTGCACGCTCAGATGACGGATATGGTACCCGTGCTTTTTGAAGAGGTCGAGGATCCAGACACGGTCTTGTCCATTGTTGGTCTCTAGCTCGTCGTGCGAGTTGAGGATCCCTGGGGCCAGGCTCCTTTACTGTCGTCCATGGAGCTGTAGAGTGTCGGCATAAACGCCTGGTTCCAATCCTGGGACACCTTGACACGGGAGAGTCGATCTTTGTGTGATAGGAGGTTGCCGATGGGTGTTGCGAGTTCGACAAGTCTCACGACCCGTATTGAAGGATTGTCGATATTGAGCGACATTGTGGGTGGAGAAAGAGAACTGGTCCTGACTGCGGATGGATGGGGCGTAGGAGGAAATGAAGAAGCAAAACAATGTATTAAAACCCGAATGGCGCTATTTATGAATTTTGGCATTCGAGCATTGAAGACGCCGCAGGCATAACTGAAAACTTTATTTATATATATATGGCGTAGAAAAAGTGTGAAGGCAGAGTGGGGTGGGGATATCATATTCTAAATGAAATTCTTGTACAAAGGGGTAAAAAAAAAGTGTATGTGGTTGCTCTAAGTTCGACCCTCCGTAAGTCTTCGGTGAGGGGATTGTTTAAAAATGTAAAGGAAGCATAAAAAAAAGGCATACGGCGTTACGGTGAGGTAGGGGGAGCAAACGAGAAGTGATGGTGTTGTTGGTGGTGTTGGTAGTGTGAATGAGGAGAAATCACCTGCTGGGGTGAAAACTGCGTCGGCATGTGATGTTGCCGAGTCTGTTGGTGCTGCTGAGGCTGAAATCCTGTCGGAACCTGAGGATACTGTGGGTATGATGATTGCGTTGGGTAATGATGTCCGTACGGAGATGCGTAATATGGGCTCAATGGAGTCTTGGGAGCGGGTAGGCTTCTAGGAGACGTGGGAGAGGAGATTCCGCCGGCAGAGTTGACTTGATGGCGTGTGGTGTGATGTTGGCGTTGCTGGTGGTGGTGATGGTGGTGGTGGTGGTGAGGGTGCTGATGAGCAGTCGGTGTTGGAGGAGGAGAGCTCGACTGAAGTCCAGTACTGGAGTTGTTTGCCATGCTAGAGCTCAAGGCATACATCCATATCCTGGTCTTGTACATCTTGAACAAGTCCCGAACCAGCTCACGGAAATCAATTCTTTTCTCGGCGGTGAAGTAGAACGTCAGCTTGCGACGATCCCTATTACGCGAAAAGGGAGATGTGCTTAACACAAATATAATAAGAACAACATTTGCCGAGAATACAGCTCATACAAAAGACATTTGCTTACCATTGGTACTCGGCGTTAACAACCTCCATGGGAAGTCGCTTCTGTCGAACCTTAGTTTGACACATGATCATGGCTTCAATCTCGTCCTGGTTCTTGCTCACCAATTGAGCAATCTCCGATGACTGAGCCAGACCAAAAATCCGCTTGGGGTGGATCTCTTTGGGTGCTCTGTGTCCGCCGTTTCCTCCATCCTGTTGAGCCTGCAATACCGCATTCTCTGCTTGTTGGGCCTGTAGAGCTTGGATTTGTTGTGGGGTGATGTAGTCGTTGGTGATTTTTCCCAGATCCTTGCCCCGGTCTGCCTCCACCATGACCAGATCTCCCGTCTTCAAGTTGAGGCCGCTATTCTCCGAGGTATAAAAGAGATCGCTCCTGCCAGCCTTGAACTCGACCATGTAAAGCGATCCACGGTGTGGTAACTGATCAAGTGAAAGCCCCTTTCCAAGGTTCTTGGTGTTTCCAACGTCTCCCTGGTATTCGTCTTCCTCAAGAAGACCATCACTTGCGCCCCATCCGTGACCACTGTTGCGCTCAGAGTCATCAAGTCGAAGTCCATCGAATGTGGACGTCAGGTCGAAAGGTGCCGTTTTGGAGCGGAGATAGGAGTCACCTGGAACAGCTACTGAATGGCGACGGGGACTTTGCTGAATGGCATCGGCATCTTGAGGGTATCTAAGAATATACGCAAAAAAAGGTAAGTGACTGGTTGAAGGGGAACTGCACAGCTTTGTAATCGGGGTTGGAAATCTAGGCCAGAGAATGGGCGCACTCGAATTCCAACTTTAAAAACAACGAACGCTGTATTCGATGTTGAGACGCTTAAAGGATGCTCAGTCGATTCATACCGGTTGAAGCTGCCAAGAGCAGAGTGTGAACTCGATTCAGCTTCGTCCAAGAAGGCGTCGTAGTTTTGGAGGCCTGACGATGGGGCAACAGAGAACCGTCTGGCAATCAATTGTCGGTCCTGCTGGCGTTCCCTTTCGGAGGTTGGAGGAAGGGGCTGAAATGGTCCAGAGGATTCCCAGATGGGTGCGTTGTACCCAGAGGTTGAAGTGATGGATCGTCGATGATTGAGAGGGAGAATGTCCGGTCCACTTGAGCTTGGCCACGCCGCTCCAGCGCCCGAGAACCTGCGATTCCGCTGTGAGACGGCATCGTTGCCCATGGCCAAAGCAGACCCGCCCAAAGGTCCCGTGGATACACTGAAGGGGCCCTGTGTACCAGGGCCTGAAAAGAGCGAGGTAGAAAGTCCACCAGAGAAGACGCTTGAACCAAGGGCCGCAGATGTCGAGAAGCTCCTTGTTCGGGCCATGCGAGGTGCCTCAATTGGATCCTCCAATTCCTCGTCCATAGTAGCTAGAGGTGGTCGGTATCTCAAAACATCCTCGTCGTCCTGGTCGTATCCCGACTTGGTTGTGCCGAGACCAAACGCATTGGAGAAACTGGGCTCAGAAAAGGACATGCTCCTAGTCGTCTTGGGTGTTCCTGCATTGCTGTCGTCTGTCAAACGGGATGTCTGCATATGGAGGGGGTAGTACGTCGACCTGCCGTCCAGAGGGTTGCCCAAACTTGGCAAATTGTCGGCGGGCGCGCTGGCTCTATTGCAGGCCTTGTTGTTGGCGGTTGGTGCATTGGATGACTCGCGCGAGGCTTGCCCATCCCAGGCAAACGAGGACATGGCGAGAGGCGATTCCAGCGTGTTGCCGTTATGTTTCAAACTACCCCTTTTCAACCCCACTTCTTGGCCAAGACTGTGAGCCGACAACATCGAAGGTCCCTGTTCTCCAAGCAAGCTGTGGAAAGTCAAACTCTCAAGGGCGGCACTTCCAAGCGACCCTGTGCTGGAGCTCTTGAAGTGCATCGGCTGAGGTGCCGAGTCGTCAGTGAAAAAATCCCTCGCGAAGGGGGAGATTGGCCCACCGACAGCATAAAAGAGGCCCTGCTGAGTACTGGAGGATCCTGAATGAGCTGTCTGATAACCGGTACTGCTCATTTCTTTGCCTGTGTGAATACGGGGGAGGCCTTGTTTGTACTGCGGCATTGTAGGCGACGCTGGATTGGAAGTTGAAGAGGCTGAAGACGAGGAAGACGAGGACTCGGTGATGATGCTGGCAGACATTGACGAGTCTGCCAGGTCTGGGGTATCTACTGGCAAGGTGGTGGTGGTGGCAATTGGTTTATTGTTATAGTGTGCTTCAACTGTCGTTGTGTCGGCCTCCTGCAGAGTACGGTGTCGTTCTCGCTCCTCTGGAGGCGACAGAAGAGGTCTCCTGGGCGGACTGCCGACGACTTTCCAGTTGCTGCCTCCGCTGTTGTTGTTGTTATTCTCACTCGAGGACGAAGACGACTTTTGGGACTGGATGGGTCGAGGCGAGACAAGGGGAGGGGTGACCAGACCTGATGGGCTGTTCTCCATGATGCAAAAGGACAGTCGAATGTGGTTGTGTCTGTTGGGACCTTTGAGTTGCTGCTGAAGAGTGAGAGGGGTGTGGTGTGTCGCGTTGTTGTTATTGTTTGTTTATGGGCGTGTGAGTGTGATAAAAAGGCGGTGGGTTGTGTTGTCTGTCACTCTATTGTGTCTCTTTGGTGGTTGCGAATGAGATGCAAGAGGAGGAGATGAACAAGAACGAGAAGAGAGGAGGAAATGTGGAAAACAGTAAAGAATGAAAAAGGGAAGAGGCGATGGGTTAGGTAAAAGAGTGAAGGTGGATGAGAAGAAAAGGAAGGAGAGAGAGTGAAAAAAGAAGGGGGGGAAGGAAGGAGAAAGGAGAGCAAAGGTGGCAGGGGTTGGTGGAAAGGAAGAGGGGAAGGAGGAGAAGGAAGGGAAGGGAAGGGAAGGGAAAGGGTGAAGAGAGAGGAGAAGGAAAGAGAGTGTAAGTTGAGGAGGATAGAAGAAGAAAAGAGCACTCGCTCATTCACCCTCTATCTTTCTGCCACTCTTTCTACTCCACACACAATAGAACGGTGTGACCAATGCTGGTGGTGCCAGTAGCGTACTCTCCTGTAGTAAACAGTAGCAGGAGCACTAGCATGAACGGGCGTAAAGAGGGAAAGAGGCCTGAACTCAACTAAAGAAACCAAACCACTGGCCCCTGCCGCATGTCTCTCTCTCTCTCCTCTTGTCTGTCTCCATTAGAGTTTTTTCTATCTGTTTGACACTCATCATCGCATCATGACCCATAATTGGACCAACCTATTCTATCCTCACTCTCTCGCTCTCGCTCTCTCGCTCTCTCACTCACTCTCTAACCCACTCTTCCTCTCCTTTTCATCTTCCCCATTTTCCGCCTTGGTTCCTTGTTGCAACCACTTTCGTGCCTCATATGGACCAACCAGATAACTGGTCGCACAACAAACACCTCCTTCTTTTTCTTTGTCTCTCCCCTCTCCCTGGTCCCTGGTCCCTGGTCCCTGCCCCCTCTCTCTTGGTCAATGCAGCGTAGTCGCAGAAGGTCACCAGCAAGGCAGTCGATTCAAATCGTACCACACTTTCCTATCCACTACTATCAATTGCCAACAACACATCAATCTAGCTCCAACGGACATGCAACTGAAGGATTGGCTGGCTGAGTTTGATTTTTAAGCTCGTTCAAGAATCTCTGTCTGTTGTTACCCAAGCGATTCTATGGTCAAGCCCGTATTTTGGGTAAGAGGAAGAGTGCAAGAGTGGAAGAGTGCAAGAGTGCAAGAGTGCAAGAACAATAATGCAAGAAAGGCGAAAGGAGAAGAGGTGGTGTTGGAGAAAGAGGACAAAGTAAAGTACCCTCTTGATAGGGTCAAAGAAAGGTTGGTTGATTTGATCAAAGACTGAGCTCGTGATCATGTGTGCATTTAGAGGTCAGGCAGGTATAGCGTACACTCGTATTTGCACATGGATCTAGATCTTCATCACTCTCCTCCCCACAAGCTTTAACCCAGTGTCCGATTTATTCTTTTGTCTTCCCCGTGCAACACCTCTTTTTCTCTTTTTCAACACTCTACTTGCTTCGACCACCACCACCACCACCACCACCAACTGCTACTCCACCCGCCACTACTACCACCGCCACCGCAACAACAACTACAACTTATATAAAATGTCGTCTGCTGTCCACCGCAGGATGCTCAAGGAGTACATGGCCATCCAAAAGAACGCCGCAACCCGCCCCCATCTCGAACTACTCGAACCCATCCAAGAAGACAACCTCCTCCACTGGCAGGCCATCCTCCTCGGCACCGCCGACTCGGCCTACGAAGGCGGACGCTTCAAACTCGACATTGTCATCCCAACCAACTATCCCATCCAATCACCCACCATTCGCTTCGTCACAAAGATTTGCCATCCCAACGTACACTTTAAGGTAAAAAAAACTACCTTGCACCTCGTACCACAGCATTCAAACGACTGTCGTCTTTTGGTATCGACAGCGCTTTGCCTCTCTTTCTTTCATTTCCTTTGCTTGCATCTAATGGACCATGATACCCTAATCTGCAGAGGACACCCACAACCCTTACGTTTTTTTGTTGGGTATGTTTTGTTGGGGAACAATGCCACAACACAGGGTGGTGGGGCAGAAAAGGGGATACAACCAAGTGGAAAAAAATGAATTTCTCAAAATTAATTGGATCCCCTGGTAGTTGGCATGGATCGGTCGGGAAGCAGAGTGGTGCGGATCGGATGGAAGCAGGAATTAGCTCTGGCACAGGACAACTCGCAACACGCGATCGACGTATAAGAAGCGGGCCGGGATGGACTCTTGATTTGACAAAGCGAGCCAGGGTCTTACTCTCAGGTTATCTGCAGCCGCTATCTGTTGCGGCAACCATCGCTTTACAACACCTACCCTTCTCAATGGCCCCACCCGAGACGCTAATAGAATGGACAGATAGACTGCCCTACGGGAAGACGCGGAGCACACGGATACAGCACGGACCGGACACTACATTTTTTTTTAAATGAAATGAGCAATAACGAACAAAATAGTTACTCACAACCTTTTTTTCGTTGTTCATCTCTATCCTATGGATCGCTTGTCTTGGCAATCCACCAACAAAAAATAATATACTCGGCTCATGTCATGGCTCATGATTATCTCTCAAATTGGTGGCGCATGGAATCATAAAATACAACATCACAATCAACAACAACAGACAGGAGAGATTTGTTTGGATATCCTAAAGTCAGAATGGACACCAGCATGGACACTCGAGTCGGTATGTGTCGCCATTAGCTCACTCCTCACCAACCCAGAACCAAGTAGTCCGCTCAACTGTGACGCAGGTAGGGTCTCAACGTTGAAATCGATGGCAAAGGATATTGCTTTGAAGCCAGTATGGAACAAGAACAAAAAACTCAACTCTTCTTCCCTGCCTGCCTTTCCCTTTTATCTTAGCCAATCTATTGCGATGTGGAGATACGGCAGGATACAACTCGTTGGTGAAGATGTACACAGCACTGTATGCAATTGGCGATGGTGACGAAGAATGATCGCCGGGAATGAACGACAAAGCACCAGGACGCTCGGAGCAACCACTTGTACACTATGAACCGTCGAAACGTGCTTGACCAAATGGATTCGACAGAGAGCACTCTTTCTTCTCTCCACCCGCAACACGCCAAGGCCAACAACCAATGATAGAAACCCACTTGCAATAAATCCATAATTATGCGCGTCAAACTCCCTATGTGCCTGTCAACAGCAACAAGCAAGGTTACATCGCAGTGCAAGAGCACCATCACCTGACAGATGCATCCCAGTCGTTGATAATGGAGTCACTTTTCGATTTTGTCCGCCTCATTCCCCTCCAGTGCTCTCTCCTCGCATGCAGTCTTTTCAATCCCTGAACTAGTCATTGCAATTGGACCGCACCTGAACCCACCCGAGTTTTCATCCTGTGTCCGGGTCTGCCGTCAGTGGAACAAGACCTTCGTACCGTTTCTTTGGGAGACGGTCGACGATACCCTATTTTCCTGGCGCCATATCCTCAAACAACACGACGCGGACGACAGCAAAGGCGACAAGGACGAGGGTTGGCTCCGCAGTATATTTGTCAAGCATGGACATTTAATTCGACATCTGTCGCTCTCGTGGAAAGTAAGCATCCTCGCAGCCGGTCTCAGCGGTCAATGCACCAACCTCCTCTCGCTCTCCTTAACAACCTCCGCCCTGAATAAGACTACCCGGGAAGCAGAGGCCTTGGCAACTGCGAAAAGATTCAAGCTGGAGGATGGTGGTCGCACAGAAGGCGAGAGAGCGAAAAAAGGCGTTACAGGACCCGTCTTGGTGCCAGAGTTCGAGGGATTGTTCGTGCTACGAGCAGCAATGTGGCGCTCAGTGGCTGAGCAGGAACAGGACTGGACGACGAACCAGCATCTGTGGCAATTGGTCCGCAGCAACTCGTCCTTGCGGACTCTACGACTGTCTCTCAGTGAGGCGGAGCTGTGCAAAATGGCGACAATCGACGTGGTCTACGACATCCTGTCGTCGCTAAAGGATATCACCCGCTTGGAAAGCACAACGTATGCCATTCTGCTTGACCGCCTTCTGGATCGAGTTCCAACCATCCAGCATGTGCAGATGGACTCTGCCCGCGTAGGAGACGGCTTTGCGACCAGGACTTTTCTTGGACTCCAGACTCTGGTCATCAAGACGTTCGTGTCCAGCAAGCTTTTTCTCGAACTGTTGCACTCGCTCCCCAACCTTGAGCATTTCCGACTAATTGCCGTCGACAATTACAGGGAGTATTTTAGGGATGCGGCCCTTTATCTGGACAGCACGCCGAGCCGACTCAAAGGATTGCACTTCAACATTGGCAAGTCGTTCGACTTTGGCAAGATGGCCAACTATATCTTGCCTTGGCTCCCGGACTTGACCGAGATGACTCTGGGCTGGCTCGATTCTGTGACAGCCAGGGCTCTGACAACGTACTGCAGGAGTTTTCAGATTTTTCGGGAACCAGGAGGCGCCCAGTCGACTTTCTCGTTGGACGATAATCGAGAAGTTTCGAGCCATCTCGAGGTGCTCCTGCAGGAATGTCCGCAACTGAGGATTGTCGACGCTATTTGCCACCGAGTCGACGCGGACCGAATGTTGGCGCTGCCCTGGATCTGCCATCGTCTGGAGGTCCTCTATTTTCAGATTGTGGGAGTTTGCCGATTGAAGGCTGGCGAGCAGAAAAACTTGCCGTCCATCATATCTGCCAACGACGACGAAACTGACAGAAAGCTCACCAACAAGGAGGATATTCTGGACAGGTACAGGAGAGGTCAGGACCAGCAAAACAAGATCTTTACCCAACTTGCTTTGATGACTCACCTCAAAGTACTGGATCTAGGTCTTGAATGGAGAAACCTCGGCCATGCTTACTGGGTAGAGCAATACGAGGTTGAAGGACAGAAGTATGTGAGATACACCAGCCCCTATGCCGACACGTTGGAGTTGACCCTTCAGTCTGGTCTGGATCAATTGACGGGTCTTGTGAACCTAGAAGTGTTTGGGTTTGAAGGCATCAACCATCGACTTGGAGACCAAGAGCTGGCGTGGATAGCGGTGCACTGGGTACGACTGCGAGTCATGCGAGGGCTACAGGAGGACTCGTTGCCGATGCTTGAGCCTGACGCCAGGAGGACTAAGCTGCGCAGGAGGATGCAGGAGTTGTGTCCCAACGTTCGCCACCGCAGCCTGCGGCAAGTGCCTGAATCCTACTCGTAACCCTTTCTTTTTTGTTCAGTCAAACCACAGGGGCAATTCAACGCTGCCGAACACAACGATCAATACAGTTCTCGTGTTTTTAATATCATACTGTACCTTTTTCGTCCTTTTCAATGATACGTTCTTACCTCACCCGCGACCAAGATCTACCCCCCGATGTCGGCATCCCAGAAACACGAATTCCACCAGATCCCCGAACTCGTCAGGTCATTGGATCCTTTAAAGTCTCATACCGATCGTCGCCTGTACGAGTCTCTGTCGACTGTGGCAAGATATCTTCATCCCACGACTCTGACGTTCAATTGACGACTGAGACTATGCCTGGACAAGGATACTCAATGACCATGATTCTGCAGATGAAAAACGACGGCAAATCTCGTTTTCGTGTTATTCAAGTTCAAAGCAGAAATGAGAAACATAATATAAAGTGGTAATGAAAAAGAAGCATGCAGTGTTTTGCTGGTAATAAGAGTAGTGCGTTCCATGGATGTATGAATAAGACTAGTCTTGTGCATGTGGACCATGGAAGCAATTGAGCAAAAAAGCCAGGTTGGGAAGACTCATCGGAGTTGTAGAAAAGTACCCTTTACTCTCAGACCCTTACAGCTCTCTTCACATGTGCGGCGCCTTAAGAGCTAGCCTCGGAATGGGTTAGCTCATTAGTTACATCCTCGGTCCATCTCTTAGTCTAGCCGCTCTCACTCGCCCTTCTTTTACCTTTTGAAGTGAGATGAGGCATTGCCGCTGTTTCTGTGTGCGTGTGTGAGTAGGTTTGAGAGCAATTTTTCTAGAATGTCGGATTGATTCATTTCTCTGCGCCGACGCAATGCAATGCAGATTGCCATTGAGGAAGTCATGCCTCTTACGGCACGGCTGCGAAGAAAATAAAGGATGAAAGATGGGTTCCATGTCTCCTTCCTTGCTTTCTACTGCTACTGTTAAGAAATGTCCCGAGGATGCAGATTTGTAGACAATTGATCCCTCTGCGTAAGAAATTAGGCGGGTGTATGCGACGGAGCTGTGAGTTTTTTATGGCGACGATGTTGCCAGAGGAGAGAAGACCAGATGTTCGTTGTGAAAGGTGAGGTAAAGAACGACAAGTTGAAGAGGGATTACGAAGATTAGGGGTCGTGTGTGTGTATGGAGTATTCCAGAGGCTCATTTTCGTTTCTTGTCCTTTTGAGCTCAGTCAAAGAAAAGAGAGATATTATGTTGCTTTCTGTACGCCAACCACACGACAACTTGCCAAGACTACCAGCGAGTTGGTGCATTACATCTTGTTCAATCGGCAGCAATACCAGTAATAGCAACGGATCTTTCACCGTTGGACACGCCATCTGAGACTTGCTAGTTTTCTGATATCATCACCCATGAGGTAGTGTGAGAGTGAATCAATCAGAAATGAAAGACCCTGGCGGGCAGTTATTTTTAAACTTTCTCTCTGGGCTGTAATGGTGTTGGCAACAACAACAACGACGCCCTCCCCGTCTTACCTTCTCACTTTTCTTCCATCGTCTCTCATCACCTTTCCTCTTTCTTCCTCTCATCATCTCCCTCCATTTCACCCTTCCCCTCTCCCCACTCCTAGTCACTTCTTGCCTAACGGCCCCACATATCTATACACACACACACACACTCTCTCTCTCTCTCCCACCTTGAGCACAACTCACCTCGTTTCCATATACCCCTTTTTAGTCAACATAAAAGCAATCACATGGCGGGAGCATACAGTTCTTTGACCCAGAACGAGGGGTCAAAGGACAACAACCTCGAAAGATCCCCTGACGGCCAGTCCTTCCCTCTTCAGGATCATTTGGGATCTTCATCCACTCAAATATACGACAATGACAGCGACTCCTTCCTCGGATCAGATTCGGGTGAACGCAGCCCTCGGCGAGAATTCAGGGTCACCTTCAAGGACAACGACGACAACGACAGCAACAATGCTGGGACCGACAAGGCGCGGACCAACAGCGGATACAGTAGTAATGATGACGACGATGAGGATGAAGACGAGGATTTCGATCACCTTGATGACTTTGTACCGCTGGCCAGTACGAAGCGGTACCAAACCAAGTCCTCAACACCCTCCCGGTTCTCACGAGTGTCACACCCCTGCAGGATCCTGGCGACCGTGTGCGGCACAGCAACAGTGGTCTCTCTCGCCTTTGCACTCCTCTCGCTCCTCCACCTCAACAACAACCAGAGTATGAATCAGGGTGCAGGACCATCGAACGAGACAACTACAATCAATCAACCGGACAACCGCTTCTTGAAACCCCCACCGGGCTTGACTATGGAGGAGTTCAACGTGGACGACTTTCAATTGCCACCTTGGGACTGGGACATCAACAAGTTCATCCCTATCGACATCACCAACGGACCAAAGTTCACATCGATTCAGTGGCGCAACGGAGAACAATATCTCGCCGTCGACTGTCCCCATCAAGCAAACTACCGTTACCATTTTCCATCATTCCCGATCGACGAGTTCAGGAATCACCCCACAGCGACTCAAGGGATCGACGATCTGCTGCATATCGGAGATGAGCCCTATGTCTTTGTGCTCTGCCCACCAGGACCAAACAATGCCAACCTGGTCTTTAGGGAGTTCGACGTACCAGAGGAAACCACACCAGAGTCACCACCTCACATCGCAGGAACACAGGAAGCACCCCAGCCACTTGTGGACGACGTCGTCATGCTTCTTGTCGATGCCATCTCGAGAGGAAAGTTTCTCGCTGCGATGACCGACGCCATGGAGGCACTCCAGGCGGCCAACACGACCGAATCGCGCTACCGGATCTTTGACTTTAAACATTACAATGTTCTGGGTCAGAACTCACCACCCAACAAGGCCTTTATCTACTCTGGACAGTCAATCGAGAACATGAACCACGGGCCAAAGCACTGGCTCTGGGACGCCTTTGAGGAGCAAGGGTTCTCTACAGCTCACACGGACGGCGAATGTGGCGGACAAAGGGGAATTCACGACTATGTCTCTGGAGCGATCACGTACGAGTACTCGCACATCTATGGACGGATCCCAGCGCAGTACCAGATGTCCCAGCCCTCCTGGTGTGAGAACCACGATATGCATGTCGTGTCGAACATCTGGGGTCAGAGCTGTGTCTTACCACCTCAGGTCGACTACGACAAGGTTCTGATGGGAGGCATGCGCTGGAACACACCTTACTGTGCTGGACACAAGGCGATTCACGAGTTCATCATGGACGATCTCGAGGGCTGGTTGGAGTCCAAGAAGGGCAGCAGGCGTTTTGCGACCTACTCTTTCATGGACGCTCACTCACCCGTAAGTCTTGTTAGCTGCTTCGTTCCTCAAGCTTGTATGGGTTACAAGGGAAAAGCAGGCAGGTAAGCTAACACACTACTCCTTCATTTTTCAATATCCGTAGGACCATCACCATATCTCGTTCGACAAGCATCTTGGGACATTCTTCCGGAAACTGCTTATTGGCCAGGACGGACAGCCACCTCTTCTTTCTCCCAGAAGGTACAATCAAGATTCTTTTGCGTGTCATCTCAGAGGGAATGTATAATCAGAACCTGTGTACTTAACTCACTTCGTTTTGTTCCGCACATAGTGCGCTGATCGTTATGGCGGATCATGGACTCCACTATGGCCGAGAGACATACACCTTCCCAGGATTCCTTCACCACAAAATCCCTCCACTCTTCATGGCACTCCCCAAAACCCTCCTAGACGAACGACCCGCCCTTGCACGGAACCTCGAGGAGAACCAGGAACGGATCATTTCCCATCTGGACCTCCACCAAACCTTCCACCATCTCGCCTATGGAGACTTCCCCGTCAACAGTGGCCCCTTCCAGTCTCAGGAGGACGCCTATTCAGAGTTCATGACCAAATTCATTGCCGATGGAACATTCCGCCAGCAGTTCCACCCTCTCGCTCCCAATCAGACCTCGTACGCTCAGCAGTATGGCCGATCACTCCTCCTGCCAATTGACGAGAAGCGGACCTGTATCACGGCAGGTATCCCTCAGGACTGGTGTGCGTTCCAGCCCTTCTTGGATCTCGACCCCGCCAAACCCCTCGACGCCCGGTTCATGCGGGGCGCTCTCTTGATGCTATCGAACCGGATGAACAACCTGACACAGATCCACCACGTCGACGATATTTGTCATAGCGCCAGTCTGACCCTCCAGCCTGAAGCACCTCTAGGGTTGCTGGAAGACCCAACACTTCGAGGGACTGCCGTCTGGGATGGCACCTTTGATGATATCGGAACCGACGATCTCGTGATGGAATCTGCTTACGCCAATGCAGAGCCCAGTAAAGGGGAAGCAGAGGTGCCCTATAAGTATGATGTCCACCACCTCGCAGCAGCCGGAACGAGGGTGTTTTATTTCATGGTTCGGGATCGACAACGGCCGAACCGCAAGTACTCGGTGACGATGCGACAGGATGATCTGGAGAGGGGGGTTGGCGACAGGATAACGATCCAGCAGATGAGTGCCTATGCTGCTGCTTGGGGTCCTTGTGCGGCCAAGATCTCGCAGGGCGGCAAGGCCATTGGTGAATGGCATGATACCATCAAGCACTTTTGTGTTTGCGACTAGTTTAGGGCACTTGGACAAGGAAGAGGAGAGCATATCACATAGGAACGGCAACAAAGCAAAATAGAATCCTTTCCTTATAAACAACATGAAGAGAACGGCGGCATGGAATCAAGTGGACAGGATAAAAATACTTTATATTTTTGTCCACTGTGATGGCAACCGTTGCATTTTTTAGCAGCGATGGCAGTCATTTGGGAGAACAGGGTATAAAGAGCGGTGGGGACATATTTTCTAGAAGCCTTGTCCTTGACGAAGGGAGAGATATTGGCTAGATCGGCGCTGACCTTGATTATCTTGCACTCGATTAGTACGACGGATCCTACGGGAGCTGTTGACACGTAGCTGAAATGTAGGTCGGTCGATACCCCTGTATACATGGTTGGGAGTGGGGAGGGGCATGGCCGTCTGGCAACATTGACGCGACTGGAGGTATGTGGGTTCGAGGGGAGTTCTAGAGTGTTTTTGATAGGGTTGCCTTCGTACCGAAGGTACTCTTGTCCATCCACCCTCTTGACCCTAGGATTCTTTTCATGTGTCGGGTAGATATTCCTGTATTCTTAGCCGAGATCTAATGACGTGAGCATCCTCAACCCGGCCAATTGATCATACACTCGGTATTTCTAGTTCTGTTGGTTGGCTTGGGTCGTATTCAATCGGTCCCGATGCTGCTGGCGCTCCAAGAATGCTTCGGATTCGCGGACAGCCATGGATGGGGTGGGCTGAAACGGTTGAGCTTGCTGCTCCACCTTTGCAAGAATCTCCAACAGCGCTTGTTCATGGCTCGTCATCCGTGTCACTCTGACGATTTGGCACTGAAACACCTCCAACTCTCAACAGACCCATGGTCGCTCAAACAACTTGCCAGCTTCGATCTTATGGTGGATTCCATCAGACGCGCAGCTTGGTGCATAACTGGAGTACGGATAGAGTCGCCGTCAAGTGTCTGCCGAAACACTTGTAATTGCGAGGCATGGGTTGCAAGGGACTAGGCGGTTTCTAGATAGAGTACTTTGGCGCGGAATTCCGTCAACTGCGGCATCAGCGGGAATATCCAGGCTGCCAGCTCATGGTCAATGTCGCGTGGGTCCTATCGTCGAAGGTAGAATCCTTTGAATCGGAGAGGGGTGTTCATCAAGAGTGTCTCCACGTCCTACTGAAAGGTCCGTCCCACGTCAAACAAACCTGCGGTGGCGATATAGCCTAGGCTGCGAAGACGGTTCAAGAGAACAAGGAGTGTGCGTCCCTCGATGTAATTCGTCATCTCCAATGACCAAATCTGAATATGGGCATCCAAGTCCAGGGCCTTGTAAAACATCAATCCCGTCCCCGAGAAAGCTCCTGAAATTCGAGAACCGTTCCAGAATCACAGCCGGCTCCAGCGCGCTTGTGTAGTCTTGCAGAGTGACAAGATTCTTGAGCGAAAGAAGAACAATGCTGCACACCAAAACATTCCCATTCTCCAGCAACCTCTTGATAGCCCTTCCGAACCGCAAGGTCTCCAGATCCTTATTTGAATGTACAAAGTCCCAAAGATTGGAATCCTTTCCGGCAGGATCCATGTATTGGGCGCCGGGTTCCTTGTCTATGGGGCCGTAGAACTTTAGGACTTTCAGTTTGGAGCAGACTCCATCGCCGCTGACAATATCCAGCATTGCTTGGGAATGGTCATGGAGCTCACGGATGAAGGATCCGCACTTGAAAAAGCAGGCCTGTACCGACTCTGAATCATGCGTGGACAGGACCTTAGGCCATGAGTACCAACTTTCGTTGACAGCAGACCAAAGGTATGGGGTAAGCACGAAGGCGAGAAACTCATACAGACGATACCAGGTCGATCGGGTCCAAGGAGGTTGACGTGTTCAGGCAAGGCGCAAAAGGTACGAGACGGTGGCTGTTTGTTACCTTTCATATCAGTGCTGTAGTGGGAGCAAGGGGAGGAAAGGAAAGGAAACGAAGAGAAAAGAAGAAATTGCCTCCACGTTTTGCATTTTTATTCGTCCCATTCTGGCAATGGGGCACACAATGTCATTCACTGAACTGAAAAATGGAAACGAGGTTGGCAGGGTACAGCCCTTTAAAGTCTTCCATCTTTTCCACTAACGACAGAACGACACATGAGATACCAGTATGTTAGCATGCAAGAAAAACGCATTTGAGCAAACACACTGAAAGATAAGAGTAAAAAGCACATACCCGACAACAACCCGCGTGCCTTCACCTGACCCTCAAGACCCTTCGCGGCATTTTTGTTATGTTTGTTGATCCCCGCCAGGTCCGTAAGCCGCGTCCAATGTTTCTTCACCCAGTCCAGTTCTGCTTTCGTCCAAGATTGATGACCCGGCAGGGACAATCCTCGCAAATACTTCAATCCTGCCAAAATATCCAATCCACTTGCAAGACAGACTTTGAGATTTCCTTGGAAATGATTCCTGCGTGGGCGCACCTCATAATCTTTGTCGGGACCGTTAAGGAGCAGCACCTCTAGTTCTGTTAACGTCGAGAGGTGGTGTAGGATGAATCGGTTACATTCCTCCTCATCCTTGTCGTCTTTCGTCCCTGAAACTCGATCCACCTCAAAGTACACAGACAATCGCCTCAGTCCCCTACAGGCCCATCCTTGAGGAGTCAACTCTATTATCTCCGAGACCTTCAGCAGCGGGGCAGTGACGGTCCGTAGATTCGGACAGGACATGAGAAGCAGCAGAGACAGTCGACGTCCTTTGTTCGCGAAATCGTCACTTCTGAACTCTGTCAACTGCGGAAAGTAATCCCGAATAGTGAACAGCGTCTCAGGACTCCATGGTTTCCCAGGAGAAAGTGTGCACCCAACACGCTTCAGCCACGAAGAAAGGAAACTGCCCGCAAATCCCTTCGGACGCAACTCGATTCTCATTCCTTCCAATCTGGAAAGTCGCCTCGACAGAATGGCATCCTCAATGTGCGGTATCACATCGTCCCTCGCCTCAGATATTTGTGGCGTCTTCCACCAGAGCCGTCGCAGTTGTCCACATTGTGCCACAATCCGCGCCTGCCGCTCAAACTCCATGCCAATGTTGGACAGAAAAAGCTCCTTCATGTTGCTGAGATCAGGGTACGGGTAGCTAGTTCCCGTGAGATGGGTGAAATATGTTTGTCGCAGCTTGAGAGATTCCAGTCGGGAGCACACCTTCCAGAATACCCTGGCCTGGTCGTACTCGACAATACCCCCATGATGGATCTGCAGTTCTCTGAGCCGTGGTAGGAGCATGAGCATCTCCCAGAAATGAGCCTCCGGCAAGGTTCGGAAACCTACAAGCTCCAGTTCCTGTAACGAGTCCTTGCAACCTCGGAGGAAATGGATCCACGGTGTCAGATCGTTGGTATTAAGGTCTCCTGATCCCAGGACGATGCTCCTGAGGTTGCCGAATGGGATATAGGCTAGTTCAAGACGGAAGCTCCCAAGGCTGTAGACTTGATGACGGTGTCGGACAATGCTATATGCAGAGGGCTGTCGCGGAGTTGAAGAGAGGTCCTGGTCCTGGTTGAGCTGGTCCCATTCGTCGGGTTGACCTTGAGGTCCAAAGACGGATTCGTGTCTGCGAAGACGTACGGAGGTTTCGTTGCAGATGAGCGGTTCGAAGGTGCGCCACCAGTCCCGACAGACGAGAATGCATTGCTTGAGATCACGAGTCCGAAGGTAACGACGGATGTTGATCCTAATTTCGACTAGTTGGAGGGCGTGATGCATTTCGAGCCGCGTGCGTGGGATGTTGGTCAAAGGAGGAATAAAAAGAAAAAAAAAAAAAAAGAGGTTCAGTCAAATTTATCTTTAATTACATCTGACTAACGGTGAAATGTCAAAAGGCGGACGTCAGGACGCAGCGCCAAAAACTGTTCCTGCAGCGCATCCTTGGCCAAGTTCACCTCCGTCATCGGGGTTGCACTCGGTTTGAGCCCATATAATAAACAAAGCCGTGGCCAGCTCTGTGCGATCCACGTCAACTCTGCAGTCCCTACCCTGCTTGTCATCCCATCAAAACCAAACACCTCCAGCCTTGTCAGCGTAGAAAGCTGACCCATTCCTGTCTCCAAAGTAAATTCAAGGCTGCCAGCCCCTTCAAGGACAGGGTCCAACCACAAAACCAACGTCGTCAACTTTGTCAAGCTGGCGAGACGACTGTACACTTGATGATGCCAGTTTTGACTCTGCTGCTGCACATGAAACGCCGACTGTTGTCCCGTCAAAAACCGGCTCATGTCGCCCGGAGTTGTTGATATGGTGCCGTGGATCTCGTCGTCGGTCTGCAGCAGATGCTCAATGCCAATGATCTGACACTTCAACACCTCCAAATCTCGACATACCCATACCCGTCCCTCCTTCAACTGCGTAGCGTCAACAGTGTATCGGGAGGCATCCAAAACGCGCAACTTTGGACAGCCCTCCAAAAAGTAGCTCAATGCGTTCTCTGGCACGGGCTTTGCGGAATCCTGATCGACAGAGAGGGTCACCGTTTCGAGTTGTCGACAACACTCTACGAGGGTGAGAATAGTAGTCTCGTCAAGGTTCCCAGAAGTCAAGTCGCGCAGGTCCGGTAGGCACGGAATGGTCGCCCTCAGCATCTCGTCTTCCAAAGGTGTTGTTCGTCCAAGGTACAGGAGCTGAAGCGTGGTTGGTTTGATGTTATTCTTTACTTCGTGAATAAAGTTTTCCTTGCAGTACGGTGTTGCGACTCGAAATCCTCCTGTCCAAAGCGAGCGCAGATTCGGGAGGTGTTGCAGAATGCTGGCAAAGAGCAAAGTGTCGATACAGTCCTGAAGACGAAGCGCTTGGAGGGATGGCAGCGCTGTTTGAAATGGGCTGGAGCTGACAGTCCAACTTGACGAGCTGTAGTATCGAATGTGCGGTAACGTTTCCAGCAGCGCTCCGAGATCGTTGCAGTCGGCGTAGTTCTCCAGAACATGAAAGCGCCTCTTGGATGCAAGTGTATCGTAGATTGATGATGGGAAGTCGACCGTCTGCAATTCTTGTAAGGTGGAGCTCAGTCGTACGCCAGAGAGACCATGGTTTTTTTGGATGAGGCGAAGGAAAAGGTTGGTCATCGCCCACTCCCGCTGCTGCAGTGATGCTTCTCTTTCGCCTGGTGTTTCTGATGCAATCGGGCCACCACTGGAAAGAGATATTCGATCAACTGCGATACGCACGGCCAAGCCTATGATGCCTGTTCCTGGTGCCACCCGTGGTTCTCTCCATCTGATTGCTCGAAACTCCTGCTCCTCCAAAAGTGTCTTGTTCTTGAAAGGGTTCGACAAGATGAGTGTGTGGATGCGTGTGCAGGACCCACAAAAATGGGCGACATCGAGGGTGACCCTCCAGTGGATGCTCAGGACACGAATCCAGGCTCCGTATTTTGTAAAAGTCGCCCTGATCCAGTTCCTGTCCTTGCCGTTGTTGATGCGCGGGTAATCATGGGCCTTGAGGATCTTGGGCCATTGGTACTCGTTGTCGTTGATTGTGTGCCAGAGGGATGGCACCGTAGCCTTGTTCCAGAGACGAGAGACTTGTACGCAGGAGAAGAGATCTGGAGGGTCCAGAAAATTGCTGATAAGAGAGACCAACTCGAGCAGTCCAAGGGCCTCTTCAGAGGGGCGGCGTGTCATTTCCATTTTTGTTGCTGGTGGGAGATATGAGTGCGTGTGAAAAAAACAAAGACGAAAGGAAAGAAACAAAAAAAAAAGAGGATTGGAAAACGACACGAAATAAACAAAGCGGTATGCAACTCTCAAGAGTCGACGGGAAGGTCAAGGCCAGGCACTGCTCTCATTTATTCGCGCCTAGCTGATGTTAGTGCATTTCTCTTTTTTTTGCACAAACAACCTCACAGACCTGTTCCCAACAAGAGTCAGCGATGCCCAAAGGATCCGGCCCCAGCCTGGCCTCGGTGCCAGAACTCCTCGAACTCATAGGACGCCACCTCAATCTGCCAGATCTTGCCCGTTGCTCCCTCACCTGTCGGCTCTGGCACCACACCCTCTCACCCCTACTCTGGGAAACGTTTGACGACAGCTTGTACAATTGGCCCAGAATCATGTTGGCACTGTACTCGGAGACTGATACAGGACGACGACAAAAGGCCTGGGTGGACGCCCTCTTTTCCAAGTATGGGCACCATATCCGCACTCTCCGAGTTCGACGGTACTATACCGTTCTTGTAGCGAGCGAATGTGGTGGCTGCACGCGATTAGTGTCCTTGCAGTCGTTCGATTTTGCTGAGGAACTGAGAGCAGTGGCAAAGGAAAGCGGGTCTGGATGGTGCCTGGAGTCGACAAAGACCGTTATACCAACAATAGTTGAAAACGCGATCGGAGTACAATCGTCAAGAGGCTGGAGATCAGAAGCGGCCAAGGACAGAGATGTGACGACGGCCAGGCGATTCTGGATGCTTCTCTACCTCAACTCGTCAACACTTCGGTCCGTTCGACTGGACAAATCACTCAGCACCCTATGCACACTCCCCTCGCTCGACCTCCTGGACAAGATTCTCTCTGGTCTGCAGAACCTAGAAAAGCTGTCTAACACCATGTACCCGATGGACGCCGACGTGGTTCTTCAACAGATACCCAGTCTCCGGTCGATCACTGGATGCCCCAAACGGGACACATCCTCAGTTGTTTTCAACAACGTACGCTTTTTCGACGTATCAACGAGAATGGATCCGTTGACTTTTCGACATTACTTGACCAAGTTCCCCAACCTCAACTGCCTCTGCCTTGAACGGCTAGTTACGCACCACCAGCAGCAGCAACCGATCGCCGTCCAGGATAATAACAACAACGTCTCATTTCAACTCTCGGAGATCCGCTTTACGCTCGATTCCTGGATCGACAACCCTACCAGGCTCGTGTTTTCCTATCTTCCGCATCTCAGGCACATTACCTTGAAAAGACTTTGTGAATATATAGCTCACATTATTGTGACGTATTGTAGGGAGCTAGAGACCTTTCGTCAACTCGAAAACGAGGACGTCTTCCTCGCCGGACCAACTACCGATACTGCTCTCATCTTGCTCCAGGGGTGTCCGAAACTCAAGGTCCTCGACGTCTACCAGAGTCAACTCCGCGCAGAATCGCTCTTGGCCAGTCCACCCTGGGTCTGCGAGAAGCTCGAGGCACTGCGTTGTATGATCACGGGTGTCTCTCGGCTCTCAACACAGGATATGAAAATCTTGAACGACCTGTCCGTGTCGGGATCGTCCAGGAACGTTTTTCTTACGGAGCAGGATCGGAACGCGCTAAAGACGGACAGGGAAACCATGGGACAACAACAGCGTATCCTTGCGCGACTTGCCAATTTGACACACCTCAAAGTTCTGGAGTTGGCATCCAAGCGGCCGAAAGACAATCGACAACGACCTGATGAGGATCATTTGTACGTCGACCATTTCTCGGACACGCTTGAGTTGACTTTGGCTAGCGGACTGGGTCAGCTTGCAGCGCTTAAAGACTTGGAGATGTTTGGGTTTGAAGGATGCAACCACGAGATCGATAAACCGGAGCTCGACTGGATTGTCAAAAGCTGGCCTCGTCTCAGGGCGATGCGTGGATTACGACAGACCAGTGTGTTGACTTCCAGGTTTGAAACGCGCAAAACGGAGCTGCGAGCGTACATGCAACAGATCAGACCCGACATCCAACAACAAGGCGGAAAATAATAAAACCAATTGATGGTGTACATAAAAGAAAATCGCTTTATTATTTATCCATGATTTTTTATAGTAATGTTGTGCTGGCCTGAGAGCTCCTGCAGAAGACGGTTCTGATCCCAGTCGTCATGATAAAGACTTCCTTCAACAATACAAAGCTTTAGCCAGTTATCAATGATCCAACGGACATCTGACAACTCCAGCCTCTACTTCGTGTCAGAAACATTCAAATAGTAAAGGTTCTTCAAACAAGAGAGAGCGTCGAGTTCATGAGAGATGCGGAATTGAGGCCTTGGAGCCATGACAACACCGACCAGTAATAGTCAACCGTTCTAGTCCAGCCAACGTCGAAATCCTGTCAAACAGCAATCGGTGACGCCTCTGGTCGTCCTCCACATCGACTGCTCCACTCATATCGAACTGCGCTATGAGCACCCTCAAGTTCAGGCATGCCCAAGGTCTGCCGCGCTCAACATCTTCAACCGACAGATGATCCACTGGCAAGGACGTCAGCTTTGGGAACGACTCCAAGGCCTCTTGAACTAAGGCGCTTGTGAAGCTTGATGACCGTTTGATCACCAGTAGCCTCAAAACATCGCAGTGCCTCTTCAATGCCTCTAGCCCCAACGGTTCAAAGGCGGTGCCACTGCAGTCCAGTTCCATAAGGTGCTGTGTGGGGATTGACTCGAGTATGTGGGCAAACCCTTCGTCCTGAATAAACTCGAGCGCTTTGCCATAGTATGGGCTGTATACCCCCGACACGACCAACGACCGGAGATGCATCCATGTCCCGGGTTGGATGAATCGGCGAATGTCGTCTGTGCTTGGCAGGGGTTGGTTCACAGAAATGACATTATCCTGTTCCAGCAGTCGATAGTGTTTCACATACTGGCTGCGTCGTGTGGTTGATTGCCAATGGATCTTTTGGACGTTGGGGCATCGCGCAAGAAACTCGAGTTGTGCCAGGACGGAGAGTCCTATGATATCCGCAAACTCTACACTCTGCGGAAAATAAGATGCATCTGCATGGGGGGGGGGGGGGGTTAGTGTATTGCAGAGTAGGCGGGTATGACTATCCCAGAGCCCCTGGACTGTGCAGCTTGAAAGTCGGAGCGTCTTGGTCGCTCGGCAGGCGGCAAGAAAAAAAGGGACGGACTTGTGGTTGATGGTGGTGAATGTGATGTCGAGCACGTCCACTCGCGGCTCAGTAAGGTTTGCGTTTGTTGCGGTTGCTGCTGTCCTGATATGTTCTTGTTGCTCGCTCTGTGATTCTGTCGAGCAAGCAAGGGCTACCCATACTACATGCGTTAATTGCGGAACGAGCTCGTGAATCGTCCATCTTCGTAAGCCAGGGTTGTTGTATATCAACTTCCGAAGGGCAACCATGATCTCGTCAGCACTGCCAACTTGATCAGGATCTGAAACCTCGTCATCCTCGTCGTAGTCGTAGCTACCACGATAGACAAAGCCCTTCAGACTGATTGAGGTCAAGTTTCGAAAGTCGAGCAGGAGATAGTCGACCGAGATGAAGTTGATCGTGAAGAGGTGACGGATACGGTGGAGATACTGGGACTGGATGAGTGCAGGAGAGGGCCGACGGGTCTTGTCGTAGACGAGGTAGAGGTGGCTGAAGAAGATAGGTTCGAGGGCCTGATGAAAGTAACGGGAGACCAGCAGGCAAGAAGCTAATAATTCGTGGGCCATGAAGGAGCCGACGGTGTACAAGATTTAGGGGACATCGAGCGCAGAGTGATGAGGTTGAAGCGACATGGATGACAGCGGGCAGGGAGAAGAGGAAGGAGGCAGAGAGCTGAAAAAAGGGTGGGATCGACAAAAGCCACCCGTCTCCCTTTTTGTGTCAATGTTTCGCCACCAAACTCAAAACCTGGAGGCGCATTCATTTTTTGTCTTCTGGGGAAAAGGCTGTTGTGATGTGCTCCTTGCCTGTCGGACGCCGTGGACTTTGCAGGGACAAAATGACGTACCTATGCCAAGGCTAGAAAGGGTCCTTTTCTTTTGTAAACGCAATTAAGCAACCTGCCAACCAACAGCCCACAAGGTCGTGTCTAGGCCCCTTTTTTCTCTCTGTTCACGAACCCTTCCTACTTTTTGTTTGTGTCGTTTTTGACTTAAAAGCGGTGGGAAGAATTTTTTTTTCTTTTTCTTTTTTCCTTTTCTTTTTTCTTCTCTTCCCTTCAATTTCCTTACCTCCCGCCCATACATCTATAGCACTCCTCCCTCTCTCACTAACTGAAAAAAAATTCGCTTAATGTTCAACAACCAGCCTTGTCCAGAAGACGTCGTTCGACTGCCAGAAATCGTTGTGCTGCTAGGACCCTACCTCAAGGCTCCAGACCTCTTCACGTGCATCCAAGTCTGCCATCTCTGGAACCACCTCCTGACCCCATGGCTCTGGAGATCCATCGACGACAGCGAGCACTCTTGGCCCACCATCCTCAGGAACCACAAGAACCCAGAGACACAGGGAGACAAGGACGCAGACTGGATCCGTGCCATCTTTGCAAAATACGGACACCATATCCATGAACTTACCTCTCAATGGGGCATCATCATTGAGGTCGCCAACACGAGTGGCACTTGTAACCATCTGGAGAGTCTTCGGATCGGTGACCTTTCGGCTTCCATGACTCGGGACGACAACATCGATGGGAACAACAATAACAGTGGCAGCAACGCCGGAGCAAACGGAGTGTCAGTTCTCCGTTATGAAGGACCAGCCCCAGATCGACATCGCGTGGCAGCCATCGGCCCATTACTCTCGCCCATCTTTGAGGGTATTCTGGAACCTCACCAGGCACAGTACCGGACAGTTGCTCGGCAGGAGCAGGATTGGGCCACCGTCCAGCACTTTTGGCTCCTCGTCCGACAAAACACCCAGTCGCTCTTCTCATTACGACTTGATGTCAGTCTCTACTGGCTCTGCCTCATAACCAATGTCGACTTTATCTTCGACACCCTGGCTTCGCTCGTCAACCTCGTCAACTTTGAGAACGACATGCTTCCCCTCAACTCCAACATCCTTCTGGAAAGACTCCCAGGTCTTCTCAGTTACCGAACCCGGTTTAGATTTCTACAGCACGACAACAGTCTCACCCGTTCGTTCAACCAGCTCATCTACTTGGAAATCTGGGAGTCAGTCACCACACGGGCGTTCTTCACCCTCCTCAAGTATCTCCCTAACCTCGAGACCCTGCGGATGGACTCTTTCAGGGCTTCCTCCAACATCCCACCCCTCGAAGGTCTTATCATCCTCAAGAACACCCCCAGCCGCCTCAAGACCCTTCGTTTCCACAACGTCCTTGCCAAAGACGACGAGCATATCGCAAACCTCATCATCCCATGGATCCCACACCTCACCGAGATCTCTCTCCCCCAGCTCTACCCAGCAACCGCCAGAGCGCTTGGAGCTCACTGTCGGAAACTGGAAGTTGTTAAGCAGATCGACTGTGGCACGACAATATATCGGGACAATACAAATCGAAAACCAGTGGTCAATACCGTGGGTATCCTGCTTCGAGAGTGCGCCACCCTAAAGGTCTTTGACGGCATTCATCATACCCTCGAGGCGAGCTATATGCTCAAGTACCCATGGGCCTGCCGAGACCTGGAAACCTTCCGTTGTCAGATCATTGACATCCCACGCCTCACCATTGCCGAACAGGAATTCCTCGACTCCGCAGATGAAGAATCACAACTCAACGACAGCAACAGCAAAAGCGACAGCGACAGCAGCAGGAATAACGTGGCCCGCACAGCATTGTCCAAAAAGAAGCAGCACTCTCTGGATGTGCAACTTCAGGTGATGGACCATCTTGCAGGTCTGACCAACCTGACAGTCCTTGACCTGGGCTACGAATACCGCGACATCGGCTACGAATACGACGACCTCTTCAAACACCGCGACCTCGGGGCCGCACAACGCAAACAAGAGTCGGAACCGAACTGGACGGTCAAGATTGAAGGCGAGCCTACCTTGGACTCTCTGGAGCTGACCTTGGCAACTGGCCTCGACCGTCTCTCAAGCCTCACCCGACTGGAGATCTTTGGATTCGAAGGCGTCAACCATCGCATCGGAAAACAAGAGTTGTCGTGGATGACGACCGCCTGGCCCAAGCTCAAGGTACTACGGGGACTGCATGAGGACGACATTCCTGGCATTGCTGAGGATCCTGAGCGGACGAAGCTGCGTGAGTTTATGCGCGAACTACGAGTCGATGTCAGACATGCTACCTTGCGTCCAAAAGTAAAGTATTAGGGTATTTGAACAACACAGCAGCAGTTACAATAAAAGGAAACGACGGTAAAATAACATGTCGAATTTATTTGAAGGATATGTGTACAAGGTGGAATGGTGAATGACGAAAGAAAGGTATCGAATAATGTGTGTGAAAAACTTTTTCGCGATGGAAAAGTGCTATTTGTTTAGTAGCTGTTGGCAGACAACCACTCAGAGAGACCCTCCTGCTCACGAGCAACCCAGGCAGAGTTGACATCCAAGCCCTCAATGGCCTGGTCAAGAGCACGCTGGAAGTCCTTGGTATCCTTGTCGGCGAAGAACTCCTTGACTTCCTTGATCAAGGCAGCATCAGACGACTGCGAAAGAGGGAACTTGACGCACGAGCCCAACATCGACATCGAGCCCTTGTAGCGGTTGGAGAGGGTGTTCCAGTTGTTCTTGACCCACTCCCAGGTAGGACGGCGGGAGGCATGGTTGGAGGAGAGACCGGCAAGGACATAGAAGATATCCTGGGGACGGACGTGCTCCGAGATGGCCAAGGCCTGGACCTCGGCAATCAACTCAGGCTGCTGGACGTATCCAAGAGCCAAGAGGGCAATGACTTGCTGATCCTGCTTGGGGGCGGCATGGAAGTACTTGAGGACGTTGCGGAACTCCTCTTCGCCACCCTGGGACAAGACAATCTCAAAGGCAGTCTGACGGATCGAGGGGTGCAAGATCGAGTCGTGGGCGGGGTCAGAGACAAAGAGGGCGAAGCGACGCTTGGCCTCAGCAACCGTGGCCTCGTGACCGGCACGACCGGCGGAGCGTAAGATAACGTTGCGGAGACGGCTGGTCAGGTAGTCCTCGCCCTCGGGGAACTCCCATCCGAGCTTCTGGACCATGCGGTCAACCAAGTTACGCTGGAAGTGCTTGATGCCCTGGTTGATGCGCTCATTTTCGGCAAAGATCGAAGCAATCTCGCCAACACGGCCAGCCAAGAGCTCCCAGACGACGTAGGTATCCTCGTTCTTGTAGTACTGGACGAGATCCAAAAAGTTACTGGTGGCTGTGTGGCCAGACTTAGACAAGGAGGCAATATCGGCAACAAGACCGGCACGGTCGCTCAAGCCGACCAAGTCCGATCCGTCGAGGATGGCCTTTCCAATGCGCCCAATGGCGCTAGGGGGGTAGTTGGTACGGAAGACACCGCTGTAGTCCTTGTTCAGCAAGTAAGGGCCCTCGGGAGCCTCAAAGGACAAGGAGCGCGACTTGAGGGTCTGGTTGGGGTCGGCAATCGAGGCGGGCTTAGGGTAGACACCCAAGGGTACCCACCAGACGGTCTCATCCTCCTCGGGCTTAACGTCGTTAGTCGACAAGAAGCGGTGCTGCTCAACAGTGACAATGCCGTCGGCCTCGGTGACGTCCAGGATTGGAACACCAATCACACGGGTCCAGGTGTTCATGAACTCACGGACATCGACCTTGGACTCCTCAGAGAGGGCATTCCAGAGATCATCGGTGGTGGCGTTCTCGTACTCGTGCTTCTTGAGATAGCGACGGATTCCGGCGAGGAAGACATCGACCGTCAACCAGTTGCTCAACATGCGAATAACCGAAGCTCCCTTGGAGTAGGAGATAGCATCGAAAATCTGGTGAATCTCATGGGGATCGGCGACGGGAACCTCAATAGGGTGAGAGCTGCGAAGCGAATCCAAGCTGACACCGCGCTGCATATCGTCGACGACGAAGGTGGACCAGGTGTCCCACTTGGGGAAGAGGTGATCGACGGCCAAAGTACCAACCCAGGTGGCGAATCCCTCGTTGAGCCAGAGGTGGTCCCACCACTCCATGGTAACCAAGTTTCCGAACCACTGATGGGCAATCTCGTGGGCAACGGTGACGGCGACCTGCTCCTTGAAGCGCAAGTCAGAGGTCTTCTCGTCAAAGAGAAGGGCAACGGTGCGGTAGGTGACAAGACCCCAGTTCTCCATGGCGCCAGCGTCAAAGTCAGGGACGGCGAGGTGGTCCAACTTGGGGAGGGGGTATGCGGTTCCAAAGATTTCGGAGAAGTACTCGAGGACCTTGGGGGTGATCTCGAGGGCGAAGCGACCCTGCTCCTTCAAGCCGGGAAGGGTGTAGACGCGGCAGGTGACGGGCTTCTCCAGCTTGGTGGTAGTGGTCTCGATGTACTCGAACTCTCCGACAGCCCAAGCAACCAGCTATTATGGAAGAAGGGATTCGTCTGGTTAGTTCAAGGAGTCATTAGACAAACGCACGCCCTTATAACTAGCCACAATCATATGGCAGGTACTTCATGTCAAACCCTGGCATTGTTTCCGATTCCTGTGCCTCAAACTTACGTAGGTCGACATGATAGGCGTCTTCTCAAAGACAACGATTTTCTTGTCACCCTCCTGGGTCTCGGAAGCGACGGGCATGTTGGAGAGGGCAACCAACTCGGTAGGGACGGTCAAGGAGATAGTGTAAGTGGCCTTCGCAGCGGGCTCATCCCAGCAGGGGAAGGCACGACGGGCATCAGTGGCCTCGAACTGGGTGACACCCATGTACTTGGTGTTGCCTTCAGCATCCTTGTAGGAGGAACGGTAGAAACCGGCCATTTTGTCACTCAAGATACCGTCGAAGGAGATGCGGAGGACGGCAGCACCCTTGGGGAGCTCAGAGTCGAAGGTGAAGGTGGTGGTATCGCGGTGCTCGTCGAGTGCGGAGGAAACAGGCTCGATGCTAATTCACAAGATGGAGCAGAACATTATGCATAATATTAGCGGTTGTTGGTGACGATAGATAACAGATTGTTGAGATATGATAATGCAAGAAAAAACGTACGTCTTGCCGTCGATCTCGATGGCAGTGGTCTTGAGGGTGAGGTCCTTGGTGTTGACAGAGACAGTCTTCGTGGCCTCATGGATGGTCAAGCTTGGAAAGTGGAAAGGGGAGAGGCAATAATAGCAGGTTAGTTTTATTGTTGTTGTCGTCAATGGTCAGCATTTCTCCTTTTTGTGCCACTTGCACATGAAGAAAAGGCGAGAGGGTGGGAAAAAGAGGACGGAAAATAAAAACAATTCTCCTTCGCTTTGTCCTTGATGCAAGTCGACGCACATTCATACTCTCTCTCTTTTTAGCGTGCACATGTGCTCGCTTCCGCTTCTTTCCAAAGAAATTGCAATTGCCCGAACTGCATCCATGCTTGACTTGTTGTCTTTCTCGCCATTCCTGTTGTTGATGATACTATTGGTATTGTTTTGTTGTGGCCCTTTTGTTCTTCGTTTTGTTGCGTTTCTTTCTCGTCTTCATTGTCAGGAACAAAAAAAAAAAAAAAGTGCTCACAAATGGTCTCCCACCCCCATCCTCTTTCTCCTGCTCTCTCCTTCTTACAATACCATGGCATGAAAAGAGAGAACCCCTAAAATCAACAACGTACTTGTGTGAGTTCAGAAACCAGAAAACGAACTGGTTTCGCTCCTCCTGTTATGAGTGGCCCTCCCCCCTCCGTTAAAAAATGCGCCAGGTTGAACAAGTGACGCGTCCCCCTTCTATTCGACCTCTTTTCTGCTGTCCCCCTGCTGTAGAAGTCATACTAGCCCATCGACATACATGTCAAATACTCGACATATCTCGGTACACTACTTCACTAACACGTCTGCTGTGAATGTTCTCTGTGACATTCTTTCATTCACTTTCGCCACACCACGCGTACAAAAGCACCCCCCAAAAAAAATGAAAATGCAATAAATGAACCGAGATGGCGTGAAGTAGATTCAGATCAACGGTTAATTGGATGCAAAGGGACTTACTCGATGGCGACCTGTCCGCCAAAGGTGAACTCCTTGAAGTCAGGGACGATGCTGAGAGTGTAGTGGGAGGGGGTAACGTTGGTGGGGAGGACCACACGGTTTGGGTTGGAGGCAGCCTTGTTGCACATGGTTGTAGCAGACTGGTTGTTGTAGTTCTGGACTAAGAGGGACGAATCGACAGCAAAGGCGTGTTGCTGTTGGAGGGCGGGCGGCTGGTAGGAGTAGTTGGCAGACGAACGGTCGTTGTTACTGAGGTCGTTGTCGAGGTTGTCAGAGGAGGCGGCGGAAGAAGACGAGGAGGAGGAAGGAGTGGCGAGCGTGGGAGAGAGAAGAAGAAGAGAGAGGAGAGAGAGAAAGAAGAGCGGACGGATTGACGACGGCACCATATTTATATGTGCGATATGTGCGATTGATTATACTATGATGTATTGATTGAAGTGAGTGAGTGAACAAGTGAGTGAAGACACACGGTAGTGTTCCCTTGTAAAGCCGTGGTGATGGGAAAACCATTATTTGAATGAACAGTGGAACAAGCCACAGGAAGGAAGGAAATGCTCACACAGACACACACACACCAAACACACCATTCACACACAGAGGGGCTGTACATAAAGAAAGTTGTTCCACTCATGTCCATCACATTCACCCAGGCAGCTAGTTTGCTCCCTTTTCCCCTTCTTTCCCACCAACGCCACTCATATGTCTCTCATTGGCCGGATCACCCCTCCGTGAACTCTCTTTTTCTCTCGTTTCTTCTTTGTGTTGACGAAAAAGAAGAACCATTGCACGCCTTCTTGCTGATGATTCGTTTGTGGTGTCATCCTTGTTCTCTTGTGTACGAATACGACAATCTTCCTGTTTACAACCGACCGATCATTGTCCAAATAACCTCTCCCCCCATCCTATCATCATCATCAAGCTGATCAGTAGCTTGCCAACGGTCTGGAACTGGGACCGAGAAAGCGTCCTTGATCGGTCATCCAGACTGCTCAATTGCTTGTCAGTGACAACGATCATTTGTGAATTCGAAACCACCTTCAATCTTTCTTCCCTTATTCCCTGACTTCCTTGCTGTTCTTCTTCTTGTCTTCATTCGAGTAAATAAGAAAGAAAGGATAAACGAGGGGCACCTTCTTTCACCTCCTGTCGTGTTCAATTGGCACGCTGAACTTTATCATTCGAAGTGGCCACAAGAAAAAAAAAAAAGCTCGATTCGAAAAGAAATAAAAATTCATGAACATGACCAAATGGGGGCGCCAATCCTTGGACCTCTCTTCCAACAGCTTTATTTCATCAACATACTCCTTTGCCAAGAGTATTTCGACTGTCTCAAAACAAAAAACTGCATTCACTGTGACAAATCCTTCCCAGTACTAAAAGATTGGGGTTCTCGCGGCTTCCCCAATCGAGAGAGCGTTATGTTTACTTTGCTCACAGCGCTTTGTGATGCTTTTACAAATTTGTCGTACGTTACATACTTTTTTTTCAATGTGAGTAGTGCGATAATAAGGACCAAGAATGACGATGATCGTGACTCTATTCATGAACTGGTCAAACTATCGAATACGTGTTCATGAGAAAAAAAAGGACAGCGAGTTAGGATACAATTGAGCCGAGCAGATTTTTTAGATGAAGAAAATGAGAGATGCTCCTATCCAATCATGGCCGTGTGAACCAGATTGTTGCCTAGAAAGGAAACCATCGTTTGTTCACTTGTGAGAACAAGAATAAAATGGACAATACGCCTATGGTTCAACCGCCGCTACAAATTGCAACATGCTGCGCGCGTGCTTCCAACAGTCTCCCCTTCTCCTGCGAGAAAGGATTGCTGCGTCCTTTATCTCCACCCCAGCTAATCAAAGACGCCATTTGCTCTTTTGCAAACATGGCGATCTGGGCCCGCGTCGCAGCTGCTTTATGTTGTAACCTGAAACAGCCACACTCACATAGCTTCGTGTAGTCAAGAGGGTGGTAAGTTTGATTTATCCCTTCGACCGTTGCCAGTCACAAGGATAACTTGGTAAGACCTGTTCGGGGTCTTTACAATTATGAAGGTTAAACGCTGGGCCGAAGGAGAGAGATCGGTCGAGACTGATCGAAGAGCCATTGCTCAGCGATCAGTGCAATGTTGTGAGCTCCAACCGAGTCCCTGTTGATCCATCGACCACAGGCGAGGCAGACACAAGATCTTGAAGTCGGCTTTGCCATCCTGGAGGTCTCTCCTCGGGCAGTGCAAGCTGGGCAAACGGTCGAGGACAGGTATTCATCAACCAAAACGACAAGGTGGCCATGTGCTCGCGCCTACGTTAGATAGAAGATTGACGGTTATTGAACGGTCCCATAGCATAACGTTGACAATTGAGCAAGTAAATAATTGTTTGTCGCGGCATAATGACGGTACCTTCTTGGCAAAATGACTCTGCAATGTCTCATGCTTGGAAGCCAAGTTTATCCCCGTTCGAAACTTGCCGTTGCCAATAGCAATAAGACACGGCTCCGGTCCACAAAGGCGTAGGATTGCAGCCACAGCCATATCCAGTTCGGCACGAACGGCTTTCTTCTCCTCCCAGGCGGCTTTTTTCATGTGTAGTGAGCCTTCAAACTCCCGAAGCAAGGGCTCCGTAGACACTCTGACACGAACAGCATCCTCGAAATCCTCCACGGTTACTTGGCCTTTTGGGGGCAAACAACTTTCGATCTCCTGGATGGACTGTACGTCTGTCCTGGCTCCCTTTGGATCGACACCCCTCGCCCAAATCCCTCCATCGATACTCTCGCCCGGCACCACTCGAAGCTTCCTGTTTTTGACTCTCTCTCTTTCGGATCGAGCTGCAGTGGTGGGAGAGTATAAAGCTGCTCGACGTATCATTAGGTTGGTCACAGGTGGATCCCCAGGGTCTGGTGCTCCATTCCACTCACGTTCGTGCTCGATCAGACATAAAGCCGCCGTCACCAACTCCCCAGGGTCCCACCCGCGACACTTTGGTGTTTTCCCCTGGAATATCCTGGCGATAGCGTCCTCATCAGGTAATACTTTTTCGATACGCATGACTGGGTCCAGGGCTCCATGTGGCTCGTGTTTGGTGTCGTAGGCGAGGATCTGCAGCTCCAAGCCGTTACTCCGAATCATATTGTTCAAGGCATAGCGTGATTTTGTACTGGGGTTGGCGGGAAATTCTGGCGGTGATTGCGTACATGGTACTCCTTCATCCCTACAGTTCGCAACAACTCGAAGATAGGCCAGCTTCCTGTTACAGTAGTCCTGCAATGACCGTTAACCAAACCTAGAAGGATCACCTTCCGCAAGCTCTGCCATCCTTGTCGTCCGTTTTGCGTAGGGTGTCCGTCTCAGATCTGGTCCTCCGTCGTTGTCGTGACCAATGGGCCTTCTTCGCCCATAGAAAAGCGTCTCAAGCACTTTTCCATAGTCCGAATCAACACAATCCGACGCCTCCGCGTGACTCAAAATCGTCTCCACGATCGTCTTGGCCGGATTGTTCCTCGCAGTTCCTCCCCATAGAATTCTCCACACTGCTCGCTCCGGTATCATCACAAACGCATCCCGGAGCTTCGGCTGAGGACAGAACACAGGTCGCTTCTCTGCAGGTAGCGAGAGTAAGTGGCCCCACCAATCCCTGAGAAAACCCGCCTTGAACTTGTAGCATCCGTCGTCGTCGGTCGCATATTCGTCAGATCCCAGGGGCGCAGTCGTTGGAGGTTCGTCTAGAGCGTCGTTGTCCTGCTGTCGTTGGGCTTCAGGAGGCACGTCTCCGTCAACGAGAGGTATGATGTCTTTGCTCCATCCCAGTTTTACCATCTACACAAAAGCGCGGGTAAGACATTGTTAGAGTACGAAAAACATTTTGATCTTGCATCAAACATAACTCAAACAAGAAAGAAGTAAATACCTTTCCGGTGACAGTAGACGGTAGCTTTCTGAAGTGTGTGTGGAGACATACCATCGTGGCAAGTCCGAACTCCATCTGCATGTCGCCCAGGGGGATGTCGGTAGTGTTAATAGGCGAAAAGTGGAGAATGATCGTTTTGTATCGGGCATAGACCCTCTGTGCGAGCTCTCGAGCACGGATGGACTCGGACTTCTTGCACTTTTTCTCAACAATCTTTCCATTCAAGGCCAACGACATTAATCCACGGATGAACATCTGACCGGAAGCCTTGTTCATCACCAGGTCCAGCAGATCGACATTCGTCTCCCCTGAGGCTCCTTGCGGGCTAAACGCTGTTGTGACTTCTTCCAGTAAAAACAGCTGTATCATCCTGAACACGTGGGGACGAGCTTCATTGATCAGGCTCGTGGCCTTCTCCAGGCGGCTCGCAATGGTGTCGACTTGGTCATCAGAGATCCCGAGGGGTCGAAGGCTACGGCGCAGGCATCCTTTCAAGGAACCAACTGTCTGGGTTATCGTCGGAAAAGCAAACTTGAAAGCGTCCTTGAGTTTTGGTGCTGTTGGGGTTGCATCGATGTCGCGTGGTCTCGCGAGTTTTTTCTTGGATGACGCCTTCCGTCTTTTGTTCTTCGACGAGCGGTCTGTCGACGATGACGAGGATGCTGAAGGCGAATCTTCAACAGCCTTGGGCTGCTTGTCGACGGGTCGCTTTTTTGGTTGTGACGGGGACATTGTCGACAGTTGATTATCAGAAACAGGGGTGGCTGTCGACGGATCACTGACCCTGTGGGGAGAGTACCGAACCTGATTGTCAGTGCGAGACTTGAACCTAATTAACCACAAAAAATAATAATTAGGGAGACTTAGAAACATTTCCATAACTTGTGCAAACCCGGAGACGTCAATGTGAGATTGTCTTACCTGGATTTCCTCCATTTTTTACGTTTCCTGTTCCTTTTCGCTGCCTCCCGGCGAGCTCGCTGCGTTTTCGCTGTCCTGGCCCGATTTACATTCTTTTTGGGAGCTGGCTTCTTGTCCTCCATCGGTGGTGTGAATCCCATTGCCGCACGTGCCTGAACCTCTGCAACCTTCTGGTACTCAAGATCGAGCAGGGCCCTCATGACAATCTCGTGCGCATTACAGTCTCGTTGCCCTCCCTGCTCAATCGATGTGTGCTGTTGACTGGTAAAAGGCTGGGGGTGTGGGCTCTGATCAACGGA